CTGCAACTTGATAAAACACTACAACAATGTTTTGAATAATCCTTTACCGTTCGTGCAAGCCTGTAGAGGTATTTTCTCTAAGCAACGATGTCAGAGGTTTAAGACGTTTCTCTCAGGCTGGATTTATGATTACAACGGCCCTGACTGTATCCTTCTCACCGTCAACAAACCTATTATTTTACACGGAGTTCAACATTTTGGCTCCGAACGCGAAAAGTATACAGTTAAGACAGACATTATTGATCCCCTTGACAACAATTTGCTTGTGAGTCGAGGAGGAAATTATGTCTCAAAGAGAAGCGATATTGGTGCTTATTACTGCTTTGATGTGTTGTTCGATCGTCCAATTATTTTGAAGGCAAATAAAGAGTATAAGATAAAGTCTATCATCAAGGGCCCTACGTCATGGTATGGCAAAGATGGGCAAACATCAGTGAAGTGCCAGGGAGTGCGATTTACATTTCGTTGTTCGGCAGAAAACTCTAATGGAACCGATATAGAAAGAGGACAGTTTCCTGAAATTTTGTTTTCAGTTCCCAGGTAAAAGTTCTGATAACGTTACCCGATCCGTTCCCGTTGACGTAAAGCCCAGTCTATCTCTCTTAGGTAAATTAATGTTGGATCAATCTTCAAGGTATACACATCTGAATCCTTTAACAAACAGTGACGGATAAAAACTACAAGTGAAAAAGCAAAGTGTGACCTATCAAAATTGACTCAGAACATTTGTTAGATGGGATTTTAATGAGTCAGTTAGACATACTATGTGCGATTAAATATTTTGTATGATTTGTTTTTGCTTGCTCGTAAATGTAAAAGGTCGATCTGAAAATTTTAAGGAAAAAAATAGAAATCAGTTAGCTGTAAGGTTCAAAAGGAATTTCAAAGAAAAAAACTCACCAGTAAGGTTTCAAACTATTAAATATGGATTACATTAACCATGGATACTCTAATTAACAAGTAACAAAACTAACAAGCTCTTTCAATTTCTAGTACATTTTCCGGCCGTAAAAATGCCATTTTTTTCGGTTGAAAAGTTATTCTGACGCGGTCCGGATCCTACAAAGGAGTCTTAAGCACTGTCGACACACATCAAGAGGAGCAAAATATGTTGATGCTCTAGAAAGAGAGATGATTATGAACTTGATGGTAAAGTTCTACGTCTGTTATTTAGACTGTAAAACAAAACAGCGGCAGCCACCCTACTCCTGGTCTCCATCAACTCCAGATCGTGCGCCCATTCCACACTACCCCACCGGCTTATCTGCAGTAAAGAAAAAAAACACAGTTTGTAATAACCGAGTGCACACTTCAATTCCAAAACCATACCAAAGAAAAACAAAATCGAGGGCAAGGGTGATGCTTTCCTACACTTTTACAAGGATTTTTCTCCGCTTGGGCCAGACGCTCGGTTTGAAGAAACTAAGGGCGCAAGGGCGCACGGGCGCACAATGAGATTAAGAAATAAGTAAATATGTTTGCCTCGCATGACAGGCGAAACATTAGGATTTTTTGGGGAAGAAACGGTCGCATTCCCAAACGTTCGTCCCCTTCTCCGCCCTCGCTTGTCTTCCCTACCATGAGTCAAATCTGTAGGAGAAAAATGTAGCTGCAAAAATCATGGATTACCGTTTGCCCCAGCACTCCTGTTTAAATGCAGCGCCCTTTCATCAGACTATTATAGAATTGTAGTAAGTTGTTTTCTTTTGAGTCACAGCACCAGACAGTGCATTGCTTCACATTTCACTACCCTGCACCTTATTATGGTCTAAAGCATAACTAATTGTTCCCACCAAATGTACACTACTTTCTTGTAGTTTAATGCGTAAATACGATTGATTTAAGTAACACGAGTGAGTAGTCCATTCCAGCAAGCAATGACGAATAAAGGTGAAACGACAGACCTGAAATTCTAGCTCTAGTCTGGACAAATGAACAGCTTTTTCCACTGTGAGGTGATTTTCGACGAGTGCCATGGTAAGAATAAACGACTTCAATGTTTCCACAGCAAACTCGAGGCCTGACGAATAAAGAGGACAAATTTTAGAAATAATATTCAACATCGTGCTCAAGAGAATTTCCGCTACATTTGAAACTGATTTCTAAAAAATGATGCAAAAACTTTAAGTGAATATGAAAACTATTAATCGACCTCTGAAGATGTCTGGATGACCACGAGTTTAACAGTTACATGTGATTTTATTGGACCATGAAATTTGATCTTTCAGGTGCGAGTAGTCCTGAAAAGGACTGTTGTCGGGGTACCGGGTCACTTCGCCGACCACCAGCTCGTCAACACAATTAATCCATTCGCGACAACTTTGGTCACCTCGCCGACACAATTAGTTTTCTCGCGACAACTTTGGTCACCTCGCTGACACAATTAGTTTTCTCGCAACACCTTTGGTCAACTCGTCGACGGTCGCCTTTGGTCAACTCGCCGACATACCAGTCTCTTCGCAGACATCCTTGGTCACTTCACTGACATACTTACCGGTTAGGGACCAGCTGTCAAGTGGTGTCAGATGAGCCTTTAGTCGTTCCTCGGCATCGTCTGGTATGGTCGCCGCAAGCAGACCATGACTTGGTTCAACAGGTACTGAATACCTTCAAAGGTAATAACAAATTAATACCTAAATTAGCATGCATTTACCAGTTATAATCAATTCGTTGATCTAAAGATACAAAGTAATTGATATGACCATGTAGTATGAGCATCTGAATAAGTGTAGTCTTGAAAGCCTCTGTTATCATTAAGAAGGAGTGATTCTTGAACCACCTGAGCAGAAGACATCCTAAGAGTCAAGAAAAAGATTTATTGGTCCAATCAAATGGATTAAAAAAATTTGTAGTTCACTCAACTCCAATGATACCCTCCCCTCAGGTTGTCAAAACATCAGTCGCTGTAAAAAAATTCTCCTTTCAGAATTACTCTGCAGTAAAACAATGCCATATTTTGCTAATTAACAGAGATTTTCCCATAGGACAGTTTGTAATGACCAATGCTCATGATAACAAAGTCATTAATAACAGCAAAATTTGTTTTACTTGTTGTTAAACCATTCCATGATAGGTATCCATTCCTTTCTTTGTAGATCCACTAACTCTTCAGGTTCATCCGCAAAAAAGCTGCAGAGTTTAGAAGAAATCACATGATTAATCCTTTAGACTCCAACATCAGTATGCATATTCTCCATACTCTTCTCAATACTGATGTCCTATAGTTTTGAAAGGAGAATTTGTTTCACAATCAAGAGCTTCTTTTATTTGTGATCATTTCCTTTATTCTAACCTGTGATCTTCAAATGTGATTCTGAGGTGATATTGTAAGGAGAAATTAGATGCCAGTCACTCTAGAAATTAATGATTGTGAATGACCGCCAACAATGATAATGTACCATAGTACTATTTCCTTCATAGATAAATAACTACTGATTCAGACTAAACAATTGTGCAACTGTTAAATTAATGTTATATGAAGACCACAATAACTTCTTTAAAAGTATTAGTAAACAAAAATTGCAGAGATTCTTATGGCATACCAAATACTGTCAGAGCTCAAAAATTCTAAAATGTGTGAAATTTGCTGATCATGATTTCTTGTCCGTGGATTGTCAATCACAGTGTTGCTGAGAGAAGTCTATGGAAAAACAAAATGAGATACACTAGAAAAAAGACCAGATGAACACTTTATTCACAGAAATTGATTATATTCAATAATACCGGTAATAATTCAATTTTGCAATATTTTTGATTGAATAAGAATGTTTTTACCATTATTTAGATTGTAATGATACATTGGGAATCAGAGAGCTAAATAAACTTGTAAGCTTCCCGAACATTTTAAGTTGCAGACAGCAGCTGGTAAATGAAGAATAAACAAAACAAAACAAAACAAATAAAGCAAAGATATATAAACAAAATAATATACACTATGAGGGAAAAGTTGGTTAAACTGTACCAATTATACAGTTGTAAATGTACAAGTGGATATTGTTTTGCAATGAGTCACAATTACCCAGGGGGTGACTCTCATTCTTATAGCCCCCAGCCTACCACCTTCCCTCTCCACCCACTCCAACCATAAATCAAATATGTCAGCTTGTTGAATGATTCTTGAGCTTGTATATTATGTAACACTGGCTTGTCCTCCCTTTCAAGATGCCTCACTACAATTCTGGTTAATGACTCCCTTCTTGCTTAAATAGCAATAAATTATTATCACAACAAGGCTTCCTATCAGCCTAAACAACAACAACAAAATATAATGCACAAAGCATTAACAGCTGTTTACTTACCAGATGCATATTTGCTGGTTTGATGGTGTCAACCTGTGAATTCCACTCTACGGATACTGCCATGGCCAAAGGTTTACTGGGAACAACAAGAAGATTTCCAGCTGGTGTTTTCACCTTTTTGTTGTCCACTGTGATCTGATAACCACCTTGAGAGATATATAACTTATACATTTAGATTGATGGGTAATAAAAGTCAAGACATTAATGGCTGGCAGTAGAACATGTACTCAAAGCCAGACCAACATTCTTTTGTAGTTTTCTCAAATGTTAAATAGTGTTTTGTCAGCTGAAACAATATCTAACAAAATGAAATATGTAAAAAAATTCCACATTAAGTTTAAGACTTGGTATTTTTTATGATGTTATGCATCATTTATGTAGGAGAGTCTTTTGGGGAACAAGATCCTGACTGACAAACACTATGGCTTCAGTCAATAAAAAGAACACAGTTGAAGATGCAGTGGAAACATGACACAAAAATGCAGCTAAAAGAAGAATATAATATATTTATTTAGATAATATATGTTGAAAATAAAAAAATTACTCAAAAACATTTTTTTACCTGCTGAATTCAGTTAACCTTGTTAGAGGAATATGAAAATGTTACCTTCAGCTTCCTCGATACCTGCTTTGTTATAAAACCGTTTTCTCTCTGAAAATTACGCAGCAAACGTAATGTTAATGCATGAATCACTAAGTCCAGGATAAGTACCAAAAAAGCTTTTGTGGGCTTCCATCCACAATTTGAAGCCAGCTCCTAGATAGAAACATCACAACCCAGACACAAAATCCACGTGAAAAAGAAAAGACAGGGATCTATCCCACTACTACGACAAACGAAGGTGGGTGGGGGGGGTTAAGGAATGGGGTACAGTGAGCCAGTGAAGAGCGCTTTCAAAACAAACTATAAGCATCCTCCCTTGATTCAAGTCTAGGAAATTTAGCAAAATTTTCGGATGCAAGTGCATATGCTTTAGTTATCGAAAACCTGTGAAATCCGGTGGCTTGCTTGGACGCGTTGGAAATAACAATACTTTGTCACTTGGGACACAATCGTGTTTCTCAGAAGGTTCTGGGACTTCTTCAACTGCGTATTGATATATAAACAATAAAACTACCAAAACCGACTGTTAAACCAGCCGCATGCGATTGTGCGCGCTCACCTCGAAAAGAAGACAGGTTTCTTTTGACTGCTATGGCGCATATCGTCAAATTACATCGTTGGTATGTAGAAAACTGGTTGTCTAGCAAGAAATTTTGTCTAATCATAGGAAGGACTCCGAATCTGAAAATCCCAGGCATAATTACGGTATTTGGATCCGAAGAAATCACACACTGGATATACCGACATCTTCGTCCGCCATCTTGTTCTGGCTAGGTAACCAGGCCTATATTTTGCCCAGACCATTTCCGTACTTCGCGGGAAACGTGCGCGAAAAATATGGAGCCGCGAATAATCCACATTCAGATAACCCACGACTGATCAATATGGTAAAATATCTGCTGGGGGTGATAATAGAGACAGCAGAAAAGTGGTAAAATTAAACGCGGCCGAGCGCAAAGTCTATCTTTGAAAATGAGTTTTATTTGCGCAAAGGTACAATCTCATTTTCACATCAGATGCGTCAGGAGCCCATTACTGGGGCTTCTGGAGGCGTGTAATACTCTCCTTGGAACGGCGGGAATGTTGTCTGTTAACCTCGATTATTGAGATGAAATATTCGCATTCTTGATGCAGTTACTGGCATAGCAATGAAAACAAAACACCATTGAACTTTGAGGAGTCTTCATTTAATTCCAGCGATAATTGAAAGTGATAGACCTCACATACATGCAAAAAAAGAACAAGAACAATTGTACATGAAAGTCGTAAGTGAGTCTTTTCCAAATTTGATGGTCACACCGTAACCTGTACTTGCATCAAAATATACAAATAATTTTCTTTTGAACTATTTTATACAACCAGAGTAAACGCTCGTAAAAACGCGTCATGTACGAATAATTTAAAAAAGAGAGCGAATAGAAAATTTGAACAAAATTTAGCTATCTGATACAACATCATAGTGAACTAAAATAAATTTTAAATCTCTTCTGGGGAGGAAGCTTTTGCTATCTCTTGGATTGCAACGAACGATTCTTCTGGTCATTAACGTCCTCTGGCTTCGGACACCAGCCTGTCTCCGGATAAAGAAGGCAGTGGATTGATTTAAACCTGCAAGGGAACAATGAAGAAGTGAGAAGAGTTACAAGCAGCATATACCCTATAAAAAATTTTGACCTGTACGCGTGAACAATAACGACATGATCCTCACTTTGCTCTGTGATTGGTCAAGAAAACTCGCGCCCTTCTCTCAACCAATCCAATGCAAAACTAAAACTCGCGTCTACCCGCGCTTTAAGTAGTTTGCTCGTTTTTACTTTGCGTCCTCATTGGCTCTTAAGAGGAGTATTCCTATCTTACGATTGGCTGTTATAATCTCTTTGGTTTGCGTTTTGCGCTACTCAATCGAAAAGCGCTTTAATTCATCATACCAGCAAGTCTTACCGCGTAGGATCCTGTTCCGTGTCAAACGGTCCATCTATGTTGACTCGATTGTATCTTCCGCCGATATAACCATGACTAAAACTAATCTGAAAATGAAAGAAAGAAAATTAAATTTAAAAAGCACTGATAAATTCTGATTGTACCTTAGAGATTGAAAATCAAGTTACCGGTTCTAGATTTTGATCAACCAAGAAACTTTTCGATTGATGATAAAAAATATCTCACCTGTTCCTTAATTTCGTTTTGTTGTATGCTTGGAAGATGTTCCAGGTGAGAATGGAAAAGATTCAGTCTCGTCAAACTCACGTTAAGAAGAGATTCTGCGACAAAGAAAGACATCGATAATAAATGAGTGACTGCTTAAAAGCAATTGTGAAAACAGTATCGATTGCAACAAGAAAAAAACACGTTATTGTTGTTGTCAGCGTTGATGATGATAATGATGATGAAAATCTTTTCCACGCCACAGTTTACAAATTTAGCCGAAGTTTACGAGTCATCATGACGTCTACATGTGCAGTCTTGCCATTAGAAGGCGGTAGGCGGTAGGCGGCGGAAATCCGCCGGCTGTCTGATAATTTTACGCTGGCTACAAATGTTCCAGAATGCTGGAAACCACGTCTCGGAGAGACCATACCTCTGAATCCCCCTTAAAGAGCGTGTTGCTTTGTAATACACCATACTTGCCACGAAGATATAATTCAATTCTGCCGCCTAATGAGTTCACATGATATTATATATATTTTTTGTAACGTTTTGCAAATAACACTGAAGTATGTTCATCATGTATGATTCGTGTTAACTGTAGAAGCATTTTAGGCGTGCTTGTAGGTATGATGAAACCCTAGGGGGCTACTAGGATATTTAAGATTTTCTAAGTTATGCAAGAACCACTCGAAGGCATCTCTTTCAACTTTGTTTTTGTGTTTATTCATTACTGTATTTTCTTTATGACAATGTCACGCTCGCTTTATCCAATAAACGTGATGCCCGCTCCTGATGCAGTGTTTGTGTTTATTAAAATTAGTTACAAAATATTTTATAATCGTTTCAGGGTGATTAGAGTATCATTACAATTATACATTTTCTAACGACAACCCTGCACGTCTCAGCCAGCAGCTAACTAAACTTCTTTTCTCCCACTCACCACTAATAAATCCAATGGTGCAGTCATCTGGAACTTTAACCCGCTCACAGCTGTCTGCAAACTTGCCATCACTACAGAGATGCAAACTCAGAGTCAAGACGGTATGAAAGGTGACAGTAACGTTAATATAAATCTAACAATAACTTTTACAACCGTGTAAGTCGTTGCACTGTGTTGATAGGCAATAAAGTCACGCTTTTGCCTCACAGTATCTCTCCCCACCAGGACTGACAGTTATAAAGGGGTACCCTGAACTGTCAGAGAGGCCTGAAAAATGCAGGAGGGAGGGTGAACTTGAATGAATTAGCAGCAGTAATACTAGCAGATACTTAATGTTTTGGAAACCAGGACAAGCTCGAGCGGTGTGAGCCATTTGACTCGGGTGAAAAGACAAAATGTTTGTCTACAGCTCTTCGTCAGGAGAGAAGGCCTTAAGAGAGCTTTACCTGATGTGAGGGCTCATTCTTGCCACCAGGGCATGACTCAAACAAAACCCTGCCCCACCAGTTGCGAACCAAAATTTCTTTCTCTGAAAAATTAAAAGAAAAGCAGTACGTTAATTAATGGAAGAATACTGTGATGGTTCTATTGCCCGTGTATACAATACATTATGGTTTTTTTTTTGTAGAATTATTTGTTATCATTTTTATACTTACGTTATATCCGTCCAATCTGTCCCAGGCCTGAAACAAAAGGACAAAAAAGGTTGAAATTATTATTATAATTATTATTATGTTTTCATTCATTTCAGACAAACATTACGAAGTACTGATTTCTACAGATAGTGATTAATGATTGGAAATAAACGGTCCAGTTACCATGAAGAGTATTTAACGGTGATGGACAACACAATTTATCTTGTTATGTCTTTAAAAGAACATTAAAAAGTTGATTTATCTAACGGGATGTTGACGTCAAAACTACGACTTCATGAGATTCATCAACATGACCATTTAAGGAATGACGTTAAAAACACGAGAAACGTCGAAAGCTAAACACTTTTTGCAGCCCATTGCTGATTAAGCGAAAATTAAAGGTTTTCTCGAACAATAAAGTTTCCATTAAAAAAATAAAAATCGTCAAAAGTGATTGTATGTTCACTTCCGAGGGTGTATTGGAATAAAAATCCGTTGTATATCATCTTAAATTATGAAGAATAGAGATTGCTGGGGAATATTCAAATTCATGATTCCAGGGGAACACAAGTCTGTGAACAAATAAATATTGAGGATCCATATTCGAGAGTCGATTCTGATCAGGGATATCTTAATCTGCTGTGCATGCGGAAACGGTCCCATCGCATCATCACCATTACCTCCATCGCTTTCGTCAGACTTGGTCTTCCCAGGTACACATTCTCGAGCGGGTTGAATTTTTTCAGTGTTTTCACCAGTGTATGAACATTGACGTAGTTATCGTCATCAAAATGGCAGAACCACCTGGAAAAGAGAGAAGGGAAAACAAAAATCATCAGCACGTCAATAAACGACACGATGACGCACGCTTAGAAAATCTTCATGTCTTCCCCACGCGAGCTTATTAATTTGAAAATTTCCGCGCGCTTCTGGTCAGATCGGTAATTCTCCTTCAGAAAATTAAGCAAAGCTGGTCAGTTTCAAGGCAGACGAAGATGATCGGAGAATCCGCTCGTATCGGGTGATGGGTAATAGTCCTAGTCAAGCTCCATTTGTCATAACTTGCTGGTTACGAATTCAAGTAAAATCACGGCGCTGGTTTAATGTCTTGCTAATGTAGGCACAGGTAGCCAGAGCTCGTAAAATGAACCTCCGTAGGATTCTTAGGATTCTTACTTTGTGTTGAAGTTTTTTACAAAGAAATCAAGCTCAGCTTGCATCTTGCAACAAAGTTTCGTCCTACAAATGACACAAAACAAAAGAGTAAGGCGTAAATGAGGCTACAGTACATCACTGAAAACACAGAAATAGGCGAGAATGAAAAAAATATTTTTCAGTTAGACGTGACTGAGGTAACAAACTGTTACAACGATGACTATGAGATTACCTCTGGTGCCCTGTTTCACAAGCAGTCTTGATAAGGTGGCCTCCTGTAATGATCAAAGACGTGAATATATATTACTTGGTAAAAACTTTACCACAAACAAAGCCGGTTGTAAATACAATTTTCACATCTCACTGTAAGATCACGACTGACAGTGTTTGCAATGAAAAATAGCATCAATTTATAATATTTTCCTCAACATAATTTCATAAAATTATTCCATATCTGAAATAAAACGAATAATCCTTCATTATGTTCCTTTTTTTTCCTTAACTGAGCACTCTACTACTGCCAGAAGTCTCCTCTAAAAAGAAAAATGTTTTGAAAAAGTTTACAGTCCTTAAAACGAAAGCAATTCTGTTACTTTGAGTTTTTTTTCCATGAACTGAGTGCTCTGCTACTGTCAGAAGTCTTCTCTAACAAGTAAAAATTTTTGAAAAAGTTTACAATCCTCAAAACAAAAGCATTTCAGTTACTTTGAGTTCATCCCTTCCTCTTACCTAGACGTTCATTTAATTCGTTGTCCTCACGATCAGTAAAAAAATGAACCTGTAAAATAGCAAAGACAACAAAATTAAAAAAACTGTTTACATAATGTATGATGAAGGTCTAAAGTGGAAAAAAATTCATATTAGCAATTGTGATTTATGCACCCCTAACAACTTAGATTGAAAAACCTATTGACTGTTAGAACACCTCACACAGTTTCACACCCTTACAGTTAAAATCCAAACCCACTTTCAAGACAAAAGAGTGATTCTAAAAAATATACCCTTTCACACTAACATAAAGGAAAGGCCTAGCCAATGGCAAATTCTAAAGACCTTCACCCAGTCTTAGACTAGGTTCCTAAAACTTTGACTCATTTTCAAATTGAAATACATCATAATAGTCTGAACTGATACAAAACGAAAGATAGCAAACTAAGGCCATGCTTAAAATCTCCTTGAAATAGATCAGCATGAACTTCCAAAAATGTGATTTACCTGTCTGTGTCAAATATTCTTTTCTAAACTAAATTTATCTTAATGTTTTATAAGACCTATTTGCAATTTTACCATAAAAAGCAGATTTAATCTTGATCATTTGGGTTAAATCACCAAGCCTTTGATGTTTTAGTCAATCCCTCTGTAACAGTTGTAGAAATCTGCTCATTGGGGTTAAGACTATACACACTTGTTCAGTTGTCGATATTCTATCTATAGTATTCTTCTGTAGAACATGTATATTCTTTGGTTGGTTGCATTAATTTGGAAAATTCTTTTTAAACCTGTGTGGTTTCCAAGCAACCACAACACTAACTATCAATTTCAACAGATGCAATTAAACTTTTTGTTATCAAAAATGAGCAACAAACTAAAATTTACAACATGCAGCACATGTGATAATTTAGTATGAAAATTCCCTCTTACAAAAGATGAAGAAGTATGTTTATATGTGTAAACTGAGAGAGAATATCATTTAAGTCCTCGCAAATTTTCAGAAAATCATTGTTTACATCCTTATTAGAAATCCACTATTTTTACTAGGCATTATTCCTTTCAGATTAGATTATATGATATAAAAATTTACCAACAAGAAGATTTAGGCACATTGCAAATATCCATTATAATTGGAGTAAATCTTGAATTAATTCTTTTTAATTCAAAATCTTTAACTTCAGGAATGATCCATGAAGCATGTGAAAAAAAAACTGTATTTATTTTGAAATTTCCTTCCCCATTTACTTGGCATGTTTGGTTTTCTTTGAGATATGTCAAGAGCTATTCTAATTGAAAACAGATATTCTTTTCCAAAACATTTTCATTTTCCATTTACTTAATTGCAGAGGATGGCTTGTCTGATTGATCTTTATCAATAATTAAACAATCTTATAATTATCACCCCAAATAGAATGCCAGTCAAATGCATTTAATGAGTTTGAGAAAAGGTGACACCTGAGAAAATATTCTTTAATTGGCATCTAAGTGAAATTCTGCATAAGTAGCCCACTACTCTCTACAAAATACTTCTAGCTTCTAAGATTACTCCGACAGCCTGTCTGAGAACGCAAGACGTTTGAAGCTGGCATGGATGAGTCCCTTTAAAAACATGGTTTAACGCCTCATTTAGGAAATATAAAATAATCGATTCTAATGAATGATGAAAGCTGTTTAAAATTGTTTTTTTTTACTCATCATAGACGTGTGACTTATCTAAAAAAATCCAATTAAAATTGGCACGGTGACCTTCATTTTTGCATGATAACCGAGATGAAATCGGTTTTGAGTTACTAAAGATTGTATTTCGTGTGCTGAATAGAAGATATGTTTATGAATTCTGAATAAGGGCAGTTTTTGTCAGAGGTCACACCTATTAAAACAAAAAACGTATCTCTTCAAAGGAATAATTGGGTATTTGATGATTTGACTGTGGAAAACATTTTCCAATGGAAAACGCCAAAAAATTTTATCGCAGGTACCAATCAGGGCGGGTTAACAGATGTAGAAAATAAAATTAAATTGTTAACAGTGACATCATTTGGCTCGCGTGGAAGGAAGAGTTAGTAATGCATTTAGTACCCTCTTTCAATCTAATCTCACCTGTTTTTTAGCATTCTGAAACCATGTGTCAATCAAGAGTGTGACGCGCGCTTCGTGGTAATCACCAGTTGTCTTGATTGAGATAAATACATCTTCCAGCTCTGTGAGGTTATGCAATCGTCTCGGATCTTCTGCTCTCAAGTCGTGATCAAAATAAGTCTTCTTTCTGGCAGACTGATCAACAAATATTTCTCTTTCTTTGACTACTTGAAGGCCGCTTATCGCTGTTGAAAGGTTAATGGCTTGATTTCGTCTGTTGACACGCAAAGGGTTCTTTAGATTCCTTCCAGACATTCGCGGAAAATCTGTTGATTTAATTTCATTAACTACCAAACTTTCGACATATTCTGTACCCTCGTCCTTACCACGAGCATGTTCTAGCTTTGAACGAGCGATAAACTTATGATCTTCTTCCAAACGATCGCCACCTTGACTCTGAAGTCGTAGACGTGACTGTTTCCTTGTAATTCTCTTTGTCGTCCTCGTGCGCTCGATTGGCGCGAAATTAAACTCTCCGTGCAGGAATAAGGTAAACATTATTTGTGCAACGACAGCGAGAGCAATCCAGACCAGCAGTTTTCTGCATCTTCTTCGTGGAGGGAACATTTTCTTTCAATTAAACTTTAAACTTGAGCTTGGAATATCCATCGCAATTGCTGGCTTGCATTAGGCTGAATTTCTAAGAAATGGGTTTAGGCCCGCCAAATCCATTACAGAGCACATTGCAATACTGTTAGCACTAATTCTTGTTAAAACAAGTCAATTAATATCATCAAAACTTTTCGAAGTCAAAGATCAAGAAAAAACACCAGATGGCGAGGTTGATAATTTCAACGCGTAACACACGAAAATCAACACAGATCCGACTTTCCTACCAGCGACGCAAAATGTCTTTCAGCTCGTTAATTAAAACCTGATAGACAGATATCTGATCTTTAGCGTCTTATTCTTCACCTTATATCACATAAATCCATGGCAGATGTTTGAATTCTTTCCACCCATTGGAAATTCTATAGTGACAGGAAATTCGAAACTCGACTCACGCACAGACGTATTGTTCAACAAAAAACCGTCTATGCGATGCAGATTTCTCTCTTTCAGTGCAAATCATTGTCCACAGAGGTCATAACGGTTTTGAAATTTTACCGCGCTTTCTTGTCAATGAAATATTGTGGTCCACCAAGAAATAACAGGTGGCATAATTCTCCCTTCAATCTGTCACGAATATTCTTTCTTTACGTGATCAATTTTCCACTAAGTAGAGTAGGGTAAGTTAGTTCAAAATTTTAACTTAAAACACTTATGGAAAGGATGTAAATAGACTAATTTAAGTCAATTTTAAGATTTAATACAATGAAATATGAGGTTTAGTATCATTTTTTTTTTCCAAAGCTGATTTATAAATTATTTTGTAGTGTGGAAAGTTTTTTTTGCGTTATCCTCCCTTCCCTAATGGGTAATTATTCACCAGCGGTTTAAATTTCTCACGCACGCGCCACATTGCGATACACACGTGTCCTTTTGTTCCACTAAAAGATGGAGCGAACGAAGGATTTGCAGCGCGAGAATAGAAAGGAAAATAAACAGAAAAAGAGGAAACAAGAAGAAATAGACTCCAAACGGGACGAGGAAGACTTGCTCGGTACGATCGCACAAGACTTTCTATTAAAGTCCATTCACAATATCGCAAGTTTCGTTTCTTTATTTTTTTTGACATCTCATCACATTTGATCGGAAGTATACTGAAATATAAGATTGGTTTACTGTGTTGTTTTGAATGCAATTTTTCCAACCAGGTTATTCTTATAAACATGTTCCAACGGACGTTTTATCGGTCATTCAAAGCATTTGCACTTGCTTCGGAATCGGTGGTCTCTATAACGCAAAGAAAAGGTAAATACATGCGACACCTCATTTAGGTCATTGAATAAAACCTAATGATAAATGACAGAAACTAGCCAAGAGAGTGAGGAGAACATTGCGAGGTACTTAACTAAGCTTTGTGGTTAAAAGACCGCCCCTGCCTTCTTGTTCCAATCTGGAAATAATCTCGGGCTTAATTAGGTAACCTTTCAGTTCTTGTCACACAACCTGTTAATGTTATGTCACAGTACAGAACAAGATTATGGCGAAGAATAAAAACATGATGATGGTCTATTTAATCAGCAGCTCTGTGATTCTTGATTCAAGTATAATTCATGGTTCATTTACAAAGATTTGGGATACATAACATAATTTGACTTGTGAAGGATTGAACTGAAAAAATAAAATGCCAGACCAGGTTCCCCTTAACCCTTTCACTCCCATGATCTCTTTAGTAATTCTCCCTACTATCTGCCAAACACTGCTTATAGTTTTAGTTTGGAGAATTTGGTATTGAATCAAATGATAATCCACCAATTGATATTTTTCTATATTCCCATTACTTGTTCACTTGAGATTGTTTTGATGTTTTAAGGAGAAATTCTGTCTTGGTCACTATTGGGAGTAAAAGGGTTAAACCAACAACAATCAGATAGTTCTGAGGATAAAAACTCCTGTCCAGCAGGGATTTTTAACCATTTTTTACTGTGTTTGACCATTAGATTCAGTAAGTACTTTGGGCCAAGTACAACATTTATTACTGTGCTTTTTATTTATCTTATTTTTTCAGAAAAATTGAATCAAAAGGTGGTGTATTGGAAACACTAAAAGAAGGTATATCATGTGCCACATCTCACTCAATGTTCAAAAAGATAAGAACAAATGAAGAAAATAAGAGACTCTAATGGTAAAAGGGGTGGCCCACGGTACCTTACACCTTTAACTCCCAAGATCTCATTGGTAATTCTCCTTACTGACTGCCATATAATTCTTGTGATGTTCATTTGGAGAATTTGGATTGGATCAACTAATAACCCCCTTATTGTTGTTCTTTATTCTCTTTTTATATTGTAAGGAGAAATTCTCTCTTGGTAACTCATAGGAGTTAGAGGGTTAAGAAATCTTTTGTGTCACAAAGTTTGGGTGTGATCTTAAAATCTTGTCAAACTTTGAAATGAGTGTCAAGATTTCATATATGGCACATGTTGTTTTGGTATTCCAAAAGTCTCAGTTTCCTCTTGGTTTGGGATTTGGTCTAATAGGAAAGGGTTTCTAGCAAACAAGTAGCAAGAGTCCTAGCTTGATTTTACCACTCTGATAATTAATATATGAAATGGTTTTGATTAAGAAGCTGTTATATCGCAAAAGTGAATTAGTAAGATAGTAATGAGGAACTCTGACACAGAATTTCTTTTCATACATATAATATTACCATGCATTTTAGTAAAGCAAAGTCACTGATGAGTTATATTTATTTAATGAAATCCATTAGTATCTGTCTTGAATCATCAAGTAGGGATTTTAGCACCTCACAAGTCCAACATTTTGCCATTCGTTAACCCTAGAAAAAACCTTGGAATATAGTGATTATGAGATGCTTCTGTGCTTTTATTAGTTATTAATGTTATATTTAATTTTTAACATTTGTAGAGTGGAACCCCTTAGATGAAATCAAGGCACTGCCTTTTGAAATGCAACAGAGGTATACTTTGGGTATTTTCTTGGGATTAATACCCTGCTCATTTGCTTTCTCAGATATATAAGAGAGGAATTTTATTGTTTAGGGAAGAATATGTCCAAGTGTTATTTACACTTAGTATGTTAGAAATGTCTAATCTTGTTTCCATTAACTTGCAATCTTTTATTCTTTTCCTGTTTCTTTTTTGTCAGCAGATACGCAAAAAAAATATCAGAGGAATCCTATAAACTAGCAGGATTGATCAAAAAAATTTCGTTTTTATTCAAAAAGCTTCATGAAGGTACTTTGTATGTAACCTAACAGCAACTATACACAACTATCAATAATGAATCAGACTGTTGGATCATGGGAGTTATCTCTGTATTCAACTGTACTGTGCCTGTGTGGATAGAAAGGGTTGGTTAAAAGACTTTCAAGAGAACAAGCAGAATCAGACTTATTTGCCTTTACTGCTGATTTATTTTGAGAAAAAGGTATCACAATTTGTTACTGTGTTGTGAGTTCTCTCTTTTGATCTTAGTTGAAACTTGGATACAATACGTCTACAGTACAAATTATAAGCAACATCACGTGCCTGTACAAACACATCCGCTTATTATCTCTTGCTAAATGTAAATTGAACAGTTGTTTATAAGATACAGATTCTAAGATACATACAGTCCATAATGCAAGTGAGAGACTGAATAAACCCTTTAACTCCCAGAAGTGATTAACATGTAACTTCTCCCCACAGTATTCATACATTATCCAGCAAAAAGGTAGTGACATTACTCAAACTTATCAGGTACAAGACATTACCTTCAGTTGATTGAACACCAAATTCTCATAACCAATTTTTAAGGAAATGTGTATCAGTTGGAGAAGACAATAACAATCAGATCTTGGGAGTTATAGGCTTAAGACTTCTAAAACTGAAATATTAGTCCAAGCAAGTGTGGTAAATTAGGACTATGATCTTTCCTATGGTCTAATGTACAATTGACAAGTAGCTGGTACCAATGAAATTAACAAAAAAAAAGTATCACAACATTGCTCAAGAGCTAGACAGCAGAGTCTAACTATGGTGTCATTCTGCATTACTTACAGGGAGAAGTTTTATGAAGGATGTTACTATGGATGTCTTCCTCAAGGTTCAGTTAATGATTTAATTTCAATTTCTGTATTTTAAAATATCATGTAGATCATGTATGACAAAACTGATATTTTACAGTCAATGTTTTGGCACATTGAACCCTTTAACCCCTAACAGTGACCAGCATCTAATTTCTCCTTACAAAATCACCCCTTAATCCAATACGAAGGTTTTGAGAACAGGAAGTAATTACCAACTAAAGCAGCTCTTGATTTTTGAACAAATTCTTAAGCAAACATTAGAGAAAAGTGTGGAGAATGTGCATACTGATGTCAGGGTGTAGAGGGTGAAAGACAATTTCAGTTGGTTTGGTTACTCTTTGGAATTTTAAGACTTGGTCAGTGTCATAGTTTCCTTTAAGGAGGGGGTATCTCTTCATAGTGATGATAAGAAGTGAAGTGGTGATAAATATCATAGTTTCTGAAGCAAAATTCTCCAACACTTTGACCCCAGTTAGGCTCACATTGAATGACTAAACACTTCTTCATCTAAGTGGTTAGTGATTCACAGCTAGAGTGTGCGAATCAGATACAATGAGTGACTTTTTAAATATACATAGTACTCGACAATTTTTTTCATTTACTTAATATCATATTTTTATTTCTTGTGGACAGGATGTAAAAATAAAACCATCCCTAGCCCCACCAGATCAGTATGTTGAAATGGGCCTCTGGAGACAGGTTATGCAGGTGAACCAACAGATTTGCCAAGAAATGGAACAACTAGACAAGAAATTAGAAGAAAATGATTGTCAAGACAACTCTGAGGTCCATGCATATGACTGTTTCTGTTTTCTTTCTTGTTTTTTTTTAGTAATACTACATTGTGTATACACTGTTGCGTGCATTTTACACAGAAAAAATCAAGGAGTAAACTAAAATGAATCAAACAAAGTGTTTTTCATAATTGCATTACAAGGCATAACTGTGAGAGAGGCATGGAAGAGTCTAAGAGTGGTCTTTCAGTCTGACAGTCTAGTCTGTCAGTCTGACTGTCTCCTAGTGTAGTCTTTCTGTAAGCAGTCAAGTTTGTCTATCTAGCATTCTATTCTTTCTGTGTGTCTGCCCTTATCTGTCTGTCCAACTGTCTGCTTTGTCTTTATATTAACGTCTGGTCTGTCTTTCTCTCTGCCAGTTTGGCTTGTTTGTGAGTGGTCTATCTATTTAATGCTTTTTTTTCCAATCTTGTGCTTTTTTAACAGGAGGACACTCCAAGCAAATATGCTGAAAAAAGTGAGGAAAAGGAACCTTCTATGAATGAGGTTACTGAAGAAAACCATTTAATTGTTATTTAGTTTTAAATGATAAGATAAATTGCACGCATATTTTGATTGGGTCTCTCCTATGATTTGTTGAAGGGTAGACTCACAAATGAGGTCATCCTCATTAAAATTTTGTTTTGCTATCATGTAAAACAATTACATCCAGATTCCATGTGAGTTTGCACAGTAATAGTAATAGATCACAGATGACTTTAAAATGTGGTAAGTACCTCAGTGACACTCGACTGCACCTTGGGTGCCACTTTTTTGTTCTTACCACATTTTTAAGTCATCTGTGTATGTCACAAAACAGAAACATGGAATCTACCTGTATTTGTTACATAAAATATACTCAAAGTCTAAAGGGAGCATTTCTGCAACAATAGTAACCATTTGTTTTTATTAGTAATTTTTAAATTTCATTTTTTTCTTCTCTGTTTTGCAATAAAATATCAATCATAACTGAGTCTTCTGAGTGGGAGAAATGTAAGATATAAAATTTTCCCTTTACAGAGCAAAGACAAAACAAAATCTTTCCGTGACTACTACATGGAGATGGCAACCTCTAGTTTTGGTGATGACTTGGATCGGCTTCGACAGGTGTGTTCCTTGTGGGATTAGTTGTGAGTTTGTTTAGTTATAAACATAGATAATAAGAACAAAAATCTATCCATCAAACATATCTTCAAAAGAAAAACATGAGGGTAGCCCTCGGAATTTTCCTAATTCAAAGAGCTCAGTATATACTGGAATTTTGTTTTAATTTTGTACATACATCATGTTTTTATAAGCATGGTCAATTGAGAATCCAACGAAAAAAATTAGGATGTATTTTCATGGTCATTTGTTGTAACCTTACAGAGACTGGTCAACAATTTTGTTTGTTTGTTTTTTTACATCATCTGAAAAAACCGAGTTGAAGTCTGGCCAAGTCTGATCAGGTGACTGTAAAGTGGAAGGGGGCCACACTATTTCAATTTTGACTATGGCTGCAGATAAGAATATGACTTGTAATCCCAATAATTTTTAAAACAAAAAGTTATCTGCTATAGCACAACACAATTTCTCTGTCATTCTTATGTCAGGTACTTTTCTTTTACTTTAGGAGGGAAGCTTGGATTCACGAAAAGTTGAAATGCTAATAAACTGTTTGGAAACTGGTAAGGACATTTGGTCTGACTTAGAGAAAAAACTGCTCCAGTCTACATGAACATGAACATTTAAAGTTAGGATTGAAGCAAATTTTCTGTGATTTGGTGGCCAATATACCAACAAGAGTGATAAAGGCAAAACTATCCTTCAGTGGAGATGTTTGTTTGTTCAGTGGTTGATTGGTTGGTTAGTTCGTTTATTTGTTTGTTTGTTTGGTATCACAGTGGTTGTCTTATTGATAGCCCAGATTTTTAACAGCCGGTAGCTCAAACTGAGCATCAAACAGAGCGACAACAAATACAAACCCAAGGGAGTGGTTGAAAAAAACACTTCTCAAGACATAGATTGCTACTCGACTTGCAATTTAAAACAAACATTAGGGTTAGGGTAGTATTGTGAGATCACCATAGCCTTGTTTGTGAGTTACATTTGCTGTGAATGTTTCAAGGTTTCGTAACTGCTTTCGCACTATTCTCATTTGACCACAATTACCAGAATCCCTTTAAGTCGTTGCCTCCTCGTGTCACGTAAGGATTATTGAATTTACTAAATTTTTCTGTTAAAAAAATAACGAAATGAATTCTGTTTATTGGGGTAAACTTGGTGACGCTCTTGTGTCAATGTATTATTCCATAAATTTTATTATTCATCGGCAGCAATTATATTTAAGTAAAACTTATCAGCGATTTTATCTCCCTAAGATTGAAAGGATTTACAATCATATCGTAAAAATGACTCTTCTATTGATTTTTATAGCAGAATCTAGCTTGTTTCATCTTATCTTAGTAAAAATCAAAGAAGGAAACTGGCCCCGTTTCACAGACGTTCCGTTATTATCACCCCCCTCACAGAACTCGAATCTTACTCCTTCGCAATCAACAAAGATTTTCCCTTTGTCCCCGTAACACGAATTTGGGCCAGTGACAAACGATTTTACCTTGTACACCTTGTTTGGCTCTAAACAAACTGGTATGTCAAACAATACGTCAAATCCATAGAATTGATTAGTGTTATTCATCGCTGCTGAGTAAAATCCAAACTGATTTGCGAGAGATAAGTCATCCGTGGCATCCTTGACTTCAGTAGAAACTGTGTATTTTCCTCCTTCAGTCCCAAAATGCTGAACTCCTTGTAAATTTATGTGATTACTAACAAAGAACGAAAGGCTATCAGACATACCGCGTGTATATCCCCACCCGGAGTCATAAGATTGAGGTACAATCGTTGTAAATCTACTACATCGATGGACATACTTAAGGCATCGCGCTCTTGAAACATTCAAGAATGACTCAGATGATACTGATGTATCCTCACGGAATTGTTTCATCAGTTCTTCAACCTCTTGCATGTTGAGGATGTGAGAATCAGTCACAACTGTAGCGAACTCCTCCTGCGACATCATGGAAAACCGTATTGCTTTCACGATCTCTTCGCCTAGAATTCGTCTCTTCGCTAGTCCATCAGGGAGGATCCCTTCTCGTTCACATCCCTTGGTGGCCCATCGATCAACAGCCTTGAATAATTTCACTTCTTTCACATTGAGTAGTTCTCTCTTTACAACAGATTCAAGTAGAGATCGCTCAACTGTTACAAATTCATCTGACGTCACAGCTTCTTCTGTCTGTTTATCAATCACTTTCCAGCAGCGATCTTCCAAATCTTTATCTTCAAATTTCTGAGCTTGCGGCAGAACACATAGCACATTGGATGCTGTCAAATTTTCTCGAAGATATTTGGCACATTTCTCAGTTAGTGAGGGCACCATGTATTTATTCGCCAAGTATAACACTTGCATCACATTGTTTCCGCTTAAATTCACTTTGTCGCTGTACATGAAACGAAAAAACTCCAATAAACTCTCGTACTCACAGTCAGGCAGTTCAATAGAGTCTTTAGTCTCCGCCATTTGACCATAGAACATAGCGAAGAATACAGGACTACTGATGGCGAGCACAAACTTGTGAGCCGGGATCGCCATGTAAATTCCGCCTTGTTTAGTCGAAACTGGAACAACAAACCTCACATCGCTTAATAACTCATTGTTGAAAATAAACGTAGTTCTCTGAGTGATAGTTGATAATGCCGTCTGCCAGTTTTCATCCACAACAGCCATCGTCACTTTCCGATCAGGTCTAGCCTTTCTAATAGATATACTATGACGATGTAAACAATGTTCACGGCAAATATTGGCCGCTTATGCAATGTGATTGAAAGAAAATATTCCATGTCACGCCACATCGTGTCAGAGCAATAGACAAACAATAGCCTCCATTTGGCGCGAAAATATGAACGGATATTCACGAACATCTGTTCTGAGAAGCGAACAGTTTTCTGAGAAGCGAACAGTTTTCTGAGGGATGCTCGAGGAAACTGTGAGCTTCGAGGAACAGATAATGCCCAAGGATAAAATATAAGAGCGTTCGCCAAAATGGAGGCCACGTATATTATGTTTATTATCCTTTATATGTTTTTGCAACGTGTGGGAGAAATTTTTACGAACAGCTCACTGTTTGCTGCGTGGGGTGGTGGCATAGTGCCAGAGGAGCAAGAGAATCGCAGGAGGCCAAGTTGCTTTCAATTCTGTATTCAATTGGTCAAGAGTAGCGCCAATTTTATGGACGAAGCTTAAGGAGTAGCGAATCAAAATCAAAGCAATCACGCCTTACTTTCGACACCTAATAGAAAACTGCTACATCTTATAAAAATCTAATTTTATTGGGCAGCTTTACATTTGTGCAAACCATATATGGTTTGCGATTCATTTGGTTCTGAATATCAAGGTGTAATTTTTCTGAGAGGTGAATTATTTTACCCATCACAAGTATTTAGTATCCTAAAACCGCCAGGACACCATCCTGTTCACATGGCTCATAGACCTCTAATTTCGGAGTGAAATATGAAAACGCTCAAGCGACCGGTCATTATTCATCCCCCTGAAAACCACGTGAACCCCCGAGATCCTTCATCCACCCAAATCGTCTACCCCACCCCCTCGGCCACGAATAACGACTTGTCCCCCCAAATAGTGATTCTGTTACGTACTGTAACCAAATTTTAGCTGTAAATGAAAGCTGGAAACTGGCCTGAAGTCACTGAGCTGTGACCGTTATCATTCTTGAATGTACAATTACTGAAGGTGAACTGCACCCCTCCGGATTCAACGGACAATTGTCCTTCTTCTCCGTACCATGACACAGGACCCTTTACAACTGACACCAACGTGTACTGTTTATTTCCCTCCAAACAAACTGGACGATTGAACATTACATCGAAGCCAAAGTAGATGTCCGTATCGTCCTTTACTGAAGTGTACGTTCCTGATACTTTTCCAAGACAAGAGTTGTGGGCTGTATCTTTAACTTCAGTAGACACGGTATACTCGCCATCTTCTGAGCCAAACTGTTCCACTCCAAGAAGCTTTAAAGGCTTGTTGATGGTAAAATTTACACTGTACGCTCCACTGTGGTACCAGCCACTTCCGGCCGGTACATTGAATTTTGGAAATCGGTTACAACGGAAATGGATCCTGGCGCTGTCCATAAATGGCAAAGATAATTTTAAAGCGCCCTTAAAATGGTTCATTATGTCTCGTACCTCATCGATGGTTAGAATATTAGAGTCGAGCGCAACTGACTCAAACTCCTTCAGTGACATCAACGGAAATCGTATTGCTCGAATTATCTCCTCTCCAAGAATTCTTCTTTTGCTCTCTCCATCAACAGTTAATCCTTGCCTTTCACATTCTTTCGTAGCCCAGTGATCAACAGCTTTGAACAGTTCCACTTCTGTCACATTCAACACTTCTTTCTTCACGACAGATTCAACTACAGATCGATCAACTGTAACAAATTCGTCTCCTCTCACAGTTTCTTCTGTCTGCTTCTCAATAACTTTCCAGCATCGATACTCCAAATTTTTATCTTCAAATTTATGAGCGAGCGTCAGAATACTGAACGCGTTTGATGCTGTCAAACTGTCTCGGAGATATTCTGAACATTTCTCGGCGAGTGAAGGCACCATGTATTTGTTTGCCAGATACAACACTTGCATCACATTACTTTCCCTTAAATTCACTTTGTCGCTGTACAAGAAACGGAACAACTCCAACAGACTCTCATAATCACAGTCAGTCAGTTCAATAGAGTCTTTAGTCTCTGCCATTCGACCATAGAACATGGCAAAGAACACGGGACTACTGATGGCGAGCACAAACTTGTGAGCTGGGATTACCTTCGTACGTAATTCAATTTCACTAGGCGAAAATGGGACGACAAATTTTACATCGCTGATTAACTCGTTGTTGAAAATAAACGCGGTTCTTTCTACGAGACCTTGTAGCTTCGTCTGCCAGCCTACTTCCATGCTCTTCTTTCACCGCGCTTACACATGTACTTAAGTAATCCTCTTCAATAAGGTCTATTGGAAACAACAGCTGCTTGAATTAAAAAAGTGCGAGAAACAAAAGAAACAAAAGAAACAAATTCTGATTGGTGAAAAATGACAGGACCTGTCATCTTGAATCCCCATTGTATACCTCTCGTCGGCTCGTCTTGGGCAAAGAAGGTTCGTACCGAAGCGCTAGTTAGGAGGTAAAGGGCTTGCTTGCAGCCTGGCTATGATGTGCTTAATAGCTCAAACAGCAATCGTCACCACAAGTTTGCAATTGTTCTATTTAAGACAAAAGGAATTTTAAAAGCTGTTAATTCACGTGTTACGCATGTGTTTCTCAACTAAGTGGTATTCTTTTAGAATCCTTTCGTCTTGTCAAGCATCATTTGACTAAACAACAATTAGGAAGGTCGGCAAACTAAAAAATCAACTGCGCACTTCAGGATAAAAAGCAAATTGAAGTAAAATGTAAATTAACAAGAAATTTCGTGCTTCCAATTATTTTCCCAAATTGGTCCCTCGACGCCGACGCAACCATGCGTTAAACCCGATCAACATAAAAGACGACGATACATGCTTGCTTGATGAATAAATTTAATATGAGTTTGTGACCTAAATGATATGTGAAAAGGAAGAAGACGGGAATTTTGAAGATAAGGTTTTAGATTGACATAGATAGAATAATGGAGATAGTGTAATTGATTGGAAGACATTCTGCGAGTTGATCAAACAGACAAGTGATACAAATAATGATAATAAGTGAAGAAACAACCTCGTTTTGATCTGTTTAATGTATACCAAACATGGTAATAGTGTTACTTGTTTCAAGTTGGAAAAGGCGAGTTATTTATTTGCCCCTGGTACCTGTTGGGAAAATAAGCGCGCGAGGTCTTGATAAGAATGAGTATCGTCCGCTGAAGCATCTTCCGAACTCGTGATATTATTAAGACAAGAGAAAAGCTGGAAATAAGCCGTGCACTACGGAAGTGTCATCAGCTGTACCATCTTCTGCATCACTGAAAGTGAATCGCACTCCTTCGGATTCCACAAATGTCTGTCCTTGTTTTCCGCTCCATGAGATAGGATCGTCGACAATCGACTGCACCTTGTACTGTTTATGTGTCTCCAAATAAACAGGACAGTAAAACGATACATGAAAACCGTAATAATTCTCAATGTCGTCCATCCCTGAAGGGTATGTTCCAGATTGATGTGCAACCGATGCGTTGTTTGTTGTATCAATAATTTCTGTAGATACTATGTTCTCTTCACACCGTCCGAGCCAAAGTGCTGAACTACAAGTAACGTGATGGGTTTGTCGACTGAGAATTGAAGCCAGAATAACCCCTAAAGATATTTAGAAGACTAGAATAGTTAAATCTTTTGCAGCGAGAAAGCGGGTTTCCGCTAAGAACTCCTAAGTAAACCTATGGAAGTCCACGCAGTTGCCCTTTAGAGATTACTTTCTTACAACCAGGAACGTGTGAGCGGTTGGGTGTTTCTTCTTACGCCTTGGAATGTCTCGGAATGATAGAGGAGACGTGAATTAATCGCTGTAGTATTTCATAACGATGCCAAACTCTTCATCAGTCGGTAATAGAGAATTTAACACAGCAGAGGTAAACTCCTTTTGCGACATCAATGGCAACCGTATTGGTTTTACAATTTCGTCTTTTCGCTTCTCCATCAGAAGATATACTTTGCCTTTCGCATTCTTTTGTGGCCCAGCGAACAGAACAATTCTACCTCTGTGATAACCAACACTCTCCTGTTTACAAGACACTCGATATCAGATCGCTCCACAGTAACAAAATCATCTGAAATGAGTTCTTCAGTATATAATCCAATTATTTCCCAACATCGACCTTCCAAACGTTAATCTTCAAATTTCTGTCCGTAGTGAAGAATTAAGAATGCGCCGGATGATGTCAGGATCCATTTCAGGTATTCAGAGCATTTCTCAGCCAGCAAAGGTATCAATTTTTTCGCCAAGTAATGAACTTGCATCATATATTGCTTCCACTTAATTTCACTCCAACGACAGTGTCGCTGTAAATGTAACGAAAAAACTCCAACAGACTCTCGTACTCACAGTTAGGCAGTTTCGCTTCCGTTATTCGACATTGCAACAACAAACTTCATATCGCTCAGTACATTGTGTTTAAAAATAAACGAGGTTCGGCTTACCGTAAAGGCGATGCCAGTTTCTTCTGTCGCCTACTAAGGTACCGCTTTCAATTCTCTTCAACGACAGTAATTTCTTTCCTCTTACTCTTATTGTGGAAAATATGTATTCGCCCGCTGAACTAATGAGTGTAGGTTCCTATTGATACGTATAACAGTTCACACTGAGACTTTTTCGGGGAGGGGCATTCTGAGGTTTCTGAAATGTACTCTGTGGAAGAAGACATCTTGAACAATGAAATGTTTTCACTTTTATTGAAAATCGACATTTAATACAAGTCTGTCGTCTTTCAAGAGTTCTTTCACCTCAAAATTTACTCAACAAGAGCCTAACATCACGATTTCAGGGCTGAAAATCCTTGTTTAACACCGTAGTTTATGTCTGCTAGTGTGAAAACCTTGAAAAATTCTAAACTTTATAAATCCTTGAAAGTCATTGCTCCTGGTCACAACGCCTCGACTTGCCTACAGAGCAAAATTGAATTGAAACAATCAACAAGAAATTGTACCGATAAAAACATGAAAACTTCGTTACAAACGCCTTGAACTAAACTTTGCCACTCTACTATTTTTCTGATGTTGAATCAAAGGGGCCAGAATCAAACGACCTATTTGGTGCCTTTTCACGCATACGAACGTTAGAAAAATCTTAAACTAAGAAAAACTAACGGACCAAATTCGAAATTCATTTAGCTTTCTTTTAACTGCCAGATGCTAATTTCTTGAGAATCTTTTTCGACTTCTTTCATCCGTAAAAGACGTACCTTCAATTGAAGTCTTGAAAAACTTAACGAGTAAAAAAGAGAAACCACTTAGTAGTGTACCCAGAAATTAATTGAAAATAATGACTGGAAACTGGCCGTTTGTAACCGAGGTGCTGTTAGAATCATCGTCTGAATCACTGAAACTGAATTGCACCCCTCCTGACTCAGCGGACATTTGTCCTTCCGCTCCATACCATGACAAAGGACCCTCGATAACAGACATTAAGGTGTACTGTTTGTTTGCTTCCAGCGAAACTGGACGATCAAACAATACATCAAAGCCATAATAATTGTTCCTGTCTTCCTTTTCTGAGGTGTAAGTTCCTGATTCTTTTCCAAGACAAGAGTTGTGGGTGGTATCTTTAACTTCAGTGGAAACCGTGTAGTTGCCACCTACAGAACCGAAGTATTGAACTCCGTGTAACATGATTGGCTTGTTGACTGTAAAATTGACACTGTCAGCCGCTGCACCATTGTAAGACCAAGAACCACCGGAGCTTGGGACTGTAACACTGTAATACCCGGCACCTAACCAACCATCGCTTCTACTGCACGGAGCATTAAACTTTTGAAATCGGTTACAACGGATGTAGTCAATTTTACCCCTCGCGCCTTTCTTAAACGGCAAAGGTGACTGAAGAACCCCTCTGTAATGCTTTATCATGTCTTCAACCTCATTAAGAGTAAGGATGTGAGAATTAAGCACCTCAGACATAAACACCTCTTCCGACATCAGTGGAAACCGTATTGCTTTAACAATCTCATCTCCAAGAATTCGTCTCTTTTCTTCTCCATCACTGGGGGCTATTGGAATGTCCTTTTCACACACCTTTGTGGCCCAGCGATCAACAGCTTTGAACAGTTCCACCTCTTTCACATTTAATACTTCTCTCTTGACAACAGATTCAACAACAGATCGCTTAACTGTAACAAATTCGTCTGACATCACAGCTTCTTCGGTTCGCCGCTCAATCACCTCCCAGCATCGATCTTCTAAAGATTTACCGCCAAATTTCTGAGCATGTGTCAGGATACAAAACACGTTGGATGTTGTCAAGTTGTTGCAAAGGTATTCTGTGCACTTGTCAAAGAGTGAAGGCACCATGTATTTATTCGCCAAGTACAACACTTGCATCACATTACTTCCGCTTAAATTCACTTTGTCGCTGTACAAGAAACGGAACAACTCAAACAGACTCTCGTACTCACAGTCAGGCAGGTCAACAGAGTCTTTAGTTTCCGCCATTTGACCATAGAACATGGCAAAGAACACAGGACTACTGATGGCAAGAACAAACTTGTGAGCTGGGATCACTTTCTTACTTTCACTTTCCGCAGTCGACACCGGAACGACAAATTTTACATCGCTCAGTAACTCACTGTTGAAAATAGAAGTGGTTCTATCAACAAGAGTTGGAAGTTTCGTCTGCCAGATTTCTTCCATAGGCATCTCTTTGGTCTGCTCTCAGTATCTCTCAGGGTCTTACCTCACACAATGTGTTAAGGCAACAGTTAGAACACGTCTATTTTTTTTTCTCTCCGGTCAAAGAGAAAGAGACAACTGCAAAGCCGTGTTAAATGTTATGATGCAATTGATATCCTACACTGAACAGGTGATCGCTCCAAGCAGCTGACAAATTATATAAGGAGATTAATTTTATTAATTTTGTCTCTTCTTACGACTGAACAGTGTCTAACCCGTCGGAAAAATTTAACACTGTCCTCGATAACCTTTCTCTTCTTTCAGTTCGTCGCTCTTACAACTTAAAAAGGCAAGCAATATTTCTGCACGGTTTTCTCTTCTTTTCTGGTAAGATGATTTATGAATATCCTCAGCCCTTAGCACAAGCGCGGGGAACAAAAATTGAATCATCATTCATATCTTATTTCAAGAAAGAAGTGATGTCACCAGACAGTTGCATCGGATCATGAGTCCCGTATGTCTCGCAAAACTTCAATTCTCAAAATTTTCTCGGTGATTAACAGCCCAGTTTCCAAATAACTAGAGAAAGACATTGCTCATCGACAATCACGTCTTGCAGAGTGAAATAACAAGAGTCATCTTTGTGTGTCTCGTGTCAGTGCAAAAATGATGCAAAAAGTGCTAACAGCAGCTTTTTGTATTTTTGGAATGAATGGGAAAGCCCCGAGGAAGACTTTGTCTTAGAAGTCCAAAGAGGTTTTTCTTTTGCTTTGTCAGATAATGAACAGGTCAAGAGGAATGGGACTTTTCCCTTCGGTGCCTTCAAATTGAGGGAAACCCCCGTTTTTGTCTCATCTCGCTTTTTCGTTTTTTCAAAAGGACTCTCAATCTGTTGACAGCATGGCGTCATTGGACGTTTAGAGGTGGACTGGTATCCAAATCTGAACATAGATGGCACCAAATGCTGGAAGTTAGGAAGAGCTCAAAGAAGATACTACCATATTAACATAGCATGTCTGTGCACACGTCGTCCCTGGTTGCATGCAGGCCACTTGCAAGGTCTGTTGAGGAGGACTGAGGAAGGCTCGTCTCTAACGGAAAAGCTTATCGCTTTCGTTAAGCAGTGTTTTCCCGGAATTGTAATTGAGTAAATAGCAGATTGACTTAGGCATTGCTATATTTTCCTTGTACCACTCCTAAGGCTCTGTATTATTCTGATGATACCCCTTATTGGCAGCCAATTTTCTATAGTCCCCTCCTTATACTCTATTGGCGACGACAGATCCCCCTCCATTCTCCCTGAAAATCTTGTGATCCCCTAAATCCTGCAACCACCCCACCCCCCTCTTAACCCTTTAACTCCCAAAATCTCATTATTAATTCCCCTTACTGTTCGCAGAATGATTCTAATCATGTTAGTTTAGAGAATTTGATATCAGATCAATTAGTAATCCCATAACGGATATTTTTCTTTATTCTCATCACTTGCCTGCATGATATTGTGTAGATATAGTAAGAAGAAATTCTGCCTTGGTCACTCATGGGAGTTAAAGGGTTTTGACCGTCGGCTTAAAAGCCCAGGAATACTGACTGGTCCCAAAGTAAAGCTGTAATTCACTAGGGGGAGTCTCCATCCAATTTCTGGCTGACGATACAAACAAAATGTTCGAAGGGTTATTTTTATTTTAGAAAGTCATTATTGTTTAACCTAAAAATTAAGTAATTGGTGAAACATTTCAAAAGTATTCCAATGTTCTGTCATGACACTTAATTCACTTCTGAACACTTACAAGGTTGCAAAGAACAAAAGTACGTATTCAGTAATTTTTATCTTCATCAACTATTAGCAGCAAAAACGATCAAAAAATAATTTCCTATTACCTATGTTTAACAAGTACTAAATATGAAAGCTGGAAATTGGCCTCTCGTTTCCGAAGTGTGATTGGCACTCTCCATTGACTTCATGAAATTGACCTGCACTCCTCTCAATTTAAGAGAAGTTACTCCTTCACCTCCATACCATGATGAAGGACCCTTGATAAGCGACACAAGCCTATAGCTTTCATCAGTTCATGAGCCTCCAAACGAATTGGCGGATCAAACATTACATCGAAGCCATAATAATTATTAGTCTCTTCCTTTTTTGAAGAGTATGTTCCTGATTCCTTTCGGAGGCAAGAATTGTGGGCTGTAACTTTAACTTCGGTAGAAACAGTATAATTGCCACCGTCTGAGCCAAAATGCTGAACACCGTGTAGCAAGACTGGCTGGTTGATGTAAATTCAATACTGTCGGCTCTATCTGAGTAAGACCAAGATCCGTCTATACCAGTTGGCGGATTGAACTTTAGAAATCGATTACATCGGAATAAAAGGCTCCTTGTAGTATCTTCAAATAGCAAAGGAGATTTTAGAACGCCGCTGTAATGTTTCATCATGTTTCCAACCTCATGAAAAGTGAGAATATCAGAATCGAATACAACTGACATAAAATCCTTCGTATTGTTTTAACAATGTCGTCCCCAAGAATTCGTCTCTTTGTCTTTCCATCACGAGTTAGTCCTTGCCTTTGGACTTCTGCTGTGGCCCAGCGATCGACTGCCTTAAACAGTTCTAGTTCCGTTACGCTCAACTCCTCTCGCTTCACAACAAGGGTGATGAGGTAGAAAACTGTGAAAACTCTCCGTTGACACTTACAAATCTCTCACATCTCTCGTAATTTTGTATCAGTCGGCGCTGAAATACTCTTGAAATACCTTCAGCAAGCTCTATCGAGAGTTTTAATACGTCGTACTCAAATAGTAAAGAAGAAATGGAAGTTGCGAATACGGTTAAGCCCTAATGACGAAGGGGAACCGCGTGCATCAAACGAAGATTTTGACGAAGACTGACTAAGACGGTTTCTTGAGTGCGGTGTTCAGGTCAAGAACAGAACAAAAAAAAAACTCCCGTTACTGAATGTTTAGTTTAATGCGCTTGTGTTTTGTTTTCAATGGCGAAATCTATGCTACTGAATGGGCTGTGTTCGTTTCTGTTGACATAACATTTTATTCCTTCGCATTATCCTACCTTCTAGATTTCTCATTTCTCCACCATAGTTGCCGACGTATCTTCACAGTTTTCTACGTGACAACGATGAAACATGATCGTTTTGGCCGCATTCTTATTGGAGACACTTTTTGGCCGCCAAATCGTACTTTCAATACGCAAAAAATGATCAAATTGCTAACGGTTAGAATATTGGCTATTTTACGACTAACAGTTAACCGCATAATGACATACTGGAGATAGGAAAAATTTCTACAGTTAACTTATTAACGACAAACACTTAAAATATATCTCTCTTTACCACTATTGGCTGAGTTTTTTGGCCGTTTTACGGCCAAAGGTTGATCCCACTGAGACCCTCACATAGGCCTGAAAATAATGATTAGTGACGGAGAATTGTGGGCCTAAACGTTCAGACTGTGATGTGAATAACAGGTGGGTGAGGAGAAAATCACAGTGAAATGCCTGAAATGCGCCCGGTTTCATTGCCGCTCCCGTCTTACTCTTCATCAGTGTTTGCTAATTTTCAACCAGTACACACCTCTTGTGAATTTTGGGTCCGAAAACTGACTAGATGTTGACAACACATCCTTCTGTTACTAATTAACCCCTTCACTCCCAAGATCTTAATATCATTTTTTCTTCCCTGTTAACGATACCAGTTTCTTTAAATTTCAGCTCGAACAGTCCCGTGTTAAATCAAACAGTTTTCGCTGGTGGATGTTCAATTTCTCATCACTTTTCGATGAGGAAATTTGTTGATGTTGTTAAGAGAAATTACTTGTTGGTCATTCTTGAGAGTGAAAGGGTGAAACGATCACCCTGTTTTTTCTTTTTCATCTGTTTTTGAGAGTTAATCATCAACACCAGTGGACATCCTATTGTCAATATTTGAAGATTTCTGGGCCAATACCTGCCTCATTTGGGATCGATTGACCTGTTTGAGAAAGGAGCCCGCAGAAGAAAAAAAAAAAATATCCTTTCATGACCCCTTGAATTTTAATAAATGACCTCCTCCTTCCCTATTTCCCGCTGATCAGAGTTTGGAATTGAAATCTTTTTTCTACTTGTCCTCGCTGAAGTTTTTTACGCATAATATTTGTTGGAAATTTTTGTTGGAAATACCTTTCGAGCCCTAAATGATATGTTTTTTTTAACTTGAACTCTTACATTTACAAGCAAGCCAAAAGAAAGCATACAAAATATTACTTTCCACTGAATGAAACAACATTTAGATTCCAGAAACCTCTTCTGCGTTGTTGAAAATTATTATTCTTCATATACATTAAAGGGTTCTCGAACTTGCTCTTGAGGATCACATCGAAAAGGTTTTTGGTCAACTCTGACAGGTCTACTGGGTCATCTCACTTGTAGTTCCATATCCGTCAGTGTTTGTCTAAGCATTCACATGTGTATACCTGCATGGTCATCTAAGAGGATTGGTCCAATTAATCCATTACTACTTGACCCAGTAGACTTTCACAGGGCTCTACGTTAATAGGAACGGTTCGGGTAACGTTTGAATTTCTACTTGGATACTGAAAACAAAATTCCAGGAAACTGTCCGCCTATTTCATTGGTCCCATTAGAGCTATCCGTCGAACAACGAAACGTAAATTGCACTCCCTGGCACTCCACTGGTGTTTGCCCATTTTTGCCGCTCCATGACGAAGGGGCCCTTGATGAGCGACTTTACCTTGTATTCTTTATTTGCCTCCAAAATAACAGGACGATCGAACAACACATCAAAGCCGTAACAAGCGCGGGTATCGCTTTTTTCTGAAGCATAATTTCCTGCTCGACTAACAAGCAAAGTATTGCCCATGTGATCAACAATGTCTGTCTTAACTGTATACTTACCGCCCTCAGAACCAAAATGTTCTACTCCGTGTAACTTGATAGGCTTGTTGACGGAGAGAAGAATACCGTCAAGGCTGATGCCACTGTAAATCCAGCCTTTGCCGAACTCGTTAAACCTCTAACATCGTTGCTTACAGGAAATAACTCGACGGGCTTGTACGAACGGTAAAGGAATATTCAAAACATTGTTGTAGTGTTTTATCATGTTGCATAACTCTTCATGATTCAAGAGGTGAGAGTCCAATACGACAGATGCAAAATCTTTCTCTTCAATCAACGGAAAACGTATTCCATTAACAATATCTTCTCCAAGAACTCGTCTTTTTGTCTCTCCATCGGAAGTTATCCCTTGCCGTTCACATTCTCTTGTGACCCAGCGATCAACAGCTTTGAACAATTCCACTTCCGTCACATTCAACGCTTCTCTCTTCACAACAGATTCGACAACAGATCGCTCCACTGAAACAAATTCGTCCGATGTAAGAGCTTCTTCTGTCTGCTCGTCAATCACTTCCCAGCATCGATCTTCTAAGTCTTTATCTTCAAATTTCTGCGCATGCGGCAGAATACAAAACACATTTGATGCTTTCAGGTTGTCTCGGAGATATTCTGTGCATTTCTCGCCCAGCGAGGGTACCATGTATTTGTTCGCCAAGTACAGCACTTGTATCACATTACTTCCGCTTAAATTCACAATGTCGCTGTACATGAAACGAAACAACTCCAACAGACTCTCGTACTCACAGTCAGGCAGTTCAATAGAGTCTTTAGTCTCCGCCATTTGACCATAGAACATGGCAAAGAACACAGGACTATTGATTGCGAGCACAAACTTGTGAGCTGGGATCACTTTCTTACTTTCGCTTTCGTCAGTCGACATTGGAACGACAAATTTTACATCGCTCAGTAGCTCCTTGTTGAAGATGAAAGCGGTTTTCTCGGCAATAGTTGATAGTTTCGTCTGCCAATTTTCTTCTTCTGCCATCGTTTTGTTCCGCTCTCAAAAGTTTTCGCAGATGTCTTTTCTACAGCAAATTTTGATGAGTTCGCTTTGGTTTTACTTTAAGCAAAGATTTATGGGATCGAAACAGTTCTATTAGTACTACCGCTGAATTGACGTGGTCACACAGGTCACGCAACTTAAGCGTAATCGTTTGTACCTCAAAGACCTCCATCCGATTTTTCTTATTCTTTGCGGTTCTCAACTACTTCTCGTGGTTAAATTATATCAAAAATACTATTGAAGAGGCAAAATCCGATCAAATTACCGTGGACGGTATAATGAGCCATCTTTTCGTCGTAATACTGAATGGAGGCGGGGCAATGGGGTCGTACACGGCAAAAACAATGTGTAAGACAAGAGGGGTAAGGAGACAAACTTGAGAGCAAAATGTAGTTGGATCATTGACAAGCAACGTGTTAATCATCTTTAATACTGCAGCTGTCTTGAGAGAGTCTCAATGGGGAAAAGGCTTTTACTGCTAACGGTTAACCCAGAAATACACATAACGACACTTTGGAGATAGGAAAAATTTTTACGGTTAACTTATATACGACTGACACTTAAAATTTGTTTCTTTTTACCATTAATGGCTAAATTCTTTGTTCATTTTACGGCTAACGGTTAACCCTATCGAGACCCTCACATAAGCCTGACAATACTGAGTAGTGACCGAGAAGTGTAGGCTTGAACTCTGACTGTGATATAAATAACGGGGGGGTAAGGAAAACGTCACCATGAAATGACTCAAGTGCGCCCAGTTTCATTGCTGCTCCCGTCCATCTTACTCTTTATGTTTGCTAATTTTCAACCATTGCAAACCTCTGATGATTTTTGGGTTTGCAAACTGACTAGAAGTTGACAACACATCCTTCTGTTATTAATTGGCCTCTTCACTCCCAAGATCTCGATGTCCTTTTTTTCTTCCCCGTTAGTGATATCTTTCTTTAAATTTCGGCTCAAAGAGTCACGTGTTAAATCAGACAGTTTTCGCTGGTGGATGTTGAATTCCTCATCACTTTTCGATCGGAAAATTTGTTGATGTTGTTAGGAGAAATTACTTGTTGGTCATTCTTAAGAGTGAAAAGGTTAAACGATCACTCTGTTTTTTCTTTTTTCAGTATCGTCAGGAAAACAATGAGCCTATAATAAAGACATCATTTCTACTGTTGCCCAGTGGCACTGACATTGTGCAGTATTATGGGCTGTTATAGGCTCTTAATTTGCAACAAAACGATACTCTCTTCCGATACACATGATAATTACGTCCGTGTTTTTTAGGGGTCGTTTTCTGCTCTCTATTAAAATTCTCTGAACTTTGTATTTCAGTTTATACTTTTTGTGGAGAATAAAGGATAAACCACCCGTGGTGTTACACATCACGCAACACTCTATTTCCGGCCAACCGTTACGTGTTCTTTAGGCCCTCATATGAACAGCAGACTAAACTTGTTTTGGGATGTTTTCTGAATAACTTTACTACAAAATAATCAATTATTGCAATTATGAATCACTGTGCACCAACGAAGCAAAAAGTGGGATGAGGTAGAACTCTGCCACAAAACAATAGACACATTTTCCATAACATGCCTTTGTTGAAATTAAAGGAATGAAGGAAACAATACTGCTAAACGATGTAGAAGGAGGGTCAAGTGATATTTCATAGTATGGTGGGGTGGCTGGAAAACTTTGGTTGAGTCAAAATAAAATTCATTTGATCCCCCACCCCTCCCTCCGCAAAGCTCTGTATTATTCTGACGATACTTCTAATTGGCAGCCAATTCTCTATAGTCCCCTCTTTATATTATATTGGCGACAACAAATCCCCCTCCATTCTCCCTGAAAATCTTGTGATCCCCAAAATCCTGCAACCAACCCCCCCCCCCCCCCAAGGCTCTGTATTATTCTGATGATACCCCTTATTGGCATTCAATTTTCTATAGTCCCCTCTTTATACTCTATTGGCAACGACAGATCCCCCCCTCCATTCTCCCTAAAAATCTGGTGATCCTCTAAATCCTGCCATCACCTCCCCCACCCCCCGTATTATTCTGACGATACTTCTAATTGGCAGTCAATTCTCTATAGTCCCCTCTTTATACTTTATTGGCGACGACAGATCCCCCCTCCATTCTCCTTGAAAATCTTGTGATCCCCAAAATCCTGCAACCAACCCCCCCCCCTCCCCACTCTAAAGGCTCTGTATTATTCTGATGATACCCCTTATTGGCATTCAATTTTCTATAGTCCCCTCTTTATACTCTGTTAGCGACGACAGATCCCCCCTCCATTCTCCCTGAAAATCTTGTGATCCCCCAGAATCCTGCAACCAACCCCCCCCCACTCTAAAGGCTTGTATTATTCTGATGATACCCCTTATTGGCATTCAATTTTCTATAGTCCCCTCTTTAATTTTGGCTATAGATCCCCCCTCCATTCTCCCTAAAAATCTTGTGATCCTCTAAATCCTGCCATCACCTCCGCCACCCCCCGTAAAGCTCTGTATTATTCTGATGATACCCCTTATTGGCAGTCAATTCTCTATAGTCCCCTCTTTCTACTCTGTTAGCGACGACAGATCCCCCCTCCATTCTCCCTGAAAATCTTGTGATCCCCTAAATCCTGCAACCACTCCCCCCCATCCCCCCCACCCCGAGAATACTAAATGGTCTCAAAGTAAAGCTTTTATTTACCGGGGGGATTCTCCATCTAATTTCTGGCTGACGATACAACAACTGTTCGAAGGTTTATTTTTATTTCAGATTGTCATTATTGTTTAATGTTACAACTTAAGTAATAGGTGAAACATTTCAAAAGCATTCCAATATTCCGTCGTAGCACTTAATTCACTTCTGAACACTTACAAGGTCGCAACGAATAAAAGTACGCTACGTATTCAATAATTTTTAACTTCATCAACTATTAGCAGCAAAAACAATTCAAAACTAATTTCCAATTATTTATGCCTGACAAGTACTAAATATGAAAGCTGGAAATTGGCCACTCGTTTCCGAAGTCCCATTGGCACTCTCTACTGACTTCATGAAATTGACCAGCACTCCTTTCGATTCAAAAGACGTTACTCCCTCTTCTCCATGCCATGATAAAGGACCCTTGATAAGCGACACAAGCCTATACCTTTCATGAGCCTCCAAACGAATTGGCGGATCAAACATTACATCGAAGCCATGATAATTATTAGTCTCTTCCTTTATGGAAGAGTATGTTCCTGATTCCTTTCCGAGACAAGAATCGTGGGCTGAAACTTTAACTTTGGTTGAAACAGTATACTTGCCACCGTCTGAGCCAAAATACTGAACACCATGGAGCAAGATTGGCTTGTTTGTTGTGAATTCGATACTGTCAGTTCCACCCGAGTATGACCAAATTCCCCTTTTATGAGCTGGAGGAAAGAACTTTGGAAATCGATTAAATCGGAACAAAAGGCTCCTTGCGGTATCCTTAAATAACAAAGGGTATTTTAAAACGCCGCTGTAATGTTTCATCATGTTTCCAACCTCGTGAAAAGTGAGAATATCAGAATCAAATACAACTGACATAAAATCCTTCATGAGTACCAATGGAAATCGTATTGCTTTAACAATGTCCTCCCCAAGAATTCGTCTCTTTGTCTTTCCATCAGGAGTAAATCCTTGCCTTTGGACTTCTGCTGTGGCCCAGCGATCGACTGCCTTAAACAGTTCTAGTTCCGTTACGCTCAACTCCTCTCGCTTCACAACAGATTCAACAATAGATCGCTCAACTGTAATAAATCCATCTGAAGTCACAGCTTCTTCCGTCTGCTTTTCAATCACTTCCCAGCATCGATCTTCCAAATCTTTATCTTCATATTTCTGAGCGTGCGGCAGAATGAAAAACACATTTGATGCTTTCAGGTTGTCTCGAAGACATTCTACGCATTTCTCGGCGAGCGAAGACACCATGTATTTGTTCGCCAAGTACAGTACTTGCATCACATCACTTCCGCTTAAATTTACTTTGTCGGTGTACAAGAAACGAAACAACTCCAACAGACTCTCGTAGTCACAGTCAGGCAGTTCAATAGAGTCTTTAGTCTCCGCCATTTGACCATAGAACATGGCAAAGAACACAGGACTACTGATTGCGAGCACAAACTTGTGAGCTGGGATCACCTTCTTACTTTCACTTTCACCAATCGACATAGGAACGACAAACTTCACATCGCTCAATATCTCGCTGTTGAAAATGAACGCAGTTCTTTCGACGAGAGTCGGAAGCTTCGTCTGCCAATTATCTTCAGCTGCCATTGCTAGGTTTTGCTCTCAGTTCTCTTCACAAATCAAACTCTATTGAATACTATCAACCTTTGCCGTGAGTTGTTGACGTGTCACATTTGTCCCTCGAGTCACGCAAGAGAGTTAATTCCTCGTTTCCAGGTTGTCCACGTCTCTGCTCATGAAGTTACGATAATCGAACGGTTTCATTTAACCTAATATATTACAAGGGTTTGAATAATATTGCCGTTTGATCAATCTGAAAATTCTATCGAAATAAGAAATATAGCAGGTTTACTGACGTATTACGCATCTATCATCTTTTTGCATCCATAATCGGTCCTCAATGCTGAAGAGAGTTACTGCATCACGGGCGAGGAGCGGGGGAAGAAAAAATTGTTGGAAATACAAATGGTCAGCGGGGAAACAACTTTAATACGTTATATAGAGACATATCAGTTGTAGTTGCAGAAAACAATAGTGTTTGTAAAGCCAAAATGTTAGCATTATACTTTGCTAAATAAAATGTTAAGCAATTTTTCAAAAGTATTGATTGTACATATATCTTTTACTGCTGTAATAAACAATGGAGGCATCGGAAAAGGCATCACTGGCATTCGGAAAAGCACCAAGAAGAATCATATTTACGTTTTGTAACTTGCAGAAAACAATCGTGTTGTAAAGCCAAAATGTTACCAAGTTACACTTCGCTGCTTAAAAAGTTGAGCAATTTTCCAAACGCTTTGACTGGAACGAAATTTTTGCTGCTATATTAACGAACGGAGGCATCGGGAAAGGCATCAAGAAGAATGATATTTACGATATGTAACTTATTGTATGACGAAAAAAAAGTATCTTGCCTTGTTTGAGGCGTTAATCACAGTTGGCTTGCTTTTCACTTGAATTTTGCAATATCGACTTTCGATTCCGGAAAAATGAAAAGCTAAGCAACTCTACAAAAATTTTGTTCGCGATTTTTATATTTTTAGAGTCATTAAAAAGTTTATATCCACAGCCTAAGATAAGAAATTTAATATTTCCATCAGCTGTAGTTCTTTTAGTGTTTATTATGTAAATTCAATCGCCCCATTTCACGTGGAAAAAGGCAAGTAAGAAAACTCTGAGCTTCGAGAAACAGACAAGTTAAGGCTAATATGTTAACCATGCTTAAATATTTATAATCAAGGCCACTCGTTTAGGAGACCTTTGTCCAAAAGATCCAGACGTTAAAATAATTCTGTTTTCCGTTCGAAGTGTTTTTTTTTCCTATTCAATTTAACAAATGCACTTAGAATGAAAACTTAACGTCCGAACCGAACGGCAGGTGAAAGTTTAACAAGTTTAATGATGCTTTTTACCACTGTACAAAATTCTACTATACAATAACTACTAATAAAAACCACAACAATATTAATAACTAACAATAACTATGTAATATTCATTAAATCTTAATTACCATATAAAAGTACAATAGGTAAAGGAAAGCAATAGGAGAAACTGAATTCCCATATAAAAACTGCTCTCCAAGGCTAATATAAATAACTATACGTTGTATAAGAAAGAAGCTAGAGAAACAACTGAACAATGAACAAAAAGTAAAATCTGAATAAATCTCATTTCAAGATAACAAAACAAAACTATGTACAGGGATAATTCAGTAATCGAGATCTGAAGGAATTCAAACTGGAAGCTGACATAGCAAAATTAGGTAAAGAGTTCCAATAAGTTAAATAAGAAATGTTGTGTAGGCGTCTCAGCGAAGGTATATCCAGACGACTTGCATGGAAAAACTGGCCTCAGCTATCGCAACTAATTTTTTAAAATAGTGTTTAAAACTAAACTGGTGAGCAACACTCTGCGAACAGTAGTTGTAAAACTGCTTTATTCTCCGACGCGTTTCGTCTAACTATCGAAAACTTTTTCGGGGAGTTTTACAAGTAACACTAAACGCCTGTATTTATAAGCCATAGTTAGCGGCTATACGGGGGCTAATGACCATAAAGGCTTGGCCAGACCTACCAATAGGAACAGGAGAAGTTGCGAAAAATTTAAACATTTTTTGGGGCAAGGTGTGAGAATTATTTGGGGGCCACGGTTTTGGTTTTCTTTTTTCGCCACGCACGTTACGCTGTAAGTTACAAAACGTAAATATGATTCTTCTTGATGCCCTTCCGGATGCCACCGATACCCTTTCCAATGCCTCCATTGTTTATTACAGCAATAAAAGATATTTGTGCAATCAACACTTTTGAAAAATTGCTTAACATTTTATTTAGCGAAGTTTCCTGTCGACATTTCGGCTTTACAACACCATTTTCACCATTTTTACAATTGATATGTCTCTATATGAAGTATTAACGTTGTTTCCCCACTGACCATTCGTATTTCGATCATTTCTTCTTCCCCCGCTCGTCGCCCGTGATGTAATAATTCCCAACGCTGAATGATAGAAGGGATTGATGGGGGGAGGTCTGGGACGGGAGAAGGGGTACATAGAACCTTTCTTTCTTGCAATTATTGCACTTAAAGAAATGTAACAGTTCACGTAGCATCAATGCATCCATCTTGTGCGCGGGTGAGAATCAAAGAACCTATTTAGTGCCTTTTTCTGGTGCCTTCTCCATTACTGGGGGCTATTCGAATTTCTTTTTCGCTCTCCTTTGTGGCCCAGCGATCAACAGCTTTGAACAGTTCCACCTCCTTTACATTTAATACTTCTCTCTCTTGACAACACATTCAACAACAGAAACAAATTCGTTTGACGTCGCAGCTTCTTCGGTCCGCCGTTCAATCACCTCCCAGCATCGATCTTCTAAAGATTTACCGCCAAATTTCTGAGCATGTGTCAGGATACAAAACACGTTGGATGCTGTCAAGTTGTCGCAAAGATATTCTGTGCAATTGTCAAAGAGTGAAGGCATGTATTTATTCGCCAAGTACAACACTTGCATCACATTACTTCCGCTTAAATTCACTTTGTCGCTGTACAAGAAACGGAACAACTCCAACAGACTCTCGTACTCACAGTCAGGCAGGTCAATAGAGTCCTTAGTCTCCGCCATTTGACCATAGAACATGGCAAAGAACACAGGACTACTGATGGCAAGAACAAACTTGTGAGCTGGGATCACTTTCTTACTGTCACTTTCAGAAGTCGACATCGCTCAGTAACTCATTGTTGAAAATAGAGGTGGTTCAAGAGTTAGAAGTTTCGTTTGCCAGATTTCTTCCATACGCATCTCTTTGGTCTGCTCTCAGTATCTTTGAGGGTCTTATTTCACACAATGTGAGGCAACAGTTCAAAGACGACAATGTTTTTCTCTCCGATAACTGCAAAGGCGTTATGATGCAAATGATATTCTACAACAGTTAACCGCTCTAAGCAGCTGGAAAATTTAAATAACGAAGATTAATTTTATTAATTTTGTCTCTTCTTACGACTGAACAATGTCTGACTCGTCGGAAAAATTTAACACTGTCCTCGATAACCTTTCTTTTCTTTCAGTTCATCGCTCTTACAACTTCAAAAGGCAAGTAATATTTCTACACGGTTTTCTCTTATTTTCTGGTAAGATGGTTTATGAATATCTTTAACCCTTAGCACAAGCGCTGGGAACAAAAATTGAATAAATCCATATCTTATTTCAAGAGAGAAGTGATGTCACCAGACAGTTGCATCAGATGATGAGTCACATATGTCTCACAAAACTTCAATTCTCAGAATTTTCTCGGTGATTATCAGCCTAGTTTCCAAATAACTAGCGAGAGACATTGCTCATCGACAATCACGTCTTGCAGAGTGAATCAAGAAGAGTCATCTTTGTGTGTCTCGTGTCAGTGCAAAATAATGCAAAAAGTGCTAAGAGCAGCTTTTTGTATTTTTGGAATGAACGGGAAAGCCCAAGGAAGACTGCGTCTTCGAAGTCCAAAGAGGGTTTTCTTTCGCTTTGTCAGATGATGGACAGGTCAAGAGGAATGGGATTTTTCGCTTCGGTGCCTTCAAATTGAGGGAAACCCCCGTTTTTGTCTCTCTTCGCTTTTTTGTTTTTAACTTAAAGCAGAAGATCGTCGCTTCCTTTGCCATCAGCATATAACAGAACAGTTCAGCTAGCCAATGAGCTCGATAGGATTCGTGGGTCTATTTTATCTAAATCTTATACTGACTAAAGAAAGGGGAGTTTCTGAAGCTGACGACGTTTCAAGCATTGACCCTTCTTTAAAGCGAGACGAAGGGCTAACGCTCTAAACGTAAGCTTTAGAAACTTTTTCCGGTGGCCGATTTACATTATCAACTCAGTTGATAAAACCAATAGATCTGATAACGTGGGCTCGCTATCGTCTCAATTTCTTTTGTCTCAATCAAAATGCTTTGTCCTAACTTGTCCGCGCTGAGTTCACGACAAAAATTTGTCACGTATAATATTTATTAGCCAGAGTTTGGAAGCCTACTAGTACTGTTTTTGTTGAAAATTCCTTTCCCTCCTTGAATGGTATGTTTTTTAATTCGACTTCTTACATTTACAAGAATGTAAAGGAGAGCATACGAAATATTTAATTCCATTGCTTAAAACAACATTTAGCTACCAAATTATTATTCATTCTATAAACAACAGGGTTCTCTAACTGACTTATAAGGATCACATCTAACAAGAGTTTTGGGTCAACTCTGATAGGTCCGCTTAGCGATCTAACTTGTAGTTTTATATCTGCTGTGTTTGTCAAAGGATTCAAATGTGTATACCTGGACATCCGCGATGACTGATACAATTGATCCAATACTACTTGACCTATTAGACTTTCACAGAGCTCTACGTAAAAGGGACGGTTTGGGTAACGTTAGAATTTTTACTTGGATACTGAAAACAAAATTCCAGGAAACTGTCCTCTCTTTTCACCGGTCTCAATAGAGCCATCCCTCGAGCTACGAAATGTAAATTGCACTCCCTGGCACTCCACTGATGCTTGCCCGTCTTTGCCGTACCACGAGTCAGGGCCCTTGATGAGCGACTTTACTTTGTATTCTTTATCTGCCTTCAAAATAACCGGACGATCGAACAACACATCAAAGCCATAATAAGCATTGGCATCGCTTTTTTCTGAAGCATAATTTCCTGCTCGACTCGCAAGCGAAGTGTTGTCCACGAGATCAACAATGTCTGTTGTAACTGTATACTCACCGCCTTCGGAGCCAAAATGCTGAACTCCGTAAATTTTAACAGGCTTCTTGACAGTGAGAATGATACAGTCAGGAGTCTTGCCGTACTTCCAGTATTCCCATGGGGAACAAAACGTTTTAAACCTGCAGCATCGGTGCACAGTGGAATCAATTCTACTTGCCTTTAAGAACGGCAAAGGAGTATTTATCAGACCGTTGTAGTATTTTGTCATGTTTCCAAACTCTTCATAATTTAAGATTCGCGAATCAAATACAACAGATGCAAAATCCTTCTGTGGTATCAACGGAAAGCGTATTCCTTTCACAATTTCTTCTCCAAGAATTCGTCTCTTTGTCTCTCCATCGGAAGTCACACCTTGCCTTTCACATTCTTTTGTGGCCCAGCGATTAACAGCTTTAAACAGTTCCACTTCTGTCACATTCAACACTTCTCTCTTCACAACAGATTCGACAACAGATCGCTCAACTGTAACAAATTCATCTGACGTCATCGCTTCTTCGGTCTGCTCCTCAATTACTTTCCAGCATCGATCTTCTAAGTCTTTATCTTCAAATTTCTGTGCGTGTGGCAGAATACAAAACACGTTCGATGCTATCAGGTTGCTTCGAAGATATTTTTGGCATTTCTTGACAAGCGAGGGCACCAGATATTTGTTCGCTAAGTACAGCACTTGCATCACATTACTTCCGCTTAAATTCACTTGGTCGGTGTACAAGAAACGAAACAACTCCAACAGACTCTCGTAGTCACAGTCAGGCAGTTCAATAGAGTCTTTAGTCTCCGCCATTTGACCATAGAACATGGCAAAGAACACAGGACTACTGATTGCGAGCACAAACTTGTGAGCTGGCATTACCTTCTTGCTTTCACTTTCACCAATCGACATAGGAACGACAAACTTCACATCGCTCAATATCTCTCTGTTGAAAATGAACGCAGTTCTTTCGACGAGAGTTGGAAGCTTCGTCTGCCAGTTATCTTCAGCTGCCATTGCTAGGTTTTGCTCTCAGTTCTCTTCACAAATCAAACTCTATTAAATACTATGAACCTTTGCCGTCAAAGGTATTGGTTGACGTGACACATTTGTTCCTCGAGTCACGCATGAGAGTTAATTCCTCGTTTCCAGGTTGTCTACGTCTCTGCTCATGAAGTTACGATAACCGAACGGTTTCATTTAACCTAATATATTACAAGGGTTTGAATAATATTGCCGTTTGATCAATCTGAAAATTCTATCGAAATAATAAATATAGCAGGTTTACTGACGTATTACGCATCTATCATCTTTTTGCATCCATAATCGGTCCTTAATGCTGAAGAGAGTTACTACATCACGGGCGAGGAGCGGGGGAAGAAAAAATGATCGAAATACAAATGGTCAGCGGGGGAACAGTTTTAATACGTCATATAGAGACATATCAGTTGTAATTGTAGAAAACAATAGTGTTTGTAAAGCCAAAATGTTAACAGTATACTTCGCTAAATAAAATGTTAAGCAATTCTTCAAAAGTGTTGATTGTACATATATCTTTTACTGCTGTAATAAACAATGGAGGCATCGGAAAAGGCATCAGTGGCATTCGGAAAAGCACCAAGAAGAATCATATTTACGTTTTGTAACTTGCAGAAAACAATCGTGTTGCAAAGCCAAAATGTTACCAAGTTACACTTCGCTGCTTAAAAAGTTGAGCAATTTTCCAAACGCTTTGACTGGAACAAAATTTTTGCTGCATCAAGAAGAATGATATTTACGATATGTAACTTATTGTATGACGAAAAATAAGTATCTTACCTTGTTTGAGCCGTTAATCACAGTTGGCTTGCTTTTCACTTGAATTTTCCAATATCGACTTTCGATTCCGGAAAAATGAAAAGCTAAGCACTCTATTAAAATTTTGTTCGCGATTTTTATATTTTTAGAGTCATTAAAAAGTTTGTATCCACAGCCTAAGATAAGAAATTTAATATTTTCATCAGCTGTAGTTCTTTTAGTGTTTATTATGTAAATTCAATCTCCCATTTCACGTGGAAAAAGGCAAGTAGGAAAACACTGAGCTTCGAGAAACAGCCAAGTTAAGGCTAATGTGTTAACCATGCTTAAATATTTATAATCAAGGCCACTCGTTTAGGAGACCTTTGTCCAAAAGATCCAGACGTTAAAATAATTCTGTTTTCCGTTTGAAGTGTTTTTTTTTTCCTATTCAATTTAACAAATGCACTCAGAATGAAAACTTAAGGTCCGAACCGAACGGCAGGTGAAAGTATAACAAGTTTAATGATGCTTTTTAACCACTGTACAAAATTCTACTATACAATAACTACTAATAAAAACCACAACAATATTAATAACTAACAATAACTATGTAATATTCATTAAATCTTAATTACCATATAAAAGTACAATAGGTAAAGGAAAGCAATAGGGAGAAACTGAATTCCCATATAAAAACTGCTCTCCAAGGCTAATATAAATAACTATACGTTGTATAAGAAAGAAGCTGAGAAACAACTGAGCAATGAACAAAAAGTAAAATCTGAATAAATCTCATTTCAAGATAACAAAACAAAACTATGTACAGGGATAATTCAGTAATCGAGATCTGAAGGAATTCAAACTGGAAGCTGACATAGCAAAATTAGGTAAAGAGTTCCAATAAGTTAAATAAGAAATGTTGTGTAGGCGTCTCAGCGAAAGGTATATCCAGACGACTTGCATGGAAAAACTGGCCTCAGCTATCGCAACTAATTTTTTAAAATAGTGTTTAAAACTAAACTGGTGAGCAACACTCTGCGAACAGTAATTGTAAAACTGCTTTATTCTCCGACGCGTTTCGTCTGACTGTCGAAAACTTTTTCGGGGAGTTTTACAAGTAACACTAAACGCCTGTATTTATAAGCCATAGTTAGCGGCTATACGGGGGCCAATGACCATAAGGGCTTGGCCAGACCTACCAACAGGAACAGGAGAAGTTGCAAAAAATTTAAACATTTTTTGGGGCAAGGTGGGAGAATTATTTGGGGGCCACAGTTTTGGTTTTCTTTTTTCGCCACGCACGTTACGCTGTAAGTTACAAAACGTAAATATGATTCTTCTTGATGCCCTTCTGGATGCCACCGATACCCTTTCCAATGCCTCCATTGTTTATTACAGCAGTAAAAGATATTTGTGCAATCAACACTTTTGAAAAATTGCTTAACATTTTATTTAGCGAAGTTTCCTGTCGACATTTCGGCTTTACAACACCATTTTCACCATTTTTACAATTGATATGTCTCTATATGAAGTATTAACGTTGATTCCCCACTGACCATTCGTATTTCGATCATTTCTTCTTCCCCCGCTCGTCGCCCGTGATGTAATAATTCCCAATGCTTAATGATAGAAGGGATTGATGGGGGGAGGTCTGGGACGGGAGAAGGGGTACATAGAACCTTTCTTTCTTGCAATTATTGCACTTAAAGAAATGTAACAGTTCACGTAGCATCAATGCATCCATCTTGTGCGCGGGTGAGAATCAAAGAACCTATTTGGTGCCTTTTTCTGGTGCCTTCTCCATTACTGGGGGCTATTCGAATTTCTTTTTCGCTCTCCTTTGTGGCCCAGCGATCAACAGCTTTGAACAGTTCCACCTCCTTTACATTTTATACTTCTCTCTCTTGACAACACATTCAACAACAGAAACAAACTCGTCTGACGTCGCAGCTTCTTCGGTCCGCCGTTCAATCACCTCCCAGCATCGATCTTCTAAAGATTTACCGCCAAATTTCCGAGCATGTGTCAGGATACAAAACACGTTGGATGCTGTCAAGTTGTCGCAAAGATATTCTGTGCACTTGTCAAAGAGTGAAGGCACCATGTATTTATTCGCTAAGTACAACACTTGCATCACATTACTTTCGCTTAAATTCACTTTGTCGCTGTACAAGAAACGGAACAACTCCAACAGACTCTCGTACTCACAGTCAGGCAGGTCAATAGAGTCTTTAGTCTCCGCCATTTGACCATAGAACATGACAAAGAACACAGGACTACTGATGGCAAGAACAAACTTGTGAGCTGGGATCACTTTCTTACTGTCACTTTCAGAAGTCGACACCGGAACGACAAATTTCACATCGCACAGTAACTCATTGTTGAAAATAGAGGTGGTTCAAGAGTTAGAAGTTTCGTTTGCCAGATTTCTTCCATACGCATCTCTTTGGTCTGCTCTCAGTATCTTTGAGGGTCTTATTTCACACAATGTGAGGCAACAGTTCAAAGACGACAATGTTTTTCTCTCCGGTCAAAGAGAAAGAGATAACTGCAAAGGCGTTTGAAATGTTATGATGCAATTGATATTCTACAACAGTTAACCGCTCTAAGCAGCTGGAAAATTTAAATAACGAAGATTAATTTTATTAATTTTGTCTCTTCTTACGACTGAACAATGTCTGACTCGTCGGAAAAATTTAACACTGTCCTCGATAACCTTTCTTTTCTTTCAGTTCATCGCTCTTACAACTTCAAAAGGCAAGTAATATTTCTGCACGGTTTTCTCTTATTTTCTGGTAAGATGGTTTATGAATATCTTCAACCCTTAGCACAAGCGCTGGGAACAAAAATTGAATAAATCCATATCTTATTTCAAGAGAGAAGTGATGTCACCAGACAGTTGCATCAGATGATGAGTCACATATGTCTCACAAAACTTCAATTCTCAGAATTTTCTCGGTGATTATCAGCCTAGTTTCCAAATAACTAGCGAGAGACATTGCTCATCGACAATCATGTCTTGCAGAGTGAATCAAGAAGAGTCATCTTTGTGTGTCTCGTGTCAGTGCAAAATAATGCAAAAAGTGCTAACAGCAGCTTTTTGTATTTTTGGAATGAACGGGAAAGCCCAAGGAAGACTGCGTCTTCGAAGTCCAAAGAGGGTTTTCTTTCGCTTTGTCAGATGATGGACAGGTCAAGAGGAATGGGATTTTTCGCTTCGGTGCCTTCAAATTGAGGGAAACCCCCGTTTTTGTCTCTCTTCGCTTTTTCATTTTTAACTTAAAGCAGAAGATCGTCGCTTCCTTTGCCATCAGCATATAACAGAACAGTTCAGCTAGCCAATGAGCTCGATAGGATTCGTGGGTCTATTTTATCTAAATCTTATACCGACTAAAGAAAGGGGAGTTTCTGAAGCTGACGACGTTTCAAGCATTGACCCTTCTTTAAAGTGAGACGAAGGGCTAACGCTCTAAACGTAAGCGTTACAAACTTTTTCCGGTGGCCGATTTACATTATCAACTCAGTTGATAAAACCAATAGATCTGATATCGTGGGCTCGCTATCGTCTCGATTTCTTTTGTCTCAATCAAAATGCTTTGTTCTAACTTGTCCGCGCTGAGTTTACGACAAAAATTTGTCACGTATAATATTTATTAGCCAGAGTTTGGAAGCCTACTAGTACTGTTTTTGTTGAAAATTCCTTTCGAGCCTTGAATGGTATGTTTTTCAATTCGACTTCTTACAATTACAAGAAAGTAAAAGAGAGTATACGAAATATTTAATTCCATTGCTTAAAACAACATTTAGCTACCAAATTATCATTCATTCTATAAACAACAGGGTTCTCTAACTGACTTATAAGGATCACATCTAACAAGTGTTTTGGGTCAACTCTGATAGGTCCGCATAGCGATCTAACTTGTAGTTTTATATCTGCTGTGTTTGTCAAAGGATTCACATGTGTATACCTGGACATCCGCGATGACTGATATTCTTTTTACAGTTCCCGGCGCCATATTGAATTAGTAACCGTGCACACACGATAATGAGGCTGGGGTTGACCCGGCGGTTCTTTCAAATAGCTGATCTGCTGACATTTCACGATCTAATGCACTTTTCAATGCGATTTCTCCCTTCAAAATAGTTCTTTAACACAACAATATGAAAATTTCGTCATTAGATGACATCCAGAAACTCGAAGCAAGAGATCTCAGGGAGATTTTAAATATAAATTAAAATCGACGGGTTGAATTAGAGCTGACTTAGTGTTGAAAGTTTATGCTTTGCTGATGTGACACGTCCTTCCATCGAGTAGTGGAGAAAACCGAGAACTTTTTGCAGATGTCCAGGACCTAGAACAAAACCAGAGCGACTTCAGATACGAAGTAACTATGGTAAGGATTTCAGCCCTTGGATGGGCGAGCAATCTCCGTAATTTACCCGGGATGAATTTCAGTCAGCTTTACGATTACCCCGTTGTTTCACTAGAATATCGTCACATCGTGTTGAGAGGAACGCATTACAGGAAGTACCGCAGAAGCTGTTCAGTATGGCTTAGAAAGCGAGACAAAGGCTGCAGCCCTCTAGGTAGAGATTTGTTATTGCTGCTGTTGTTGATGTGGTAGTTGTTGTTGTACCATATTTTTCAGTTAAAGTTGTTCCCATTTTGTTCACCAAGATGTCTTTTAGTTTGCCATTTGTACATTTTATCCTATGGGAAACTATACCATAGAGCCTGTAGAACCACTTGATTATAACCCTTGTTTTTATCAACCCATGAGGAAAACTGTAACCAACAGATGTCATAATATTTTCATACCCATCTGGCCCAGGACAACTTATGCTCGTGATACATTGAAAACCATTTCAGTTCGCAACTCATGGTAATTTATTAGGTGGCAACACACCATTGAAAGAATCACACCAAAATATTTGACAATTTAAAAACTCACAGAAGTGACTGATTCATGTAACTTCTCCAAACACTATACAGCAAACAGATAATGTTAATACTGAAAGTTATCAGGCAAAAGTTATGATCTTACATCAAATTCTCATAACTTATTTACAAGCATATGTGTAGCAACTAGAAGGGAGAATTAACAATCAGATCTTGGATATTTAAGGGTTAAAGGAAGAGAACAGAAATGCTTCCTCTCAGCTACTGATCTCAACAATGCTAGTCCTTTACACACATTTAAGTTTCTGTCAGTGATAAACATTCAGTGAATTGATATTTCCATTCTTAGCACTCAGAGGCTTTCTGACACAAAGGTTTGCTATACTAGTTCTTACTGCATTGTGTTAACCAATGTTATGATATAATTTTGAGATGTAAAGAAGATACTTAAAAGATTGAGAAATATATCCAAATCAAGATATTTATTTTAGCCTGTCATAGTTACCATAAGATTTGCTTGAAAGAGAATCTTTCAGACCATTGAAATGTATGAGAAATTATATTTTGCAAGACTTCTATCAAACTTTTTATCATGAGGACAATTTTGTGAATAATAAAATTTAGTGTCATAGTTCATCTTTGTGTCAAGAACTCTTTTAGTTGGAGAAACTCACTTTTTCTTTTTTTCAATTTGAAGCATCAAATTGATTGATACAGCACACAAAATATTTTTTGAGAGTTCCATATGGCATCCATAGTGGATTACTATCCTATCATAAAAAAACAAAAACAACAACTACTGAAAACTGCTTTTGTCACAATTGCTACCAAATTTGAGTCAGCTTTCTGGGTCTGCCATAATAAGTGAAAACTCTGAAGATGCAGTGTCTTGGTTATTTTATTAAAAGCAATAACTTTCCTAGAGTTTCTCTGCTAGGAGTGTTTTAGGCAAGCCATGTAATAAACAGGTGAGCAGCACTGAACTTCTTGACTTGCTGCCAGAATAAAAAAAGCTCTACTGAACTTAAAACAATTCAGGTACCTGCTAGAAAATTTGTACTAATTTTGCAACAATAGTTACCCTCATCCATAATTCACAGAGAATAAGATAAGTATAGAACGATAAATACTTAGTAAAAATACATGCCTCCGTGCATAAACTTGAAGAAGTGAAAGCTCGTAGGCAAACCATTGGGGCCATAAAATGTATTTGAACAACCAAAAGCGGCACACAGCTTTCCTTTCTTTTTGGAAGAAAAATAAGCTTTATCGAGATTTCGGCTAGGACCATCCATTTTTCTTAAAAATCGAACAATTTTACTGCTCACGTATGAATTTCACCAAAAGCTCTCAAAGAGATTTAACACGAGTCAACCCCAGCCTCGTTCTCACGTGTGCGCGGTTGCATTTCCAATATGGCGCTGGGAATTGTAAAAAGGTCTATTGATCCAATACTACATGACCTATTAGACTTTCACGGGGCTCTACGTAAAAGGAACGGTTTGGGTAACGTTAGAATTTTACTTGGATACTGAAAACAAAATTCCAGGAAACTGTCCTCTCTTTTCACCAGTCCCATTAGAGACATCCCCCGAGCTACGAAATGTAAATTGCACTCCCTGGCACTCCACTGATGCTTGCCCGCCTTCGCTGTACCACGATTTAGGGCCCTTGATGAGCGACTTTACTTTGTATTCTTTATCTGCCTTCAAAATAACCGGACGATCGAACAACACATCAAAGCCATAATAAGCATCGGCATCGCTTCTTTCTGAAGTATAATTTCCCGTTCGACTCACAAGCGAAGTGTTGTCCAAGGGATCAACAATATCTGTTGTAACTGTATACTCGCCGCTTTCGGAGCCAAAATGCTGAACTCCGTAGAGCTTAACAGGCTTCTTGACGGTGAGAATGATACAGTCAGCCGCCTTACCGTAGTTCCATCTTTCCTTTGGGGAACAAAACGTTTTAAACCTGCAGCATCGGTGCACAGTGGAATCAATTCTACTGGCCTTTAAGAACGGCAAAGGAGTATTTATCAGACCGTTGTAGTATTTTGTCATGTTTCCAAACTCTTCATAATTTAAGATTCGCGAATCAAATACAACAGATGCAAAATCCTTCTGTGGTATCAACGGAAAGCGTATTCCTTTCACAATTTCTTCTCCAAGAATTCGTCTCTTTGTCTCTCCATCGGAAGTCATACCTTGCCTTTCACATTCTTTTGTGGCCCAGCGATTAACAGCTTTGAACAGTTCCACTTCCGTCGCATTTAACACTTCTCTCTTCACAACAGATTCGACAACAGATCGCTCAACTGTGACAAATTCATCCGACGTCATCGCCTCTTCGGTCTGCTCCTCAATCACTTTCCAGCATCGATCTTCTAAGTCTTTATCTTCAAATTTCTGAGCGTGAGGCAGAATACAAAACACGTTCGATGCTATCAGGTTGTCTCGAAGATATTCTTTGCATTTCCCGACAAGCGAGGGCACCAGATATTTGTTCGCCAAGTACAGCACTTGCATCACATTATTTCCGCTTAAATTCACATTGTCGCTGTACAAGAAACGAAACAACTCCAACAGACACTCGTAGTCACAGTCAGGCAGTTCAATAGAGTCTTTAGTCTCCGCCACACGACCATAGAACATGGCAAAGAACACAGGACTACTGATTGCGAGCACAAACTTGTGAGCTGGGATCACCTTATTACTTTCGCTTTCACCAATCGACATAGGAACGACAAACTTCACATCGCTCAATATCTCGTTGTTGAAAATGAAGGCAGTTCTTTCGACGAGAGTTGGAAGTTTCGTCTGCCAATTATCTTCAGCAGCCATTTCTAGGTTTTGCTCTCAGTTCTCTTCGCAAAGTTAACTCTATTGAATACTATGAACCTTTCACGTCAAGGGAATCAGTTGACGTGACAAAGTTGTTCCTCGAGTGACGCAAGGGAGTAAATTCCTCGTTTCCGGGCTCTCTGAGCCTTTGCTCACGAAGTTACGATGACCAAACGGTTTTTTGCAAGAGTTATTTTTTGTAGGGTGGGTGGATTACTTGAAACATTGTAAGTGGTCTACATTCTTACAAAAGGAAAGTAGAGTATTAACGCGGAAAAGAACGAAAATGTCGAATTAACTCACACACAGGTATTTTGTGGTAGATTATGTGTGTTGTGCGAATAAATGTAACCAAAAATAAACTGTATTGGTGCCACGGATACCTGTTAGTACAAAATGTAGACAGCAGACTGCAGGCCGGATACAAAATATACACTGCAGACTTCAGAGTGGATACAAAATGCAGACGGAGAATCTGAAGAGTTTCTACGTCTGGTATATAATAACATGTCATCTTACAGCTTACCGAGCGTCACGCAATCGCTTTTCCGCGATCAGCCTTCACGATTATTTGCACTATTGTGGAAAATTCCTGGCCCATTTCTTGATGAAAATCGTTCGCAATATAATTTCAAGCCTTCAATATAGTCTTCTTACTATGCGCGCGAGTTGCTTGGTGTGATGTCTGTACAGATTTTACCAACATAATAAAAGTAGATGACGTGAGTAACAGTGATGGTAAAGCAAGCTTAAAACGGCAGAAATCACCAGAAACTACAACGGATACACAGGGTATGAGTAAGTTTTATTGATTTTACGAGAAAAATGTTCATATTTCGAGATATTTATCGTTGTAAATCGACCATATTTCGTTCCCTATACTATTCCTTATTACATGTTTAAATTTTCAACGGTTCCTCTCGTCACACAGCGCGTGACGCGTTCATGAATTAATCGTTGGTTTTTTCTCGAGGCGTGAGCTTGGGCGGCCTGTGACAAGACAATTGCGTAAACAATACTATACACAAAAAACACAGGATTTTGGATCATGTATTTATTAAAAAAGAATATCCATACAACTACAATGAAAACAAACATAAGATTCACCTTTCTGATCGTGAAATTAACACCATTTGCACTGTTATCGTATCTACGTTCCCTGGCATCAAGTGAATCCAACATGGCGTCTTTCTTCACCAGCAGTTTGCATCCATTAGAGTTTTGTTCTTTAGTCTCACGGTAGTAGTGTTGTTCAGTAGATTGCATAGAGTATATACAGTTTGGTTTCAGATTTCAGATTTTGCTTTTTACAACAAGTGTACGTTTTTCAACTAAGACATTGGCATACTTGGCATACAAGGCAAACAAGGCTTTCATGGCTTTCAAGCGTTCGCGACTCAATCCTTTCCAAAATTACCGCTCAATAACATCTTTTAGTGTGGATTGGCCACGAACAATACGACTTGTGTATGCGTCTGAAGGTATTTTAAGCGTTTGCGCCATAATGCTCCAGGTGACCGTAATCCAAAAACGTTCAAATACAAAACGACCGACAAAAGAGTTTTATAAGCAAAAATCTCGTGGCTCGTCATGTGACCCGGCCCTGTCCGTGCATGACAACGTCAATCATCATCAAGATAACACGCGTGATCAGCATGTGAACACCTCATTGGATCACAGTTAGTTGTCATGGTGTTGAGGGCCCAATGACCTCTGGGTACTATTGCGCAATTTTTCCATTTTATGAGGAAAAGGCATTTTATGACCGGGCTATCACAGGTATCCCAGTAACTATCCAAGTACCTGACGACAGTACTACAACCGCTGACCGACAAATCCATACGTAAGCTACAATCTACCGATAACCTCATTAACGCCAACAAGACTTTACAGCCTGACGACTACAAACTAGTGTCATTTGATGTGAAATCACTGTTTACAATTATTTCACTCCAATTGGCACGACAGTGTACTAAGACTGCAATCCGACAATCAACCGACCCACTACCGCTACCGACAGAGGACATTATGCACCTATTGAACTTTTGCCTAACGTCAACTTACTTTCAGTATAAAGGCAAACACTACAAACAGTTACATGGTACACCTATGGGATCTCCAGTCTCTTTTGTTGTAGCAGGAACTGTGATGCAGAACGATCTCTTTGGACTTGCTGACAAACGATTCCGCTGTTGCTACGCTAAGTTGACGATACCTTCACCGTCGTATGAGACGACGAAATTAAACACATTTCACCACCACCTTAACGGACAAAACACTGACATACAGTTTTTCAGAGAGGTCAAGGAAAATGGTAAACTTCCTTTTTTAGACTGCCTGGTAAGCCGTGACGACAACTCCCCTCGGACAACAGTTTAAGGGAAACTGACACATTCCTACAGATTCCTACATTCCTACTTCCATTTCACGTGGAAAAAGGCAAGTAGGAAAACACTGAGCTTCGAGAAACAGCCAAGTTAAGGCTAATGTGTTAACCATGCTTAAATATTTTTATAATAAAGCTCGGATATAACATGTACTGTCATTGGTTAAAAGAGCGTGCTCTATGAGAGTATAGAGCATAGAACTGAGCTAAAGCTGTCACGCCATCTGCCAAATCGTACTATGTCCGACCTTTTCCGGGACTTCTTTCTAGCTTTTCTTTCGTTAATAAAAAGAGACAAAAATCCTCAAAGATAAAACAAGACAGACAGTCCGAGTTTTTTTTTTAACGGTTTTCACGCTCAGTTAGATTGCGAGTTTACGTACGGTAATAAAAATCAAACACAGCTAACATTAGTATAGTATATAAAGTTTCGATTTCAAATAGAAAAAAACAGGAATTATGAAAAATATAACCTGGCACAACTGTTAAAAATTCATACTAATCATGACGGTGTCAGAGCGACTTAGGTCTATCGCGGCTAGCTAATCATGGCGATCTTCGATCATCGCAGTGGAGCAAGCCTCAGGAACTAAATCGACTGCCCTTCGAGTGAAAAAATAAGAGCTTGTCCTGATTACCTTTCCGATGTGTTGAGTGGAAGGCCAGATCAGTCACTGCAACCGAGTTTTACGGCGCTGTCATTCCGAGCGATCTTTTTGTCTTAGTGAATTCGGCTGTTGTTCATTCATAATACACTCGCCTTGAACAGTTTGTTTTCTTGTAATGTGAAATAACTTGCGTATTTTTGTGAGCCACGATTGGGCCGAATTTCACTGAACATTTCACTTTCAGATCCTGTGTTAGAAACTAAAAAACTTCAGGCAAAAGTGTTAAATTCGACATGCCGAGCTATTTTAGTTTGTAAACTATTGCAGAATATGAACTTTGATGGTTTTTGAACTTTGATGGTTTGACATTTTTGACAGCTTTAGTCTTGTACAGCCAATCAGATTATTTGAACCATTCTAACAGGAATTCTGATTGGCTTATTGTAGCGTGCTTTATGAGAGTATAGAGCATGCTGACGACACTGTTGTTCGCTTTGGAAATAAGATTTGTTTTTAAAATTGAAAGTAATTCTTGAGGAATTTAACGGATTCTTTATTATAAAACAAATAGAGAAGCCTTGACTATGCTCTGTTCTGTTGTAAAGCACTTAGGAAGCGGCTAGAGCACTCAAGAAGTAGGGAGAAACACTCGACTACGTCTCGTGTTTCCCCCTACACTTCTTTCGTGCTCTAGCCGCTTCTTGCGTGCTTTACAACAGAACAGAGCACAGTCAAGGCTTCTCTATTTGTTAAATAATCAAGGCCACTCGTTTAGGAGACCTTTGTCCAAAAGATCCAAACGTTAAAATAATTCTGTTTTCTGTTCGAAGTGTTTTTTTTTTCCTATTCAATTTAGCAAATGCACTCGGGATGAAAACTTAACGTCCGAACCGAACGGCAGGTGAAAGTTTAACAAGTTTAATGATGCTTTTTACCACTGTACAAAATCCTACTAATACAATAACTACTAATAAAAACACAACAGTAATTAATAACTAACAATAACTATGTAATATTCATTAAATCTTACTTACCATATAAAAGTACAGTAGGTAAAGGAAAGAAATATATTCCCATATAAAAACTACTCTCCAAGGCTAATATAAATAACTATACGTTTTGTATAATAAAGAAGCTAGAGAAACAACTAAACAATGAACAAAAAGTAAAATCTGAACAAATCTCATTTCAAGATAACAAAACAAAACTATGTACAGGGATAATTCAGTAATCGAGTTCTGAAGGAATTCAAACAGGAAGTTGACATAGCAAAATTAGGTAAAGAGTTTCAATAAGTTAAATAAGAAATGTTGTGTAGGCGTCTCAGCGAAAGGTATATCCAGACGACTTGCATGGAAAAACTGGCCTCAGCTATCGCAACTAATTTTTTAAAATAGTGTTTAAAACTAAACTGGTTAGCAGCACTCTGCGAACAGCAGTTGTGAAACTGCTTTATTCTCTGACGAGTTTCGTCTAACTGTCGTAAAATTTTTCGAGGAGTTTTACAAGTAAAACTAAACGCCTGTATTTATAAGCCATAGTTAGCGGCTATACGGGGGCCAATGACCATAAGGGCTTGGCCTGACCTACCAACAGGAACAGGAGAGATAATGTATATATGTGATTTTACAGGCTATCAGCTGTTAAAGCGAATTAATTTTTATCACATGTTTAAAAAAAGATAAAAAAAAAAACAAAGAAAAGCCCAATTTCTAAAGTTATAGTTTATATGACGTGCGATAATTGAATGAAAACGTTTTATAATTTTCCCCGGTGTTATCAAATCTTGCGCGTGGATTCTTGATATTCGAGAGAATTTCATTTTTAGCCGCCTTGTTTTTATTTTTTTGTGCCTTTCCTTTTTCTATGTTCATGCTAGAAATTAATACAGTACAGCTACTTTTTGCCCCATATACATCAATTCGAAAGCCATTGAACATAGCCTACTCCAGGCGTTCAGTTAATAAAACGGTGCGCGATACTAGACAACGACATAGTGGAGGAAGAGTGAAAACGCAAGCGAGGCTTGGGTCGGGTGCCGTTGTGAGCCAAGCCACCCTTACCTTTTCACTCCTCACGGTGTTGAAAGTTTATGCTTTGCTGATGTGACACGTCCTTCCATCGAGTAGTGGAGAAAACTGAGAACTTCTTACAGGTGTCCAGGACCTAGAACAAAACCAGAGCGACTCCAGATACGAAGTAACTGTGGTAAGGATTTCAGCCCTTGGATGGGCGAGCAATCTCCGTAATTTACCCGAGATGAATTTCAGTCAGCTTTACGATTACCCGGTTGTTTCACTAGAATATCGTCACATCGTGTTGAGAGGAACGCATTAAAGGAAGTACCACAGAAGCTGTTCAGTATGGCTTAGAAAGCGAGACAAAGGCTGCAGCCCTCTAGGTAGAGATTTGTTATTGCTGCTGTTGTTGATGTGGTAGTTGTTGTTGTACCATATTTTTCAGTTAAAGTTGTTCCCATTTTGTTCACCAAGATGTCTTTTAGTTTGCCATTTGTACATTTTATCCTATGGGAAACTATACAATAGAGCCTGTAGAACCACTTGATTATAACCCTTGTTTCTATCAACCCATGGGGAAAACTGTAACCAACAGATGTCATAATATTTTCATACTCATCTGGCCCAGGACAACTTATGCTCATGATACATTGAAAACCATTTCAGTTCGCAACTCATGGTAATTATTAGGTGGCAACACACCATTGAAAGAATCACACCAAAATATTTGACAATTTAAAAACTCACAGAAGTGACTGATTCATGTAACTTCTTCAAACACTATACAGCAAACAGATAATGTTAATACTGAAAGTTATCAGGCAAAAGTTATGATCTTACATCAAATTCTCATAACTTATTTACAAGCATATGTGTAGCAACTAGAAGGGAGAATTAACAATCAGATCTTGGATATTTAAGGGTTAAAGGAAGAGAACAGAAATGCTTCCTCTCAGCTACTGATCTCAACAATGCTAGTCCTTTACACACATTTAAGTTTCTGTCAGTGATAAACATTCAGTGAATTAATATTCCCATTCTTAGCACTCAGAGGCTTTCTGACACAAAGGTTTGCTATACTAGTTCTTACTGCATTGTGTTAACCAATGTTATGATTTAATTTTGAGATGTAAAGAAGATACTTAAAAGATTGAGAAATATATCCAAATCAAGATATTTATTTTATCCTGTTATAGTTACCATAAGATTTGTTTGAAAGAGAATCTTTCAGACCATTGAAATGTATGAGAAATTATATTTTGCAAGACTTCTATCAAACTTTTTATTATGAGGACAATTTTGTGAATAATAAAATTTAGTGTCATAGTTCATCTTTGTGTCAAGAACTCTTTTAGTTGGAGAAACTCACTTTTTCTTTTTTTCAATTTGAAGCATCAAATTGATTGATACAGCACACAAAATATTTTTTGAGAGTTCCATATGGCATCCATAGTGGATTACTATCCTATCATAAAAAAACAAAAACAACAACTACTGAAAACTGCTTTTGTCACAATTGCTACCAAATTTGAGTCAGCTTTCTGGGTCTGCCATAATAAGTGAAAACTCTGAAGATACAGCGTCTTGGTTATTTTATTAAAAGCAATTACTTTCCTAAAGTTTCTTTGCTAGGAGTGTTTTAGGCAAGCCATGTAGTAAACAGGTGAGCAGCACTGAACTTCTTGACTTGCTGCCAGAATAAAAAAAGCTCTACTGAACTTAAAACAATTCAGGTACCTACTAGAAAATTTGTAATTATTTTGCAACAATAGTTACCCTCATCCATAATTCACAGAGAATAAGATAAGTATAGGACGATAAATACTTAGCAAAAATACGTGCCTCCGTGCATAAACTTGAAGAAGTGAAAGCTCGTAGGCAAACCATTGAGGCCATAAAATGTATTTGAACAACCAAAAGCGGCACACAGCTTTCCTTTCTTTTTGGAAGAAAAATTAGCTTTATCGAGATTTCGGCTAGGACCATCCATTTTCCTTAAAAATCGAACAATTTTACTGCTCACGTACGAATTTCACCAAAAGCTCTCACAGAGATTTAACACGAGTCAACCCCAGCCTCGTTCTCACGTGTTCGTGGTTGCATTTCCAATATGGCGCTGGGAACTGTAAAAAGGGGAAAGGGGAGAAAGCACACTCGACAGCAGAAATTTTTTTTTGGGATCACTTTCTGAAGGAGCTTAGATACCAGGCTCAATTGGGTAACCAAGCCTTCTAATGATTTGTTTACAATTTTATACTCACCTCCCCCGACTGGTTGAAGTGCGAAGGACTCGCTAGATTGCAGAACAATCGCAAGAAGTGCACCTCGTCGAGTACAGGTCTTGAAAATGTATTCAATGTTAAAAGAAATCCTAGCAGGCAAAAAAATTAACCTTTCGGTGAACTACGTAACTGAACCAAGTACTTTTTTTAACGGACCACAAAATTCGTCGTAAGTGTAGTAATCCGCTTATTTATTCTTGACATTAAGCTTATTTCGACTTAATAAAGTAATTGGTATCAATCATATGAAAATACGTATTTGACAACTTGATAATCTTGTTAGAACGTCATAGGAAGTTGTACCTTTAAAGAAGCTACGTGTAAAATCTGTAAGGCCTTTTCACTCTTTATAGCGGTAAATTTATATTAACCGTGGAAGCTTTGCACGTCTTAGTCATTTGCTTGATTATTTTTTGACGCTGTTGTGTTGAGCATCCATCTGAAGTGTGCGTGTATGAGTGCTCAGGGTGCAAAGAGTGAAAACGGTACGCAAACCTAATAATTTCGACCCCTCCACCCCTCCCAGCTCCACCCTCTACAAAATTTTACACTTGGTAATTCCTAAATTGACTGATGCCTCACACAAAAATTATTTTCATATCATATCTGTGCACCACTGAGCCCTTGCATTAATAAAAAGGCTATTCTGGTATGTTCCAATAATGACTCTGGGTCAGATGCATTTGCAACAAAGGATGGAAAAAATGAATTTTTATTATTATTAACATTGTGATCATTATTATTATCATTATTATTATTGTGTTACATACTCTTAACCAAATTTGAAACTTTACCACTCCCCTCCCCCAAAGCAGCTACGTGTAAACAATATAAGGCCTTTTTTAAAGTCCTCACAGTTTAATGCCTCAAAGCTTGCTGGTTTGGCAGTCAGTGGAAAAGTAATAAAAGAAATACATTCAGTTGGATTTAAATGATTATAATTTAGATTTAAATATCAATTCCAACTGAGCAATGACTCACGATACAGAAAACAAGACATTGATTGCATTATATTAGGTGGCTTGATCCAAATGAGTCAAGAAAGCTTTTTTTTGTTTTGTTTTGTACCTAATCATAAAAAAAACCCCATATTCTGTAATTGTAAGTCATAAAGTGAAATTCAGTACTCCGACTATATTCAATAGACCTTACTGCAGTTTTCAACACCACCTTGATGGGTTGGTAGGCAGGCATGACCTTGCAGTATTTGTATGAGAATCCAATGTCAAATAATCTTTGTCAATTATATTAGGTGGCTTGATCCAAATGAGCCAAGAAAGCATTTTTTTTTTGTTTGGTAACTAATCATAAAAAAAAGCCCCATATTTTGTAGTAGTAAGTCATGGAGTGAAATTCAGTGCTTTAACTATATTCAATAGACCTTACTACAGTTTTCAACACCATCTTGATGGGTTGGTGGGCAGGCTTGACCTTGCAGTATTTGTATAAGAATTCAATGTCAAATAATTTTTGTGAAAAATTCTGTTATGATAAAAATATCAGAAATATGGCAAACGTAAGCAACAGTTGTAAACGTTACAGGAAAAGGATTCTTCTGTAAAAGAATTTTCTTCTTTCAGACTAAAATTTCCTGAAAAAAAATAACAGACAATGCATGGAAAATCTATTACAAACAATAGGGCAAATTCAAGGACAGGTACAGCCATAGCCACTATGAAGTAAGCATCCCTACCACTCCCAAAATGCATTATCAGTTGCCTTTTTTTTTCGTTGCTTACCTTTATTACAGACTCCACAAAATTTTTGCGATGCCTCCTTTTCACGGATGGCCGATTACAACTACAACATAGTAACACCTCCACGAAATCTGTCAAAAGGAGGATTTTAAAACACCGGAAATGGAGAGGAAAGATAAATGATACGGTCGATTAACTCCCAGACAATTGAATGGTCCAAACTCGCAAAGGCGGGAAATTTGTTATCGTGCGAGATATCAAAGTATCTGTTTGCTCACTCAATTCGTATTCAGCGTTCGGCCGTATTCCAATCGATAATTTCGCTTTCTGAACAAAATTTCCAATTCTATGATGGCACGTAAATTAACTTGTCAAGAAGTGAGTTCATTGTTTGAGAGAAAGTTGTCTGAAAGGTCAGGTCTGGTGAAGGATGTCAGGTCAGCAGAGTTCATTCTTCGAGAATATGAAACTGCCACCGTCACCAAATTCTGTTGTAGCAAGTCAACTGACAAAGGTTTTGGAAACACAGGTGAGAGGCCAATCTTCTTGTCATATGCGATTGTATTTTTTCCGTCATGTAATATCCTGGGCTTGATGTTTCTTGGTAGACATTTGAATAAAGTAGGGGGATTTGATCTAAAGGTACTTAGGGGGGATGGTGAGCGGTAGATGAGAGTTGACTGTAAGAACGATATCTCACTTATTTGACGGGCCCTATGCATGCTCGTAAGTGACAAGTAACTAGGTATCATTATCGATGTCATGATCCTTTTTGACACATTATTGTCTAAAGGAAGGGTGACAAGTTGACTATGCTTCTCAAATTTGTAAAAATTTGTTTTGTAACATAGACTTGGCAGCTAAAAAACACAAGGTATTATGGGAGGATAGTCGTCTGCCATTTGATCACGTCCCATTTGTCGTGGTAAATCACAAGGTATACGATTGTCAACATGGAGTAGATAGACATCTAAGCGAGAAAAGGAAAAACCAAGCGGTACGTTGAAAGTATTTATATTTAAATGATTTTGCAGATTTTTTATTTTGCGTTGATTAATAACTAAAGGTCAATATCAAGTAGCCTTGAGTTTCCTCCTCCTTGCATAAAGATAAGAGAGTAAATGATCTGAAAAGAGGACTCGATAGGATAGGATATTTCAATGTCCAACATGGAAGAAAGTTTCAGTGGAAACGTGGTGTTATATCGCTGCTTCAAAAGTTTTCATTAACAAGAAGACTTCTTTTTTTCCAAAAACATGGGCCGGTGACCACGCCTATCGAAGAAATGGAGCTGGTAAGCTTTTACAAGAATCAAGAAAACTCAACTGTCCCGCTCAAGTGCACATGAGAGAAATCATCAAATTTCCGGAGTACAAGGTAAGTCGGACTAAAGAAATTGCAAAATGTAATTAAAACAAGGAAAACGCCGACCTATAAATGACATCACAAAAACGTCAATTTGTGTTCCTCCTTTTTACCTCTAGATCTCGCAAAAGACGGAGTGGCGCTGTAAGAGTCATTCCAAAAAGCTGCGCAACGCCATAGATGCTGGAACGGCAAAAACTGAAAGGTGGATTAACATCCATTTTCCCTCAGTCGATGAACACACCGTGCACCCAACTGGAGAAGTAAGCTCTTACAATTAAATACCCAGTTACCGTCGTCACAGTTTTTGTTGCGGGCTACGTAACTGGTCCTTCTCATAGAAATGAGTGGGTCAAAAACCGCATTTAGTCGTGTACGTAAGAATTATTTTTCGATTTTCTTAATCTCATTATTTACTTTTTTTACGCTTGACTTCTGATTCATTCATTTCTTTGTTAATTTTGAATTTAGGCAGGAGGTCTGTTTCAGCGCATAGATGAGAGGCTCGTGGCAAAAATACAAGAACTCGTATGTGCAGGAGCAAGATCAGAGAAAGAGATACGCCGACATTTAAAGATCTTTGTGTAAAGAGAATTATATCGAGGGAAAAAAGCGCCATTGAAGACCAACAGACGCTTTTATCCCTCCAAAGTTACGATTAGAAGTCACATGTACAAATCCTTAGTCAAAGAAAGGTTCTCGAAAATTGACCAGGAGGATCTTCAGGAAAAGGTGAAGCTTTGGAGGAAGATTTCTCCTGAGGATTATTTTGCGTTCCAGCCCTATGTAACTTACAACGAAGAGGGAGAGGAACGAAATGGGGATGATGATAGCAGTCGTAGCGATGGTGAGGAGGATGATGAAGATATCATATTGAAGACGCCAACTAAAGGGCTCCTATTTGCACACCAGACGAAAGATCAACGACGGCTTTTAGAACGCTATGGAAATGAAATAAGTATGCTAGACGCTACTTATAAGACCACGAAGTACAGCCACCCTCTTTTCTTTGTAGTTGTGAAGACCAACGTCGATTATCAAATTGTAGGCTCTTTCGTCATCCAAAGCGAAACGTCAGATTCCATTTATGAAGCCCTCTCGATAATTAAGTCTTGGAACCCCACCTGGAACCCCTCATATTTTATGGTGGATTTCTCAGAAGAGGAGATGTCTGCAATTGGCAAGTTATTTCCAGGTATTAAGATTCTTTCTTAGAGCAGTGTCACACTGCGAAAATAGATATCTATGGATTCGTAATTTATGACCATTTATGGTTTTATAAAAGAAAGATGTGAGCACAGTCACCATCTTCTAAAATCTGATACGTCTAATGAACGTCTTGATTCTGAAACAAACAAAGTACACGACAAAAATCAACTCCCATGATCACGTTTACAATAAAATTCTCGACAGGTGGAAGAGTATTTTGTTACTGTTTCTCCCTCTAAATAATTATTAACATTCGTCAACGAATGTTAAGCTGGTGCCAGTTTGATTCTTTCATGCAAAGTAACTTCATTCATTTTATCCTTTTTTTCCAATGACAAAATAGAGAGTGCGATCTACATCTGCGACTTTCATCGTGAGCAGGCATGGGAAAGGTGGCTTTCAAAGTCCAGCAATGGCCTATTGAACGAAAAACAAAAAGTCCTTGCAAAGCTGCGAGCGATAGCTAAGGCCCGCACGGAAGATGAGTATCGGCATAGATTGAGCGACCTCCAGGATAGCGAAGAATGGAGGACAAATACCAACTTAAGTAACTATATCACAAAGACATGGCTGCCTCAACATAAGGCATATGCATACTTACCATCATATTTTCTTGAATTTCTTGCTGGAAAAGCTTATTTTTAATTCTTTTATAGAAATGGGTATGGGCGTTCAGAAAAGACCGCTACCTTACAACTATCAACGCCAACAATGGCGTTGAAAGGCAGAATAAGGCTTTCAAGTACGATTACCTAGCAGGAATCAAACAAAGAACCTTGAGTGGGATGCTCTCAGTGCTAATAGATGAGTTCCTTCCTGACAAGTATCTCAAGTAAGTAATTCCTGCTTTCCGTGTCCAGTCACATGCTGTCTATATTTGGAACATTTTGTGTTTATTTGTACACTTTGGTATAGAACGTCTCGGTTTCAGTGTGAAATGCCCGAAAATTTAGTAATGTATGAATAAATGAATGAATAGAAAGATGTTTTATTGTTTTAATAAATTTTTAACGGACAGTTAAATAGTCTAATGAAAGAAAGGGAAAAGAAAGTTATTTTTCAATATGAGAGAGTGACTAAGTGGAAGGCGAGACAGTCTGTAAAGGCGTGATACAAATACCATTACCATGGAGTAAAAAGGAACATTCTGATAGCCTTTTTGTGTCTCAGGTATGTGGAATTGAATACAAAACTTCAAGCAAGTTTTCGACGCTATAACTCTGCCATCCCCTCCTATTTAAGAGAACGACCGCACCACATCATAAAACATTCCATGGACAGGCTCTCTCTTGCGGAGTCTATCCCAAGTAGCAATGTCACAGTTATTGACATGGAGAATGGCGAGTTTTTGGTGAAAAGCCAAAGTAGACTCGAAGAGAAGAAGATGTACAAAGTCATGTTTGGGACCAAGCAGCCAAGATGTGAGTGCTTTGATTGGGAGAGGCAACGGCTGCCATGCAAACATTTTTTTGCCGTATTCCAGCACGTCCCGTCATGGTCGTTCGATAGACTTCCAAAAGAATATCGAGATTCCCCATCTTCAGTGTCGATAGAGATGTGCTCTTAGCTGGTGAAAAGGAAGAAGGCGACGGTATTGCCGATGGGAAAGTAGTCGACTCACCTCCATGTGTGCATGACGAGGTTCACGATCTTCAGAAGCAATCGTCGCAGTTTGAAATATATACCTCAATCGACTTTACGACCCTGAACCCATGCTGCAAAATGTCGTGAACTATTGGGTCAGATAAAAAACCTGACCAACACTGCAGAGGCGTGGGAAGTTGGTGGGAGTTTACGGCAAGTTCAGGAAAAGCTTGAAGAGTGTCTCGACCTTCTGCAGAAAACAGCCCTCAAGGAGGACGGTATCATTCTGGAAGCTCCTCTCCTGAAGTCTACTATGAAAAAGAATTCGCGCAGGATGAAAAAAGAGAAAGGAGACTATAAAAGGCTTCCAGTATCTCAGAAGAAAAATCCTTTCACTGGACGTGTAGGGGAAAGAGCAAACAACATGAAAAGGGGGTATAACGTCAGCTTAAACGATATAGAACGCCAGCCTGCCAAACAGCCGAAACTCGCACACATCAAGAATGCCAACTCAAGCGCCGAGGCTCAAGTAAACATAAACCGCAGTGTGAACGTGAATAACTCTAATGGTTCAAATTCAAACGCCAATCAAACTGTAAAGGCAAGCACCCCTTACACACCAAACACGACCACATGCATCACCAGCACCGCAAACGCAAACACCATCTCTTCCATTAACACAACCTCGAGCACAACCAGCACTGCAAACACATGCATCATCCTCACAGTAAACGCGACAACGAACACAAACCTGGCCCAGCAAAACAAAAAAGATGATGAAGTAGAATTTTTAAAGATCTCTCACAGAAGCGCCCCAAAGGCCGGTAAATTCCATCTCTCGGAACAGGACATTAGCACCATTTCAACTGGAGACTGGCTCACCGACCATATTGTAGGTGCAGCTCAGTCTGTTCTGAGGGAACAGTTCCCTCACGCAAGAGGATTGGAAAATACAACTTTGGGGCCTATTTTTAATTTTTCTGTTCAAAAGGGCCAATTTTCACAAATCCTGAATACTGGCAGCCATCATTGGGTGTTGGTATCTACTGTAGGATGCTACACTCCTGCAGTTTATCTGTACGACAGCCTGTTTTCGGGAAGAATTGCAGCCCTCGTGCAGAAACAGATTGCATCAATTATATACGAGGAAGGAACCAGTTTTAAGGTCATTGTACCAAATGTGCAACACCAGAACAATTCCGATGACTATGGAGTTTATGCTATTGCTTTTCTGGTTTCGCTACTACATGGCCTCAATCCTTCTAATCTGACATTTGACAGGAAGCTGATAAGACAACATCTTTTAAAGAGCCTGGAGAGTGGATCATTCGACCCCTTTCCCCTCTCTAAAGTACCCAAGTGTCGAGACAGGAGGCCACTTTTTGTTCAAGAGGTCTCGGTAATGTGCGAGTGTAGAATGCCGAGGGAAGAGTCAGACTCGAAGTCTCCTTCTCGTTGTGTGAAATGTTGTAGCTGCAAGGAGTTTTTTCACAGGAAATGCATTTCAACAATTATTTTGGAAGATTCAAGTGCAAACTGGCGTTGTCCAAACTGCGAAAGAGCCCTTAAGCAGGAAGAGAAAAATAACCATTAATTTAACATGTAGTATTAAAAACTGATTCTCAGAACTTCCCATTAATTGTTTATTAAGATAATCGTCGAAGTGAAATATATATGTGTAGTAATTTTTTATCTATGTAGAAGTCAGCTAAAATAATTTTTAAAATGTATTCATGAGAAACTGTTTCTTATAGATCTTTCCCTAAGTACGCTCTTGCGTTTAGAATTGAAAATCCTCATCTAAATATTGTAAAAAATATTATCGTAGAATATTTTCAATGATGATCATGGCACAACGCAGATAGAGAAAATGTAATAGGTGAGACAAGTCACGGATTATCCTTGTCGACAAAAGTAATATCGCCTGCTACATTATATTTAAACTTAATCTCCGTCCAATCGAGGTAATGTACAATTTTTTTATCAATTACCATATTAGAAATAACAATATATCGCTTAAACTCTGAACGTAACTGCGTTAAATTTATTTCATCAGAAATCCAGAAGATTTCCGGTGATTTCGAGAAGATGTCATTACGTTGTAGTTGTGATCGGCCATCCGTGAAAAGGAGGCGTCAAATGTATTTTGTGGAATCTGTCATATAGGTTAGCAACGGAAAAAAATGCAAATATCTTAACGCTAATACAAAGTCATGAGCGAAAACGAAGTAAGTGTTCCTTTCTACTCTATTTTGCGGCTCTAAAATGCGAAATAGGGCCTTCATTACAACATCGGGCGAGCTCGGATTTCGTCATCAGAAATCTACCCGAGATGACCTCTGGTGTTGTAACATCCTCCTTTTGACAGATTTCGTGGAGGTGTTACTATGTTGTAGTTGTAATCGGCCATCCGTGAAAAGGAGGCATCGCAAAAGTTTATTGGAGTCTGTAATATAGGTAAGCAACGGAAAAAAAATGCAAATATCTTACGGCTAATACGAATTCATGAGCGAAAACGAAGCACGTGTTCGTTTCTACTCTGTTTTGCGGGTCTAATATGCTAAATAGGGCCTTCATCACGAAGACAACATCGGACGAGCTCGGATTTCGTAATCGGAAATCTACCCGAGATGACCTCCTTCTGACGGATGTCGGAGTGCGCTTTCCGTAAAAAGGTCTATTGATCCAATACTACATGACCTATTAGACTTTCACGGGGCTCTACGTAAAAGGGACGGCTTGGGTAACGTTAAAATTTTTACTTGGATACTGAAAAAAAAATTCCAGGAAACTGTCCGCTCTTTTCATCAGTCCCATTAGAGTCATTCCCCGAGCTACGAAATGTAAATTGCACTCCCTGGCACTCCACTGATGCTTGCCCGTCTTCGCCGTACCACGATTTAGGGCCCTTGATGAACGACTTTACTTTGTATTCTTTATATGCCTTCAAAATAACAGGACGATAGAACAACACATCAAAGCCATAATAATCATCGGCATCGCTTTTTTCTGAAGCATAATTTCCTGCTCGAACCGCAAGCGAAGTGTTGTCCACGAGATCAACAATTTTTGTTACAACTGTATACTCACCGCCTTCTGAGCCAAAATGCTGAACTCCGTGAAGTCTAACAGGCTTCTTGACGGTGAAAATGATACAGACAGGAGTCTTACCGTAATTCCAGTATTCCCTTGGGGAACAAAACGTTTTAAACCTGCAGCATCGGTGCACAGTGTAATCAATTCTACTGGCCTTTAAGAACGGCAAAGGAGTATTTATCAGACCGTTGTAGTATTTTGTCATGTTTCCAAACTCTTCATAATTTAAGATTCGCGAATCAAATACAACAGATGCAAAATCCTTCTGTGGTATCAGCGGAAAGCGTATTCCTTTCACAATTTCTTCTCCAAGAATTCGTCTCTTTGTCTCTCCATCGGAAGTCACACCTTGCCTTTCACATTCTTTTGTGGCCCAGCGATTAACAGCTTTGAACAGTTCCACTTCCGTCACATTTAACACTTCTCTCTTCACAACAGATTCGACTACAGATCGCTCAACTGTAACAAATTCATGCGACGTCATCGCTTCTTTGGTCTGCTCCTCAATTACTTTCCAGCATTGATCTTCTAAGTCATCATCTTCAAATTTCTGAGCGTGTGGCAGAATACAAAACACGTTCGATGCTATCAGGTTGTCTCGAAGATATTCTTTGCATTCCTCGACAAGCGAGGGCACCAGATATTTGTTCGCCAAGTACAGCACTTGCATCACATTATTTCCGCTTAAATTCGCATAGTCGCTGTACAAAAAACGAAACAACTCCAACAGACTCTCGTACTCACAGTCAGGCAGTTCAATAGAGTCTTTAGTCTCCGCCACACGACCATAGAACATGGCAAAGAACACAGGGCTACTGATTGCGAGCACAAACTTGTGAGCTGGGATCACCTTCTTACTTTCACTTTCACCAATTGACATAGGAACGACAAACTTCACATCGCTCAATATCTCGTTGTTGAAAATGAACGCAGCTCTTTCAACGAGAGTTGGAAGTTTCGTCTGCCAATTATCTTCAGTAGCCATTGCTAGGTTTTGCTCTCAGTTCTCTTCACAAATTAAACTCGATTGAATACTATAAACCTTTGACGTTAAGGGAATCAGTTGACGTGTCACAGTTGTTCCTCGAGTGACGCAAAGGAGTAAATTCCTCGTTTCCAGGCTCTCTGAGACTTTGCTCACGAAGTTACTATAACCAAACGGTTGTAGCGTTGCAGTTGTGTCTTCCGTTGTGGTTACCCTTGCGAAATGGCTTTTGGAATTCCTAGGAATTCCTAGGAATAAAGGTGTGAATTTTCACGGTAAATTCGGACTAGGAATTCCTAGGAATTCCTAGGAATTCCCAACCATAACAACTCTGGTTCTAAAAACCTAGAAATTCCTAGAAATTCCCAGAAATTCCCAGAAATTCCCAGAAATTCCAAGTTTATAGCCAACAGGACTTGGAATTCCTAGGAATTCCTAGGAATTCCAACTCAGAGAACCAATGACTTTCCCTGAAAAGCTGTAAATCTAAAAAATTCCTAGGAATTTCTGGGAATTTTTGGGAATTTTTAGGAATGTTTAAGAATTACTGGGAATTTTAAGCAAGAATTTGAGGCTTATGATATAAAATAAATACTTTAAATCAAAAAAACCCAGCTAAAATTCAAGTATTCAATAAAATTTATTTAGAAGCTTAATTAAGGCTTACATGTAAAATATTTTTGATTAATTATTAACATCAATGTGTGGTAATATTAGGATGGAATTTGATTTATTTTTCTTTTCTTGAAAACTTCATACGGATTAATCCTCAATTACAGCTATTCATATAAAATAGTTCTAATCAATCATTAAATTTGGTTTGATACAAATTGTGAATAAAATCTGTTGATTCTTTTCCATAAAATACAATATCTTAAGTTATATTTGAAAACCAAGCACTCTTGGGAGTGAAGGGGCTAATTACAGACAAATAAAATTGATTTTTTGATTAAAATCTTGTTGTAACTGTAACAATAAATTAGAATGAAGTTATCCTAAACTGCAAACTTAGCTGCTGTTTGTGCTGTTTGTATTTTTTTTCCTGGGCTCACAATGAGTTGGCCTTGAATGAGGTTGTCTACAAGAACCTTGACCATTTTGTATCTGGATTCCTTGACATCTGAATTTGAAAAAAAATAATATATTAAAATATGTATATTTAAAGCTCAGACCAGGCTTTTAAGATGGCTATGAGGAATAGCTAGCTTGGTGATATAAATAAAGATGTGAGCTCACTCTATGTAGAAATAATCGACAAGATTCGATCGTATTACAAATGTACGATTTGTGGCCGAAAGTTGTCGAGGAAACAAAGACTCAAAACTCACTTGAGTTGTGTTAATGGCAAAGGTGAGAAATAACACAAGCCAATCACAGTTTTGAATGCGACTACAAATCGTCTTTTACCCTCATATGTATAAAAGAAGGATACCAAATTCGGAAGTATAAGAGATACACAGATGATCCCAGTGTACCAGTACCTAAATCTACAAAGCTTGACCGTAGCAAGCGTTCAGCAACACGTTCCAACACCGCCATCTCGATTCCTCAGTCAGTCGTTTCCACTGAACTTAAAGCAGTAGTGACAACAGAGTAGAGTGCGTCTTACAAAGGAGAAACATTTGTACAAGAGACAGAAGTAGCTATATGCGATTACAGAGGTGCGTTGGAACTCTGGTCCACAAATAGTTATGCACTGCCCGAAGTATAAAGTAATTTTGTTGATAGCTGACAGACAGAGAAGAACAACAAGTAAACTTAAGAGCTGTTATTATTGAAGTGTGACTAGCACTTTTCATTTTTATATAAAGAAGGACTTGTAATTTGCACCAAAAATAAAAAAGATGTAATATTTTTTGGGAGATCCAGTGATTGGGACATTTAAGAAATTAAGTTATGAAAGGAAACTTGGTTGGTACTTCTCATTACTAACAAGTCTTGTTGACAAATATTTTCAGATCAGAGTTTCAAGTAAAGTAAATTGAAGACGTCATATAAAAGGTGTTTTTTCTCAAAGGGAATATTGACTACCTCTGTCTTGTCTGCATGCCAAATGTTCGCAAAGTGCGTGGATGATCCAAACAAAAATGTTTTGTAAGAATAAAAACAGCAAAACAAATTACAGCAATTAGTCATGAAAATAGAGCAAAAAACTGAAAAAAAAAGCAGCAACAACAATCATGAAAAAAGAAAGATTAATTAGGTGTTGAATTTGTTTGTCGAAGGCATGAAATTTCTACTAAAAGTATTGTCAACAAAAAGTCTCTGACAGCGTTTGAGGCAACTGAGCTTGACTGTTCCAAGGTTTTCTAACAAAGGCAACCAGTAATGTAGGTTAGGGAAGTAAGACAACAATGTAATTATTGTTAATTATTGTGGAAGTTGGCAATTTCCATTTAACATAACTGACAGCTGGTTCATGAGAAAATCCATATTAATGTAAAGATTTACTAAAACTTAGTTTGAGTAATAAATTTCATGATCTTTAAGTTATAAACATGTACATGTATGTATATCTCTTGGTAAGTTTTGTATAGCATACCTTTTATTGAGCCAAAGTTTTAAGCCTCTGAAATTACTCTTTTTCTTAAAACCTTCACATTCAAGGTATTGAGAATTTCTTAGAATTTATGTGGACCTCAGGGTATTAAAATTGCCTCAAATTCAATTCCCAGAAATTCCCAAGAGTTCCACACTTCTTAAATTATAGGTAGTTTGTAAAGCTGAGAATTCCTAGGAATTCCTAGGGATTCCAAGTCCTCACAAAACTGGAGTCTAATCCTTTCCCAGAAATTCCCAGTAATTCCAAGCTTTTTAAATCAGAGTTAATTTGCATAGTTGGGAATTTTTGAGAATTCCTAGGAATTCCTAGGAATTCCCAGAAATTCCCAGAAAACTGGGAATTCAGTTTGCAAGGGTCATTGGGAATTTTTGAGAATTCCTAGGAATTCCTAGGAATTCCTAGGAATTCCCAGAAAACTGGGAATTCAGTTCGCATGGGGGATCTGCTTTACTAGTTATGTACAGTTTGCAATACATTAATGAAAGAAAAAATCTTAACCCTTTAACCCTAAGAGTGGCCAGCCTCTAATTTCTCATTACAAAATCACCCCTGATATCACCCCACATCCCACATGAATCAAGGAAATGACCAACAACTTATAAAGCTCTTGATTTTTAAACAAATTCTCCTTGTCAACAGTTCAGGAAATGTATAGAGAACAGTACGGAGAATATGCCTACTGATGTTAGGGTATAAAAGGTTAATCAGTGAGTGTATGTTAAAGGTAGCAATCATAGATAGCTAGTACTTATTTACAAATATTATATTTTGTTTAGCAGATTGTAGCTTCAATGGATGCCAGAAATATGTTGATGAAAAACTGGCAGATACTGTTTTGTGCATTGTGCTGGTGAAGACAGCAGTGCAAGAATAGGTGAAGATGGAATCAAGAAATGCAAAACAGGAGTGAATCCATCTAGTACTGGAAAAACCATGGAAGAGGTTTCTGCTGGTTTTGGTGTTGCTTTTCCTGGTGAGTATGAATCAGGAGATTTTGAGGAGGATTATGACAATATTAATGATGATTTATATGTTCTCCTCCCTCCTCTTTCACCATTAGACATTCAACTACTGGACAAAGACACAGCTGTCAAATGAAAACAATATTCAAGGTAGTTAATAATTATGTTGACCATTTTCACTCTTTGTCTCTTTGTTTTTGTAAGATGAGTTTTTTGCTACATTGTTCCATAATTATTTATCTCTATAAACCTTGTTTGTTTTTTGTTATTTGCTAATGAAAGCATTGTGTGCTTTTTTTATAGCCAGTGAACCAGATGATGAAGATTTTGTCCTTTTTGAGCTCCTCAAGCCTCCCAAAGATGCTTCTTATGAGGTATGCAGAATTTATGAGTGATTTATAGTTTTCTTCTGTTTAGGTTTTCTCTTACTTTATCATTATTATTATTATTATTATTATTATTATTAACATCTAGCCCAACTAGATGTTCACCCTCGCGGGTTTTGGGACAGACAGCAATCTGCGTTCTCCGATGTTCGGGTGTGCCATCCAAACGCAGATTCGTATCGAGTCTGTCTCCGAAAGAGGCAATACAGCAGGCGGGTTTTGGAAGTGGAGCAAGGGACATTCACACCATTAGTCTTTACAAGCACAGGTGGAATGGCCGATGAATGCAAGAGATTCCATAGCCGCCTCGCAGAGCTACTTGCGTTAAAGAAAGGAGATGATTACGCTACAACCATATCTTGGATAAGGGCGAAAGTATCCTTTGCCATCCTACGATCAGCCTTGCTGTGTCTCAGAGGAACCAGGAGCAAGAGAAGAGCAGCCAATATATATGACATTGACATTACATCGGAAAGTGCGCAAGCCAGAATTTAAGTAGTATAACTCTTTATCAGTTTGAACTATTATTTTTAGATATTTTTTATTTCTTTTTATTTTATTAACTTTTTGATGCTTTTTATAATTGTTATTAGTAGGCTTTAGATAGTCATTTTACGACAATTCTCTTTTGTACACAAGAAGAATGTACAATAGGGTATATATTTTAATATTCATATTCTTGAATCTGTAAATAGTCTATTTTTTTAAAATCTATGAATAAAGTTCTGGTTTAAAAAAAAATTGTTATTATTATAATTATTATTAATTAAAACTATGCATAGATGTTCTTGTAACATGCTAAGTAGTTTAGGGGAATATCATTATTATTATTATTTTATACTATGCAGAGATGTTCTTGTAACATGCCAAGTAGTTTAGGGGAATATTTTTATTATTACTATTATTACAATTATAATTACTATTGCTTTTGTTTTATGTGTCCTTTGATGACCAGTTTTGGATGTTTTTTAGTGCCTTATGTCCGCAATAAATTTTAAGGGAAATTATTATAAATACATCTAATGATTGATGTTCCTTCTTTGATTGCTAAATTTGTTTGTTGTGTTAACAGAAGGATGAGGTTGTTTTCATTGTCCCTTGAGTTAATTCATAGCATATTATCCTTAACATACTGATACTCAAGGTTAGTGGTACTTCATTAGCAAAGAAGTCCAACCAACCCAATGAAAGTAGGCCAAATGTGCATTTTAATACCAATTTGATAAAGACAGTCTTTCATCAGATGAGTGTCATTAAAGTTTCTTTTCTAATGGAGACTGATTTTCTTCGCAGATTCCAACCCTACAGATTCTCTATTTGAAAGAAGGAAGGAAGGTATTCCAAGGCCTTAATGCCATCACTGAGCAATATCTTTTCAAACTAAGGAAGAGGAGAAAGGAAGGAGAAAGGGATAAATGTTCCAAGAGGGTGTTACCATGCAGTGATGACAACAGAAAAAAGGTTAATTTTGATTACTGGAGGCAGGTAAGGATGGGTAGGTTGAGACAAAGATTTTTCATTACAAGTGGGATAGAGCCTTGGAATTTTGGACCAAGGAGACCACAGAACTGATGTGGCAAGTATCTTAAAGCAAGTTGATAGTGATGGATGGGTCTTATTGAGCATTACAAAACAGCATCATTATGGAATGTGGAGAGACTGGAAATGGAGGCAACTTGAGGAGAAAGACTTTCAAACAAAATCAGTAAAGGAAAGCTATTTGGCACAGTGTAATACTAATAATTAAATACCTAACAGGTCATGCGTTCACTCTAACAGTTTCAATTGGGTTTTGAAGCATGCCTAATTCAAGTTATATCCAAAATTCCGCAGCTCCAAATTGTTAATAGTACCTAGACATGGCCAGAGAACATCAATAGAGAATGTGACCTCTTAAGCATGTTCACATCAGACCCATGAATTTGTCCACAAAACCTCCTTTGGAGTTGTTTAGTTCCAGAGTTTCATATCCAGTGCATTTCCAGAGCAGTAAAATTTTAAAAAATGACACAAACATTTAAATTGCAAAGAATTTATTTCAAATATTTACGTTTACAGCAACCCATATAAAAAAGAAATCTTACCAACCATTATGAGTGAATGGGTGAATAAAATAGCCTTGACTCCTCGATCTGGTGTCAACTGCTTTGTTTTATTCAAAAGTATATAAGGGCAAATTGGAAGGACAGAGTTACTTTCTGTAATCTGTCAAATAGTACTGAACAGTTAGAGCCAAATAGTTGCAAGTGAGTAAAAGGATAGAATGGATTTATTGTATATTAGTGCAGTGTAGTCTACTTTATATTTCACAAATTCCAAAAAATCAGTATTTCACCTGAAGTTATTTACTTGAATTATTTGTACTGAAGATGTTTATTTCCATGGAAGTGTTGCATGTTCAAGTACAACTGAAGGAGTTTTATTTTTTAAACTACCCATTTGTTTGTTAGATGAGCAATTTAAGACTGAATTTTGAGTTAGATTAATTACGGTTTGCACATGTGGTTAGAAAAAATATTTAGCACCAATCACTCCTGCTTAAATGACACAAAAAAAGTGTTTATTTGTTCCAAACACTTACAGTGTATCCTATTTATCAAGATGATTTTATCAACAAAAGATATCATAGCAGGAAAAAGGTAACCAAAATTTATATGAAACATTAAAAAAGGAACAACTAGAGTGATTTTACTCAACCCATGAAACAGTATGTAAACAAACCTGTATGACACCAGCACGCATGTTTGATTGTTGGTTCTCCCCAAGTTGTGCGTGGAAAACATGACATAAACCAAAAATTTTGTAAAGCACAGTAGTTTATGACCAATTTCACCGGTTGGATAAAATCACTCTTCATATTCATCTACAATATCTTTTTGAGAAAGAAACTGTGACAAAGCCTTGACTTAGTATTAGCATGAATAATAGTTATTGCTCAATTGTCTTCTTTCGTGATGCATGTTAATAGTGACAAGAAAGTAATGCTTGTTAATATTGTCATCTGTTAAAAATTTGATTAAATCTGAATTACTTAAGTTTTCTTTTCTTTTCTCATATAAGCATACTGCTTTTTGGGCAGATGTCTCTCTGGAATGAGATCCTTTTGGAATGGCTTCCTTTGCACTCGACTCTTTAAATATTCTGTGACAATGTTTTATCTGACGGTGCATAGAACCCGTAGTCCTCTATGAATATGTACACTTTGCTTGTCAAGCAAATAAATCAATAGTTTGCCGTCAATATATGCACATGCATCTGTGTATACAGAGACTTCTGGGAAAATTTCCAATTGTCTGAAAACTTTTTTTAACGCTAAATTGACTTAAATTCCAAGGGTGTGAGTAATATACAGACCGGTCTCAACAATAAGAACATCACAGTGGTGAAACATAGCATCAAAACTTGCAGACTGATAAATATTTTATAGGGAAGGCTACATTCTCTTTTCCAGCGATAAAAATTTCCTCAGGCTCGGTGATATTTGTCCAATAATCTCCAGGCTTTGTGCTGGGATTCTACAATGTACCGGCTAAAATTATTGACTTCACCCGAGGGTAACCTTTCGACACCTACCCCCATCCCAACATTCTTTTACGCGAATAAAGGGTGCAATTCCGGCGATCTAACTTACAAATGCGGTATATCTGTTCATTCCCATGCATTTCCATGTTTTAAGCGCATTCGAAAATCAAAACAATCAAATAGCTCGTACCCTGTATATGTAATGTATTCCAACTTGACATATCCAATATTAACCGCTATTTTCCATTTTTCATCGAATTCTTACAATTTATCCAGCAAGTAGAATATATCCCAACATGCCAAATCCAATCTTCACCCAAATTTTCCATTTTCTGAACCAACCTACGAGTGGATAATATCATAACTTTTCCATATCCAATCTTTATCCCGATTTGTTCAAATAACTCTAGAAAAACGGAGTAAACCGTGACAATTCTTTCCACGAGTGGTTAATATCATGACTTGCAATGTCCAATCTGTCCCTGATTTTCCATTTGTTCAACGAATTCTAGAAAACGGGATAAGTTTTGACAATTCATCATGCAAGTGGAATATAACCTAAGTTGTGATGTCAAATCTTTACCCAGATTTTCCTTTGTTTTAATAGATTAGTTCTAGAAAAATGGGGTAAACTCTGAGAATTCATAATACCCCTAACTCACCTATGCTATCTTTACTCCGAGTTTCCAATTTTGCCAAATCAAATCTTTAGCCCTAATTTTCCATTTTTTTCGTTTATTAGAGACAAGTAAGGTAAAATCTGACAATTAATCCCACATGTGGGATACATCCTAGCTTTTCATAATCAATCTTCACCCCGATTTTCCGTTTGTTGTGTCAATTCTGGAAAAACGGGGTAAAATCTGAGTACTCATCCTGTCAATGGAATACATCCTAACTTGTCATATTCAATCTTTGTCCCGATTTTTTGCATTTTTCCAAGAATTCTGTAAAAATGAGATAAAATCAGACAATTTATCCTACAAGTGAAACATATCCCAACTTGTGGTTTGTAATCTTTACCCGATTTTCCATTATTTTCAGAGAATTCTAGAAAAAAAATTCATCTCATAAAAAGAATATATCCCGACATGCCAAATGAATTTTTCAATGAATTCTGAAAACGGGCTAAATTGTGTCCATTTATCTTAAAATTGGAATAAATTATAACTCGGAACATCCCTCATTTTCGGTTTTTTTCTGATTAATTCCAAAAAAACAGGGTAAACTCTGAGAATTCATGCTACAAGTGGATATTACCCGAATGCCATCTTTGCTCAGATTTTCCATTTTTTTCGTGAATTCTAGAGAAGCGGGACAATTTCTTAGAATTTGTCCCGCAAGTGGAATATAACCTACCTTGTCATGTCAAATCTTTCCTGATTTTCCATTTTTTAGTGAATTAATTCCAGAAAAACAGGGTAAACTCTGAGAATTCATGCTACAAGTGGATAAAACCTATAGTTCCCATATGCCATCTTTACTCTGATTTTTCAATTTTTTTTCAAGGAATTATGGAAAAACGGGACAAATTTTAGTAAATTATCCTCCAACTGGAATATGTCCTATTGATCTGCCACATCTAATCTATTTTACCCCGATTTTCCATTTTCCTCAATGATTATAGAAAAACGGGGTTCATTCTTAAAAGTCATCCTCCAAGTGGAATTTATCTTACTGACTTGCCTTCCATTTTTTTTTCAATAAATTCTAGCAAAACGGGGTAAATTCTGAGAACATGCTAAAAGTGGATAACACCTTTAGTTCCCATATGCCATCTTTACCCCAATTTTCCATTTCTTTTTTCGGCGATAAATTCTACGATTAGCGCTAATCATTAGCCCCCAAAATAAAGCAACGCACAATAACTTAATATGTATTTAGACGTTTTTTATAACGCCCGCTTTCAGTTATTATTAACTTCCATGGAAATTAAAAACTTAGGCACACCAACGTGCTATGTAATATACTGTTCCCCGTTAATTGTAGTCATTCTCTAAAGAAGTCTCAATTAGAGACGAAACGCGTTGGAAATAAACGAGGAGCTTACAACTACAAGAAGTGTTTCTTTGTGCGGCTTGCTAGTCTTACTTAAAAATGAAAAAAAGGGGAAAAATTACGAATTTTAAAAAAAAAGTTTCTTTTCTCAATGAATTCTAGAAAAGTGGGATGAATTCTGAGAATTCGTCCTTCAAGTGGAATAAATCCTAGGTTGTCAAATCCAATCTTTAATCCGATTTTGCATTTTTTTTTCTTTTTTTCGATGAATTCTGGAATTACGGGGTAAATTTTGAGAATTTGGCCCGCAAGTAGCTAATACCGTAAGTTCCCATATGCCATCTTTACCCCAATTTTCCATTTGATCAGTGAATTTTAGAAAAAAAAGACGTAAATTGAGGATAATACCCGAAGTTCCCATATGCTACCTTTATCCCGATTTCCCTTTTTTTTTCTGAAAATTCCATAGAATAACGGGGTAAAATCTGAGAATTCATCCTTCAAATGGAATAGATCCTAGGTTGTCATATCCAATCTTCAACCCGATTTTCAATGCTTTTTTCTCATTGAATTCTAGATAAACGGGATAAATTCTGCGAGTTCATCCCGCAAGCCGGATAGCAATATGCTAAGTTCCCATATGCCATCTTTACCCCGATTTTCCATTTGATCAGTGAATTCGAGAAAAACGGAGTAAATTCTAAGCATTCATACTACAAGTGAATAGTACCCTAAGTTCCCACATGCTATCTTTAACCCGGTTTTCCATTTTTTTTTACAATGAATTCTAGAAAAACGAGGTAAATTCTGCGAACTCATCCCGCAAGTGCTAGCAATACGCTAAGTTCCCATATGCCATCTTTACCCCGATTTTCCATTTGATAAGTGAATTCGAGAAAAACGGGGTAAATTCTGAGCATTCATGCTACAAGTGAATAATACCCGAAGTTTCCATATGCTATTTTTACTCCGATTTTCCATTTTTTTCAGTGAATTTGACAAAAAACAGGGTAAAATCTGAAAAGTTATTCTCCAAATGAAATAGATCCCAAGTTGCCATATCCAATCTTCAACCCGTTTTTCAATTTTTTTTCCAATGAATTCTAGAAAAACGGGATAAATTCTGTGAAATTCATCCTTTAGGTGGATTCATTATCCTATTGACTTGCCAGAGCCACCTTTACCCCCATTTTCGATTTAATCATTGTGTGAATTTGTCAAAAACAGGGTAAAATAGGACAAATCCACCCAAAAGTGCAATAAATCCTACAATAATTTAGAAACAGTACTAAAAAAAAAACAGCTAAAATCAGCGGAACCGCAATAAAATCACAATCTACCACTTCAATTTTTTTAACGGAGGGCTTAGTGCGATACGGCAAAAACCAACAGTACTCAAAATAAACAACTGAAGGCCAAACTTCTGTGATTGAAGGAAGACTTCGTGACGCAGACAGATAATCACAACTTGGACTTCTCAGTCGAACTCACCTCCGGCAGATCAGGTGAAGTGCCAAAAATATATAATTTTATGTCGACGAACCATAATCTATGATCTTCAACTATTAAAGGAAATAAAACAATTGTGATATGACGCAACATTGTGCTTTTGTCTTAGCTTGTGGCTAAAAATATGTTGTCATTGAAGTCGCAAGTCGAGCAATGAGGAATGCAAATAAAGCAAGGCTGCAAATAAAACGTGAACAATAACGCATCCTTTAGTCGAAAGTCGCTTTGTTATTCAATTTATACACGCGCAGCAAATTGTTCTTCCAAGTTTAGGTTATAACAACGATGCGATCACTCTGCGTTAACGAACGATTGAACTTCAAGGAAAGCAACATGAGAGGCCAATGATCCGGTTCGCAGTGATCATGCGAACAGCATGTTTTCCTCAGATCAGTTACCGGAAAATACTGGTCAAATTTTCCACTTATCCCGACCCCCTTGAATGAGTACTTTTGCTTGAAGACATAACTACAACGGAGTCTCTTAACCAGTCCCAAGCCGCGTGTCGCTCAATATATCACAGGATATGATTGGCCACTGTATCACATTACGTTAGAGGACATATCTGCAATAAGCCACATGTTGCTTTCCTTGAAGTTCAATCGTTCGTTAACGCACAGTTGGTTTGCTTTTCACTTGAATTTTGCAATATCGACTTTCGATTCCGGAAAAATGAAAAGCTAAGCAACTCTACAAAAATTTTGTTGTCGATTTTTATATTTTTAGAGTCATTAAAAAGTTTGTATCCACAGCCTAAGATAAGAAATTTAATATTTCCATCAGCTGTAGTTCTTTCAGTGTTTATTATGTAAATTCAATCGCCCCATTTTACGTGGAAAAAGGCAAATAAGAAAACAGTGAGCTTCGAGAAACAGCCAAGTTAAGGCTAATGTGTTAACCATGCTTAATTATTTGTAATCAAGGCCACTCGTTCAGGAGACCTTTGTCCAAAAGATCCAGATGTTAAAATAATTCTGTTTTCCGTTCGAAGTGTTTTTTTTTTTCCTATTCAATTTAACAAATGCACTTGGAATGAAAACTTAACGTCCAAACCGAACGGCAGGTGAAAGTTTAACAAGTTTAATGATGCCTTTTACCACTGTACAAAATCCTACTAATACAATAACTACCAATAAAAACCACAACAATAATTAATAACTAACAATAACCATGTAATATTCATTAAATCTTGATTACCATATAAAAGTACAATAGGTAAAGGAAAGCAATATGGGGGAAACTGAATTCCCATATAAAAACTGCTCTCCAAGGCTAATATAAATAACTATACGTTATTTAAGAAAGAAGCTGGAGAAACAACTGAACAATGAACAAAAAGTAAAATCTGAATAAATCTCATTTCCAGATAACAAAACAAAACTATGTAGAGGGATAATTCAGTAATCAAGTTCTGGAGGAATTCAAACTGGAAGCTGAGATGGCAAAATTAGGTAAAGAGTTCCAATAAGTTAAATAAGAAATGTTGTGTAGGCGTCTCAGCGAGACGGTATATCCAGACGACTTGCATGGAAAAACTGGCCTCAGCTATCGCAACTAATTTTTTAAAATAGTGTTTAGAATTAAACTGGTGAGCAGCACTCTGCGAACAGTAGTTTTAAAACTGCTTTATTCTCCGACGCTTTTCGTCTAACTGTCGTAAACTTTTTCGGGGAGTTTTACAAGTAACACTAAACGCCTTTATTTATAAGCCATAGTTAGCGGCTATACGGGGGCCAATGACCATAAGGGCTTGGCCTGACCTACCAACAGGAACAGGGGAAGTTGCGAAAAATTTAAACATTTCTTGGGGCAAGGTGGGAGAATTATTTGGGGGCCACGGTTTTGGTTTTCTTTTTTCGCCACGCACATCACGCTGTAAGTTACAAAACGTAAATATGATTCTTCTTGATGCCCTTCCCGATGCCACCGAAACCCTTTCCAATGCCTCCATTGTTTACTACAGCAGTAAAAGATATTTGTGCAATCAACACTTTTGAAAAATTGCTTAACATTTTATTTAGTGAAGTTTCCTGTTGACATTTCGGCTTTACAACACCATTTTCATCATTTTTTACAATTGATGTCTCTATATGAAGTATTAACGTTCTTTCCCCGCTGACCACTTGTATTTCGATCATTTCTTCTTCTCCCGCTCGTCGCCCGTGATGTAATAACTCCCAATGCTGAATGGTAGAAGGGATTGATGGAGGGGAAGTCTGGGACTGGAGAAGAGGTACATAGAACCTTTCTCAATTCAAATCTTAGAATTATTGTACTTAAGGAAATGAAACAGTTCACGTAGTATCAGTGTATCCATCTTGTGCGCGGGCGAGAATCAAAGAACCTACTTGGTGCCTTTTAAAAAATAAGGCCATTACAAAAATTTAAAACGAAAATTAACACGTAAAGTTCGTCAGTAACAGTGGAACCTCGATTTAACGAAGTGCTGAGGGACTGGCAAAATTGGTTCGTTACATCGAGGGCTCGTTATATCGAAAACCTCGATTTAACGAATTTGCGGGAAAACAACCATGTTCGTTATATCGTGGGATGGTTGATACATGATAGGTTTTTTTGTGGTGTCTGGCAGTTCAATAGTCTTTAGTCTCCATCATTTGACCATAGAACATGGCAAAGAACACAGGACTACTGACTGCAAGAACAAACTTGTGAGCTGGGATCACTTTCAGCAGACGACACAGGAACAACAACACCGCTTAGTAACTCATTGTTGAAAATAGAAGTGGTTCTATCTACAAGTGTTAGAAGTTTCTTTTGCCAGATTTCTTCAATAGGTATCTCTTTGGTCTGCTCTCAGTATCTTTAGTGAGGGTCTTATCTCAGACAATGTGACATCAATTATTATTTGAGGCAACAGTTCAAAGACAATAATTTTTTTCTCTCCGATCAAAGAGAAAGAGAAAACTGCAAAGTCATGTTTAATGTGACGATGCAATTGATATCCTTCAACAACTGAGTAACCGCCCCAAACAACTGGCAATTTGTATTCTGAAGATTTATTCTGTTTATTTTGTCTCTTCTTACAACTCAAGAGTGAGTGACCCGTCGAAAAAAATTAACACTGTCTTCAAACACCTTTCTTTTCTATCAGTTCATCGCTCTTACAACTTCAAAATTCAGCAATATTTCTGCACGGTTTTATTTGTGGCGAGATGGTTTATGAATACCTTCAACCCTAAGAAGAAGCGCGGGGAACGAAACTTAAATCATCATTCATGTCTCATTTCAATAGCGACGTGATGTCACCAGACAATTGCATCAGCAATGAGTCACATATGTCACACGCAACTTCAATTCTCAGAATTTTCTTGGTGATTATCTGTTTAGTTTCTAAATAACTAGCGACAGAAATAATAAGAGTTATCTTTGTGTGACTCGTGTCGGCGCAAAATGGAGCAAAAAGTGCTGACGGAACAATGCGGGTAACGTTAGAATTTCTACTTGGATACTGAAAACAAAATTCCAGGAAACTGTCCGCTGTTTTTACCGGTCCCATTAGAGCTATCCCCCGAGCTACTAAATGTAAATTGCACTCCCTGGCACTCCACTGATGTTTGCCCGCCGTCGCCGTACCACGAGCTAGGGCCCTTGATGAGCGACTTTACCAAATACTCTTTATCTGCTTTCAAAATAACAGGACGATCGAACAACACATCAAAGCGGTAATAAGCATGGGTATCGCTTTTTTCTGAAGTATAATTTCCCGTTCGACTCACAAGCGAAGTGTTGTCCACGGGATCAACAATGTCTGTTGTAACCGTATACTCGCCGCTCTCGGAGCCAAAATGCTGAACTCCGTAAAGTTTAACAGGCTTCTTGACGGTGAGAATGATACAGTCAGTATTTCCACTGTACCACCAGCGTTCCCCTGGGGAATTAAACGTTTGAAACCTGTAGCATCGGTGCATAGTGGAATCCATTCTACTGGCTTGTAAGAACGGCAAAGGAGTAGTTGAAATACCGTTGTAGTATTTTATCATATTTCCAAGCTCTTCGTAATTTAAGATTCGCGAATCATAAACAACAGATGCAAAATCCTTCTGTGGTATCAACGGAAAGCGTATTCCTTTCACAATTTCTTCTCCAAGAATTCGTCTCTTTGTCTCTCCATCGGAAGCCACACCTTGCCTTTCACATTCTTTTGTGGCCCAGCGATTAACAGCTTTGAACAGTTCCACTTCCGTCACATTTAACAATTCTCTCTTCACAACAGACTCGACTACTGATCGCTCAACTGTAACAAATTTATCTGACGTCATCGCTTCTTCGGTCTTCTCCTCAATTACATTCCAGCATCGATCTTCTAAGTCTTTATCCTCAAATTTCTGTGCGTGTGGCAGAATACAAAACACGTTCGATGCTATCAGGTTGCTTCGAAGATATTCTTTGCATTTCTTGACAAGCGAGGGCACCAGATATTTGTTCGCTAAGTACAGCACTTGCATCACATTACTTCCGCTTAAATTCACTTTGTCGGTGTACAAGAAACGAAACAACTCCAACAGACTCTCGTACTCACAGTCAGGCAGTTCAATAGAGTCTTTAGTCTCCGCCATTAGACCATAGAACATGGCAAAGAACACGGGACTACTGATTGCGAGCACAAACTTGTGAGCTGGGATCACCTTCTTACTTTCACTTTCACCAGTCGACACAGGAACAACAAACTTCACATCGCTCAATATCTCGTTGTTGAAAATGAAGGCAGTTCTTTTGACGAGAGTTGGAAGTTCCGTCTGCCAATTATCGTCAGCTGCCATTGCTAGGTTTTGCTCTCAGTTCCTTTCACAAATCAAACTCTATTGAATACTATCAACGTTTGCCGTCAAAGGTATTGCTTGACGTAACTCCTCAAGTCACGCGTGAGGGTTAATTCCTCGTTTCCAGGTTGTCCACGTCTCTGCTCATGAAGTTACGATAACCGAACGGTTTCATTTAACCTGATATATTACAAGGGTTTGAATAATATTGCCGTTTGATCAATCTGAAAATTCTATCGAAATAATAAATATAGCAGGTTTACTGACGTATTACGCATCTATCATCTTTTTGCATCCATAATCGGTCCTTAATGCTGAAGAGAGTTACTACATCACGGGCGAGGAGCGGGGGAAGAAAAAATGATCGAAATACAAATGGTCAGCGGGGAAACAACTTTAATAATTCATATAAAGACATATCAGTTGTAGTTGTAGAAAACAATAGTGTTTGTAAAGCCAAAATGTTAGCAGTATACTTTGCTAAATAAAATGTTAAGCAATTCTTCAAAAGTTTTGATTGTACATATATCTTTTACTGCTGTAATAAACAATGGAGGCATCGGAAAAGGCACCAGTGGCATTCGGAAAAGCACCAAGAAGAATCATATTTACGTTTTGTAAATTGCAGAAAACAATCGTGTTGTAAAGCCAAAATGTTATCAAGTTACACTTCGCTGCTTAAAAAGTTGAGCAATTTTCCAAACGCTTTGACTGGAACGAAATTTTTGCTGCTATATTAGCGAACGGAGGCATCGGGAAAGGCATTAAGAAGAATGATATTTGCGATATGTAACTTATTGTATGACGAAAAAAAAGTATCTTGCCTTGTTTGAGGCGTTAATCACAGTTGGCTTGCTTTTCACTTGAATTTTGCAATATCGACTTTCGATTCCGGAAAAATGAAAAGCTAAGCAACTCTACAAAAATTTTGTTCGCGATTTTTATATTTTTAGAGTCATTAAAAAGTTTGTATCCACAGCCTAAGATAAGAAATTTAAATATTTCCATCAGCTGTAGTTCTTTTAGTGTTTATTATGTAAATTCAATCGCCTCATTTCACGTGGAAAAAGGCAAGTAAGAAAACACTGAGCTTCGAGAAACAGCCAAGTTAAGGCTAATGTGTTAACCATGCTTAAATATTTATAATCAAGGCCACTCGTTTAGGAGACCTTTGTCCAAAAGATCCAGACGTTAAAATAATTCTGTTTTCCCTTCGAAGTGTTTTTTTTTTCCTATTCAATTTAACAAATGCACTCAGAATGAAAACTTAAGGTCCGAACCGAACGGCAGGTGAAAGTTTAACAAGTTTAATGATGCTTTTTACCACTGTACAAAATTCTACTATACAATAACTACTAATAAAAACCACAACAATATTAATAACTAACAATAACTATGTAATATTCATTAAATCTTAATTACCATATAAAAGTACAATAGGTAAAGGAAAGCAATAGGGGGAAACTGAATTCCCATATAAAAACTGCTCTCCAAGGCTAAAATAAATAACTATACGTTGTATAAGAAAGAAGCTAGAGAAACAACTAAACAATGAACAAAAAGGAAAATCTGAATAAATCTCATTTCAAGATAACAAAACAAAACTATGTACAGGGATAATTCAGTAATCGAGATCTGAAGGAATTCAAACTGGAAGCTGACATAGCAAAATTAGGTAAAGAGTTCCACTAGGTTAAATAAGAAATGTTGTGTAGGCGTCTCAGCGAAAGGTATATCCAGACGACTTGCATGGAAAAACTGGCCTCAGCTATCGCAACTAATTTTTTAAAATAGTGTTTAAAACTAAACTGGTGAGCAACACTCTGCGAACAGTAGTTGTAAAACTGCTTTATTCTCCGACGCGTTTCGTCCAACTGTCGAAAACTTTTTCGGGGAGTTTTACACATGTTACAAGTAACACTAAACGCCTGTATTTATAAGCCATAGTTAGCGGCTATACGGGGGCTAATGACCATAAGGGCTTGGCCTGACCTACCAACAGGAACAGGAGAAGTTGCGAAAAATTTAAACATTTTTTGGGGCAAGGTGGGAGAATTATTTGGGGGCCACGGTTTTGGTTTTCTTTTTTCGCCACGCACGTTACGCTGTAAGTTAAAAAACGTGAATATGATTCTTCTTGATGCCCTTCCGGATGCCACCGATACCCTTTTCAATGCCTCCATTGTTTATTACAGCAGTAAAAGATATTTGTGCAATCAACACTTTTGAAAAATTGCTTAACATTTTATTTAGCGAAGTTTCCTGTCGACATTTCGGCTTTACAACACCATTTTTACAATTGATATGTCTCTATATGAAGTATTAACGTTGTTTCCCCACTGACCATTCGTATTTCGATCATTTCTTCTTCCCCCGCTCGTCGCCCGTGATGTAATAATTCCCAATGCTGAATGATAGAAGGGATTGATGGGGGGGAGGTCTGGGACGGGAGAAGGGGTACATAGAACCTTTCTTTCTTGCAATTATTGCACTTAAAGAAATGTAACAGTTCACGTAGCATCAATGTATCCATCTTGTGCGCGGGTGAGAATCAAAGAACCTATTTAGTGCCTTTTTCTGGTGCCTTCTCCATTACTGGGGGCTATTCGAATTTCTTTTTCACACTACTTTGTGACCCAGCGATCAACAGCTTTGAACAGTTCCACCTCCTTTACATTTAATACTTCTCTCTTAACAACACATTCAACAACATATCGCTCAACTGTAACAAATTCGTCTGACGTCGCAGCTTCTTCGGTCCGCCGCTCAATCACCTCCCAGCATCATGGGATCTTCTAAAGATTTACCGCCAAATTTCTGAGCATGTGTCAGGATACAAAACACGTTGGATGCTGTCAAGTTGTCGCAAAGATGGACTGGGCATGGCTTCGAGGTAGTAAGACGTGCCGTTCCGCGCTCTGCTCGAAAAGTATCTAAAATGGCTTCAAAGTTTTATGTATGAGTATTCTGCGCTCAGGAAAGAAGCTTAAAGTTCAGTCTACTATGTCCGCGGAAAACGTTGTGGAGCTGAGTCGCCTGGTGAAAAGTCTTGCAGAAAAAATCGATAAGTTGGAAGCTTCGAGCCAAAGTCGCCATGATACTATCTTAACGAAGCTGACAACGCTTGAAACTACAACGAGCGAATTATCCGCAGGTTTAGAAGGGATGTATCAAGAAATGGAAGCAGTGAAACAAACCTTGCAGAAGAAAGCTGATTTAGTACAAGTGGAACTACTTGAGAAGAAATTAGAAGAAATGGAGAATCGTTCTAAGAGAAATAATATTGTTATTTGGAACATTCCAGAAGGTGCCGAAAAAGACTCGTCCTGCTTAGCGCTTGTAACTTCGATCTTGACGGAACACATGGGCCTAGAGGAGATAGAAGTAATGCGGGCCCACCGCACAAATATCAAACAAAGGCAAAGTCCTACAAGTGGTGCAACTCTACCTAGGCCAGTTCACGTATATTTATTAAAATATACCGCCAAGGAATACATCTTGCGTAATGCGGCCTCTAAGTTAAGAGGGAATCCTTTCCATGAAGCAAATCTATACATTTCAGACGACGTATCAAAATCTGTGAGGGAGCAGCGCAAAAAGCTTAAAGAGAGGCACCTGAATGAAATCCGTAGTCGAGAAGATGTCCAATTCGCCTATATTCCTTGGAGCGTACCGGCCAGGATCATTTTTAAATTGAATGGTGAGTCAAAACTTAAGTCCTTCTACCTGCAAGCTGAAAATGCCAACACCAGCTAAACCGACTACTGGACTTGATCGCGTATTGCTTTACTATCAAATATACTATCTTTGTTCTAGAATTGTCTACAATATTTTAAGATGAATTATCTAGCTCTTCATTTAATTTCACGAATTCGAAGGCCGCTATTTGTTAATCTTTTTTTTTTTTTTTGACAAATGATAAAATACATTTATAGGAAGCCATAATTACTGTCAATCATGTTATTAAGGTAATATTTATCGGTTTGGAGCGAGTGCGGCTGAAGGGGAGAGAAAGGATGCTACACTCCTTCAGGAGGGAAGATGAAAATTTGAAATTTGATATTATTTTCCAAGCTAAATTATTTACTATGTGTTTATATTTTTGTGTCAGTGTTTTCGTTTCTTTGTGTAGAGCGATGCAAATAATTATTCAAAGGTGTGTTATAAGGCAAATGGTCTTCCAGGTTTTTTCCGTACCAAATAAGAAAAATCATAGCAGAAATGAGTGATTTTAGAATGCTTTCATTAAATGTTAGAGGCTTGAGCAATTTTAAGAAACGACGCGCAATTTTTGCATGGTGCAGGAAACAAAATGCAAATATTATTTTTCTTCAAGAAACGCATTCAACTGGAAACAATGAGAAACAATGGAAAGCTGAATGGGGTGCCCCTCTGGAGCTCGCTCATGGGAGTAGTGGTTCAAGGGGTGTTGCAATACTCTTTCGAAAGGGGTTTGATTGCAAGATAATTAAAAAAGTCATTGATCCCAATGGGAGATATATTAGGATTGAAGTTCAAATCAATGATGAAAAATATTTTTTAGTGAATGTTTACGGTCCAAACAATGATAATCAAGCTGTGCAATTCTATGATCATTTAATTGACGTTCTAAGGAAAGAAGGTCTCGCTTATGAAGATAAAATAATAAGAGGTGGCGACTTCAATTGTCCCATTAATCCGCTACTGGACAAAAAAGGTGGGATACTGGTATTAAGGAAGAAAGTTGTTGAACGCATTGAAGAAATACAAACAACATTTAATTTGCATGATGTATGGCGTGTAAAAAATCCCCAAGCAAAAAGCTTTACATGGTCCCAAAAATCTCCATTTATTTTTTGTAGATTAGATTATTGGCTCATCTCAAATTCACTTCAGGACTTGATTAAAGATGTCAACATCATTGCAGCAATAAGGTCTGATCACTCAGCAATTTTCTTACATCTACAGGAAATCGAAGAATGTCAGCGAGGCCCGGGGTTTTGGAAAATGAATACTTCCTTATTGACTGATGAAAATTTTGTTCAAAAGATGAAAGAAAAGCTAGACCAATGGAAAAAAGAGGGAGAGGAATTTTCAGATGTGAGAGTTGCTTGGGATTGGATTAAATATAAAGTCAGACTCTTTTGCATAAATTACTCAAAAGAAGTAGCTAAGACCAAAAGGGAGAGAGAAGAAAAGCTGCAAAGAAAATTGCAAATTGCTCAAGCACAGTTTCAGCAGGCCCCCTGTGAGGAGGTCGAAAAAATTCTTGATGAATGCAAAGCAGACTTGGAAAATTTTTATGAGGAAAAGGCTAATGGATTAATTGTGCGTGCCAGGGCGAGGTGGCATGAATACGGCGAAAAGAGTACTAAATATTTTTTGAGTTTAGAAAAGAGAAATTACACCAGGAAACACATAAGAAAGCTCTGTTTAAGTGGAGTCATTACTAAAAACTATCAAAAAATATTGGATTCCGCTACGGAGTATTACAAGTACCTATATAGTAGCAAATTGAAGGTAGACCAATCTGACTCATTACATCACTTTCTTGGAAATTCGAATATTCCACAACTATCGCAAGAGGAAAGATTAAGCTGCGAGGGTCAAATAACCATAGCGGAATGTGTTAAAGCACTTGATACATTTGACACGGGGAAGACGCCTGGAAATGATGGAATTCCTTTTGAATTTTATAAAATTTTCTGGAATTCTGTTGGGGAATTAATGACTGAAGTTTTTAATCATTGTTTTGAGCTAGGGCAAATGTCAAATTCTCAAAAGCAGGCGATCATCACCTTGATCGACAAAAAAAAAGGAAGGGACAGGATGTTTTGGAAAATTGGAGACCAATCTCGTTGATTAATGTCGACTCAAAAATCGCAACTAAGGTCATCGCAAATAGAATAAAAAATGTTCTTCCCTCTGTAATCCATGCAAATCAATCCGGTTTTATGAAGGGTAGGTTTATTGGAGAAACAGCTCGTTTAATCTTAGACATTATCGCTCATACTGAAAGAACTAGGAAAGATTAAGCTGCGAGGGTCAAATAACCATAGCGGAATGTGTTAAAGCACTTGATACATTTGACACGGGGAAGACGCCTGGAAATGATGGAATTCCTTTTGAATTTTATAAAATTTTCTGGAATTCTGTTGGGGAATTAATGACTGAAGTTTTTAATCATTGTTTTGAGCTAGGGCAAATGTCAAATTCTCAAAAGCAGGCGATCATCACCTTGATCGACAAAAAAGGAAGGGACAGGATGTTTTTGGAAAATTGGAGACCAATCTCGTTGATTAATGTCGACTCAAAAATCGCAACTAAGGTCATCGCAAATAGAATAAAAAATGTTCTTCCCTCTGTAATCCATGCAAATCAATCCGGTTTTATGAAGGGTAGGTTTATTGGAGAAACAGCTCGTTTAATCTTAGACATTATCGCTCATACTGAATCACTACAGTTACCAGGTGTTTTACTGTTTATTGATTTTGAAAAAGCTTTTGACTCCATAGAACATGAATTTCTTTATAAAGCATTAGAGTGTTTTAATTTCGGACCCTCCTTCATAAATTGGATTCAAACGTTTTACAATAACCTCTCAGGTTGTGTTCTTAATAATGGTTTTTTCTCTTCTCCTTTTCAACTAGAAAGGGGTGTTAGGCAGGGAGACCCTCTGTCGCCTTATTTATTTTTAATTGCCATTGAAATTATGGCGATATCTATAAGAACAAATGAGAATATTGAAGGCATAAAAATCGGGGAAGATGAAACTAGGTCTCTGTTGTATGCCGACGACATGACAGCTACTCTAGCAAATATTTCATCAGTCGAAAAAGTAATACAAATCCTTAATGACTTCGAAAAATGTTCTGGCTTAAAAATGAACCTTTCTAAAACCAAAGCTATGTGGGTTGGAAAAAACAAAAATTCTTTAGAAGCACCTCTGGGCTTTGAGTGGTGTACAGGTGTTAAGACCCTAGGTATTCACTTCTCCTGTGATCAAGAACTAGTTATAAAACAAAATTTCCAGGATAGATTAAATGAAGTTCAAAAAATGATTAACTTATAGAAACTCAGAGGTCTCTCCCTATTTGGCAAAGTAACAATGATTAAATCTTTCCTAATCCCAAAATTATTATATGTTTCTTCAATAATAGAAACCCCACCCGAAATTATTAAACAGATGGAGAAAATGATCTACAAATTTTTGTGGAAAGGCCCTGATAAAGTCACAAGGCTTTCTGTGATAAATACTTTAGAGAATGGCGGACTGAATCTCACAGACCTTGAGCTACATATTAAAGCATTAAGATTGTCCTGGATTCCGCGTCTCATAGATGAGAAGGAAGGGCCCTGGATTTCTTATCTCAAATACAACTTAAAAAAATACGGAGGATGTTTTCTTTTTAGATGTAACTATGATGTAAATGATCTTGACTTAAGTCTTAGTAAGTTTTACTTACAACTTCTTAGATGGTGGGCGGATTTTAGATGCTCCTTTTCTGATGTGAATTATTCTCAAAATGTAATTTGGAATAATAAGGATATACGAATAAATAATAAACCTGTTTTTTATAAAACATACTTTGACAAGGGCATAACTTATTTGAATGATTTACAGTTCGATGTTGACAATGTGCGTTCTTATGAATTCTTTAAGCAAAAAGGACTTAACACTAATTTCCTGACTTGGACAGCCTTGAGATCTTCTATTATTAATATGAAATCAAAAAGCTCCTGTCCCATCCCCACAGCGGGTAATCTCGATCCTATGAATTTTGATTATAAGTCTAAATCTTTTTATGCATATACTGCAAAGTGTAAACAGTTTTATTCTACGATGATAACAAGTAAAGCGAGAATCCCGAATGGCTTCAAAAAGTTGACAGCGGATTTTCAGCTTTCAAATGCGCAGGAAGTTTTCTCTATTCCTTATCTTGTTGCGAGCGAAACGTATGTTTGGTCGTTTCAATACAGAGTATTGAATTTCATTTTGTTTACAAACGATAAATTGTTCAAAATAGGGTTAAGTGATTCGGACAAGTCTTCTTTTTGTGGAACCTATACGGAAGATCTGTACCACCTCTTCTTTAACTGCTCCTTTGTGCAAGCTTTTTGGAACGTATTTACAGTCTGGTGGTTTGATCTTAGTGGCGAATATTTAATTTTGTCTTTAAAAGATATTATGGTTGGCTTACTTCAGAGGAACGATCTGTTAAATTATTTGATAATTTTAGGGAAATTGACTATTTGGGAATGCAGAAAAAATAACACCTCTCCAATATTTAGATTGTTTTTGCACAAGGTTGAAGTTAAAAAACAAGTTGAAAAAATAATTGCTATAAGAAACAGAAAGCTTCGCGATTTTCAAATTAGATGGGAATTTCTCATATAATTTTGTGTTTGCCCTTTTTTTAAGGAAAAGAATGGAAGACCAATGCATAAACTTAGATCTCATATTCTTCCTTGTTTATTAGTTTATTGTAGTTTATTTTTGTTAGAGAATTAACTGGGCGTCGCCATCGCCGGTATGTGTCACTGTGCAATGTTAAAAAGAAAAATAGTACTTTTTGTATGTAATGGTATAATTAGTCGATTGTGTTGTTAATAGAGCTGGATACTGTAAGTAGTGTAATTATTAGTGACTGTAAGTAGAGTAATGTAAATAAGCATTGTAATTAGTGTAAGTGGTATTTCATATTGTATTGTAAGTATTGTGTTTGTAATTTAAAAATAAAAAATAAAAATAAATTTTAAAAAAATTTAAAAAAAATAAAAAAGTTGTCGCAAAGATATTCTGTGCACTTGTCAAAGAGTGAAGGCACCATGTATTTCTTCGCCAAGTACAACACTTGCATCACATTACTTCCGCTTAAATTCACTTTGTCGCTGTACAAGAAACGGAACAACTCCAACAGACTCTCGTACTCACAGTCAGGCAGGTCAATAGAGTCTTTAGTCTCCGCCATTTGACCATAGAACATGGCAAAGAACACAGGACTACTGATGGCAAGAACAAACTTGTGAGCTGGGATCACTTTCTTACTGTCACTTTCAGAAGTCGACACCGGAACGACAAATTTCACATCGCTCAGTAACTCATTGTTGAAAATAGAGGTGGTTCTATCAACAAGTTGGAAGTTTCGTCTGCCAAATTTCTTCCAACAGGTAACCGCTCTAAGCAGCTGGAAAATTTAAATAACGAAGATTAATTTTATTAATTTTGTCTCTTCTTACGACTGAACAATGTCTGACTCGTCGGAAAAATTTAACACTGTCCTCGATAACCTTTCTTTCCTTTCAGTTCATCGCTCTTACAACTTCAAAAGGCAAGTAATATTTCTGCACGGTTTTCTCTTATTTTCTGGTAAGATGGTTTATGAATATCTTCAACCCTTAGCACAAGCGCGGGGAACAAAAATTGAATAAATCCATATCTTATTTCAAGAGAGAAGTGATGTCACCAGACAGTTGCATCAGATGATGAGTCACATATGTCTCACAAAACTTCAATTCTCAGAATTTTCTCGGTGATTATCAGCCTAGTTTCCAAATAACTAGCGAGAGACATTGCTCATCGACAATCACGTCTTGCAGAGTGAATCAAGAAGAGTCATCTTTGTGTGTCTCGTGTCAGTGCAAAATAATGCAAAAAGTGCTAACAGCAGCTTTTTGTATTTTTGGAATGAACGGGAAAGCCAAGGAAGACTGCGTCTTCGAAGTCCAAAGAGGGTTTTCTTTCGCTTTGTCAGATGATGGACAGGTCAAGAGGAATGGGATTTTTTCGCTTCGGTGCCTTCAAATTGAGGGAAACCCCCGTTTTTGTCTCTCTTCGCTTTTTCATTTTTAACTTAAAGCAGAAGATCGTCGCTTCCTTTGCCATCAGCATATAACAGAACAGTTCAGCTAGCCAATGAGCTCGATAGGATTCGTGGGTCTATTTGATCTAAATCTTATACTGACTAAAGAAAGGGGAGTTTCTGAAGCTGACGACGTTTCAAGCATTGACCCTTCTTTAAAGTGAGACGAAGGGCTAACGCTCTAAAAGTAAGCTTTACAAACTTTTTCCGGTGGCCGATTTACATTATCAACTCAGTTGATAAAACCAATAGATCTGATAACGTGGGCTCGCTATCGTCTCAATTTCTTTTGTCTCAATCAAAATGCTTTGTTCTAACTTGTCCGCGCTGAGTCTACGACAAAAATTTGTCACTTGTAATATTTATTAGCCAGACTTTGGAAGCCTACTAGTACTGTTTTTGTTGAAAATTCCTTTCCAGCCTTGAATGGTATGTTTTTTAATTCGACTTCTTACATTTACAAGAAAGTAAAGGAGAGCATACGAAATATTTTATTCCATTGCTTAAAACAACATTTAGCTACCAAATTATTATTCATTCTATAAACAATAGGGTTCTCTAACTGACTTATAAGGATCACATCTAACAAGAGTTTTGGGTCAACTCTGATAGGTCCGCTTAGCGATCTAACTTGTAGTTTTATATCCGCTGTGTTTGTCAAAGGATCCACATGTGTATACCTGGACATCCGCGATGACTGATACAATTGATCCAATACTACCTGACCTATTAGACTTTCACAGGGCTCTACGTAAAAGGGACGGTTTGGGTAACGTTAGAATTTTTACTTGAATACTGAAAACAAAATTCCAGGAATCTGTCCTCTCTTTTCATCGGTCGCAATATAGCCATACTTCGAGCTACGAAATGTAAATTGCACTCCCTGGCACTCCACTGATGCTTGCCCGTCTTTGCCGTACCACGGGTTGGGGCCCTTGATGAGCGACTTTACTTTGTATTCTTTATCTGCCTTCAAAATAACCGGACGATCGAATAACACATCAAAGCCATAATAAGCATTGGCATCGCTTTTTTCTGAAGCATAATTTCCTGCTCGACTCGCAAGCGAAGTGTTGTCCACGAGATCAACAATGTCTGTTGTAACTGTATACTCACCGCCTTCTGAGCCAAAATGCTGAACTCCGTGAAGTCTAACAGGCTTCCTGACAGTGAGAATGATAGAGTCAGGAGTCTCATCGTAATTCCAGAAAACCCTTGGGGAACAAAACGTTTTAAACCTGCAGAATCGGTGCACAGTGGAATCAATTCTACTGGCCTTTAAGAACGGCAAAGGAGTATTTATCAGACCGTTGTAGTATTTTGTCATGTTTCCAAACTCTTCATAATTTAAGATTCGCGAATCAAATACAACAGATGCAAAATCCTTCTGTGGTATCAACGGAAAGCGTATTCCTTTCACAATTTCTTCTCCAAGAATTCGTCTCTTTGTCTCTCCATCGGAAGTCACACCTTGCCTTTCACATTCTTTTGTGGCCCAGCGATTAACAGCTTTGAACAGTTCCACTTCTGTCACATTCAACACTTCTCTCTTCACAACAGATTCGACAACAGATCGCTCAACTGTAACAAATTCATCTGACGTCATCGCTTCTTCGGTCTGCTCCTCAATTACTATCCAGCATCGATCTTCTAAGTCTTTATCTTCAAATTTCTGTGCGTGTGGCAGAATACAAAACACGTTCGATGCTATCAGGTGGCTTCGAAGATATTCTTTGCATTTCTTGACAAGCGAGGGCACCAGATATTTGTTCGCTAAGTACAGCACTTGCATCACATTACTTCCGCTTAAATTCACTTGGTCGGTGTACAAGAAACGGAACAACTCCAACAGACTCTCGTACTCACAGTCAGGCAGTTCAATAGAGTCTTGAGTCTCCGCTATTCGACCATAGAACATGGCGAAGAACACAGGACTACTGATTGCGAGCACAAACTTGTGAGCTGGGATCACCTTCTTACTTTCACTTTCACCAGTCGACACAGGAACAACAAACTTCACATCGCTCAATATCTCGTTGTTGAAAATGAAGGCAGTTCTTTCGACGAGAGTTGGAAGTTCCGTCTGCCAATTATCTTCAGCAGCCATTGCCAGGTTTTGCTCTCAGTTCTCTTCACAAATTAAACTCTATTAAATACTATAAACCTTTGACGTCAAGGGAATCAGTTGACGCGACACAGTTGTTCCTCGAGTAACGCAAAGGAATAAATTCCTCGTTTCCAAGCTCTTTCAGCCTTTGCTCACGAAGTTACGATGACCAAACGGTTTCATTTAATCTGATATATTCCAACATTTTGACTAATATTGTTGTTTGATCAATCTGGAAATTCTACCGAAATAAAAAATGCAGCAGAATGACTGACTCATAACGTGTCTACCATCTTTTTGCACACGCTGAATGATAGAGAGGATTGCGGAGAGGGTCTGGGACGAGGAAAGGGGTACATAGAACCTTTTTCAATTCAAATCTTAATATTTCTGCCTTTAAAGAAATTTAACGGTTCACGTTAGTATCAATGCATCCATCTTGTGCGCGGGCGAGAATCGAAGAACCTATTTGGTGCCTTTTAAGATATAAGATCGTAACAAAAATTTAAAAGGAAAATGAACAGGTAAAGTGCGTCGTTACAGTGGAACCTCGATGTAACGAAGTGCCAAGGGACTAGGGAAACTGTTTCGTTATGTCGACGGTTCGCTACATCGAAAACCTCGATTTAACGAATTTGCGGAAAAACAACCAAAATGTTCGTGACATCGGGAGATGGTTGATAGATGTTTTTTCTGGTGTAAGGCAGTTGAATAGAGTCTTTAGTCTCCGCCATTTGACCATAGAACGTGGCAAAGAACACCGGACTTTTGATTGCAAGAACAAACTTTTAGGCTGGGATCACTTTTTTACTTTTACTTTCAGTAGACGACACTAGAACGACAAATTTCATATCGCTCAGTGAATCATTCTTGAAAATAGAAGTGGTTCTATCAACGAGAGTTGGAGGTTTCGTTTGCCAGATTTCTACAATAGGAATCTCTTTGGTCTGCTCCCAGTATCTTTAAGGGTCTTATCTCACACAATGTGACAACAATTTGAGGCAACAGTTCAAAGACAACTATTTTTTCTCTCCGATCAAAGAGAAAGAGAAAACTGCAAAGTCATGTTTAATGTAAAGATGCAGTTGATATCCTTCAACAAGTAACCGTCCCAAACAACTGGCAATTTGTATTCTGAAGATTTGTTTTGTTAATTTTGTCTTTTCCTACAACTCAACAGTGTCTGACCCGTCTGGACAATTTAACACTGTCTTCAATAACCTTTCTTTTCTTTCAGTCCATCGCTCTTACAACTTCAAAAGGCAAGCAATATTTCTGCACGGTTTTCTTTTCTTTTCTGATATGGTGGTTTATGAATACCTCCAACCCTATGCACAAGCGCAGGGAACAAAACTTGAATCATCCTACATATCTCATTTCAATAGAGAAGGGATGTCACCGGACAGTTGCATCGGCAATGAGTCATACACGTTACACAAAACTTAAATTCTCAGGATTTTCGCGGTGATTATCAGTCTAGTTTCGAAATAACTAGCGAAAGACATTGCTCATCGACAGTCATGTCCTACAGAGTGAAATGACAAGAGTCATCTTTGTGCATCTCGTGTCACCCCAAAATGGTGCAAAAAGTGCTGACAGCAGCTTTTTGTAATTTTGGAATGAATGGGAAATTCCCAAGGAAGACTCCGTCTTAAAAGTCCAAAGAGGTCTTCATTTCGCTTTGTCAGATAATGAAGAGGTCAAGAGGGATAGGATTTCTCCCTTCCGTGTCTTCAAATTGAGGAAAACCCCCGTTTTTGTCTCTTCTCGGTGTGTAAAGTTTAATGTAAAGCAAATTAATTTAACTCATGCTACCGCTAAATGAATAACAGGCTCACACAGATCACGAAACACATCATGAGCATTCATAGCTTAAACGTTTGGTACTTCAATGACGATCTCAACGGCTTCTCTTGGGTAAACTGGATCAAAAATTGGAAAATTCGAAATTGACAAACTATTCAGGAGGCAAAATCCAACTGAATTAGCATGACTTATGGCATGTTGATCATTTCACAAAAAGAGAGTTTTGCGCATTATTTTCTTCTTTCAGCTCTTTTTCGCCATCTTGCTACAACAATTCACATAGAGAATTCGCAATTCACATAGACCTGTAGACAATTCTCATAGAAAAGATTTTTGTTAGAAAGCTGAATATGGGTGGGCAACTTCACTTTCTGGTGGAAAGGGTGTCGAATTTTGAGAGGGAAAGAATAGTTGAAAATTCGGGAAAAGTGAACCCACGGTCACGATTATTGATAGCAAATGATAGCAGTTAGATAACGTATAGGTGCGATTTTACAGGCTATCAGCCCTCAAAGTGACTTGATTTTTATCACATGTTTAAAACAGAAGAAAAAAACAAAGAAAAGCGCAATTTCCAAAGTTGTAGTTTATATGACGTGCGATAATTGATGAAAACGTTTTACAATTTTCCCCAGCGTTATTAAATCTTGCGCGTGGATTCTTGATATTCGAGAGAATTTCATTTTTAGCCGCCTTGTTTTTATTCTTTTGTGCCTTTCCTTTTTCTATGTTCAGGCTATAAATTAATACAGCACAGCTAATTTTGCCCCATATACATCAATTCGAAAGCCATTGAACATAGCCTATTCCGGGCGTTCAGTTAATAAAACGGCGCGCGATACTAAATAACGACATAGTAGAGGAAGAGTGAAAACACAAGCGTGGCTTGGGTCGGGTGCCGTTATGACCCAAGCCTCCCTCGCCTCTTCACTCCTCCGCTACTGGCGCACCGTTTGCTATTTCGCTACTTTTCTTTCCTGACTGATCACCTGGAACAGGTTTCTGTGAACAGTAATAGGCTCTAAATCCTCATCAATCGCTTAAGTTTCGCTGTAATTTACTAGGGGGGAGTCTCCACCTAATTTCCACCTATGCTTAGAGCTTCGACTAAACATGAAAGATGGAAATTGGGGTTGACTGCTACTCTCCACTGAGGGCATGAAATCAACCTTCGCTCCTCTGGATTTAAGAGACATTTCTCCCTACCATGATTGGCTTGTTAGTTGTAAATTAAATACTGTCAGTTCTACCTGACTAAGATCAAATAGCTTTCTTTTTATTTTTTTTGTCTAGCTATTTTCTCTCCTCGATTTCGTTTGACTCGAATCGGGTCACTCTAGAAAAGAGGGATTGCTCTTCCAATTTAAAAATCGTTGTTCGGGACGAACAAATTTCTTTCTATGAGAGTTGGGGGATTTGTCTACCATTTTTCTACAGTATTCATTGCCATGGTGTGGTCTAAGTTTTATTCAAATTCCTCATTTGATGAAGTGGATGAAACATTCTTATCGAGTCAAAAATTTGTGCCGTAGGTTGATAGAACGTTGGTATCGATCTGAATACGGTACTACTTTTAGTTCAGCTCTACCTGACTAAGACCAAATAGCTTTCTTTTTATTTTTTTGTCTAATTATTTTCTCTCCTCGATTTCGTTTAACTCGAATCGGTTCACTTTAGAAAAGAGGGATTGCTCTCACAATTTAAAAATCGTTGTTCGGGACAAACAAATTTCTTTCTATGAGAGTTGGGGGATTTGTCTGCCATTTTTCTCCGGTAATCATTGCCATGGTGTGATCTAAGTTTTATTCGAATTCTTCATTTGACGAAGTGGATGAAACACATCCTCGTCGAGTCAAAAATTTGTGCCGTAGGTTGATAGAACGTTGGTATCGATCTGAATGCGGTACTAATCTGAGTTTTGGACACTAACGATTTTGGCGTGACTAATTGACACATAGGACCTCGATCTAATTTTGAATGGCAACATGTCACTCATTACTGGTATGAGAAAAAAAAAAGCTTGACCAGTTTAAACAAGACGAAATATTGTTAGACGATTTCTTTAACACTCGGTTGAATTCTTTTATTTTCTGGCTTGAACTACTGGTACAATTTTCTTCTTACGGGGACTAGTCCAGTCTTGACCTTACTCAATACAGTTCAGCTTATTCCTTTTAACAAAACTCAACTCTGCTCTATTCTGCTCTTTCTGATTGAAAGATGCTGTGCACCAGCTTATAAAGGTGGCACTAAAGGTGACACTACTAAGCTGTCAATCTTCTTCTATTGTCATCATTCTATCTCAACCAGCGAATCACGTTAAGTTACGTACGAGAGACCCTGCATAATAAGTTTGCGTCTTCGAGTCGTTTACGCAGTTACAAAATCATTTTCTACCTTAAATTTCTTACATTTACGATTGAGATCGGCCAGAACAGAAGCAAGATTGATAATATTAAAATTATCATAAACTTAGTAACAGGATTAAAATCATACTTGCAAAGGTATCTTAAAAGAAGGTTGTTGCCTAACAGCAGAGTAAACACAAAATTCGGAGAAGAAAGAGCGTACCCACGGTAACGCCCCTGTGAGAAATTCGCATAAGTTATCCAATTACAAATTCAGTGCGGCAGTTAAAAGTACTTCACGTTTACACCTTAAATCACCTCTAAGAAAAAGAGGTGTCGAACGTGTTAAATTAAAAACTGAAAACTATTTTTCCTGATCGGGAATTCGACATGGATTTAGCCTAAAAACGAGAGTATTAAATCTATAAAAGTATAAAGGAGGGTTATTTCCAGGAAAGTCCTGTACGGGATCAATTTTATAGGGTAGAGTAATTTTCTTAGTACTTAATTATTTTTTTAGCAACATAATGAAAATATACTGGTAACTAGCAGCAAACCGCAGTGTACGCAAAAACATCTGTCTCCACGTCAAATTCACAACCACAATAAGAAAAAGGTGAAAGAAATTGTACTTATGTAGATGAGATGTAGATGAGACCGCCAAAAGGAATAAGAAATGATCAACCTGGTTATTATAATTTTTTGTATCGCATGGCTTAAAGAAATATAATATTTCCATTCCTTTTTCCCATCACCAATACAGGGAGACCCTTACAATATTTCAAATAAAATATAGTTCTATTTTTATTGTTTAACAAGTTTCAATTCTTTCAGAAAAACAAAATTAAAGCAAGGTATCTCTCCATATGGAGCTGTTAGAAAATTTTATCCACAAAAGCTAGCTGAAAATAAGAGCCGGAAACTGTCCCCTGGTCACTGAAGTATTATTGAAGTCACAATTTGATTCACTAAACGTGAATTGCACTCCTCCGGATTCAACTGTTGTTTGTCCCTCAAGTCCGTACCATGAAATGAGAGCTTTGAAAACTGACACTAACGTGTATTGTTTATTTGCTTCCAAACACAGTGCAGACTCAAATAATACATCGAAGCCATGATAGTTGTTCCAAGCGTCCTTTTTTGAGTGATAAGTTCCTGATTCTTTTCCAAGACAAGAGTTTAGGACGGTATCTTTAACTTCTGTAAAAACAGTGTGCTTGCCATGTTTTGAGCCAAAATATTGAACTCCACGTAACATGATTGGTTTGCTGACAGTGAACTTGATACTATCGGCTTTACTATAGTAACAGCCACTACTAAACTTCTGAAATCGGTTACTTCGCAGATGAAAGAGTTTACCCCTTCTGGTTTTCTTAAATGGCAAAGGCGACTTTAGAACGCCACAGTAGTGTTTCATCATGGTTCCAACCTCATCAAGAGTAAGAATTTGAGAATCAATCACAGCTGACACGAACTCCTTCTGTGAAATCAGTGGAAACCTTATTGCCTTTACAATATCTTCTCCAAGAATTTGTCGCTTCATTTCTCCAACAGGAATTACTCCTTGCCTTTCACATTCTTTTGTAGCCCAATGATCAGCAGCTTTGAACAGTTCCACTTCCTTTACCTTTAACTTTCTCCTCTTCACAACAGATTTAAGCACAGATCGCTCAACTGTAACAAATTCGTCTGACGTCACAGCCTCTTCTGTATGCATCTCGATCACGTTCCAGCATCGATCTGCTAAATGTTTATCTTTCAATTTCCGAGCGTATGGAAGGATGCAAAAGACGTTGGATGCTTTCAGGTTTTCTCGCAGATATTCTGCACATTTCTGTGCGAGCGAGGACACCATATATTTGTTCGCTAAGCAAAACACCTGCATCACATTACTTCCGGTTAAATTCACTCTGTCGGTGTACAAGAAACGAAACAACTCCAACAGACTCTCGTAATTACAGTCAGGCAGTTCAACAGAGTCTTTAGTCTCTGCCATTTGACCATAGAACATAGTAAAAAACAAAGGGCTACTGATTGCAAGCACAAACTTGTGAGCTGGAATCACCATCTTTCTTTCACCTTCGCCATTCGATACTGGAACAACAAATTTTACATCGCTCAACAATTCATTATTGAACATAAGCGTTGTTCTCTCGACAATCGTTAGGAGTTTCGTCTGCCAATTATCTTCACCAGTCATTGCTATGTTCTGCCTTCAGTTCTCTTCACAAATCTTGTTCGATACTATGCACTTTTCTTTGACAGGGAATCCATTTCAAGACAGGTAAGTTGTCGTGACACTTTTTCACCTCCAATCACGCAGAAAAGATTCTTTGTTTCCAGGCTCTTCAGGTCTTTGCTCGTGCTGTTATGTATGTTTGCATGCATCAAATCGATCGAGATGCTTCCATTTAATGTGATGAATTCGAAAGAAACTGTGGTGCTTCGTCGGTGCAGTGGGCGGCATAACAAGGTAATTTGCTTTTATCGACTCAGTTGAAAATGTAAATTGGCCACCGTAAAGAGTTTCTAAAGCTGACGGCAAGGTAGGTACGTCATGTATGGGCACATATTATGTCCTCAATACATATTACCACAACCGCTGACCGACAAATCCAGACGTGTGACTTCCGCTCAGATTGTCGAAACGTCTGTCACCACTACAGGCAGCAGTCCTTTTTAGGACTACACTCAACCGGATGATCATCCCTCTTGATCCGTTATTAATCAACCCCTTCACTCCCACGATCTCGATATCATTTTTTTCTTCCCCGTTTGCGATACCTTTCTGAAAATTTCAGCTCGAAGAGTTATGTGTCAAATCAATAGTTTTCATTGGTAGATGTTTAATTTCTAATCACTTTTCTATTAGGAAATTTGTTGGTATTCTTGAGAGAAATTACTTATTGGTCATTGTTGAGAGTTAAAGGGTTTAACGATCACTCTGTTTTTTCTTTTTTTCTGTTTTTCAAAAATTGTCTCACGAAGCACATGCAGGTTCTCTTCAGTTAATCATCAACACCAGTGGATATCCTAGTGTCAAAATTTGAAGATTTTGGGGATTTTTGGAAGATTTTCCCTTATTTGGGATCGAGCTGTGTGAGAAAGGAGTCCGCAAAAAAACAAAAAACAATAAATGACCTCCCCCTTCGCCCCCCTCCCCTCCCATTCTTCGCCCCTCTCCCTAGATTGGAATATCCTTTCCTAGCCCTTTGAACCATGATAAAAGACAATCATGCACCCGTCGGGCTTATCTTTAACGGATAAACTGATATTTGATATAATGTTATCATATACAAGTGTTGACGGATAACGCTGATCAGCGATCAGGCCAAGTCAACAGCCACATTATTATTAATCAACGTACAAGAATATGTCTATGAACGCTTTTTACCAGCTGATCATCTTAAGCGTGCTTCTATCGTTATCTTCTATAACAGGTAATACGCTGATGTTTTATTTCCATATACTTTTCGATTGGAGGATTTCAACAAATATTTATGCTCTAGAAATGATTTATCAAAGATTTGTCAATTTATGTACGTTGCGCCATTCGCTTATGATGAATGAAACAAAGCTCAAAGTTTGCGTTAAATAGTTGAGGTCAGTCAGGTGTAGCTACATGTAACTATGTGTTTGATTTTCTGTACGCAGTATCGTCAGGTAAACAATGAGCCTATAACAAAGATACGATTTTTACTGTTGCCCAATGGCATTGACATTGTGCGGTATTATGGGCTGTTGTAAGCTGTAACAAAACGATACTCGCTTCAGATACACATGATAATTACGTCCGTGTTTTTTGGGGCTCGTTTTCTACTCTCTTTTAACACTCTCTGAACTTTGTACTTCAGTTTAATTATTGTGAAGATTAAAGGATAAACCACCCGTGGTGTTACACGTCACGCAACGCTCTCTTTCCAGCCGATCGTTACGTGTCATTTCGGCCCCTCTATGAACGGCGGACTAAATTTATATTGGGATGTTTTGTGATATAACTTTATTACAAAAGAATCAATTGCAATTATGAAACTTGAGTCAATTGCGCCAAGGAAGCAAGAAGTGGGATGAGGTAGACGTTTCTCATCTTCACTCTGCCACAAAACGATACACAAATTTTCCATAACATTCCTGTATTGAAACTAACGGATTGAAGGAAAACAACTCTGCTAAACCATGAAGAAGGAGGGTCAAGTTATATTTCATGGTGTCACCGAGCGACTTGTGTCTAGACGAGAAAAACATCATGAGGGCAATTTAACACCCTTCCCTCCCCTAGAGCAGTCATTTACGCGAGCGTTGACTCTGCGTTATTAGGACAAGAGCCCAAGTAGTTTTAACTGTGAGTGAAACTTTTGATTGCGTTCCTTAGTCTCTTTCCCTCTCTTTACATAGGGATGATCAGTTGGCCTGAAGGACTGTATGGATTACCAATGGCCATCAATGGCTGTCCCGTCGACCCATCTATCAACTGGAAAACTGGGACGCTGTACCAAGACTGCGAGGACACGGACCCACGAACGCAACATTCGCCCGACCTCCATTTAAACGCTTTCGTCAAATATGGAGACGTACAGCGGTCATTTTGTATGAAAACATCTTCTGTGAATGATTCCAACCGGGACCAGTGGCCCTCAGGGAAGTACTGTATTTATCTGTGGGGGAAAACCTGCCCCTCGGGTATGCTTGAAGGTTGGGTCCAGTGGGACGACGAGAATACCATCATAATTTACAATAAAAACACGAGAAGGGGAACGTTACCGACAGGAGTTTACGACCAGGATACGTGAGTACTCACTGAGTGGTTAAGTCACCACATTGTACATAATTATGTTCAAGTGCATTTGTACTTTAAAAGTTTTAAGTTCATCAATGATCTTTTATCAGCTAAATTGACCATAAACCAAAAATTGTTTAAGGTAATTTCTCGAGAACCATAAAGAATATTTTTTTAAATTCGCCAAACTTCAAATCGCCTGATAAAGGCAAGCAGTTAAGCGATCAAAATGTTGTGCTCATTGATCATATAATTCCAGGTCTCGATTTAGAAACGTAAAATCTTTTAAAATCTACTCTCGTTAATTTTCTTATTTATTTATTTATTTCATGTTATCTTTGCAGCAGCCTTTTTTAGATTTTCATTTGTTATGGCTATTGACTTGCTTTACAGCTATGATTTTGTAATTATTAGGGACCACTCATCGCCGGGGGGGGGTTGGGAGATTTTGGGAGACCACATGGTTTTTTAGGGAGAATGGAGGGGGGATCAGTTGTCGCCTACAGAGTATAGAGAGGGGACTATAGAAAATTGACTGCCAATGTGGGGAGGGCCATAAGAATGTTACAGAGCCTAACCGCCTCTCGGGGGGGGGGAAAGGGATCAGGTAAATTTTGTGGTGACACCATCAAAATCCTCCAATTTCCCTCACCCTCCCCCCTTCAACCAAGTGATCAATAATGACCTCGACCAGTCCCTTCTCTTATTTCAACATCATGCACTGCGCATGGCAGACCCTATATGTAATGTACTGTCTTCGTTCCAATAGACGTATCTCTTACTGCTGCAGTGTTCTTGGCTCGACCCAGACTCCCATCGATCTTCCGTTGACTTCGCCATTCTATCTGATAGCCTATGGTAGCAAAGTCTGCCAGTTGGTTAGGGGGGCGCAGTCTAGTCTAGAATACATATTTTACGAAACAGAATACTCGACTTTCATGACGAAAAACGATTATGGTGGTGCTCATCCCTATGGTGTGACGAGAGACCCGCAAGGCCAAATGATCTTCTACTGCTATTATAGACGTGAGTTACAAGTCATATTCTGAATTAAAACAGCGATCATTATCAGCTTTCTACATGAGAGCACGTCAAAGAAAATCGATATTTTTTCAACAAACCGTAAACTCCAAAATGATTACAATTTTTGTATTATTTCGTACAATCTCTTATTCATAATTATGATTAGCCCACTTTGCCTCGATCGCATCCTCTGAATTCAAAATAATATTGTAAGCTTTAGACAAGGTAAAGAAGGCAAATTATCATGAAGAAAAAATAATGACGTACTTCCTCCATTTCGGAATAAGGTGTATTCCATCCAAATCCCCTCCTGTGATGTATCACGTGGGAACCTGGGAACAAGAACTTGCTCAAGTACGAGGCTTTAACTCGAACGATTTTGGACCTGAATTTTTAGATAGAGCTCTTTATAATGTTTTCTTTCTTTTTCTTTTTTTTTTTTTTTTTTTTTTTGGTCTTAAATTCAGCTATCCATTGTCCAGCATTAAGAAAACCTGACAACGGAATGTTAAAACCAGCTCACTGTGGCGAAAATAATCAAACTACGTTTAATGGCACATGTACAGTAACGTGCAATAGCGGGTTCATACCTAAGAATCCCGCGGGACAGATCACGTCATGTTTGAAGAACGGGACCTGGAGCATACCCATCGTCACTGGCTGTATACGTAAGTATTGCATTATGGGATAAACTGCTCGCTCATTAATTCTTAACCTACAGTAACAGTAAAAATGTATCTAAGTTTGTATAATTTTACAGAAACTTGGATCCAATGTGATCCTCAAACTTTACCCATGGGGAAATTTGTGGTGCAAGTCATTAAGCAAAAAAAAACTACGAAGGAAAAACACAATTTCACAATACCAGCCGGATGAAGACCCCTCATTTTGATCCGTACATCTGTTAAACACGGGCAGCTAACTGTCTTAAGGGTATTTGTTCGTAAGAGACTCGTTTGTGTACGATGATCTACGCCTGACGCCGCTAAATCTAGTTGAAACCAACAGTTTTACATTTTGCTCCATTCTCAGCCGCTTCCATGATAGCAGCTTCATCTAGTATGATGATCCGAACTAGTACAATTCAACCAACAACAGTCTCGAAAACTTATCCAAGTACTCTATGCTTCACGACTTATTCTACTACAAAGTCTTCTGGGATTGTAAGTACCCAGTCCTTAGTTGTACAGGCAAGTTCTACCGCTGTCTCTGCTGTCACTGAACCTTCCAAAACTACGTCATCAGCTGGTGCGCAGTCTCCCACTGTGAATGGTGGCATTAGCACTGCACCACCTCGTGAGGAAGAGACTATGTCATTTCACCAAGTGTTTCCTGGAACCAGTTTCCTGGTCGGAACAGTGATTGGTGCCTTAGCTGTTCTTGGATTGATAATTGCCATGGTTTTTTGGTATAGAAGAAGGTAGGGTACTGATGAAAAGAATAGCATAAGTCAGCAATAAGTCCTCCCCACTCAAATGAATAAATTTTTACGAATGAGGGACGAGTCATTGTTTAGGGGATCACATGGTTTTTCGAGGGGAACGAAGGTGGGATCAATCTTCGCCCACAGGGAAGAGGGGGGGGGGATCTAAAGAAAATTTATGCCAACAAGTGAGGATAATAAAAATAATTATTACAGAGCCTTATGGGAAGGAGATCAGGTAAATTTTTTCATGACATAGCCAACATCCTCTTCCTTAGGTGACCGGTCCCGAATTCTAGCTAGTTGGGCCCAAATTCCTCTCCTCTTTTGAGGCTAAAACCTAAGTATCTTGAAACTTTATTTGGTAGAACTTGTCACGAGCGTGGGACAAAGAAAAAATTTTGAGTCTCCAAAAGGAATCGAACCTCAGACCTTCAGATTCCACGCTCTGATGCTCTACCACTGAGCCACGGAGACTCTACAATGAGTGAGGTCTATTACGAAGTTCATATGACATGCGTCCTACATAATTCTAGAATCAGCAAAGTTGACAGCGGCATGTTTGTAAATAGAATGAGAGAGATGGTAAGTTTTGAGCTCGGTAAAGAAATGTACGAAGGGCTAACGTTCGAAACGGTAGCTTTTAAACTATTTACGGTGGCTGATTTACGTCATCAACTCAGTTGATAATACTAAATTACCCTGTTTTCTAGACTGCCCTCTGTTTAACTCTGTTTGACAGAGCTTTTTCTGAAGCTCCTCACCTTTTCCTACTATTTCACAAAAGAGGTGTTTCATGTTGAGTTTTCCCTCGCGTTGTCTGGGCTCTCTGCTGAGTGGTCATCAAATTGAGATGAATAAAATGAATGAGTGAAAGTGAATGCGCAAATTTGTAAACGAATGCACTGTAATTTGTGAAGCTAAAGAGTGGACAGTTCTTATCTAGTTTGGATTGGGAAAGGAATTAATGAACTCAATTTTTATTGCTAACCCTAATGCGTCTCTTTTCCTCTTAGAACACAATGTGAAAAGTCTAGAAGAGGAACAAATGTTAAAGTATACATGAGGTAAAAAGATTCTTCTACAAAAAACGTAATGGTACATTTTGCCGTTTAGAATCTTCTTCATATACTGACCTCTCAATAAAGAGAGAGCACCAAAGGCCCGCTCAGAGTAACTCATCACATTTGTATTTATCTTCACGTCTTTCTCTTTTTTTTTTTTTTTTTTTTTTCTTTTCGAAAAAAGCGATCTTGAGAAGTCTTTTTCGGTTGAGGACCTTGACACTGACAGGTTTGTATGAAGTTTGTTAGTTTCTTGGCCTTCTTTTTTCATTTTTTTTTTTTTTTTTTTTTAGTTTCTTTTCTTTCGTCATTTCTTAACTTAGGATACGTTCCACGAAAGATCTCACGGAGATTTCGTCAATAATATAGTCCAGTTTGCAAAACGTTGTGGTCCTGGGCAAAGCAATGCTTTAAGAGTGCGTGCTAACTAAGAATTCTTGAAATCGTGCTGTTATATTATCAAGGAATCAAAATCTTTCACGCCCTGTTCGGTAAACTGAAAACTGACATTTTCCTTTTCACGATAGGCCAGTTACGGATGATGCATCAGCACAAGAAAACTTTCTGTACGAAAGGTATGTTTTGGTGTACTCGACCTTTTAGTCAGTTAATTAACCCTAGAACGCCTACGAGTGATTGCCATCTAGTTTCTCCCTATAGTATCACCTCTGAGTCAAACCTTAAGGTCATGAGAATATAGAAAATGATCGCTTACTAAAGAAGCTTTTGGTTATTTTACAAACTCTCCTTGTTGTTACCAATAAAAGGCCGGGAAACGTGCAGGCAAAGTGCGGAGAATCTGCATATTTATATCAGGGTGTAGCTGGTTAATTTTTCATGAGGCGCTAATTAATTTCAACTGTCTTTAGCAGGCTTTTCACACAGCCACGAGACTGCGAGGAAAAGTCCTCTGAAAACTTATTATATGAAAGGTAAGCTGAGCCATTTTTTACCTTAACTTGCTTATAATGAGGATTGGTGGTGTTAGACTCCGGTTAGAGAGGTCTGGGTCCTAGCCTTGCCTGGTCATAGTTCTGTATTCCAGCCTCTCTCCACCCACATGTATGAATGGGTGACAATTCAAACAGCGAAATGCTGAGGGGTAACATGCAATTCTTTGGTATCCAATCCATCGGGTAGCAAAGAGGGGAGATAGTAATTCTACACTCACTTCACATATCATGCCAACATCGCAAAGTTTCCCACGCATCGTTACGTTCGAATCTTTGTAGATCACGTTGACGAGCTCACATCACCGCTAAATTGTTACCAACTTTTGAACTTTGAATTTTAGTTTCCATCATCGCGTCTCTGTCACAAAAGTAGAAGACAACGTCCTTTATGAGAGGTGAGAATCAAATCAGCTGTTGGTAACATAAACTTCAATACCCATGGTCGACTCCCGTATAGAACGTCAAAATACCTCTTCCCTTCACTCTTCACCTTCTCCCTTCTCCTCCCCTCCCTTCCCCCCTTCCCCCCTTCCCCTTCCCCCTTCCCCCTTCCCCCTTTCCCCTTTCCCCTTTCCCTTTCCCCTCCCCCTTTCCCCTTCCCCTTTCCTTCCCCTTTCCCTTCCCCTTTCTCCTTTCCCATTTCCCCTTCCCCCTTTCCCCTTCCCCTTTCTCCTTTCCCCTTTCCCCTTCCCCCTTTCTTCTTTCCCCCTTCCCTTCCCTCTTCCTCCTTTTCCTTCCCCTTCCCCCCTCCTCCTTTTCCTTCCCCCTTCCCCCTTTCCCCTTTCCCCTTTCCCCCTCCCCCTCTCTCATTATCCTTCCCTCTTTCCCCTTCCGACTTTCAACGCCTAGAATCGAGCAACGAACTTCTCTCTAATCCATTATGGCTGGGTAAAATTGTGATTAATCGCCTCTATCAGTGAGCAGAGACGGATTTTTAAAAAAGCACGTACAGACAGGCACGCGCTGAAACTAGATTATATTACTTTTGATCTGCCAGAATTTTTATGATTGGCACTATCCCTTGCTTGCTTTTCTAGTTTATCGTTTGCTGAAGGAAGAGAAGAGGAGAAGAACAAAGAGAGTGAAAGTCATCTTCATTACAAAACAATCACGTGAACGAATTGCCTTGACTCAACCTCGCTTTTTGCCACAGCTGTGGTTTCCCATCAAAGGAGACAAAATACAGGAGGGAGAGCCTTTTTTTTGAAAGCAGCATTTGAAGCTTTGATTTCTATTCTATAAAGAAAAGCACTGTGGGCCTTTGGCGAAATTTTTGACGTGGTGAGAGGATAATTTTGTGTATTTGGCTAAATGATTGCCAAAATTTACACAATAAAACTGCTGAAAATATTCAGTTTTGTAAAGATTAAAAGTTATACTCAAATATTGTTGTAAAGATTGACGTAAGACATATTCTGGCTTCAAACAGGTTTGAATTAACCCTGATCGTTGAAAATTGCCATGTTATACTTTACCGCTGTCGAGTAGTTGAGAGCGCTCTTCCACATTGGTGGAGTGCAAAGAAAAAAAAAAGGAACGTTTCCGCATTAAGTGTTAACCGTGTTGCTAAAATGGAAACATTTTTCTCTGCATTAATTTTTTTCTTTATTTTCTTTGATTGGTTTAAAAAGTGAATAAATGATGGCGAGAAGTTATATCTATAATCTCTTGATAATGCTTTTTGTTACTTGAACAAACACTCAAGTTGTGTGTGATAGTGTGGTTTGATCGTCTGAGTGAGTAAGTGTAGTCCGGAGAAGGACTTTTGAAGGTAGTTGTGACTGAAGTTTCGACAACCAGCTGAGCGGACGTCAGTCGACTGACAAAAACAACTCACTTGACTCTGATGATTACTTCCGCTCAAGCTGTCGAAACGTCAGTCACTTCCCCAGACAACTAGACTACACTATTACCGGGTTCAAACCATTTACTGTGCTGTACTTGTGTGTTGATCAATTTTTGTCTGCCTGAGGCGTAGGCGACAAGTCAAGGAAGAAAGCTTGGATCAAAGTCAGTATCTAAGCAACTGCGGACCTACCCCTCCCCTAAACCAACATTAACCCTAACTTGTGATAAGTTGACTGTTGCTGGGTTGGAGGGGGGAGCCGCGCGGTTGCTCTGATACTAAAATTGAACCAAACATGTCATGCTTTTGAAATGGTTGAACGTCACTGAGGAAGCTTTCATATTAATTATCAATACATGTAAGTAAGTGTGGTTTAAGAGGTCGTGGCTGAGCAGATGCTAATAAGACGAAATATCTCTCGTTGCATTCATCGGTATCCTGCAAGAAAGGAAACGACTGCAGAACGATGGCGGCAAATAATTTAACAGGGGAAAGAACACAAACGAAAACATTTCAAGAACTGCGCTGCTCCCCTTCCTTAGCAAGTGGATTACAACAACAGTCAATTTATCTCGCTACAGTCAACATTTTTCTCTCCGTCACAGCATTAATCGGGAATTCTCTTATCCTTGTTGCTCTTCGCAAGGAATCTTCCCTCCATCCGCCATCCAAAGTCTTGTATCTTTGTCTGGCAACAACTGATCTGTTCGTTGGTCTTCTTAGCCAGCCTCTGTATGTTACTCATTGGATGTCCTTGGTTCAAGAACACTGGAGTCTTTGTCGACTCGCAATTGACGCAGTCTCCATGACAGGCTTCACTTTATGTTCAGTGTCTTTGTTGACGATGGCGGCCATAAGCGTGGACAGACTTCTCGCCCTATTGTTGGGGCTGAGATACAGACAAATCGTATCTTTGAAGCGCATGTATGCCTTGGTAGCTACCTTCTGGCTGCTGTCCAGTCTCGCTGGGTTGTGTTACATGCTAGATCACCGCATAACCATTTGGTATGGCCAGACAACTAGGATATTTGGCCTCGTAATCCCAATTGCCTCGTACACAAAGATTTTCCGCACTCTCAGTCATCATGAGGCTCAAGCACAGGATCATATTCAACAACAGCCAAGCCGAGCAATTCAACTGAACATAGCGCAATATAGAAAAGCAGTGCACAGTGCACTGTGGGTGCAGTTGGCATTAGTTGTTTGTTATGTGCCTATGAGTATGGTGGAAATTGGTACGGCTTTTAGTAAAACATATTCATCGCATTTAATCGTTATTAGGGGAATAGCAGTAACTTTGGTCTTCTTTAACTCAACGGTGAACCCATTTCTTTACTGCTGGAGGATAAGTGAAGTAAGACTAGCAATGAAGCAATCAATCAGACAAGCACTTCGCTGTCCATGATGTTAGATCCTCCACGATTTACAATCGTGTTGATGTTTTCAAAGCTGACTTAAAGAGTCTCATTTATTATTAAAGAAAACCCGTTGTGCAAGAAGAAACGAGAAACAAAAGAAGAGAACAAAATTCGTTGCATAACTCCGTTCGATTGAATGTACACAAGACTAACATCCTTCGTGTTTCGTGCTTCCTTCTTGATCATGGATACAACTTGTGATTTAATTACAAATGAACATGCATGTACAGTTTAGAAGCAAACGGGGTGTTGGATTGATTTTAATATCTCTGCAATCTTCCCGGCAAAATGGAAATAAGCGAAGATAGAGAGGAAGATAGCTGTTATTTAGCAGTAGTGAACAATTTCAAATTTTCACCGAACAATGAGGAAGCCCCATAATCCCCGTCAAGACGGTCACCAGACTAGCTAGCGACTCGAATTTGTGGACAGTGTTTTATATTATTTATGAAAGTATAAAGATGTTTCTATTTCTAGCAATTGACGTGTAACCGAGCGCATGAAAGAAATTTGACTTTGTAACACTGGAGGGGTCTTTAAGATCGATCGTTTTTCCGGATAGAATGTTACCGTGGGCGAATAGATTTCGAGGGGAAAGTGTTGTAAACACTGATCCACTAAAAGTTGTTTCCGAGCTGTAATCGTTGTAAGTCTAGGACTTCTTATCTAATAGCGTTCACCAGTCAACTTGCACTTACTCTTTTTTTGTCAAGGCCTCTTTAAAACGCATTAACACATAAGAGCAATCCAGAATTTTCTAACATTCAGGTAGAATTTATCCATTTCTCGAGCAAATAACATGTCTCCTTGATAAACTACTTATCTTATCGTTCATAAAGTGGTTAAAGAGCGTTCTCTTATCGTAATAAATAATGGAAAAACTGATGTCTTTATGTTTGCCGACTTAAATTTGAGAATTAACTTTTAAAGTTTATTTATGCTTAAATTCAACTACTACAAATGAAATAAACAGCTGGTTGCCACCAACGCAGTCCGGGTGGGTCAACAGTCAAAAGGCCAATAACTAGCCGCCAAACTCGTAGAAGATCTTAATGGGGCAGTGACTTTTTAAGCTCACGGTTAAAATTTTTGTCTTTTCACCGCTAACGGTTTTGAGAAATTTTTCCGTGGAAGTAACCAGAAAATTTTTTTAATGTTAATATTTTGTTACGGCTAATGGTTAAAATTTATCAATTTTTATGTCCAGCAGCTATTTTTTTTTTCGCTGTTTTACGGCTAATTAAACCTCATTGAGACCTTCCTTTTACGCACACCGGAGACAAGCCCCGCGCAATGTAGGCAAACGGCACAAATAACATCCTTTTATAGATTCTTTTTGATAAATTTACAGCAAAAAAAAACAGAATTTATTTCTCTCGGGAAACACTTTCGGTGTCGTCAAATGTGTCTTCAAACACTAGCTAGCCGTGAGTTTTAAAGGGAGTTCCACATTAACGAGTCACTCAGCCGTTACCGCTTATTATGCAATTTAAAAGATATATGGTTTAAGCCCTGAAGTATAAAAATTGACTCGGTGGGCAGCACTGAAAACTTTTAGTGATGAAAAGTAGTTTTTAAATACACAAAAAGTTTTCAATAAAAAAATTAGAACCCTGTTTAAAAGATAAGCTAATATAACAGCTCATTGCTCTACATTACATAAGCTATTGTACCTACGGCAGCAGCAATTTGCATGTAGGAAAATGGCAAAATATGTATGACTGAAATATTTTTGCGAAATGTGCCAATGATTGAAGAAAGAACAGTGTGAAAAAGTGAAGCCTTATCAACAATAAGTAACTCGTCATTAAGAAAAACTTAACCAGCAACCGTCAAATGACCTAAAAATTAGATCGTTTCCAGTTAGAGATATAACTCCACGCATAAGACTCCTCTGAAACACTGCAAGAATCTCTGGACCCAATCACCTATCGTACCGCTTGTATTCCTCGTCATAACTCTGTTTCTATTAAACTGCCACCGTACCCACATAAAAACCCACTTCTAATCCCGATTAAACAGTGTGAAAAAGACAATTGCAACGAACTTGCTTTTAAGAATGTAAAAAATGTAAGGTTAAAAGTGATATTACAGGCATGTTAAGTTGTTTTTATAGGAGAAGTATTTTAGCACCTGTGGTTTTTCCTCAGGAAATAAAATACACAGTAAGACATGCGTTGAGCAAAAGAATTTGCGCGAAAGTCCTTCGAAGCAATTTGACGCGCGTGAAACTGCTCCCAATTGTCACGTCTTTTTGTGGTAGGCAGCTTTGGCGCGTTCGAATGTTCTTCGAATGTTCTTGAGTGTGAGACAAGATATGTCTTTGTGTACAGTATTGTACAGAATAGTAATACAGCTAACTCCTTTTTACTCTATGAAGAACACAACAGTCATTATAAACCGAGCCTTTCAGCTTCTTTAGCTTCAAAAAATGTGTAGGAGAGAGTGATGGTGTCCACTTTAGCCATGGCAGGATCTTCAGTGAATTCGGGATCAATGTAAAAAAATACTGGCATATCCACCTGCCAACAAAAAATAGAAGTGTTCTGATTAACATCAGACAGACTTTAAAAGAATTAAAATGTGGCCTAGTTTCCTTTATGACACCTGTAACAATGAGTGGCTGTTCCTGGTGGACAGAAGCTCTGAGAAGTTAAGTTAAAATGACAGTTACCAAACATGGATTGAGGATCTCTCTATTACCATTATTATCATGAGCTAACCCGATACTCTAATTTGTACAAAACCTTTCATTGGCTTTACAGCATGGCTGTCAAAGCCAAGAGGAATTCATGTGATATTTGTTGAAGTGGAACTCACAACAACTGAGGATGAGTGAAACACTTGAATAGGCCAACCACCACACAAACACATTTCCAACATTTTACAGGTGAAAGCAGAGTTTTTCAGCTGAGGTTCAACACTAGCACTTAGATGGGCTGGAATTTGGTGATATGCCAGGTTGTTTCGGTGTCATATTTATCCTTCTAGTTTTAAGTGGAAATGTATTCCCACTGGAAAGATTGTGAAAGCTTAACCTTACCTGTTCATGTGGATTCAGTCTCTGTTCCTCAAAGCAAAAGCACTAGGAATAAAAAAATCATTTGTAAATCACTGAAAATAATAATGTCACAAAGTAACAAAATCTCACTAAGAGTAATAAGGGCAGAAAAAATGCTATCCCTCCTTACTCCTATGAATGACTAAGACAGTATTTCTCCTCACAATATCAATACAATATCAAGGAGACAAATGAAGTGATACAAATAAATAAGAAAAGCCTCAACAAGTAGATTTTTTGTTGATCCGATACCAATTCTCAAAACTAACATCACAAAAATTACATGGCTCATAGTAAAGAGAATTTCTAATGAGATCTGGGAGTAAAATGATTAAATTTTAACAACAAAATAAGACTTACCTGGATTTTGTTGAAATATTGTCCTGCTTCAAAGGGAATCACATTATATGTTGAAATTCCTGTGATGGGCTCATTAGTTGGGTTAGTAGCAGTGTAAAATGCCAGAGCTGTTTCCCCTGGTACAAGCTGGAAAAAAAATTCAGTGCAGCTCAAGGTTAACTGCTGCTGTCATTCACATGATGCAAAAATAATTACGGATACACACACTGTAGATTTGTGATCTTGGTTGAACTGCACATGTCAAAAGAGATGATAGCACCAAAAGAACTCATTTCAATTATACCCTGATAGCTGTCTGTTGAGGTCTGAAGTTCCACTGCATGGAAGCACTCCTATCTGCATTAAACCTAATGACTAAGTCTCTTTCTGGTTTCCTTTCCATCTGCTCAATCTTCTCCCCAGATTCCTCTCTCTTCACTGTTCCACCCAAACCTGTTGCCTACACAGACAAAATAGAAACAAAAGTAATAATCCAGCTATCTTCTGTTATAACAGTGCATTAGCTTTGAGGTAAAGATAATCAAGATGTTCTTTCACCCTGACAATATGCTAACGTTTAAAATGTCAGCTTCAGTATTTCTCTACAGTGGCCAATTCATAATATCAACTCAGTTGATAAAACCAAATTATAATGCAAACCCCATTAAGGCAGTACTACAGTTGCTATAGAAACTTACCCCTTTTAAAGGTAGTGAGCCTTAGGTGAAGGATGTAGCGTCCCTCAAACAAAACAACAATTCGAACTAGCTTAAATTTTTTTTACTTTGAAATCTTTTTTCAACTGCAACACAAACAAAGAATAATAAATTGAAATGGAGAGCGGAGATTGGTGGGGAAAGAAGGATAGTAAATGTACTTGTTGCTTGTGGCCAGGACTGTAAATCAAATTCACTTACCTGGCAGTAAAGGCGATAAAGAGGTACAGCAAGGTATGAGGCTCCCACAACTGTGACTGCAAGGGCTATTATATAAATCGCTGTTGTCTTGTTCCGCATACTGGAGGCCGAATGTCCTTTCGAGCCGACACGAGTCACAGCAAAACGCCGACTGACACCCCACATCAAACCTGGAAACATTTTTAAGCACCTTGCTGGTAGGAAGGTAATTTCCTTTGTCACCGAGAGTTCTTTAAAGCATCTTGTGCAGATAAACCTGTTTCGTGTTATGCTATGAAAGCATACTCTCCCTACCATAAGCTTACATAATCTTGAACCCAGAACACCATGATAAGGATTCGAAAGCAATACTCTCTGGCCAGCAGTCCGAAGAAGCAACCCAATCATGCTACAAAAGTCAAACTAAAAAAAATGATGAAACCACAATGTTCTTGTCTTTCTTGGATGGTCACAGTTTTTACAATCCACTTCTGGGAATTATGTCATCTGTCCGCCATATTGCATTTCCACATAAACAGAGTGAGATTGGGTTTTAAAAATATCACTTTCCTTCCCAGGGTCTCACGGCTCTGTTCATTCAACTTTTCTTTTAAAGTTTCCTTGCGTTTTATTTGACATCTGTTCCCTAAAATGTTGCATCATTAAAACGGTGGAATTTCAAGACCTTCAAGCTCAGAAATTTTATTGCAGCAGAAATAATGCTTTTGCCACAAAAATACACACTGTAGTGTTGAGGTTGGTATTATAGATAACCTTGAGTGATTAACCACCAGCATCAATCCACCAAGTATTTGAAAAGTGCTGATTACAGAATTTACAAGTAAAATAGGGGCAAGGGGATTACTAATGATAATCAGTGCTCTGCAGAGGGAGGTTCTGTCTTAAGGAGTACTTCCTTTAGTTATGCAAATGAGTAAGAATTTCTTCACAAGACAATTTTGGTTTTATCAACTGATTTGATCCCCCTTTAAGAGTATCTTAAGTTGAGGTATTTGGAAGGATAGGGTAATCTAACAGAGGGGCTGCCTCTGAGGTTCTCCATAGCAACTCTAATTAACTTAACTGCTTCGTTATTACCATGTAATTGTTAACAAAAGTTTAGAAAATAAAAGGGATGAAGTTTTTGAAAAGGATACCGATTTCCATTTTAATATATATTGTGCAGGCATACATCCTGTCAAAAATAGAAAATGGTAAATGACAGGACCCATCCACATGAAACTATTTTTGAAGACCTCATCAAAAAGGCTGAAACATTTTGGATATAGATTTCATCAGTGGGCCACTTTCCATACCTCCCCAAGGTAAGCTTTCATATAGAGAGAATAAATCTATCAATGGCAGTTAAGATATTCACCCAGATCTCCAACATTATACTTTAGACACCACTGAAGCACTAAAACATCACATCAATCAAGTGCATTAGCACTATATTTACAACAGCTTGCATATACAGAGCCTGTACATTAATATTCGATTTGCTATATTTAGTATATAAATTTATGTTAATCCTAAATTATTTTTAACTTAGAACCTCATAATACTGATTTGTACAATTATCTTACAAGAAAGATATAGTTACATTTAAGGCCACAAAAAAACAGTTGTCTGAACAAATGATTCCACATGTTTTTAAATAGCATATTATTTCTCCTCTAAGATGCAGCAAAACTTTACATTACATTTTATATAACATTCATATTGACAGGGTCTGTAGAGTTCCAGTCACAAATGTCTAGCTATGAGATATTTTCCAAGGCACTGCACATGATTTCATCTTCTCTGCTGAACTCTTCATTTTCCTCTGAGCGATCTTGTGATTGATTAACCTGATGATTAAATGGTAGATAGAAAAACATTTTAAAATTATTGAAAGAAAGGAAATAAAGGAAAACTTCTTCAAAATATGAATTAATGCAATCAAAACCTTGATTAGTCTTCCTTTTTGAATATATTTTCAAGCTTGATTGCACAGAAAACATGCTTATTCAGGGTAAATATATTCAATAAGTACCTTAACCCTTTAACTCCCAGATCAAATTTGTAATTCTCTTTACTCTCAACCATACAATTCATATAATGTCAGTGCAGAGAATTCAGTATTGGTTCAACTAATTATCCCCAAATTGATATTTTTCTTAATTCTCATCACTTACCTGGTTGATATTGTATTGATGTTGTAAGGAGAAATTTTGTCTTGGTCACTAATGGTAGGGTTAACAATGTATTTCTAATTTGGGATCAGACCCACTGTTCCTGAGGTCTGTACTTTCTCCAAATTTTAATTATTTTGTATTTTCAATGTTTTACTGAATTGTACTGGAACCATCAACAACTAGAAACATCTTATGCCCTCAAACACTGAAAGAAATGTGCAGCTTATATAATTATTTTTTAAATCCTTACCTCCATTTTTTCAAAAGAGCTGTCCTGTTGTCTTGCACTCAACTGTAATGAGGATAGGCTAGACTGTAGCATTGCCACCACTCTGTCCAAATGCCTGTGTCAATATAAACAGTTAATTGATATTTAATATCAATACCATATATGTAAATAAGATGCTGAAGGAACATGTCATTAGGCTTAATACATATACAGTAGAATCCTGATTCCAGGATCTTCTTTTGGTAAAATACATAATCCTATTTTACTTTTCCCTCAGAGCCTTGGAAAATCAGAATTCCCCCATAGTTATTTGAATTTGGAAGAATTTGGGTTGAATGGGGAAGGTTTGCTAAGATCATAGGTTCATTTCACAGATAAAAAAGTTCACTTTGTATTCAATCTCTTAAATGTGTAAAATAACATTGGTTTTATAAGTAAACTAAAATGAACATTACTTGTTTAGTTTGTCTGCTGTGTCCAGTCTCTGCTGCTTTTGCCTTTCCATCATTACTCTTAATGTCTCCCGTGCCTGCAAGGTGTCAAAATATACTAACTTTTTTACCTGAAATAACTTTTTTCAAATCGAATGGCTCAGAGCTGAACAAAATCAAGGGAAAACAAAAATTAAAACATCCAAGGAAATTCAATTGCAAATAGAATGTACTCATAACTAAAAAAAAGTACAATTTAAGGAGTACAGCTGCTTAGGCTACTGAGTGTCCTCTTGCTGATCAATCAAGAAAACAAAGTACATCTCTTATTACTGTACTGATTTCTTCAACAGGACAGTATCTTATGGAAAAGAAATCTATTGGTTTACCCAGAGGGATACTGACAGAAAAAAAGCATCAAATCAGGCAAGTCAGTTGAAGCTAATGATCAATTATTAACCTGATGTGGTCGAAGTTCATTGATCAAGTGATGAATATTAATAAATAGTAAGTTCAAGTCTTCTAGTTTTTCTTCTCTCTGAAAATAAAGGCAAAAAAGGACTACATTACATCAGGATGCAACTAAAGAAAATGAATTGTGAATCAGTTAACCATTTCACTGAAAAGCAATTTCACCTGATGCATTAAAATGAATACTAATATTTAATAATTTGTCCAGATGATACCTTACTTGGTTTGTAGTAACTATGACAGTTTTAAATTAGGAAGCTTCTGAAAAGAACTGTAGTGGTTTCTGGACAACTTATCACTCTTAGTCAAGTAAGTTGCATGTGTTGCTGAAAACCTGTGTATTTTGACACTGTGTTAGGGTAAACATACCTTAGGTGACGAAGGAGATTTAATTAGAATATCTAACAGCTCCAAGAAGTTTATGACAATGGAATGATTTAGTTTTTTTAGCTCTTTGATGCGATCTAAGGGAATAAGAAAAACAATATTCAAAATTCTGCAGAATAGATGAAATCGTAAATAGTAAGTTTCATTAGATATCAAAACAGTGCATTAATTTTAGTCATGAAGGAAAATAACTTTAGCCAATTCTTACTTGCAAGAATTAAGTACTTATTAAACAAAGGGATTGTACTTGCACTAATTATACTCAACAGACCATTTGGCTTGTTCACTCTATTGGTGGAGCACTGCACCAGTATCACAGAAGTCAGGGGTTCAAATTGTGCAGAGGTCTCAATTTTTTCAGGCCTCATTTTTTACTGCTGCTTAAGAAGCGTTCATTATTGCAAATATCACTCTCATATTCATTTATTATTTGCAGTTCACATATATGACTCTTCATATATTCACATTCATTCAGACCAGGGTAAATTCTCATGTTTAAAAATACTGTACATACCAAATCTCCCCTGAGTTGTATAAAGTCTGGTTATCCCCTGAAGTTCTAACGGTCTGATAATAGATTCGTCAGTCTGAGAAAAATAACGAATAAAACAACATCAAAATGAAAAAATTATATTCTATGAAAGACACAACCTAGGGCGAGCTCAGCACACTTTAACGGTCATCAAAGGCTATAAATGACAAATTAGTCTCTAAAGCAAAATAATAAGAACTTAACGCTTCGTTTATCGTCAAGAAGTTGTAAATATTAGCGTGTAAACCTTGGTTGTATCGATCCTAATCAAGTAAGTTACTGTATACTCTCTTTTCAGCAAAACAACATTCGATTATGAAGGGCAATACCTCAAAAGAAGCCCCAAACATAGCGTAAGCTCCCTCGGCTGGAGTTGGTGGATCGGGTACTAATTGCTTCTCTACATTTTCATCCGTGTAAACCTTGTAGTATTGAGCTGGGGGAAGAGGAAACGGACAGACACCTTCTGCGGCCATCTTGGAAATTACTCATACGGCTGAAGTGGACTATGGGTAATATTTCTCGTTTCCATTCCAATCAGGTTTTCCCCGCAAGGGAATGATGTTGAGCCCGCGTTCCTAACAACTGAAGGTAAGGCGATACAGTAATGTAGTTTCTTCTGGTAATATTAATGTGGCTTTTTCCCAAAATAATTTTGCAGGGACTTGAAAGAGAGGTCCTTGATTACAGTCTTCTTTTTCTCCTTGAAATTCTTGATATAGCATCAAATTTCTTAACCTTTAAACTCCCAAGATCTGATCGTCAATTCTCCCTTCTGGCTGCTTCACATTTCCTTTTAAAATAGTTGGGATAGTGTAGTGTTAGATCAAGAAAAAAAACTTTAACTTGATAATTTTGGATATTCTCATCTCCTGTTTGCTGGATAATGTATGGATATAATATAGAGAAGTGGCATGTCAGTCACTTCTGGGAATTTAAAGGTTACCTATACCATGATAAGGGAATGTGTAAAGCTGAAAAGGAAGGACAAATCCCAGATAGATTACAATAGTTACATTTTCCTAGTCCTATCCATAAGACCTTCTATTCTCTCTCAACCAGAGCTCAAGCAAAATTAGATCTGCATTGATTTTCAGGGAGGGGAAGTGCTTCCTCATATAACTTTCAAAATAGTACAGATTCAAAGAAATAGTAAGTTTCTATCAAGTGAGAAATAAGAAGGTGAATAACCTGTGCAAAGCTTATGTATTGATATTATTCCTTGGTGATCATTTTCAAGATATGGCCACCACTACAGGCTCAGCAGTTAATTGGTGTCCCTCAGTAAGGATCATCATACAGCAGTGTCTATCAGCCAGACTACAGGTTCAACCACCAACAGAGACTGAAGATGAAAGATGGGTGGAGGTAAAGATGACAACCTGTAAGCTGGTTCTCATGATTTCAGTTGAGTTGTGATCCACTAATGGGCCATCCAAACCTTTCAGATTTCCAGGGGAATTGTCATTTACCTGTGTTTTCTCAAAGGATCAAACCTGGATATCATACCCAAAGTAGGTAAGCTAACGGTAAAATGATAAAAGTTTGAATATATGCAATATGGTCTTCATTGTCTTCATGGTCCTACAGAAAGTCATGATGATGAATTTTTAAATTCTCAAGTCAGTTTCTCCTCTCTCATATCCTCAAGAGCACTAGATTCAGAAAAACAAGGAATAAAAAAAGCTTTTAAAATTGCTTCATCTTGCCTTATGTTGTTCAGGTTTGTGGATTATAAAAGCATGGAGAATCCTGCCACTGTTTCCTTCCCAGACTCCCATTGTCTTTTGTCAACCCCACTGTTTGATTTTCCTTCCTGAAAGATGCTGGCAGCCGTTCTCCATCTTGTCTCACTAACATAGACTGGATGTAAGGGTTTTTTTTTTGTCATTTCTATAATCATTATTGAGACCATGGGTATTGTTACAAGAATCTGTAATGCTCTTCCTTCAAGATGGACTCTTCGTGTAGTGTGGCATTTACCATCTTTGGCTCTTTCTGTATTTTTTTGTAGCTTTGCAAATTTGTTGTAAATGATCTAGCTTATCAAATTGAAGCTTCACTCCATCTTTTTTCCACTCAGTGAAATCAATTTTAAATGTAAGACTCAGTGAGACCACAGGCCAACCAAGAAATGTGTCAGTTTTGGAGTTGCCTGGCGATGTTCTTATTGTTCCTCAGGTAAGTGGTTGACAGAGCAAATCATGGCAGTTGGGTTAAGTATCACAGGCTAAGTTATTCCTTAGTGCTAAAACTTATCCAGGTTTCCTAAGCATGAAGGAACTTGTAGTGAAATTTTATATTTCTGCTCATTCTGCATGGAATGCTTCATAGTCTTATTTGTGGTAAACCCCAGAAAGTTTCTAAGTATGGCCCACTACCCTTTTATATTCCTGGGTCAATAGACACACTGTGAGAATTAAGAACACAATACTGCGACACTTTAAAGACTCATTCCCAGACCTCTCCTTTCTATGCGCCAGGCCATCACCTCACTTGTGACAAAATCGAATGTTATTGAGAATTTCTTTATCACAAGCCAACATCATAGACCAACTTCAAGATAAAAATATGCCTTGTAACAAGCTGTAGAAACCAATCCCCCTCCTAGCCCCAGTCTATGCGGCTATCCATATGAGTTTGACTTTCGCGCGGATCATGGAAATAAAAGATGCGAGCTTGAGTTGAAATGTAATCGCCAGAACGTTCTTATGCCAGTCGTATTCCAAAATCGTCTGGTAAATTGTTCTTTCTTTTAGTGTTATTAGTATTTCCTATGTTAGTTACAATCTTGTTATTAGTTGTTCCGTCCTTAATGTATTATTTTCGTAACACTTTATTTAGAAACCACAGGCAATGGCGTGTAGGTAAAAGAGTTCGATCGAGTCGTCATTAAATTAAACTCCTCTTAAATTTATCGCTAGTGCGTTGGTTATACAAGTGAAAAAATTAATTTGCTGGGGCACAAATAGCAAATACTTAGAGCATGATGTATCAATGAGAGGCTGGAAAGGAGAAGCTGTTTCTAGTCCATAAAATATGGGGCTCAAAATAATAGGATGCTACCATTTCCTTTTTAGTCTTCCCACTCAAAACCTAGAATGGATACTTCTTGTTAAAAAAATCTGTGATAATGATTTTTCAGGCAACACTTGGGGGAAAGATGAAAGGGTGTGCTTCTAAGAAGCGTAACTTACCCAAAACTTCCCTTCTCTCCCTCCCTCCTCTCATGCATTTATTCCTTTCTTTTCTTTCTCTCGTCTTTCCTCTCAATTATTGTATTTTGTTTCGTGGTGTATCTAGGAAACAGTCCAGGCTAACTCGACAAATCTACCGGACTCCCCTCCGAAAAAAGTGAAGCACGGTGAGATTATTGGTGATAACACAATTACACGTGCCCAATTGGCGCGCTCTCCTAGTGCATTTCGCGAACTCGTGAAGTAACAACGGCCAATCAGAAAAAGGAAAACATCACGTGGAGCCGATGAGAAACTGGAGTAAATACGAGCAAACGTCCATCAAGCGCTAGAACAAGACGAGTTACTAAGTCACAGAGTGAGGCGCGTTATCCAGACCAATTGCATAGTGTTGTAAAACAAAATCAGTGCAATACGGATTACTTTTACACGCATTTGAAGTTAAATTTATCATATAATTTAGCTTATGTTATTTTTAAACTTATATTGAGTGTTTTGCGTCACAAGTTTATTTTTCTGTTTTCAGGCACGTATGGAAACAGACAAGTGCTGAATGTGGAAACAAACGGACCATTTACACACGTGTTTGACTTTTAGGACATCTTTTACGACAGTGTAGTTACGACCTCAACATTTTGCGAGACTGAGTGTTTACATTGAAGAGGAGCAACAGATCAACTGATTGTCTCTCTCTGTTTTCTTTTACGACACGCTCGTGGTCATAAGCTTGCGAAAAACGCGGAACGACAAGGGAGGATCCCCTATTAAGACCAAGAAGGGAAATTGAATTATGAATTCCCAATTGCGAGTCAAAGTATGAAACTTGTAAAATCTAAGTGTGTATACATTTTACAAATTTAGCGAATCGGTGTCAGAACCCGAGTGCACAGGCCTACCAATCAGGCCACTACTTTCCCTCACGTTGTTGTGTGCAGTCAAAGAAGAAACTTAAACCTTGATTCAAGTGCACTGTTACTAGTTTTATGTATAAATTTAGTTCACTATCTTCATTTTCTTGCAATGTTCATTAGATAAATATATAAATAATTTAATAATTGCTTGTGGTGAAACATTACATTGATTCACTAGCTAAACTTAAAATTTTGGAGTGAGGTAGCGGAGTTGCCTCCTTTTCATGAATATCGCGAAGTAGCTGTTCATTCGTGTAGATCTATTCAGCACAGAAAACTCTGTCCATTACTTGAGTTGCATCTTTTCATATGATTACAATCCTTTACTCAGTAAAAACCTTTCTCCACATTTTATCCACAAGAGTTTCACATTGCCTTTTCCAACTGTACGTCTGTTTATAAGATTTTCGCAGGCTTTGTATTTCTTTCAGGCGTTTTCCCCTTTTCTTCTCGAAAACCTTTATGATCGCGTCTGACCAATCTTTTGCCTTTTCACTCTCAACCACACAGTGGTCTCCAAATTCTACATCACTTAGCGCTTTTGCGAAACCTGAGCTTTTGCCAACAAGAATTGGCACACCGGCAGACAAGGCCTCGAGCGCAGTGAAACCGAATCCTTCAGTTCTTGAAGGCATAAGAACAAGATCCACGCTGACTAGTAATTGCTTTAATAGTTTTCTATCTTCAACGTAACGCCCGAAACTCAATTGATTTTCGCGAACACCATACCGCAAAATCCTCTCAGCAAAATTGTCTTGTTGCTCACTAGATGCACCGACAAATTTTATGTGAAAGCAATCTTTTTTTAGCTCGTCAAGTGCGAATGCCTCGGCTACTATGTCGTAACCTTTAAGTCTGAAGTCCTCGTTATCACCACGCCCAAACACAAGAACCTGAAACACGTCATTCTCGTGTGGTGATTGTTCAGCATCCGTTAGATCCTCTATTATGCCAGGAGTAAATTTCATAACGTCTTGCTTTTTCTTAACACCACGGAGACGATGGGAGTAAAAGCTCTCTAATTTTGGACCAACTGGCAGGACAAGGTCGGCTTTTGCACACAGCTCCAGCTCGCTTAGGTTCTTCTCTTCACCTTTTGCAATAGCTTTCGGATAGTCTTTGAACATACCAAGTTGCTCAGGCACGGTGTGAACCACGTGAACCCACTTGCACCTATGGGAGTTTTTAATAACTTGAGCTTGTCTTCCAAGCTTCACACCATGGCCGATGATTATGTCAATTTGAGGGTCTTTCGGTGGGAAAAATAATTGTTCTTGGGAAGTACAAGCTGTGAGTTGTTCTGCCTCGATAATTGTAACCCCTTTCTCTTTTGCTGTTTCCTTTACTTCTCTCCCACAAACACCATGTGGGACGAAGAAAGTGACATCGACTTTTGGATTTCTCGCGAAGTGAATAGCAAGTTCTCTATTAAAAGTTGATAAACCACCTTTCAGTGAATTCCATTCATCTGCCAACATAGTTATTCTCAATATTCTGTCGATGAAAATGCTCGAGTCCTCTGGTTCAAATCCCCTTGTTGAAATGGACGCTTGGCTGTCTCTAGGAATAAGCTACAACAAAATAAATACAGAAGCCGTTTGTCAAAAGTCACCATCAAAGGTTTTTTTCTGAGAATGTTACTCTCAACTTGGATTTACACAGAATGATGAGAGCCAGTTTAAATAACTGATTAGTCTAATTGTTATAGCCAAGCGTAGAGACCAAGAGATCTGTTTGACACGAAATAGCGATACGTTACAATCTTCTGGTGATAACCAAGAAGGAATGCAACGTGGTTCATGAGGAGCTTGATCCCTGAACTCCGCCGAATCACAAACCTGCACCCCCTCTCTCCCCCACCCAACTGCAAGTCCCTGGTTCAAAGCCGAATCAAGGTAGGTGACAGTTTTGGGTTGATAGGAAAGTATACAATGGCATGCCTAGCAGGCTCTTGCTTAGATAAGTGCAAACTAGATAGCTGCTCAACGATGCTGAATGGACAAATTTACAATCGTGCTATTTTGTGTTGGTTACATTTCACAGCTAATTACCTCCTTCGACTTAAGGCAAACCCACAAGGACGTTGGAGCCTGAGCATTGATGGTTATTACACCATGTGGTTACTCGAAATATCTTACACAGATATCGCAATACATTGCACACTGCAGTCGGCAATCGCGATATATGAACCGATTAAGATCTAAAAGAGACTGCTTTGCTGCGATGTTGAGGTAAGTGAAAAACCTAACAGCTTATCGACAAAAAGCTAATTCCGCTGAGCGGATTTTACAGACTCTTGGTCGTTTTGTATTCTACAAACGATGAATGAAATCAAGGCTACTATGAATACTTGAATATGACAGTTACTGCATGAACATTTGTGATTTTACTAGTCATCTTTGGCTGAGTACACTTGGAGATTGTTGTTCTTTTCAACCTGTAGGAGGTAACATTTAACTTGCCAATGTGCTTTCAATTATATAGTTTCTACTTGTATCTTTAGTTCTTACCTGTCCATCTTGCTCCTTGTGCCTCATCCTCTCTTGCAATGTAGAGGGGAAGCTAAAATTGTAAGAGCCCTGCAACAGACACTAAAATCCTCAGATTGGTTCTTCACTTTTCTTCCTAAAGTTGTTTGTTAAGGGGCTTGGCCGAGCCTCTAGAAGCCCACATCCATTGTTTTCAAAATCCACTTGAAGCAATCTGAGCACGCGTTTGCCTCTTCTTCGCCCCACCCTCTCCGGTAAGCCCCATGTATTGTTTATCCAAGCTTATCAAAATTGCTAGCATTTCATTCCTGCACTAAATTTTCTATCAGGAGGGAGCCCCAAGGATTTACTGGGTCACACAAAAGACTGGGAATGCGTAATGTTGATCTGATTTTTCCTGTAGGCCAACTCAAAACTGATCCTGTCAGTCTACTGGACTGTGCAAAACATTTTTGAGCAAAATAGCTCATATACCTCCCAGGGGAAAGATACATAGGGGAACTTTTGGTTGGGGTGTGCCGAAGAGGGCAAATCCGCTGCTCTGTTTTCTCACTTTCCTTAGCGGCTGCTTTATCGCGTTAAGTGGATTAAATTCAACGATAAGATCATATGTAAGGTACCTGAGCTTGAGATGTTGGTATGACAAACAATGAACACAACATTTCCTTGTCAGATCGGTGTTCCTGCCACTTATAGAAGTCTACCTGTAGACAGCTTAGATCGACGACTCTAACGGGCACGCTACGTTGAAATGGCTCATTACCCAGAAACCTGAAGGACAGAAAACGCTTAGAGTTCTATAAAAGGTTACTAAAGAATCTGCTTGTGAGTAAGGGGTATAAATAACCCCTTGAACATAGGTTTGGCGAAAGAAGAGGATATGGCATTGAATTCTCCAAAATATTAGCTGAAAGCGATGCTGGCCCTTTTTAGGTCACTTTGTCTCTCACGAGCAAATCATCAGAGTCTGAACAATTTGAAAAAGGGGAACCACTGATGGCAAAAACTTAAAAGTGAAAGTTAAATCTTGATATTTGACACTTACTTCAGAAAAAAGTTTTCAAATTGTCCTTTTTGCACTACAATAAATGCTTCGGAGAGGGACACAAATGCTTGATCTTCCCTGCAAAGTGGCTTCAATGAGTTTTCTTCACCTTGACAGCACACACGGTATGTTGAAGATAAACCTTCTTGCACCAAGTTTTTTAAGTGGAATGGGAAACAACAAAGAGTTAGCAAGTAGTCCCCAGGTTTCCCTATATCACATAGGCAAGCTAAAAATCGGGCTTCTTGCGCCATGAGTCTCCTGTACAGATCCCGTACAGACGTCTTCATAGAAACAGCAGGTTTCTTCATCCAGTCAAGCCATACCCAGAACCTAAAGGAGAACATGAGACGTTATGAGCTAACTACCTGAAGATTAATTTTTCAGTCTTTCATTTCCAAAACTGAAATCTTTATTCAATCCAATTCCATTTTGGAGATTTTTCTTTACAAGTTAAAAGCTGGGCTTTAATTCTCCTCGCGACGCGCGTTTTCGGTTTGGCCATGCATAAGTGAACGTGATTTGTTTTTAGAAGTTCTCTTTGTCTCATTTCCCTTGAACCATGAAGAATGACTTCGAAAACAAAGTTTTTGTGAATCAGTCTCACTTGTGAATCGGTATTCCAGTAGGGGTAGCCTTAAACGCACAACTTAATAAATCCATCGTCACGATCAACGTTTTTACTCAATTTTAAGTTACCCAACCTCATGACGGGTCGTTGGTAATGCTGTACCACTAGAGGAAAAAGGAAATATTCTGAGTTTATGAACTCAGCGGACTGCACCAGCCGGCCATCCTAAAGGTCATATACTTACTCTGAGAGATGGTATACTTCAAAAGTCACTATCCCGTTCTCAAGATCTACTGATCGTCCTAGTTCTTCGGTCATTTCTGCCCATTCTGGTTCTTCGTCTTCAGAGCGTCGACAAAATATTCTTAAGTCATAGGGCGAATGGTATGGCAACTTAATCGTGTCTTCTCGCAGAGTAACGGGGAGTTTTAACGTGGCAGGTGTCGATAAGTGCCCTAGTTTTGGATTACACGAAATATGAAGGATAGGTCCGCCAAAGATGGTACTATTTGGAAATGCATCACACGGAGCCTCTTGTACCTGTACAGGAAACAGCAAGCGATTTGAAACAAGAAGAATATATGCAAGGAATCCAAATACAAAGTGATTGCCGGTGATTATAATCGATAAAGCGCAAAGATATAGCCATTCTTTTAAAACTACATGTTGCTTTCGGTCTCAAAGAAAGAAAAAGACGGAGCTCTTCACAATTATAAAGTATACTGCATTGTTTGGTCAACAAAGACAAACACTAAAGGCACTGAACTCCTTAGTTAAGTTACACTTGAATCCCTGCTATGTTACCTTTAAGGTCAATGAAAAGTTTTCACTTGAAGGGAGAGAACTTTGAGGAACAATCACACTTAGTCCTGGATACTCTTGGAGAGAGCAAGTAAACTGAGAGGTCGTTAAGGATGGTTTGTTAAATGTGAACGACTTGAGGCGCCATACTACAGCAAAGGACGCGGAACTTCCTATTTCTGCCTCAACAAAAGGAAATAACCAATCTGGAAGTCGATGCCTTCCAAAATGCCCACTTTCTAGATCTGCAATAAATAAAAGCAATAAGTAATGTCAGTGGTACTAAATATATAGCTTTACACATTACTAAAAAAATTTAAAACGTTTTCTGGCTTGGAATCGTTTTAAAAAAACGATTTCAAGTTAGAGAACGTATTTGAAAATACATGCCTTACATCACGCTATCGGATCAAGCTAACTAATGGCATCCGAGGACTTCTTTCGAAAATCTAAGAACTGTGATAACATCCTAATTAACTGGCTCATTAATTAACATCATTCCTCTTGATACGCCGGCCATGCCGGCGAAGGGTTAGCAGAAATAACGAGGTTAGTGTCTTCCCAATCGTTGAAAACTTTTATCATTATTAACAACATACAAGACGAGTAAAACCCTCGAGCAAGCGTCTGATCACCATCCGATTTTTATCGGTAGTGCTAGCTCGCCCTTAGCAAGGCAAGTCGCGATTAGGTTGTCGGGGACAGACGATATCTGGTATAATTTTAAACAATATTTGTACCTGATGGTCTCCAGACACTTCTGGTCTCCAAGTCCTCCCAGTCCCTGTTCTCTCCATTTGTCAATTTTTTTACTACCAGTTCATAGCCTTTCAGGTCAGTTGCACTATGTGATATAGCTATCATCACTTTTCCGTGAAATTCTTTCATGTCTTTGGAAGTCGATGGCCGTTCATTCAGGGAAAGCTCTACAACACTACTTACTATGATCTCATTTGGTCCAAGAGATGGTGATCGGATTCTTGGACTCCATAATGAGCATATGACCTCCGTAGGTTTCCTCACAGCACGGCATGCAAATGAAAAACAACCAGGAAGCTCTTTTAACATTTTTACCTCTCCTCTCTCTGTAATCGTTTCTCTGAAAATGTTTAGATCCTGTTGTCAGACTTGAGTTAAAGAGTGAAAATAATACTATGGACGGAAATACAAGAAAAAAGCCAGGCTAGTTATTCACTCGATGGCCATTATTAACGAAAGCACATGTCACACGTAACTCGGGAAAACCCAAAGATTGAATTTGCAGAGATCCGACCTTAAAAGATATCTTCTATCCTCAGTTTTCACTTTGTAATTACATCATAAGCAAACATACTTACTTGAAAATCTCCCTCTTAATCTCTGTCTTGGAAAATAGTCGAATGTTCAGAGCTGAAGCTCAAACAGAGAGAGAAATATCAAAATCAAAACAAAACTATTATTAACTATGAGCAATTAGAACGAATTCCGGTTGCAGCGACCTTACCGGTAATTAAGCCAAGGGTTGCTTTTATTGCCTTTTTGGTGCTTATGTTATGTGACATAACTAAAAAGTGATCAGTTCATTAATTAGGTTACCGGTTGTGTTTCAGTTTGATCCGGGTCAGTTGAAGATCTTAGCAAGAGAGGATCACCCAATATTAGCAAGAAATGTGAATGTGTTTCTCACGAAAAGTCTGCAATAATCTGCAAGAGACACTTAAGAATCCTCAACCTATCGAATTACCGAACTTCAGCATAACGCCGAACTATAGCCGCTACAACAACCGTGTATGTCAGTTGTACCGCAAGCGTTGAACTGAATGCTCCGATCATTTGCATTGTTTGATGAGTGTGATCACCTTTTGATCGCGCGAAACAGAACAGCTGAAATAAATCTCTCATGAAGCCCTCAACTATTAAATCATCACAGACTGCTCCTCTAAGATTAGAGTGATCGTTGGACTTTCAGAGTTATTCAGTCCCAAGACCACCCTTTTAGAATTCTCACAGTTACAGGTCAAACGACCTATTTTTCTATGTCGCCAGTCGCTTCCCTGAACACCACTCAACGTTAAAGATCAACCCTTCGGAAAAAATTCCGGTGATTTTGTACTGTTAGTAGACTATGCACACGCAATTTTGCACTCAGAAATCGCAGAAATAAATTACTCGAGTTCGATTTAGTTATAGCCCTTATTTAGATTAGTTTTGTTATTAATTAGTTCAATTGGATCAGTAACCGAACTTGCAGATATTGAATTGTCCAATTATGTTCGATTCACCGTAAAGTCCGAATGCCTAAATACCAAGACTTACTTTTCTACTTAATACATCGATATTAAAACTCACCCACTTCATTTTCTGTCACCTCTACACTAGCAGGGCAAATGAGAAGTCTGTCACCACTGATTTTAACTTCAATGCTGTAGGCACCTGGTACCTTCGGCGTAAAATGTATTTCAAGCTTCCCATCTTTTTTGTCGCTAATAGCCAAATCCGCCACTTCCGGTGCAGGTTCAATCAATACTTCTACAAGACCCTTTAGGTCTGGCTGGTTAATTGTGTTACCCTCGGTCGTTTTTGGACATAATGTCATCACTGCCTTTACGCCAGCCTCAAGAGTTTCATCCAGTCCTTCCAAAGTGGTCAGACTCAGATCTATCTCCTCAGTTAAGATGTAACCCAGTCTTTGGCCCGCCTCACTTGCCGCCGTAAATTTAATATAAGAGGTTTCGCGATGTTGTGGAACTTCAGTTTCGCAAAGATCTTTAACTCTTTTATACAAATTTTCTCGATTTTGCATAATGTATGAACTTGAACCATACATAACCACACTTTCCACAAAGTCGACAGACCGATTCACTTGTTCCAACAGTGATTTCGCTTTCCTTTTAGCATCATCAATTTTCTCAAGTCTTATAACGCGCGTATTCTCAATGTATTCTAGATATTCAACTGCCTCACGCTGACGTTCTTGACTTTCTGCAAGTATTTGTTGATATTTCCCAACTTCTCGTAAGGCTCTATGTTTGTCGACTGTGGCGTGGATTGTCGACGCTGGAGTTGTTTCGTCGCATTTGGACCGGGTTAGCATTTTTTCGTTTGCAATACTTATTTTCGCTTGTTCAATTGCGTGCGTCGTAACGAAGGATGCAAGCATTTCAAGAGTGCGTTCTCGAATGTTTGAAATAATCTCTTCGGCTGCCTCAAAGACTCCATGATTAGCAATTTCAGCATTGCTTTCCAACTCTTCGATGCTTTTTTCAAACTGCTCGATCGCATCGATCAACACGTTTTCTTTTCCTCTAGCTAGCTCAATGTTCGTAATAATTCTCTCCGCTTCGATGTCAGCTGCCTCGTCGAGAGCCAAAAGTTCATGTTCCCGGTGTGTCGTCACGACGCATAAAAAGCAAATGCAAGACTGACAATTCAGGCAGAAATAGTTTGTTGTTGACTGCAAGTGGTAATTCTCCAAGCAGAAATTTTCGCGCTTCAATAAGACCTCGTAAAGTTCTGGTCGAATCTCCGCTGCTGGTATGATTGTGTGTCCTTCAAACGTAACTTGAAGAGTCTCGTGTGCAGTCAAACAGCTGGGGCACATAAACATTTTACAGTCGACGCAATAACAACCTTTGAAGCTGTTTATCTTACAATTATCACATGTAATACTAACACCATCGTTACTTTTCTGAAAAGCAGAAGTACTCGTTAACCTCTCTGGGAAGTCGGCCGCTAGTCTCTCCCTCCGAGCTTTAACTTCTTCCACTCGAGGCATTTCGAGGGGAACTTTTAGGCGTACATTTCATTAAAATCGCCACAAAATGAATGAAAACAATAACATAGCAAATATTCTTAGTTCCCTAAAGAGCCCCAGAAAAAGCAGGTAAATAGGTATTGAGCGTCTTTCCTCAGAAACTTATTTTCTAAGAAATCCCTGGTGCCCTGAGGAGAGTGGCCACCTGATCTGCCGCGCGAGATTGGTAGCGAAGTTAGACACGAAGGTGACGACTATCGAGAAAGTCGCTCGAAAGTCATCTCGCCCGAAGCTCTGTCGCCCTAAACTAGAGTTATGTCGTCCGAGATTAAGTAAAGCTACGTCAGTGTTATATTAGGCTTTGAATCTTATTTTCAAGAAACGTACAATTAAGGATATGTGCATTTATTTTAAATTTTCTGAGTGATCGTTAAACTATGAGTACAAGTTTTCAAAATCCTGGTCAGGCAACCAGAGAACACAGGTTCTTAGATGCCAGATATTGTTTACATTATCATTAAATTTTCTATCACCATGGTTTCCCTTTTGGAGAGGAGCATTATCCCGAGGCTTGTTGACGTTAGCAGGCGACAACTCAGCATAACTTGGACAGATCTTTAGGAATTTCATGGATTTAACCACGCAGAAGAAGTTGCATTATTGTTAGACATTCAAAGCTTTCAAAGAATGGAACAACAAAGGTTTCTATATAAGGAGAATGATCGGGGCAAGGAATATTCGAATTTGTTTCCATGAGACCCATTGTTTTATACACTAGACAAGCAGACGTCTGCATTGTTCTGAAAAATTTGATGAAAGGTACCTTTTCATCCTTTCTCAATGCCTGCTCGAATTTGTCAATCCTCTCCCCCTGAATATTTTTTGAGCACTCCTGCGCTCTAGGGTCTTGCTAAGACCTCACGTTAGACAATAAACTTTGATTGATTGATTGATTGATTAAGATGCTACATGTCATTGCTTGGCCGTAGCCGGAGATCTGACTACGAAAACACGGGCAGCGGTATATCCTTGTAGGTTAATACTCAACATGGATGCAATGGCGGCCTCTGATGCGCCTATATGAGTTACCAGTAATGAATCTTCTCAATGGTTTTGCCAGGATTGTGATACTCAGATGTCAGGAAGAGAAGTTTTAGCACTGTACAGGCGAATATTTCGAGTAGCACGGCAATGGAGAGCCGCAATACCTGCAGATACTGAGGCAGAGCGACAGTACATAAAAGATGAAGCCAGACAATTATTTCGTAAGAACAAGAACGTGAGTGAGGAATTATCGAAATTTCCATTATATTGGTACCTTAGTTTAATTATAAGAAAGCATTCGTAAATATGGAGTGGAGCTCGGAAATTTCAGGCTTAAGTTTCACTGTATGTGAGTCGGTCCAAATTCTGCCAATTAGAAAGATTTGAAAGATGTAATGTTCCCTCAAAAGTGGTTTTGGCGAGATAATATTTCGGGTTGATCTAATCCACGTTAATTTGATTTGAAATATTTGCATGAGGCAGAATTTTAGGAGTGGTACATTATCTCTGAAAATTTAGATTCAAAAACAACTCCCTTCAATTTGATCCTGATCAGAGATGTGTTTAGTTTGAGCATTTCATGTATGAATGTTTTGGCTTGCATTGAACATCGTCTACCTTAAAATGGTGGCACCGGCAGCTCAATGTGAAATTTTTCATTTCAAGGTTCTAACTGGCCTCTTAAGATCATAAAGTGCTGGCCAGAAATAAAATTTAGTCACTAGAAAAAAAACTACTCTTTACTATGCAAATGTTTATCATCTCACTTAACCCTTACTGCCAACCATACAATTCTTATAATGTTAGTTCAGAAAATTTAGTATTGGATCAACTAATTATCCCCAAATTGATATTTTTCTATACTCTCATCACTTATCTGGATGATATTGTATTGATATTGTAAGGAGAAATTTTGTCTTGGTCACTCGTGGGAGTTAAATGGTTAAGCTTGAACTATTATTACAATCCTGTAGCTTCATAATTGACCACCAACTCAGGTCAGTAAAGTGGTAACTTTTGCAAATTTGGTCCCACTCATCATGGAAACAAAACTGGTTGCAGCTTAGAGTGCTAGGCAGTCTGGCAGTTTGTTATTTTTATGGTCCAGATACTATTGTGTGATTGTGAATAATCACAAGGTTATCTGATACTTTTCAGTTTTATGCAAGTTAGGAGGTAGCCTTTTAAAAAGAGTTGAAGAGAAAAGTTACCAAGTGTACTGAGGATTGCCTTCCCAGCTTGTACCAGTATTAAATAACTGGCATTCCTTGTTCCTCACATACTTAGTAGCAGCTAACTGAGACTTTTTTCTCATAATATCTTGATTGGAATTGACCATTAGAAATAGTATGTTCTGTTCTTGGATTAAGTAGCCTTGTTCAAGAGAATAATAATATCATGCTAATACATGGAAGCTCTGTTTAAAGACTGGTTACTTTGATAGGTGTCCCTCTATAATAAGGGGGGTTGTGATCTTGAGGGAAAAGAACGAAGCTGTTTGTGGTCTGAGAAGAGCAAAATACCTGGTGTTTTGAGAAATGTGTGACCATCTCTAATACACCCCTATATACTAAAGTCTCAGTGATTATTAACATACATCTTAAGTCCAAGAGAAGGAGCTGAAATAATTGTCCTTTTACAGATTACTAACACAAATGAGATAATGCTTTGTATCCATGAGGCCAATGCACGAGTAGAGATGGGTATGTAACTTTAAATTTTTTTAAATTGTGTAGTGTTCCTTCAGAAATGGGTTGATAGTCTCCATTATGAAGGTCAGTTAGGGTAGTCACAAAATACATTCCAATAGAGTTAATACAGTAGCATTAAAGGAGAAGCTGTTGTGACGGCAAAATACATAATTTAGACTGAATCATTACTCTATGTATTTCAGGGCTTCACTATGGAACACCTTATCCTAGAATGGTAAGCCTGATATGCTTGGGAAGTTTTTTTTTAACTGTGCTATAAATGCTTTTAAACACACCCCATTCATGGCAGATCATTCCCATACCATCTACACAACTAATAACCATAAGCTGTGAAGAGTGACACCACTTTCCCTGAAAAGACTGCCAAGTGGGTTATACTGATTCAAATTTGAATTTGTAAGCAATTATAAAATGATTTGAGGTTGTTTGAATTGCATTTAATTTCTAGCCTCACCTTACAAAACTTAAATCATTTTATTTCAGTCCAAAAATGACTAGCTTAAGTTATTATGAAATACTTTAACTTACTATAAATTGAAATATCACTCAACTGAATGGGGAAATTGCTTGTGTTATACATTATAGATACACATGCCGCCAACAGCTGTTCCAAAAACAAATACAAAAGAGCGGAAAACCCAAGAACGAATTAGAAAACAGGCCAAACCTGTTTACATGCACTCAGATGATGATGTTGATCGATAAAATACTTTTACATTGGACATTTTGGGCTAGTGAGTGACAGAGTTAACAAGAGTAAATGAGTTCACTTGTGTTGCTAACTTCATGCTGGTGACAATTCAAGATGATCTTAGAATCTTATTGTCCCAACTAAAGTGGCCCTGATTAAAACTATGACTGTGAAAGTGACTGACATTTCAACAACCTCAGAAAAGACTCTGATGGCAACTTCAAATGAAATGGTGATTTCCACTGTCACCAACAACAGTTTATTTCTCATCCAATCCATCAGTTTACATTTGTGTTTACAATTGACTGCTAATCCTGGGTTCAAACTATTTATTATGAACTGCTCCAAGAATTATCAGTTACACTTGGAAAATTGACCAGTAGAGAGGATCCCTTACTGACTCAATGTGTTTAAAAAAAGAAGTACATCCAAAACGAAGTTCAAGTAAAGAAATGATTCTTGCAGGTGAGCTGCAATTTAACCTTTCAACTCCCCGAAGTGATAAACATGCAACTTCTCCCAAAATGTCCATACATTATTCAACAAACAGGTATTAAGAATACACAAAATAATCAGGCAGATGTCATCTTGATCCAACACCAAATTCTCATAACTAATAAACAAGGTAATGTGTAGTAGCAAGAGAGGAGAATAAACAATCAGATCTTGGGAGTTAAAGGGTTGAGCTATTATAGAAAAGAAGCCTGTAAAAATTCAGGCTTTGACAGGATATGAATCAATGCCTCCCAGATACCTGTTGTACACTCCAACTGACAGAGCCACCAAGCTACATGCTGGGAGCAAGGCCAATTTAAAAGGATTGTTCTTTCCATAGAGGACTTCGATAAAATTTTTTCTTTAAAGAATACATAAGAAATAGAGTTTTTTCTTAAAACAATTCTTTTTATTACAAAACAATTGATCACTTGATTGAATGAATTTTTTTATTAAAAAGTCACTCTGTTACAATCATAACCAGCAATTTAAAATCAATTCAAAAACTAGGTAGACTGCTGTGTGATTTAAAAATAAAACCATCCATTAACTACCAGACTTAAAATTTATTTACTTGGCAAAAATAATTTTGCATGCAGATCTTCAAAGCCCCACTAAAGAAGGACATCTTACAATCCAGCAGTATGTGTGATGGAGTTACATGCCACATCCATAATGCAGCATTTTCTTTCCAATATTCACATACTGAAATAATTGTAAGTGTGCACCAATAGACCAACTTCATTCGCAAATGACATAAGTCATCATGTAAACAATATCAAATTGGAATGAGGTATCATTAGTGAAATAATTGAGAGAGATAGTTTTCACTTAAGGAATAATTCACTTTCCAGTTGTGTGCTTAGCTGTTAGACTTTTGCACAGAGGGAAGCTAAGGGTGACCTTTTCATGAAACAAACCTCTAATACTTTCTTTCATGACAAGATCAACCTTAGTCTCACTCCTGTTCTAAGGCTTCACAACTAATCTAACAACTGAAAAGCTGATGATTAAAGAAAGTCATAATCACAGAGGTTTCAATACCTATTAATAATCATCCCTAATAATTTTTGGTAGAACTAACGTAACAATGTTATAATGACAAGAGCTTGTTAAAGAAGCTTCAGGTGCCTGCCTAAGAACAGAGGAGTATAAAATACTCTAATATGTATGTACGTGCTGATATGAGTTGCATCATATGCAAAAAGGAAACCCACTGTAACTGCAACATGGTGATGAATTATATGATTAAAAAAATGTCTTAAAATACAATGGAAAAGATATAAATGAAGTATCCTTAAATTCTTTTGTGATATCTATTCGCAAATTAATTTTTCCTTACACTTCGGCTTTCAGGAAGGACAATGCACCAAATGGAGTAATATTCCAATTGAGCAAACAGGATAGAATTGGTTTGGCTTTACTTTCCTCCATAATTGTCCTTAAAACTTGAGTCACTTTTATAACCAATCAGATCTGAAACTTACAATAAACCAATCACAATTTGTTCATGCACATTTCCCCCCTCCCCTCCCCCCTGCAGGAAGTTTGCTTGTCTTTCTTTGAGACATCTCATTTTCATCCTGTGATATTTTCCTTTGTTCTGTTATGATGCTGCAATTACATGAGTTTTGGTTTCACAACACTCAATCCCTATGTCCTCTATCAGCACATAATATATTAAAACAACCAATATCCTGACTTTGTGATGCTCTCATCTGTCAGTGTTATGCCAAACTGCACTTAGGAATACATCCATTGAACGCAATGACATCAAATTGCTTAACTAACTGAGAAGTTAAATATTCAATGTTTGCTAACTACTGGATAGCTAAACTTCAGAAAACTATTATTTTGTTTCTGAATGTGCTCAAAATTTGTTTTATACAAATACCAAATGAATCTAAAATATTACTGTGGTAGGGACTCATTTTTCTTCAACCCTTCTTTGGGGTAATTATAACATGATTATTTGACAATCTGATGCTGTGTTATTATCCATTCAACTCATGAAAATTTAACAGCAATTCACTGTTAGTTCTCAAATTTTGATTGAACTGAAAGAATAAATAAATTGTAAGAATATTTTTATACAAAAAGCTACCAAAAAATCTCATGTATTGGTTGAGTTTGTTTTTTACTTACAAAAGACACTTAAATTTACAAAATAAAAATGGTTCAAAATAATGTTGAGTAAAACTTAAATTACAGGATGATAACTCACACAGTGCTTTCAGTAACATTTGACATCCAACAGAAAGACAGGGTGTTAGAATTTCTTCACTTTGAAACTGTTAAATGTTTCCAGTTTACAGTAGGTGCTGCACTGAAAAAGTCTAACTGCAAATCTTACAGAAAGCACTGATTTAAAATTTGACCCTTTTGTCACTTGAAATAAATCAATTAATGTTTAAATATCTGCCCCAACTTTGGTGTTTGTCTTCTCCTGCATTTCTTTCTCATATGTTCTTACATCATCAATGGTCATACCTTGAAGTGTAATTAAATTATTAATAGGGAGCTTATGCACAAATGGGTTTTTTTTTTTTTTTTTTTCGTTCCTGACACTACTACACCTTTTTGGTCAGTACAGTTTGGTTTAAAATAATGCTACAACCTAGGCCTTACAGTCAACACATTAGCGTTAACGCCACCCCATCTCAGAATTGTCCCTGCCTACATTCTATAATGTACATTGCAATATTACAACTGGCATTACTTTGAGCTGATGTATTTTAGTATCTCTGTGCTACTCTGGCACAGAGTAAACACTCAAACAAATGGTGTAAATATGTGTAAGAAATTTAAACTGGCAGGCAGGAGGTAAAGAAGTGGGCAATTAACAAAGCACAGCAGGAAAGTTGAATAATTTACATAATGCACATGTACAAATTTTGTCCTTTATCAATTGAGAAATTTTTTATTTAAAAGTACATACACTTACCAATCCAATCATCAATCCAAGCAAATGCTTGTCTGTGACCAAGTAATAAAATATCTTGAATAACCTGTTGACATACAGTATATAGTACAGCTTAATTCCTTTCTGTAGAGGTACTAGGTAAATTAATTACCTAAAGTATTATTAATTACAATGAAACATGCCAGGCAACCAATCACAGTGACCTATGGCTGCCACAAGAAGCTCTGTGAGCTTTGATCTAAAACATGACAGTTGGGGATAATCAGTCCCACAAATTCAAAACGCTTCCAATTCATGCAAGTAATTCATGCATTGGAAAAATTCTGTCATGACAGATACAGTGACAACTATTGCAGCTTTTTCAAAGAGTTAAAGCTTTTGTGCAAAGGGGTGAAAAGTATCAGAAAAATGTGGAAATTGGTAATCATGTACTTCTTTCAAAACTGTTTTTTATTGGCAAGAGGTTCTGAGGAAAAACTATCCACTATAACTACCTCCATCATACAATTCCTTTTTTATATTACAGTCCACCTTTAATTCACTTAAATATCATGATTCACCATTCAGCAATCATTACACTCTATTTCTACCACCTTTGTTTACTTGGGTACAGGAATAAGAGAAGCACTGACCCTCACCTTATGCACATAGGACTCTACTCTTGAAGCTAAGGCCCAAACATCAAAAGAAACACTAACTAGTTTATACGAGCACATGATGGGTTGAGTATCGTCCTAAAATTACAAACAGTTTCTGTTTTAGTAATATTACAAGATTCAGGGGAAAAAACAACATGATTACATCATTCATGAATTATTGCCCATGTTTCAAGTTTTGTTGTACTAGATCATATGCTTATGTAACCTTTATATGAGCACATGATGGGTTGAGTATCATCCTAAAATTACAAACAGTTTCTGTTTTAGTAATATTACAAGATTCAGGGGAAAAAACAACATGATTACATCATTCATGAATTATTGCCCATGTTTCAAGTTTTGTTGTACTAGATCATATGCTTATGTAACCTTTATATGAGCACATGATGGGTTGAGTATCATCCTAAAATTACAAACAGTTTCTGTTTTAGTAATATTTAAGAGGTTTAGGGGAAAAATGTCATGATTACATTATTCAGTAGTTATTGCCCATGTTTCTAGTTTTATAAGTTGTACCATAACAACAGAGTACTCTGAAGTATCTATGTACGATACTCGTACATTAACAAAACTGAAAAAGTACAACTCTGTCCAAATGTGACAATGATTCCTTCTCTACAGATGTGTTCTCTAATATAAACAATTCTGTAAGTTAATATAAAGACAAATTCAAAGAGGTTTGAAGGAGATCATTTCACACCCCCAACAAGTGTGTTTGGTCCACAATATTAGAAGGGACATCCTCATCAGCAAAGAACAGAACTATGTGGTTGCATGACTAGTTGATAATTCTGTGTGATGCAAAGCATCACCTCATGAATTTACAACCATTTTTAGTGTAATAGGGAATTTCTACCAATTTAAACAAAAATTTTAATTTACTGTTGGAATGTACATACCATTTAAATAGTTAAGAAAATATTCTACACTCACCCTCCATCCTTCCTTTAAAGGACCTCTACCTGTTTTCTTTGATTTGAAATACCTACAGTCCTAGATGAACAGGAAAAATATTTCAAATTTCATTACTGATGTCACAAACATCCAAGTAAGTTGATCAAAATCTCCACACAATTTGAACTCTCCATCACTTTTGTTGTCAGAGCTGTGAGGCTTTCCTCAAGACCCACATGGTTAGCATCTCAGTTGGTAATGAAGCCAATATTTCACACTGCAATGTACACTACTGGCCCAATTTTAATGCCCTCAAATTCAGTGTAAAATCATAACAAAGGTCTAGGGATCTAATCTCAGAATCTTAATACTCAATCTATTGCAGTTTCTTGGTTATTTTTTGAACCTTTGTACTCTCAAGAGGTTGTTTAATGTTAAACTCTTATCAGAAGTATGCTATAGTTAAGCATATGACTTACCTCTTCTGGAACATAATGTTTTTCTGGTAATTCATCATAAGCTATATCAATTGCCACAACTTCCCTTGTTTCAAGTGTTTCCTCATCTAATTCAAAACACTGCAAGAAAGATACAACCAATCATATTTTAAAAAAAAAAGAAAGGTCACATACAATGTTAAATCAATGCAAATAACTATTAACATTTTAAGTGAAAAAAAACCAATGTCAGAACTATTTCACAAGTACAGTCTGTGTGACCAGTATATCAAAATCAATTTGAACGAGATACAAAAAACTTGTTGAGATGTGAAAACTTAATTGTCATCATTGTGACAGTGTATTTCATCTCAGTGATCAGTTTAAATCTCAGTCTTTAGTATTTATAATACATAACTTAAAGTTTAAAATGATAACTAAAGAAAGTCTTAGCTAAGAATATACTTACATTGTCTATACTTCCATTATCATTGAAATATTTCGTTTTAATCCTAATTGAAAATCTTGGAAGAAAGGAGCACTGCATAGAGAAACAGCGAAAGATTATGTAATTGTCAGAGATCAATTCCTCTGTTTTGTCTGATTTCTTGAAACTGGTCTCTAAGAGACCACAGATGCCTAACTATCACATGAAAAGCTGTGATCATTATATTTCTCTAACAAACTCAGGTTATCATGCTAACACTTTGCTTTATCAGTCTGTAACTGAAAAATAAGTCTGGTGGCTCCAGATGGATTGTAATCTGCATATCTGAATATTTGTCTCCAAAATTCAAACAAATCTGTAAAAACAGTTCAAAGCCATCTTATTTTTTTTGTACTTTGCGGCTCTAAACAGTATGTACACATCACAATTTAGTCTACTTGTTTTTGAGTTACAGGGACATAGAGAGAGGGTGTTTCTAAGGGGCTGTTGGGTTACTATAATCTGACTTGATATACATCACATTGATCTTTTCCACTTTTCTTTCCATTTCTTGTAATTCAACAATAGAAGGAAAAACCTCATCTTTTTTTCTGATAAAATGTCCTTTAAATTGCCTTGGCTAGTACTTTTTCAATGTAGACAGCTTATAACTTAAACATTTCTTGTGCAGGGCAGCCTTCTGTTGGTTTCAAGCTTATGGGAAATGCACAAACTGTAATTCAAGTAAATAAAAAGAGGGTACTCACACAATATTCTGTTGATAGAGAGTGAAGGAGAATGAAAAGGAAGAGGAAATTATTATTAAAATACAAACTTAAACGCAGAAACAACTATTACCCCTTTTCGTCATTGAAAAAAAACCTTGAGAAGTAAATGAGGTTGGAGATCATTTCCTTCAATGTTTGATGCATGTTAATTAACCCTTTAACTCCCATGAGGGACCAAGACATAATTTCTCCTTACAACATCAATACAATATCAAGCACAGAAGTGATGAGAATAAAGAAAAATATCAATTAGGGGATTACTGGTAGATCCAATACCAAATACTCCAAGCTAACATCACAAGAACTGTATGGCAGACAGTTAGAGAATTACTAATGAGATTTTGGGAGTTACAGGGTTAAAAATTGTATGTCATTCAGGAGTAAATGACTAAGCCAAGTACAAGGGTTAACTAGTATATTTGAGGCAAACTCTCATAATCTTTACTGACCTGTTATAGTGAAAGGGTAATAATTCCAAGCCTTTTCTTCTACATAGAATATTTTTGGAATATAGGACCGCATCCATCCAGGAAGACGACTGAAAAAAAAAGAAAAGAAAAAATGGAAAACAGTAAACTTCCCTTTATAACTGACAACTTCTTACAACTCAATGCTTTTTTAAGAAATTCCTCCCAATAATTTTCAGACAAGGGCATAGCTGGAAGGGGGGGGGGTGTCCCTGGGTGCCTGTGACCTCCCCTTTGGAAGCCTTGTTGTAAGCCTTTCTTTTTGACAAACAACCAGCAATATTCAGGTGGTAAAAACTGATGAGTACCATCTGTTTAGCACAGAGTGACCCCACTTTGAAAAATCCTGGCTATGCCCCTGTGAGGGTAAGGTGTTTGGCTTATTTCACAACACTCTACACTAGCCCTGTCAGCCTGGTGCTAGAGCCCATTCCTCTCATCTTTGGACACATTTAAACATGGGTTGTTTATGAAGTTAAAACAGGGTTAAAACAGGTTATCAGGTTGGCTGTGAGCAAGCTCTCTAGTGGGCAGCATCAAATTCTACAGGCAGATTCTGTTTTCACTAATTGAATTTTGACAACTTTTTGACACCCAGGTTAATTAAGATTCCCTAAATAAATTATCTGCAGACTAACAGTCTGTCCAGAAGCTTGCTGGTCATGTTATCAGGAGGTTCACGATATCAAGATGATTGCTCTCTGTTCCCAAGCCTCCCGCAGAAGATTATTGGTGACTAAATAGTGCATAGGAATTACCTCTATAAACTGGCACAAATGTAACACCCAATCCTCACTCCTAAAATTACATTCTCAATTAGAGGTAACTTCACAAGGGAAATACCCAATACAACAGAAGTCTAATATAACACATACCATCTTCCATATACATATACAGGTGCACAAATTCACAAAATAACTTACAGTGAAATCTTGGAATAAACCCTAACAAAAAAAAACCTCAAACTCTACATTGCAAATACATTAAATCTGCCATAACTTGTACCTGGATAAATAAACTCTCTTTTCTGTGAATTGTCCCTTTCCAAACTTTGGGTCCTCACAGGGCTCATTTTTTACCACATGGACTCCTTCACCTTGCTCACTCTGTTCATGGCTGTGTTTACTTATCATGAACAGTTGACCTATTTGATACTGGATATAAGCAATAAATAAATAAAAATTTTAATAAATATTAGCTTTTTTAGTGTTCAATGTATAAGTTGATATATTTACATGTAGGATCATGTGTGCTTCTCAAAAATAAAAATTCAAAAGTATTGACTACCAACTTGAAGTAAAGCTTTATAATTGACATAACGCCAAACTGGTGACATGTGAATTAGTTTGCTGTTTAATAAACTGCAGCAAATAAATTGATCCCAGGTACTCCAAGAAGCATATCCATTTAAGCTTCAAAGTAGAGGGTTTGCAAACCCAGCAGCCTAAACCACATAGGCAAGCCATCAAGCACAACTGGATGCTAATCATGCTTGTGGTCAGTGCTCAATGGTGCAACCATTTGGTCACCATGGTGAGAAGAAAAAACTCAAAAACCATCCCTACCAAAGACTTTAATTTGAACAACAATACTAGATATTTTAAGATATGTTGATGAACTAAGTCAGAGCATCAAACAATGCTAAGGGGAGTCTGAAACCCAAAAGAATGGACATTCTGAAGAATAGCATATTTTATTTCATCAAAATGATACTTCTCACTTACATTGTTAAGACTTCTGCAGCAAATTTTTCAAGTTATGTTTATATTAGATGTTTTGGTAAACTTAAAAGCACTGGAAACCAACAGAGAAACTTGTTTCACAACTGTTTATCTATACAAAAGTTGATATAAAATATTTATTGACATTCACTTTCAATATTTATTAAGTTTCATTTGCATAAACAAACTCTATTTTGGCACATCATAGAAAAGTTATTCGTGAAAAACAAATAATTTTCACATTAGCTGAGATGAATATGACATCTAAAGAAGAAACAAGTGTTTTTTCCAGTTTTTTAGTAAACTTTTCAGTTGCAGTGCCAATAAAAGTGTTTTGATATTTTTTTAATTTTTCTATGATTTGTGAAAGAAATGAAAGAAAGTTAAAAAACCATCAATTTGGAAACTAAGCTCAACATTTAATTTTAAGGGATTAACAGATCTTTTGTAGTCACTTGTTTGAGTTGTTTACAAAGTTCAGTAATGCTAACCATAACAAAGCAAACTCTATTATACAGCATGAATTAAATATTAAAAGATTGAAAATGTCTCCTTTGTTTTTAGTCCCAGTTGGTTTGTTGTAAGTTATTAGAATGAAAAGGAAAACATTTGATAGGCTGTACATGCATATTTGAACTGATACAATTATGGTTGTGTGGAAATTCTTTTCACTCAACAATCGGTTGATGAGATTTGGTTGTTACCTTCCAATGCTGTAATTAATGGGTGTTGAGAAAAAACAGCCCAGCTTGTAAAGCTATTGTTGTTAGGTAAAATAGAAGCAATAACAGACTTTTATCGATCACAATCACTGCCCAAGACTTACATGAAAGATAACACATGCAAATTAAAAGAGAAGTAACATTTCTAAAGAAAAAACTTAATTGATAAAATGATAACAAAGTTTTGTTCTCTAAGATATTTTGGAAACGTTTCATAAAATTTAATAAAAAAATTTGTCAAGCGTGTTAAAACAAATTTGCATGCAATATATTTTGCATTAAATTTAACGATCGAAAACGATATTATTGCTCGGAAATTGATAATATTTTCATCCAGGAAATTACTAATCAACAAAAGTTAAATTACCTGAAACTCGAGATAAGGAGGGGCTTTCATCAAACACTTCACCCCATTAAGAAAACTTGCAAATTAGGGTTAAAAATAAAGATATTGCACAAATTTTTTAATCCAAAAGTCCGAAAAGGATATTTACACATTAATTCACAAATTAGAGTCGAGCTTTTCGCTTTCTCAGAAGTACAAGAAAGACAAAAAAAAGAGAATCACGCATATTTCGTGGTCATTCGAATAGCACCGAGCCCTTCGGCTGTTATTAGCACAAATATCGCTGTTAGTTCGACACAAAAGATAGTACAACGGATCCATTTCGATTTTAATCTAGCTTTAAGGGCAACTCTAAAAGTTCATTTATCTGAAACAATCATCAAATGCAGATACTATTTCTGGACTTTGTTTCATTCCCGCCTAACGCACGCAACACAGCAACTTTTATCGGTAATTTTGTCCATTACGAAGCGAAACCTCACAAGCTTCGACAGAAGATCTAGCGACCATAAAGCAGACTATAAACTTTCAAATAACAAGTAACCGAATCCAGAAAGCTACATATATTATCGATCTATTTCCGCACAACTTGGCGGTGACCCCAAATTATTGCGCGGCGAAATTGCTTATGTGATCTTCAAACCTATCCAAAGCAAGTCGCTCAAGTTGAGAAAATCCTGCTGTCAAAGTTCAAGTTCATACTAGTATAAAAAATTCATATTATTATATAATTAGAGTAATGCTGGAAATATCGGTTGAAAATACAAATCTGAACTTGATCAAGAAGATATCCTCGATTAACCTGGTTTCGAGCTGACGTCTGGGTCTCGCGTGTCTTTTCGCTTACAGACGATCGACATTTCATCACGTTCAAAATTACGACGGTTAAGTAAAACATACCTCTTCCACCGTCATCGGCATACAGATCCTATACTCTTTCAATATCATGTTGTCTAGTTAAGAAGAAAATACACTAACAAACTTCAAACAGCGTGCTACGATACAGTACTATAAAACATTTACCGCATCTCGTAAACAAATGACAATCGATGGTAAAATATAGCTTAGGTGCCATGCCTCCTGCATAACCCGATCGTGTGTCCTAAAAACCTGGGGCGCAAATACCGAATGAAAACCTGGATTTAGAAGATTTAGGAGGTCCGGGAATCTACGGGAAATCTTTCACGTTCGGCTTAAACTAACTTGCTTCTCGCTCGTGCCCACCCTTGTGATTACGGTAATTTCGTATGCACATTTTTCGGACACATGACGAGTCATCGAAGTTGACGGATATATTTATCAAACGGCACCCCGCGGCAATCTCTTGCACGCAAGACACGCGAACTAAGGGCAAACATGAGGAAAAGTAGCTTGTGTCAGTCAGCGAAGACGAGTAAAAAGGAGGCAAAAGAAGATGATATTTGTTAAATTAGTGGGAGTGCGGAGCAAAACCCAGCTGTTTCCCTGACCAACACATTTTTCGCTCGCCTTCTTCAAGTGAGAGCCTGGCAAAAGCTATGCGAAGGGCCGGGCGAGCGACCGGAAGCGCGTTACAAGAGCATTTCTCAGCCCTTACCCACTTCCCCCTCGCCTCACCGTTTTTTCGAGCCCACATGTCAGTTTAGATTTACAGGGAAAACCGTTAAATTAACCCCTCCCACTACCCTCCTCCCGCCCACACGAATGAGTGTGGAAGGGCCATGATATTTGACACCTTTTTTTGGATTTCGCCAAGGAAGGGACTAATTGCTTAACGTCGAACTAAACGCATTTGCTAATATTTATTCTATGAGGGAACAAATCGTTATAGCACACCTTAGGTTAATTTTCTTAAACAATGTGACAGCTGTTCAGGTTTCATCAGGAAATTAGAAATGGCATTTTTATAAAACGAACCCACTATTGAGCTAAAATCTTAATACAAAATTTAACTAAAATGATTTTTTTTCTTTCTATGTTAAAAAAAAAATTACTTCTTCTAACTGTTTTGAGTTTTTAATGGTTGTGGCGTCACGTAAAAACCAGGAATTGTACTTGATAGATTTTAGTAATCTGTTTTTGTCTTATCGACAATATACGCGGGTCGTTTTTGCCATTATCAAACAAGTCTTGTTGAAATACAATCGAGTCCTCTGTTTGAACCAATGCATCACACTGCATCAATTTCATGTCAAAATCCTTGGTTTACGATTTTCCATTCTCTCCGGCTTCTTTTGTCCAGTGCTGATTTTTGTAAACAGGGTTGCTAAACGCTAAGTTACAATACAAATTGATGTGCTCGTCAGCATCAATGAATTCCAAGCACGTCCTCTCGAGTGCCGTCAATTTTACCAGCCGTATCAACTTATATCAAAATGAAGGTTTCTTATTAATTTTGTGCGAAACTTTCCTGAGAATTAATTTTCGTGGATTGTCCTTGATACGCAAAAATATGTTGCCGAAAACAAAACATCCCTCAAAATGAAGTGTCGTTAAAATTCACTATTTGGTATCTTTTGTCAAAGTAGAAAATCCGCATGGGAAAAATTATCGCTAAAATTTTTTATCCTTCGCATTCCGATTTACTCGAGACATCCTTTTCCAAATCCATCGAAAGAAACGGGAAAAGATTTTTAGTTGAGGTTCACGAATTTCGAGTGACAGCGGTTTTAGAAAGCGAGACTAAAAGCGTGCGGTTTGTTAGAAACCACAACACTGATAAAAATTATTTTTAAAACCGAAAGATTAAGATAAAGGGAAACTGCTCGAAAACGAAAATTTTCCGAGAATATTCACACTACATATATATAGATCGCCCATAGAGCGAAAGTCAGTAAGTCTAGTGGGGTGACTCTTTGTCCTTCAAAATATATAACAGCTACCGGTTTTTATGTTTTTTTATCGGAGTTCTTCACTTTCTAGTCCTTTCCGTCCAATATCGCGCAATTAGAATTCTCAAAGCATTTGTACGTGATATTGACTGACGGCATCGGGTAACACGCTATCACGGTTACGAGTAATGTCTTTCAGAAGTGCAAAAGTGCTTTCTGTCTGTTAGGCAATATGTGACCTTCCTCCTTGACCTAAACTCAAGGGCACGTACACACCGCGGTCTTCTCATGCAGATGGTTTCAAAGATTTATCGCATTGCGTGTGCTTGTCAGCCACTGTGTTATTTACCACGCTCTCGATTCGTATGGCTCGCAATGATTGGGGTGAAGCTCCTTGATTTCTGGCCGAGCATACCCCTCGTAGCGTGTCCATAATGGCGTTTCGAATGTGCCTCATCTTCCAGCAGTATATCACAGGATTCAAAGTCGAGTTGAGATATGCAAGGGTTAGTGACCAAACAAAAAATCCCTTCAAGGGAGTGGTACGGCCATAGATTATCATAGACGACGTGGAGATGAAGAAAGGCGCATAACACGCCCAAAATACGACATATACGTAAAATATGCCCACAGTAGTTTTAAGGACGTTCGCAAAATTGGCCCCCTCTCCATTATATGCTTCTTGTCGCACTTCGCCACCTTCGATATCATTTTTAAGTCGACGCACGGTTAGATAAATCTTACTGTAAGCAATCGTTGTAAGAAAAAGACCAACGAGGCCTCCTACACACATAATTAGGTACTTGACATGGGGCGAAAGCCAGAGTACTATTACAGAAACACTCACACTCGCCAACCATAAAGAAACCACTGAGGTAACAACACGCTTGTGAGTCACAAGCTCCTGGTATCTGAGATGAAGATGGATTGCTAGGAATCTGTCTGCACTTACAGCCAACACGCCCAAGAAAGACGTTATCGTGAACATGCCGATTATCGCATCGAAAACCATGTACGTGCTACAATTGGGGATAGCTTTGGATAATCCCTTGACAAGGAGCCAGGTGTAGAAAGGCTGACTCAATAAGCCCACACCAACATCTGATGCAGCAAGACTCAGAAGGAGAGTTTCCAGAGTCTTCGGTAAACATGACGTCTTTTTAATCGCATAGATTGCTGCAATGTTCATCATGACTGCAGTGTGGCAGAGCAAAATGTTGAACACACAATTAGTGATGTACGTCGAACGAAGATCTTCAACTTCGGTAATTGAGGGGAAAAACTGCAACACCAATATATCACAAGACAAATTCTGCATGACACGTACGAACTCCTGCTGGCCTTGCGTTTTTAAAAAATTTTTCCACGCACAGTTATGTAGTTTTTGACATCTGAAAAATTGACGACTTCGCGTGCTTAAATCGATTCTTTTGATGGAAAGAATTAAACGTGAGGATTTTCTACATTCAACTTGGTTTAACCGGCTAATTCAGTCACTTCTAGAGCTGCATCATTGTTTCAGCTTTTCAGCTGTCCTGTTGGTTTACATTAAGATTAAGAAAATGTTAATGAATAGTTTTGCGTCAGCAATAAAATTAAAATTTATAAAAACAACAAAAGGATGTGAATGTCGATTGACTTAAAAGGTTAATTCAAAAAATAATCCCACATGACGCTGTAAACGTGTATGTAACTGTATGGAAAATATACAAAAAAAAACCTCCACATGCAGCAAAATTTTAGAGTGTCTTTAACAGCATTAAAACAATATGTTCATAGTTAATGGTTAATTAAGCTAAGCATGTTCCAATATGTTAATCAATAAGAATGACAGAAACAATTCACCTGCTCAAACAACTCCTAACTGAACTAGACGCATATCTGCGTGTACTCGGGCGTCTTCTTTTCAGAGAAACCTGATTGTTATGTTCAAGTGAAGATTATGTTTGTTGCCTCTGATGTTAATGGCAAAACTGCAACAACTGATATAGAGCTGTGAAAGTGTTTTATACTCACGAGACAAGATCGGATTTGCATATTTAATACTTTAAAAAAACCTATAATACTTCATTCTTGCTCGTAAAGCTAGGGCGAGACGTAATTGCTTCTTCTCTCACTAATTATTTTACGCGGATTTTCTTTTAACATCGCATAGTTTGAGTTAAGATTTTTTTTTTTCAAAAATTCATTGTAGCTTTTAAATTACTCTGTTTCCACGTGTCTTTACTTAAGAAGAATAAAAATGAATGAAAAGACGTTTCCATGTCATTTTTAGGTTATTCACATCCAGAGATAGTTTGACCCTCTGGCTCGGACACCTTGGATAACCTAGTCCCTTGAATGGACAATGAAATGTATTGTATTGTATGATTACCCAACCGGCGAAGTTATAATCTTGCACTTTATAATTTGAAACTCATGTATTCCAACTTTAATTTATTACCTAGGAAAACGGTAATTTTAACTAATATTTAAATTTTAAACAGGATCTGACTCCAGCATAATATTAGAAGAACAAAACAAGATCTTGTGTAAATACCTGAAACAGGTATTTTCGTCAATAGATACTAATTACATCTGTAAACATCTTCGCAAACACAATGTAATAAAAAAGTCAAGTGTCAGTGTCATATGTGACAGCAAATTAAAGACCCCGAGAAATAGTAATCACTGTGCCAAGGTGTCGTCATCAATAGATATTAAATCTGCACACATCAAATTCGTAGACATGACTCATCAAATCTTTTATTTTAACGTATCTGAAGCAAATATAGTGTCAGTGTCATATGCGAAAAGTATATACTGTATTGCTTGAATGGTTTGCTGGTGGAGAGTTTTTTACAAACTGTAGTGTCATCATTCTCATTGTGTGTCATATCTGTCAGTTGTACATCAATATTTCCACAATCCATTTGAATATCTTTATATAAGGGGTTATCATCTTTTAACCAATTAAGCGCTGTTATTATGAACTTAGGTCTAAAAAGTTGGAAATAAACATGTCCGCTGAGCTGAAGTTTGCTTTTTTACAGGGTGCACGTCGCCTTTAGAATCATCCTTTTTTGGGGTTTTCTGTTTCTAATGGACAGATCTTGTTTTCACAAAAAAAAAATAAATTTAAGTCCTTATCCTTAGCGCCGGACTAACTAGAATTAGAGCAGCGAAAACGCCACCGAACAGAAATATAATGACCGACATTCTGATTATCGAGAGAGAGAATTTTACTGGAGGCAGAATACATGCCTTGAAATTTGCAAACAACACGATTAAAGCGGGAGCCAACTGGATTCATTTGGTAGATGACGGCGAAACCAAACGTCTTGTAGAAGGAAAAGATGCATTAAAATTTTCGTACAATCATAAGTAACTCGTAAGACATTATCGTCAGGTAAGTCGAGTCAATAACACCAAAATTACGATTTCTAAGAAAGAGACTGAGTGTATCACGCGCAGAAGGGGAACCTTTCTGCGCTATTTGATAAACTCTCTTGGAGTCGGGGCTATCTATTGATTATCGCATATCGTTGTTTGTTTTAAAGAAAAAGGCTCTTTCCATGAATTTTACAGGGATGATGAAGGCCAAGGTATCACTGATTTTGCAGTTCTCAGGAGTTTAATGATTAAGTGGAATTAGAAAATTGAATATAAACAAATTTTCTGACGTGCCAGCGCGTATTGGTTTTTTTTTTTTTACGAAACCACAGTTATAGGAAAAATTAAGTTTTATTTCACACGAGCTAAACTGTCTCAATACATGCACACCATCACCCCACGGGGGGGGAGGGGGGGATTTGGAAATTAGTTCCCTAAAGGGATATAGTTATTTGTTGAGTACCTCCCAAAGGAGTAATTTTCAAAGGTTTTAGTTTGAAAACGAGTATAAATTCTAGCCATTATGATGTTAAATCGTTTATGAAACCACGTGAAACTCAGTTAATAATGCAGAAACTTTGATGTATCGTTTGTGCTGATGTATTAAGTGCATTTCACCAATACTTGACTTCGGCTCAAACGCGAAGCTTAATTATGATACAGTAAGGGTAATGAATTCGCAAACCAAGCACAACTTTAAAGAGCCACGCCTGAAGACGGATGTGGAAAATGGCATAAGTTGGTCTCAAATTGGGTGAGTATTTGGAGAAGTGGCCGGTACACTCCTCATACTGAGGAACTGCGTAGGGTACCCACCTTCCCCCCCCCACCCCCTTTTTTCCAGCATTCCCCTTCAATTAGCCTTTGCTGGCTGCCCAAATAATACCAGCAATTTTCTACTACCCCGATTACAATTAGACATGTCGATAAACGCCTTCCGTCTTGGGTGAAGTTTGAAAAATGAAAATTCATGAATTATCGTTAGCTTTTTAATTGATATTACACTAGTGTTTCACAGGAGGAGCTTCATTATTTCACTACCAATGCAACTACTACTCAAGCAAAAAAATTATCTTTACTAAATTGATCCTTTGTCAAGCTACACCTTAAATACAGAGACGTGAGCAAAAATAGGAAAGCAACAAGACTCCTAATGAAGACACATTCACCGAAGTTGCCTCACTCTTCGGTTTTCCTGGCTTACTTGTAGGCTCAGACGGGGAGATCTGTTCAGCGATTCTTTTCCCTTTCTCGTCTCCACTTAGATAAGCTCCTTGCATGTAGCCGAACCACTCATCGTGCGTCGCCTCGCCAGCAAAGTACAGTCGTTCCAGGTTTTTTCCAATGTTCTCCCAGTCTTCAGAAGTCATACCCACCACTGGCTCTGAAAATGCGCCTTGTGTCAGCGGTTCCTTTGACCAGCGGTGATAGTATATATCTGAAGAAAATACCGTGAAAATACACTAATTTTATGTTAAAGAACACAGCTGTAGGACGTTCAGCATGCGCAAGAAGAGCCATTAATTTTGTCTAGCCGTGCGTTAATTTCTCGCGCAAAAAAGAAAGCAAATGAAAAAACCCTTGTCACGCAAAATTTCTTCACAATTTTGCAGTGTAGCTTCGCCGAAAAAGTGAAGTGCTTTTTAAACGCCGTAACTTACTTGCTTGTGTGGTATTTAGACTTTTAAGACAACTCGGGAATAATACAGTTTGACTGCCTCTCGGCCATTTCAGCGTTCGCACTGTGTAATATCTCCAGCCACACTGTCATTGTGCTGACAGTAAAGATTAATTCTTGTTGCAAAAGAGCTGACCTCAGCCAATAAGACTAGCCACCTTCTACCAGTGTAGGCATTTAAGTATTGTTTTTTTGTCTTATAATCCTGAACTTCTTAGTTTCTATTGAACCAAATCCTGTAAAAAAACAGGCAAGCAGTGATTTTGAATGATCACAGACTATAGCCCTTACCCGTAGCTTCAGGGACGCCCTCTCCATAAACCTTCCGCAGTATTTTCATGATCTCTGCCTTTGTTTCATTAAATGATTGCCCCTCAATCCTTCGTCCTTCGGTTCCAGTTACCATAATTTCTAACATTCCGCTGTCAACGGAATATACCCCAGGTCTTGACAGGTCCTGCCACACAGGGAAACGCCCGCGCTCTTTGGAAGCGTACAAAATATATTCGCGATCATCCCAGAACTTTTTTGGAAATTTCAGGTAAATTTTTGTGTATATCGATAATGGGTTTTTATAAATGGCCTCTTTTTTCCAATCTGGAAGGGCTGGCTCGAAAGTAACCAAGTCGCTGGCCAGAACTCCGGAGCTGAATGTACAAAGAGCGTAATCTGCCTGGTAACTCCAACCATCGGAGGTCTGAGCTTCAACCGAATCCGGGTTTAGCTTGATTTTTGTGACAGTTTTGCCCAATAAAGTTTTCTTTTCCAGTGGCTTATACAGATCTTCAAACATAGACCACACTCCTCGCTCATCAGTCACCAAGAACTCTTCTCCAGGAACAAACAAATTGTAGAAAGAAACTTCTTCTGGAGGTTTTGCGAACTCATAGTCTAATTCAAAATATTCAATGGCTCTTTCTATGGGCCGTTTTCCTTCCCATCCCATCAGTTGAAGACCAACCCGGGCAGGCATGTCGGGAAAGTTCTTTGTTCTTCTTTCATCTTGGAAGTCTTCAATTTTGTTTGTCACTTTCTCATCAAACTCATGAAAAACGGCAAAATCGGTGACATCTCTGCCATCTTCGTCCCTACAAAATTCATGAGAAATGACGGTAAAAAGTTCAAAGTATAACCAAATGCCAACGCAAATTTTCATCTCTCTCTGTTTAATAGTCTCCACGAGGAAAAAAAAATTGCAGTGAGTCCCTCAGAAACTCGTACAGATTATGGCATCAAAACGTTTGAGTAATTAGTTTGGTAGCTACCTAGTTGGTTAGTTTGCTGGTTTGCCTTGCTTTGTCTTGTTAGGTATTTTCTTTTAAAGAAATGCTTCCAGACTCATGACTGGAGCTTACATATTATCCATACACAATTAAGTTTATCTATTCAGTCGTCTCGGGGCGCGGGGCGCGGGGCGCGGGGCGCGGGGGAGGGGGACAGCTAGGTGCCGATCAATATCTCAAGTCTTGAGTTCATATAAAGGGTAACGAAATCGAGGCTATCAAGCCTTTGATTTACATCTTACTCTTTGTTGAGATGGGAAAATTTCAGCTCCAATACTTTGTTGGTTTTCTTTTTTTTACAAGTAATTTTTTTTACCTAAAAGCAGTGTAAAATCCTATATCTAGAAAGTCATGTTTGTAATGTTTTTTAAATTAATAGGTTGTCCTTTTTCATAATTCAGTTCAAGCCCTTCCTATTTGCAATTTTACTGAAATGTTCAGCTTAATCGAAGTTGAAGCAACCTATCTTACCTCACAATAATGTTTGAATAATTATATTTGTGAACACGAACATCTCTCGCTTCCTTTCGTTCCACCAATGGTTTGGTATCATCTTCATTCACAAAGTGAATCCAGTTTGCTCCCGTTTCAATCGTGTAGTTTGCAAATTTCACGGCATGTATTCTACCCCCAGTATAATTCATCCCTCCAGAATCAGAATGTCGGTGATGTTTCTGTCCAGTAGCGTTTTCGCTGCTTTAATTCCAGCGAGTCCAGCGCCAAGTATAAGGACTTTAGTTTTGTTTTGTTTTATTGGTGAAGACAAAGATCTGTCCACCAGAAACAGAAAACTCACAAGCAGGATGATCTTAATCATGATGTACATTCTGTAAATGAACAAAGAAACTGATGATCAAAAGAGGATAACTAGCTCCTGAGGATTAGTAAACTGGAGAAATATCCTCTTATCACAATTCCGGAAAGAAATGTAGCATGTATTTTCTCTGCGTCACAAGGTTGCTTAAGCGTTGTCTATTTGGTGTTTTATTTTGTTACAAAGTATGTTAATTATATTCTGGACATTTCTATACCAAAGCCTGATTCTCTTTCGAAGTTTTAAAGAACCTTTCAGTGGCATTTTGATTAAAATTTCTGACTGCAGGCAATTTAGTCCATTCAAGACCGAGCCCGGCAGCTTGATCAGAGGCGTAGTGTCGTCAACTGAGAGGTTTTGTAGTATGCACAAGCTCGGAGAATTTGGCTAATCAAAAAAGAAAACTAATTTTTGGAATCTCTTGACATTTCTAATCAAACATCTGATATTCTTAAGAAGTTTGAAAGAACGTTTCGGTGGAAATTCTGTGACAGGCAATTTGATTAGGGGCGTAGTGTCATCAACTGAGCCGTGTTGTAGTATGCACAAGCTTTCTCTATTAAAAAAGCAAATCAAAGTTTGGAATCGCTTTACTTCTCTAATTAAACATGTAATATTCTTAAGAAGTTTGAAAGAACGTTTCGGTGGAAATTCTGTCAAAATTTCTGACTGCAGGTCATTTAGTCTAATTGAGACCGTGCCCGGCTGCCGGGCATTTAGTCGTAGCGAGTTATTTATGCCTGCTCAATCCCTGACAATGGGTCCTGCGCAGAAGTCAAAACTTAATTGGCTTCCAATTTTGAGAGTCCTTATGGCAAAATATTTCCACTCCTGACAGACTGTGAGGAAAATAAATGAAACTCCGGGATTCCGGGAGCATGATGTGTAGGACAGGACATATAGCACGCCAAATGTCAGCGAGTTTCGCCCGCTAGAGTTGATCAATTTTTGGAGAGTCATTTTTCCATCACCATGACGCATTTTAAAGCTTTTCGAAAAGCTCTCTCGAGCGTGATGGGGCGAATGAGTACTCCATGCAAAGAACCGAAACAATAACAAATGCAAATAACTTTTCTGAATTTTCACAAACTTTGATAAACAGCTAATATCAAACTCATGAAAAGTAGAAGCAAGGCTGATCTGTAACTTCGTCAGAAACTTCCTCTACATCTTTTTTAGGTTAAAAGTGCATTTTAAAGCTTTTCGGAAAGCTCTCTCGAGTGTGATGGGGCGAAGGAGTACTCCATGCGTAAAGAACCGAAACCATGACAAATGCAAATGTATTTTTAACTGTTCTGAATTTTCGATAAACAGCCAATATCAAACTCATGAAAAGTGGAAGTAAGACTGATCTGTAACTCCATGAAGAACTTCCTCTTAATCTTTTATAGGTTAAAACTGCATATACCCCAAAAGCATTGATTTCAACATATTCGTTACTAACCCACCTAAGACGCCGACCTTTACGTGATCTGATCGAGATAGTTTTTCTGTCGTAAGCTTAACAACGTGAAAATAGTATGATTGTGTTAATGCTTAAACCAATTTTTGTACCTTACTCACTTACTTACCTCAATTTGAGTTACAATAGAACATCACTCACTCCAGAGGACCTCGAGTTCCCCTTGGCCAGCCACATTTGTCGACTTAGCTTCTTATTTAGAACTCAGTGATCAACAAGATTTCGTACACTTAGACGTTTAAAACTTTGTGAATTTACGCTTTGATGTTTTTAAACGCATAACAGCGAAACCACCCCAAAGTCCGTCAGCTTTTGCTTATAAATCTGTATAAGTATTTGAATTCTTTCAGGAGACAAGAGATCTAAGTAAGGGTAAAGCACAATTTACTTACTTTAGTTTGACGCGTCTTGATCTTTCAAAGTTACTTCTCGAAGTTTGCGATGTTTTCATGCATATCCTTCTGGAAATTATGCAAATTGCGTAAGACACTCATCGAGGTAACTGCAAAACTTAGCATGTTTAAGGCTTAGGAGAACATTATCTTCGTAGGTCCGGCGTCACGGGTAAATTGCCGCGGGTGAAACATTGCGCGAATAAAAAGAGGAAATCGCAACATAATTTACGTTTTAGCCTCCATTTGGTGCAAAAATATTCTCGGAATATTTATCCACGACAATATTTGTTTTGGGAGGCGAACAGTTTACCGAGAAGATAACGGTAACGACGCAGGAATATATCTATCACAGACTTTTAAATAGGAAGGATTTTGTAAAATGAACCTGTGTGATGGAATTGCAAAAGGCGTTTACTTATATTCAACTTTAAAGTCTGCTTAGTTACTTCCGAGTTTTACTGCACCTTGCCCTCGTTTGCAAGTAGCTTTAGTCAAAGGCCATCTATATATACCAGGCAAAAGCTAACAAATTCTCCTACAGAGCACACTACTACATCTAGTGGGTCTTCTATGCAACACGAATGTTTCATCAAAGTTACAGTTATGTCACTCTATCAGTCAGTAAGGGCTGCACTGGGGCTATCAGGGCTAATAACAAATCTCTTGCCGGCTTGATGAATTGTTTTACTTCCACACGATCATAGACCAAAGAGGGAGCAACAATATTCCTACTGAAGACACTTCGGTGGAGGTCGCCTCACTCTTTGGTTTTCCCGGTTTTCTGGAAGATTCACTTGGAGAGATGTTCTCAGCGATCGTGTTCCCTTTCTCGTCACCGGTCCAGTAAGCACCTTGCATATAGCCTGACCAGTTTTTGCTGGTCGCTTCGCCAGCAAAGTACAGACGTCCCAGGTTTTTTCCAATGTTCTCCCAGTCTTCAGAAGTCATACCCACCACTGGTTCTGAATATGCGCCTTGCGTCAGCACCTCCTTTGACCAACGCCGATAATAAATATCTGAAGAAAATATACAATAGTTATGTCAAAGAGAGTACTTGCATCATGATGTGGGAGACCCACAGACTCTAATGGTAAATATCTTTGTGCAGTGAATAAGACTAGCCAGAACTCACTCTTTTTGGGTGGCGTTCCCATTAGTTCGTCTTTTGTTACTTGTTTTGAGTCTAGTTTAGTAATAATCAAGTTTTTTAAGGCCACAATTTCGTGTCTTAATTGTATTGCTTTCTGTAGGAATAATTACCAGCAAAGGAAGAGACATACATTTATTGAAACTATCACTAATTTATCTCTTTACCTGAAGATATTTCTTTTGACTAAGTTCAGAATGAACGATATGATATGTTGATATCTGGTTAAGAGGAACCCTGCAAAGCTTAACTATTGCCCCTCACCTGTCGCTTCAGGGATGCCATTCCCGTAGATCTTTCTCAACATTCCCATGATCTCTGCCTTTGTTTCATTAAATGATTGCCCCTCAATCCTTCGTCCTTGAGCCCCTGTCACAGTGATCAGTAACATCCCACTCGAAACGGGAAAGATCCCAGGTCTTGACAGGTCCTGCCACACAGGGAAACGTCCGCGCTCTTTGGAAGCGTACAGAGTATATTCGTGATCATCCCAGAACTTTTTTGGAAATTTCAGAAAAATTTTTGTGTAAGGCGACATCGGGTTTTTATAAATGGCCTCTTTTTTCCAATCAGGAAGGGCTGGCTCGAAAGTAACCAAGTCGCTGGCCAGAACTCCAGAGCTAAATGTACAAAGGGCATAATCTGCCTGGTAACTCCATCCATCGCAGGTTTGTACTTCAACGGAATCGGCATTATGCTTGATTTTTGTGATTAATTTGCCCAGCAAAGTCTTCGCTTCCAATGGCTTATAAAGATCTTCGTACATGGACCATACTCCTCGCCCATCAGCGATGAAAAAGTCTTCTCCGCGCTCAAACATGTTGTGAAAGGAAACCTCTTCTGGAGGCCTCGCAAACTCGAAATCGAAGTTGAAATATTCAATAACACTTTTTATGGGTTGTTTAGCTGACCATCCCATCTTCTGCATACCAACACGGGCGGAGAAGTCTGGCTGCCCCTTCCATTTTCCTTTGAATTCTTCAATTTTGTGCTCGATTTTGTCATAAAACTCACGCAGAACTGCAAAATCAGTGGTATCGTTTCCTGCTTCGCCCCTGCAAAAAATAAAAACAGTCTTAGGTTTGCAATACCAACAACTTTTGAACGTTTTGTTGGCGTGCCTTGGAGGGATACACATCTCCAAATGGACACTTGAGATCAGTTTTCCCTCAATAAAAATTAAACCCTTGATTTAGGATGAGGGAAAAAGAGGTGTTCATTCGATTCTACGGAAACCCGGGGCAAAATGAATTAGTCTTCATCTGAATGCTATATTTTGCTAACATGTTACGTGTTAGCCAGATTTATTTGTGTTCACCGAAGGTTTTCAACTTGGACCCAGTTTATCAGAGGGTGGAACACGATTTCGAGCGGACAGGTTTTAATGAAACGTGTTACATAATCCATCGGATTTATCTGTTCTCGTGGATAGCGTCATCCGCCCTTAGAACAACCTGGACCTGATGTCCAGCATTCTTGTTTCCAGATCACTCGAATTTAAAGTCGCTTTCTAAAAAAAAAAAAAAAAAAAAAAAAGTAACAAGAGTAGCCCTAGAAACGAAATTAAGGGAAATGGACTAAAGGATAATTTGATGGTACGGTCTATGGAGACTTGACAGGGGTGTGGATGTGATGAAGGACGTTGATTTCAGCTCTTTCAAATTTAAAATAGCTGTAACAAATTAAATAAATGCAATCGTAGATTGCTCATGCTCACCTGGACGGTAAACATATAGAAATTGCGCTGCTCGCAATCTTGAAAAGCCAGCATACAAGTCAGACTTTTCCCTGTTGTATGAGGCGTGAGTTACCAGAGGAAGGGGAAGAGGTGCCCAGAGACCTCCCAAGAGGTTTGTACTCCTCCTGTGTATAAGCCCTCTCAAAAGAATCTAGCTATGTACATCTCCACTTATCCCAAGTGTCTTACCTAACCAATATGTCTGAGTAATTAGAGGTAAGACCTTTCATTTTTTTTGCGTTCCTTCGATCCACGATAGGTTTGGTTTCTCCGTCATTTACGAAATGAATCCAATTCGCTCCCGTTTCAATCGGGTAGTTTGCAAACTCGATGGCATGTATTCTACCCCCAGTGTAATTCTTTCCCTCAAGAATCAGAATGTCGGTGATGTCTCTGTCCAGTAACGTCTTCGCTGCTTTAATTCCAGCAAGTCCGGCACCAAGGATGAGGACTTTAGTTTTCTTTTGTTTTATTGGTGAAGACCGAAACAGAAACACCTTAAGCGGGATGCATATGATCATTAAGATGATGAACACTCTATAAATGAACAAAGAAACTAATGATCAGAAGAGGATAACTAGCTTCTGAGGATTATTAAACTGGAGAAATATCCTCTTATCACAATTCCGGAAAGAAATGTAGAAAATGAAAGAAATGAAAGAAATGTATTTTCTCTGCGTCACGAGGTTGCTTAAGCGTTCTCTATTTGGTGTTTTAATTTGCTTGCAAAGTACGTTAATTATATTCTAGACATTTCTATACAAAAACATGATACTCTTTCGAAGTTTGAAAGAACCCTTTCAGTGGCATTTTGATTAAAAATTTCTGACCGCCCGCAGTTTAGTCTATTCAAGGCCGAGCCCGGCAGTTTGATCAGAGGCGTGGTGTCGTCAACTGAGCGGTGTTGTAGTATGCACAAGCTCGGAGAATTTGGCTAATCAAAAAAGCAAACTAATTTTTGGAATCTCTTGACATTTCTAATCAAACATCTGATATTCTTAAGAAGTTCAAGCTGAAAGAACGTTTCGGTGGAAATTCTGTGACAATTTCTGACTGCTGGCCATTTAGTCTAACTGAGACCGTGCCCGGCTGCAGGGCATTTAGTCGCAGCGAATAATTTATGCCTGCTCCATCCCTGACAATGGCGTCCTGCGCAGAAGCCAAAACTTAATTGGGTTACAATGTTGAGAGTCCTAATGGTAAAATATTTCCACTCCTGACAGACCGTGAGAAAAAAAATTAAACTCCGGGATTCCCGGAGCATGATGTGGAGGACAAGTCTTATATCGCACACCAAATTTCAGCGAGTTTCGCCCGCTGGAGATGATCAATTTTTGGTGAGTCATTTTTTCATTGCCATGAGGTTGAAGCTCTTCGAAAAGCTCTCTTTAGCGTGGTGGCTCGAAGCGGCTCTCTCGAGTGTGATGGGGCGAAGGAGTACTCCATGCGTAAAGAACCGAAACCATAGCAAATGCAAATGTATTTTTAACCGTTCTGGATTTTCGCAAACTTCGATTCACAGCTAATGTGAAACTCATGAAAAATGGAAGTAAGGCTGATCTGTAACTCCGTCAGAAACTTCCTTCGCATCTTTTATAGGTCAAAAGTGCAATACCCCAAAAGTATTGATTTCTATACATTTATTTCTGATTCACCTGAGACGCCGACCTTTACGTGATCTGATCGTGATAGTTTTTCTGTCGTAAGCTTAAGAAGATGAAAATAGCATGTTTGTGTTAATGTTTCAACCATTTTTCCACCTTACTCACAATAGTCTCATCCGTAGCGGGTTTCCTTCATCAACTGAGTTTTTCAGTAAACGAACTGACCGACGTTATGTGTATTTCTAATGCAGACATATTTTGTAGGTGGTCACTTATTGACGTCAATTTGATTTCCTCCAGAACATCACTCACCTAAGAGGACTTTGAGTTCCCCTAAACCAGCCACACATGTCGAATTAGCTTCTCATTTAGAAGTCTGTGATCAACAAGATTTCGCACACCCAGGCTCTTAAAAGTTTGTTAATCTACGCTTTGATGTTTTTAAAAGCATAACGGCGCAACCATCCCAAAATCCGTTGGCTTTTGCTTAAACTGTTCTGGATTTTCACAAACTTCGATAAACAGCTGATATAAAACTCATGAAAAGTGGATGTAAGGCTGATCTGTAACTCCATCAGAAACTTCCTCTAAATCTTTTTATAGGTTAAAAGTGCACATACCCCAAAAGTATTGATTTTAACACATTCGCTCTTACTGATCCACCAAGAACGCCGACCTTAGCCGAGATAATTTTTCTGTCGTGAGCTTAAGAACATGAAAATAGCATGTTTGTGTTAATGTTTCAACCATTTTTGCGCCTTACTCTCAATGGTCTCATCCGTAGCGAGTTTGATTCAGCACCTGAGTTTTCCACAAGACGAACTGACCGACCTAATGTGTATTTATTATCAAAACATGTTTTGTCGGTTGACCTCAATTTGATTTACACTACATCATATCGCCCTAGATGACTTCGAGTTCCCCCTAAGCCAGCCACATTTGTCGACTTAGCTTCTCATTTATAACTCAATGAGGCGACGAGATTTCGTGCGCCCAGACGCTTAAGTGTTTGTTAATCCACGCTTTGATGTTTTTAAGCGCATAACAGCACAACCATCCCAAAATCTTCTGCATATAAATCTGTACATGCTTTTTAATTCTTTCAGAAGAAGATAGTTTTACGTAAGGGTAAAGCACAATTTACTTACTTTCGTTTGCTGTATCTCCATCCTCCAAATTTTCTTCTCAAAGTTGGCCACGTTTTCAAGCAGATCATATCTGGAAATTATGCAAATTACGTAAAACACTCATCGAGGTGTGTGCAAAACTTAGCATGTTTAATGTTTAGGAGTACGTTACTTTGGTGGGTCCGGCGTCACGGGTAAATTGTCGCGGATGAAAAATTACGCGAGCAAAGAGAGGAAAATCGCAATATAATTTGCGTTTCAGTCTCCATTTGGTTAAAAAATGTTCTCGGATATTTATCCACGACATTATTTGTTTTGAGAGGCGAATGGTTTACCGAGAAGAAAACGGTGAGCCTCGAGAGAACTTCGTCTTCAAGACGCAGGAATATATCTATCACAGGCTTTTTAATAGGAAGGATTTTGTAAAATGAAACAGTGTGATGGAATTGCAAAAGGCGTTTACTTATATTCTACTTTAAAGTCTGCTTAGTTACTCTCGAATTTTACTGCACCTTGCCCTCCTAGGCAAGTAACTTTAGTCAAAGGCCATCTATGTAAACCAGGCAAAAGCTAACAAATTCTCCTACAGAGAACACTATTATATCTAGTGGGTTCTCTACGCAACACGAACGTTTCATCAAAGTTACAGTTAGTCACTCTATCAGTCAGTAAGGGCTGCTCTAGGGCTATCAGGGCTAATAACAAATCTCTTGCCCGCTTGAGGAATTGTTTACTTCCACACGATTATATACCAAAGAGAAAGCAACAAGATTTCTACTGAAGACACTTTGACGGAGGTTGCATCATTCTTTGGTTTTCCCGGTTTTGTGGAAGATTCACTTGTAGAGATGTTCTCAGCGATCATGTTCCCTTTCTCGTCACCGGTCAAGTAAGCACCTTGCATATAGCCGTACCAGTCTTCTCTCGTCGCTTCGCCAGCAAAGTACAAACGTTTGTTCAGTAGCATAATCACAAGCTGAGTGAAAGTGAACTCGTGATTAATACATATAGCCGAGAGCAGTTAGTACTTGCACAGGACTATCTGCAGATAATAATTACAGGGGCGAACCACAAAAAAAGAAGTATTCTCTATTCAAAGTCTGCTCAATTACTTTCGAATTTTTACTGCACCTTTCCCTCGTGGGCAAGTAAATTTAGTCAAAGGCTATCTATCTATATACCAGGCGAAAGCTGACAAATTCTCCTACATAGTACGCTCCTACATCTAGAGGGTCCTATATGCAACCCAAATGTTTCATCAAAGTTACAGTTTTGCTACTCTATCAGTCAGTAAGGGCTGTTCCAGGGCTATCAGGGCTAATAACAAATCTCTTGCCGGCTTGATGAATTGTTTACTTCCACACGATTATAAACCAAAGAGGGAGCAACAATATTCCTACTAACGACACTTTGGTGGGGGTTGCCTCGCTCTTTGGGTTTCCCGGTTTTCTGGAAGATTCACTTGGAGAGATATTCTCAGCGATCATGTTCCCTTTCTTGTCACCGGTCCAGTAAGCACCTTGCATATAGCCGTACCAGTCTTCGCTCGTCGCTTCGCCAGCAAAGTACAGACGTCCCAGGTTTTTTCCAATGTTCTCCCAGTCTTCAGAAGTCATACCCACCACAGGTTCTGAATATGCGCCTTGCGTCAGTGGCTCCTTTGACCAACGCCCGATAATAGATATCTGAAGAAAATATACAATAGTTATGTCAAAGAGAGAACTTGCATCATGATGTGGGAGACCCACAGACTCTAATGGTAAATATCTTTGTGCAGTGAATAAGACTAGCCAAAACTCAGTCTTTTTGGGTGGCGTTCCGATTGGTTCGTCTTTCGTTTTGTTTACTTGTTTTGAGTCTAGTTTAGTAATAATCAAGTTTTTAAAAGCCCACAATTTCGTGTCTTAATTGTATTGCTTTCTGTAGGAATAATTACCGGCAAAGGAGGAAACAAACATTTATTGAAACTATCACTAATTTATCCCTCCACCTGACGATATTTCTTTCGACTAAGTTCAGAATGAACAATATGATATGTTGATTTGTGGTTAAAAGGAACCCTGCAAAGTTGAACTATTACCCTTCACCTGTCGCTTCAGGGATGCCATTCCCGTAGATCTCTCTCAACATTCCCATGATCTCTGCCTTTGTTTCATTAAATGATTGCCCCTCAAACCTTCGTCCTTGAACCCCTGTCACAGTGATCAGCAACATCCCACTCGAAACAGGAAAGATCCCAGGTCTTGACAGGTCCTGCCACACAGGGAAACGTCCGCGCTCTTTGGAAGCGAAAAGGATATATTCGTGATCATCCCAGAACTTTTTCAGAAATTTTAGAAAAATTTTTGTGTAAGGCGACATCGGGTTTTTATAAATGGCCTCTTTTTTTCCAATCAGGAAGGGCTGGCTCGAAAGTAACCAAGTCGCTGGCCAGAACTCCGGAGCTAAATGTACAAAGGGCATAATCTGCCTGGTAACTCCATCCATCGGAGGTTTGTACTTCAACAGAATCGGCATTATACTTGATCTTTTTTACTAATTTGCCCAGCAAAGTCTTCGCTTCCAATGGCTTGTAAAGATCTTCGTACATGGACCATACTCCTCGCCCATCAGCGATGAAAAAGTCTTCTCCTCGCTCAAACATGTTGTGAAAGGAAACCACTTCTGGAGACCTTGCAAACTCGAAATCGAAGTTGAAATATTCAATAACGCTTTTTATGGGTTGTTCAGCTGACCATCCCATCATCTGCATACCAACACGGGCAGGGAAGTCTGGCTGGCCCTTCCTTTTTAGTTGGTAGTCTTCAATTTTGTGCTCGATTTTATCATAAAACTCACGCAGAACTGCAAAATCAGTGATATCGTTTCCTGCTTCGTCCCTACAAAAAATAAAAACAATTGTAGGTTTGCAAGAGCAACAACTTTTGAACGTTTTGTTGGCGTACTTTGGAGGGATACTCATCTCAAAATGGATATTCGAATTCAGTTTCCCTCGATAAAAATCAGTAAACCCTTGATTTAGGATGAGGGAAAGAGGTGTCCATTAGGGGCAAAATGAATCAGTCGTCACCTGAATGCTATGTTGCTAACATGTTACGGGTTAACCAGACTTTATTTGTGTTAACCGATGTTTTTCAACATGGACCCAGTTCATCAAAGGGTTTTCACAAAACGTGCTACATAATCCATCGGATTTATCTAGTCTTGTGGATAGTGTTATACGCCCTTAAAACAACTGGGACCTGATGTCCAGCATTTTTGTTCCCACTCGATTTTAAAGTCGCTTTCTGAGAAAAAAAATTATTAGTAACAAGAGTAGTCCTAGAAACGAAATTAAGGGAAATGGACTTGAAAGGATAATTTGATGGTACGGTCTACGGAGACTTGACAGGGGTGTGGTCGTGAAGAAGTACGTTGTTTTCAGCTCTTTCAAATTTAAAATAGCTGAAGCAAATTAGATAAATGTAATCGTAATTTGTTCATGTTCACCTGGACGGTAAACATATGGAAACTGTGTTACTTGCAATTTTTAAAAGCCGCCACACATTTCGGACTTTTACCTGCTACGAGTTATCGGAGGAAGGGGAAGAGGTGCCTAGAGACCTCACAAGAGGTTTGTACTCCTCCTGTGTATAAGCCCTTTCAAAGAAATCTAGCTATGCACATCTCCACTTATCCCAAGTGTCTTACCTCACCAATATGTCTGAGTAATTAGAGGTAAGACCTTGCATTTTTTTTGCGTCCCTTCGATCCACGATAGGTTTGGTTTCTCCGTCATTTACGAAATGAATCCAGTTCGCTCCCGTTTCAATCGAATAATTCGCAAACTCGATGGCATGTATTCTACCCCCAGTGTAATTCTTTCCCTCAAGAATTAGAATGTCGGTGATGTTTCTGTCCAGTAGCGTCTTCGCGGCTTTAATTCCAGAAAGTCCGGCACCAAGGATAAGGACTTTAGTTTTGTTTTGTTTTATTGGTGAAGACAAAGATCTGTCCACCAGAAACAGAAAACTCAGATGCAGGATGATCTTAAACATGATGTACATTCTGTGGATGAACAAAGAAACTAATAATCAGACTGACTGCGGGCCATTTAGTCAAATTGAGACCGTGCTCGGCTGCCGGGCATTTAGTCGTAGCGAGTAATTTATGCCTGCTCAATCCCTGACAATGGGTCCTGCGCAGAAGTCAAAACTTAATTGGCTGCTAAAGTTGAGAGTCCTTATGGCAAAATGTTTCCACTCCTGACAGACCATGAAAAAAAAATGAAACGCCAGGATTCCGGGAGTATGATGTGAAGGACAAGTCTTATATCGCACGCCAAATTTCAGCGAATTTCGCCCGCTAGAGATGATCAATTTTTGGAGAGTCATTTTTCCATCACCATGACGCATTTTAAAGCTTTTCGAGAAGCTCTCTCGAGCGTGATGGGGCGAATGAGTACTCCATGCAAAGAACCGAAACCATAACAAATGAAAATAACTTTTCTGAATTTTCACAAACTTCGATAAACAGCTAATATCAAACTCATGAAAAGTGGAAGCAAGGCTGATCTGTAACTTCGTCAGAAACTTCCTCTACAGAGCTTTTTCTTCAAGTTTGACGCAGGAATTGTTTTTTGCCCTTCCTCTAGCATAGACTCAGTAAATAATGGGGGATTATGATAAATCTGTAACCTTCGAAGGTTACTAGTGTAGCGGAGAAGACAATCCGAACGCACAATATATATCATGGTTTAATCAAATGAAGTACGTAATCAAAAGTACGAACGGAATAAGGAGATCGGTGTGAAATCGCAGATGAAGAGGGCGAAGTAAAGATTGAAGATAGCGTAGTTATGACTGATGGTAACGTTGAAGCTGAATTTGTGTGGTTCGAACTAAAAGGAAATGCAGCAGAAACTAAACTAAGAAAATATCCCTGAGAAATGTAACACTAGCCTAATTAACGATGAAGCGATTATAAAGTGAACTGAAAGCGAAAAATAAATCGATTTACGTATCAAAGGAAAAAGGGAAATATCTTAAATGTGAAATAAAGAAAAACTTACTTTGGTCTAGCTCCTAATGATTGTAGATAAATCGCCGATAGTGGATCGTACGTGAATAGCAGACAAAGTTGGTGGTGTCGACAGCAACTTATAGCGATGAAATATGAAATATAATATCTGGTACATGTGCTTAAATGAAACTGATTGAAATAAAAAACTTATTAAGTAATAATCATTAACCAACGAAGAAATAATAGACCGGAACAAACATAACAGAAAAGTACATAAGTTCCGCGTTTCGAAACTAACAAAATCGACTCTTTAAAATGCATCAATGAGGCTAGTTTATCAAGGGCGAGGCTTGAGGAGGGGGGTCCTAAGGTACCTGTGACCTCCCCCCCCCTCACCTTTATGAGCCTTTTTTGTCACGTTAAGTAAAACACGGTGTTGGGGTCGACATAGCAACCTTGTGAGCACCCTCTGTTTGACACCATGTGAACCCCCCTCACTGTGAAAAATCCTGGCTAAGCCCTTAGTTTATCACATACTTTTTAATAGGAAGGATTTTGTAAAATGAACCTGTGTGATGGAATAGGAAAAGGCGTTTATTATTCTACATTTATTACAAGCTGAATTATACACACATTTCGAATGGTTCTTACCTACTATCTATTGCTGGACAGACGCATAGGTGACGTTCACATTAACGACATTTTGACTTTTTTATCATATAATTAACAAATAGATTCTGTGTTGCCGTGAGCCTGTTCAGGAACAGATCACGGATAAGGTCAAATCTGATAAGAGCATCAGTGACACACCCCCCCTGCCCATCGTTTACTACTTTTCTGTTCTTGCCATATGTTGACGTCATGTGGGACTCTTCACTGAACAGAAGTACAGCAACATAGAATCTTTTTGTTCAATAACATGATCACAAGCTGAGTGAAAGTGAACTCGTGATTAATACATGTAGCCGAGAGCAGTTAGTACTTGCACAGGACTATCTGCAGGTAATAAGTACAGCGGCTGACCGTAAAAAAGAAGTAATATCTATTCGAAGTCTGCTTAATTACTTTCGAATTTTACTGCACCTTGCCCTCGTGGGCACGTAACTTTAGCCAATGGCTATCTATCTATCTATATACCAGGCGAAAGCTGACAAATTCTCCCACAGAGTACACTACTACATCTAGTGGGTCCTCTATGCAACACGAATGTTTCATTAAAGTTACAGTAATGTCACTCTATCAATCAGTAAGGGCTGCCCTGGGGCTATCACGGCTAATAACAAATCTCTTGCCGGCTTGATGAATTGTTTACTTCCACATGGTTATTAACCAAAGAGGGGGCAACAAGATTCCTACTGAGGACACTTTGGCGAGGGTTGCCTCACTCTTTGGTTTTCCCGGTTTGCTGGGGCTGGTGGGGGTTGCCTCACTCTTTCGTTTGTTGTAAGATTCACGTGGAGAGATTTTATCGGCGATCATGTTCCCTTTCTTGTCGCCGGTCAGGTAGGCACCCTGCATGTAGCCGCACCAGTCTTCGCTCGTCGCTTCGCCAGCAAAGTACAGTCGTCCTAAGTTTTTTCCAATATTCTCCCAGTCCTTTGAAGTCATACCTACCACTGGTTCTGAATATGCGCCTTGCGTCAGCGGCTCCTTTGACCAGCGGCGATAATAAATATCTGAAGAAAATATTGAATAATCATGTCAAAGAGAGTACTTGCATCATGATGTGGGAGACCTGCAGACTTTGATGGTGAAGATCTTGGTGCAGTGAATAAAACTAGCTAGAGCCAGTCCTTTTTGGCGTTGCGATTGGTTTGCCTTTTGTTACTTGTTTTGAGTCTGGTTTAATCAAGGTTTTAAAGGCCACAATTTTGTGTCTTAATTGTGTTGCTTTCTGTAGGGATAATTACCGGCAAATGAAGAGATAAACATTTATCGAAACTATCGCCAACTTATCTCTCCATCTGTCGATATTTCTTTTGACTACGTTCAGAAGAACGATATGATATGTTGATTTGTGGTTAAAAGGAACCCTGCAAAGCTGAATTATTGCCCTTCACCTGTCGCTTCAGGGATGCCATTCCCGTAGATCTCTCTCAACATTCCCATGATCTCTGCCTTTGTTTCATTAAATAGTTGCCCCTCAATCCTTCGTCCTTCAGACCCTGTTACGGTGATCAGTAACATTCCACTCGAAATGGGAAAGATCCCAGGTCTTGACAGATCCTGCCACACAGGGAAACGTCCGCGCTCTTTGGAAGCGTACAGAATATATTCGTGATTATCCCAGAACTTTTTTGGAAATTTTAGAAAAATTTTTGTGTAAGGCGACATCGGATTTTTATGAATGGCCTCTTTTTTCCAATTTGGAAGGGCTGGCTCGAAAGTAACCAAGTCGCTGGCCAGAACTCCGGAGCTAAATGTACAAAGGGCATAATCTGCCTGGTAACTCCATCCATCGGAGGTTTGTACTTCAACGGAATCGGCATTATGCTTGATTTTTGTGATTAATTTGCCCAGTAAAGTCTTCGCTTCCAATGGCTTATAAAGATCTTCGTACATGGACCATATTCCTCGCCCATCAGAGATGAAAAAGTCTTCTCCGCGCTCAAACATGTTGTAAAAGGAAACCTCCTCTGGAGGCCTCGCGAACTCGAAATCGATGTTGAAATATTCAATAACGCTTTCTATGGGTTGTTCAGCCGACCATCCCATCCTCTTCATACCAACACGGGCGGAGAAGTCTGGCTGACCCTTCCATTTTACTTTGTAGTCTTCAATTTTGTGCTCGATTTTGTCATAAAACTCACGCAGAACTGCAAAATCAGTGATATCGTTTCCTGCTTCGTCCCTAAAAAAAATAAAAACAGTTGTAGGTTTGCAAGAGCAACAACTTTTGAACGTTTTGTTAGCGTACTTTGGAGGGATACTCATCTCAAAATGGATATTCGAATTCAGTTTCCCCTAAATAAAAAATAAACCTTTGATTAAGGATGGGGAGAAGAGGTGTTCTGTACGGAAACCCGAGACAAAATGAGTTAGTCGTCATCTGAATGCTATATTTTGCTAACATGTTACGGGTTAACAAGACTTTATTTGTGTCAACCGATGATTTTCAACTTGCACCCAGTTTATCAAAGGGTGAAATACGATTTCAAGCGGATAGGTTTTAACGAAACGTGCTACATAATCCATCGGTATTAACTGGTTCGCGTGGATAGCGTCATCAGCCCTTAGAACAACCGGAATCTCATGTCCGTCCAGCATTCTTATTCCAAGATGACTCGATTTTCTAAGAAAAAAATTACTAATGACAAGAGTAGTCCTGGAAACGAAACTAAGGGAAATCGACTAAAAGATAATTTGATAGTATTATCTATGGAGACTTGACAGGGATGTGGATATGAAGAAGTACGTTGTTTTCAGCTCTTTCAAATTTAAAATAGCTGAAACAAATTAAATAAATGTAATCGCAGTTTGTTCATGTTCACCTGGACGATAGACAGTTGGAAATTGGGCTACTGGCAATTTTTAAAAGCCGGCACACAAGTCGGACTTTTCCCTCTTGAATGAGGTGCAAGTTATCAGAGGAAGGGGAAGAGGTGCTCACAGACCCCATAAGAATTTGCATTCCTCGTAATTATAAGCTGTGTTTATAAAAATCAAGCTATGCACGTCTCCACTTATCCCAATTGGCCTTGTAGCGTCTTACCTCACCAATATGTCTGAGTAATTAGAGGTAAGACCTTTCAATTTTTTCGCGTCCCTTCGATCCACGATAGGTTTGGTTTCGTCTTCATTTACGAAATGAATCCAGTTCGCTCCCGTTTCAATCGAGTGGTTTGCAAACTCGATGGCATGTATTCTACCCCCAGTGTAATTCTTTCCCTCAAGAATCAGAATGTCGGTGATGTTTCTGTCCAGTAGTGTTTTCGCCGCTTTAATTCCAGCGAGTCCGGCGCCAAGGATAAGAACTTTAGTTTTGTTTTGTTTTATTGGTGAAGACAAAGATCTGTCCACCAGAAACAGAAAACTCAGATGCAGGATGACCTTAAACATGATGTTCATTCTGTTGATCAGCAAAGAAACTAATGATCAGAAAAGGATAACTAGCTTCTGAGCATTATTAAACTAAAGAAACATTCCCTTATCTCAATTCCTGAAAAAAATGTGGCATGTATTTTGTCTGCGTCACGAGGTTGTTTGAGCGTTGTCTATATGGTGCTTAAATTATTCATACAAAGTATGTTAATTATATTCTGGACATTTCTATACAAAAATCTGATACTCTTTCGAAGTTTAAAAGAACTTTTCAGTGACATTAATTTCTGACTGTCGGGAATTTAGTTTATTTATGACTGAGCCCGGCAGTTTGATCAGAGGCGTAGTGTCGTCAACTGAGCGGTGTTGTAGCTGTTGTTCGCTTCGGAAATAAAGTTTGTTTTGAAAATTGAAAGTAATGCTTGGGGAATTTAACGGATTCTTTGTTATAAAACAAACAGAGAAGCCTTGACTGTGCTCTGTTCTGTTGTAAAGCACTTAGGAAGCAGCTAGAGCACTCAAGAAGACTACGTCTCGTGTTTCTCCCTATACTTCTTTCGTGCTCTAGCCGCTTCCTGCGTGCTTCAATAGAAAAGAGCACAGTCAAGGATTCTTTATTTGTTAATTAAAACTTTTCGAAAAGTTCTCTCAAGCGTGATGGGGCGAATGAGTACCGAAGCCATAACAAATGCTAATTTTTTTTAACTGTTCTGAATTTCACAAACTTCGATAAAACAGCTAATATCAAACTCCTGAAAAGTGGAAGTAAGGCTGATCTGTAACTCCATCAGAAACTTCCTCTACATTTTATCGGTTAAAAGTGCATATACCTCAAAATTATTGATCTCTATACGTTCATTTCTGATCCACCAGAGACGCCGACCTTTACTTGAGCTGATCGAGATAATTTTTCTGTCGTAAGCTTAAGAACGAAAAAGCATAACAGCACAACCATTCCAAAATCTGTAAGCTTTTGCATATGAATCTTTATAAGTATTTCAATTCTTTCAGGAGACGAGAGATTTAAGTAGGAGTAAAGCACAATTTACTTACTTTAGTTTGTCACGTCACGATCTTTCAAAGTTTCTTCTCTAAGTTTGCGATGTGTTGATGCAGATCCTTCTGGAAATTATGCAAATTACGTGAAACATCTGTCGAGGTGAAAATAAATAGTAAGTAGCAAAGTACATAGATCAACTGTAATTCAATTTGACTGGTGTAATTGCATTGTAATATATGTATTGTATAGATATATATGTATTACAGAGAAAAAAATATAAAAAAATTAAAATAAATCAAAAAAAAAGAAACAACTGTCGAGGTATATGCAAAACTTAGCATGTTTAAGGTTTAGGAGAGCGTTATTTTGGTGGGTCCAGCGTGACGGGCAAATTGTCGCGGGTGAAAAATGGCGTAAGTAAAAAAGAGGGAAATTGCGATATAATTCGCATTTTAGCTTCCATTTGGCGCGAAAATATTTAGAGAAGTGAAATAGTTTACCGAGAAGAAAACGGCGAGCCTGGAGAGAACTTTTTCTTCGAGTTTGACGCACTTCCCCCGAGTACCCTCTGTTTGACACAATGTGAGCGCCTCCTCCCCTTCACTTTGAAAAAACCTGGCTAAGCCCTTAGTTTATCACATACTTTTTAATAGGAAGGATTTTGTAAAATGAACCTGTGTGATGGAATAGGAAAAGGCTTTTATTATTCTACATTTCGGACAACCTGATTTACACACATATTTCGAATGGTTCTTACCGATGATCTATTGCTGGACAGACGCATAGGTGACGTTTACATTAACGACATTTTGACTTTTTTATCATATAATTAACAAATAGATTCTGTGTTGGCCGTGGAACTGTTCAATAACAGATCACAGATCACGTCAAATGTGATAAGAACATCAGTGACACCCCCCCCGTCCATCGTTTACTACTTTCTGTTCTTGCCATATGTTGACGTCATAAGTGATTCTTCACTGAACAGAAGTACAGCAACATAGAATCTTTTTGTTTAGTAACATAATCACAAGCTGAGTGAAAGTGAACTCGTGATTAATACATATAGCCGAGAGCAGTTAGTACTTGCACAGGACTATCTGCAGATAATAAGTACAGGGGCGAACCACAAAAAATTAAGTATTCTCTATTCAAAGTCTGCTTAATTACTTTCGAATTTTACTGCACCTTACCCTCGTGGGCAAGTAAATTTAGTCAAAGACCATCTATATATACCAGGCGAAAGCTGACAAATTCTCCTACATAGAAAATTCCTACATCTAGAGGGTCCTATATGCAACACAAATGTTTCATCAAAGTTACAGTTTTGCCACTCTATCAGTCAGTAAGGGCTGCTCCAGAGCTATCACGGCTAATAACAAATCTCTTGCCGGCTTGATGAATTGTTTACTTCCACATGATTATAAGGCAAAGAGGGAGCAACAATATTCCTACTGACGACACTTTGGCGGGGGTTGCCTCACTGTTTGGGTTTCCCGGTTTTCTGGAAGATTCACTTGAAGAGATATTCTCAGCGATCATGTTCCCTTTCTTGTCACCGGTCCAGTAAGCACCTTGCATATAGCCGTACCAGTCTTCGCTCGTCGCTTCGCCAGCAAAGTACAGACGTCCCAGGTTTTTTCCAATGTTCTCCCAGTCTTCAGAAGTCATACCCACCACAGGTTCTGAATATGCACCTTGCGTCAGTGGCTCCTTTGACCAACGCCGATAATAGATATCTGAAGAAAATATACAATAGTTATGTTAAAGGGAGTACTTGCATCATGATGTGGAAGACCCACAGACTCTAATGGTAAATATCTTTGTGCAGTGAATAAGACTAGCCAGAACTCAGTCTTTTTGGGTGGCATTCCGATTGGTTCGTCTTTTGTTTTGTTTACTTTTTTTGAGTCTAGTTTAGCAATAATCAAGTTTTTACAAGCCCACAATTTCGTGTCTTAATTGTATTGCTTTCTGTAGGAATAATTACCGGCAAAGGAGGAAACAAACATTTATTGAAACTATCACGAATTTATCTCTCCACCTGACGATATTTCTTTCGACTAAGTTCAGAATGAACAATATGATATGTTGATTTGTGGTTAAAAGGAACCCTGCAAAGCTGAACTATGGTCATTCACCTGTTGCTTCAGGGATGCCATTCCCGTAGATCTCTCTCAACATTCCCATGATCTCCGCCTTTGTTTCATTAAATGATTGCCCCTCAATCCTTCGTCCTTGAACCCCTGTCACAGTGATCAGCAACATTCCACTCGAAACGGGAAAGATCCCAGGTCTTGACAGGTCTTGCCACACAGGGAAACGTCCGCGCTCTTTGGAAGCGAAAAGGATATATTCGTGATCATCCCAGAACTTTTTCCGAAATTTTAGAAAAATTTTTGTGTAAGGCGACATTGGGTTTTTATAAATGGCTTCTTTTTTCCAATCAGGAAGGGCTGGCTCGAAAGTAACCAAGTCGCTGGCCAGAACTCCGGAGCTAAATGTACAAAGGGCATAATCTGCCTGGTAGCTCCATCCATCGGAGGTTTGTACTTCAACAGAATCGGCATTATACTTGATCTTTTTGACTAATTTGCCCAGCAAAGTCTTCGCTTCCAATGGCTTGTAAAGATCTTCGTACATGGACCATACTCCTCGCCTATCAGCGATGAAAAAGTCTTCTCCGCGCTCAAACATCTTGTGAAAGGAAACCACTTCTGGAGACCTTGCAAACTCGAAATCGAAGTTGAAATATTCAATAACGCTTTTTATGGGTTGTTCAGCTGACCATCCCATCATCTGCATACCAACACGGGCAGGGAAGTCTGGCTGGCCCTTCCTTTTTAGTTTGTAATCTTCAATTTTGTGCTCGATTTTATCATAAAACTCACGCAGAACTGCAAAATCAGTGATATCGTTTCCTGCTTCGTCCCTACAAAAAATAAAAACAGTTGTAGGTTTGCAAGAACAACAACTTTTGAACGTTTTGTTGGCGTACTTTGAAGGGATACTCATCTCAAAATGGATATTCGAATTCAGTTTCCCCTCGATAAAAATCAGTAAACCCTTGATTTAGGATGAGGGAAAGAGGTGTCCATTCGATTTTACGGAAACCTGAGGCAAAATGAATCAGTCGTCACCTGCTATGTTGCTAACATGTTACGGGTTAACCAGACTTTATTTGTGTTAACTGATGATTTTCAACATGGACCCAGTTCATCGAAGGGTTCTCACATAACGTGCTCCATAATTCATCGGATTTATCTGATCTTGTGGATAGCGTTATCCGCCCTTAGAACAACCGAGACCTGCTGTCCAGCATTGTTGTTCCCACTCGATTTTAAAGTCGCTTTCTGAGAAAAAAAAATTACGAGTAGCCCTGGAAACGAAATTAAGGGAAATGGACTAAAAGATAATTTGATGGAACGGTCTACGGAGACTTGACAGGGGTGTGGTCGTGAAGAAGTGAGTTGTTTTCAGCTCTTTCAAATTTAAAATAGCTGAAGCTAATTAAATAAATGTATCGTACTTTGTTCATATTTACCTGGACGGTAAACATATGGAAACTGTGCTACTTGCAATTTTTAAAAGCCGCCTCACATTTCGGACTTTTACCGGCTACGAGTTATTAGAGGAAAGGGAAGAGGTGTCCAGAGACCTCACAAGAGGTTTGTACTCCTCCTGTGTATAAGCCCTTTCAAAGAAATCTAGCTATGCACATCTCCACTTATCCCAAGTGGCCTTGTAGCGTCTTACCTCACTAATATATCTGAGTAATTAGAGGTAAGACCTTGCATTTTTTTTGCGTCCCTTCGATCCACGATAGGTTTGGTTTCTCCGTCATTTACGAAATGAATCCAGTTCGCTCCTGTTTCAATTGAGTGGTTTGCAAACTCGATGGCATGTATTCTACCCCCAGTGTAATTCTTTCCCTCAAGAATTAGAATGTCGGTGATGTTTCTGTCCAGTAGCGTCTTCGCTGCTTTAATTCCAGAAAGTCCGGCACCAAGGATAAGGACTTTAGTTTTGTTTTGTTTTATTGGTGAAGACAAAGATCTGTCCACCAGAAACAGAAAACTCACCAGCAGGATGATCTTAAACATGATGTACATTCTGTGGATGAACAAAGAAACAAATAATTAGAAGTGGATAACTAGCTTCTGAAGATTATTAAACTGGAGAAACATCCTCTCATCAAAATTCCGGGAAAAATGTAACATGTATTTCTCTGCGTCACGAGGTTGCCTAAGTGTTGTCTATTTGGTGCTTTATTTTGCTTACAAAGTGAATTATATTCTGGACATTTCTGTAAAAAAATCTGATGCTCTTTCGAAGTATACCCCATAAGTATTGGGTATACTTATAAATTAGCCTAAATGCGGGAAATCGCGGGTGACCAAGTCGTGATTGCTTTAGCTTTTACATCTGATTGGTTGACAAGATGGCGCATAACAGCCTACGTGAAGCGATAGGCCATACACCCCCCCCCCCCCCCAGGAGAAACGTTTCTCCTTGAGGGGGAAGGGTAGCTGAAAGTTCCAAGCAGATCTAAGAGGTGGAAAGTAAGAGAGCCTCATCGAAAGTGAAGACTCCAACCAGAGTTGACGTGTTTTACCCCACCCCTCCATGCAAGTTCTGGTTAAGTGCCCCTTCGAACCCAGGCTCAAAGTTATTCAATAGAACCGCTCAACCGCCTAAGATTGAAGAGGTCGGAGACTTTAACATCTTCGGTGTAAAAACCGAAGTACACTGCTCTCTCGTGACATCGTTGTTACCTATGAGAACGAGAAGTTCGGATTTATGCTTCAGCAGCAATTAGCGCCCTCGTTTTCACAGCACCCTCGTTAATGACAATGATTCCACAAAAGCATTCTAATCACAAGAGTATTTTCGCCACAGGCAAAAATAATTCTTATTATCGCCGTTTTTAAGCGCTCATTTTCTTACTAAAGCCTAACTTAAGTATTTTTGCTTCTTTTTTGCAATTTTCAGATTACTGGCGGCTCTTTTTAAATCAAGGATTCCCACACTTCTGCAACTAAGAAAACGCATTGACCACCAGTGATCAGTATCAATGAATTTCATCAAAGGGGACTGAATAAAACATCTGACAATTGTGGGATCAGCCCTTAATCTGCTCAACTATAGGTAACCAAGCTCATACGATATGACAATAGATTTCACATAGACACTGGCTGGCTCCCTGTTTACTCCTCTTCTCATTAAAACATATTCCCATATCCATTTGTCGGCTCCATGACATCACAGCAAAGTTAACTTTCTACTATGTTTACGATAGCGTAACTCCCTGAAATCAAAACTTTTGATACTATATCTCGGCGTCTGTGTTATTATGCGTTCTTGCCGCATGAAAGAGCACCAGTGAACACGATCTAAGGCTCGAATGTACCTCGAAATTGACCACTCTCTTAGTAAATCTCTAAATGAGCTTCGGCTCTTTTTGTATAGATTAATTTTGTCCGGTGGCATCATCGCTGACCGGTCCATGACCTTTTTTACTATTCGTGTCAAACTTCACTTGATCTTGAACCTTTAACCACACCTGTATTGCGAGAGAGCTTTGCTTTAAGAGGTAAAAAAGCAAAAATGCTCTCGTTTTTGATAAGTTGTGCAATCATGTGGAATCATGTTTAAACACGATTACACAAGATTCACTTCTCTCGATCTTTAACTTTTGAACTGCACATGAGAGAGGCGAAAAATGCAAAAATATGTTCGTTTTCGTTGGTTTGGCGGCATAATCATGTCTACCTCATGTTTAGGCCGCACTTATGTTGCATAAGCGGCCGAAAAATGCTTTTGTAGTTTTGCGTGAATTGTAATGATCTAGCAAGGTTATCTTTCACATACTTCCGAGCGGCACTAAATTTACGGCGCTAATTTCATTAGTCCCGTTAATAACGGGTTGGGTTGAGAGGCGAAAAATGCAAAAATATGTTCGTTTTCGTTGGTTTGGTGGCATAATCATGTCTACCTCATGTTTAGGTCGCACCTATATTGCATAAGCGGCCGAAAAAATGCCTTTGTAGTTTTGCGTGAATTGTAATGATTTAGCAGGTTATCTTTCACATACTTCCGAGCGGCACTAAATTTACGGCGCTAATTTCGTTAGTCCCGTTAATAACGGGTTGGGTTGAGAGGCGAAAAATGCAAAAATGTGTTCGTTTTCATTGGTTCGGTTGCATAATCATGTCTACCTCATGTTTAGGCCGCACTTATGTTGCATAAGCGGCCGAAAAAATACTTTTGTAGTTTTGCGTAAATTGTAATGATCTAGCAAGGTTATCTTTCACATACTTCCGAGCGGCACTAAATTTACGGCGCTAATTTCATTAGTCCCGTTAATAACGGGTTGGGTTGAAAGGCGAAAAATGCAAAAATTTGTTCGTTTTCATTGGTTCGGTTGCATAATCATGTCTACCTCATGTTTAGGCCGCACCTATGTTGCATAAGCGGCCGAAAAAATGCTTTTGCGTGAATTGTAAAGATCTAGCAAGGTTATCTTTCACATACTTCCGAACGGCACTAAATTTACGGCGCTTATTTCAATAGTTCCGTTAATAAAAACTTGATCACCATTCAATCTACAGCCCTGAAAAGTTCGGTTTCATTGTCAAATTGTAAACCAAGCTATTGATAAAATTATTCAACTTGTGTAGTATGTTGCTCATAGCTGCCTCTAAACAACCTTTGGATACTGACCTTTGCTTAAGAGAAGAAATATCCGAAAATGCGTTCGTTTTCGATCAGTTACTGGTGCTTGTTGTAACCTTCCCAAAAGAAGCCAATATACAGAGCAACTTAGAGTCTTTATTTTGCAAATAGGGCGCCTTTTAACGTCTTTGTGTCCAGGCGTCCAATGAGGGGATTAATAACAATAGACAATAGGAGGGTCGGTAGGTCTGGAACTTTGGGAGGCCTGGGCCTCCTTTTCCGATCAGACATACTAATGATAGATCTCCTGGAGGGTCTAAATGGGATGATGGCTTTAACGGCTAATAAATAATTAGTTAATATCAAAAACTGGATCATTAGCTAATGCAATCTAAGAGTTTTCATTGGCTTAGGCATGATGGGTTATGAGCTATTACACCATGCGCGCGCACAGAGACAAGTTAAACAGGAAATGTTTTCGTACATTATAACATTCCGAGTAACAACAAAAAAAGTTATCTTTCCAACTCGAAATAATACTGTTTATTAGATTGCAGTAGTTGTGGTCGGTTGAAACTAAACACATAAATAAGTTAAGTTAACTAATTAAGTTAACAAACTACAAAAAAAAATTAATGTAAACGAAGCGGAACGGAAAAGTACTTACATTGATAACGCCTAATATGTACTGCAAAATCGCAAAGCGCGACTGAGGGTAAACTGACTTGAAAAGTGATTATGTGCAAAAGAAACTGGCTTTAAATACAAGAGGACTACGAAATAACGTGCGGTATGAGAACCGTGCTAAAAGGTTAACTGACGAAGAAAAAACACTAACGTGTTGTTATGAAAAAAAGGAAAGAACGAAATAAATAAATACGAGTTATACACACCAAAAAAAAAGCAAACGCCTTGATCATTCCGTTTGTTCTTACAAAACGAAGTCGACTCAAAACGACTTCCTTCTGAAGGCTTTCGAACCGTGCGCAATATTGACCGAGGGGACTTGGCATGGGAACGTCTGATTAACGTTTTTGTTCTGCAACGAATGATGGGAAATTAATCCAAGATGGCGAAGCATTATCCAGATCTCATCATGTGCAGAAAACAGCCTGGCGTAGGTTAGTTTGGTTGCAATTTTAACTAAGGTTCCCGGTGCAGTTTACTGATTATATTCTATTTTTACTTATATCTCAGCTATAGGTCGGCTGTGCGAAAAATATAAGTACAAGATTCGTTTAACTTTTTTTACGGTAACCAACTGATTCCAGAGAAAGCTATGTTTACATTTTCTTCTGTTTAGAGACAAATGACGTCTGCTTCATGACTAATTCTATTTTTGAGAGTTTGCAGATTTTCTTTTTCTTTTCTCTGTGTGAAAATGTGAGTAAGGTGAAACTCGAGTACAGATTTCCTTTAAATCAAAGAATATCAAAGTTAGATTGATACACGTGCGTTCTTATTTTATGTGCTGAGGAGTCAGTTTTCAACGGATTTCAATTCAAAAGAAGAGAGATCACCCATTCTGTGACAAGTGAGGAGGTGAAAGTTCTAAGTCCAGGATTTTTAGAGATAATTCTGAAGTGGAGTTTTGTCGCAAATTCAAATCTTTATTATGGCAAAAAATCACTCAAGATTTTTTCACCTCTGGTTTAGTTAGGGTTTTGGTATGTTTTCCCTTCCATCGCATACATTGAGATTTAATGCCAGTAATGTTCATGCGCTGTTTTTTTTTTTTTGTTTTTTTTTTTAAGAACATCACTGACACTCTCGCCTGCCCATCGTTTACTACTTTTCTGTTCTTGCGATATGTTTACGTCATGTGGGATTCTTCACTGAACAGAAGCACAGCAACATAGCATTTTTTTGTTTAGTAACACAATCACAAGCTGAGTGAAAGTGAACTCGTGGTTAATAAATATAGCCGAAAGCAGTTAGTACTTGCACAGGACTATCTGCAGGTGATAATTACAGGGGCGAACAGCAAAAAAGAAGTAATATCTTTTCAAAGTCTGCTTAATTACTTTCGAATTTTATTGCACCTTGCCCTCGTGGGCAAGTAACTTTAGTCAAAGGCTATCTATCTATCTATATACCAGGCGAAAACTGACAAATTCTCCTACAGAGTACACTATTACATCTAGAGGGTTCTCTACGCAACACGAACGTTTCATCAAAGTTACAGTTATGTCACTCTATCAGTCAGTAAGGGTTGCTCTAGGGTTATCAGGGTCAATAACAAATCTCTTGCCGGCTTGATGAATTGTTTACTTCCACACGGTTATTAACCAAAAAGGGAACAATAAGATTCCTGCTGAAGACACTTTGGCGGGGGTTGCCTCACTCTTTGGTTTTCCCGGTTTGCTGGAAGATTCACTTGGAGAGATTTTCTCGGCAATCATGTTCCCTTTCTCGTCGCCGGTCAAGTAAGCACCCTGCATGTAGCCGTACCACTCTTCGCTCGTCGCCTCGCCAGCAAAGTACAGTCGCCCCAGGTTTTTTCCAATGTTCTTCCAGTCTTCAGAAGTCATACCCACCACTGGCTCTGAATATGCGCCTTGCGTCAGCGGCTCCTTTGACCAACGGCGATAATAAATATCTGAAGAAAATATTTAATAATTATGTTAAAGAGAGTACTTGCATCGTGATGTGGGAGACCTGCAGACTCTGATGGTGAAGATTTTGTACAGTGAATAAAACTAGCCAGAACTCAGTCTTTTTGGGTGGCGTTCCGATTGGTTCGTCTTTTATTACTTTTTTTGAGTCTGGTTTGGTAATAATCAAGGTTTTTAAGGCCACAACTTGTCTTAATTGTATTTTTATTTCTGTAGGGATAATTACCGACAAAAGAAGAGAAAAAAATGAACGGAAACTATAGCTAATTTATCTCTCCACTTGACGATGTTTTCTTTTGACCAATTTTAGAATGAACGATATGATATGTTGATTTTTAGTTAAAAAGAACCCTGCAAAGCTGAACTATGCCCCTTCACCTGTCGCTTCAGGGATGCCATTCCCGTAGATCTCTCTCAACATTCCCATGATCTCTGCCTTTGTTTCATTAAATAGTTGTCCCTCAATCCTTCGTCCTTGAGCCCCTGTTACAGTGATCAGTAACATCCCACTCGCAACGGGATAAATCCCAGGTCTTGACAGGTCCTGCCACACAGGGAAACGTCCGCGCTCTTTGGAAGCGTACAGAATATATTCGTGATCATCCCAGAACTTTTTTGGAAATTTCAGGTAAATTTTCGTGTATATCGATAATGGGTTTTTATAAATGGCCTCTTTTTTCCAATCAGGAAGGGCTGGCTCGAAAGTAACCAAGTCGCTGGCCAGAACTCCGGAGCTGAATGTACAAAGAGCGTAATCTGCCTGGTAACTCCAACCATCGGAGGTCTGAGCTTCAATCGAATCCGGGTTCAGCTTGATTTTTGTGACAGTTTTGTTCAATAAAGTTTTCTTTTCTAGTGGCTTGTAGAGGTCTTCATACAACGTCCACAATCCGCGCTCGTCAGTAACGAAAAAATCCTTTCCACGCTCAAACAAATTGTAGAAAGAAAACTCTTCTGGTGGTTTGGCGTACTCAAAATCCACATTCAGATATTCAATGGCTCTTTCTATGGGTCGTTTTCCTTTCCATCCCATCAGCTGAAAACCAACACGCGCTGGCATGTCAGAAAGTTTATTTAGCCTCCTCTCATTTTGGTAATCTTCAATTTTGTGCTCCACTTTATCATTAAACTCCTTGAGAACTGCAAAATCAGTGATATCTTTGCCTTTATCGTCCCTGCAAAATTATATTGAAAAAGAAAGTTTCTATAGAACAAATGACGATATGCGATATTTAATGGATGGTCCCTATTCCAAGAGAGTTTATCAACTAGCGCAAAATGCGACTGTTACACTCAATTTCCTTCTTTTAAAGAGTATAACGCGTGATCCTGTTGATACAGACTCGTCTTACCTCACAATAATGTCTGAGTAGTTGCAAGTGATTGCACGAATATTTTTTGCGTCTTTTCGTTCTACATGAGGTTTGGTTTCGTCATCATCTACCAAATGGATCCAGTTGGCTCCCGCTTCAATCGTATAGTTTGCAAATTTCAAGGCATGTATTCTGCCTCCCGTGTAGTCCTCTCCCTCGAGAATCAGAATGTCGGTGATGTTTCTGTCCAGTAGCGTCTTCGCTGCTCTGATTCCGGAGAGTCCGGCACCAAGGATAAGGACTTTAGTCTTTTTTTGGTTCACTGGTGAAGACGATGAGCTGTCCACAAAAAGCAGCAAACTCAAAACTAGGATGATTCTTAAGGCAATGTTCATTCTGTAAATAAACAAAAAACATTTATCTGAAAGTGGTCGTTAGCACATGATCAGGGATATTGAAGTGTTTAAGAATCCCTTTGAATTTTACTGACCAAGTGACTTTGCACAGCTGATTCCAGGAAATCCTCCAGATGTGCTTAGAAACAAGAGGACCCCAAGATCAGCCTATGACCGTGCTTAAAAGCAAGTTATATATAGAACCATTTCAGAATCTGTCTAATGTTGATACTTTTTCATTGTGTCAGTTTTTTTGTTTCTGGTAATTCCAGAATCAGCGTCTTAAAAGGCGACTCTGTATGCAATATTAATCAGCAATGATAGAAACCTTCTAAGTTGCAAACTATCTTTTATGTGTCTCTTCTACAGTAAACAATCGATGCAATAAGAATCATAGCTACAATTTTGATCAACTTGAGATAGGCTTTTAATAGCCTGTTACACACCCCTCCGAGAAGTTCCTCACTAGAGTCAACTGAGGGGATAATGGGTTTTTAATTCCAAAAGATGTCAGATTAATCGAATGAAGTTCAACTTTTCATTTCTTTAGCCTTGACTAGCCAACTTCTTAATGAGTTTCTAAAAAATCTTCACTAACCGCACCTCTTTTTTCACCATTGGCATCAATAGTATGATAAAAATTTGTCTTAAATTGTGCCCGGTTGAATCTCACATAGTCGCGCAAAATAAAGTTGATCCTTCGTATTTAACTTGTTGGATAATATATCAGCGGTATCAACCCGTGTTTGCCCTGCTCTTCATTTGCACTGGTTTTGCACAGATTCTTTTAAAATGACATCCGATCTCGATATGGTCGCCAAACAATGACATTATTTGGCGAAACCTAACGGTATCTACTCTGGGCAACACTGGAGTCTGATACTGTCGGCATCTCTTTACTATGATATCTACCTCTTGACACCTGTGTTGCCGGATGTCGATGCAAAATCGCCTCCGTTTCGTACATGAGGTCACAAATATGATGATAAACCATACAGTCGATCAGAAAAAATGTCTGGTCTAAGTCATATGATATTCAAATATTAGTGATTAATTCTAAGTGAGAGATTCTTCCACCTAACGGCCCAAACCTAAATCCAGGAGGTTGAAGTACTTGTCGGTGACTATGAAGGAGACGCCTGCCACATGAAAATGATTTGGCTCGGCGAGAATTTCGAATATTTTCAATAATATCTTTTTGTTTTCTGGTGCACGTTTTTCCCGTAGCACGCTCTTTCCCGAGGGTTGGCATTCAAAAGAGGTACGAAAATAAGTTCGAGTGCAGACGTGATTCTCGCAGATTAATTGTTAAATATAATTTTGTTTTCATTTTTGTAATCTAACTATCATATTCCCTGAGGTTTCTTTAGATATTTTTTTTAATTTATTGTAAAGCGCATTAGATCGTATACTTATAATGAATTTTGCGCTATATAAGTATTAAATTTATTATTATTTATTTATTATGATGTATCTGATCAGGTATTTTCAGGGTGTTTAGTGCGTAGATTGTCAAATAAATCCCCGTCTGACAGGAGATTAGTGCCCACGAGTCGCTATAGAACGCGAGGAAGCATTGATTCCCAAAAATAACACCGATTTCAACTCTATGAACGTGTACGATTGCAGTTGTTTAGTAAGTGTATACCTAAACATACTGGTTACGACAAAGAGACGTGCTTATGACACCTGCAAAAACGATTCACGATACCTCAACCCCTAGGTAAGAAACGCTAACGGCGACCCGGTCAAGTTTTCCCGTTTTCCGGGGGCAGTTAGACAAAGGAGAGAAGGCAAAGGCGGATAAGGTCATGTCATCGAGATGACTCGTTCGTGTGCATGAAAGACAGCTACGTTTGTAGTCTACATTTTGTTGGTAGAAATGGTCCAACAGAAGTGGATCCTGATCCCATATCTGCAGTTGTTAGTAAAGAAAGGGTAAGTTAATTCATTTATTCTTTTACATCATTATTTTGTCTTCGGGATAAATATATATACTATGTCTAGGTGTCGCGACTCAATCGTAAACGAAAGGCATCTTGCGAACGAGAAAAAGAGAGATGCAAGAAAGTTTACCTTGGCTAAAACCCTTCTGACACTTGATTGTCAAAATCGACAGAGGAATACGCAGTAGCCAAAGCCCTTTTACCTCTGAGCGTAGAGCCAGCGATGAGTTCAGGAGAGCAAATCAAATAATTAAAAATGTCGTACAATCCAAACGGCTGCGACGCGTTGAAATTGTTAACAGTCTTCGGGAAAAATGGATTGGGTATTAGCATACCATGAATTATTAATTCGTCTTAAGCAGTGGTGTCGCCTTTTCGAAATTTGGATCCATTGGCAGAACCATTTTTTCGACAGAGGAGGTAATTTCCACTCACGAGATTTTAAAGTATCCACTCGCTGAAATCCTCCGTTCTTGTAGATATTTCTTAAGCTCTGTCCCACTCATTGCGTTGAAATAAGCTTTACTTTTGTGATCTGCCATTCTTAAATTTAACTCTTTTTGAAGGTTGTTCTGAGTTTCGCAGAATTTCCCACTTGCGTTACTTAACAGGCTTCCTCACGTTCTACAGCGATTCGTGGGCACTTATTTCCTGACAGAGATGATTTTATTTAACAATCTATGCACTTAACACCCCGAAAATACCTGATCAGATACATCACTGAACGCAGAACTGGTTCGATTATTCCATGCCGCAACGCTTCCTGTAACATTCTTCGCATCTGCTTCAACAGCAGCGAAATAACAACTTGCTTGACACACGATCAAATAAATGATAAAAGAAAGATGCCAATTTTGAGCGAAGTAACGTTTCTCAAAAGCGGGAAGTTATTTAAGGAAAATTTCCAAAGCCGAAGTTTGAACACATGTGCTGCGAGCTCGACTCAATGTCCGAACTTTCGGGGTTTGTTTACATCAAATGTCACGTGATACTACACGTGAAATCTGAAGCCCAAAAGATGAATTTAAGCAATTACAGAAACTGAGATCTGAGGGAAGCCCGAAAAAAAGTTCTGCATCGAAGAGATTCGAACCCATGCCTCTCAGATACTAGTTGGGTGTTGCTATCAACTGAGCTATGTATGCAAACGTTAGAAACAAACGATCCTCTTGTAACAACTTTAATGATTTTGATTTTAAGGAAATTGTTGTAAGTAAGATTCTTGACCCTGGCTGAGTTACTCCTCAAAGGAAATGAAATTGCGAAATTAAAGTTCCAACAAACGGTCCACATCGAACAAGATGAACCGGACTTGTATTTCGAAGTCAAATCGAACAAGATTTAGTTTCATAACCTACTGGTTAACGTTAGCGACCTGCAGCATTCATTCATCGATTTTCACAATTTCGTGTGACAGAACTCATTATCTGCGGCGAAAACCGTGGAATTTTTCGATCCGAATTGTGTTCAATATTCCTAAGAAAGCTTAAGAGTCAGAATGTAAGCTGTATACAGTCAAAATTAATACCAACCTTCGACGAAGAGATGGAAATCCGAATGTGATAGTTTCCAAATGCTGAAGACAATCACGCCTGCATTGTTTGTTTAAGCGATATACTCTGGCCCGGGTCGCACTAGGGAGGTTTAGATCAATAATCCGTCAAAAAAGGATTAATGTCTGTCATCACAGCATGTTTCTTTATGCGACTGGTGTTTCACAAATTTCTAAAATTTCGGAAAGTCCACAGAGACTTCAAAGCCACCGAAGTGTATGGGTGGGGCAGGCAGATTTTGAAATAATCGAAAAAAAAAAATACACCGATTTCGGAGCTGTCAACGCTAGTCATTTGACCCAGATATGACCCGCAGTTAAACTACTCAATCGGCGGGAATTTTAATATTTACCCGCCAACTTTCAGCATGGATGGACGTTTTACTTTTTATTATGCGCCGGGATCATTCTTAAGCCAAAACTTTCGTCATTTCGACCCTACATTGGCTGGACCGATCGATCGAGACCCAGCGGAATTTTGCTTAGGCGGTCCGATAGTCCAGCAAGTGTGGTGAGTGAGAGCGATAGCCCGACCAGCTCCAGGTCAGCTGAAGATTTGGCAGAAAAAGAAAAACAAACGCTACGACAAATGGCTGCAAGAAGAGCAGAGGGCTCAAGTAATGAATATCAAACCATGATTCGGCTGGGCGAGGAATGGTCCATGTATAAGGCGCAACACGAATTCTACGTAAATGCCGCTGTCTTCTTATAAAAGCGACATTCAGGATTTGCATGTATTCATTTACCTCTGATACAGGATGAAAAAGGCAAACATTTGCTGCTGTTGCATGTCGATAATTTGTAGAAGTAGAAAGGCAAAAGCAAAGCAAAATGCCTGATTTGGGTTCATGTTTATTACCGCACAATACGCGCCAGAAATGAAATCTGATCGACTGTGTTTATCTTAACGTATTTGTGTATTTCGGTAGTGCAACTCAAAAATTGTATCACATTTTTCGGCTCTTCCGGTTGCGGTTTAACCTTTTTGGAAATTTTTTGGCTGCCTACATTTTGGTTTGGGCAGTAGTGCGACCTGGGCCTCTGACAGAAACAATGACAGCTGGGTTTAGCTTTTTTTTTCTTTTTTTTTACCATTCGTTACCAAAATTCTTGGGATACTACGGTACAGTTACATTAAAATATCGTTCCCCTCCCGCTTACTCGCATTTATTCCCCCCCCGCCCCCAACACCCTCTGCCTTATTATGTTGATTTATGCTGAATTTAACCTCTTAAATCATTACCTTCGTTACCAGCGTTCTCTTAAAGGTTAGAGGGGGGGGGGGAATTGTAGTCTAGGTGACCGCCGAGGGCGTAGTCAGGATATCCCAGGGGTGCTTCCACACTTGCATTTCCTGGAATACCGGGTTGTCAAATCATTATATAACACTTTTAAGGCTTTCTCTTTCCATACAGTAAAGGGGTTACGTGCGTGCAAGGAGCTCCCCCCTTCCCAGATCCATTTCCTCAATTGACACCAGCGATAATGAAAATGAACGGAAAAAAGGGAAAGAAATATACGGCGAAAATTCGAGAGCAGGTTTTTCGCGATTGTTGCATCTTTGTGCCTACAAAATATGAATAGTTATGAAGTTGCAAAAAAAGTTGTGCTGACACTAAAGGAAATATATGGGTCAAGTCAGTGGCACAATTTCTGATTTTTTTTTTTTTTTGTTTACCCCCTGACGAACAATATACGGTTGAATTGATACAGCTGACTATAACTTTGGTCAACAAACGCGAATTTATCTGAAGCTTCTTGGTTGGTACATAACCTTTCTTGTGAGTTAAATATCTTTCATCGACCATTCCAGTGAAAGCTCCTATCGAACATTCGACAACACTCGAAAATAAACAAATCGTCTTGAACTACCAGAGCGCTTTTCGATTGAGTGTCCTAAAACCGAAACCAAAGTGATCACAACGGCCATGCAGCCAATCAGAAGAAAAGAAAATACCCTAAAGAGCCAATGAGAACTCAAAGCAAACCGACCAATCAGCCTAAATGTGGGAAATTGCGGGTGATCAAGTCAAGATTGCTTTAGGTTTTGCATCTGATTGGTTAACAGGATGGAGCACAATTGCCTACGTGAAGCGATAGGCCGTACACCCCTCTCCCCTCCCCCCGAGAAAAGTTTTTCCTTGAGGGGGGAAGGGTAGTTGAAAGTTCCAAGCAGAAGTAAGAGGTGGAAAGTAAGAGAGTCTCATCGAAAGTGAAGACTCTAACCAGAGTTGACGTGTTTTACCCCACCCCTCCAAGCAAGTTTTATTTAAGTGCCTCTTCGAACCCAGGCTCAAAGTTATTCAATAGAATCGTCCAACAACCTAAGATTGAAGAGGTCGGAGACTTTGGTGTAAAAACCGAAGTACACTGCCCTCTCGTGACATCGTTGTTAACTAAGAGAACGAGAAGTTCAGATTTATGCTTCAACAGCAATTAGCGCCCTCGTTTTCACAGCACCCTCTTTAATGACAATGATTACACAAAAGCATTCTAATCACAAGAGTATTTTCGCCACAGGCAAAAATAATTCTTATTTTCGCCATTTCTAAGCGCTCATTTTCTTACTAAAGCCTAACTTTTTGTTTCTTTTTTACGATTTTCAGATAACTGGCAGCACTTTTCAAACCAAGTTTTTAGAGGTTTCCAGGATTCCCACACTTTTTCAACTAAGAAAACGCAATAATCACTCATGATCGATATCAATGAATTTCATTAAAAGGGACTGAATAAAACATCTGACAATTGTGGGATTAGCCCGTAATATGCTTAACTATAGGTAACCAAGCTCATACGATATGACAATAGATTTCACATAGACACTGACCGGCTCCCTGTATACCCCTGATCCCATTAAAGCATATTCCCATACCCATTTGCGGTCTACTAATTGTCAGCTCCATAACAACACCGCAAAGTTAGCTTTCTGCTATGTTTACGATAGTGTAGCTCCTTGACGTCAAAACTTTTTTTTGTTGTAACCTTCCCAAAAGAAGCCAATATACAAGGCAACTTAGAGTCTTTATTTTGCAAATAGGGCGGCTTTTAACGTCTTTGTGTCCAGACGTCCAATAAGGGGATTAATAACAATAGACAGTGGGAGGGTCGGTGGGTCCGGAACTTCGGGAGACCTGGGTCTCTTTTTCCGATCAGACATACTAGTTAATGATAGATCTCCTAGAGGGTCTAAATGGGATGATGGCTTTTACGGCTAACGGTTGCTACTAAAAACTGGGTCATTGGATAATGCAATCTAAGAGTTTTCATTGGCTAAGCCATAATGGGTTATGAGCTATTACACCATGCGCGTGCATGGAAACAAGTTAAACAGGAAGTGTTTTTTGTAGATTGTAACATTCTGTGCAACAACAAAAACGCTATCTTTCCAACTCGAAATAATACTGTTTACTAGATTGCAGTAGTAGGGGTCGGTTGAAACTAAAAACATAAATAAGAGTTGAGTTTACTGATTAAGATAAACAAACTACAAACAAAAAATGAATACAGACGAAGCGGAACGGAAAAGTACTTACATTGATAACGCCTGATATGTAAGTGCAAAATCGCAAAGCGCGACTGCGGGTAAACTGACTTGAAAAGTGATTATGCGCAAAAGAAACTGGCTTTAAATACAAGAAGACTACGAAATAACGTGCGGTATGAGAACCGTGCTAAAAGGTGTAACTGACGAAGAAAAACGCTAACGCGTTGTTATGAAAAAAAGGAAAGAACGAAATAAATAAATACGAGTTACACGCACCAAAAAAAATAGAAAACGCTCAGATCTTACATTCCGTTTGTTCTTGCAAAACGAAGTCGACCCAAAACGACCTCCTCTGACGGCTTTCGAACCGTGCGCAATATTGACCGAGGGGGACTTGACATGAGAACGTCTGATTAACGTTTTCGTCCTGCAACGAATGATGGGAAATTAATCCAAGATGGCGAAGCATCATCCAGATCTCATCATGTGCAGAAAACAGCCTGGCGTAGGTTAGTTTGTTTGCAATTTTTAACTAAGGTTCCCGGTGCAGTTTACTGATTATATTCTATTTTTACTTATATCTCAGCTATAGGTCGGCTGTGCGAAAAATGTAAGTACAAGATTCGTTTAACTTTTTTTACAGTAACCAACTGATTCGAGAGAAAGCTAAGTTTACATTTTCTTCTGTTTAGAGACAAATAACGTCTGCTTCATGACTAATTATATTTTCGAGAGTTTGCAGATTTTGTTTTTCTTTTGCTTTTCTCTGAGTGGAAATGTGAGTAAGGTGAAACTCGAGTACAGATTTCCTTTAAATCAAAGAATGTCAAAGATAGATTGATACACGTGCGTTCTTATTTTATGTGCGAAGGAGTCAGTTTCAACGGATTTCAATTCAAAAGAAGAGAGATCATCCATTTTGTGACGAGTGAGAGGTGAAAGTTCTAAATCCAGGATTTTCAGAAATAATTCTGAGCTAGAGTTTTGTCGAAAATTCAAATCTTTTCTTATTGCAAAAAAATCACTCAGAAGATTTTTTCACCTCTGGTTTAGTCAGGGTTTTGGTGTGTTTTCCCTTCCATCGCATACATTGAGATTGAATGCTAGTGATGTTCATGCGCAGTTTTTCTCTTTTTTTGTGATGTTTAGGTGATGGTAAATGTGTCATTTGCGACTCCTATGTGCGTCCCTGTACACTGGTGCGTATATGTGATGAATGCAACTATGGCTCTTATCAAGGTCGCTGTGTTATATGTGGTGGACCTGGTGTTTCTGATGCTTATTACTGTAAAGAATGTACAGTTCAAGAGAAAGATGTGAGTTACATTTAGAAAACTAGGAATACTAAACACTAAGGTTAATACAATTGATTCCCTACACCTCAAACTTAGAAGAAGAATTAAGAAAAAGTTTGTGACATTGAGGGAAAATGTAGAAGAAACTAACTTAAGGATAACTTCAGAAAGTAAAATCACTCCAAGTGAACAAGAGGTTTAAACCTTTAACTCCCAAGATCTCATTAGCAATTCTCCTTATTGTCTGCCAAATGATTTCCATTATTTTAGCTGGAGAATTGGTATCAGATCAATTAGTAATCCCATAATTAATATTTTTCTTTATTCCCATCACTTGACTGCTTGATATTGTGTTGATATAGTGAGGAGAAATTCTTTATCGGTCACTCATGGAAGTGAAAGGGTTAAGTTATTGGGAATTGAATGTTCATGTATTGAGGAGATGTTGAGGTCTGATAGTAGAAAAGTTGGTCCAAGTTGAGAACATCCGGAATCATGACTTGTGTTCTCAAAGTGCATCTCAATATCCAAGAGTGTGAAATGAAAACTGCAAACTGTCAGGAGGATCTAACAAAACTGCTGGTTTGGAAGAAGAGAAGGGGGAGAGGGTTATCCTTCAATGGAATAGCATTTCACTTTGGGAAAGTGACAATACCCCTTGTCCCTTCAATGATGGACAAGCATTGGCCAGCTGGGTACTTTTGCTCTATTTCTGAGTTTGCCCTACCTTATATGTGCACAGACAGTTTTGGTATCACCCCAGCTAATTTAAATCCCAAAGGCCTCTTTGGATGGCTAATTTGCTACTTGTCAATGCTCAGTAAATCAAATCTCAAATAGACTTTCCATTAAAATGCTTATGTGAAATTGCTGAGAAATTTTTGTTTCCAAAGAAATAGCATTAGAGTTTTATATACAGTGCTTGATAATTTGCTGTTTGTTTTTTTACAGAGAGACGGTTGCCCCAAGATTGTCAACCTAGGAAGTTCTAAGACTGATCTCTTCTATGAAAGAAAGAAGTATGGTTTCAAGAAGAGATGACAGTTTATCTTACTTAACTTTAGTTTTTAACATGCACCCTAGGTCGAGCTGTGTATAAACATGATTAATCTTTCCTGCACAATAATATTGTTATTGTCAACTTTTGAGTTGGTTAGCCAGCCTTCATGAGGAAATGTAGGTTCCTGACTTCAACACATCAATTCCCTTGACCTTGTCAGTTTCTTGTTCTATTACAGTGTATGATTCCATCGTTGTGATTTAGACAGTCTTAACTTATCATTTGTATGTCACTTTGATATGTACCTTGGTTTTATTTACTTCATGATGTAAGAGGTGGAGAGAGCTATATCTGTGTCGAGCTATGTAGTGTTAAAGATATTTTTAATTCAGTTAAAGAGGAAAAGTTAAGTAAACACTTAGGAAATGTCAAGTTTTGCCAACATAAAGTTTTCAAGGTCATTAAAAGTTTTTTGTAGTCGTGAATCATGGTTCAAGGTATTCTTGGCTGATTTTCTCTGAACTTGAATTACACTTTTTGCCAGTTATCAGTAATTGTTTGAACAATTCAATTACTGAGGGAAGATCAAGAGGGTGGACCCAAGAATATCAATCTCTTTCATAGTTCTTATTTAGAACTTTCATGAAAACTGAAGAAGTGTGAGAGTCCGAGGATTCATAAGTTAACACATCCCTTTTCCTAGTTTAGAGTGGACATACACCAATAACCTTTGAGTTTCTAGTAGTTCTCTCTGCACTACTTTGGATGGCTTCTCTTCTCTGAACTGATTAACTAGAAACAAAGCTGTAAACCAGAAATTTGTACAAGTTACATGTAAATGTGAAGAAAAAGGAAAACATATAGCTTTCCAAGAGACCCAGTTTTTACCATTTTCTTGAGTTAGATGATTGATCTGCCTTTGGAGGAAGGGCATTGGATTATTTCCTGGTCAATAGTTTGTTAGCAAGGGTATTATACCTTAGGCATTAACCCTTTAACTCCCAAGATCTGATTGTTAATTCTCCCATGTAGCTGCTATACCTTTCCATGTAAATTAGTTATGATAATTTGGTGTTAGCTCAAGATAGCAATTTCTATCTGATAAGTACATTGATGTATTGTGGGTTCTTGTCCTTTAATTTCCTTTCCTCTTAAGTTTTTGTCCTTTTATTTTCGGTTGTTATTTCTTTACATGAAAAGATCCAAACATTTTTCGATGTTGTGCAACATCAGCAAAGAGGTCCACTGTTCAATGAGTTTAACTGTTTGACCCTTTACTTCATAACGTCAGTATGCATATTCTTCATACTACTCCCTAGACATTTCCTAGGGTTCTGACAAAGAGAATTTGTTCAACAATCAAGAGCTTCTTTGGTTGGTGATCATCTCCTTTATTCCCATGACCTTGATGTTTGATTCAGGGTGATATTGTAACAAGAATTTAGATGTTAGTCACCCTTAGGAGTTAAAGGGTAACAAAAAATGTTTAACAGGGAAAAGGTAGTTTCAAACGAGTACTCCAGGGAAGAGTAACTTTGAGTGTTAAGGGGCCTTTTTTAGTATCAGTTGGCTTGCAACCATCAGTATAAGGGCTATATAATTTCTCTTTACACTATCAATACAAAATTAACCAGATAAGTGGTGAGAATAAAGAAAAATTTATATTTGGGGATAATTACTTGATCCAATACCAAATTCTCTGAACTAACGTTATAAGAATTATATGATTGACAGTGAGGAGAATGACAAATTTGATCTGGGAGTTAAAGGGTTAACCCTTTACACCCTAACATCAGTATTCATATTCTTCATACTGTTCTCTGTACATTTACTAATGTGCTGACAAGGAGAATTTGTCTGGTAATCAAGAGATTCTTAAGTTGGTGATCACTTTCTTTATTCTCATGACATTAATGTGTGATTCAGTGGTCACTATTGTAAGGAGAAATTAGATGCTAGTCACGCTTAGGGGTTAAAGGGTTGAGTAGTATTACTGGTAAGTTTTGATTTTCTTCTCAGGGTTCCACAACGTCACGCATGTTCATTTAGCAGAGTCTTGTTTGGAGGACTGGAACAGTGGACGATCATTCATTCAGGAAAAGAAACAAATTAATAAAAAAAACTGAAAAAGGATTTAAAAATAAACAAGAAATATAAAAAAAAACAAAAGAAGACTTTTTCAATGTTTACACAATACAAGGGTTTGACAGAATTTTTGACAGTTCGAGAAGCAGTTGATAGTTTGCAAAACTATCTCGAATTTTTCTAGACCCCTGAGCTTCGGGATGAGGTTATCGAAACACGGAATGAGTTACTTATTGCTTTTATAAGATGTTTCTCAAAAATACACACGAACTAACGCATCACAGTGGTCCTTTTATATTTAAATATAAACCCACCGATCGGCCCATGATAGACGCGTGATATCTCGGTTCTTTCCTGTTTTTTTCATAAAGCTGCTTAGTCAGTATCAAGATTTTCGCATTTTTTTTTAAATCGGAAATCACGGAAATGATAGAGAGACGTGCGTGATGATTCTCAAACGACGAATGGGCCATATTTTGCTTTTGCCTCTTTGAACCGCAACGATGAGCTTTAAGAGCCTTGTTTTCGCTTTTGAAACTTGTTTCAGAAGAAAAGATGGTACTTGACACCGTGCCAGAGAAAACAACATCCTAGCTCTGGCCCGGCCAATATGAGAACTTATGAATGATCCCGGTTAGGAAGTGCGTTGGATTCCAACGAAAAACAAACGACCGTATGTTTAAAATCTATATCATGTGTAGATCTTCCACAAATTCCTGTCTGATCGCAGAAACCTGATTTCGGAAGATTGCGTTATTTTCAAGGTTGCAGACTACGCCATTCTCGAGAGATTTCAGCCACGTGACTTCCTTGTTGTCAATCATCAGTTGATTTTAGCGAACAAATCGCCAGCCGTTTGATTGAGGTCTAAGTAGTCTACCGCACAAAATGATGCTCTTATAGTACAACTAAGTAGTCCCTATTAGGATCAGGGGTTGCACCGTTTCCAGGCATGGGAGAAGTAAACGCGGAAGATGTTCTGTCCCATTTGAAAGCTGTTTTCGAAGCTTGTGACCAAAATGGCGACGGTTTTGTGAAGACGCAGGATCTTCTAAGCCTCGGCCAAGAACACGCTAGTGTTGGATTTGAGGTAAATTCAAACTGTCCTTACCACTGCTTACTTTGATTTTGATCATCATTCATGGGCCTGTACCATGAAGCAGCAGTAGATAATATTTAAACTGTATTTGAGATACGTGAGGACGGAGTTTTTTTTTGTATTCCCAATCATAAACAGAGAGTGAGTACATGAATCTGCGTACATAGAGACGTAATTTTCGCGACTAGTCAGCGTTTGGGGTTTGTTTCTTAGTGATAGAAGACAATTTGCTTCGACCGAAATATTTCAAATGCAAAAATTGTTCTACGATAAATTTAGTGGCTTTTGAAGAGGCTCGATCGCTCCTTTTGTAGTATCGAAAAGTGTTGTTTTATTTGCACTCTCGCCTGTCATCTCTTTCGCCACACCAGGTTAGTTTACTATTACCTTGGTGAACCGGTCATTAACAGGAAGACAATTCTAAAATTTTCTGCGGAAACAGCGATCAATCGGTTGATATCCTTGAAATTATTTTCTTCGTCGTTCCCGATCTCCAATATCAAAATTGAGAGTACTGTGAACACTTTTTCCAAATTCGTTCGCAACCGAATGCCTCACTTCCTTAGCGGTGAGTGTTGATTGTTGTTAATGTAAAACTCATTGATATTCTACCATTCTCCTCTACCACTAGGAGATAAAAATTCTGATCGAAAAGCTCGATCCTGAAGGGTTTGGGCAGATAAGCTTTGACGGGTTTTGTAAAGGAATACACGATTTTTTAGGTAAGTGATTTTTTAACATCATTGCCAACTGGTTGGTGAAATATCAGTTTCTAATCATATTGCGTTATGTGCAATTGTGAAGGCTTCCAATATGATATTAGCTCAGGTGAATAATATTCGCTGACGTGAAAGTCCGAGATCGATTCGAGAACCGACAATAGATGTCTTTCTAGATGGTGTCTGTATGATATTGAAATGTTTTCATCTCCCTAGGGGCCAATGGTGATGTCAATAATGTAAATGAAAAAAATTCGCACAAGTTAGTGGAAGATGATTCTTTCCCAAGACTGACAATATCTGTGGTGGAAAACGACCAACAGGAAGATAGCTGCTGCGAGGTACTTTGAAATTCATTAATTTGTTTTTCAAAACGTGCCAAATGGTTGCTCATTTAGTCCACTGAGTGATGCGAGAAAATTAACCACGATTTCTTATGACAACGAGCACTTTAAGATTTTGGGAATTGGCTAAGAGACACAAGTTTGTATACACAAATGTCAAGACACAATATTTCATTTCGTGGGAAAAATTTTTCGTGAAGTTTCTCAGGCTTTTTTATCTTTCATTTTCTATTAAAGTTATTTCTTTTCTTTTCAGTTTTGCCATGTTAATTGAACTATAAAAATTAATATTTATGTGGATTAGTCAGTGATGTAAATAGGTTTCTGACTGTGCATATCCTTGCAATGTTTATCTATGCATCATTGAAGCTCAACAAGTTTAGACCAGTTAATGTGATACACACGTCATTGGATTTGCACTTTTTATCGAATTTTGCGTCATATTTTGGGAGATGCCTAAAATATATTGTGATCTGGTGTCACTTCAAATTTGCCGGAAGCTACAGCTTTAGTTTCTGCCATTTTCAAAGTAGGCTTACATTGCTGAAAAGCATTCAGTTTTGGTTGGTTTACTCAATTATTATTTTTATTGTGGGTTACTTGAAGCTGAAAACAAAACTAATTAAAATGGAAAAACTGGTGAAGTTCAGAAACTGTGTTCTCTTTGTTACACAATCCTGTATTTCAGAGGTTTGCATAAAAGCTAGTTACCACTGGTCTGCTACTGCCTATAAGACCTCTTACTGCTCAGCCTGTGAGCAGCCTCTCATGTTTGGATTTGCCTTACAGCCCTTTGGCAGTTGCTTATGGAAAAAGTTATTAAAAACCCTGGTGTAATTTTGTGGAATATTTAAAAGCCATATGGAGTGCGTGGCTATGTTCAAACACTTTCAATAAAATTTGAGCAAATGGTGGTAAGGGGCCATAAGATCCACAGTGTGCTCTTACTGGTAATTGTCTTCTTCTGAAATTTGGACTAAGGATAATTTATGTTGATGATTATCATGATGATAATGACAATGACCACAATACAGTGAAACCATCATTCTGCCCATAAGTATAAATGGGTGGTGGCAAACTGTCACAGAAGCCTAACAAAATGCAGGAGGAGGGAGTGGGGTAACTTGCAATGGACTAGCATGCCATCTTAGGGGAATGGGAATAATTTCAGTTGTCTCTTGCTCTGTAGACGTGGATAAGTCCTGGCACTTTGAGTGCCTCTTGCCTTGATTGCCACTTCTTGAATGTTACTTGTACCTTTTGTAAAGATCTGTGGTACTGATGCAATGTTCTCTTTTCAGAGAGACAGTACTTACAGTACAGCATCCACAAATGAGTATAATGGTGACGACGATGACAATTTCCAAGATGAGCCACAACCTTCAAAGTTCAGTCGTAATCAAAAACAATACTCTACGTTCCCACCCCCCACAGGACCTCGGTTAAAACACCGTGCAACCTTACCAGCCATGAATGTTGATATGTATAGTGATAGACATTCACACTCGGATACCAGTGAGTATCAGTCTGAAGAAGGATTTGAAGGATTTGGAGAAAGCTTCAGTGAGGATACAGCATTTGAAGATACTCCAACTTTACAAAGGGACCATCCATATTCTGAACGCATCCTAAGAAAGTAAGTTTTAAGTGTTTCCATCCAACCACTACAATGTTACATGTAACAATGATTCTCCCCTTTTGATGTCTAGTTTTTTCCTTTTGAAGTAAATCAGATTTTGGTGTTTTTTAGACCTCTACCATAATGGTGGGCACAATTGTTTTTCTTTTATGTGCAGGAAAATATGCCTTTTTGGTGTCGCTTTTGAGTCATTATAGTATGTTTTTTAAACAGTTTGTTGTGGCTAAAAATGGAAAGAATACTGATTAGAGAGAGAATTGTAGAATAAATTTTTGCAGTATTTAGAAGGATATTGTATATCATGATTATATCTGCTTCAATTTAGGGGAACTCCAATCTTAAAACCATATGAAGTCACTCTTTTACAAAGCTTTTGTTGTATATTTGTTAGTTATAATCTTTATCATTTATTTCCTTTTGCAATAGAAGATCATCAGCTGCAGCAGCTGCATTTTCAAGGTAAACAGGATGCACTTATTAATAAATTTTATGAATGTAATTTTATAGCACATCAAACAAGAGTAATTGTTTGGTAAAGAACATTTTATGGTCATCATTTAGAATTGCTATTCTAAAGAGGTGAAAAATGTTATGTGTGATTTATGATGACACCCTTGATAAAATAATTGAGAGAGATAGTGAGGTATTTTGTCATTAAAAAACAATTCCCTCCCCCTTCCCCCCTTCCATCAGCACCACACACACACACTCCTATTTGGAATTATATATCATAGAACTGTTTTTCATTCAATCAGTAGTTAGAAAACAAACTACAGAGTGAGGTATTTTGTGCTTATGTTCAGTGTAAGCATTTCTTGGCTTCTCTCTCTCTCTCTCTCTCTCTCTCTCTCTCTCTGTCTGTGTTATGTACAGTAACAGTAATGCCATTGATAATTCTGTATTATTGGAATTACTGTAGCTGCCGTTGGCAGTCACTAACACATTGTTCTCAACTGACGACAGTAAGATGCCACCTGTATAGATCTTTATTCCTGCATGATCTAATTTATTCTCATTGAGACAACACTTTGTATTAGCAAAACAAATCACCTCATTCAAAATATTAAGTTTCACTTTAGAAGCAGTAAAAAAAAGAATACATGACAATATTCCACTGTTCCTGTTTTCTGACTCACAACATTTAACTTCAAAATTGATTATAATTATACTGATGATAAACTGTTCTCTTGATTGCCTAATGCACTACTAGTTTTTACCAGAAAGTTTGACATTTATACTTACTCAGAACTCTCTCTCTCTCCCTATTTTGTTACATTTTTCTGTAGCCATCATATGCATCTTTATAAATGTCACTCGGAAAATCCCAGTAGACATAACAGTTTTGATGACCTGATGGTTGATCGAGCACTGTCAGATAGTGAGGCTGGGACTTCAATGTTTCTTCTAACAGAGGTTTGTGGTCTCATGATTTAAAACTCTTTGTGGTGAAAATAGAAATACATTTCTGGTACCCATAACTATACAGAGAGTTTGCATATGTAATTTTTTTTTTTACAGCAACATGCATGTACTAATTGTGATTTGTCATTCTAGGGTTTGAAATCCCTATTGATCATTTTACCTTACTTGCAATATGTATGGTGATTAATGTAGTAACTGTTACTGTTATTTAGTGTTCCAAGCCATGACCTTTTGTGTTGCCATGGCAAATAGTAAAAACGATTTTGGCATCTCAATTTTCAGATTGGCAGTCTATGTTCAGTGGTTTTTCCATAAGCTAATGTGAGATAAACTATTGCATGAAAAATTATTTATGTCTTGTATTTCCCTTTTTCTTCCTGGTTGTATAGTGAGGTAAATGGTCTTGAGTGTTTGGTTTGGTTGAGCTTAGAAGCACCATTATTGATATTTATGTCTATTACTTTTACAGCTAAAAAGACTGTCTTCACAAGTGTCATTATTACAAGAAGACCATGCAATGCAAACAGATAAACAGAATAAATTTAGAGAAGAAAACAAATTATTATGTACAAGGTAAGAAGAGTACATGATTCTTTGATGAACTATTTCACTTAGACAGTTGCCCACCTTTGTTTGCTTGCTAAAGCTAAAAGTTAATCTTTACTTGCAGTGTATTAAACAATTATTCCACAAGCACGCTTTGGATATGAGATGAAAAAAAGCCAATGAGACCAGTTGGGCCAAATTGGCTATAATCATTTCATATCCAGCAAGTGTGAGTGAAATAATTGTTTTACTAAAAAAGCCCCAAAATATAGATAAATCTTCACAACCTTATTTTATAAGAACAAGTGGAATGTTACAATGTATAAAAACACTTCTGGTTTAACTTGTCTTCATGCGCGTGCATAGTGTAATTAACAAATAGATTCCAAGTTGCCATGCATCTGTTCAGTAATAGATCACAGATGATGTCAAAATGTGGTAAGAACAAAAAAGTGGCACACGAGGCACAGCCGAGTGTGTCACTGATGAATATCTGTGATCTATCTGAATATCTGTGAATATCTGTGATCTATATTACTGCAATCTATATTACTATTATTACTGAATATTTGTGATCTATCTGAATATCTGTGATCTATTACTGAACAGATGCATGGTAACTTGGAATCTATTTGTCTTATATAATAAAGAATTAAAAAAAGTTTTAATGATGACATCATCTATACGTCTGTCCACCAATAGATCATAAGTGAGAACCAATCAGAATGTGTGTATAACTGAGCTTATTATATAATGGTTCATAACCCATAATGGCCAAGCCAATGGAAACTCTTGAATTGCATTATCCAATGATCCAGTTTTTGATAAAAGGATCAATGCTCTGGCAGATGTGACTATGTATACATTTATTATCTTTTCCTTTGTGTGAATTCATTTGACAATCAAAGCATCTTAGGTTGGTGATCATTTCTTTTATTCTCGTTATCTTAACAAGTGATTTAGCAGTATAACTGTAAGAAGAAATTAGATGCTGGTCACTCTTAGGGTTTAAAGGATGGAGCCAAAAGAGAAAACATGTGTCAGATTAGTTGTGATCACATTAAACCAGCTAGTCTCCGGCAGTTCAATGTAGCTCTGTCCTTTGGTTCCTTGCAGTGAAAATGTGTCCAATATTATACTCAAGGCTAAATGCATTTGTTAAAGTCTGATTTTTCTTCTTTTAAAAAAGATACTTCCAAAAAGGTGTGAATTATATCCTTTGTTGTAATTGTTGTATGTTGATACCACCAGTGTTTCACAGAGTTTCTGTAATTTTAACCAACCATTTATGGTGATGCTAGGAAAATATTTGGTAGGAACATATATTAGCTCTCTTGATTATTAGTAAAATTTTGAAGTCCAGAATCATAGAGGCAAAATGGAAGTCAATGATAGGGATTAATTTCATCAGAGAAATCAAATTTTGCTCTTTCACTTGCTGTATTCTTAAATTACACCTTTGTACATGTTGTAATACTGATTTGATGTTTAGATGATGATTTGATCTGTGAAATGCATAAAGTCATAACAAGAGCATATAAAGCTTTTATATATTTAATCAGCTTTGCAGAAAGGCCATCAAGATCACTTCAGATGCTTTCAATCATTTTACAGTAATTGAAGTATGTTCAACTGATAGTACAATATCACAATAATGTTTTGTTTTAACACTAAAACTTGCTTATGTGACTTTGTCTTCAGTGAGAAGCCTCATTTGTTAAGCTAAGGGCTAGAAAAAATTTGGGAGAGCTTTATGTTTCATTGTCACTAGAATAATTTTTTTAACTATCTGTTTTTATTTAAGCTAGTAACCAATTTCTTGACAACATAGGATGATTTTACATACTGTCAAACAGAAAGGTGTTGAGTTCAGTTACTGAGTCCAGTAACTGGCAGCAATTTGGAAACAGATGGCTTCAACATAAAATTCCCCTTCCATCACAAATGTTAAAGCCAGCACAAGAAGCACAAGCGTCAGGCAAATGCAAAAGATCAGTATGAAAAAAAAAAGGATCTGTGCCTGTGTAATACTGATATGCACAAGATCTTTTTTTATTAAGACTTTTAAGAACTAAATGGGTTTGTGATTAACATATGAATCAATCAGTAAAGTTTTTTTCAACAAATGCTAGTGTGTTGTGACTGCCACCAAAATTTGGAAAATGCGAAATTTTTGCAAATTTTGACTAGCAAAAAATTGGTTAATATTTTTATTTGCTCTAGTGTGACCCAGCCCATGGCATTCTTTTAAAGAAAAGGTTCGTTTCACCCTTTACATCCTAACATCAGCATGCATATTCTCTTTACTGTTCTCTATACATTTCCCAAGGTGCTGACAAGGAGAATTTGTTTAACAATCAAGAGCTTCTTTTAGTTGGCAATGGTTTCCTTTATTCTCATTACTTTCATGTGTGATTTGAGGGTGATATTGTGTGAGGTGAAATAAGAGGTTGGTCACTTTCATGAGTCAAAGGGTTAAAGAATGAGAGAGTCTGCAAGTGAATCAGGGGGTAAAACAAACAAAATGTTGGAGGGTGGCCCTCAGAAGACTAGTGTCTTATTCAGGACAATCAGCAATGCAGTAAGTTTAGTTTCTTTTCTCTAATTGTTAGTTCAGTGTTATGAACTTCAGCTTTAGGCTGAAGAAGACTTTTCTTTTCTTACTTAGAGAGGTTAATGTTTTGCAGAACTGTATTTTTAAATCGTTATTAACAATCATTTTATTATGATTATTTCTTACCATTTGATATATTTTTACAACAACTCGGCTTGTGATGCTCAGTTGTGTAACACACATTTCCAAATTTTCAAAACTGATATTTATAGAATCATTCACAACAGAGTCCAAGACGATTTTGTTTATGATGATGAACTAAAGGGCAAAAAAAAAGTTTAATTTCAAAATTACCTTAAGTGCAAACAACCTGTAAAAATTAATCATCTTGAAGCCTTGAATAAATTTGTGTATATTTTGGCAGATAGCTGATATGTTCTTTAGTTTACACAATGTTTTTACATTTAAAAAGATCCCAGCTGCTTGGTATCTGTTGATTGATAGAGAGTTTGTTTTCTGTTGTTTTGTTCTTTTTTTATGGCTGAGGTATGTTGTTTTATTTTAGCAGACATCCCTCTGTGCCCATGAACAATATCATAAAGCTGTGGTTTATTCAAATGAGCCACAACCTGCTTCAACCTATTTAAAGCCTTTTGGCTTTTTTCATGAATAATTAACTTGCTTTTGAAGTGACATCTGCCCCATATTTGCATAAAACATAGTCAGATTGAAATTCATTTCCTTATCATAAATGATGCACCTGAAACCAATAGTGAGAGAAAAATGTTTATGAAGGAAATGTTTTGGTGTTGATTCATCATTCTATTCTTAGGAGGTGAGCAAGTTTTTCTTTGCAATATCAGCTAAATGCTTCAGCAAGCCAAACCATATTGTATTATTTTGAATAAGTTGAGGTTGTTCAATGTAAAGAGGGCTTTAAGAATCTACTGCTTCTGGTAACATATTGTTCTTGCTTAGAGAATGATTGTAAGCCATTTCCATAGATGGATAGCTTTTTTAACATTCCCCTCTTGTCCTACAAAGGCAAGTTTGTAAAACGTATTTACCATGTAGCACACTACAAGCTTGTAAATCCCTTTTATGATTCACGTCTGTATACTGTCAACTGAATTCAGGTTTTTTTGGTTAAGATTTTTCGCTAGATTACATTTTACTTTGTAATTTATTATATCTATGTTTATTTCCTTGTGAGGAATAATTTTTCTTTTCATAGAAATGAGTGATCGAAATATAACTGTTAAAGAATAGAATAGATTATGTGTGTTTTGGTTGATTTCCCTTCCACTCTGGCTGAAAACTTGATATTACAGCCATTAAGATTGAAATTATGAAATCTTGACTTGTTTGATGCTGTGAATTAGCAATTTTGTGTCACAACATGTAAGTTAAAAGGGAGGAAAGATCATGGTAAAGTGTGTAGTTTTGTTGGAAAGGTGACTTTTTCATTGAATAACAGATGTTTACCACACAGTAGTATTACCATATTGGGCAATAACATTTTAGTTTTGAAAGTGTCAGTTGATATTTGCTTGTGAAGGGAAAGTTTTATGGTAGCTAAAAATGAATATTTCCATCAGTCAAATTTCTTTGCCATGAATGTATCAAAGTCAATCTCATATTCTTAGGGTTTATGTTCAGCTAGAACAATAAACTTGTGTTTGCCTTGTAATGGTTATTTTAAAAAGATTCAGGACACAAATTACAAATGGCATAGTTTTTCAGATTTTAATTCCTCTTTATGGATGAATCTCTACAAATTTTCTTAGTGGCAATAGCATCTGGCTGAATGAAACATTGTACCATGTCGATTTTAAGGCTATTATTTTGATGCTGGCATCATGCAGTTCGATAATTATTTCAATCAGTTCTCTATTTTTCATCTTCCATTTTCAAAATGGAGGATTTCTGTTTTAATTAAATACTTTTTCTCTTTAGAATTTGACTGCTCTTTCATACAATCATACATTAACTGTGACCAACATTGGTCAGGTTTTATCTCAGTTTTTTGATTGTCTTAACATTTTGACTCACAATCGAAAACACAACAACCAAAAACAATGAATAAAATGAAAAGGAGTAAATTGGAACATCTTTTTAGACACCAAGAAATTTCTTTTTCTATTTTTTTTTAAGTCCTATTATGGTATCTTAAGACCCTGAAGGGTCAAAGCACAGATTTAGGATATTAATAATAAAATTATTTTCTTGATTTCCTTTTATTTTATTATAGAATAAATGCATTAGAAGAACAACTTGAGACTCAAAAAGTTTCAACAGGGAAGCAAGTAGAAGAAGAAAGTTTGAGATATAAAACAGCTTTGGTAAGTTTTGACTGAGGTTTGTTTGACCAAAGTGTTTTAATTTTGGTTTTTGTTTTAGCTTCTTGTGGATTACCTTGAGTTCATCTAAGGAAAGTTTTGAATCTGCCAATTAAATAGTCATAGGTAACCACATTCGATGTTTATTTCCAGTAGATATTTGTGTCCATGGTTTTCATTGAGTGTTTGAGATTGGAGGACTTGGACCATTACATGCAATTTTCTGTCCAAATTTTAATGGGAAGGTCTCTAATGGTTGCAAATCACTGATTATTTGTCTCTGTTACCTCAATCTTGGCAGAATTTTTTTCAATAAGTATGATATTTTTGTAATGACAGAATGTCTTTTGTTCTCCTTCTCAGAACAAATTAGAGAGAGAAAATGAACAAACGTTAGAAACACTTAACAGAAAGTAAGTGGTGAAAGATGTGTCTTTTTTTTTTTTTTTTGCACTGTTCTCTTTAGTGCAGAATGAGTTAAGCTCTTAAATGTATGAAAAAGTTGCTGTGGTTGTAGATTATTTAGATATTTTAAAGTATGAGTCTTCTGAATTTATTTCTGTAATATCATGACAGCTGAATCTTAATATTTGAAAGTAAAAAGACAACACGAAGTTTGTGGGGATAAACTTCACAAAGGTTATCTTGTGTAAGGTTATCCTTGGGACATCATATATTATATACTTGTATTAAATATAGAACTAATATGATTATTAATTATTTCGTTTATCTGTCATAATAATTCTACTTGCTGTGAGTAGAATTTTATGACAAATAACTGAAATGAATCTGATCAAATTCCTGAAAACCACTAAACTTTGCAGCATTTTCAACATGTGGCTTTGTAGCTAAGTTGATAATGTTGATCAACAAGTATCTTAGATATTTTGGGTTTATCAGCTGAGTTGTTAATGTAAAGGAGAGTCTAAAACTGACATTTCAAAGGGTAGTCTTTGGTCGGTTACTCAGGTGATAAAAACCAAGTTATCTTGTAATATCCCTCACTGACACAGCACTACAGTTTCTTTTAAAACTTACCACCTTTATTCAAGTTTCTTAGACCTGAGGCACAAGTTGGAACCCTTTCAAAACAGAAATTTTTGGACAACTTTTCACTTGCAGTTTCTTCAATTGCAATTTAGTTGTAAGACTTTTATGATTTAAATTGGCTTTCTTTAACTTTACATGCTTTATGTAACATTTTCTTAAATTTTTTTGGTAGGTTACTTCAAGCCGAAGAGGAAATAGAACTTCTTAAAAAAGTGGAGCCTATGTTAAGAAGAGAACTTGATTTATGTCATGAGGTTAGTGCACGTATCATAAAAAAAGTAATTCTACTGGTAATTATAACAATCACATTGCAGAACATTATCAACTTCCAAACTGTACTATTGATTGGGACTCTGTGCAATGCCTAACCTACAGTACTAACTATTGTCAATGTCTGACTCTGGAAAGCTGGTTCTCTTACAGAGAACAGACTCACCTCCACAGGTGTCAACAACCAGTGGCACCATACAAACAACTTTTTCACGACATTAATGTGGCAAACCAACTCAACAGAAGGATCTAACATTATCGACAGATCAAAACCAACCAATCAAAACCCAACTTACACCACTTAAGCCTTATAGCTAATAACATCATGGTTTAATTGACTTATCAGTTTGCACCAACAGCTTCCCACTTGACTCTGATGATGGCACTCAGATTGTTGAAACATCAGTCACCTCCACTGACAACAGCCCTTCTCTAGACTACCCTCATCACAACAACAGATCACATGATCAAATGCATCCTGTTGCAGTTTTCTTCCATACCGTTCATTAAAAAAACTCTCAGCTACTCCTTTTACTTGTTTCTGAAGCCCTACACTAGCTGTAAATGTTGCTTGTTAGTCATGCTAATAATAGAATGTGTTTATAACAGGATAAAAGAAGGCTTCTAAAACAAATAGATAGCCTTGAACTTCAACTTCAAATAAAAACAGATGAAGTCACTGAGCTGAAAGGGAAGCTAGATGCTGAAAGTAAGGGACGACTAGAAGATCACCATGAACATGACCAGGTCAGTGAAAGTGTGCAACTATGTTTTGTGTAGTTGCTTGGAAATTAATACTAAGACTGTTCAGTGGCTGCTCAAGTCAATTGAATGGATTAAATTTACTGTTAACAAAAAGGTTAGAAATAGTCACTGAGCGGGAATTTGTATGGAAGAGAAACTTGTAATATTGCATTTTGACTTGAGGGTCACATATGTCAGAGAAGACAAAAAAGAGCATGAACATGTCTGAAGTTGGTCACATATATCTTTAACTTTTGATGTCTGCCTGTAGTCAAGCAGAGTTGAAATATTTATATTTTCAGAGGATTTTTTGCATGTTTCATGTAAAACTAATTAAAGGATTTCATTGTTAATTATGTGTTCATTTTTTTAGGAGCTTGCACTAGTCTCTGAGCAACTTTCAGTACTGGAAAAGTATAAGCAGGACGTAGATCACAAATTGAAAGACTTTCAAAATATGGAACAGCAGAAGACAGACTTAGAAAGACATATTCAGTCACTGATAAAGGTACAATGAAGTATTTGTAGATAGACTGTCTTCAGCCATGGGTGAATACTAACTCATTCAAGGCAACTTGCATGTTACTATGATTTAAAGTGTGCATTACATCAATAAAGCTGTCACTAAAAAAGAGTCCATTTTTTATTTCAGGAGAATTTGAGCTTGAAAAATTCAAAAGAAGAGCTCAATGTACAATTACAACAGGATGGATTCTTTGGTGCTGAACAGGTGGGTGTACATGAATATGTCATTTTTCTCATTGTTTCCATATGATTCCTCTAGACCAGCATTAGAATTTTCTGATTGGATTCAGATCAAACACTAAACTCCCAAGCTTGGCCAACAAGGAAATATGTAGTCATCAGTAAGGAGAACTTGTTCTTTGACATTGGGAGTAAAATTAAAAAATGGCACTATTTGAATAGAAGTTCATTTTGAGGTCAACCCATCTTTACCTTTTTGAACCCTTTAACTCCCAAGATCTGATTGTCAATTCTCCCCTCTAGCTGCTACACATATCCATGTAAGTAAGTTACGAGAATTTGGTGTTAGATTGAGATAACAACTTCTACCTGATAAGTTTGAGTATTCTCATGACCTGTTTGCTGGATAATGTTTAGATATTACATGGAGAAGTTAAATGTTAATCACTTCTGGGAGGGTTGAACATGAAATAATAGCTTTTCATAATTACTCCTTCTGACCCCTTCCAATAACTATAAAAGTTTGTAACTGTATTTGATGTTTATTTATTTTCTTCTCTTTTATTCATTTTCACCCTACTGTCAGAATGCATATTCCCCATACCGTTCTCTGTGCAATTTCTAAGGTGCTGACAAGGAGAATTTGTTTAACAATCAAAGCTTATTTAGTTGGTGATCATTTCCTTTATTCTCATGACCATAATGTATGATTCAATGGTGATATTGTAAGGAGAAATTAGATGCTAGTCACTCTCAAGGGTCAAGGGTTAATAAACTGCTGTTTTTTCTTTTGACCTCTTGCAGAAAGGATCATTGGCTGATGAACTTGTCACAGCTGACAAAGAAAAAATCATCAATGCTCTTAGAGATCAAGAGGAAGAAAACAGAAGGCTAAGAGGTTATCTGGACGGATTATTGATGATGATCATGGAACATAATCCTGCCCTCCTTGAACTACGATAAGGCTTCCTGGCACCTAGTTTAAAGCATACGTATCATTTGTCATTGTTAACAGATACACAGTACCATGCACATTGTGGCAAAATAGATGTTGAATTTTATATTTGTATGACAAGGGTTGAAAGGTAATAATTATGAACAATTTTATGAAAGACCTGACACCTTAGTGTTAGTCTATTATGAGTGTATTTATATCCAGAGAGCAAAGTCTATTTTTATCTTTCTCAAGTCATGTCTGACAGGCGTGGCTACACAAAGTGGCCATGCAATCTTATGGACTTGGCCTTCTTTGCATTCAAGAAAGAACCAGAAACTAGAAGCACTTTTTATTTATGTGGCTAACTTGTTTATTTTGGTGGAATATCATTCAGAGAAACAGAATCCTGTATTCCTGTTTTCTTGCATAACAGCAATGTAGAGCATTTGCCTCAAAAAGAATCACTCGCACACCTTGAAAAGGAGGGAAAGTGATGTTTTGAAGACAATTTTAATTGAGGGAGACCCTGAATATAAAAGACTGCATTTTTGAGTCATTATGGACATCTGTGCCATGTAAGACTGTACAAATATGCAAGGAAAGAAAAACTTTAAAGAGTGATGACTGCTCACAAGTTTCCCAAAATTGTGAGTGACTGAGTGATTTGATAGACCATTTGCAATCTTAAATTTTAAATCGCTTTTGTTTCCCCTAAGAGCGAAGGTGCCAGGAACATTAATCATCCAATGCACATTGATGTTTTTGAACGTAATCCCTGCATTTTTTGGTGTACTTTACACATCATAAAATGGAAAATTTTTTTTAAATTTTGAAGATTTAAATTATTTGATACCTTTAGTGTAAATAGCAACAATTTCCTTTTATAAATTGTGAATTCAGATTGGAAATTAGTGAATTGTGCAACTTTTTAAGGTATGTTGGAATTAATAATCCAGAAATGTCAGTTGTGAAATTTCCCCTCTTGCAGATGAACAAAACAGTAAGGACCACAAATTTTTTTTCATTATTCATTCTCTTTAAACCACTTGCATTGTGGGATTATAGCTGACAAACTCTGAAGATAGAAATCCCTTGGCATTCCATGATGCTGTCAGTCATCGTTGACCATTTATGGATTGAGTTCAAAGGTCATGCATAGTTGTGATTGATGGATGTCACTCTATGTAGTAATAATATTTGACAACAAAATTAACTATTTAAATGTGTTATTAGAGTTTGAATGGTATTCACAAGCATAGTAAGTTAGATTACTTAACACCTCTTCTAAAGTGCCATCATGTTGTGCTCACTCTCTTAAGGTTTCTGGTCCAAGAACTTATGTAATACTATTTAGTCTAAACATATTTTTTTGTAACTCAGACACTTTAAGGAGTGACGTTTTAAATAGATAAATGACTTTAATTCATGCCATGTCTTTTTGAAGCGGTTAAGTTCAACCTATTAATGGTATAGGTAGTTGCATTGGAAATTAGAATACCTCTAGACTATCATTGCATCAATAATGTATTTTTAATATGCAGACATTGTAAATATTTTGCTAATTGATGAATATAGGAATAGTGTCATGTAAAGACAGTGAAAATCCTGTACAAATTAACTTTGGAATGAAATCAAATGTCTTACCATTTTGTAAATCTCATTTTTTCATTATTTTAGTTGGCGAGGTGGTTGCAATAATTTCTCAGGTCAAAAAGATGGGTCAGCTGTTTGGAATATTATATATTTCTGAATATAATACTAATTCATGGGATCATTCTCTAAGAATGCAATGAAAAAGCGTTATCCTGACTTTTTTCTGTTCTCTGCCCGGTGATCTTCGGCCGCGATTGAAATTGGACAGGAATAGCTTTCATTTAAGATGTCCATCATAGCAGTCCTCTCTCCCTGATCGACTGTATCAAGCAGTCACAGCTTGTTACGAAGGGCATCTCGTTGTGCCAACTGCGTAAATGGTCGTAGAGAGAAGGGAATGAAGGGGGGGGGGGGCAGAGAAGAGGAGGGTCAACTGCAAGAGAGGAGTGCAATCGCTAAGGTTAAATTATAATGTACCTTAAGAAGATTTATACAGGAAAGAGTAGTTAGCCTTCTGAATTTGCCCCATACTGACACCGCCCTTCCGCGCGCTACTTCCTCCGTTTAGGGACCAACCTCGTTGCTAGTTACTTGGGTCTCTCTTCTTCCCAGAAACGAGGTCGTCGAGTGACTTTTCGCCAAAATGTTAGTGTAATGTGTTCTATAATGGACATAGTAGAGCTAGTGGGGCTGTGCAGTTTGCTTTCTGCAAGACAAAACTACTTGGCGGGAGTTGACTGAAGACGAGAAGAATCCAAATAACGGCTATCTGCTCACCTAACTGAATGCTAATCGCTAATTGGACCAAATTAAGAGGAAGTTGCTTGAAACCTTGCAAAGGTTTAAACCTACCTCGAATTTACTGATATTTGCCGCTTTGAGTTTCAACCTTAATCTCTCCAGTTCGGGAAACACGACATTTACCCACTGACACAGCTCACAGTCGTTCTTTTAGGAGGTGAACAATAGGCCTTCGTATTCGAACAATAAGAAGCCAAAGTACTCTGTATGCAGGGCACAACGCCCATGTTGTGAGAACGATTCATTTTACAGATTAACAAAACACGAAAAAAATTTATATTTTACATGAAAAGATGATATACGTCACATTATACATGAAAAAATGCACACTTATACACGGAAAAATAGCATATTCTTGTCTTTGAAAAATTTACTCGTGCTAGTTTATACCAAATTACACTCGAAATCATGTTTTCACCTATACAACGTTCCCGGATTTGTCGAACACGTTACAATTTCGCGCGCTTTTGATACCCTCGTTTCTTCAGTTCCTCCTATGAATATCTGCATATCTTCGTTATTTGTCAATATTTTCTGAAGGGAAACCTTATCCCTGCAGACCTAAATTCTTAACATGAGAGGCAGACGTATTCACAACTTGGTTGAAAAAAGGTAAAGTGAACAGTTTTACTATTGTCACTTTGTCGGGCATTATAACGCGCAGAGCAGGTTAAAATGGAGATTTTGATGGGCGGGTAGGTTGACGCGAGTCTGAGTTGATCCAAACATATTTATACCCGCGAACATAACCTCTTTTGTTTTCTTGTAATCAAGCTTGTTCATCTCTTCAGAAACTGTTAGCCTGTTGCCGTCCTCTGTGCGGTTAAGGAAGCTCATTTGCGATCCTTTTAAATGGAAGGAAGCTCTGAGCTGTTTGAGCTTAAATGGTAGACGATGGAGTACTGTAGAGGTAGCATGACCAGTTAAGTTTCGATTAAGTTGGCCGCTTAGTGAGAAAAATCTCAAAGAATCACTACGCGAACACAGGAAAAAAGGTATTCCTGAAATATCATTTCGACTTTCAATGGGTTACACATTGCAAATCTTCAGATTGAACAATTTAACTACCGCAAAGATTTCCACGGTTTGCCAAGGGGAACATAACAGAATGTTCCGTATGATGTAAGAAACGCGTATAAAACCACTGTGTCCAAATTTTTACTGGCGCATACATCTCGCTGCCATCTGGTGCCTTCCACATACCCTTCATTTATACCTTTAATCCTGTTTCAAATACAAGGTCTTAAAAGATCAACTCTGGATACGTTTCCTAAATTTCTTGTTTACTTCAAGTTTATAATTATTTAATGGATTTTGGCGATTCAAGTACTGAGATGATTAAAGGCCACGACCAACCAAAGATAACCTAAGAAGTTTTTCCAACCACGAATGATTGTGAAGAAAAATCTTTCAAAAAATTTTGCCAGAGGTTTACACAGTTCTCCTTACAGTAGAAGTACTCGTTGAACAAAGTCTCCTTCAGTCTTCACATAAGGTAAAGGAGATTCATCTTTCAGGTAAGTTAAAAGCCAAATTTTACGACAATCAATGACTGGGTGAAGAACGCGTCTGAATCAGTTTTTTTTTTTTTTTTGGAAAATTTAGATCTTTAAAACTTAACATTCAAACCACAGGTGTCGAGATCAAGATAAATCATACTGATTCACGGTTCATTAACAAAAAAAAACAAAACAAAAAAACCACTCTAATATTACGTAGCACCTTTTTCGGTTCGTTATTTCACAACTGTAGTGATTGGAAACTTACTTCCAGCCCAGTAAATATCCCATGTTAGATCAGCAGTGATCCCCACGACAAGGTACTGATATTTCAACTGATATGCTTAACCTTCTTTCAAACTCTCCGTCTGGGTTAAAAAAAAAACTTTGTTGATTATTACGGCGAAAGTTTACTCAGAGTTTTAACTTCAGACGCTACTCATCCTCGAAATCAGTACACTCTCTACTATTGAATAGAATAATTTTTCACAACCTATTGTGAAATCATAACAGGTTTCCATTTCCAAAAATATTCTGAGGATCCACTGCCTGCTTGATGCCTCTTAACATTTCAATACCTACATCAGAGACGGTTTGACGAAGCCACTTCTTTCTGAGTTTGCCCACTCCATGATGATGAGACAAGCTACCACCATTGGCGAGAACTTCATCGCGGGCAGCACTCTCCACCGCGTCGTACATCTCTAATGGGTTGGGTAGCCCGCGGTAATTGAAGCCAAAGTAGAAATAAACGCATGCACCGGCATCGTATGTCTGCGTCACTCTGCAGGTGGCTAAGGGTGGGTACTTGATTCCAAGGTTTGCACACTTCCGTTTCAGCGCTTCTTTCACGTTGCGACACAGGTCTGTGACTCTGTCCCAGGGCACAGATGTTTCGAATGACTCGGCAAGGAAGTGATGATCAAAGCCAAGATCCCTTAGGTAGGCGATCACAAAGGTCAACATGTATCCTCTCTGGCCGTTTTCTTCGCCCCCTGGAATCCCACGAAACTGGGAAGCGATTTCGTAAATTTTCCTCTGTTGGCTGGCGACAGTTTGTTTGTCTCCCTCAAAAAGAAGTGTAGCTACCGCTAGCTGATGTGGGTCGAAGCCTTTAAACTTGGTCAGATAGACAGCTTTGAAGCCATCGATAAAAGACTTGAAATACGATCCACTTTCAGATTTCAGAGCTTGTCCAAACACGAACTGTTCGTTATCCATTAAGCGAATCGAAGCTGGAGCACAGCGCTGTTTGGCAATCTCCCTCACGCAAGCCACCCCAATATCGAACGTGGGAAACACAATAGAGCCATAGACTTTACACTCAGGTAACGGACGGATCCGCAAACTAACCTCAGTTATCACGCCCAGCGTTCCCTCCGAGCCCATGATGAAATGGTGGATATCCGGGCCAGTAGACATCCGGGGAACTTGACAGCTTTTTTCAACCGTTCCTCTTGCTGTCACCATGCGCACACGCACTAGAATGTCTTCAATATTACCATAGATGTTCTTCTTCATACCTGATGCACGTGTGGCGACCCAACCACCCAGAGAACTAAACTCCAGCGAGTCAGGTTCATGACCTACACAGAGACCTCTGGCATTCAGCTGAAAAAACATACCATGTGAAATTTTAAGTACAGTATTCAGTTCAGTATCAAAAAGGGGAAATGGAGCAGGAACAAAGGTGAGGTGGGGTTGGGGGGGGGGGGGGGCCCTGGGGTGTGAGTAGCCCAAACAACTCTTCTATATATAGATAGGGGAAAAAACAAAGAGACTATACTTTCATCCCTGATGTAAGGGTTGAAGGGATGAAAGTACAGTCTCTTTGTTTTCTTCCCTATCTCAATATATATCACACTCTAAATGATTCATGATAATTTTTAGGTATGCTTTTTGATTCCATTTACCCTTCCTCCTTCAAGATTTGATTTGCAATTCTCTCTTTTGACTCATATCTTTGAAAAGAACATGGTTTTAAATCAAGATAACACACCCTGGCTAACAAGTTGTCTGTTCTCAACAAGTTGTCTGTTTAAGGAGATGTTCATCACTTTTGTGAAACTCTGGTAAGACAGTTGAAAATTCATGCTTACACCCCAAATTAACATGGAGATGTTGAATTGTTAAATGACATTCACAAAAATAATTTTTTTTTAAAATAGGTTGAGATTGAAATGAGGGATACAAAACTATGCCCATGGTTATGATGTTAGAAAAGAATTTTTTTCACCTTGTTGAAAACACCTTAAAAAAAGCTTTCTCTTTCCATGATGACAGACCCAAGTTCACAGAGGACTAACAAACACCTCAAAACTAACCTGTCTTTCCAATTCTTGACCAATAATCCCTGCCTCAATGTGAGCCACCAAGTTTTCTTCATCAACCCAAAGAATCTTTTTCATCTCTGTCATGTCCAAGGACACAACCATTCTCTTCTCCGTAACTGGGCATTCCAATGCACTGGACACACTGGTACCACCTCCAAAAGGTATAATACAAACATTATGCTCAACAGCCAGCTGCACTACCTTCTCCACCTCTTTATGACAATTTGGCCAAATGACAATGTCTGGAATCCTGTGCAGCATTCCATGACGAAGCTCAAAGATCTCATGACAAGTATGCCCATGACCATGGAAAAGCCTCATATGTGGATCCAAAGAAAACTGCACTCCTGTTCCCTTGACATGATCTAAGAAAGGCTGGTTAATCTGTGAACTTGGTAAAGTGCTTGGATCAGGAAGAGGCTGAGCAGGAGAGGAAATGTTTACATCCGCATGGCATGATTTTGTAAACCAATCCACCAATTTAGGGAAAGAGTGTCCTCCAAGTATGTAACGAGATCCTGTGAATACAGCCTGGCCATCCTTATTGATTAAAAACTTTGAGTCATCATAGCCCCAGCCATTCCACTTCAGGATGTCATGCCTGCCTGGATTTTTGTCCTCAGCCTCAGTGGTTGGTTCTGCTGTTGCATCTGCACAATTTTGTTTAACCACATCTGTTTTACTCTGCTGGTCTAAGTGGCCTGCTATTAACTTTAGTCGTCTGTTGCTGCTCATTGTGGTATCTGGACTAACCTAAAAATTTCATTTTTGCAAACAAACACAAGAATTATTGTTTTTTTTAATTGACTGTAATTCATTTCAAAATCAATAAAGAATACCAAAATGAATTAAATCCTGAATCAACCATAAAACTTCAAATTTCTTCCTTTAAAAATACAAAATGCAATGGTCTTTGCAGTGAAATGAATTTTATGAAACAAAATGTATTATAATCAGACAATTTAATAGATATTATGCAACATAAGTATACATTGGGCATCCTAGATGGCTCTGGATCAATGGTAAGTCAAGCTCCTTGAGAGAAAGAACCAAATGCAAAAACATTAATTTTTATTGGGTAATGTCACCTGGACATTGCATAAACTTACATACACTGTTCGGTCTTGAGAATTAAAGTGCAAACGTTCAGATAGAAATCACAATCTTAAGAGCTCAGTATGTGATTTGAATACACAATAGTATTTCTACGGAAAGGTTGAAAGTTTTTCGGATAAAAGTTAACCGCTACATACCCCTGAAAACAAAATATTTTTTGCATGATTTAATGTAGCTATGAGTTGTGGTGTGACATAAATGTATCCCATTTCGTAAACACGTCAACGCATTCACAAATTTAAGTTTGAACTCATCGTTACCACACTTCATGCGATTCGAAACATCCAATTTAGCATAGCTTTTGTCAGATGTTTTCAAATATCCAAAAATTGATGCTTAATTGTCTCTTGTTCACACAAGATGTACAAATTCAACGAGTTACACCCTTCTGTCGTCTGTCACGCAGCTCAAACCACGGGTTGCTGACCTAAAATCATGCTCAATTCTTCTAATGTAAAGAAAAAAACATGGACTTACAAAAACAGTGATTCACGAGGAAATCTCACCTTCCGAAAAGCGTCGAATTCTTCGAATTAATTTGCTACTCAGAAATGATAATCTACCCTCCTACCATGTGATGAACAACGGGCTCAAGCCGTAGAATTCAATTGCCACACAACCGAGGTCAGCTGGGGCGAGGTAATCTTACACGTGCCAATCCATGAGCTCTAAATATGGCGACAACGAGCCTCTCAAAAGAAAACAAATCAGATTGTCATCTAACAGCAGTAATCGCGATTCTCAAAAGATCAGCAAGGGACATGTACACGCCTTGCAATGTCTAAACAGAATGGAAGAGTTAAGAGCGAGCGAGATCCTTTGTGATGTTGTTTTGGAGAGCAACGACGGAAAACTTTTCAAAGTGCATAAACTTGTTTTGGCTTCCTGCAGCTCGTACTTTCAAGCCATGTTCACGAATGAGATGAGGGAATCCAGGGAGAGCAAGATTAAAATGGCCTTAGAGTCGAATGTTTTGAAAGTTCTGGTAGAATATGCTTACACCTGCAAAATGGACCTCAAATCTCTGGCTGATGTCAAAGATGTCTTGGTTGCCGCAAACATGTTGTTGTTTTCCGGAGTGGAAACTGTTTGTGTGGATTTCATTAGCAAAAAAATCAGCAAGAGCAACTGTGTCGATATACTAACATTTGCTGAAGCAATATCAAGTGAGGAATTATTAAGAAATGCGTTTGAATACATGGAGAGGAACATTATGGAAATTAGTTCTCACAAAGGTAATGTTTGAGGGTAGTCAGAGACGAGAATTTTGGCTCACTTCCTTGGAGGGAAGGGTCTAGGAGTTAAATTACATGTATATTTATGTAGGGAGGAGATTCAAACGAAATTTATGGCTTAATACAGACAAAATTTTGCTTTTGAAGGGGAAAAAATTTTGTATAGTGCACATTTGATTTTTTTTTAAAGAATAGCAAGATTTATATTTGAAATTAAGTTCCTGAAAATGATGTACTAGAAATTTTGGGAGAAGAAAAGTAGCTTAAGGTATTTGCTTCTAATTGAAGAAATGTAGTTAAAAGGTTTTTAGAGATATCATTTGGCTTTCATTCACAACTGTTTGTCACTTTAACTCTTACTGCTAATTCATATTCAAAAAGGTAGGGTACATTTTAGTGGATTGCAAAGGTCCTTGTTTTAGAACATCTTTTGTGTGGATGGGTCAAAAAGATAAATGGATTAATTTGTTGAATAGGAAAACCAATGCTTACAATGGATCTTCTTGGAAACAGGGAACATTTAGACTATCACTCACCCTTATCTTAGTTTCTTTTCTGGCCACAGAAAAATTAATTATCAGTTTGTTCTATGTTATTTGTTAATTCTGATTAACAAATGTAGGGGTTCTACTAACATTCATATTACAAGGTATAACTTTAATTTCTCTTGGTTACAGGTTTCCTCTCCTTGCCTGCAAATCTGATGACCAAACTTGCATCCTCTGAAAATCTGAACATTTGCAGTGGTGAAGAGGGACTTCTAAAACTTGTTTTGTCATGGGTAAATCATGATCCCGATAGCCGATTTCCACATGTTCCTGATGTAATAAAAAATGTGCGACTTCCTCTTATTCCAAGAAATCATCTGATACAATGTCTTGGAACTGAATTTGAAGTACTCAAGAAACATGGTAAGTCATGTTAAAAAACATTCAAGCTATTTCATAGAACCTGGAAATATTACAGTTGTGCGAATAACCTTCTAGAATTGCCAGATATTTCAACTTTAATCCATTGCTTTTGCCTTTTTTATTTTGTTATACCTTTTGAAAGGTTGTCAAGCTCTCATAGAAGAAATAGATAACTATCAGCTGCATCCAGAGAAGAGGTGTTTTATTCAAACACTCCGAACACAACCCAGGCAAAACACTCCTAAAAAGCTGTGCATAGCAGGTGGCCTGTCGGGATTTGACAGTCCTGATAGATATTTGAACAGAATGGACTACTTCTACTTGGAGGATGAAGAGAAATGGGGAGAAATGCAGTCAATGTCTGTTGCCCGAGAATCAGCAGGTACTGAGTGACAAAAGTGTGACTTGCTATGAGAAGAAAGATCTTGCTCTCATTGTTCAATTTTCTCCATTGTAAAGCTCAAAATAATAATTTCCACACCTAATTCTGATTCAGTAGAACCTCACTGGGTTAACAAGAACCTTCTGCTAACTCAAGCTAAAAGTTGAAAGGTCTCAGTGCCACAAAAGTCAAATTAATCATATGTGTACACATGATATGTACTTGCCCTATCTAATTCAAATGTTGTTTTTCATAGCAAGGAAAGCTGTCTCCAAATGCTAATTTAGGCTTGAATGGGGAACAGTGCAGTCTAGCATGTTAACCAGTTTTTGGTCAGCATATTCCAATATGTCCTAACATTGTCATTGTAATCTCCTGATCACTTTTCAGCCGTTGTTAAACTCAATGGCCTCATCTATGTGATCGGTGGGGTTAGTTTCACAGCTAACCTTGGCTCTGTTGACTGCTACAACCCACAACTGGACTCATGGAGTGAACTTCCACCACTTAAACTTTGCAAGGGGCAAGTGGCTGGCACTGTATTCAGTGGATGTATCTATGTGATTGGGGGAACAGATGATTACCTCAGGGAAGGTCTGAAAACTGTAGAGAAGTACGACCCATTTACTAATGAATGGGAGGTGATCACGCCCATGCACACGGGCAGAGGAGCTCTTGGTATGTAACGATACCCTTTTGTCCTTTTTTTATGTTTTGCTTAAAGGTTACAGCAAGTTATACCATTCCTCTGAGCCAGCACTCTTATAACCAATTTCTCCTAAGAATGTCAGCATTCTTATTACCAATTTATTCTAAGAATGCTCTTCCAAGAAATTTTGCTCCTTCCAGGTAATGAATTACGTTCTTGTTAGTATTCGTCCCTGTTTACTTCATCTAAATCAGTGAAGCAAAATTGGCATCCGAATACAAAAAAGCCTAACGGTGGGCCTCTGAGTAGGTTCTATCAACAGCTAAGACCATTATCATTACAATATTAAGATCAATACTGGTGTCATTTTCCCAGGTGTGGCTACGCTAGAAGGCAAAATATACGCTTGTGGCGGAGCAAATTTCAATTTTGCGTTCTCGTCCGTTGAAGCCTACGACCTGCAGAAAAATCGGTGGCATTCTGCTCCGCCCATGAAAAGAGCACGAGCTTTTCATGACGTGGTCGTTGCGCACGGTTGTCTGTACGCGCTTGGAGGCGCTGAAATGCAGAATGGTCAGATAGCAAACGTTCAAGCCTCGGTAGAGAAATTTTGCCCACAAACAAATCACTGGACTATTATAAAATCTCTGAACCTGCCTGCCTGGGGAATCAGAGCTGCAGTTAATGAGAGACCACGTGATCAGGACGTGGATGTTTACATCGTTGGACAGTTTGTTGTGGGATCAGATTACGGTGCGATAGCCAGACTCTGCCTTGGTGATGACGATACGTATATGCTTGTGCGCGTTCCGTATGTCGACGAACCATCACCTAGGATTCAGGCAGGAGTTGTCATATTGCCATGAAGGTATTGATATGCAGAATATAAGAACATTTTATTTAAGACTTACGAGAAGTCTAACTTTATCGCACACTTTACAAAAAGTTCACATTTACCGCTTGCCAAAGTAAAGGGTGTGTCTAGACACCCGTCTCCTTAAAGGAGACATTGAAAATATACCATGGAACATAAAGACAAGCTGGCCGATGTTATTGTATCACTCAAAGCGAAAACTGCTATCTCCTATGGCCTCTACATTTATTCCTTGGGTCAGACACTGGGCTGACTTGCTTACTAGAGCTCTCTTTCCATTGGAATAAACAGTGAATGCGTTTTTTGAGAAGGTGGATGAGAGGGGCTTTCCCGCTCACGAAGTTCCCGATTTTTGCGACTTAGAGGTCGGTAAGGGAGTTAGAAATCGGTGAAAGCAACAAGGAAAAAATATATTCATAGAAGTAACTGAGCTGAAATTTCCCCTATTAATCAGAATTGGGTTGAAATCTCAGCATGGTGATGAAATTTCTTGCATGAAAACGAAACAGAATTCATTCTTCCAACTAGGTTGGAGTATTTATATAAAGAGGACGTTAATCAAATTAGTCTCGTTTCGTTGGTTCCTTCCTTTCTCACTTTGCTATTAAAAGTAGCCCCCTCCCCCCCCCCACGGGCTTTTAGACGAAAGAAAGAAGTAGGGTATTGTCTTTGTTGATTAGGTCAACGATTCCATAAGCAATCCTTCACAGTAACAGTTTAAAACTGCGTGGCTTCATGCACGTCTTTCAAGCAATCATCTTCCCTGAATTGACCCTGATATCTGAACCGTCGTGGTATTTTGTTAGGGCCTCGTCTTCAAAACAATTGGTTGCTATGTTGCTCTTCTTTATCTCTCTTCCATCTTGTGCGGAAGAGCTCACTACAACTTTTCGCGGAAGCTGAAACCGGCCGCTTTGTTTTGCTTCCGGGTGTGACGTGACACGATTTCTATGGTTCTACTGCCATTTTAGCTGTAAGCCTTATCAGTTTGTGTCTTTCTAAGAAATGCGCCTCGCACAATTATTTATTATGATATTTCGCCGAAGCTGAAACAACTGAAGACGAATTCCAAGTTGCATGATAAACATCATGTCAATACTTTATTTAAATCAACCCAACTGAATTAAACCTTTCCCTCCCCCTTCAAGTCTCCCACTAAGAAATATTTTCGTTCCGTTGACGAAAATAAGTAAGCTTATCTACCAACTGGCGAGCTTCAACTTCGTACTTCGACGCTGTTAAATTTACTGATAAGATTGTTTAGTTTTCTTTTGGCATATAGGAAAACTCTGAACTCGTGTTTTACATTTATCCTGCTTTATGTCTTTTCCACAAAACACACATTCGCGTCTTGTTCTTGAAGAGATGAAGAAATGAAATTGACCTTGATGTGCATTGGACCGAAAAGCAATTGTTTACTAAGCCGGAACTTTGTGTTCACGGCTTTTACGTTCCCGTCGGATGCTACATATATTACTTTGTTCAATTAGAGTTTATATTTATTGTGCAAATATTTATCCATGCAGTTTTGTGGATAGTTTTTTTTTTTAAAGAAGCTTCTAAATGATTGTAATTAATATTGTGTTGTTTTATCCTTATCGTGCGTTAGATTACATGGGCTTGTGTTTGTAATAAACACAACTTCACCCTGAAACATTATTGCTGTCCGTGACGGCATAGATATAACACAAGTTTGTTATATACTAATTGCCTCTCTGATGCCGCTAATCAACTATGCTGTGCTAAAGAGGGTACAAAAGGTTAAATCTAGGATTGTGTTTGTTGCCGCGCGCATTTTTGTAAGCAAAGGAAGACATGTTAGTTGATTTATAAACTTCGATTTTCACCTGATATCGAAACTTGTATGGAAATGTATTACAAGTGATTATTAAAACGGGTTTATTTACGGTGATTGATGTTTATTTGTCAAAAAGAAATTTTCGCCAAGGGCGATTTCAGGCTGACTATCTCGATCATCGCCTCGAAACCTCGTGATTATCACCGGAGGTATCACGCGTTTTCGACGAAAGCAGAACCTTTCGTAGAAAAGTTTGTATCCTTACAATAAATCTGTTATTTTACCCTCCCAACTTATGGAGCACGTGTTCCCTATTAGTGGTCATTTTTGGTCAATGTTTGTTGTCATAGTTGTTTCTTACCGTTTGTAAATTACAGAGCTGATATAGACGAGTTTCAAGCTTACAATTCAGTTCCAAATTTGTTATTAAATTTTCCATTAGTTATATTTCAAAATTTGAAAGATTTTCTTTTACTGTGCCCTTCCGCTTTTATTGCCATGTCCGCATCCAAATTTTGACATCTCATATATTATCTTAATGAATTCCGCGTTCCTTTCCTATCTCGTGGATTTTGTCACGCCAGAGATAAGCTACAATTCCAGCGTGAGTTGATCAATATTTACATGTTAGAAGATCGTCCGAGATCTACCGGTGTTTTTAGAGTCGACTTGTGCACGCACTCAAACGTAATTTTTCCGAGAAAATGCGGCGCTCACGCGCACAATTTATTAATAATCCATGCGTGACGAATGTTACTATTTCCGAGAAAGAGTGACGATTTAACACTTGAATTCCGAGAACTTCCGTTGAAGTAAGCTTTGTATTTTTTCGAAGAAACACGAGAATTAAATTGCGCCCGTTATGTAAAATCAGAAAGCTTTCGCTTCGTCGAAAACAAGAGGGCAAATGTTACTTCAAAGCAAAGTCAAGCTTCAGCTAAACCCAGAATTACCGAAGAAAGCAATGGAAATAGATTATGTCAACAAAACCATCACAGTCTTCATTGCAACGCGGTTCGTATCTTGACAAAGTATTAGAGACTTTAAAAACAAGCGGATTTTATTGGGGAACGTTAAATGCTAATCAATCAAAAGCTTTATTAATAAAGAAAAAACCTGGATCGTTTCTTATTCGTGCTAGTTCAGACCCGAAACATTTATTCACGTTGAGCTTGAGGACAGAGTTAGGAGTGACAAACATCAGGATCGTCATGTGCGACGGAAAATTCTCCTTGGATCAAAACAATGGGACAAGTGCTCACGCTGGTGGAAATCAACAGGGCTCGCCGAAGTTTGACTGCGTTGTAAAGTTAGTATTTTATTATATTCTGCTTTCTAAGCGAAGAAACAATCGACAGAAGTCTTCATACGCTGGAACCCGTGACAAGGTTGCTCATTTGTCGCTAACATCACCTCTGTACAAAGAGGTATCAAGCTTAAAACATTTATGTCGACGGACATTGAATCGACAACTTATCGGAGAGAGCGTTCATCGATTACCTGTTCCTTCAAAGCTTAAAGTTTACTTGAGGAGTTACCAATATCCAGTTTGAGTAATTCACGGGAAATATTGTCAATTCATTTAATTTAATGGCCACAAAAAAGACATTACATTGGCTAATATTATATCACGGGTGCTCGCGCTCACCATGCAGAGTTTATCGTTTTCCGAGAAAGTGGGAGGAGAGTCCCACAAAAGGTTGGTGTACATCAGGAATATTTTTTTCAAAGTTTAATTTTTTATATAAAGTTTTAAACATAGTCAAATTGTACAGCAAGTGCTAAAACAAATTATTTATTTCGAAACGGAGAATAAAAGTATAGTATTTTTGTTTTAGAGCTGGTGTCAGAAAGTCAAGCCCTAGGGCAAGCGACATCCTCGAATTCTTAGAATCTTGGTCTGGTGCCTGAGTGGCCACTTGTTTCTATTATTCAGTAGCTGTCCTTTATGTGCACCTTTGTTAAGAATAGCGGCATGAAATTTGATTGATAACGAAGTTTTCCGTTTTAAAATTAATCCATAGGGAACGTGCTAGCTCACATGAGGCAAGCATTTTAGCACGACAAAGCTCATTTCAGATTTCCGCCTTCTCTTTCTGAAGTATTCCGGGGGGAATCCCCGACTTCGAATTAACATTTATATATTCAAAATGCGCAAATTCTGGGAAACCCTTGATTTAAAGTACATTTTCATTGTGTATACATATATATCCCTGCGTTATTTGACGAGGACATGATAGAGCTATATCATCAGCAGCAAAAGGCAAGTTTTGCCTGGTTCGCGGTGATTTGGGAAGTTTTCGACTGCGATCCACTATTTACAGTTAATTTCAATTGTGGTGATCTTGTCAATTCAATCGTGCTTAGTTTCTAATTAATTGTGCATTTGTGATTTATCGACCTTGTCGTGCTATCCGTTGAGTCGAAGTGGCAAAAGTTTAAAGCGTTGTATCGCTGCAACCAAAAAAAATAGCAAGAAAGAAAGAATTACAATTCCATGGGCGTGATGGATATGAAGTTTTTTGCCTCCAACTTTGTGGACGTTCTTCGCTATATTAACTGTAGATTAACTTGCATCTAAAAATTTTATTACCAAGGGTTTTAAAAGTTTTCTTTTTAAATGCCATGGTTATTTTTATTTGGGCTATATTAGGTTGAAATACTGAGACTGTATGCGACGCCTATGATCAAGCTTCATTTTGTGAGTTAAGCTTTTTTCTCATTGTGCATAATGATGAATTGGGCATTTTCTGTCGTTGCGGCGGATGCAGAACGTGAAGTAATGGGAGTCATTCCCGAAAATAAGTTCTGTGTCTGCATGGGGCCATGATCAAATGAGTTATGGAGGTCCAAAGAGGAGCTGCCAGCCTAAATTCCGGCCATGATTAGGAAATATTGCATCCCTTCTGGACAGGAACGCTGTTGTTTAATTGGTTCAATTGATAGGGTAGTACTTCATACTTCTCAAAAAATATTGCTAAAGAGTAGAAATGATGCAAAGGTGTCTATGAGTTGGAAACGAGTTTGTGGCTTAGAGGGAAGGTCTTCAGACGCTAAGTGCGTACAAAGTCTACTGCATTTGTTTTGTGACCTTATTTCCTTCCTTGTGGGCCGTGCTTTCATAAGCATTTGACGCTGTTTTTAGGGGCAAAGATCATTCTGGGGCAACGGATGATTTTGTATTTACTAAACCCGGCAAGAGAGGCTTATTTTGATCGGTTTTCGGTCCAGAGAACAAAGTTCAAAGATATTTTTCAAATAGCTATGGGGAAAGGAGGGGCTAGCGGGCTGGTATTGAAGGAGGACGGAACGGATAGTCTAAAATTTTGAGTAAATCCTGAGGATCGGCTCTTTACATAAGGTCTGACACAAACCACGATTTTGCGCAATCAGCGAGCCTCAAGCTTTCTCCATAGGAAGCTGATTTAATTAACTAAATGTCTTTCCACTGTTAGATTTTGTCTTTCTTGACTCTGCTCACAGAAGCAAATATTCAGATCAAAGATTCAGCTAAATTAGGGATTGCTTAGGACGCAGTTTTGTTTAAAAACGGCCAGACTTTTTTTAAAAATAATCAGACCTGGGGGCTTTTAGGGCATGGGCCCAGCTCTTGTGCACTGTCACACAATTCTACGTGACAGAGCAAAGATAAACTGCCACACTCCTCATAGACATTCTCGCTTTTTTGCGGGAACAGTTTTCTCTGGCTTCGTACGGTATAGGGCTGGGACGGCGATATTGAAGTCCAGAAGAATCCTTTGTGGTGGTGGCAACTGCTTTGTTTTATATTTTGGCACACAGATTGTAAATGAAAATCTTGATGCTCGAACCTTGACGAGGCTACTTTAACTAACACCCAAACGGTACAAAGGTCGCCGTGGGAACTTTCATTTGCATGTACCTCACCCCACCCTTGGTTGAATTGATCGGAGCGTGCGATTGTGAAAATGTGTTCGACTCTACGTAAGCAAAAGGTAGGCCATAGACCAACATCTAGAATAAGTGCAACTTGTTTGACTGGTTGAGCATGCACCGACCACATATCAGGCCAGGTCCAGAGAACACCCCTGTCGACCCCTATAATGTTTTTGGCAGGTCAATTTCATTGCATGAAGAACTAAAATGAGCGTGCACAATGACACCTCTTTAGAAATTAAAATTAGGAAAATTCGTCGTAGAGAAAAATCTACCACAGAGATGAAAACCAAAACATAATTTTTTGTTTGTTTTGTAGAAATCGACTTTTAAATCAAGATTTTTGCATAAATACTTGTAAGCCTTTTTTAGTGCGGTCATTACAACCGGTGCAGTCTTTCAGCTGATCTACGTGATTTAGATAATTGAAATGAAACCAATACAACTTGACATTTTTGTAAACATATGTTTTCATGACTTGCCATATTAATTAACTCTATTGGTGTTGAGATTTCTATTCCCCTGCCAACCCCCACAGAGCTTGCTACACTAAGCTGTGGTAAGAATCTCGTGATATTCATCCATGGAAAAATTAGATAGGATCAAGTCATGTTAGGATTACACAATTCGTCGTAACAGTAGTCATGAGACCGTCATGATTTGTCCTTTTGAACCTTCACACGCAACGAGGGAAAAATCGACCGGTTTGGCCCGTTAGTTGTCCATATTCATAATTTCACTCTCCTTTTTCAATCATATTTGCTTTTTGCAACCTTGCCGAAGCTGTTACGATCTTTTTTAATCACAGTGATAAAGTAATGACAGGCGATTAAGATTAAACTTAGGGTTGCCAGTAAAATACAGCAATTAGCTTGTTTCTTATAGACGAAATCTTCCCTTAGTGTTAAGAGAATATTGTTTACATAGATATCACTGTCGTCATGGTAACTGAGTGACTCACTATGCAAAACAGCGTTTTACTCTCCAACAATGACTTTTTACTTAAGTTTCACATCCTCAGCAACGCTCGGAAAGAAGTAGTCATCATTCCTGGATATGGAATCTGTAGGGATGCGATAAAGTTGTAAACAACTGGAAATTATATATTAAGCTCTTGGGAGCACCCTGGAGAACTTTGAGAAATTAATCGGATCAAGTTGTCCGTAATCTCAACCATAACCATCAGGAAAAGTGTCTCATGATATGAGTGTTTACTGTGAGTATTGTTTATTGTAGAGGTCTTGATAAAGGTCGAACAGGTAGTATTACAAAAGCTTATAAGACATTATAACGGGTAATTAACAGGGGTCTGCATGTTAAATGACCACCCATGGGGAAGGTATAGTACCTTCCAGTGAAGCTACTCGTTCCCAGTCTTTTGTATTAAAAGGGAAGTGCTTGAGGAGAGGTTAGAGGAATACTTAAAGTGCCTATGACACGTTTTTTTCCGGAAATATTTAGCCTACCATATGTACAAACCAATTCCAATAGAAGGAAAATTCCGAAAAACTTAAAACTCGGTTTTTTTTAGGGCCCTAAAGTGTTCTTATTTTGTTGTAAAAGTGCCCCGTGAACTGGTAACGAATTGACGGGCGATGACGTAGAAAACTGTGAAAACTCTCACTACAATTACGACCATTTTTGTTTTTGTAATCATGATTCAACGCATTTTCCCATCTTAAGAGTCAGCGCCAACGCACTCTACGATTGTTATTCGAGGATGTCGATTCATTTATTTTCATTCATTAATGAAGTCGGCTTTTCTTCCTAGTAAAGGTCTATTGTGTTTATATGATAAACAAAATAATACATGGTCGCTTGTAGATATGGAATTCCTCTTCTCGTGTTCAACTCGACATCTCACTCGTGAGCTATCGTGTTAAACACTCGAAGAGGAATTCCGTATCTACGCGCGCCCATGTATTATTCTCTATTTATCACATAAACTGCGGTGTTATACAAGGATTTCCGGCCCTAAGAAAAGCCGTAACAACATACGTGAAAAAATATCGTATTTTTCACGTGTGTTGATATAGCCAATCAGCTGCTTACAAGTCACTCGCCTTTGGCGCCTCTCGGTCAGGTTGATGAATGAACGGGAAAAGCCTTCACGATTCTCAATACAAGTTGTTTGTCGGAGCTTTCTCGAATTATTGCGGCTAAAACACTAAAAACTCCGTATCGCTGGCAGACAATGAGGTTCAAACTTTCCTAGAAAGGGAAGAAAACCAATTTACTAAAAGAAAAACGGAGAGTTGTTCAACTCGACATCTTACTCGTTCGCTGCACTCACTTGTGTACTATCGAGTTAAACACTCGAAACAAATCCTGCAATCTGATTGGTTCTTTACCCGGTCAGTATTTTCCTATCTCTGCCCACGGGCCACGGTAACGCTTTCCTGAGTCGCCGAGTACATCCCAACTTTCGTTACCATTTTTCATAAATGTATCTCGTTTTACCGGCTGGGCGGTATTTTTAAGCAAACACGTCGGCCACTACCTCAAGCCGATAAATAACTTATGAATCCTCTCTTTTCTCACTCTCAAATCGCTTTGGTTGACTGAAAATATATTGGTTTCAGTATGAATTTGTTTAAGCAATAGCGTCATTACGTTGGTTGACAAGCGGCCTATAAACCGTCTGCAATTAATTTTAATCGTTCACAAAAAATACCTAGAAAGTTAAAACGTGAGGTATTTGGTTACAGTTAACTGAACGATGGAACTTTCATTCATTTAATATCTGAATTTTCTCAAACAATTTGTTCGTAGTGAAAGAGCGAGAGAAGTTTTAATTTCATTTCTACAACAAATATACGCTCCCGGTGAGTCTTCCAAGTCCGTTCAATTTGGACATTTGTACCGTAAATTGCACAACAGAAACTGAAGTAATTTATTGAGAAAAGGCTGCATTAAATCCCCTTGTGTCTCGTTGGAGTGTGCCATTCGAATTTAGTTTTTGTGGACGGAAGACCAGATTTACACACGCCATTGCAGCAAACAAACGCGCAAACTCTCACAACTTCAAATTAAAAAATTTGAATTTACTCACAATTACTTTCCTCGCCGTTTCCTTAATGAACGGAGGTAAATCTTCGAACATGAATGAATCGTCAATCAGAGTGAATAATACTTTCCGTTAGATCATTGATTGTTTTTGAAGAAAACATTGTCAAACTAGTTCCGTTGTTTTTCAAATCTTCTCGCTCTTTTTTGCTTTTCTTACGCGCGCTCTAATTGACAGGTGTCAGATTGTGACAGATACTTGTAAAAATAATGTTTCAAAGTTTGTTAAGAAGCCTTTTAAATCACCTTTATCGTTGCGGAAATGAAAATGTTTCGCTGAGGTATCTCTCTTTATTTTGCATCACTCTATTTTAACCAGTTACTCGCTCAAAAACTGTTCAGGTTATGGAAGATCTTGCCGTATTTACAGCCCTTAATCATTCGGGTTCTTTCGGAAAGAATCTCGTCAAGTTTAAAAAAATAAATATGTTATTTACCGGCTAAGGGTCGGTCCGTATGGTGAAAACTGTGACCTCGGTCTTGAAAATGCTGCCCTCGGCCTACGGCCTCGGGCAGTATTTTCAAGGCCTCGGTCACAGTTTTTCACCATACGGACCTCCCAGCCGGCAAATAACATATATAAATTGCACTCCACTCAGTTCAATTACCATTATATATCATACATGAGCGCGCGTAGATATGGAATTTCTATTCGAGTGCTTAACTCGATAGCTCACGAGTGAGCGCAGCGGACGAGTGAGATGTCGAGTTGAACACGAGAAGAGAAATTCCATATCTACAAGCAAAAATGTATTATTTTGTTTATAATATAAACACAATAGCCCTTTACTGACAAGAAAAGCCGACGACATTAATGAATGAAAATAAATGAATCGACAATCCCCGAATAACAATCGTAGAGTGCGTTGGCGCTAATTCCTAAGATGGAAAAATGCGTTGAATCATGATTACAAAAACAACAATGGTAGTAATTTTTGATATACAAAATTCTCATTTATTGACTTTGTCCTTTCTTTCAAGTAAACGGCCCAAATCGGCCAGTAACAAATCTTCCAGTTGTCGATTTTCATTCTCAGCCACGAAAAATGCCAACACCACAGCCGCTGAATACGTAACTTTGGATTTGTTTTTTTGTATATTGGTTTTTTCCCTTCTAGGAAAGTTTGAACCTCACTGTCTGTCAGCGATACGGGTTTTTTAGTGTTTTAGCCGACACAATCTGAGAAAGTTCCGACAAACTACCTTTTGCTGAGAATCATGAAGGCTTTGCCGTTCTTTCATCAACCTGACCGAGTGGCCTCAAAGTCGAGTGACGTATCAGCAGCTGATTGGCTATATCAACACATGAAAAAATATCGTATTTTTTCACGTGTGTTGTTACGGATTTTTTCAGGGCCGGAAATCCCTGTATAACACCACAGTTTATGTGATAAATGAATATTTTGTATGCATCGACTTTCACTAACTTGGATTCGCTACCATCTAATTCAATAAAATGTTTATTTATCTCGTGGCAGTGCTATAATCGCAATGACACTGCTACAGTGGCTACTCTTAGTTTCTTAGGGGCAGGAGGGAACTGATGGCTCATGGGATGGATTTTCGGAAACCTAGGTCAGGTAGTAGTGTATAGAAATATAGGTGTAGGTTCTTAGTGTATAGAAATACCAGGTATAGGTGTATTATTCTTGTAGCCAACATTATTTGGTCCTCCGGCCACGCAATGAGTTTGTCCTTTCTCCAAGATTTTTCCTTTCCCCACCATTGTTTCCGACGTGTCTTTATCTTTACAGTTTTCTACGTCACAGCCACGTAACATGATTGTTTTGGCTGCGCGCTTAAATGGAACACTTTTTGGCCGCGAAATCGCACTTTCAATGCACAAAAAAAAAAGGTCACGGAGATCTCGCTAAGCACTAAGGTCGATTATATCTTATTTTAAATACAGCTATCAACCAGAAAATGCAAAAAAAATTTCATGTCAAAGGCACTATGATTTTTCGCAGTTGCCTTCCCGTCGTCTCTTTCGCCCTGCGCTACACTGACTAAGCGTCATTTTCCTTCAGAGCTTCTTTGACGAGAACAGGACAAGAGGAGTATTTGATCCTGTGGAGAAGCGAATATAATTCAATACTACACATATAAAGTGAGAATCTTGGGTCCTTCAATCAGCTTCAACGTTCGTCTCTCCCTCTTTTTAAAAGAAATGTGGGAAGATAGTTGAAGCTGCTTGGGTCCTAAGGAACGACTGTCATGGAGATAATTATTGTTCCTCTTTGGTACCAATCTCTTCGCAGGCAGCCCAAGCTCCAGCTGTGAGATGATCATCTGCGAATTAAGAGACATGGCGAAACTATAAGGTTTCTGGTTTCTCTAGATGATTAAACTTAATAGGAGCCTGAGACTTCTACATGCTCTTAATTTATGATTTTAGATATTTCATATATCTAAAATCATTATTCATCACTTGAATGGTTTATTTAGACCCAACATATTGATCTACTCTCAGTTGGGTTGTTAGCTCAGTTGGTAGAGCGCTGCACCGGTATCGCAGAGGCCATAGGTTCAAATCCCGTACGGGCCTGAATTTTTTTTAGGTCCTATCTTCAACTACTAGTTCAGTAGTGTTCTTAGCTGCGAGGATCTCTTAAATTCGTGCTCTTAATTTGTTTCAATTTAAAGAAGACTCCGCCATTTTCCCAGTGAATAGAAACACGTCACAGCAAAACTAAATTTCTTAAGCATCCCTTGCCGGCCAAAAAGAAGCCCAACATAGGTGAAGTTGACCATGATAGCCGCAGATTTACCTCGGGTTAGTACTGAAGTGAAACACTAAGCGGAATAAGAAAGGCAAACACCTGGGGATACTGTTGCAGGTTTTTATTTAGACCCTTATCTCGCACCCACAAATTTGCGTTAAATTTAAAGAATTTGCACGCCTAACTTCGCAGTGTAAAACAAAGGTACGAGAAACAGGTTTTTATTGTCCAAATAATCGGCATTGCCGATGTGTGATGAAAGTCTCTCGCCACTACTTTCAAGGCCAAACAAAGTATGCATGAGCTAAATGTTAAATGTTGAATGAGCTACCTAATGTTGCTCGGCAGAACTGTTTAGTCCTTAACTGAAGGGAAATGTATTTAGCTGGCTGTAAACTGCATATTCAAACCCTTACGTTTTTAATCGTCTTTATTTTCAAACAATGTGTCAGCGCCAAAACCATCTGAGGAAGTGAAGTTCGAAACATCAATCGCCATGACGATTATTGCCAGCCTCTCACGACCACGCGGCCTCGATCCCAGCTCACCCTTGAAGTTTTTTCCGGGGAAGCGGGTTGTTTTAGAACCGAGTCTGCATTTTAACCTTGGTCTGTAGTCTCAGTTCAGTCTGCATTTTACCCTCAGTCTGCGCTTTATCCCTGGTCTACAGTCTGCTTTTTACACTGACTGGTTAGATATACGTTACGAGCACCAGATTTATTATGCGTCTCACGCTCCATCACCAGCTACACGAAAGACTCCCCAGCGCACAAAGGTGCGGTACTCTGGAACTGCTTGACAAGCGAACATCGCGAATTAGTCAGCTTTACTTGTTATGAGAACCTCAAGCGGAAACCGAGATTACTAGAGTCACTACATAGTTTTGGGGATTTTACTTAGAAGGTGACATCTACATCCACATGCACTTTCAGATCAGAAGATTTTATTTACACATAACACCTTTCTCAAGATGGCTGTATATCTTAGGTAAACGTTCATAAGTCCACTAGCACATTAGATCCTTAGATAAACGACCCACAAGCCTAACAGCTTTAACAATTATCGTTTAAAATAAAGGATTTGATCGATTGATAGACATAAAGTTTGTAAGGTAACGCCCCATTTTGTTTTGGGATTTAGCGGCTCTCTTGTTCGCCACTGTTGGAATTTGAGCAACCCGGCTTCCCGAAACAAATATATTAAGTATATATATGTCGTTCAACGGCAAGCAAAGTCGCGACAAGCATGAAAACCCATGCAGTCCTTTTTTTCTTTTTCGCGAGAATATCCGTAACACAACGCCACTCCTGGGTTTGATGACCGAGGCCGGGGACATTACCAGGATCATAGCTTTTCGTAGGAAAAAAAACAGCAACAACTCAGGGCTCTTGAGCAGCTCTTACAGGTTATTTTTAATGGATTTAAGTATATATGTTTGGCCTTTTGGATTTTGTAGCGCACATTCATGGTGAAAGACACAGCGTGAGCTGAATTGTGGATTGAGAAATACTCAGGAAAGAATGACCAATGATTGTGTTACAAGTTGATGTTGCAAAATTTGCCGAACCACTGACCTCTAAGTTTCGGGTTATAACTGGAAAATTTTAAGAGCTTTTCTGAAGTCATGTGTAAAAAATTGGCATTTTTTTTATTGTTTTTAGTACCAAATATTCCACCTTTTGCGATTAAATCTCGTTACAATATGCTTGTTTTTTTTCTCCTTCATCTTTATGAAAGAGCATTTTAAGATTGGCGTGACATGCTCAAAGAGTCTGGGCTCGAAAGATGTTCACGTGAAACCCACATGGAATTTCCCAAGTAAATTTTTGGCGCGTTCGCCTGATCGTCATAAATTTTAGACCACTGAAACATTACTGCATTTCACGGAATTTTCCGATCTAATCACCAGAAGTATAACCCTTTGCTTAAGGTAAGGTTCTATTTCATAGATTGAAGGAGTAATAATTCTAAATTCTTCCTTGCAATCGCGGCAAACTCTGTCCAATTCAAGTCTTGCCAAATGGAAAAAAAATTATTTGTTATTTGTCATCTTTGTTTTAATTCTCTACGGCAGATTTAATATTTTGAAAACATGGCAGTAAACGGTGTCAATGGTCATGGATTTCACTTCCTTCGTGAGTCCCTTGAAGAGAACGATCCCGATATTTACGAAATTTTGAAAAAAGAGAAGCAACGCCAAGTTCGCGGCCTCGAGCTCATCGCCTCGGAAAATTTCACCAGTACAGCTGTTATGGAAGCTCTTGGTTCATGTATGACCAACAAGTATTCTGAGGGGCAAGTTGGACAGAGATATTACGGAGGAAACCAGTTTGTGGATGAAATGGAGGCATTGTGCAAGAAGCGAGCTCTCGAAGCTTTTCGGTAAGATGATTGATACACGTGTAATCTTGGTCACGTGTTTAACGGTTATTAGTTTCATCCAAGCTAGTCGAAATTTACCTCACTGATGATATATTGAAGGATAAGGCTAAATGTAGAATTTTTCCCGACCTGAAGAAATTCGGTAAATTCGCATGATCACACGCGAAAGAACCCGTATGAGTAAAGTTATGCAATCCTTTCGATCTCAGCAATGGAGGTTGTTCTTATCGAACAGGTCACGCAATTCGCCTAAATGGAACTATAGCTACTCGGAAGATGTAAAAGTGTCGGGAAGGATCGAAGGTTTTATTGATTACGAAAATTTGAACATAATTGGAGCAGGTTGCAGTAATTGGTTACATTTCTACATTTATTCACTTGATACTCAACAGGTCTTTTACACTTAAATTTGCCAATTCATCAAATTCGCCAAATTCCAAATAGTTAACTATTTTGATCTGAAAATTCAGCTTGACTAGTGAGCCTAAAACAAGTTTTTAAAGTTAAGGGATTGTAATTAGTCTGTAATATTGTTTCAAATTTTTTAATTATTTCTTATAAGATATTCAATGGATAAAATAAATTTTTTGCTGTTGATTTTGTTTACTTCTGCATGAAAAGTTTAACAAAACACTTTTAAGTTGCTATATCAGTGACATAAAAGTCAATGTCTACAATGTGAAGAGTTAAGCATCTAAAGACTGTGAAAGCTGGTGATTGTAGCCTCCCTGAGCAGTGCAACCTACATTTTGTCACAATTTATCCAGTCTCTTCCTTGAGACATAGGTTCATGCTCTAGGTATCTTTATTTGGTAAGCTTAATTTTAAATGTAGTTTGCTGGTTCTCACGTATGATGAAGGATAGATCCATAGTCACCATTTTGTTATTACATTATATAAGGCAAACAGATCACAGAAGAGTAAGGTGGTAAGTTTCTAAAGAAACTGTGGGTGCTGTGTTGGTGGGAGAGTATAAAAGAGCAATTTAGTATTATCAACTGAGTTGATAAGGTAAATTGGTCACCATTAAGAGTCTCAAAGCTTCATCAGAGCAAATGAAGAAGGGCTAATGCTGGAAATGTCCGCGTTGAAAGTCTTTACATTGGCCAAATTATGTTATCACTCAGGTGATAATACTAAATTATCAGATTACAGAGGACATTGAAATGTGGTAAGAACATGTGTGACACGTGGCTGTGCACAGTGTACAATGTACAATGTACAATGCTTGCTCATCTGTACCCTGTGTTTCTTTTTACTACCTTCTGATGTCATCTGTTACCACTATTGAACATAGGCACAGCAATATGCAATCTATTTATTATATGTGATACAGTAGCAAAATACTGACTAGGCATCTGTATCTATATATATATATATATATATTGAATACAAACATGGCCTTTTGTAGAGAAACAAATTGTTTCATGCTATTTACTGGTATGTTATTTTATTTTAGGCTTGACCCAGAAAAATGGGGTGTGAATGTGCAGGCATATTCTGGCTCCCCAGCAAACTTTGCAGTCTACACTGGGCTTCTAAACCCTCATGACCGTATCATGGGCCTTGATCTACCTGATGGAGGGCATCTGACACATGGCTTCATGACAGAGAAGAAGAGGATATCAGCAACTTCCATCTACTTTGAATCAATGCCATACAAGACCAACCCAGTGACAGGCTTGATAGATTATGAAATGCTTGCTCAGACCGCCAGACTCTTCCGTCCCAAGCTGATCGTTGCTGGAATCAGTGCATATCCACGGCATCTGGACTATGCTAAATTCAGGGAGGTTTGCAATGAGGTTGGTGCTTACCTCATGGCTGACATGGCACACATCAGTGGTCTTGTTGCTGGTGATGTAGTCCCAGGTCCATTTGAGTATGCAGATATTGTCACAACAACAACTCATAAGTCACTCCGAGGGCCACGCTCTGGTGTCATATTTTACCGCAAGGGAATTAAAGGGTACAAGAAAAATGGGGACCCTATCAAATATGACTATGGACCCAAAATTGACTTTGCCTTGTTCCCTGGTCTTCAGGGTGGTCCACACAACAATCAAATTGCCGCACTTTGTACAGCATTCAAGCAGGCCAACACACCAGAATTCAAGGAATATGCCCAACAGATTTTGGACAACTGCCAAGCACTGGCCAAGGTTTTATTGAGTCGAGGCTACACACTTGTGTCAGGGGGATCTGATAACCATCTGGTTTTACTTGATCTGCGTCCACTGGCAATTGGTGGTGCCTTAGCTGAGAAGGTTCTGGAAGAGGTCGCGATAACAGGTGAGTTTCAAAAAGTTCTGTTACTATCTAATGACAACATTGACATCTTAAGATAGTACTGACATTTCAAAAAAATAGTATGTGTATTCCGTACAATGAAGATATCATGTTTTAACCCTTAGCACTGTAACATCAGTATGTATATTCTCCATAGTGTCATCCATACATTTCTTAAGGTGCTGTTAAAAAGAATTTGTCTTACAGTCAAGAACCTCTCTAGTTGATGATCATTTCCTTTGTTCACATGACCTAAACCCTTTAACTCCCAAGATTTCATCGGTGATTCTCCTTACTGTCTGCTATACAATTTATTTGATGTTAGTTTAGAGAATTTGGAATTGGATCAACCAATAATCCCCAAATTGATATTTTTCTATATTCTCATCACTTATCTGGTTGATATTGTATTGATATTGTAAGAAGAAATTCTGTCTTGGTCACTTGTGGAAGTTAAAGGGTTAATGTGTGACTCAGGGGTAATAATGTAAGATGTAAGGGGAAATAAGATGGCTGTCACTCTTCAGGGTCAAAGGGCTTAGAGAGTATCAATTACTTTGTTATTATGTTTTTCCTCACAGTGAACAAAAACACCTGCCCTGGTGACAAAAGTGCTCTCCGTCCAGGTGGACTGCGCATTGGAGCTCCAGCTCTCACAACCCGCACCATGAAGACAAAGGATTTTGAGCAAGTAGCAGACTTTATTGACCGTGGAATCAAACTGGGACTGGAAGTGCAGAAGATCAGTGGGCCAGACCAAAAGAAATTTGAAGAGGTTTTATTGGGCGATCAGTTTAAGGGCAAAGTTAAGGCATTGAAACAGGAAGTTGAAGAGTTTGCAGTCCGATTTCCCATGCCAGGACATGATCTTATTTAAGATATTGCTGCTATGTGTGTGTCAGTCAGCATTTAGATAAAAAAGACACATGCTGATTAAATATTTAAAATGATAATGTCAAGATTCATGCATTTTGCAGAGCAACTTTCCAGGGGCTACAATAATATTGAAGTTTCAGTTTAGTGTGAAATGTCATTAACCTTTTAACTCCCAAATTTGTCACTCTCCTTACTGTGAACCTTACTATTCTTATAATGTTAGTACAGAGAATTTAGTATTGGATCAACTAATTATCCCCAAATTGATATTTTTCTTTGTTCTTATCACTTCTTTGGTTGATATTGTATTGATATTGTAAGGAGAAATTCTGTCTTGGTCACTCATGGGAGTTAAAGGGTTGAGATTGCATTTGCAATATACATGAAACAAGTGTCATTATTAAGGACTGATATGTTGCTCAAAAATCATGTTATACCTCCAATAGACAAATCTGTTGATTATTCAATGGTGTTGATAAACTAGTGATGAGCTCCACATGGGAAAAGTCAGTAATTTTCTGGAGGTTCACAGTCATTATTAGGCATAACATTTGCTGCTTTTTTGAGTCTGTACTAGTCCTTCCTTTAGACGCTTCATCATATAGTTGAAAATAAACTCTCCAAACAATGCACTTTTCAGGCAGATGTTAGGATGTAATATCAAATTTTTATTCAGAGAGATGCTATCCATGAGAGAAGGAATTGAAAATGCATCAAACAATCTACAAAAAGAAACCAGTTTCACAGTCATTTTCACGTGATCCAATAAATACAAGGTTGTTGTTGATCAGGCTTTAAGGAAACTTAGAAGATACTGCATCTCGCACAATTCACATTTATTGGATCTAGAAGCAATTACTCTGGCTCAGGAGGATTGGGGAAGGAAGTAAAATAGCTCGTTTTGACTTTCGATGGGGGAGGGGGTTGGGTTTGATCACTTATTTAACTTATAATTCAGTCAATAAACACTCAAAATAAAACATTTGCTTCAAAAATTTGAAAACCATGTGCTAATGTTCATGTGATATTGTGGAGTTGGGTGAGGCTCATTGTTATGATAATTAAAATTATATGGCAATTAGCAAGAAAAGCCCCAAGAAATACACAGCAACTACAAGGATGATCTGTTGAAAGGTAGCAAAGCACAGTAGTTAAGTTGTCAACTGTGTACCATGAATTTGATTTTCGAAAGATGAAAAAGGCAGCAAGACCGGCCACTATCTGTCCGGGAAAAACAAATGAACTGATTACAACCATATCTATCATCAATTTCGGCAGAAAATGCAGTCTGTCCTCAGTTAATATCTTACTATTTCCCGTATTATCTGGTCTGACAATGGCTTACAGTGCATGTGGCCTGTTATATGGAAAATGACGCTATGTCTACTCTTCATTTTGTGGTAATGACGAAGAGGGGAAAGGAGGGGACTTGCCCACTGCCCTTCTCGTGCCTAACCCCTCCTTAGAAATTTCTTACTCTCCCCAATCTTCCTCTACTGAGAAGATCGTTGGTGGCGGGCAGCTTTCCCGCCAAAAGTTGTCTCCAAAACCTGCCAACTATCACACTTATGGGTTGAAAACCTTTCGACTACCTTCTCACTCCTAACAGAACAAAGAAGGTTTTTGCAGACGTGATTTTAAAACCTCTTCTATCTTTAGTTTAAGTAAACTCAGGTGCCCATTACTTGGAAAGTAAGGTCGTACCAAATCGTAGATTTAAATTGGCGAACATCCTCGAAACCCCCAATTGTAGGCAAACAGATAGCAACTTCTCTATTTTATTCCTCTTGTGGTTTCATTCTTCTTGGTTTTATTTTGTGGGAGTAAAAACTTTTACAAAACCACGACCTCTGCAAGCTATTCAAAACGGCTCGTTTTTGCCCGACAGGAATTTTTTTCAGCAATTCTAAACAAATGCATCGTGCAACAAATCAAATTTACGACTGAGGGAAAAACTGAACGAAGTCCCTTTACTGTTTAGTGGGCTTGATGTTTTATTTCAAGTAATTTAGCGTTAACAACTGAGTTGAGAACGTAAATTAACCACTGTAAAGAATTCAAAGGCTGACGTTTCGAGCGTTGGCCCTTTGTCTATCGCTCTGACGAAGGGCTAACGCTCGAAACTTCAGCCTTTAAATTCTTTACGGTGGCTAATTTACGTTTTCAACTCAGTTGTTAACACTTAATTACCTGTTATACTCTCCCACCAACGCAGCACCACAGTTTCTTTAGAAACTTACCCCCTTTATTCATTTGGTATTTTATAGCAGAAAATGTGATTTGTTGTCGCGTTGCCTATGAAACCTTCGAAGATTTTCGCGGTGTACTCCATGTCACAAATTACGAAATACTTTAACAAAAAACACACTTATGCTCAAGAACATAAACTGTATTACTATTCTTTATGATTATATCATTTTGGAGGGCACTGAGAGGATAAAAACTGAAAAAAATGACTAAATCACGCGTGTGTGAGAGCGGGTTAAAATGCATTTTGCCCTGCCAAATACTTCATTTTAGCCCGAAAAATTTCCCGCCAACAATGCCCTACGAAGTGATATTTATATACTGAGACAAGGAATATACTTGTCTATCCCAGCAATCCTGTTCCGTCTGAGAATCATGATCTATTAATCATTACTTCTCGGTAAAAGATTCTTTTAGCTAGTTTATCTACAGCTACAGCGCTCTTGTTTAGATTTCCGGATATTTTAGCGGCATTTAAGAAGATGACAACAAATGAAGATACCGATACGGATACCGAGGCTTGCTTGGTGGTATCTAAAAGCGCTTTTTTTTATTCTTTAGAGGGAAGTCATTAAGACTCAAAAGAGCCGGAAGGGAAGGAAGCCCTTGAATAAAATTTCATTCTTTGATTTTTAGGGTACCATTCCAGCCACTCTATGATTGATAATTGAGATTTGTATAAAAAGATTGACGAAAAACTGGACAATCTAGTCTGTTCGCTTCCCACTTCATTTTAAAGTGACGCACAGTTTTTAAAGTGACGCACACTTTCCTCACAAATTATCAAACAAATAAAAAATTGCAATTTCAGATATTCATTTGGCTCTTTTTCTTCCAATCCGCGATTATCAGCTATTCACTTTTTTGATAGAGACGCCTCGGGAAATAACTTTTATTCTGCACTTTTTATCATTGGTACATCGTTCCTATTTTGCACTGTTGAATGGCTTCCTTTATGGAGAGTTGGATTGTCTGACAGAATGACTTTTTAAGGACATCTGAAAGCAATGATATTGAAAACAACAGTATTTATAAACATATTTATTTCCCTTCACGAGAGAGAAAACTATTAGAGATATGGTCACCTTTTAGTGAGTGTATATTGGTTCTTATTTTTTTCCTTCTTGATTGAAACACGTTTTGATGGTCAGTAGTTTTCATTCGATGCGTAATTCTTTACTTCATGCAGTTGGAAGCATTAACTACCCTTTAAGATAAGACGATGAAAATGACTTTAAGACTTTAAAATATATATGTTACAATCAGACATGACAGATGTAAAAATTTAGTACTTAAAGTCCAATATTGTAATTTGCATTCAGCAACTCTTTAGTGAATACCAATCAATACTTTTTCATAAGTGTTTTAGTAAATAAAGTAAGAGATACATTAATGAATCATCTCGCAAAAAAAAGTAGAGAGCCTTCCTTGTTCTTTAATATCAAAATGATGAATCAAAACTGAATTTCCTCATCATCCATGCATGTTTCAGTTAGTATAGTGGCCGTGCTAAACTTGTTACCTAGGCAAACGGCAAACAGCGAGCATCACAATAAATACTTAATCTCCTACACATTGGATTTTGGTTAAGTTCTGGGTTCATTCATGTAGCCAGAATTCATCACATTAGAAATGGATGTTTTGGAGTTCTTGGAGGCAGGTGTGTCAGTAGTTTGACGAGTATTTCCGGTGCGAAACCATTTCCATTGTAATATATGAATTACTGAGAGTCAATGAGCGTCAAGGTTTCCTGTAGGGTAGCTATGACGCATGCGTGGGCAAATATTTATAAAATACTTTGTCGCGTTGTGTCGATCAAACGATATTTACACGAGCGAGATCGGATTTCATTGAGTGCAAGAAAAGGAAATGGATTTGGTTGTAGCTCCATGGTGCAAACAGTTAAACGTTATCTGTTTTTTACTACTTCTCCAAGCTACCACAACTCTTTCTCTTTCTTGTCCCTTAAATTGCAAATGTGATGAGTACAGAGCAGTTTTACACGTAGACTGCTACAACGTCTCCTCTTTGAAAACCATACCTTCTGGCATCCCAGCAAATGCACGCATACTGTGAGTATAACTTAAGTTTATTTGCTTCCTAACCTTTGATACATGTCTTGTTATCAAATCATAAAATTTTGTCACCTTTCAGAAGCGATTTGTTGTTTTAAAACATAGTGGCGAGGATTTCAAATGGCGTGAACATGGTCGATAAAATTCAATTACCGTGTGCTGTCGAACCTTTAACCAGTCAATCGCAGTCAGTCTTTTAACATCAACATGTCACTCTTGCAAACCGGATTGCTGAAGCATTTGCTTCCATTTAGATCGATTCGATAATGAAAGTTTCTCGGACACGCCGCAGCGGGAAATCGAAATTCAGTGTTATTCGGGACAATTTGTTTAATCCAAATAGTTTTCTGGTTTTGCCGTTTACTTGCTCAGAGTTTGAAAGAATTCCTGAAGTAAGCGGTTGTAACAAATGTTCGTTTCGATAAGCAAACATTTGACAGATTATCAAAAATGTTTAGGAAGGCGAATGCAGATAGTTGCTTATTACTTGTCGTCGTCAATAAACAATGGAAGTAAAGTTCTCTTTATTAATATTCACTGTCCTGAAAAAACTAATGTTGTTCTTTATTTCGCTCGAGATAACAGGAGCTGTATCTAAAACACGATTTTTTTTAATGTAAACAAAGCATAAAATGCAGATGACAAAAACGGCATATGAACACAAAGTCTGAATTGAATATAAGCACTTCAAACTTTAGACCTTGTTCCTCGCATTTTTATGAACGAAACTTCTTTCTTGTTTGGTTCAATAGTAAACTACTTTATAAATTTCTCTGGCTCACACGTTATTTCTCGCTTTTGTTTTCATCGTAGGATATTCAGCAAAACGCAGATATCACTGATTCAGAAGAACGCCTTTCAAGGATTGCCTAATGTCACTGAAATGTAAGTTATTTTTGTTGTATATTTCTTGACATTGTGTGACAACGTCGCCTTTTATTACCGGCGCATATTTTCTGGAGCTATCTTTTGTACAAGATCAAAACCTACTTCCTCAGCAGAAAGAAATAAATACACACACACGTAGAATGTACAAGTACTAATAAAACATGATTGTATGTTGTCGGAAATCGGCTTTTTTTAGAAGATGTGGCAAGAAAAGGAGGAATAAATATCGCGAAAATCAAAATACCGGTTTCACCAAAAATCCACATTTGTTATGCATGGCAGGTTTTTAATAGAGAGGGTGTTCCTATAGGCCACATTGAATCATCTCTTGAGACGCTTGTCGAATTTTTTAATTAGCAATAACCTATACTATTTCAAACTGCCTATATCAATTTTGCTTATTAAGCCTGTTTTGGAGAATGTTTGGTTTGGTTACTTAAATAGAAAATATTTTTGGAACCGCGTGAATAAGTGCAAAATTTTCCATGTGTTTTTTTTTTCCGCGCAGATTTTCTCAGATGCTTTAACGTGCTTCGTTAAGTTCTTAAACTCTGTTGATAAGATTCAATGAATTTATTGCCACTTAGACAATAGATAATACTGGATAAATAAATTATTAAAGCTCTCACAGAACTGATTAGTTATAAACTGAAATCGAGACAACAACTCTGAGAGTAATAAGAAAACTAATGAAAAGTACCTAGAAATTAAATCGAAATTAGAAAGCTTTTACTCGCAAAGATAGCGTCACGCGTTCCAAACAACTTTGCCAATTAATTTCTCAACCGATCATTCCAGAAGGCTGGTTCAAACAGACAAATATATTACCTAGATTGATACTTCACTTCACAAAATACATTGTGCAATACTTAATAGTTTACATTCTTAAGTTTCTTTTTGTAAAAAATCAGGGACAGTATGATCCATCCTTGCCCAAGGCAATCTCAAAAATAGCTTTTTGTAAATATAACAGAAAATCACCTCTTATGTTAAATTGCTTATCTCTGCGGAATAGTGTCTGTTTGGTATTGTTTCCTAACCTCATCGCAGAATATTATAAAATGAACTTCATAAACAAATCCAAACAATTTTCGAGGCTTTTAGCACTCCATTCAGCGCCATTATTCTCAAGCAATCTGTCGGCGTTTGTGAAGTTCAATGAACTCGTTCGTCTATTCTGTTCTTTTAATTAAAAATATGCCAAACAGATTAACAAACGATTATAACACCCAATGCTAAAAGGCGGGCCCAGTGTGTGGGATTTGAATAAATTAGCTATCAAAAAGTATAGAAGTAAACTGGCGGAAAGTTTCAAGGAATAGATTGGGCTTCAATGAAGAGTTATTGAGAAGCTAGTTGGTTTTTTAGGAGTAAATACCATGAAACTTGTAATCAAAAACAACGCAAATCCACGGTTTCACTTCAATCTGTGATTCTTGGGTAAACTAATCTATCCGTTGCCTAGAGCGAGGGAGAAATCAGAAAAATCCTGATCGAAGTGACAATGCAAGACTTGAATAGGCTATTATTCCAATAATGATATTAATTTACCGGGGTATTTCAAAGTGTTACAACCGTAGTATGTTCTAGTAAAACGAAAAATGTCTTCACGTACTCCCTGGGGCTTATATCATTTACGTAAGTGGCTGTCTCGACATTATGCAAATGATGAATTGAAGAGGTTAGAGATCGTGTCAAGAATACTTATCGTTACTTTGTAAGTGTTGGGTTTTTATATTAGCCTCTTTGGATATGAATTGATAAAGAAGTTCATATTGTATCAGTGTCAATCTCTCTAACTGGCTAAGCATTTATTGACCTAAACCAAAGATGCAAATCTTTGGCTTGCGTTTTTAAAATCACCAAATTTGTGCTTTGAGTACATGAAGAGCACGGCATACCCTGTTTGATTACGCAGCTGTCGATGAAACATAGATCAAAAGACTGGCGTCCTGAATCGCCATACAATGTGTTTTGCTACTCTTTAACAATCGTTTCATACTTTCTTTTTTTCTCTTTTAAATACAACTGATCCACATTTTAGAAATTCCTGTAGCAAAATCGACTCGACGTAACCTTGACGCTAGAGTCAGATTTCCGGCTTTCCAAGCACTTTGTTGTTTAAGATCCGTATCCCGGTATATTCTATATTGAACATGGTCACCGGATTGCTACTTAAATAACTGACGCCTCGGTAGACTCTCTCGTGGAAATATAGCGAAGATATTATTAGATATGATCAATACGGTTGTTTTCTTAAATATTTCGCATAAATCGGACTTTTGTTGTACCTGAGTGTCTGGGCAAAACTATTCAAACTACTTGAGAAGAAATTTGTAAAATGAAAGATAGAATCCCTCGTTTTTTACAACTTTTGATGATTAATGAAAAAAAAAAAAAGAGTATCTTATGTGCTAGATGTCGGATCAGTATAATCAGACTTGCAGAAAAAAAATTTTTTCCTTTAAACCAGAAATCCTTCGCCATTGATTCATTTTTTCTTACTGGCCAAGAAAAAAAAGAGTTTATCTTATTCTTGAATACAAAATGAAAACGCTTTTGCCGCACCCGGTCGGATCAAACATCAGTATTTCAACACTATGTGAATACACTAATGTAGACACACGCCATCAAATAGCGAAATGCCTATAAGATAATCTGCAGTGTAGGCCTTATGTGGAGAGCGCGCGGTTTTTCGAGCATACTTCAAAAATGCGGGCAGCGGAGTCTCGACTTTTCCAATTACTATTTCTTCTACAGCTTTGCTGCTCAATATCCCAAAGAAAAAAAAAACCCATGGAAACACCAGCTCCATGGGCTGTACACGAAAACGAATTTAAATACTGGGATAGGGCTTTAAAAATCTGATCCGAAATGTTGATTTTGAGAAAAATACCGTGAAAAGACGGAACTGTTCTCAAAAAGTATGAAACCTTGAGGAAAAGCTTACCACGTGGGATGGATTAACTTGAATTGTATGCTATCAAAATTTAGTTCCCGTCGTTTGGAAAAGGTTTCGAACTCAAGTAATGATATCCACTTCTGTAAAGTATCACTTGTTATTTTTCTATTTGCAGAGAAATGCGGCACAATCCATTAACAACAATCGAAGGAAACGCTTTCCAAGGCCTTAAAAAGCTTAGAGAGTTGTAAGTTTTTCATCGCTTTCCCAGTGTCCGATGTTTGCTTTGTCGTTCGAGCATTCTTCTATCTCTTTCAAACCTTCCTTTACTGTATACTCATGGTTTTTTCTTTTTTGATCTTTGCAGAGTATTAAATAGCAACGATATAAAAGTTCTTTATAAAGACTCTTTCCAAGGAATCTCTCAAATAAAAAGGATGTAAGTACTTAGATAAATCTTGATTTCCCTCTGCCATCAGTTTATATGTCTTCATGTTGTCACAACATGTTCTTCTTCAAGAATTCAAAATTAATCGTAGAAGCTTTCATTTTGCAGTCATCTTTCCCATAACAATTTGCAAACGCTTCCGAAAGGATTATTTGACGATACAGTTAACCTGGAGTACTTGTAAGTTTTTAGAATTATTGTAAGTTTACGAAATTACGTACTTAAGCTTTAAAATCTATTTTTAGGTAGCTTCGTGGAAATTTTGTGTAATAAAATTGGTATGACACAAATGCTGCACCTCAACCATAAAAATAGGGAAAACGAAAATTCCTTAGTCTTTTTTTTAGCACACGCCGGGTGGTACTTTTTAAGAAGGACTTCATCTTCCCATAACCTTATATGGTAAGAGGTAGCTGCTTGTACACTACGACATTATCAGACAATCCTAGCAATACCAAGATTGATCATAATGAAAACAATAATAGTTTGTTGATAAAGACGCCAAATTTCAAGAAAGGATATACCAAGTAATGAACAAGCTGGTTTACGAATATAATTTGGTTTTATCAACTGAGTTTATGGTGTAAACTAGCCAAAGCTGATATTTCGTTAGCGTTAGCCCTTCCGGATCTCTGACGCTTCGCCTTGTTCTGACGGAGGGTTAACGCTCAATACGTCAGCTTTGGAAACTCTTTACAGCGGCCAATTTACTGTCATTATCAACCTAATTGATACAACCATATTATCTTGTAATATTCTACATTAACGCAGTACCACAGTTTCCTTAGAAACTTACCCCCTTTATTATTTGCAAAGGGAGAGAGAAGATTAGCACCGATTTCAAAAGAAGGACTCGAATATTTCCGATATTTTTCAAGATACACCTTATTGCAATTACGTTTTATAGAATAATGCCCACAACAATAAATAATCTCCTTATGGACTTACTGTAGCTGCGAAAATTGCTTATAAACTGATTTCTGTTAACTTTATATGATTTACGAAATTCACTTTTCATCTTTTTCACGTCAGCCATGGAGAGTCTGCCGTGTCTCGGGGAACTGCTCATGTTAATACATATATTGAAATTTGCTTTTTGTTCGCTTTTTTTTCGTTGAAAATGTTATTGCAATTAGGTGTATACCTCCCGAAGTAGTATCGAAATTATAGTTCGAGTTGGTATGGGGATCTTTGACAATTCTCAACCATTTCTACTTCATTTTGCATAATCAATATTAATAGTTATTTTTTTATGTTTTGACAGATCTTCTTTCTATTGTAACTTTTTTTTAGTTCCGACTATTTGTTAAGTAATGAGATATATCAGTAAACCTATATTGCACTGCAATGCACTGAAAAGCAATATGGTGCACGGTGGTTAAATCCTTTCGCCCTAGCGAAAAATTACGATAAAAGTGGATTACACTGTATTACTGCACTGCACCACACTGTGATGTACCTTAAACTTATGCACAGTACCATAAATTTGAATAAGAAAACTTTTTTTGAGCACACAACAACTGACACGAATTCAACATTTATGTTTTCTAACGCTTCAAAGCTTTTACACGTAACAATCTAATTTCTAATCCTTGCACTCAACTAACACTGTCAAACCACGATCGGAGTGAATATTACTAATCTAGTTTCAGTGTTCATCGTGACCTTGTTTAACATTTCATGCCATGATTTCATCCGCCTCTATTAGGAGACTTGACAACAACAAAATAACTTCGATATCTTCCACTCTCTTGGCAAGACATGGGGAGTTATCAATTTTGTAAGTGCTCAGTAGTGAACTAAGAGATGTCTCAAAACTCAAAGCTAACAACAACATTAACATGTTTTTCGTGCTGCAAATCATTTACGATCATATAATTGCATTTAACTGATTCGCGCTGATTTACATTCATACACCGTTCCCTACACCCTGTGGTTGCAACCTTTGGGAAAGATAACCATTTTCTGAACATGGGAAGCTTTTTAATTGCCATTAACATGGTTGGATGCCGTTTGAAAATCGCTCGGGGCCGATTGGTTTGAGTGTACTACAATAGAAAGGAATATTACGCTCGATCAAGCAGGCATTTTAGGGTGCACTTTGTCGTTCGTGTTTGCTGTGACTCTGTTGTCAACTCTGTCGAGTGAGCCCTCTTAACGGCCATGGGGAAGAAAGGAAACCACTCACAATGGCAGTTGCAAAGGCATTTTCTGCCCCCTGATTCTCGAAGTTTTGAAACGGTTAATCGGAATCAAGAGACTTCGTCACTACGTTGAACTGATTGCTCTCGAGCCAAATGGCCCATAATGCCTCAGGGTTTAAGCCGATCTACGTAACATTATTTTCCCTCTACCCATCTATACTCCTGGGGGGTGAAGAGAGGCAAGCCAAGAACACAACACAATGACCCGGCCAGGTACTGGATCCGAATCTCCCAATACGGAATTAAGTGTTCCTTACCTTGAAGTCTTGAACTACGTTACTGTGCGCTTTTTGATTTTTGATAATCCCTTCTCGTGTTTTTCATGTTTCAGGGAATTGAAGGATAATCAGCTTACTGAGTTTCCTTTAGAACTTCTCAAGAACTTAACTAAATTATCTACTCTGTAAGTAGAAAATCATGGTTGTGTTTAACTTATTTTTACTATTTCATTACTTTGTCACCAAAGCCTCGTCCCATAAGTGTATTATACTTGTGTTGGAATACCTGAACCACCTTGAAAGAGCAATTGTTTTCATAAGTGTCGAGAGAAGTAGAAGATTTTATTGGTTTTGCTCAACTTCCATCTGTGATTTCTTCAGGAAACTCGCGCCATTTTCTGCACCACTCAGCTTCAAAACTTATCAATCGCAACATGGACAACCGCGTTTTCCCGCGCTTTGAGCAGTTTGCTTGTTTTCACTTTGAGTTCTTATTGGCTCTTCACGGTATTTTCCTTTGCTCTCTGATTGGCTCTTGTGATTCCTTTGGTTTTGGTTGGACGACGCTCCAATGAAAAGCGCTCTTGTTCTACCATGCTGATAAAGTATGGTACAATGTCCTTCAGACACTTTCATTATTTTTCCTTTTGATAATTAAGATCTGGCATTGCAACCGTTGTCACCTCGGCAGAGTTTTTGTGGCTGCATCGCATACTTATACCCAAACATAATTTTTTTACTACAGCCCCTCATCACACAATTGCACCATGCGAACGTGATCTGAAGGTTTCATTGTTATTTTTTGCAGTCTTTTGGATGGCAATCTTTTCACCACGATCCCCTACGAGGCCAAGGAGATATTCGATAACATAGCCCAGCACCAGCGTTCAACTATGTGAGTACTTGAAAATGTTCTGCAAATTTAAAATCTATCGAACAAAAAATCGGAAGTGAATTACGTTTGCGTTCAAGAAACAACTGGGAAAATACATCGAAGATTTCGAAACTCGGATCGTGTGACGTTCTATAGTTACAATTATTATGTGTAAAATACGTACGATCTGGGATTAAAAGGATCACTGTTTTATTACATTAGCAGAATCATACTGAAAATGATCGAATTTTGAGTATCTTTAAGTGCTAAGGGATAATGCTTTTACTTCGTAAAAATCGTTCATTTTAGGTGCAAATTGTAGATATATCTTTCATCTTCAAGAGGCCGTGCGTTTATTTAGAAATAAGCACTTCTAAAACTCAGAAAAGTGGGTTTTACGAAGCCTAGTGGGCAATTTTGGCCTATTCTTCTCTAAGTTAGAGCTCTTTCGCTCTTTAAAACGAGGTTGCGTTCAATTTGCCCCTATATCAGTTATATTTGATTAATGATTAATGATGTCCACGTATTCTGCCCGATGTGACCCTTAGCAGAAAACCGAATCATCAAAATCGCTGTTACAATAGTTGGTGCTAGTTTCTCCTGTACAATGCAACTTTTTCCCAATTTATTTCAGTAAATCTTTTACATAACAGTTTTAATGTATTTAAACTTTTTCTTGCTTCAACGGTTGAAAGAATGCTGACATGTTTATGTTGTGACTTCAGTTTGGCTCTAGACTGATCAGTTATATTATTGCATACTTTCGTCGTGTTTTGCGGCTTATGTGAATGCAAAAAGCCAGAACTGAACTGTTCAGGTTTCCACTTAACTTCCCCTCAGCACTAAACAATAATGGTTGATGCAGCGCAAGTAGTGCTGGAACAATGGCTGGGAAGAATAAGGAAGAAGTGGCATTAACAATTACACCATGAATTCTTCTGCACATGACATTATCTCTTCCATGAGTCAAAGCATATCCGTTGCGAAAAAAAAAAGGCGTTTATGAAAAACATATAACGAAAGGCGTTTAAATGTAGCACTGAGCTGACTTAAAAACTACGCACTCATTACGTGCGATCTCTTGACGTTTTGACCTCGAAGAGTGACTAGCATCTAATTTCTCCTTACAATATCATCCCTGAATCACACATTAAGGTCATGAGAATAAAGGAAATGATCTCAAAGTCAAGGGACTCTCGACCATTAAACAAATTTTCCTTGTCAGTAATTTTCATTGTCTCTTATACAGAGGGCTTTCCCGTAATCCACTGTTGTGCACCCAGGACCTCAAATGGCTTCAGACTTGGATTGACCTCCATCCATCGGTCCACTCTGTGGACGAGGTCATGTGTCAAACACCTGTTGGTAACTGGAGCAAAGTGGCTACTTTTAACTTCAGTCTCTTGGGTAAGATTGTTTCTTTGTTTCTGGGTCTTTCTATAAATTTGCTCGATCGCGTGAGTACAGTTGAACATCCGGTGCTACTATGACCCGAAGAATACTGTTAGTGTCAGCTCATGGGGGGTGAAATTATTAGGGTGATGATGAGGTTTAAGACATTACTTGGTGTATGCTTGCACGGAGATTTCTATTTGTGGAGGTTCGCATTTCATCACTTTCTTGATGGCTCTACATTATCAAAGCTTAATTTGTCTTATTCCAACCGCGCCCCTTTTGAAAGGTTTCCTCTGTCATCTGATTGCAAATGAATGAACTCTTAGTCCACAGAGGAAGCTTTGTCGCCGAAATTTTCATTTCTAGTTAGGAATCGACAGCTTCCATCATGCTGTTTTTATTTATTGTTTTTATCCCTGCAAATTTTCAGAAACAAATCCATGGCCGAAACCTGGAGTGATAAGCGAACATACGACTTCGTCTACACTATCATTACAAACCACATATACGTCAGCATTCATCAAATTAGCCGCTACGTCATCAACTACATCACAGGCTTCCACTATGGTCACGTCATCAATTATCTCACCGGCTACGTCATCAGCGACATTAACTACGTCATCAGTTGCATCATCAAACACCATTACGCCTTCCCCTTCCTCCTCGTCAAATTCTGCATCATCGACGACAGTCGTCACAAGCCCTCCGGAAACAACAGAAACACCAAATACATCTAAAGAGACTGATGACGTAACCACAATCTCTACAACTCAAGAAATTACGGAAAAAAGTATTCCACCAAAATCGTCCGACACTGTGACTGCGGGCTCAAAGGTAGATGTTTCCACAACATCAATCGAAAAAGGTGAGCCAGGTTAATCCTCTAACTCCCAGGAGTGACTAACATAGAATTTCTCCTTACAGTATCAATACGATATCAAGCAGGAAAGTGATAAGAATTAAGAAAGAGACAAATTAAGGGAATTTTAGTTGATCCAATACCAAATTCTTAATACTAACGACATAAGAAATATATGGAGGACAGTAAGGAGAATTAATAATGAGATCTTGGAAGTGAAAAGGTTAAGGCATTTCTCTATCATTCATCAAAATTCTAGTAATATTCTTCACTGTGTCTATCGGCTTTAGTTGCTCAAATTGACGGAAGTGGGCAGTGTTACTAGACAAATTCAAAACATTTTCGATTCGTTTTTTTTAATCAGAAATTATGAGGGCACTCGGAAAACGGTGACGACATCACGTCGTTATCAACTTCTAACGATATCCCAGTAAGCTCAACAAATATTGGAATATAATTTTGTGTTTCCCATTGATTGAACAATAGCTGACACAATTATTACTCAAAGTTCAGACGCAGTGACTGTTTGAGTTGCAAGCAGCCGCGATGACAAGATGATTTTGAAGGAAGAGAATATCAGAACAGTCACAATTAAAATTACTTTTATTTATAAGCTAATGTATCCACAGCACCAGTATCAATTGTGTACACTAAACAAGAATTCACATAAACCCACAATATCTTATTGTACCGGAAATAACTTGATGCAATTTTACACTACAGTGATAAAATTCCACAGAAAAATTAATATCGACTTTTGCAAATGATGCTGTTGACTATAAAGGTTATGTAAAGGAAATAAATTTTAAGCAACTATCTTCCGAAATTTCGAACCTTATATACAGTCCGTTTTTCCTTTCTTTCCTCTTTACAGGCCCACCGGCGGTTTTGTTAAATTTATTATTAAGAAATTATGGATAGATCTCAGAGATGCCAAGTCTTCATTTTTCTGACGGATTTTTTTTCCAACCTTATTAATTTAGAGAGTGCCTCAAAAGGAAAGCCATTAACCAGGAATCAAGAAGTAATTCTCTCAGCTTCCCTAGTCAGCGTTTGTATGATTGCAATAGTTGCTGTCGCGATGTATTTTTTCAGGAAAAAAGTACTCGTCCGTCAGAAAGCGTAAGTAAATCAACAGTTTTAAAAAGTCCTCCTACGAACGAGTTTAGCCTAGCACTGAGTCAGACTTATCTGGGAGAATATTGCTATAACTTCGCTATTATGGCAGCTGAGGACTGGCACGTTTTCATAAGAAACTCCTGCAGGTTTTATTACACATCGAGAACGAACGTCGCAACCACGTGACCTAAATGAAGACTGAGACTGCGGCGATGTTTTGAAGGCCGGCAATCTAGCAACCATCTGAGACTAGCCTGTAGAGTAGGCCCTCGTTATCAGCCTCGGCCCTAGCGTCCTGAGCAAAACGAGCTGGCACCGATGATAAGCCGGACCCAGACCCTTTGCAGACCTATCCGTGACTTCCTTTGTTCGAGGGCCCATTCGCAGGCTATCTGGAATAAGATGGGTAGCCATTTATGTCAAAATTTCGTTAAGATTCGCCGTTGAATTTAAATGCAGTTTTATGACAAGTTAGTGCGAGAAGAGATCGACAACTTAACTTTGATAAGAATGTGAAAATTCTATACCATTTAACCCGCAGGAGTTTTTAACTTGTTATTTTACCTCTCAATTTTAAACCATTATCTAGCAAACAGTGCAGAGAATGAACAGCTTATCAGCTCAAGGATGTTCTCTTGATCTAACTCATATTCTCCGAAGCGACTTGTAAGGAAATATACGTCAGCCTGAAGGGAGAATCTCTTACCAGATCTTGAGTGACCGATGTTGTCTCTTTTCATTTTAGAATCAATGCAAGGCTTCCTAAGATGATGTACGATCGTGTGAATGCGGTGTAATTGAATGAAGGATGAGAAGCGCTATGAATCACGAAGTGATTGCTATTTCCAGCACCGGGTCTGGAAATGCAACAGATTAGCTGAATATATCTTCCAAAGATAGGATTAAATAGAAAGAGCAACATTAGCTGAGCCTGCTACAGCTGATAAATTCGGAGAGTGGGAGAAAGAGCAAATGCTGACAGAGAACGGCACGGTAAAATAGAAAAAAAGACATTGAGAAAGTTAAAACCACAACATTAGCGTTGCCAGTGAAGAAGTTGCGTTATTCGTTGCATAGAACATCGTGGTAAAAGACGAACACAAACCGCTCCTACATGGATTTTTATCAAGTATTAAAAATCATGAATTTTCTTTAGCCATATTCATAACAGTGACAGCCGGAGATGCGACATTCTAATTATTTTTTTTTTTTTAATTCTAGTATAGTTTAGAGATACTGTTTGAAAAGTTTTGAGAAAACAAACTGTATGTTATACATACTTATGTGAGGTTCAATAAAAATTTATTTGGCCCTTAATTTGATAAGGGGTTTGTTGATATAGAATGGTCTCCATTTTTTTTCTCGCCATTTTTAGAAAAAAAACGTGTGGTGTTGGTTTAGACTGACCTACTTATAATAATCGCGCAACCGACTTGGCTCCGAATATGCTCCAAAGATTTTTAACTTTTTAAATAAATGAATTATATTGAGCTGATTGCAATGAGATATTAAAAAAATTGGATTCATTGGCCTCGTCTAGTTATTGGCTTGTAAAGCTCAAAATAAGGATGTCTGGAAGACACTCTATTGTCGCAATTGAGTTGCCCATCATTACGAAAAATAATGAAATTAAGTGTTAGAACTTTAATCATATTTGGCTATTCAGATACTTTTCATGGTGAGGAATAAAAATTTAGATTCCTATTAGAAAAGCAAAATTTTTACCTCTGACGTTAATGAATTGTGGCAAAAAGCGATGTATTTATAGACCTTAATTTCACAGTCTCGTGAAAACGAAATTAGTTTCCATAGAAACCAGCGTGACATTGCAGAACACACGCACTTCTCGGGGTCACGGTCGTCATTTCGAAGCTGAACAACAACAGCAATGGCCTAGTTTACAAGGAAAGAAATGTCTACAGTGGCACAATGTGTCTCTGGCTTCGGCCAGGGAGCAGACACATCCGCCGTGCTCACAAATCGTTCAAAATACATCACCATTATAGCAGATGAGCCGTATTTTTCGCGGCATTCAAGATGTAATACTTTTCCACAAGCGCGACATAGGAAGGGAACCAGACCAATGCACAAATCCACGCTAACTTACGAAGTAAAACCAGTTAAGACTTCGTATGTCAGCTGTATGAAGTCGGTAGGTAAATATTTTTTATCCTAACAGCGTGGTGAGACAGCTGTGTGTTGTTTAGTTTCACACGTTGTATGAAGCGGCAAAGCAAATAACACAAGTGTTTTCAATCATCTGAATAGGTTTCTTATGAATGAGTTGTATTTTTACGCTGTCAAGTGTACTCCTTGTATATAAATATTCCCTCTCGCGGTAATGATTACTCTTCTTCAGATGAGAGCTTGTATGTTTTTAGTTGCGGCTTTTAGGACGCAATAACCATTTCGTGATCTACTTGTTCACAGCAAAGGCGAATGACAGCCACAGTCAATATATTATAAAGTTATTGCTTACCTGACTTTTAAATCCCACATATTAAATCTACAATTCGACGAAACATAATTGACGTAATTTTTTATTTCACTATGTGGAAGAGTGATGGATTTAAAATGAAAATAACAAAATTGAAATTTCCGATCGATCGTATTCCTTATTTCGGGGGTCTGGGAATTTTAAAACCACAGAGGTATGGTATCGCTCTGACGAAGGGCTTACGCTCGAAACGTCAGCTTTTTTACCCTTTACGGTGGCTAATTTACGTTTTCAACCCAGTTGTTAACACTAAATTACCTGCTATCCGAAAGTTATGTTGGTTGAAGTATTTGGCGTGCTTTATAGAACTTTCCTGTCCTTCAGACGTACGTAACCTGTTTTCCTTACTTTTTTAGGCCTGACCTAAGAATCACTGCCTTGCATACATGTGTCTTAAACACCATACTCTTTGGCAGTACACATGCTGTCTATTGAACCAATTTACATCTTTAAGGCACTGCTCCCTTGTAAAAATGTGGCATGAAGAGTTTTTTTATATAAAATAGTGGTAGCCGGTGACACCTTTCTCTAAGACAGGAACTGAATTCTGCAATTTGTTCACTTGGAGCCTTGCATAGCACTAATTCAAGATTTGACTTAATTTTTTTTTTTGGTTCTCTTGTACAAAATTATTTGGTAGGGCTCACTTATGGCTAGGTGATCTTGTGTATTATAATAGCAGCATTAAAGAAAAGCAATACAAAGGTTGCATCTGAACCTTTGTGCTAATCCTTGGATAGCTAAAACTTGTTCTGTTCAACTGCTCCACATTGCTGTTTCTCTCTCTACTTTCTTGCTCTCTTTTCCTTGCCTTTTCTGATATTTGATGGAGAGAAAATGGTCCCTGCAGTAGCATGCAGATGAGACTCTCTCTTTAAAAATTATGAAAATTATACCATTCAAGGTGATTATTTTCAGACATAATTTTTAAGAATTATTTTTTGTGCAACTGGTTCAGTGTTGTTTCTCCCTCCAATTTTCTTCTCCCTCTCTCTGTCTTTTCTTTTCCTTCCTGATTTTGGATGGAGAGAAAGTGTTCCTGGCATTGGCATGCACAGAAGACCATTTCTTAAAAACATTTGAGATATTATCTTGTTTTGATTTATTTCTCACAGAACTTTTCTGGACAAAAGAATTTACAACCTAGTAGGAGACCTCCTCCTTACCCATCTCAGCACACATCACACTTCAGTATTGGAATTGTACCAGGACATGACCTTGATACACACTCTAGGAAGACATTTGTGAGGCATCATACTAGTCCAGTAAGTGAAGTACCTGTGATACATATTATATTAAATGTTATACACTTAATATATGGTCCTGAGAGAAATAGTTAGTTTTGTTTTCTCGAGAGTCCTAATGTTTCCTGAGACTTTGTTTAACATTTAAAATTTAACATTACAAAAACTGTGTTCAATCTCTTCACAGGAAAAAAAAGTAAAGAATAACTTTTTAATCTGCACTGTAATCCTTAGAAATTTATACTTGAAAAATAGCAAGACACTGGAAGTTTAAACATGAATCTGTTTTATGTAGTATTTACATTTGATCTACAGTAATTGTTGTCAGCTTACTGTAACTTAAAGAATATTATTTGAATAAATGTCAAATTAGAGATCCTAAAAACCCAATGAGCAGTGCAGCTTTGAACCAAGTAATTATGGAAAATGGTAAGGGTTGTTGAGTCCACTGTTTTAGATCCTACATGTTATACATTCAGTAACATAGCATCATTTACAGGCCAAAGAAATCCATGAGGATAACATCAGATGGAACAGACAGATGGCAGGAATTGATATGATTCAATCAACAAGACAGCAAGGTTCTCAGGAGGTAATGCTCCAGAGGGATTGGGAGGAACTTTCACAGAATTTTTGTTTTTGTTCCACATAGTTTTTCTAAATATCAATATCACATTAAAAAAAAACGAATACATTATGAAATTTTGAACAGTCAGTTGCTTCTAGTAATTGTGAAATTTAAGGCCATTTTCAACATGTAGACTAATGTAATCCTGAATTCAGTTGGTTCTACTGCACTGTTTACAAGTCATCCTCTCATGGAGAGATTTGAGGAAAGTGAAAAACATTGATCATTGACCAAAACACCTTTTTTGTTTCAAGATACTGTAAATTAATGACCAATCATTTACACTGTTATGCACATTGTTTCAACCAGCTGTGTGTCTTTTTTTTGTGCAGATGAATTTCTCAACCACTTATTGCAATGTGCATGATTTACTTGGAAGACAACAAGGCCCTGGGGTTAGGAGAATTCCAACAATTCCTTATTCTTATAACATCATCACAGGTAAAGAAAAATCACTACTCCTCATAAATGCTGTCTCTTATTTTCAAGACAAAGTAGTCAGAAATTACAACTGTTTTTAGTTCCCATATTCATATAAGATTTGATATAGGCTAAAAGAATTGTCGTGATGTTTATGACAACAGCAACTTTTGAAATTGAAGACATTGTCTCTGCCTTGCGGTGTGTCACTTTTTCTCTTACCACAATTTGATGTCAGTGGTGATCTCTTACTGAACAAGGGCAAAGCAGCATGGAATCTATTGGTTAACCCTTTACCTCCCATGAATGACCAAGACAGAATTTCTCCTTTCAATATCAATACAATATCAACCAAATAAGTGATGAGAAAATAGAAAAATATCAATTTGGAGATAACTGGTTGATCCAATTCTAAATTCTCTGAACTAACATTAAAATAACTGTATGGTTGACAGTAAGGAGAATTACAGATTTGATATAGGAGTTAGAGGGTTAATTGTTAGCCAGAAAATCCTGGCTAGAAGCTGGAAAATTCACTTCTCTCCTAAAGGCATAATAAACGCCTTAACAAATATCAGAATATTCAATAATTATTTACCAAAACCTGAAGCATTCATAAAATCACTGATAACATTACAGGTGAGCCTCAGTCAAGTCAGTTGGGAGATGACTTAAAACTCATATCTGGGAACAGAATTCTGAGCAGTGCTCGGCAAAGTGATGGAGAACAGTCTATTCTTGGATAGAAATCCTCAATCCAATTTACTAAATAACGAAGAATGGTTCATATGAAGACAAATTTGCACTTAAACACTTGTAGATTGATGCATTCTTACTTTATGGTATTCAAAGTCGAGGTCCTGGGAATGTTGGACTTGGTAATTTCATTGTGTTGTGTTTTTCAATGGCCTGTTGTCAATTTACAGCAAAATTGTGTAACTACATAGCAGAAAAAGAAAGGCATGCCACTTTATGGAATTAAGTTATTTTTTTTCAGACCAGCAAGTTAGTTGAATGTAATGAAGGCAATATTTTGTAGGCCTTGTGAAAGAAAATTTGGGGAAAATTATCAATTTTTTAAACTGTTGTGCTACACTTAAGGAAAGTTGTACTTCTCTTATTTATGGAATAAACCCTAAGTATTGTGTGCTGAACAATGAATAGTTCTTCGTAATTAAACACTTCAACGTCAAGCAAGCCAGAAACAACCCACACATAGAAAAAATGAGAGTGAAAAGGAACAGGTGCTTAAAGACAGCGGGGGGAGGCTTGCGCGTCATACTTCTAGAAATCCCTTGGGGTATTCAGACCTAAATTAAGTGATTTCCCGTAACTTGAACAGAATTTGGTTCTGCCAAAAGAAATCCTAAATCAAGAGCCTGGTTTCAGCAGACAGTGTACAAAAGCGGAGCCGATTATAGACCCAAGTCGTTGAGTCTAAATTTCACACGTAATACTTTTGGCTATACAGAACAATACAATACACCTCTCAGCGCAGTAGTTCCTCCTCCCCCTCCCCCTCCCTCCAAGTTTGTACACATATATCCGTGAACTACCTTCCCTTTGAATTCCCGCTGGAGGATCAGCACTCTTTCCTATCTATGGCATGGATCATCTCATTAGCTCCTCCATTATTTTGGGCGTCGCCCTTGCAATTTCACGTGACGTGTAAATTGTTGCTTTCTCTGTTGCTTAAGTCAATCTCCTTTATTCCCCGTGCTTTGATGAACGAGGTCTATACTATTCTTATTGGAAATACCTTTCCAAAGGTTTTTTGTGCAGGAGAAAGAACATTCCTACCGTCCCTCTCCTTTCATAGTAAAATAATGATTGTGCGACTCACGCGGTGATTTGAATTGCAGATTTGTTTAGACTTATTAGAATTCACTTCGGCTGTATCGGGATGATTGCACGTGGAGCCTCGTAGAACTAAACTTGGCAGTTTGGTCTAAAGCTGCTTACTTTAAATAGCAGTGTTTTTGCCGGATAAATCCTTGGTTTAAATGCATAGGACGGTACTAAATCCTGAAGGTGAAAGTTGAAATGTCGAGTGGTCGCCAACATTGGGTTTTGGTGTGCAACATTCCCGACACGTGTTGAAGCCGGCAACGGCAAGTGGAGAAGTCTTCTGATTTTCTTTGAGCTCAGTTAAGTTTTTTCTTTTTATCTTTTTTCTTTTACCCTTCGATGTAGGTTACCGATGTGCTTGTGAGTGTTTGATCAGCGTAAAGCTTATTGTACAAGAATGATTTGAAGTGTTTCTCTCACTCTGTTCGTTCGCTTGAATTTTTGTTCACAAACTGAGCGCTTCATCACTTTCATTAAATTATTTATTATTTTCTAGTCCAAAGATTTAGCTTTGAGATTATCTCGTGAAACTTTCAGATTATGTCATGTCATTGTAGTAATATGAAACGAAATGGTTCAATTTGGATTTTGAGGAGAGGCAGGCAATATTGACGTGCAGATTAACGATTCACATAAATAACATTTTTCCGAGGGAGGTGCTTCGTATAGTTTTGTGATAGAATAGCAAACGAGAGGCTTTGTCTCATTAACCAAGAGTTAAGAGTCTAAACTGGTCAGTATTGATCGAGTCTATCCCAATACATCTCGTATTAACTTTGAAAAGCTGAAATATCCTAAGAATTTCACCATTACTTGGAGAGGTAAATGTATTTCAGTTAAAAGAATTGTGACGGATAAATTTTTAAACCCTTTACACCCTAAAATCAGTATGCATATTCTCCATACTGTTCTTTATACATTTCCTTTGGTACTGACAAGGAGAATTTGCTTGAAAATCAAGAGCTTCTTTACGGAGTTAGTGATCATTTCCTCCATTCTCATGGCCTCAATGTTTCAGTGATTCAGGGGTAATATTATGAGGAGAAATTAGATGCTTGCCACTCTTAGGAGTCAAAGGATTAAATTTTTGTTATAGGCATCAATCGATTACTTCTGTCAATTTTATGCTGGGGTCTCCTACCAGAATGAGACTTGATGGTTATGTTCATTAAAACCATGTTTCTCTGATTGTTACGATTTTTGCAAGCTGCTCTTTGTCGACATACTGATTTTTTTTTTCATCACCCTTCAGGCAATTGCAACTGAAACAGAAAGGGATGGCAATAGACCATTAACAAGATCAAGGTCGTAGAGAGACATTACAGTCAATACAGGTCAGTTTGTGGTTATTTGTATGAGTTCACGTCCTTCGAAAGCCAGTAAACTCTTCTTTGCCAGTCAGTGTGATACTAATTTGTAGGCATGTCATTCAAGCTCCTGTTTAAAACTGTGTTCTGAATAATGGGAAGATTGTTTCAAAAAAGAAATGAAAGAAAGTTGGAAATAAAGTGAATGATTGAGTTAAAATTTTTCAGCATGAGGTGAAAAAGGACATTTTGTTGTAAACAAACCAACTCAGGAATACAGAAGGCCGATGATCGTTGGCGTCTTGTACCCTTTTGCATTCTATACCATTTTAGCGGATGATAATTAAGGAGTTTTCAATATAATGTTTTGAGGTGCAGTCGACCTGTATTAAGTGGCACCTTAATAAGCGGTCACCCTGTATTAAAACTCCGTCGGTTGTCAAAGTCCCGAATTTGTTTCCCTTTAATCACTGTAATTTTCACCTCTATTGCACGGTCACCTCCATTAAGTCACCCTTTACTGAGTCCCAACAGCCTTTTTGTATTGCCCTTCACCTGAATTAAACGGTCACTTAAAGCGGAATCACCCAAATAAAACTAAGAACAATCGTTCAAGTACTTTTCATTCCATGTTTCTCTCCCAAAATTAAAGTAAGTAGTATTTTTTTTCTTTGAATTTAGTGGTCAATTATGGTACAAAATTAGCGTTGTGTATGGTTTTTTATTATACCCCTGACTTGTGGAACCTGTATCAAGAGGTCAACCTATGATAACACAAAAATTGTCGAGGTCACTTCGAGGTCTCGTTTCCGAGGACGTTAATAGTGTTTGCGACAAAAAATTTAATTCGTTTTCTCAGGAATGAGGCAGTCTGAACTATAATGAAATTGACTGCGTGAAATTGTAACAAAACGAGAAAACCTGCTACCACCATCAATGTCAATTGTAGTCCGCCATTTTGAGTCTGCCGCAAACTCTAAAGATCGCAGGCGGAAAGTGCTCTGCTTCGTTCTATCAATTGTTTACAAGAATAAGCTTTCCGGATTCACAAGTTTTCGGATTCGAAGATCCAACTTTAAATTTCGGACTCAAAACCTCCGGAGACACGACCAAAGAAGGAACGTTTTACTTCGGATTCGTCTACGTGTGCGTAACAAGCGAAACGAATCCGGATCAATTTCTACCAGCGCGAACTTAGTCTCATGAAAGGATACGTGATGATTGTGTCATGATGTAGATTTTAGTTTCCAGTGAGGAAATCACAGATCTGGAAAAAGAACAAATACATGAACACAAAAAAATGATATATTGTCTTATATTGTCTTTGATGTATCAGAAAAATAACAGATTAAACACGTGTCTATATTTACGAAAAATTACAGTAAGAATAGATAACCTCACGATCGTGGTTTTTTTGTCTGAAGCTAATGAATATACTATATCCTTTGTCGATCTGGGGCGAAGAACGAATGCAATCGAGAGAAAGTAGAATTTAGAAATTGCTAACACTAACCAAGTCAAATATTTATAAGCAACCATTCTGCTTGACTGAGCACAGAGAAGTTTCTTCGGCGTCAGGTTGGATGAAAATTGTGTACATTTATAAAGCCACGTCTCATTTATATTTCCATTGTTCTGCAAGACTGCGGTCATCCAAACATGGAACTTGCAGATAATATTTATGGATGTTGGAGTGGTTAATGTATTGAATAAATAGCCGAACGCAAATCACTTCAGTTGGATGTGTTTTCGACGACGCATTAATTCCCTCATTTCATTTTTTTTTTTCAGATTTGAAAGTTGATGCCAAAAGTTGATGATGACGAAAGATTCAAGAAATCGATGACTGAAATAAAGTTATGCAAAGGTCCCGCTTATGTATAGATATTCGTGCATGTGAAAAATTATTCCTAAAGAAGTATTGTTTGCACTTTTAAAAGAGCCAACCACCAATTTGAAAAAGTCTTTTGGCGGGAAAAGTTTTACTAGGAATGTCTTGACAAAAAAACATAGAAAGCGGCCAAAAAAACCCAAGTCTTTTGCCGGGAAAAGTATCATAAGAAGTATCGATGAAATCACAAGAAAAAAAAAACGAAAAAAAAAAACTAAGTCTTTCGGCGGGAATTTTTTGGTCCATGGAAAAAAAAAGTCTGCCTTTTTGAATTGTGTCCGATGTTGATCAAAATATATACAATGGGTTTTTGTAGGAAAAATCGTTTATCGGGCAAATGATTTCCTCCTATCAGAAATGAAGTGTATATATTTTTAAACACTAGACGCTGTTCAAATTCGCAGAAATTTTTTTCCCCTCGGCAACCCTCCATACGCGAAAAAAAGTAAAAGAGAGCCTACATTTTGATTTGTTACCAGGCCCTTTAAAAAGCGCCGATTTTTTTGGTTTATTTGTACACTCCAAAGAGACAATAAACAGATGAGAAATGGACAATACTGTAAATAACGTTTATTTTTTTGTAAGTTTATTGACTTAAATTTGACACCATTCTTAAAAAGCAATAATATTTGCAACATCTGACAAGCGTGAGCGAGCATTACAAAACCACTTTAAATTATCAACGGTTTCATAGCTGAGACGAACTTGCTGATTCACAACTTGCATAGTTAAGCAAGTTAACAACAGATTACCTACTTTTAATGTGCGATAATTAAGTCTGATCAGTGTTTTGAATTCGTATCGAATAATTTGAAAATAAAACATCTAACAAGTAAATTAAGACCTCCGATATCAATTTAATTGTTACGATGACGTCTTTCTAGTGAATATCTTCACAACAAATAAGTGCAATTACCACTGAGAGAGACGTTATCAATGCCAAAACGTGACAGAATTTCCACTACACCAATTCGAGCCAGCAGCAAATAACTTGTCATAAAGACGCCCTTAATTTTACATCCAAACTGAAAAAACGCTTCTTAACAATTTAACCCCATTTCTTGTCAAATCATTTCTTTTTTGCCTTGTCCTATTAAATCGGTTCTTAAAAAGCAAACCATTTCGCATTTTGACGCGGAAGAAACATTTCTGAACACTAAGAAATTGAATCGGTTTCGATCTTATTTTGTTTTTTTTAAGCTTCATTCTTTTTCAGCTAGTATGCTGAATTTGTTTTTTCATAGCAATTTTTTAATCTGAATGGAAAATGTGGTAGGATGTACTAATTTACAATATTATTTTGTTACCTCTAAAATTTACTTGCAGGAGTCTTACTTCTCTTTTTGAACAACTTCACTCTTTTCATGTCGTTCTTGTGTTTTCGTTTATGATCCTCTTCAACAAGGGATTTTTATGGAACTGCAAGAAGAAGATACCAGAAATAAACATGTCAGAAAAAATTCCAATACTAAACTTATTTACAAAATTAAAGTAACTAAACATAAACGTGGCGAATGTCTCTGTGTTTCGCTCGGAAATTATAGAACAAAGTTTGCAATTAGCACATGTAAAGATACGAAAAGTGAGCAACGCAATTCAGAACACCACGACCAAATCTACACTAGCGCTTCTTTTTGTTGCTTATCTTTCCTTAGTAGTAGCCACATGTACGAGTAGCCACATGTACGTATTACAAATCTGTTTTTAACGACTAGAATTCTTTAACTTACCTTGGCATTATCACGTGCTGTCGTTTCCTTTCTGTCTGCTCCAATTTGCATACCTCCATCAAGGCAGTTAATCTAGAAGGGACAGAAAAACGACATTATTAACTATGGATCCATAGATTGTGTCAGAAAAAATTGCAAATTTGTTCGTTTAATTTCCAGAAATTCATTTAGTAAAGCTCCAAAAGCTAACACAGCTTTAAAGTTTTCTTTCTTGCGGCCAAATTTATTCTAAACATTATGAACACCTATTCAGCGAGAGTTGATGTGAATTTATTTCACAGCTTTTTATTTGACCCCAGTCGTTCATTTAAAGTTTAAATTTACCGCCGCTCAGCGAAGAATTTCCGTCGTGATACCAAGTTGAAAACTGTTCTTTGAGGAAATTTCCTGTCATTCTTCAAACGGAAATTTGAGTGCGTCATCGCTTGTTGAAATACTTAAACGGCTAATTTTCTCAAATTTATCTCAGGTATAACGCGAGCTACAACAACAAGTTGAACTCATTCTAATTTTCTACTTACCGCTTACTGTTTGGGGATTAGTTGCTAACTGTCAGCTCTTGTATAATCTTCAAGTGAAAGGAACTCCTCGATGCTTCCAGGTCACGTTTACAGATCTTTTTCCCCCGAAAAGTTGGACATTTCAGACCACGAGGAATTGCAGAATGTAAATTAGTTGAGGGAGTAACACGTCAAAGGTCGGTCCTAAGTATAAATCCTGGGAACTAGCTTGGTGTACATTTTCCAAACGAGGCTTGCCATGTTGCGGCGAAACTCTGTAAAGGATTTTAATACGATTGTTACTTTGGATTCTTATAAATTGCGAATTGGAAATTGCGAACTAAGCCAGAATGAAATAGTGGTAAAAAATAAGAGATGCGTTGTCTGGTATAAAAACCAACGAAGAGGAGATTAATAATGATCCAGCGACGCAATAGCTCCGAAGCACGACAACTTTCTTCGTCGCATGTTTCTAGCAGGTTCATTGAAACTGACCGTGCACTAGGTTCAAATGAGTTTTTATCATGTTGAACTTTGTGACCAGTTAAAAATTTTCCAGTAATGTATTCAATGACCATGTGTGACCAGGAAAATAAGATGTATGTGTGGTCATGGAGCCGCCAACACACACAGCAGCACCACTGTTTCATCCGTGATTTTTGTCGGCTTTAATAAGCATTTACCTTTACTATACTGAAAGCTTACCCTTCACACCATCACATCAGTATGCATATTCTCCATATTTTTTCCAAGTGCTTTTTTCAATTGGCATTTAACAGTCAAGAGCATCTCGAGTGGGTGGCCATTTCCTGCATTCTAACCTAATGTTTAATTCACCAGTGACAATGAGTGGAGAAATTAGATGCTAGTTACTCCTCGAGGTTTAAGGTTTAAGCGTGCAGCAGGAAGGCTTATCTGCATGCGCCATGGAACTCAATATTAGTGTACACACCAAACAAAATAGTAAGCTTGAGGGCCTGAGGATGAAGCATAATGATGACACAAGAGGTAAGGAGACAACTCTTTTTGGTTACATTTTATTAGCATATATGATGAAGAAATGAGTTAAACGGTTAACAATACAATTATTTTTAAAATGAAATATTCATCAAGAATACAACGACACTTTAAGTACTTGGCTTATCTCCAGCCGTAAACATCATCAGTTTTACATTATTTGTCGAAGGAAAAGGAAAAACTAAAACAGTAACCTTGTTTAATTTAGTTCTCAGAATTTACGACAAAAAATTAAGAAAAGAAACAAGAGTTGGTTCCCTAGTATCAGTAACATTACAAAGTATCAGCGGGATCGACCACAAGGATCGAAATACGTGCTTCAAAAAAGTCGATTGATAATATAATTGTAGTTTACTTAAGATCCTAAAAGTTCAGAAGTAATAGTTCCAGGGATAACTGTCGCGTAAATCTACCAAACGAGGAAAAGGGAAACTTCAATTAACCTTTTCCAAAACTCGATTACATCATTATCTCATAAAACCAACGAGTTTAACAGTTAACTGTTAAATTCCAATAAAAATAGCGTTTAATATAACCCAACACCACAGGCCCTACAAGGCTCATATTAGACAAGGTCCCAGTAACGATCTCAACAAAAGGACCACAAAGAGATGGTTGACATGCGGGCTGGAGATTAAAAACCTCCAAAGCCGGTTGGGCACAAATCGAGCTTATGCTTTAACCACAAAAAAATGATTTCAGGCTTACACTGCTGACAATTCATACTGTATGCCATACGTAACCTCAGAAAAGTTGGATGAAGCGAGAGTAACAAATTTGAAGACTCTTTAGGTTTTAATTGACGGTAGAGTTAAATTCCGTTACGGTAAAAGATGTTGATTTAATTTACGAAGAATACTTGCCGATGATTTTTGGCGACGATTTCGGAAAGGTTCGGAACAAGAAAAAAAATAAGCTAACAGATCGGATCCCCTTGCAGTTAATTTTATCGCCTCAGTGAAGCTGGTCTCCGAGAGGAAAGTAAAACGAATCTTGCGGAGTTGCTTTCGCGTTTTTTGGTGGAAAAGATTTGCGTCACAGGATTCTATCTAAATCCAACTGAGATCTTCCACACAAGACTGTTCTTGTTCTTGGAATGATGTTCATATGTTGGGGGGGTTGTGTGTGTGTGAACAGTTTCTTAGATTTATTATATTTGGCTTAAAAATCTACCAAATTGTCGATTATACATTGCAAACATACAGTGCCACGACGGCGCGTTCAGCACCAATTCTGCAAGGTCACTTTGTAGGTTACATGTTTTGTAAAAAATTTACTCAAACAAGAAACACTGACTGGCATACTACGAAGGAAAAGTCAACAGCGTAAGCTCCAAATCAAGAGTCAATAAAATCGACTTAAGAAAAAACATCTAAGAACAATCAACAACTAAAAGAATACGAAGCTAAAATAGAAATTCACCAGCCTTTCGCTTTGATGGAAGTTTGCTGCACAAACTGTGCTGGTCAAGTAAATCTGGTGAAATACTGCGTGCTGCAATCACGCTGTGTTTCTTTTCACAACGTAAGATGACAAAGGGAGATATAGTTCTCCTCGATAGAAGCGTGCTATGAAACTACGTTCGAATATCTAGTTTGCTACAGATAAAATTTTCCCTACAGTAAATGCCTCGGTGCAACATTTCTTATATTTGGAATATTTAAGTGGAACATTTCCAAGTTCTTCTGATGATCTTCCAACTTTATCAGCTGTAGGTACTTCAATAATCACGGTTGACGAAAACCCCCTCTCAAGGCTTCCGTTTCAGATGGTATGATTAGTTGCTTGTGCTGTTTGGAATCACTAATACACCTATGCAAATCTCGGATGTATAAAGAACTAAGAAGGAGCTATGTTTAATTGTTGCTCTTCAAATCACTATCTTAGGTTTTGCTCAAGCTTTTTTTTCAGATCTACGATAACTGATTTTTAGTTTGTCGACGAGAGGCTTTGGAACAATCTTAGTTCTAAATTCTTTAACTTTCAGGGAAATCGCTATTTCTTAATACCTTGCTTTTAGTGCCTCTGGTTAGTGAAATGAAAAAGAAAAAACGGTGGATTTGAAGTTCACTAAGCCAAGAGGTGTCTTCTAGCTAATTTCCCTCTCTCTACCACAGGCATAACAAAAGCCAGGAACATAATTAAACCAAGCTTGTGGCGCGCCAAACCACTTACAATGCATCGCCATTACAATTCAAATCTTTCTTAGTTGTGTAAGTATCACTACGGCAAGGTCGCCGGCCTGCCGTTTATTTTGAATGATAAATACTTGCTGTTGTTGTTAGCTACATGACAGTACGTAGCCTTAAGAAAGCTGACGAACGCGTTTACGCCTTTCTGTGATGCTACGAAGATGGCTGTGGTTGGTCCATGTTAGCTCCTCCTACTGAAGTGGATCATACACATATTGACAACTGCTTCCATGCTGATGACGTCACACCCATGCAGTCCACCCTTCATACATCTGACACAGATTGTCCACGCTCCGGGATTCACGGATAACAAAGTCAACCTAGGAGAAGACATTAACATCATCTAACAGAACACAAGTTCAGATATAGCGCTTATAACGATTATAGCGCTCCAAACATGCTTCGTGGCCATTAAGAACTTAGACGTTCCTTAGAAGAGTAAAAATACAACATAATGATATGACATAAATTAGAGAAATCAGAGTATTGAACTGTGTCCAGACAGGAGATACTCTAATCTTAATGAAGCTATATGTAATGAAGGCGAAGGCAAAACCAAGTCAATGCAAGGGTTTCATCAATGACATGTGGGAAGGGAGGGGGGGCGCAAGGGAGTTTAGCGGCATTGTCAAGTGCTTTTGCTAAAGTTTGCTTTACTGGCTGTGTTTCCCTCCTTACTCTCCCCCCCTCCCCCTCCACCTTCCTTTTGCGTGATTATCCATCCACACACTTGTTTGTCGGTGTTCTGTACTTAGGCGCCTTTCGAAGGGCTGTTGCCATGGTGACCACCTCGTCGCTATCATCACGGCACCTACCATTCTATGATACTTAGGAGGTATTCTATATCAGCTTAGAACTTTATCTTTAGTCCTTTGATTACCTGGTCAGCAATGGACATTTTCTTGTTATCCTGATCTCTACCGTCCAGTTTTGCTTTAACCCGACGCCACACACTGATAGCATAAGTGTTCCTCTCCTGAAGAGCTGTAACAGACAACAAGACTTTAAGTGTCGTGCTCTGTAGATAGGCTATAATATCAAGCGGGCGTTAAACCATGAACAATTTAAAACCCGTGGACGAAAGCGTAAAATAAGGTTTTGGCATAATCGTTTGGCTCACGATGTTGTCTTTTCCGATGAAGATTGCCACGTTTCGACTGCATATTACGGTCTTCTTGAGGCGATAAGGTCGACTAGATACGCGTCACATTCTGAACCATCATGCTCAGCTGTGACGAATGAATGAATGAGATCTTGAACCGAGCAAAACGAAGACAATTTCTGAACTATAGCCATTGCCTTCATTTCATTGCGAGCTCATGCATGCATAAAGCTTGGAAAAGGTAGTCATTGAAAGGCACGCCCTGTGAGTATTAAGCAAGCTCGGAAAAAGAGAGACGAGTTTCTTTTACCTTTGCCAGTTCTGGGATCTCTTGCTAGATTTGCCGACGAAATTCTTCTGGGACTTGCAACCGCCACGACCCTGGAAGAGGCAGTTGGTGAGCCAGCACCTGAAGGGCTCGCTGCCATGTCTCTCTGTAAGATGACTGGGTGGGGAGAACCAACATCCGATGATCCAGATTCCTTACTACTCGGTGTGACGGAGCCGCTGCCTTGACGAAGTGCTGGAGGATTAGGAACCAAATTAAGATAAGACAGTTAAACGTTTACAATTGCTGCAAATTCTACCCAGTTCCGAGGAGTTTTCAAAAGTTTGCCCGACTTCAAACCCTGATGGTTATAATCAGTATTCGATTTCAGATCAAAAGGGACCTGTAATGTCTGTTTTTTCGACAAACTATGTGTCGTGGGAATCTTCACGATTTCTCCTACCTGACGCAAAGGTGGGAGGAGGGGCAGCAATGGGCGTCTTCCCTCCACTGGCGCCTGACTCGTCTGGTACAAGTGGTGATGCCAGTGACAATAGATGGTCGTGAACCCTAGGAAATTTTCCAAGGTTAGAGATTTAAAGCAAAGTTGACTTACTTTCCATTTCTGACTTTTTAAGTGGTCGATTCCGGCTAAGAGTGACACGTGGAAAGCGTTTAATTTTGGTTTTTCCCTCCCCAAAGATTTTCTTTCTTTTTTGGTTTCTTTTTTTAGCGTTGATTCCTTGATCGCCAATTCGTATTGGATAGGGAAGGCCATTTTCATTTATTTGAAATGTGTACCAGTAGGAGATTAAAAGCCTTATTTCAATCTCCAAAAAGAAAAAAAAATTTAAGTGAACAGCTTTATCTACACCCTATAATCAGCATGCATATTCTCCATACTGGTCTCTGTACATTACTAAGGTGCTGATGAGGAGGATTTGTTCAACAATTAAGCCCTTCTTTACTTGGTGATCATTTCCTTTATTCTCATGACCTTCATGTTTGATTCAGAGGTGATATTGTAAGGAGAAATTAGATGCTAATCACTCTTAGGGGTTAAAAGGTTCAACCCAAAGTTACTCACCACTGAACAAGAGACTTGATGGACTTCACCATGGACTTAATGTCAGCAATGTTGTCTTCTATGTGATCTTTCCCATCACTGATCTTTCCACCACAAACTAAAGAGAACAAGAACACCTTACCACAAACTCAAAAACATCATTTCTTTACGTCTGGTAGAAATATCACCCTGCGTAGGTATAAGTTTGTAGGTTAAAAATCTTTCAAGCTCATTAGATTAGGGGGCACTAGAATTTCCTGGCCCGGGAAAGTAGCGAGATGCTTCAACTACTTCATCGTCAAGCTAGGCTAAACATCGCCCTCATGGTTTACTGAGTTTGTAAGCTGACAAATCTTTTAAGCATACCAGATTGAAGTGACCTATAGTGATGACAGAACGCCGACGTATAGTTAGCTTCATACCTGCCAGGATACTTTTAATAAGCTGCGCGCACTCTTCCGATTGGCGGTTATGAGTGGAAATAAACAGCTTGGCTTGGCGAGATTCTGCTGCTTCTTCGTCCTGAAAAACAAACAAACAAAAAACATTAAAATGCATGTTTGAAAAGCCAAGTTCTACAGTTCCAATACAATATATGAAATAACTCAAATTTGTTGCTCTGCAAGTCATCTCACCTTTGCCATAGTCGTCAACATTGACTTCACATCACCAATGAGCTGCTGATGAGCCACCATTATGGTTTTCACTGAGCTTGCCTGCGACTTGATCGAGTCCTTATGAAACATGACAGAGAAGTGACATCACAAACTGCTCTTAGTTACAAAACGCGTATTTGCACGGGAAAGTGTTAAGATGTTTGGGACGTTTTTCGTGATGATAAATTGCCTTCAAGTAAAAGAACATCGTGCAGTTATGTTTAGTAGAGGAAGCCAAAAACTAGGCAAGACATCCCCAAAATTGAAAAGGAAGTAATGTATTAAAAATAACGAATTTAAAAATTTAAGGCCAAGTTTATTAAGTTGAACGAACGTTTTGAAGGTTTAAAATCCACAAAATATAGAAGGAAGGAACACAAAACAGATAGCCAATTCGAAAAGAAAGTCTTTTCAAAACGTTTTAAGATTAACAAACCGTTTGTAGTTTTAAAAGCAAGACACGGATTACGAATGGCAAACTTAAGGACTAAGTTTTCAGGTTGAAGAAGTCATTTCAAGTTTTAAACTGAATACTCAAAATAATCATTGCTTCAGTATCACTTCAGTTACTTACTCTGTTACCCATGATAGCCTGACCGACTTGTGTCTTTCTAGCCTTGATGGATGCCATCTCTTGTCCCACAGTGTCTAACTTGTTCTTCATCCAGTCTAGAGTGATTGGTGCCTCTGGTGGATACGATACCTTTACTTTCTTTGCTACCTCTGTCACGTCGTGGAGCTTCTCAGAACAACTTTCCAGCTCAGCTGAACTTTGTTGACACCTAAACAATCAGCAAGATTCTTGATGATTACACATCTCTAAATAGGTTGACTGCTACAAAAAACGGTCAGTGTGATAGGTTGAGGCAAAAAAGGAGCGCATTCACCACAGAGAATGAGGAATTTAGCGAGGTAACGTCGTAAGGAGCGCAGTGGTAATTCATTGAGTTTTTCTTTAGAGAAAGTTACTTTAAAAAAATAAGAGAGTAAACCTGAAAAGTAATTCGATACAACGTACGAGGCACAAGTGGCTGTGCAGCGTGAAGCGTCGTAGTCGTCAATGTCATCAACGTGATCACTGTCATCATCACTTCTATATGTATGGAGCTTTGCTGCGCACCCTCTTTGCGCGCACTGCGGGCTCCGCTATCATTGTCATTATCATCATCACCATATCAATAAACACTATGAAAAATTCTCTTTCGAGATAAACAACGGAACAGTTACTTCAAGGAGAGCACCATTTGTTAGAAACTAACAAGCATTAATAACAGCAATAAAGTAATAATTAATATAGTACCTATTGATCAAAGTTGTCATGACTTTGTCTACGCCAAGAGCGTCTGCTGTGTGTGTCCGTAAGGCCTCGCAGTGTAGTATGGCATTTGACAAGCTGCAGATATCTGAGGAATGTTTACTCTCCACCTAGAAAACAACAACAAAGCAACAAACAGTTGCAGCAAGAGAAACACGTGCAAAGCGTGGACGAGCCTTTTCATGACGCCGAGACTGATCTATCCTTCTCAACAGAGATCTAGGTTGTCAAGTTTTTAGTACAAAAGGGTGGTGTCGAAAGTGGTACGGGATTGCAGTGGTTTTGCTCTACTGCGCGCCGTGATTGGTCGAGAAAATAACTCGCACCACCCTATCGGCAAATCAGATGCAACACTAACACCAATCGCGACATCGTCACTCGCGTTTTCCCGCGCTGGAGGTCGTAGCGTGCACCTTCTTTGAGTTCTTAGCTTTGTTCTAATTGGCCGTTGTCATAACTTTGGTATTGTTTTTAAGTCTATCAATCGAAAACCGCTCTAACTTACTATCATCAGCTTCTTTCTATCTGCTAAAGTTTGCTCAAAGTTCTGTAGCACTGGGTTCAATGCAGGGTTTGCTCCGGCTGCCCACTTGAGGCGTTGTTCAATACTCGACTCCTGAGCGCCTAACTTCTCTTCCACGCCTTTCACTACCGAGTCCATATGAATCAGCCCTTGGACACGCTACAGAAAAAAAAAGCAACCGTAAACAGTCATTAAGACTGCGGCTCTTAGAAATCAACACCTCTAGCAGCCTTACCTCGAAAATTCTCCCTTATCGCTCATAACTACGAATTCAAGTTACCAAGGAAAGAGAAAAAAGGTTCCAGTTGACCAAAAAAAAAAAAATAACAACAACAACTACTGACTGAAGTTGTGATTAGTAATGAAGCACGCTATGTATCAGTTGTAAGTACCGTTCAGTTTAAAATGCTAAAACAAGGCCTTTCCAATTGATTCGTAAGTGATTGCAATCTCATTCCACCCGTTGGTTGCGTCTGAAAAACGTCAGGCCTTACTTCTATGGATATCTTGAACAATAGGAAAAGGCAACTATCGAAAAAATAACGTATTGCTCAATACAATGCGCCTAACCTTTTTCAGGTCTGCCATAACAGTAGCTCGTGCTGGTGTGATCATGTTGTTACCACGCATCGGACATTGCAGCAAATTATCCTCGTATAGCCACTAAAAAGGCCGGAGTAAAAACAAAGATAGACATACTTCAAAGACAATTCATTCCTCTGCAAACAACATCACAACAATGCACGTCAAAGTAAAAAACGTAGTCAATGAAAACGTTGTAACTGTAGAACTCTACCTGAAATCTTGCCAGTTGAAGCTGAGCTCGCTGTACCACACCTTTGTAAATATTCATGTTGTTATCCAGACGTCTAGAGACAGACACACAGACATTAAAAAGAGTCACATAACTTGTAGCCCGGGAAAACGATACGTATCGTTGTTTAGGAGGACGACCTCCCTGAAAAAGCAGTCTGACAAAAGTAGTTTGGACTTTGAATTGTGTTTTCAGTGTTAGGACACAAATCTCGTAAGTAAACTGACTTTCATCCGAGCTCAAACTCAATTTCAGGATCAATATCAGTACCTGGGCGACTGCCCACCTACCCCTCCCCTAACCCAACAACAGTCTATTGATAACAAGTAAGGGTTAATGTTGGATTAGGGGAGGGGTAAGTGGGCAGTTGCCCAGATACTGATATTGACCCCAATTTCATAAGTCATCATTCCCAAAAAACACAAACATAAACATCTGAACCTAACACAAAATGAATCACAACAGTTATTTCCTCCATTTCTATTTACGTTCGGGTTTTGCAGAATCCTTCAAAACACTCAGATCCTCGAAGATGTGAACTTACTGATTCATACGGGGCAGGAAAGTAATGAAAGTAGTAAATGTCTTTAACCCTTTACACCCCAACATCAGTATGTATATTCTTCATACTGTTCTCTACACATTTCCAAAAGTGCTGACAAGAGCTTCTTAAGCTGGTGGTGATCATTTCCTTCATTCTCACGAGCTTAATGTGTATTTTAGGTGTGATATAGTAAGAAGAAATTAGACGCTAGTCACTCTAAGTAGTTAAACGGTTATGAGAACGTGTCGCAAAAATGCGGTTTCGTACTTAGCAAAGTCGTGTTTTCTCCAGGCTACGTCATAAGAACCTGTCAAGCTTGTGATCTGCGAAAGTTGCTTCGACTTGATCAGTCCACTGGAAACATTGCCATCAACAACCTTGTAATACAAAAAGAAAAAAAAGTAAGAAAAGTCCTGTGGATAGATATGAACAGTGAAACTTCTCAGTGATGCGGTCACCTATAATACTGATAGCTCCACACACATTTCATTTCGATCATACCCACCCTCTTGCAATAATCCTCCAGTATCACAGCATCTTCATCGTTGAGAAATTCTTTGTCTGCCTTACTTCCCAACATCGTCGCGAATTTGATAACCACCGCAGCCAGAGCCTGAGACGGCAAGCCCATAATGCATTGCTGAACGCAATCAGCGATAAAATGCTTCACATGTACTGCTAAGTCATCTTCACTGTAGCATTTGTCAGGATTCCAGACTTTGGTCTCAGCATGGCTGCTGTCCGAGTTCGTAAACAAGTTGTTCGACGGCTCAGCAGTGCAATTTGCTGCACCTGGCACGCTTCCTGAGCGAGACACACCTGAAACGAACGAACATGATACAATATGTTAGAGCACTAAATCTTCGTACTTTATAAAAGCAGAGGAAGGAGCATCTCAAACGAGCCTATTTTGATAACTGATGGACGATATGGTTGTTATTTGAAGGTTACGAATTACCTTTTAACGTCAAGGTAACCAGTCTACAGCTGTTGAAGAATGAGATGATGACTTCCAGCCTCTTGAGAAAAAACAACTTGCCCAGAAGTTCCGCATTTTTTGCACTGTTTGTTACCTGTCGGGTGAAGCCAACGTATATTAAAATGGTTGACAAACTTAAAACAATCAAAGTACTATTCTGAAATGCCAAACATAAAAGGATCTTCACCTGGAGTTTTTGGGCATCTCGCACTACATCAAACTTTGACGCACGCTTATCAAAGTGAACTCGCTCAAAAGCGGTAAACATGTCCGATAGTTCACTGGCAACTTTGGTAAACAAACCATTGAATCCAGCCAACAGCATCTGTCCGGATGTCATTGAACTGCTGCTGTCCTCACCTAATTATACACAACAAGGTTAGCCAAAAAAAAAAAAAGGCTTCATAGGGTTACCCTTGCATACGAGAGTGACTCGCATAGCTGTTGGTACTCATTCCAGTTTCTGTAGCATGAGGCAAATAGGAGTAATCGACTTCCCCTACATGGGAAGCTGGTCTAGCAAACGGTCACTCTCTCTAGTTTGGTCGAGCTTGGTTTCTCGACAGTTTTCTAGCAGCTATTTATACTCGTCAATGGAGAGAGGCACTACGCGAGAAAGACCTCTCGCTCAAGAACACAACACGGAGATCTTGGATCTTGGACCCATATTTTTCCGGGGTCCAACACGCTAAACATTAAGTTAATCATTACACTAGGCTTGATGCATGCCTTCGACAACGGTATCCCCTTAGAGCGCATTTATTAACACCTACATTCATTTAATACCTAAGAGTATTACAGATGTTGGCTTTTGAGAGCATAATCCGCAGTAGCAACAACTGACCCAAAGTATCCTAATTACATGTTCCTCCTTGGGTGATAATCCATTTAAGATTTGTATGTCAATGGGAAGTCTGTGAGAAGACAGCGACATCTCAGCAACCACAAACCCAATTTGCATGTACAGTTGCTGGTCTTTTCATTCATCACAAACGTCAGAAAACATTGGCTATAAAGTGTTTGAAACTACAAATCTGAAAACCCTGGATTATTGATGGTGTTGTACCTGAATCAGAGCCAGATATTTTGCTGGTCTGAAGAAGCTTCTCAAACTGCATGTGCACCTCTTGAATTACTGCATCAACTTCTTCTGGGCTGTGCTTCTACAACAAAAGAACGGCGACAGTGAGTAAGGCTGTCATCTTAGACCTTTCACCCAAAGATCTAAGAGCTTTTTCTCCCAACTGATCAAAAACATTCCTTTGGTTGTTAGAAATGGGAATTTCGCGTTCTCTTAAAACAGTCCATTTAATTTGATAACTTTCTTCGTTCTCGTTGCCTTTCTGCACGATATTGTAACACAAATGTGAAGGGAAATTCTGTAATGAGTGCTACTGTCTCTTTAGCAAAATTCCCATATCAATCTCCCTTATCATCTGCCATACATTTCTCACCATTTTTGCACTGAAGAATTGGTGTTAATTCAGACGAAATCTCCTTGTTGATAATTTTCTTCCTTCTCATCACCTCTCTACTTGACACTGCATTGATTATGTAGGAAAAATTACTTATTGGTCACCACTCAGAGTGAAAGGGTTACGAAAGGGGAATACTTGGGTAGAGAGAGACACTCAGGAAACTTTCTCCATAGAAAAATATTTCATTGAGTTTTATGGACTATAGAGATGGGAGACGGGAGACGGGAGGAAAGATTTCAAGAAATCTCCTTGAGCAGTATAATTTTTCCTTCACCTGTGCCGTCTCTGCAGAGGCGTGTCCTTCCAAAAGACGAGCCTCGAGGTTCTCGGCAAGTTCTCTCAAACTTATTTTCTGCTTGTGAGCTACAGTTTGAACCTGTTGTATTACAGCAAAAACATTCGGGTCTTCGCTATAGATGCTCTTAAATGCTTCTGGAACAATAATTGTCCTGAAGTTTGTCATCAGTTCCTGAAAATTAAATCAAAATCGTAATTTAAGACCTGAGAAATTCTGGCTTCATTCACATGGTTGTATATTTTTATTCGAACTAATGTTTTTCCACCTGATACACGTTTAATTATAACTAACCAGGATCAGCATTTTTAGCGCTTTAGTTTTTAAGATGTAACTAACAACCCAATTTCTGTTGGGTGCGATTCTGTTTCAAATGCAAACTTGACAAGGCGGTGGCAGAGCAGACCCCAGATGGCCTGAGGCCAAACAAAGCATCAGTAAGACACTGTATCAGCGACCCAAGCAGTTTACGTAACATTATCCGCATTTGAAGCCAATCTGAACTTTATACCGTTTTTGCTCTGTGCTTTTACCATGAGGAGACTCTAAGGAGTATTGCTTATTGCTACTTCCCCGTGAATCGATGCTAGTTTAACGCAGACAGCCCCCAGCACTTTCTCAAGTTTGCCTGTGTACTCATTTTTCATTCTTAGGTTGAAACAGGCACTGTGAGAGTAAAAAGCCCAGCCGACGAACACAAAACAATAACCGGGCTAAGCTTCAATCCTTGACCTTTCGACCCGGAATCCGGCCCCTCTGGACCACTGCATCTTCCATACTCGTGCAAACAACAACAAAAAATCTACTGTTTAGTTACTTAAGTATCTTCAAGATTTATCATATACCTGTAAAGCCATGAACACCCTCTGCACTGTGAAAACAGCTTTCATGGAGTTCTGTGCTTGCCCAAGAATGGCTTGCTGATCGTCTTTTACCTCCTGTTGAGTGAATTAGGTTTGAACTTAAAGTGCTGCTACTGCCGTCGCGTGACGTTTTCTTACCAAATATATTTTTTTATGCTGGAAACTGGAGTTTCAGAGTCCACTTTTTTCCGAAAGCATAATTAAAACGGGCTCGTACCCCCAAAAAGTTTTCTAAACAAACCTTTCCTTCCCGAGATGAGAATATTAATTTGCCAACTGATGACAATCTATTTCTTTTTTGCTTCGTACTGGGGAATTTGGATAAACATCTAAACAATATTTCTCAGATGATAATCTCAATTCTCAAAACTTGGCATATTTGAGTGTGTACTAGAAAGGTAATGAAAAATTTATGCACTCAATAATCCTGGGTGGAAAATGGTTAAGCCAAGGAATTTTATCCCTTACCATTTGATGATCCTTCAATAACAACAGTAGTTGATTGACATTGCCACTCATGGAACATAGCTCGTCAAGAAACCAGTCTCCTTCTCTTGATGTAAGATCAGATAACCTGTCTTTGGCAACTATTGGCGAACAAGAAAAAAGTAGTAGAATTTTAAAACATGGTTTTTGGCTAATAAATGAAACAAAGAATAAAAAATCTGACAAATACATCTAAGAAAACCATTGAGAGAGTGGCAGTTACCAGAAACTCTCCAGTAGAACACTCAACTCGACATAATACTTGACTTAAGGTTGATGAAAAGAAATCACACACAATCAGGTTTATGAAATCTTCTCAAGCAAAACTATTCATATTATTAATCTACTATCGCACATACACAACAGTCAGCAGAGCTGCTATCTACGTTTTAAAACCACAGTTTTGTTTTGTGTTTCCTTCCTCACCTTTCGCTGTGTTCTCCATTGCCAGACACCTCTTGTTCAAGGAACACAACGCAGTAATCAGTACACTGGCAAGACAACGGTAGGACGCAGGCTGCTTTCCTGGAAATGACAGCATGAGTTGTGACCATATGCACTCGTTAATAATAGAGATGAAATCAGCGAGAGCATGGTCTGTATTGAACACACATAATAAGCTCAGCCAAATTGATGTAATCACTAAGTGTGTGGTTAAAACTTTACACCCGCACATTAACGTCCCTATTCTCCGCATGGTTCGCTTTACGTTCCTTTGATCCTGACCAGGAGAATTTGTATGATAATCAGGAGATTCTTACATTCCTTTATTCTCGTGGCCTTCTATATTTAATTCAAGGGGCATAGTGTAAGGAGAGAGTAGACGCCAGTTACTCTTAGGGGTGAAAAGGTTAAAAGGACACGTGGCCGACACAAAACTATCCCCAAAACTGAACAGCTTTTTGGGTATTTTGAAGTCACTGTAGATCAATTTACCTGTAATGTACTTTTTCAGAGCAGCATAGGCTTCACCCACAGCCTTACTTAGGAATGCTGTCTCGACACTCTCTTGTTTTCGACGTTCAGAGAACTGTGCAAGAAACAAATCAGATTTTAAACATTTTGGTATGTAGTGGTTGAAAAAAAAATTGGATAGTAACGAATTTCTTGATTAAGAATGGCAAGGAACATGAGGAAGGAAAAGCTGATCGATCAACTCGATAAATAGTTCAACGACCGAGTGTGAGGTCAACATGGATCAAAATTCGTTTATAATGAACAAATAAATAGCACTAAAGACGGGGAAAATTTGAATGTTACCCTCAAAAAAGTCATTTCAGTGGCTAGAACTTGACATAAAAAGTTATTTTGGCTCTCCGCGTACACTGAAATAATTATGAAATAATTAATAATGCATAAGAAGTAGGAAAGGTAAAACCGACTACAAACTATTCACCTCTCATCTGCTTTGTTTTCATTGAAAACTGCATTTCTCTATGCCAATCAGAATGGATAAATTTTCATGTCTACAAACATCATGAGTTATTCTTTGAATAACAGTTGTGCCGTGTTCCAAAATAATCTAAAACGTCCACTTTCATAAAAAGTTGTTGAAAATACTAACTCATTTTGTTTTCAACTTCACCTGAGGCAATCCACGGGATGTTAAATCAACAAACTTAACGAACACATATACCTTAATAAACTTGGCATTCTGTTCAGTCAAACTGCTCTGTAGTTTGACCTCCATGGTCATAAACCCAGTCACTTCTGCGAGAGTAAGAGGACTGTCCGCCACAGGTTTGTTGTGCAGCTTGTCGCTCTCCTCTATAACTTCCTGGCACCTAAAAAAAGAACATACCCTCTATATAACCAATTAACTCGCTGAGGTGATTCACTATTAGCTTCTCTTTACACCTTCAATATAATATCTAGAATACCGATGATAAAAATATTATACACTTAATGACTACCTGGGAGTGCCCGACAGGAAACTATTTGGCTTTATGACCGGGAGTCAAATATCTGTTTGACCCTATCTAGCTCTCTCAAGTAGCATTTTATCATAACAATGCTGCTCTACATCTTTCTTTTAATGTTCTTTCAACTCGCATCTAGGAGCACTGTACAGCTTTTTCCGGTCCTGCTCGCGCCCTTGCGTACAGGATTTTTTAAAAATTTTTACTTCAATACAAGCGTACGGAGGGCCGCAAGGGTCACATGATAACAGCTAGATGTTGTCTGCACAGCCCCACGGGAAACATGTAAGTTATCTTTTCCTTAAAAGCTTTCTTTCCCAATTGTAGTTCCATAGTTATAATCGTTTCGTTATTATTACAAGAGAAAAATCATACTTCTTGGTTGAGGAATCTTCCACTAAAGACTGAAGCCAACTCTGCCATTCGAAACTTCTGTTCTGCTGTACATAATCTGATGGAAACTGCAAGACACAAAGATCATCTTTATGCAAGAAAATTCCTTCACGAGTTAATAACAGTATGGGGTGACCATCAACTGAGTGTCGAAACTAACAAAGGACTGAACTGCTTTTAGTTTCTTACTCTATAAGATTTGTCACTAAAACTCGCTCCAACTTCCCGACAAATCAGGTTCAAAACTGAAACCAATCGCCTCTTCCCTCGAGTTCGCGCTGGCTCCATGTGATATCACCTTATCATTGATATTTGTGTTTGCTTTACTTTCGGCTTTGCCATAGCAAGTCGAAGAGGGTTTAAACAACAGCAATTGCAACAAACGAAGACCACTCATCTCAAGCTTAATTTATAAACCTACCAGATACAACCCCATATGTATAGAGGGGAAGCAAACTTACGAGAGATGTGACAGTGGCATAGGTGCGCAGCAAATCCGAACAAGAGCGGAACATGGTACGTCTCTGATGAAGTAAGCCTGACAGTTCTGTTTCAAGCTGCTCGCACTGCACAATGAAAAATTTGAAGAAATGAAAAATAATGTTACCAAAATGGCAATGGATGGAATGTTACTAAAACGACAACTGATTAAGTTAGAATTAAGGTAAAGGACTTCCGGGCGAAAACATAAATTAAGAAACTTTGCTTTTACGCCCATAATTTGGAGAAGTCCTGTTTGTGAAAGAAGGGCATCAGCACATCGAGAATAAAAATAGCAGTGTTACCAACGATGATAGGAAGGGATATTGCACGTTCTTTTAGCTTTTTTTTTCCAGGAAGCACATAGGCCGAATTGTTGGTACCCTGGCTGACGTCATTATGTTTTTTTTTTGGAAAAACACGCTACCCTAATAATGTCTTCCCCTTTCGAAAAGTGTAATTAGGCACCAGCATACAGTAATAGAGACTTAATGAGTTGTTAAGGAGATTGCCCACGTATGTATATGATGTATTAGCATCTTATGTCGAAGGGCTACTATTACTGGAAAGCGGGACGAGTTAATAGTTTGGGCGGTTTGGCCCCTGGCTTGTACAACCTAACACGTAACACCTACAATCTTTCTGACGTTAAAACATTTTGAGCGGAAAAAAAGAGCAGCAAAAGTGATCATTGTTGAAATATTTACCTGACTGACAATGTGGCCTTGTCCTGCACCTTGTAGGAAACTGATTGCAGGAGCAAAGCTTGGAAGACCTGATCATTGAAACAAGCGAGAAAGTGAGATACTTTGCAACTGCTATCTTTAAGGTGACTTTGAGCGTGTCGACAAGAATATCTAAACTCGGTAATTTTAATCGTCTTTAAGTGAAAACAAACTGACTGCAAAGCACTGTAAGATCAGATCTACCGCTAGTATTGTAAGTGTACTCTTTCTCACCGAGATCAAGAGGCTGATAAAGTTCTTCTACAAGGGCTGCAAGCTTTGGGCCGTGAACAGTCTCCATTGCGGCCTAAAGCAAACAAAGTTGTAAGTTAAATTCCAAAGACTAAAGCATCATATAACTAAAAAATTAAAGGATTGAATCATAGTTTACCACACCTCTTCTGTATACATGTAACTTCGCAAACTTGAATCGATCAAGCCAAACTGCGTAACATATAAAACAGCCTGAGACAAGTTTGAGGCAAATTGATCCTCCTCTATGAACGGAAAGCCTGAATAGGGAATGTTAAGGCCAAGCCACATGTTTGGGCATAAGTTATTGTAAATCTCTTCGTCCTTTGATACAAACGAGACCTTTCTAACCTTGTGCTGAGCCTGCCATTGTTGACATTCGGCAAGTTTTTCATTGATGCTTTGGAGAACTGCATCATGATCGGCCAGCAGTTTCTTCTTTTCATCAAATCTTTAAGAAAGAAAACGCTATCATGTAGACTTAGAAAATATTGCTAAGAGTAATTATTTCAATACGACGGTAAAGAGAAAAGAATTTCGTAGGTAAAGGAATTTCTAATGAGTGGCTAGGGTGATTCGGGATTGAATGGGTCTTGCATCGCCTCGCACTTTGATTGGTCTAAAAAAATCGCGCCACCGTCTCAACTAATCAGTGGCAAAAGTTAAACCAATCGCCACCTAGTCACACGCGTTTTCCCGCGTTTCGCGCAGTTTAATTTGCTATTGGCCGCTGTGCGAATTAACTCTTTTCCGATTGATATCTACGGTTTTTGTTCACGAAACTCAAATGAATAGTTTCCTTTATGGACATTAGAGTCAACTTACTTGGCCTGTACCATATGTAAGGGATGTTGAGGGTTACTAATAGCCGCTTGTAGAGTCTCTTGCTGATCTTTAAGTTCCTCAGTAGCCACGTCCATAGATTTTAACTGCTTCAGTGACGACAGGTAGGTATCTAGTTGTTCATCCAGCTTAGTCATGCCAGAGAGCAATTCATCCCTAATTCATTCAAGGTTAAACCCACCTGTTAGAAGTTACATACTTACAAGGTAACAAGAAAAACCCTTTCTAAAGGAGTGGTTTTGAGTGTAATTACAAAAACTGACTTTTTATCCAGATGTTCAAGGTGTACAACCCCCTAAGAAAGGTGGATATTTGTTAATTTACATGGAAAATCACATTTAAATATCCTCTACAGCTGACAATTTGATTGGTGAAGCACGACTTCCTCTCTAACCAGTAGTACTTGGGAACAATGCAAGACGACACCAAATGACAACTACACGGAAGGCTCAGTCTGAGCTGGTCAAATATGAATCAAACATGGGTTTTGTCATTTTCGTTAAAAGATTACAAGATCAAAGTGGAAATAAAGTTATTCAACCACTTGAATTTCAGAAGTCACATTTAATTTGATTCTCACTTGTTGTTCGTCCAAGTGACTTTCATCTCCGCCACTCGTGAAGAAAACAAACTCTGTGTAACATCTCTTTCCATCTCCTTCTTGTTCACTTTGTTGTCAGTGACACCCGGGGCACCCCCTCCGTAAAATGCACTGGCAAAAGCGGTGTCATTAGCAGTGGTCCAGTCTACCAGAGGGTCGTAAACAAAAGCTTCCAATAAAGTGAGGAGTGTCTCGCGACCCTGCTTCAGAATCTTTAAAACCTCTTCACAAGATAAACGGAAAACTCCCTGAAAAGAAAAAAAATTTTGTTAAATTATTTCGAAAACCCCATCGATGTCATAATAAACACAATTATTTCTCAGAATTTTGGATTAAACAGAAAATATATATGTTATAATCAAAGTAAGAAATAAATTGAATCAAAGTTGCCAACTGTCGAACCAGGAAATCACATTGTCAGAAAAACGACTTTTACCACGTAAGTTCCTGATGATCAGTGAAATAATCATGAAAAAAAAAAATACCCACACACGAATCTGAACTATTATTTTCTGAGCAAAAACATAGCATTACCTCTACTCCTGTTACTCCTAAAGCAGTCTCTAAGTTTGGTGTCATTCTAAACGGAACTTTCTCGGGAACTCTTAGTCCTTTTCCCTTCTCAAAGCATACGTTGTAATCAATGTGGACAACCTAACAGAAAATTATGCAAATGATGTGTCAGCAAGATATAATGCAAAACGAAATCTTTACACCAATAACGATGTATTAGCGTCTCTAGATAAAGCGGAACTTAAATTGTTGAACCTCAGACTACTGAAAAAAAGAACCTCCAATTGAGTTACAGAGTGGATCGAAACTTGAAGCTGAAACTCCGGTTCACATTTCCACTTTCCATCGTCCTGATCCGCTCGTAACACCGCCTATTCAGAGAGTTGGTTAATCTAAGCGAAGTGCCCATACATAATCTCCTATGGATTTTCTTTTTTACATTTTACTTCCTTACAGTCCCTTCCTGTTTACATGGTGCGCCCTGCACACTACTCACAGTTACCTGAGGCTCATGTTTTTAACTGAAACATTAACTTAATACATTCTCTAATAGAATTCATCACTTGACGCCTCTTAAATCGCAGTAAGAATTTGAGAAGAGTTACTAAGATGTCTCACCTCTCCTGTTGTAAAGTCTACCAGCATGTTATCCAGATGTCTGTCTCCCAGACCAATAATGTACCCAATCATGGACATGACCGCCGTAGACCGAGCATAACTCTGCGTCATCTGCCACCATTCTGTGGCGCTGGTGCTGGAACACCATAGCTCTCTAAAGAGGATCCGAAGATGTCTCATGTAATCAGTGTTTAAATGAGGAAGTTATGTTGCAATCTGTACAATTTTGCCACTTCCCAAATTATTTTCACTTAGTTACGGGGATCACAGGGAGCAAGCACCAACCCCCGCAACCTTTATAAAAACCTGATATGTTTCCGGTTCGCAGCGAGACGTTGGAGTTGGACCCTCCGAATGAAAAACCCGATCAATACCTCTGGGAAGCTCGAGGTAACTGAGGACGTTCTACCGACTCCCAACTTTTCAGTCAGAAACCAAACTGAGAGAGAGTTTGGCTGCCAATTGCCTGTTACGAATCAGTGGGAGAGGGAGATCTTGAGTAATTTTTTTTCAAGTTATTCCGGCATACGAATATATCAGAGCAGGAGTAACGATAAAACAGAAGTGACATACTTGGCGAGAAGATCATTGGGAGTTTCCTTCATGAGTTCCTCCAAAACATGTTTCATGACACCGAGTGGCCACTCTCTTCTGCTGTTCAGGTCTGTAATACCCTGTAAATTATGAAATATATGATTCTTATATCAAGAACTGACTGAAATAAAACGAAAAATTGGTATGTTTTCGTCCTGACAGAGCAAGACGTAGACTTACCTTCTCTTTAAGGGCAGGAGTCATTTTGCTATAGTATAGTTCACTTGGTTTCATAGGGGGAGGAGGTTGTGGATTCGCACCCTGAAATTTTACAAAAAACGCCATACAATTTTCATTTCAAGATTAGGTTGAATAAAAGGTAACCACAAGGTTAAGTTAATAAGTAGAGACGTTCAAAGTTTTGATTTAAGCACATCAAGGAGGAGATGATAACAATGAAAATAAAACTCATTGTCATTTAATTCAACTTAGTGTCATTTATCAGTTATCCTAAGCAAAGATGTTCAAAGTTTTGTTCGTTGTACATATAATTCTCCCACGTTTATGTGCCCTGACTAGATAACACCCTATAGCTATTTGCTAAGCGAAGGTGACACCAATACTACTAATCGTTGGCATGTATCATTTACCTAACGAAAACCTAATGAACAAAAACCATTACATTAAGAACGTACGCTTTGTACTGCCTTCACATTGACCCTACCTGTGCAGATTTGATCAACGCTGCGGAGGCAGCCTCTCTCTGCTGCCAGCGTTTAAACAAGGCAAACACAGGAACGGCACCATCTACCCACTGAATAAGACCAGACCGCGGTCCAAGAGGAGTGACCGAGTAATGGCGGGCACAGAACAGAGGAGAATTGTGGCTAAAGAAAGCAAAGATATGTAATCATGAAGATTCACTCTCACGAGCTCAGTATCACACAAGCTCGTTCCTGTTTCCTTGGCATAAAGCGACTCGAAGTATTGCCAATCCCTTGGGTGGGATGCTAGTTCTTTCCAGGTGCCAGTTGCCAAGCAATAACTGACTCCTGATATGGCAGAGCGACTTACGAGCTGGGTTTTACAAAAGCGACAAAGCGTGAGAATGAAACTTATTTTGTCCACCTTTCAGCCAATTAAAAAAAAAAGATCTGCTTGTTAGAAAACGACTTGTGTTGTGTTAAATCTATTCGAGGATACGTAAAAGTACTCGAAATCAGCGAATAGGTTACATGCATTACACTACATCTACTTAATTCTTCTAGCTTGGTGTATCCGGATAGCTCAAAGAGTAGTCTATCAAGGTTAAAAACCTCAAGTAAGACAGTAACATCGATTTATAATAAATTTGTCACCTGTCAACTCGGGTAAACATGTTGTTACAGATGGAGAGAAACTGCATGATTCGCTCATCAAGATGAAGATCTTCAAGTCCTTTGAATAAGTAGGTGTACCTGAAAAAGAAAGAAAACATTTGAACAGAATGTAGAGGGTGAAAATAAAACACAAATATTTGTAAACTGAATCATTTCTGGACCATTCTTAACGCACACTTCATTTGGAAGTTCTTAATTCTATATCAGATTTGCATCTGACCCTCAAACTCTTTCGAATAATTCAGTCGTGGGCGTGAACAAAAAATTGCATAGTTCGTATTCCGTTTTGAAATCAGAGGACTCGAGCTACAAGCAAGAAATCAATTTTTTAGGGCAAACATAGAAAGATTTGGGAGATTATCAACAGTGGGTTATAAAGCACAAGTTAAAATCTTGATAACAACTGATTTGTTTCCAAATTTGTTTCCAAATTTGTTTCCAGCAGGTAAACAAATCTTGCTAATACAGAGTTCTTCATGCAAAAAGAATAAGGCAGATCCGTTTTCTCACCTCTGCCCATCAGATCCAACGAATACCAGCTTCTTGGGTTTAGTTTTAGTGGGGAGGATGTTCACTTCTCTCACAACAGAATCGATGGTGACGATCTAATGAAAATGAAAATGTATTTAGATGTAGCTACAGCCATTCAGGCAATCAAGTTAGCTCAACGTTGAACAACAATAAGGGAGCTATGTTACAAAATTCAGTCCAAAGGACATTTGTTATTGTTAAGACTGTAAAGAAACATTAAGCCAACACACTAAACATGAAGTAAACCATAGATGAACAAAACTGGATAAGATTCAAATGGTTTAAAACTAGGTTTTTGTAAAAAAAAAGGCCAGCCCAACAGTTTTTGAAGGCTCATTCATGTTGTTTGTAAATTTAAATGAAATGGTAACACTTATCAGAGGAGTTAATTTGTTCTGAAGATGGAATTTTAACATGTGGACGCTAATTCCTTACCACCACCACGTTTCGTGACAAATAAGAAGTAAAACTGAATATAATGGACGAAATTGCTGTAACACAATACATTCAAACCCAAGTCGAAATTAAGTACTGTTAATATGACAACGATCTTCGCAGTAATAAACACTACTTAACCAGTAGTGAAAAAAAGAGGCCTATCGACTGAGCTAACAATTTAACTGGGAGCTGGTCGTATGTTGGTTCGTTATAAACCCGTGAAGTGATGAAGAAATGACCGTGACTGTGAACACGTGTTGGTAGAGCACTGCACCGATATCGCAGACGTCCTGGGTTCAAATACCATGCACAACAACACTTTTTCAGGCTTTATTTTCACCACTGCTACAGTAGTTTTCATTACTGAGAAGATCGCTTTCATATTCATCTCTTAATCTGTAGTTCACATATATGATTTTCATATATTCTCAGTCATTAAGCACTGTACCGTTAAAGCTTATAAACCACTTTATCTCCTGTACTACATGTACACAAGCAAAACAATATGTTACCTTTCCACTGAAATGTGTCTGGCCTGGCATATATACTGCAGAGCCTTTCATGCTGGACAATGCAGGACTGATCTCGTCCATATGAAGAGTGTAGGCTGAACGCTTTTGTGATCTCGCTTGAAAGGCTTGCAGAAGCTGCAGGTGTAAAAAACAAAGACGATTACATGTATTGTAACTGACGAGAGGAAGTTCTCGATGTATTCTGGTCGTTTCAGAAGAAGCGATGCTCAAGGAAAGATTTTCTTACATTGAATGATAAATTGGAAGGGAGAAAATGGAACACCAAGAAGGCGATGGGAAAGGGACTTTGAGAATGCTTTAGACAAGCAATTTACAAAGGCTGATTGATTAGCGCTGGAAAACGTTTCCGTAAGAAGGTCAAAGATACAACGTCCAATAAGATAAGAAGTGAGAGAGAAGTGACGTGCGTGAATGACACTTGTCAGCTTCTTGGAACATTCATTGGAGTTGTGTAACTGGAGGAACTATAAGTCAGTGAACTTGGCCAGTTATTTAGCCAAGTTTTGTTATCTATTCCAGGCATTCACTTAAGTGAGATGCAGCCTACACGACCGTATGGGTTATCTCTAAAACTTGCCACCGACCCTGTTATTTTCAGCAATATCAGACTACAACGAAACTCTGGGAAACTGAAGTTCAGTCAACCCTCATATAAAGCTAAAATCAACAAACAAAAACACATAAAAAAACGAAAGTAACATCTTGTAAGACTTTGAATAACCTGTTTAAATGGCTCCCAGCTGGATCTATGGTCCGCGGGCTCTGGTGGATTTTGTAGAGCATCAAGAGCTGATCGAATAGCACCATCGTAACTCATCTGGAACCACTGCTCATGGGGCGTGGCAGGTTCTTGGCAGGTTATCTTGTTCAACTGTTGTATTGCAAATACAACCTGAAAGAAATAGGATTTACGGAACAGTTTTGCGATATACTTTCTAGGGATCCCTGTTGACCTTACAGCTAAACAGAGTCAACAGAGAAAGACATTTTAAAGAGTGAATAAGGCAAAATTTCTTCTTGGGTGTTAGTAGCCTTCCACGTTATTGAAAAAAATGGCTAGAAACGTTTCAGTTCCCAAAAATAAGTAAAAGATCAACTGACAACTTCAGTTATCAACATTCGAATATGAATTCTGTGATGGCTTCATTTTTCTAATGGGGCATTTTATAATATGCCGCAAACTTCAGTTAAAAAAACACACGACACTCACTGGTTTCATGATAGCAATGTGTTTTTCTCTAATCAATGTAGCCTTCTGCTGATTGGTCAGATTCTGGTTACCGCTGACCCGCTTGATCTCATCCTCAAGTTGCTGTTGTCGCCTTGTCACATCATGGTGAGTCTGCATGAGTGATCCATGCCACAATTCTTCCCATAGCAAAGTGATTCTTCGAAGTTCCATAATAAATCCCTGAAGTTCAGAGACCAACTGAGGATTGTGTGTTCTGATGGATTCAACAATAGTCTGGTAGCAAGTAGTTAATGCATCACTCTCGGTCTTGCTACCTTGCGTTTCACCTGTCTGGATACCTTGATTTTGGCTGTTTTCTGAAGGTACATCAGTGGCGGTGGGCACAAGAAGTGGAAGCAAACCTAAAATTCATAACCGCCCAAAAAATATTAAAAACGTGATTAATAGACGTCTTAATTCGCCCATGTAGCACGTAATAGTTTGCAAGAACTTGTTCAGTGCTCACACAATTAGAATTTGCAATGTTTGGTTTAATTCCACCTATGCCTAACGAAGCCACAAAGATATGTAGGAAACCAGGGAGGTAAGATTTGGTATAAGATATAAAACAAATCAAAAGTGTCTCAGCAACACCTTTACGGTTTTTTATCTGTAACATTTACACCCCAACCAAATGAAACACAACACTAATCTGTACTATTAGTACTATTAATCCTTAAATCCTTCATTCTTAAATATTCCCAGATTCTTGTAGCTATTTCCAACCTCTTAACAATATCAATGCATGGTGAGAAGAGTGAGTGGAAAAATAAAATTTTCAAGATGGGATAAATCTTTTCTTTAAGGCAAAAAAGATTTCTTGAGGTGAAGATTGCAAAGAGTATGCCACGAATTAACAAGGAATTTCTACCTTCTCCTTCTTTTCCTTTGTTTAGCAAGTACTTTGGGAGAGATGTGGAACAACCAACCACTGCAGGATACACTATCAGGTGTGGTGCATCCTGACCAACACGGCACAGCAACTCAGATACACTCTGCCGCACATAGCTCTCTGGGTGGTTCAGTCGCGAGAACAGCTGAGGAGTTATGTCTGATGGGGCACCAAAGTCACAATTAATATTTTGCTTTAATTTTCAGATTACTTGGTCTATTTGACAGGAGCTGACTAGATTAAGTATCCAATAGCGTTTTATCGCAAATACTGCAATCTGATTCCTTAGCTATGATTGGCGGTTGACATTAACAAGGGATGTCTGGCGTTAATTTTACAACAATCAATCGAAAATAACGTCCAATGTTTTCGGCCGTTTTCAGATAGGCGCAAAATTACCCTTAAAATGTAGGAAACTACGGAATTTGAACTTAATTACAGCAGAAAAACACTACAATAGGAAGAAAAAAAGGGGGTGGGGGGGAACGACATTCTTCTATGAAGAAGAATGACACGGATTGCACATGGCAAACACAAGGCTTAATTCGTCAAGATTCACAAACTGCCTTATGGCTCTTTCACGATGAAAAATTATACCTTTCCAAGGTCTTGTAGGAGTCTTTACCAGTCCTTCCTCCAGTTCAGTGCGGAGCTCACCAGCGTGTTTGACAAGGAGACGCAGCAATCTCAAGGTGGCTGTCACGTTACTATCGTCGTCGCTGTTCTTGGTCCCGCGTTTATTTTGATCTGTATTCTTAACAGAAGACATTTCCAAATCCTACAAGGACAGGAATAAACCAATTGATACAAATTTTATAAACTTCAATACGTTCAGTGCTTGGTAAACTCTTCCAATGACGTGAAGCTGTGGTTTCTGAGTAAAGCAGGATACGAAGAGTAAATCAAATACCGGGTCTTACTTTCCCAAAACAAGTGTTCATCAAAATTTACCGCAAATCAACCACTGCCCCGCATGAAAATGAACCGTGGGTGGCTTGAGTATTCACAGGGTTGACAGGGTGTCCAGCCAGACCCGAGATAGAATACTGCCTTCATGTTTGGCAAATTCCCGAATCCAACCACGAGCTTCCATTCAAGCAACCCGTCAACAGTGATTATTTTAGTGGAAGGAAAAACAGAGGTCAGAGTGGGATGGGAAAACACTTTAAAAGAAATGCTACAGACCACCCAAGAGTGAAAGACAACCGGTTAAAAAGGCCGCTCTAACGTCTTCGTTGTCACAATATTCCACGGGAGCCTAAACACTTGTGACATAGACTGCTCACCGAAAACGCCTTGAGCTGAACTTAGTCTAATTGACATTAAACTAAATAACATACTGCTCAAGTCTATCTCTTTCTCGAAAGGGCAACTCAGCAAGTCCTTCAATTACCTCACTTCCCATCTTGAGATACATGAAGTATGCCTTGGCAGCAAAATGGTAGTGTTTAAAGAGTCTGTCTCGAACACCTTTCCACACTGACAACAGATTCTCAAGCAGCTGCGGCTGAGCGTCATGTAGCCCAGGACACACAGTCAAAAGCTGTTTCTTGGTGTTTTCCAGTCCGTCGTCGTACAGCTATAAAATGTAAAGCACACTTCAGCCACAATCTCCTAAATAAAGGTTTCAATGTCATAAAGATTCTTACTACAGCGCAGTGGAGGAGCATTCAAAGTAGCAAGCAGGTCATAGGTGCAAGTATTCGAATGTGAAATTTTCCTGGTGGAGCGTAGTAATATTCACTCCCCTCACCCTCACCCCTCTCCCTATTTTTGACCGTCGCTCTCCCCCTTGGTACAAATTTCTTTCTCTCCCCAGCCTTCCGCTGCCATTAAAATAAAAGAAGGTGGTCATAATTCTCGCTAACTAAACACCGAGCACTCGCTCGCCAAAATTACGCCTGCTCCGCAGGTTAGGTGGATGGCGATTTATACTGTGGATAGTATTATCTGCTAATTTATCCCACCATTTGAATCAACAGTGACCAACTTTAGTGATTAGGTCGCGACTGGTTTCAGTTTTACATCAGATTTGTGGAGAGGGCGGCGCGAGGTTCCTAATTCAATCACAGAGCGTAGAAAAGTAAAATCAATGAAATCCCGCATCATTAAAAAACAATTGTCAATTTCAAATGAAAATCAAACTGTTAGAGATCTTGAGCAATCGCAACGGTGACGGCAACGAGCAAATACTACAATTGTACAATTGTAAAAGCAGAACTAATCAAACAAACAAGACAATAGTACCTGATCCTCTTCACCAATATCCTCTTCCTGGTTAAAGTATGCCGTCACGTGAACTTGACCCAGCACAAGCATAACAGACTCCACCTCAGCCGGACGAGCATTCTAAAAAGATGAGAAACGAGATTTAACATTGGCAATCAATCAAATCGCAACACAAGCAAAACCCTGGAAGAATGGAGGCGGACACTGCCCCTACCTGAGGTAGACTCTGTAGGACTGTTTCCTTTTCTTGTGGTAAAAGATCTACATTCCCCATTGAGCTAAACAAGAATAATAAAGAGAAGCAAACATAACTCATTAGTGAGGGCTTTGTAGACATGCAAAATTTTGCGAGCTTTCTTCACAGTCGAGTTTTCTCAGGATTTAATGACCGCCTGTGATTTTGCTTGCATCATCAACCATCAATCTTTTCGACGACGGATTTTATAATTCACTACCTAGATTTCCCTAACAAGAAAGAAAAACTCTTCCTTGCGGACAGTTCAATATAGACTGAGGTGTCACCTGTTCCTTCACCACTGGAAGAGACTTGGCAACTAAAACGCTGACACCTTAGACACACTAGGTACGAAGCTGCTACGACAGATCGCGAAGACAAGTCGCGAATGAAGTCACAAATTGTTTCATGAAGCATGGCAAATTTTCCTAAAAATAAGTGTCCTGCAAAAGAATAATGTCCTTGTAAATCGTTTCGCGAGTAGCAGCATTTTGTTTTGGAAGCAGTGCGCGAAAAGCAGTTTCTCAGAATAATACAACTAAACAAACCTGGCTTGCTCAACAGTCTTTCTTCCCCATCGGTAACACCACCCAGCCAAGTTGAACCAAGCTTTGCCCAGATCTGGTGCTTGCATGGTGGCCAAGTGCAGAAGCTGGCCACAAACTGATTCTGCATCAGTGACACCATTGGCCACACTGGTGACAAAGCTGGAATTCAAACCGTTCTCGGATTCTTCCTGGGCGGGGATAAGGTTGCTATGACCAAGACTCACGTAACTTGTCTCTAACTCACACAAGGAATTGATTTTTGCCGCTACAGAGAGACCATTTCCATTAACCTTCGTGACTGCAGTTAGAAGTTTCCGGTCATTAAGCAGCCATTTGGCAAGTGTGAGGAGTGATTTTGAGTTTAACGCACCCACATTTGAGTCAATATCTCCCAGGTTTGCATAATGGGAAATGCTCTCGGCAAGAGAAAACACAGCTTCTGAAGGGTGACCCATGGAAAAAGCCAACTTAGAAAATTCTCGTTGAATTTCCATTCCATCAACGGGTTTGGCAGTGGCTAGAGATAAATCATTTAAGCTCTCCATAAATAGCTCAAAAAAATGTTTCTTGCTGCAGTTTGAGTCCTGTGAAACCTTAGCTGTATTTCCAAGCAATGACATTTGTTTCACCAACAGCTTTTGTGCTAGACTAAAATTGTGATGCTTCCGTGCAAGTTGAACTGCTCCCATCTGTAATGAAATCAGTTCCCTCCTGAACTGATTTTGATGTTTTCCCATCGAATTGGCCAAGTAATGAAGGTTTCCACAAAATCGTAATGCTTTCATCAGGACAGCACAGTCGTGCTGAGTGTGATCAACATTAAAATTACCAATTCCACGTAAAAATGATGGAGAATAATCCTCCTAATAAAGAAACAGAGTAACAAAGAATTTGGCATTATTTTTACCACAATCAACTTGCCCCAAACTAAGCATAAAAGCAGATAAATTGGAATTCAGTTGTGATCTTCTCTACGATGACTCTTTGTCCTCTGTTTTTCGGGTCGAACTGGAGAGACAATTGCTTTCATCACCTAGCCATTCCTGCTTACCAAAGTACAACAGACTACTGACTGGTATAGTTTGACCGATATCATTCAAATTCAACCCAACCCCCCTAACCCCCCTCCCCAACAAGCTTTTGGAAGCACGAGTAGCACTGATTCAAATTTTTCTTTACCACAAGCCATACAAAATGTTAGACCCTCTGCAGTAACTCACAGCATGGGATTGGTGTGCTGTTGTTTCTGACCTACAATGGCAAAGTAGCAGTTGTAAGTAGGGAAAATACCTGATGACGAGTAGATTCTACCATATCTTCCATAGCTGTAGCAAATTGCAATTGTGTGATATGTGAGGCAGACACTTCCAGTGGCCAGCCCAATGTTCCAATTTGAAGAACTCTTTCCGAAAGTGAAGTGGCATGATGGACGCACTCTTTTATAGTTTGACTATAGAGAAAAAAAAAGTAATGACATTGGTTTCCAATCCAAATGAGAATGGTAAAACCGAAACCAAAGTAAAGACTGGTTGGGTTCACATCCGATCGGCTGAAAGAAGAAATGCAATTTTTATTAAAGACAAATTAGAGATTCAGGAGAAGCAAAACAAGAGCAGCACTAAAAAAACTGACATAACCTACTCTTCCAAATTACTTACATGATTTTTTCATCTTTCGAATTGTTGTCCTTTGTCTTTGCTTTTAAATTTCCAGAGGTAAAAAAGAGTGTCTGTGCCTGGATCAAGGAGAGCTCAGCCGTCTGCTCAATCTTGTCTGGTGCCCACACGGGACTGAATGTTGTGTCAGGGTGATTTAGTTTTGCAGACCAAGCAGACTTGTTTAGATTCTCAGTCAGAGAGTTAAGTGCTGCTCCAGGGACCAATCGCAGATGGTTTCGCACTGATATGAAGTCACATTCCTCAAACTTGCTCAAGGCCCTAAAAAAATCAGGCATTGATAAGTTATTATGAATACCCCCTTATCCCTAACCCTAATTTGACATCACTGATCTCCAAAAGAAAAATTTGTTAAAATGGTCTTTAATTCCGCTTCTTAGGAGTATTTGGATAACAAACAATCCTAATAAGTTCTGGTGGCCAGTCCTCTGCTAAGGAACACAAAATTCCCCCAAAAGAACAATGCTTTACTCAGACAACTTGTTGACAACGACACTTCATAAGCAAAACTCTGGATCTATTGTCAGGGAGAAAAACCATGGCAAATCAAAATTATCAGAAGCAATACTTACTTGACATAATTTGTGTCAACATTTGCCATTAGCGAATGCTGTACACCAGAGTCTGTGCAGTGTTTCCTGAGGTTACTGACATGTTTCTGCCACTCTGAAACCTCATTCCATGATGATAACTTCATATAGCAGTCTGCAACCTAAAGACGAGATTGCAACTCTCAGTAAAATCCCAAGATGAATTCTTTGACTTTGTGACTTCTTACAGAGAGCTTTTTGGATACAAGCGACCATACCTCATCAACAAGGAATGTTGTCACAATGCTAGGCGTAGAAACTTCAGATGTCTTCCTTTCATCTTGTTGGCCTTTCTCTGTTCCTTTAGACACGCCTTCCACAGCTACTTTGTACTCTTTTGCAGCGCATTCGTACCTAAAAATGTAAGGTGACATTAAGTCCCAGTGTTGGGGGAATTATTCAGTTCTGTTCCATCACTTCTCTGACAGAAAGTAACAAATAAATAGTGGCAGGAAATCCAGGACAAAGAGAAAACAAGACTTTAATGCACACTACTAAACTGCTCGCAGCATAGAATAGAATACAATTTGTAGCATCACAAAGTATCTAATGTTTTGGACTATCCTTGATAAGTGACAATGAAAGTAAAGCTCTGAGCTTTAAAGAAAATGCCTTCTCGTTAGATCCAATAAAATTCCTGGAAGATTAACCAGGAAATTACAGCTAAATGGAAAGCAGCCCATGTGTTGTCCACTGTTCATGTGTTCAAGATAAAAAATTTACGTAAACAAAAAGTGAGGTACAATTTTCAGTGTTCTATGCTCATTTTAACCATTCCTTCACTTACCATCCCTTAGCCTTGGTTACTGTGCCATTCATCCAAGAATATTTCTGACCAGAAACTTGCTCACACCAGGCCATTAAACCAGAGATGGCATGTGCACTCTTCAACTCACACAAGGCTTGGGCTGTCAGTGATACAGCTTTGTCAAAGTCTTCACCCTATATTGAAATTATATTTCAGAGGGAAAGCAAAGATGTCTAAAAGACACTCAGTAATATACATTCGACAAATTGTGGTCTCAGAATGCCCTAATCTTAGCCACTTAGCTGTGCATGGATATAGATATGCAGTCTCCATTTAAAATTTGTGTGAAGAGGACCTTGTGCACCAATGATAAGTACCACACACAGGGGCTCCAGCTCGATTTTACCTACACTCTCTCATTTCAGAATTTTCTGTTAGTAGCTACATACATGTAATTAATACCAAATCAATGCACAGCACCTTGGTGATTCCTGCTGCCTTCATTTCTTGCAATGCTTGAAATCCATGCCAGACAGTTACTGCAGGAGAGCCACACAAAGTACCAATGGTCATCACCCCTTTTCTCACTCTGGTAAGCCACTCCATGCAAGTGCTTCGATTTGTGCGGAAAAATATGCGAACAGACTGAAATAGGAATTTTTCAATCAATATCTGCAACTAAGCAGAGGATCCACATCTAACATAGCTATTACTACCAGCCAATTCCCACCATAAAAACAAAAAACAGAGCCTTAATTTTTTATGTACCTTGGGTGGTGAAGGCAGACCCACAACACAGCCTTCATAGCCATTGTACATGAGTTTTTCTAGATTCTCTACAAACTGCAGCAATAGAACAGACTGGAGGTGGTTCATGTAAGATTTTGGACCAGGAGCTGTATAAGAAAAGTAAAAAGGTAAATCAAAGAACAAAGTTTGATGACATCACAACAAAACTTAACTAACAGGAGAAAACTGATTAAAAATTGGGGCAAAGATGAGAAACCATGATGTCTAAACCTGTTTCATTCCCTTCCTCTTCCTTGGACCCTGGCTCTTCATGCTTTCCTTTGTTTTTCTCCTCTTGTTCTCCCCTAGCATCCAGCTCAAACTTCTGTAGAGCACCTAAAAAGAAAATCAGTTTGGAAATTACATCTCTCAAGATCTGACTCTTAATGTTTTTCTGAGACAAATAAAGAAAGTCATACATAAAGTATTTTTTCATCAAGAACCATTTCTTATGCTGCACTTTAAAGTAAGGAGACAGATCTAAAAGCAGGTTTTACACAGAGAAAAAAAGGAACAAATTGGTTTAGATGAAGGGAGCTCATCATGATGAAGGGAGATCATCAAGAACCAAAAAAAATTTACCTTCTATTGACTGGAATGTTTCTTGAGCTCTGCCAAGTGGTGTTCGCAAGCGAGACAAAATGCAAAACTGAGCTGCTTCCCATGTGGCCCAGAACCAAAGCAGTGATTGGCATCTGCTAAACTGATGTGAAAAAAATAAATAAATCAAATCAATGTCCAACAACAACTACTTGTGGTTAATTATATGTATATAATTATATGTACATGAACTTCCTCCTTAATGTAAGATATACCTGCAGCATCTCTGATTCTGCATACTTCTGAACTCTATTACAACTGTGGAAAAGTCTAAACAACCAGTCAGCATTTGCTTCTTTGCTGCAAGAAAACAGGACAAAAAAATCAACAACTCTGATGATCTCTGCATGCATGTATGTCCTCTTTAAAACCCACTGGGCATTAAGGGAAACACCCACAGCTCATCAAACAAAATCAGTAATCACAAATTATGAAACAATTACAATGTCATCCTGTGGATGATATCAACAAATGAATTAATCCTCACAGGTGAACCACATTTGAAGAAATGGCAGAAAAAAAAGCCTACAAAATTCAGGCTTCAGTTCAGTATGCCAACCACCAACTAAGCTTCCAGTCACATGTTGGTGCTTTCCAAAAAAGCAGTAAAATTGGCCACCAATGAAAGCTGGACAAATACCAGCATCATACTGTTGTTTACTGAGTTAAGTTGCCTTTAACTGTATTCAACTGAAATACAAACCATTCTTGGAACTTGGTTAACCCTTTACACCCTAATATCATTATACATATTCTCCATACTTTTCTCTATAAATTTCCTTGGGTCCTGACAAGGAAAATTTGTTCAACAATCAAGTGATTCTGTGGTAGGCAATCATTTCCTTTATTCTTTTTTGATTCAGGGGTGATATTGTTGGAAGGAATTAGACACTAGTCACTCTTAAGGGTCAAAGTGTTAACCCTTTAATTTCCATGAGTGACCAAGACAGAGTTTCTCCTTACAGTATCAATACAATATCAACCAGATAAGAGATGAGAATACAGAAAAATACCACTTTGGGGATAATTAGTTGATCCAATATTAAATTCTCTGAACTAAAATTATAACAATTGTATGGTTGACAGTAAGGAGAATTACAATTTGATCTAGGAGAAGAAAAGAGAGAAAGGAACAGTCATACATGTATGTTTTCATGAAAGAGATTGCAATAATTTTTAACTGGTATATAATTCACCTACCTTGGAAAGACACCAGACAGAATGAATCCCATGACAATTTGAAAATCATGTGAGTGGAAAGAGCCTGAGGGAGGCTTGATAACATGACCTTTGCGAGCCAACCATACATCACTACAACTGGTTGTCAGAGGTTTGCCAACATGTTCACTGCTTCTACCTTGACTTCTTCTAGACTCGAACAAGCTCTGGCTGAGGGAGCTAAGAGAAACACACCACATTATGGTGGATTTTTTGGTTCTGATGATATGATAATCACAAACAATAAACCAAAAAAAAAAACAAAATTATTACAGAAAGTTGTAAGCTGCAGCAACTTTGGTTGGCATAGCTGGTGGAATGATTTTTGGCCATTAAATTTGCAACACCAATTTGGTGACCTGAGTTCCTTAGTCACATAATCAGTTGTCATGTTTTTTGTTATCTAGTATTTATGGCCAGTCTACAGTTACATTGACACAACATTCTTTATAGATTCACATGTCCACTTTAAACAAACCTTGTTAAAATGTCCATTGGTAGTGTTCCTATAAGTTGCTGGTAACTCGTACAAACATCTTTATTCAAATCCATTAACCGAACAGCACAGTCTTCAAAAAATCTATCATACAAAAAGAAACAATCATTCTGTCACTCATTCAACTTGTTCTTTAAACATGTTGAGAACCAAACAGTACTTACTTTCTTAAGCAGCTCCTGGATAGGACATTAAGGTCAACTAAAATATTCAGGCAGAAAGAAACTTCCAAGGAGATGCTGGGATTATGGTCAAATGCTGTAAAGAAAAATAACAATGACACTCAGAAAGACAGAAGTTAATATTGTCGCTGTTCATCTAATGTTCAGCCAACTTTCGTTGTTTTCCACCCCTGCTACAAAACAAAATTAAGGTGATTTTTGGATTGACTATCACGCCCTCTCTCCTTAAAGAAACACAAGGAATTACCTATAAATCAACAGCAATGTGGACAAAACCACATTATTACACTTACAAGATGGCAAAATGCTCTCTGCAATAGAATCCAGGTTTACATGCCTAACAACTGTTCCAAGAACACCACTGGTCACTGCTTTGTCCAAGACCTCCACCAACCAGACTAGACACAATTTTCTAATGAAATATCACTATGGTTAAAGGAATTTTGTCATATTCATAAATAAGTCAGCAGATCCAGTTAAGTTATCAAAGTTGCAACCTTTAAGCTAGATTTCTGCTGTTGTATAATTCAACCTGCATTAGGAGACCTGAATTTTTTATGCATATGAAAGAAGAGGTGATGTTTGGACAACTTGCATCTGCAGAAAAGTTAAAAGTAGTTGAACTTTTTCTGCCAACACAACTGCTTCATACAGTTCCTTTATTTTATTTGATGCAAGTTAAGTCACTAAAATTCACCTGAGTGTGTTATCATATTAAAATTCTGCACCATTCTAAGAGCATTGAAATCTTTAAATGTTACACTGATTATGTCCCTGTAGCAAAATACCAAAGTGCATATTCTAGATGTATCTCCTCTTATAATGATAATCTAACCAACAATAAGATCAAGTTAACTGAAAAGAATTTTGTTGAACCTGGAATCTTCTGATGTGCTTGAATTTCCAAGCACTTTGGAAATTAGGCTGAACATTGAAACCATGTCCCCATCTGGTGATGAATGCAAACCCTCTGATGGTGAACTAGGAAGAAAATGGTTGTACCTGAAACAGAACAGTACATGTTAAATGTATACATGTAACTAAGTATGTTAGCACAATCTGACAAAAGTCAGAGAAATTTAAGATAAGAGTAATAAATTAAGAAAATGAAAAATAATTTATTAAAATTAATTCAATCAATGGGTAAGAGAAAATACCAGTAGATTAAATCTACAATAACTCAGGTATAGCAACAATGAAATGAAACCCCCCAACTCCCAAGATCTGAATAGCAATTCTCTCTTCTGACTGCTATGTATTTCCTCAAAGGTGACTTAGGAGAACTTAAGGTTTATCAAGGAAAGACTCTTCAGCTGATATGTTTGACTTTTCTCCTAACCTATTACGTGCATAATAGTTAAAAACTGTGAGGAGAAATAACACGTTGATCACATCTGAGAGTTGAAGGGTTGAGAAAAACAGGAGGTGAAAGTTAAGTTCTATGGTTTTTCATGTTTCTCCAGGTCTAAATGTTGAGAGAAGCTATATTTATACAGAAACACCTTACCTCTGACAGTATGTGTAAAGAGCATGTAGAATGGTGTATTGTACAGAGGGATGGCACACTGCAATCTTCCATGCACATGCATCCAAATGTTGAGTAAGCAACTGGTAGGTACTTGGGGAAAGCTTCCACAACTGCAAAATAAAATTTTATTAAAAATAAACTTTACATCTGTGCAATTACATGTTGCAATATCAAACAGCAAGAGACAAAAGAGGTTTTGTATCTTTCTGCTAATGAGTAAAGAGGAAAACATGTATCCTTGGAATCCACCATCTTCCATCAACTCACCACCTTCTCTGAACTACAAATAAAAGATCATACCAAATGTTTCAAAAACTCAGTTTTACATTAGAAAAATGTGTGCCTTCTCTCACCCTCAAAATTGCTGACTTAGTTGTTGCAATCTCAGACAGAGCACACAGATCAAAGATGATGATACTCTCCAACTCGTGAGAACTTTGCACCTGTACTGGAATAGGAACAGGGGTACTCCCCTCAGTATTCAGTGCATCACTCTGCATGTCCTTGTCTGCATTAAGTGAACCTGTTTCCTCATTACTGCTACTTGTAAGAGGCTCTAAGTTGCTGTCACTCATTTCAAGGCTTTGAAGTGTTTTATGCAGAAGGTTAAAGCTGCTGATCAGTTCTGTCACAGCAATTCTGAGAAAAAAAATGGATGGAATGAGGAAATATCACACAGGTTTCTTGAAACTTGCAATGTGACATATTCCTGTCACATGCTAATATGAACTTAAAGATCAATCTATCAAAATGATGAGGACTGATAATTATACATGCATTAATGTATGTATTTTACACAATTAATGATAAAGGTCTTGCAGCACGTAAAAGCTTTTCTGGAATACACTCTCTTTGATCTATTTCTAATCTAGTCTGTTTTTGGAAACCCAAAAAACAAGGTACAAGACATTGCTGCATTGCTGATATTTCTCAGCAAATCAGTTTGCCTTTAGCCTTCCCAATTAACATTTGCAACTGTAAGTTATAATTACTTTTTCCAAATTCAAACTTTGCCAAAAATACCAAAAAACAAAGCAAACAAAAAATTAATTGTGGAAAAATCTGTGTAAAAGTGCAAAAGAAATACTGTAGGAGAAGACTTTCACCTATAAGCTGTCTCTAAAAGTGGAACATCGTGGATACCAAGGAAACCCTGATAAATCTTCATCACTAATGACAGCACCTGCAATGTTAAAATACAGTAAATTTAGAGAGGGTCCAAACTATTTCTACAAGTGCTGGGCTGAACTTTAAAGGGAGACTTGTTGACGTCACTGGGCCAAGTTGTTCCAAGGCTAACTAGTGCTGACCCAGGGTTAAATTTCAATCCAGATTTCTTTATTCCTTTGTTCAAAGGCCTTTTAGGGATAATTTTCTCTATTCTTTTTTGAGCATCTAATCATCAAATTGTAGAATTATAACTAATAAAGTGGATTTTCCTTTAAAGCTTTCAGATCTGAAATGAACTTTCACTCTAATCCTGGGTTATCCAAACCCAGCTTTGAACAACCCAGTCCCTACAGCCAGTACACAGTGTGTGCAAGTTAGGATAAAAGAGGGCTGTGCTTGAGCTCACTTGCCTGAGGTTCTGGTGAAAAGAATTTAGTTTCAATGAGTGTCTCTCTAAGTTGTGAATCTAATTACAAGAATGAAGTGTTTATCAAGATAACAACTTTGAGTATTCTCAGATTAATAGCGTATGGACTTTATAGGGAGAGGCTAAGTGCTAATCAATTATTCAATTCTCAACCTGATGGCCCAGATTACTTTCTGCAGATCACAAGCTGTGTGTGTTGTATCCCTAAAAGTTAACTCATCAAAGGGGGGCAAGTATGAATATAAGGAGGTTCCAAGTGACTTAAAAATAACTGAAATCTGTTTATATTGTACTCACTGCTTGATCAGAGCATAAGCGCAACTTCATTACAGGAGAGCCTGGTTCTAAGAGTTGTTGAATGAAAGTTGCTGGGATAGCAGTGTTGACATGAATGATGACCTGTCAAAGAGAAAGGACAATAATTTAATTGACAGAGGGATTGTTTAGTTTAAAAATACTGCTAGAAAGTTTAAAAACACAGCTACAGTTTGCAGAGTGCTCTTTGCTTAAGTTTTGTGAAGACTAAAAGCATTGGTAGTTAGCATGTACTAAAACCGTGATTAGCATTGAAGGTACACTCTAAATATCTTTTGCTATTCACTTCCGAGCAACTGGCAGTGACACTGACACTGAAATAGTGCACACCAACAATGAAAAAACAAAATGTTGCTGCTACTCTCTCTTGTACTGTCTTTTGCTCAAGAAAGAAAAAGTTGTACTTCAAACACAACACAACAATAATCCAATTTACAGCTTCATTTACCTTCTGTATTAGTTGAAGGGCAGACATTATATGAGGATAAGTGACACATGAACTGCTCTGCAGTTGTTGAATCACAAAAGATGCAGTTATTTCACAGCAACATGAGAAATAAGGCTGTAACCATGAACACATGGACTCTAAACACTCATTGGCTGAAAAAGAAATAAGAAAGGTGTTGAATTATAAAACATGAATTATGGGTAATTGTGAGAGGCAGTATGATCAAGTGATGAGAGCTCCAGAACTATGATATGGAGGTCCAATGTTCAAGTCCTTCCCTGACCACCAGATAGAGATGTCCCTTAGCAGTTCTGAGTTTACCTCCTTGACCCCTCTTGTACACTGTAAATATCTACCTGGTTTGCTTTCTTGTCGGTTTGGGTTTTAATAATATTATGTTTGATTTAACATGAAAATTGACAAACCTACCTGACACAAAGAGCTTTTCATAATAGTAAGAGTACCCAGACATGTTGATGCACTGAATAATCCTTTGAATCAACTGAAACAAAAACACAATGGTGTGTGATTGGTTCATGCTGATATGTATACCTAATATCATTAAAGTATTAATCCTGTTGACACCTTCTCATAGAAGAAGTCTTCTTCCTCTATATATAGCAAAAGAAAATGAAGGAAAGCAGTTGATACCTCTGTTAAATATGGAGGTGTAATGGATGGACTTCTATTTGGTGAAAAGCTTGGTCCTATGCCATTTACAACTGTTGTAAATACTCTGAAAACCAGAGTGAAAAATAAAAATTTTAATATAGAAATATTACAAATAATTGTAGAGCATAACAAAGACACTGCAAGAGTTATAGCTGGTTACTAGTGATCCTTCATGGTAAAACTTATTTTTTTCCACCAATGGCAGCCATCCATGAAAAAGTTGATATACCATCTTAACTATCACCAAAACTATTGTATTATTAATTAAGCATTCACCTTCCTCTCAAGGTCAAAATGTAACATATCATGGAAATATCAATATGCTTTCCAACAAGCTTGTGACTGGAAAAGACCAACCCATCACTTGGATCCTATTATCTTGTTTTAAAAACAAATTCTCTTAACCAATTACAACAAAATGTATGGCAGTTGGAGAGGGGAATTAAAGCTCTCTAGTCCAGTTAATTCTAGATGTTAAATATTCCTTGTACTGCAATCGGAATGGAATTGCTACTTCACCTCACTAGTGCTGTCAGCCTTGGGAGAGACACATAAGGTGATGGGATTTCATCTGAGGAGACCACTTGGTTAGACAACATGCCTAGTTCCTGTTGATAAGTACAGTAACCGAAAGTCAAGTAAAGAAGATTGCAGATTTTAACCTCTGTCTTTGAATAAAAAACAATGATAAACCTTCAAGTGCTGCACCTATGGGATTTTTTCACCAGCAATCTGATATAAGTGATATCTCAAAACAGAGTTCAGTAGTTCTAAATTCTACAATGATACCAAACCAAAGCCTAAAAATGGCTGAGTACTTGCTATGCCATTTTTAAAGGAGAATTATTACCATAAGTCACATCCATCACTTACTGTTTCAAAAACAAAATTCAATCAAAAATGACTATATGAAAAACTGCATGACGGAAACCTCTCATGAAACTAATCGTTTTTTTCCTCCTTACTTCTGCATAAGCTTCCATATCTTCCAAAAACTGACTGAGCAGTGTTAGCGAAAAGGCCATGTCTGATGCCCAGTAGTCATGCAGCTTTACCAGACATTCTGTGATATAGAAAATCAGTCAGTCATTAGAGATAGGAGCATGAACTGCAATGGACAGTTGGAGGAGGGATGATGAAGAAATACAAATTTTTTTAGGATAGTTAAAAAAAGGTTACTTGTTACTTCTATAATGAACTGTAGCAAAATTTACTGTTTCATGGTGATGTACAGTCAAGAACTCTGACTCAGCAAAAAACAAAAAACATTTCAAGAAAATATACATAACAACAGCACAGAAATAAAACATGTCTGATTTTAGTTATGTGTCTATCACAATTAAAATAAATAATCATATTATGGTTTGACTATTGTCTGTAAAAGTTCAAAATCTTTTCCTAACTTATATGTGAAGTTGCTGAGACAAAAATAAAAAAAGCCAAGCTAAGGTGTCTCAGCAACTTGGATAAAAATGCTAGACTTAAATCCTTGCTAAATGTCATTAATACCAGAAAAATACACAACTGCCACCAAACCTGAAGTGTAGCTGGTAAGAGATGCCTGCTGAGAAGTGTCAATATGCCATCCAACAAGGATGTCAACGGTATCCTAAAAACCCAAATGGAAAACCAAAAACGTATTGAGAGAGAAGTTTTCTTTTTTCAATTACAGTGGTATAATTGTCCATGTTCAGTATATTTGTGCCTGAGCCAGAAAAAACGGGTTGAATACATCCGTTTGATAAGAATGGAGTAGATAAGTAGTTACAATCATAACAATTCACAGATTATCCTTCCAAACTTATCAAATAGAGCTTACCCTGAAATGACCAGCAAAAGCATGTGGATAGTCTATGGCAATCGGCATCATCACATTCAGGGCTGCACGTAGTAAGTCTGTCAATCAACAACATCACATTTACATTGTTTACAATACATCCAAGCATATAATGAAAGCATTTAAGCATTTACAACTTAATCTCTCTTATCATTTACCAATACCCAATTATATTATAATAATTCTAAATAAGTTTTCCCTAATACCTGAAGTGTCTACATTTTCCAAGATATTTTGCAAGCTGCTCATGACATTCTGCAAATAGTAAAGAATTTTGTTGTTAGAAACAAAGGTCCCTTTTTATCAGGATGAGAAGTCAAGAGAGGGTAATTGACTACTGCTTCTTACCGTCATAAAATCCCTGAAGTATTTGTTCTTAGTGTCTACTTGGATTGCCTTTTAGAAAAAAATGATACAAAGATCAATTAAATTATTTATTCAGTTATCAAAATTATTAAACAAAGTAAAATACAAACCAACCCAGTTTCAAAAGACCATCCAAGTCAAATTCCATTTTAAACTATACCATCTCCTCTTTAAACCTTGATAAAAGGAAGGATAGATGTTGTGGAAATGGTGACTACTGACACAATCAGAGGGAGATATCACAGTTCACAATACAATTCCTATCAGGCCAAGTTCTTTTTTATTCATGCAATGATTTTTTCACTTTTACTGAACGCAAATGTGAAGTAAAACACCAAAAAAAAATTATTGTATAAAAAAGATTCATTTCTATCACTAAGAGAGAAAGGTGTGAAGGTTTGACATTGTCAGTAGATGGACCAAATATTTAATCAAGTGTCCAAAATAGATAACCACATAATAGAAACATAATGCATAGTAGAAACCAGATAATAACAATTGAGACCCAATAAAATGTAAAACTACCTTGTAGAGTGCTGTTAGCAGAAAGATCTTTACTTCATCTGATGCAGATGACTCAAGCTTGGCAAATATCCACTGAAAAAATCTTTGAAATAAAAATATTAATAAATTAACTACACTTATCATAATAGCACCAAGAGTTTTCAAGGGAGGTAGCTGGTTGATCGTGAAATTTGGTTTATAAAGGCTTTTGACTTTTCCTTTCAATTCCCATTCTATTGCCAATTAAGCCATAAAAATAAAGAGCACTGAGATGTATGCATGCTTGCCAGATTTAAATGTGTCTGGCTTGAATTCAATGAAACAGTTACCTTCCAGCTTCATTGCCTAAAATTCCACCAATTATACCACCACATGTTGCTATTTTTTCCTTCAGCTCAGGTTGTCCCCTGAAATTATTTTGAAAATAAAAATATTTACCAAAAGCAACTTATTGTAAACATTTTCACTGAAGACTTCACTTGAAGCAAAAAGTGGTTAAAATAATCTAAACAAACTATCCTCTAGTTCACTAAATATTTTAACAAATTTGATGCATTGGCACAGCAGCAGACAGTGTTTACATCCAAGAAATCCAAATCTTGGCCCACTGAAAGTACAATGCTATGTAAGAAACAAATTTATGAGTTAATCCCTTTTTAGTCCATACATCTTAAAGCATGAACATTTCTAAATGCAACATTTTTTTTGTTCCCTTTCTGCATGAGGCAAGAAAATTAGGCCCACAAGGTTATCATGACATGTCTGCCTCCTGAAGAAGAGTTTAGTTACCTTTCAAAGAGTATATCTTCTACAACTACAAATAGATTCTCTGCATGCTTGTCTACCACCTGGAAATAAAAGGTACCTTCAGGTGAAAAATCCATGGTGATCAACAACAAAAACAATACAATCTCACAAGCTAAAAAAGGGAAACCCTCTTTTGACAAGTTTAAGGAATCATTTGAACTTTGAAATTTTTGTTTTCAAATGAAGGTGTTCAGTCAATACTAATAAAGCCCTAGCAATTTTAATCATTATATATGTATATCTTGCAGTACCTGAGAATTCTCAGGAGCATTAAGGAATTCCTCAAACTGTTGAGCTGCAGTCAAACGCCTGTCTCGCTCAGACTCTTTGGTAATCCTCTTAACAAGATGCGACAAACGAGAATCATCGCCAAACATATTAATTTGCTCTGAAAGTAAAACAACCATACCTTCAGTACACAATAAGTCTTCCCACAAGCCTTGCAGCCCTTGCAGTTCAAGATTACCTCAGTTCCCAGAGTATGAAATTACTGCAAGAATTCCTGATCCTCCCTTGAATGGGATGGTGGTCCCCTACAAGTCACCCCCCAGAATTTGGCCAAGTTCCCGTGATAGTTTAATCATGTGCATTTCTACTATTGCATTAAGACAGGTACAGTGAGAATAAGTAAGGTGGCATGCCTAAGAACACAACATAACACAAAAACAGTCCTAAAACTTGTCATAGTGCAAGTGTCTGAGAAATTACCCAATACTTGCACCAGCTCTTTACAACCATGATGTTCCTTGTTTTTTTGTTCTTTCCTACTTGTTGTTGCTAGGAATTTACAATCCCTGCATCAATGGTCTCTTGCATTGTCAATGATTTAGAGAAATTTTAAGCTAATCAGAGTTAAGGGAGTGGGGGGGAAGGTTCATCTCGCATACATCTATGTTCTAGAGACCATAAAAATGCTGATGCAGTTGGTTTGTTTGTCTCTGTGCTTTCTTCTTCAGGAGATTTGCTCTGGTACAGTGACTGGGGGAGCAATTTTAGAAATGTTTTAGTTAACTTCCCCATTTCCTTGAGAACATATGGATAATCTATTTGGTATCTACTGAAACGATTTTTGTAAGTCAGCAAATTGACAAAAGGTAAACAAAAAAATTGCAAACCTGTTTAAAATAACAAGTTACAAACAAGAAAAAAGAAACAAGCAATTGATAAAATGAATAATATCAAATAAGCTTGTCAAACCAATAAACATCGATAGGAAAGAGTATTTTAAAAGTGAATTTAGACTATGTACCACCGTCACGATATAAAAACCAATTAGGAAGGAAAGAGGTGTCATAAACAAGTAAAGCCGGAAGCCGAAATTAGCGCAATCACCAATTTCCTTTTGATGAATATCAAAAATTTATCGGTCTAAAGAACTAATCAAAAGTTAAGCAGATGGTACTTTAAAATATCGCGTCAGCAAAACAACTACGATTGCAAGTGATTTTCCAAAAATAGTGTATCATTTACAACTGCGGCTTTCAAATTCAGACAACGGAACTGATTACAACGAGAATTTGTAATTGTCTCTCGCGAGTATGCAAATTATCTGCACAAAATCTTTGTGATACGCCAGATATTCAAGAAAGGTGGTAGAAATATGTTAAATCGTTGCACTAACCATTAGTGGAACCTTTAGAACCAAAACTGTCTCGATTTAACTCCCTTGAAGGATCTCGGTTGGGTTCACCTCTTCCGCGAGGAGGTAGTTTCTCAGACTCTGAGCGTAGCTTTCCTTTATCCTTATCAGTGGCTTTGCTGCCTTCTCTATCAGGTACATGTACATCTCTTCTACCTTCCTCATTTCTACGTCTACCTCGCTCATCTTTCTTTTCAGGACGTCGTCTGGAGTTCCGCCCATTCCGTTGTTCTCTCTCTCGATCTCTTTCTCTTTCACTTTGAGTACTTGTCGTGCTACTAACTGAGTCTGCAGAGTGGTCTCGGCCTCTGTTTCGCTGAGAACGATCTCTGCGTGTTTGCCTACCACGGCCCTGTGGTCTGGCGCTCATACCATTTCATTCTGCCATAAAAAGTCTCCACAAAAAACAACAAATTCACGCGTGAGCCTTACACAGCGCCGAGCGCCATTTTGAATACCGAAAAAGTGCCTCGTTTTCATGTTTCTTCAGCTGTTTCCCAGAAAAACCAAGATGGCGGTGGTTTACTAACCCTTCACTTCCTGTTTAGGAACGAAAACATTCAAAATGTGTTAGTTCTCTTGTGGCTAAATCGACCTAATACGGCTTAAATCGAAGTCTGAACGAGATAGGAAATTATCTTTACTGGAACAACATGGGATCTCTATTTAGCAAGAAGAAAGAGCCTGGGCCTGAAAAACCAAAGATTACAGAACAAGACAAAGCAGTTTTGGTGAGTCGCCAAGGCTTAACGTTAAGCTTTTTAAGCCATCAAGCCCTTCTGTTTCATGGAGAAGTAATGTTAAAGAGTCCATTTTTGGACAGTGTAAATCAAATTGAGATCTGTCTCAGTTAATTACTTTTTATATGTACTGTAGCTTATGCATAGTTTTAGATATTATTGTCAAGCTATTATATCATTATTGAGAGGGGAACATATCATCATTATAAATCAAATTATCATATTATCATTATCAGTGTAGATCAAATTGGTAAGGGTCATCAACCTCAGCTTTTATTGATAACCCTCACCTTGATCTTAATTATTCTGGATATCACAAAAACCTAATCCAATAATTGTTTGTTATTTGCTATTATTATTATTATAATTATTAATGTTATTCTTGTCATTTCATTTAGGCATTGAAGCAGCAGAGGGACAAGTTAAAACAATACCAGAAAAAGGTAGAAAGGAATAATTTATTCAGGTTCAAAATGTCTTTGATAGAGCACTAGTCTCAAATCAGTTCTTAGATCACATATTCTGGGGTTCTAATAATTTTAGAGTAAAACTTGAGTTTCTATCAGCCACCTATATTGCATATTTTGCTGCGTACTTCAAAATTTATTGAAACCGCAGGAATTTTCATCAACAGTGTGTGTCAAACATTACTCTAAATTGATTTTGTGTTGTTTCACTTTGAGTTTCTGATCTGTCTTCAGATCTATAGCTAGCTTCATCCTTTAACCCTTTAACTCCCAAAATTTAGTCATTAATTCTCCTCTCTAGCTGCCACACATTTCCTTGTATTTTATTTTCAAGAATTTGGTATTAGATCAAGATAACAAAGCTAGCTTCTACCTGATAAGTTTGAGTATTCTCATAACCTGTTAGCAGGATAATGATTGGATAAATATAGGGGGAAGTCACCTGTCAATCACTAATGGGAGTTAAAGGGTTTAACCAATCAAATAAAACACCCTTCAGACCTTTTTACACTTATAACCACAACCTGGTCAATGACGCTTGAGGCTGGTAGCATATTGTATTAGTTTTCTTGGGCTCTTTGTTACATTTTATTTCATTTTTATTACCTACTGTCAGTGATAACTTTGGCTCAGGTTTACCATGCTTAATAATTGAGCCAGGCTCTTCAAACTGCATGCTTCAAAAATTGATCTGAAGAGTTCTTTATACAGAGTATTCAAATACAACCCAAATGTAGTTGTCTTATCAACGTCTGAGAGTTTTTTCATCATTTCGGCTCTATTGCTAACAAATTTTACTGTAAAATAGATACAACTCAATCTTGAAAAAGAAAGACAATTGGCAAAAAAGTTGTTGCAGGAAGGAAAGAAAAAGTAAGTTTTGACAATGTTTTAAAGTGAAGGACCTAGAGGTTTTGAGACCAACCAGATAATTTAGTTCTGTCAACTGAGTTGATAAATTATGTTAGTTGGCTATCATAAAGAGTTTATAAAGCTTATAGCCCTTTTCAAAGCAAAAGCCCTTTTGTTAGTCCTTTTGCTCTGGTGAAGGGCTAACATGCAAAATGTCAGCTTCAGAAACTCTTTGTGGTGGCCAATCATCTTATTAATAAAATTATCTACAGTATGAACAGTTTGCATAAGTTTATGATATTTAAATATTCAGTTCTTTGAACAATAAGGTTTTTTTATTTGCTATGCAACATTAAAAAGTCTCAAGGAGGCACAATGAGTTAAGTTAAATATGACAATTTGTATAGTGAGGGAACCTAAATGAAGCCATGAGGCTTATATAAGGTTAGATTTCCTACCAAAAGAATATAAGCTCTTACCAACATGTAACATCAAACAAGATGTGTAGGTGGTAAACCAGATCCAGGTCAAGGAGGAAAATAAGAAAAAATCAGAGTTGATAATTAAGGAAAGTTAAATTTTTTCTTTTTTATTGTGCAGTAAAGCAAAGCTTCTGCTTAAGAAAAAGAGATACCAGGAACAGACATTGGAGAGGACAGACAACCAGCTGGAGAACTTAGAAAAAATGGTTTGTTAACAGACGTATAAATTATATTCATGCACTTCATCAAACTCATAGGAGCTTACTTACCAGTATAATATGATTTGATCTGTTGTGATCTCAATTTATGACTTGAGACAGGGATGGACTTAAACTTATGTCTAAAGCTTTTAATGTAGTTAGATAAAAACCCTGCATCTAAAGGGGGGGAGGCAATTTTTGCTGGTTAAGTGTGGCTGGCCTCAAAGGATCCCCCTACCCCAATATAGTATATTCTTTTGCCAATTATAGACCCTATCTTAGTCACTTTTAGTACCTTGGTAACAACTTCTTAACTGCAAATCTTTCCATCTTTAATATCTTACGAACCAGAATTTTATTTTCCCCAAAATCCTGAAAGTTTGCAACCCCATTCTTAGACTAGTAACTCCAATGAATCCAGTCAAGGAAATGTGATCCCATCCAGTGGCGCATCCCCACTAGGCTATTACTAGGATGTATCCCCCCTGGTTTGTTGCACATTCATCAAATTCCAAAGGTGTGCAGCACTGTCTTACCTCCTTTGACCCCTAATCAAAGGGGTTACAAAAATACTTTTCTCCCTCTGGGTACTTGACCCATCATAAAATAAAAGATTCAAGTAAGAGACAAAGAGTGATCATTGTATAACAGGTACAAGATGTTGAGTTTGCTCAAATTCAACTTCAAGTAGCTGATGGACTGAAGCAAGGAAATGAAGCTCTGAAGAAAATGCATGAGGTAACTATGTAAAATTAAAAAGTACTCTTTTCTTTGGCCTTTACATTGATTCAATGACTCCAAATGAGGTGACTCGGAACATGAGCTGATCACTGGAGTTGAGTGAACCAATCAGAACATTAGTAATGCAATATCTGCAGTTTTAAATTCAATAACTAATATTAACTAATATTAACAAATCAAAATTTGCAAGTAGAATGTCATGTCAATTTTTTTTCTGCTCAAAGGAAGTGAATTGTACTTTTTGTCTCAGATAATGTCCATTGAAGATGTAGAAAGAATAATGGATGAAACCAGGGAAGGAATTGAGTATCAGAGGGTGAGTGATATCAATTGAAAAGCTTTGATTTCTGCAGTTTTTAACCAAATGTTTAAAAAAAAACTTTGATTTTCTTTCCACAGGAGATTGACGAACTTTTAAGTGGAAGTTTGACTCAGGAAGATGAAGATGCTGTGTTACAAGAATTAGAGGAGATGACAAACGTTTGTACTTTGTTTTGTGCTTCTGCTGACCTTATTTTCACACCAGGGTCCTTGATCATGAGCAACAGAGTGGGAATGGGGATGCATTGATGATACAAGGGGTACAAAGCCAACCTCCTTCCCAGGATCTCTCTTCTTCCCTTCCTTTATAGCAAATTAAAAGGGGAGAAGAGAGATCCTGGGAACCAGGTTTGTTCAAAGCAAGGGCACTTTTGATTTAACCCTTTTCACCCAAACACCAGTATGCATATTCTCCACACTGTTCTTTATACGTTTCTAAGGTGCTTACAAGGAGAATTTGTTTGCCAATCAAAAGGTTCCTTCCCTGGTGACTATTTCCTTTATTTTCATGATCTTAATGTACAATTCAGGAGTGATATTGTAGGGAGAAATTAGATGCTTGTCAGTCTTTGGGTTTTAAGGGTTAATAAGGTGGGAAGGTGTGAAAGATTTGTTTTAAATACCCTTTTCCTTTGATTGGTGATTAGTCTGTGACAGAGAAGCTTCCAGAAGTACCAACAGAAGAACCATTACCAGAAGTTCCCTCAGAAGAACCTGGTATGTATGAGCTGTCTTGTACATCTACGCACTGTCAGGTTCTTTAATCCTTTTTTTTGTTGTCCCAAAAAATATCCATACCTATTCAGTGGTAGATTTTCTTGATTTGAACTGCAGCTTTGTATCAAATTGTGTTTCAAGTTAGACCTCCCGTCACTTTGGAATTTTCAGTTACCCTTCTTAGGGCAGGTTTGGATATTTTCTGGAATCACACATTGTTGTGAAATTTGTTGCAGAAAAGGTTGTTGGCCATCTCTCAGTGTATGTTTATTATTCTTTTTTCCAACAGTTGAGAAAAGACCACAGAAGGAAAAGAAAGATGAAAGAAAAGCAGAGGTGGTCCCAGCATTATAGACATAGCTGGAGTGTTTCTATCATGATGATCAAATTAATTCACGTTACCATGGCCGGTCCTCTTAGCATATTGTAAAATTCTCTCTTAGTTATAGCACAAGATGGCTGATATAAACTAACCAATTTTAATAAACATGAGAAAGCTCATTTACACATGGCCTTGATGGATCTCTCTACACTAATCCCATCGTCCCTAATGATACGCATTCATTCATTAGTATTCAAAGAACTGAACAATAACTGAACATTCCATTCAGCTTACTATCTGTACAAGATATTTAACCTGAGCTGATAACATTTTGCATGCTCTGTATAAAGTAGTATTCAAAAGCACTAATCTTTTGGCATGTTCAGAAAAAATTTTTAGATAACAGAAAGAAATCATATGAACCCTCAGGAATATGGTTAAATGTTTTGTTTCCTGTTTTTTTTTTTGGCTCTAAACTTAACGGGATTGAGAGAACAGATTGGGAGAGCTTTATCAAATGATGCATTTTTAGTTTTCAAGAGGTAAATGATCTCATTTTTTAATCCACAGAAGAATGCAAGTCAAATTGTATCTTTACAAATTAAACCAATTAATACTTTATTGCATCTTCATTATTGCTCATCCTGTTTACAAATCCACCATATTTTTAGGACTTTCTCACCTGATCTTAAAATAATTTTTTTGTTGTTCTTGTTGTTATTTCTAGTTTCCCCATAAAGGGTATAAAATAGATAAAAATAGTAAAATTTGTGTTTGTTTATAAAATAGAGAAGTTTAATTTACAAATATCTAGTTGCATATCTGCATGTTCTAAAGTGCTTGTGATAGCCAAATCTAAGTGAAGTCTTCAGATGGAGTTCACAATATTTTCACATAACAATGTCCATAAGCACATGCAAGGCACATGAACAGCACTTGAAAAGCATGCATTTTTCAAAAAGCATCTTCACTCACTTTTCCATTGAGAACCAAACTTGCTATTTTATTTCAAAACTTTATCAGTCATTACCTTAACCCTTTAACTCCCAAGATCTGAAAGTTAATTCTCCCCTCTAACTTTTACACATTTCCTTGTAGATTAGTCATGAGAATTCTGCGTTAGATCGAGATAACAATGTAAACCTGATAAGTTTGATTATTCTCATTATGTGTTTGCTGGATTATATATGGATATTTTAAGGGGGAAGTCACTTGTTAATCACTTCTGGGAGTTAAAGGGTTAACAGACTTTTAGAAGCAGAAATAAACAAAATGAATCAGAGCTCCAATCACATCTTGGAAACAGAGCCATTTTATATGAAGAAGGTTCTAAAATAACCCAGAGCCATTAATATGTACATCACAGCTCTCAGTGTGGGTGGTACCATGCAACCAAAGTGTGGCAGCAAAGCCAATCAACAAAGTATTGATCAGAAAGATTTGATTCAGTAAGAAGGACATAAGAACCCAGCCAAAAATAATAAAGTTTGATCCTAGGGCCCCTGACATGAGAACCTGTGACATGACTAGCTTCAAAATCTCTGTGAGAACCTCCAAAACTGTTTGCCCTCAAGTTCCTTCTTTCTCTTCCATGACATCAAATCTAAATTGGATAATAGACAGATCGATCCACAGGAAGTACCACAGAAGTTGTTCAGTATGGTTTAGAAAGTGAGGCAAAGGCTTTTAATGAGCCCTCTATGACAAGGAGATTTGTTATTGCTGCTGTTGTTGATATGGTACTTGTTGTTGTACCATATTCTTCTGTTAAAGTTGTTCTCATTTTGTTAACCAATTTGTACATTGTATCTTACAGGAAACTATGCAATAGAGCCTGTAGAACCACTTGATCATAACCCTTTTTTCTATCAACCCATGAGGTTACTATTGGTAACAAACAGATGTCATATTATTTTGATGCCCAGGACAAATTATGCTTGTGATACATTAAAAACTATTTCAGTTTGTGTCTCGTGGTAATTTGTTCGGTGGTAAGACTGCAATGAAAGAATCAGACCAAAACATTAGACAATTTAGAAACTACCAGAAGTGATTGATTCATGTAACTTCTTCCTATAATATCCAAACACTATCCTGCAAACAGGTAATGAGAATACTGAAACTTACCAGGTTAAAGTTATCTTGATCTTACATCAAATTCTCATAACTTATTTACAAGCAAATGTGTAGCAGCTTGGAGAGAGACTTAACAATCAGATCTTGTGTATTTAAAGAAAATGTTCCTCTCAGCTACTGATCTCAACAATGCTAGTCCTTTTAACACATTCAAGTTTCTATAAGTGATTAACATTCAATGAATTGATATTCCCATTCACAGTAGTCAGTCCTTCTGACACAAAGGTTTGCTATGGTAGTTCTTGTTGCATTATGTTAACCAATGTTATGATAAATAAATATAATTCTGAGATGTATGTTTCTATTTGTAAAGAAGATACTTAAAAGAATATTCAGAAATATATCCCAATCAAGATATTTATTTTCTACTGATACAGTTACCACAAAATTTGTTTGAAAGAGAAATTATTTTTTGAGAAATATCTATCAAACTAGTTTTTATGAGGACAATTTTGTGAATAATAGAGTTTAGTGCTGTAGATCATCTTTGTGTTGAGATCTCTTTTTGTTGGTGAAACTGATTTTGTCTTTTTATTCAATTTGAAGCATCAAATTGATTGATACATAAAGCACACAAAATATTTTTTTAGAGTCCCACCTGGCATCCTTAGTGGGTTATTATGTTGTCATAAAAAGAAACAACAACGGAAAACTTCTTTTGTCACAATTGCTACCCAATTTGTGTCAGTTTTCTGGGTCTGCCATAATAAGTGACAACTCTGAAGATACAGTGTCTTGTTTATTTTCTTGAGAGCAATTTCTTTCCAAGAGTTTCTCTGCTAACAATGGTTTTAGTGTCACGTTATATCACCTTCCTGTTATTTCCTTACTCGCATTTGATTCTTGCGTAATTCCGAGTTCCCGGATGAACTCGGCTCTGGTTTCTTAAGCAATAAAATAGAGTATTCTTCATGGACATCTTGTCTCCTTCGCACGATGCATAACATTAGCAAGCCATGAAGTAAACAGATGAGCATTTATGAATTGTAACTTCTTCGGTTAGATTTATTAAATCTGTAAACCAGAGTAGCATCAAACCATGTCTGAGTACTGAACTTATTGACTTACTGCCAGAATAAAAAAACATTACTGAACTTAAAACTATTCAGGTATCTAATAGATAATTTTTACTAATTTTGCAACAATAGTTACCCTCATTCATAATTGACAGAGAATAAAATAAGTACAGAACGATAAATACTGACCAAAAATACATGCCTACGTGCAAAAACTTGAAGTGAAAGCTCGTTGGGAAACCGATGGGGTCATAGATGTAATTGAACAACCAAAAGCGGCACACTGCTTTCCTTTCTTTTCAGAAGAAAAATTAGCTTTATCGAGATTTCAGCTAGGACCATCCATTTTCCATAAAAATCGAACAATTTTACTGCCCACGAGCGAATTTCACTAAAATCGCTCACAGAGAGTCAGGGGCCACGACTCAGTTCCAGCCTTGTATACTTTATGCGCGGTTACAAGGAACTGCAAAAGGCTGTTGACACGCGAATATGAGCAAAATCTTAATAAAGGACGAGAAGTCGAAAAATGCTATTTTCTCGCCTTACATTCATGTAAGCTAAAACGTAATGTAAAGTAAAAACTTTCTGCATCGCACCGACGAACATAAGCAAATTTCTGAGAGTAAATCCGTAAGTAAAGGATGAGAAGTCGAGATTTTCTAACTCGTTGCACTAAGCGTAATGTAAAGTAAAAACTTTTTGAGTGATACATCATTTTTTGCTTTACATGACGTTTATGTAAAATTTTCTTGAAGTTCTACGTTGTGCCAACCTGCTTCGTGCTCCCGTATATGCAAATTTCTGTAGACACCCTCAAACTCGTTCCTTATTGTTTGAGGAACCTTTAGAACCAAAGCTATATTGATTTAACTCCCTTGGAAGATCTCGGCCTCAGACTTTGAGCGAGGCTTTTCTTCATCCTTATCAGTGGCTTTAGTCTTACTAATATGCGAGCCAGCGAGTCATGCGAGTCACGATGCGAGCCATGCGAGTCATGCGAGCCACGGTTTTAACGTAAGAAAAAACATGCGAGCCATGCGAGCCAAGGTGCGAGCCACGGTTTTTACGTAAGAAAAACCATGCGAGTTATGCGAGCCACAATTTAATCGTAAGAAAAAATTACATAACGCTGTATATTAAATGATACATGACGCGAGTGACACTAGCGACATGTAGCGACGGTTTTAATTTCATAGATGATTCTAAAACGTGATGTAACTGTATTTATCTCGTGCAATTTATTTGTTTAATTATTTATTTTAAGATCTGTTATATTATGTTTTGAAAGGAGAGAAAATGTCGAAGAAAAATACCTTCGAAGATGCGTCTTGGTAGTAAAACGATTTATCAATGTTCAGATAACATCAGTACTGTATAGATTACATAACACTATCGAAGTCACGCATTCTTTGTAGTCTTTAGAGACAGAGATGTTTTTGTTGTTGTTTTTTTTTTGTTCTTGTTATTATTGTTGGTGCTGCTGCTCACAATTTCCTACAATATGGAAAATTACAGTATAATCCAGATTTTTTGGAACCGCCGATTTCATAATACCTTCTGTTATTTGAGCAATCTTTATGTCCAATTAGCTAAACAGAGGCAAACAAAGAAAGGAGAAATTTACCTCATCCAGATATTTCTGGAACCATTTTTTGTTTGTCTGGGAGGTTCAAGAAATCGGGAATCCATGGTATAACTCGAACTGACTTACTCTCTTGACTGTTTTGATTTTCTAGGTTTATTTTACTTAGCTGGTTACTAACAATTGCAAGGTGAGAGTCTTGCTTTGCAGAGTTGAAATATCTCGTTTGAAAAGTTAATAGTAGATAGGCATAAAAAGATCACTTCGCAAATGCAACAGGTGCCATTTTACTGAGATGTTTTTGAACATGTAAACTGACAAATGATCAGCCCACCGTCCGTGATGATGTTTTTGAGAGCGGCGGGTGATATTTTAGTTAAATAAGTCAAGTTTTCAAGTCTATTTCTTTCTTTTGCTGTTCAGTCAAAGGTGTTTCGATTAACAGTGTCATTCCAGTTTTATATGGGCAAATAAAAGAATTCCTCGGCAATTTTCCCATGCACTGCAAACGAGGGCAAAAGAAGAATGTTCTTTTAATCCAGGACTTCTGTATTGTCCTGTAAGGGCCTTCTGTTGTGGCTTGGATATTACCCTCTGATAATTCTTTTTTACAGGTGGCGCATTTAGCGTCCTTTTTAGATGTTCTTTTGTTTATCGTATATTGTTGCTCATCCTCTGAAGGACAAGTCACTTTAGGCAGTGGGACGTTTTCTGGGAATGCCTCAATTATTTGTTTCCACTGTTGATCAGTGAATTTTGACTGGTACATAATCGGCTGCTCTTTATCAAAGTTGAACAAATTGTGGAAAATCCACATCAGGTGGTGACATTCCTTTTTGCACCAGACAGATGAGCAGATGGCAGATTCCTTTCTGATGCAAATCTCTTCGAGATACCCCATTGTATCAAGCACTTTGAACGTGAATTCGGTCATAGAGGAATCACAATGAAGTAGGTCCATGTGAACTTCTTCAACCTTGTCGTGGAATAATTTCTTTTGTTTTTTGGCCACGTGCCCATCTTTCACTTTCTTAACTTGTTTACTTTTTTGTTTTGTTTGATTTTTTTTGTCCGCCCTGTGAGTGTCTTTTGTGTTGATTTTAAACTGCTGCTGTGCATTTTCGTCAGTTTCCAATGCAAAGTCATCATCAATTATAACCTCTGCCTTCTCTGCGATTTGTTGAATTGCGTCGGCCGACGCTTCCCTCGCTCTGGCCACCACGTCCAGCAGACTTTTCCTATATCCGGACCCGTGCAAAGATTTTGCATTTGCCACCTCCGCAGAGGATGCTTCGCTCGATGACTGTGTGCGGCACCATTTTTGCCAACGCGCTTTTCTTCGCCACCACCATGCCTTAAAAGAATTCATTTTTTTTACATTTGTTGATTTTTTTTCAATGAGTTTTACAAGTCGTTTTTCCGCATCTACTGCCTGCAAAGAGGTAGGAGAATTATACGCATCCATCATTATTGATTTGAATTCCTTTTTACTTTTTTGGTCGCCAAAATAAACGGAATTACGGTTGATGTCTTGTTTGAAATGGAAAAAGTCTGAAATGGTCTTGTTTTTTACGTCTTCCCCCTTTACCAAGCAGAGACCACGCCACAGAGCACCACCTTCATCACCGACGTATGATTTTGGATCTAATCCCCGTCCTAAGACGTCTTCATTATCTACATTATATTGGCCAGCCACTTTTGGGAGAACATTGTTAACGGCCGCATCAAAAGACTGCACCATTTTTTTTACGTTATCTGAATTTTCACCTGGTTTGGCTGCAAACATACTGACTAATTTGACATTGCGTCTCAAGATGGGGTCGTAAGTGGTCATCTCAATTTCTGTGTAGTGTTGCGCGCGGCTTTCACAGCCATCGAGGCTTACTGGTTCGTCAACAATGCCAAGAGTAATGAGTGCACCTAATCGCACCTTATGCTCAGACGAAAGAATGACATAATCGTCGCCAACACACATAATTAAGTTTTCATCTAATTTCCTGGCAAGAAAATCGTCCTTAAGCAATTGAACAGCTTCTATCTCCGATCCTCCAGGTCTCTTTCTCTTGTTAATGGTACTCTGTATATACTGAAGATGTTTTTGTTGCTGTATCTTAAAGCTATCTCGTTCACCTCGTCTACTTCTTTACCACTAAGTAAGGCCTCGCGTACAACGTCCAACTGTAGTTGACCTGCTGATTTAGTAGGTTTTATACGGAGAATGTTTTCTACTTCCTCTTTAGACGGCTTATCTTCTTCTTGCTTTGGAGAGCAATCGTGTTCCTGTAAGTAGATTACTGTCATTTTTTGTGGCACCGGTCGTTTTCAACATATTTTCTTGCTGAACAATGCTTTTTAATGGCTTCACTGTGACAGTGAACGCAACGTTTTGATCGATTAAAATCGACTTTGTTTGGAGACTTATGAATTTTTAAATATGCGCACTTCTTGTTTGCGCATTCTAGCGAACCGAGACACAATTGAAGCGTCCTTCTACCACCCTTGCAAAATCCCGCTCTTTTTGCATGGTTGTGCTCTCTACCCACTTCCAGTTGTCTACAACCACTGACAAAGGGTCCGCATCATTGTATTGCACTTCATACTTTACAGGACCTTGAGGAGCCAGAGGAACCTTCTTCACTTGAACTGGCTTGAGTTTGTCAATTTCGTCTTGGTTGGCATACAGTCTACGTCCCTTTCTTAAAACGCTGATGTCCCCATTGCTGTCGCTATCTCTACCAATAAATGCAAAAGGTCGTTAACGCTTCAGGAAGAAAACTGCTTAAGAAGCATAGACTTTTGATAAAACACCACGGCTATTTTCATATCGTATCATAATAACCCCCACTAACACATCTGCATGCCGCCATCTAGTCTACCCCTCCCAAACAACAAAAGAGACGTTTATTTTCATGTGCACTTGTAATGATCTCGAGGGAATTTCCCTGTTTTTACTCCCTTGACGTTTATAACTAATTAGTTTTTTTGTATTCCATTCTGTGCACATTTTTATCCAAACAGAAAACCATTCACCTAAACCCAACACTCTATTACATCAATAAAAGAATGATTACGTACTCTTCATCAAATAGCTTCTGCTTTGCGGGTGACCTCTGGGCGTCCTCTTTGGGTCTTTTAACTGCTGGTAGACGTGGCTTTTTGAGGCGTGTTGTCATTGGAACTTAGTCCACTTACACTGGCGATTAATTCTTCGATGCTGTCATCCTGTTATATTAAAAAAAAATTAAGGTCGATTTCTGCCGCTCTCTCCAACAGCGGCTGGTAATCGAGCCTAAAAGAACCTACAACAATGACTTTTTACAAATGATATCTACACAACATTCTTTGGTTCAGATATATTTTTGTGTGTCTAAAAATTCTGCAATCTTAGCGGACAAATATACGCATTGACGTAGATTTCTAAATTTCCTTTCCATGCACGGCTTCAAGCTACTAATAAAAGCAGAGCTACTTATTTCAATAATTAACCATAACGGGAAAAGAGGATTTTTTTCTTGGATAAGAAACTCAAAAAACGATCAATTGTGATCATTACGTGATACTGGTCAGCTATCAATTAATTGTAACATGGATGTCCACAGAGGTGCCTACAGTAATGGTGCTTGCTACTCTATTATTTTTGAAGGTATGGGGATGGCCTTACGGACCAACAGACGGACGTAGGAACAGTCACGTGACAACCAAATTTTTCAGATCGATGGGTTGCCTAATTTTCTTAAACATTGACCAGTGTTCTTCGGCGCGCAGGATTGTGCAAATAGGTTCTGGGTAAGAGGGTGCAACGTAAATTAGTGATCACCTAGGCGATGTAGGAATCAAGGAGGAAGAATATTGGGACAGTCGTTTTGTTCTGTGTTCAGTTTCGTCAGTCAGTATACAATCACTTACTGATGAAATACGCTGTCTTTTCCGGGTGGGTTGTTTAAGGGGCGAATCGACCTCCATGCCATCGTCGGAGCTTATTTCAACCACACTCTGATCACTAATATCTGCAACCGTCGTCTTAATTTCCTGCTTGCTCTTCTAAATTAAAAAAATGCAAGGCCTGTATAGGTAAAGTGTTGAAGTTCTGTATCTTCTAGTTAAAAACGCGAATAAATTCCTCCTACATACCTTTAATGACTTGTCTTTTGGAGTTTCCTTTTCTTCAATTATTTCAAGATCCGATCCATAAGAGGATGTGTCATCGGATATTTTTCGTCCTCTCCATAAACTCGTCCTGGGGTTGTATTCTTCTGTGGATTCCCACCATTCCATCTCTTGATTTTTTCGTCCTTTGGGTGTCTGAAATTAGACACAACAGAATGAGTTTCTTAGTGTATCTACCGCTAATGACGTTTATTTTATCTCCGCCTCGCCTCTTTCCACTTCCACCAAAAAAAAAGGCAGAACCAAAACGATTACGTGGTTAGAACTAGATGAGTCACCCCGTTAAAATTGTACCTTTGTTGTCGTTGTCCTTTTAGCTTTGAAAGTTTTACCGGAGGATGTTTTAATTTCTTGAGCACTTTTTTCCTCTTTGATTTTAGGGGAAAAACTACGAGTACGTGGCTCAGAATTTCCCTTGGAAGATCTCGCCGCCGTTGCATAGCTTGAAATTGCGTATCACAGGTCAAATATGAACATGTGCCCAAGTTGTGAAACGAACCCAGGCACATCTGTTTACATTATGTATAGCACATGGAAGTAACCAATCCCACCCTTTGCTTGAGCTTCAATGGGACGTAGTGATTACCACTGTGTCCGAAGTAAAGAGTGCCAACTGAGGGACCCAACTGAGGCTCCACAACTTTAACGAAATTGTCATCCTGTAAAATAAAATGTAAAGAAAACAATTTATTACTCCTTAGTAAAAAACTTAATTTCGTTTTCTGAAAGCAATGGAAACAAACGTGAAACATTGGATGACAACAATTATTTACCCCATGCACTGTAATAATCATGATCTTGTAGTGCATCACATTTGCAAAGGCGCTAATCACTAAAGAATTAGCATAATTATTTTCCAGGATCTTCAACGCTTCTGACCACACAGCAGGCACCTTTTCACCACCCATATCGACGTCACACAAGAAAGCCAAGCGGTCATTTCCCTGGTCCTATTATGAAAAAAAAAAAAAAAAAAAAAAAATGTCACAAAACCTCGTACAAGAGACGGCTTTTCAGGTGGTTTCAAAACTTTAAACTATTCATTTTTCCTAAAAAAAAATGTCTGCCCAATAGTCTTTCAGTGTGCGCAGTGAGAAAAGTGTGATGCCCAAAACGTTGCTTTTCAGATGCTCTGTTACGAACATTGTGACAAATATACATGCAGCTCGTTTAAAGTGAACCTCTGAACTGGGAGGCAAGGAAAATTAGGCTTAAAAATAAATACACGTTAAGGAAAAATAATGAGCCCTAGTGTACAATGAAAAAAAAAAAGACTTGGATTAGGGCTCAATTAAGGAAAATGATGTAAAAACTAAGTACAAGAAAAATATTTCATTTCATTCCGTTTGTTTTTAATACTCTTATTAACCGGGCGTCGCTTATGTCATCATCTGTTGTCGGTCACGCAGTCACTTATACTACGGTTAAATAACTTACGTCAAACTGATGGTTTCCCAGATAATTAAAAATGAGGTTGTGCAAGATCTCCGACTTAAGTCCCAGTTGAAACGCTGCAGCCCGATAGAAACAGCTTCCATCACCGGGAGGATTAAAAGCAATTTCAAATCCTTCTTCTTCTATCCTCTGCCGAAGTTCCATTTCAATTTCCATTTTCTAACAAACCCGAAAAAGTAAAATTTACTGTTGACAAAAAAATACTTTTACATTTCGCAATGTTAACCTCGTCTGAGGCTGTGCTGAAAATGTTCAAGAAATGGAACTAATACATTAAAAATACATATATCCGAATCTCACTTACCTCACTTGAATGATATCAGAAGTAAACGCCAAAAAAAAGTACTTTCTTCCTCTCCTGATAATTTGTTCCGACTGGAAGGAAAAAAACCCACTGCACCTCTTTGGTAACGTGCCAAGGAAGAACGCGGTAAAGGAATGGGCTCTAATATATACTTCTGTCCGCGCATGGACTCATGAGTAAGTAGTATTGTACGATATATTTTACATACATGTTTAAAGGGCATGTAAACCCAAAAATACATGTTTTTCTTATACTATGTAAAAAGTGGCGTAGAAAACGAATTTGAAATTAGTTTTGTCCAATTCGACTTATTTTAGGAGAAAATCGGCATTTTCAACTGAAATTCCATTTCCGGTAAAAACAATAGCGAGAAGTCGTGACGTAAGCGGTGGAACCAAAATATTGCGCAACACATATTCAGAAGATAGCGACTCGAATGCCTTAAGCTTAGTACATGACAGCGCTGGGGATAATCCAGAATCTTCAGGAGAGTCTGGGCCACGTCCTTAACAATATGAGCCGCGTAGGGTTCACCGTAGCGATCCGCACGAAGACAGTACAGAACATGTCGACAGCGATGCGACCGTCTCGGAAACCCAGACTGGTATTTAATTTACTTTGTGATTTATTTGTATTTAACATGAAAATGCAATAAAGCGAGGGTACTATCTAAAGGAATGCAACAGAATTTTTTTTAACTTGAGCTTCTGAAAGTGTTTTATACAAAATTATCAAAGGTGCGAGTGTGGAACTTGTCAACCAATGCCGACAACTCATGAAAGTGTTTGTTGTACGGAAATCGGGCAATTGTGGCAAAATGGCCTGAAACCCAGATAAGTTGTATCACTGAGCATCCAGGTTTTCAGTCAATTTGCCTCGATTTCTGGGTGCTGGAGACGGCCAAGTACGCGTACAGGCAGCAGCAAAGCACAGATAATCACACCGGAAACGACTAAGCTAAATATTTTCTGTTTCATCTGTTTTGTTACATTTTGAGATCGATTTACTTGAGTTGTTTCTGCCATTGATTTAATAATACAGTACTAGAGCTAGTTGTTTTTCGCTTCTTTCCTGACAGGAAATTTCGCTAAATTGCCTACAGATAGCTTGTTCGTTGGTGTTGGGGATATCTCGGCAAACACTTTAGGGTCGCTGTGCTATCTTGTGTGGTAAACAATATCCTTCATCTCAGAAGCATTTCCATCGATAAACAAGTTGTATCATGTACATTTCCTTGTGTGGCCTTCATAATTATCCAACCCTGTTTGTGTTTGCTTCGATTTGAAATATTGAAAAGATAGTTTTGCAAGCTGAAATCAGGATCTTTTAAGTTGTACTCAAAATGATGAATATTGTCCTACTGACCTTTGAATGTATTTTCACTGCTGTGAAAACCGTGACACAAATTCTTCTGCTGTTTCTCTTCAGGGTTTCTCAAAGGAAGCACCAAGTGGGGCTGGCTTGGATTTTCTTATAGAACATAAGGGTTGATTATGGGATCCTGTATAGAATTCTTTGTATCGAACCGACAAAATTCCAGATCACGTTATTACACACTGATATCAACGAATTCTCTTTCTTTGATACGTGTTTCGAATTCAGGCAAAGGTTCAGACATGTCAGTGTCTTTTACGGGCTCAGCGCTGGCTCCCGAACAACTGGCTCCCCCATAATATTTCATTAGATGAGAAAAAAGATGTTTTTAGAGAACCAATAAAGCTATTGTTGTTTAATTAACGAAACGTTTTCATGTAAATCGATTTTGTACTTTCTCTGTTGACCTCTAACTTTTGAAGAGCTCAACTTCTTTCTCAGTTCGGTCGGCCACTTCCGAATCCTCGTCGTCTGCCGACTGTATGGGTCGTTTTTATACTTCCGAATAATTTGCTTCTGGTGAGGCCTGAATCGTCGGTACAGCACCAGGAAGAAAAATGACTGCTACAAACAACAGAACGTTCGAACGGCTCGACGAAATTGGCTATTTTCACTTGAACAAATTTCGCAAATTGTCGCTTCAAATTTGCGTCATTTGGAAATATTTGCATTGTATGCCCAGTTTTGTTTGAATCAGTACAAAACTGGACGACACAACGCTTCACCATTACGAAAAAAATTGAATATATTGAAGCAAACTGTAAGTAAAAAAATCATGACGAGACCAGCAAACAACGGCTGTAGAGAAGACTCCTTCATGCCTCACGCGATTATAAAACGAGACTTTGGAGGGTCCACCCGTGACGTCACAGGAAAGATGGCGCCGTTCAAGATGGCGAATGTTTCGAATTTGGAAGGGCTTTTACAAAGTGAAAATGGACTTTTGAGAATAAACGAATGGTACCTTTGGTGTACTTGATATATTTACAAAACATCTATGTGAAAAGAAAATGAACGTTTTTTGGGTTTACATGCCCTTTAATTTTTTATTTGATATATTTTTATTTTTCATTTTTCATGGCTCGCACCCTGGCTCGCATGTTTTTTCTTACGTTAAAACCGTGGCTCGCATGACTCGCATGGCTCGCACAGTGACTCGCATGACTCGCTGGCTCGCACATTAGGCAGACCCGAAGCGCAACTAGAAAACGAACTTCGGCGGGTACTTTTACAAGTTCCATGTCCCGAGGAAACAGGAATGGACGTCCCAGTAAAACAATCTTCCACAAAGACTTGGTGATAATTCCAAACCCTAATACAAAGCAAGTACCAAGTCACGTCAACAAAGTGAAGCTCGAAGAAAAGGGGCTTATACTATTTTGCGAAACGAAACGAAACGAAACGAAACGAAACGAAATCGGGTCAGATGAAATAAAACAAAAGGAATAATGCAGATATATTTTCAAATAAGGTAAAGATAACTTTCACAAGGATTTTGGAGTAATCGTTCATTAACACGAAGGATTTTTATTCATTTCGCAAAATAGTAATTTTAGGAGAGTTACTATTTTGCGAAATGGACTATTTTCACTCTGCGGTGACAACGTGACCTCTTTCATGTCGCGAAAATACATTTAAACATTACAAATTAGTATATAACCGAACATTTTGGCCTCCTCTTATTTCTTCAACCGTATTAAAATATATTTCGCAAAATAGTAATTTTAGGAGAGTTACTATTTTGCGAAATGGACTATTTTCACCCCTGCGGTGACAACGTGACCTCTTTCATGTCACAAAAATACATTTAAACATTACAAATAAGTATATCACCGAAGATTTTGGCCTCCTCTTATTTCTTAAACCGTATTAAAATGTATTTCGCAAAATAGTAATTTTAGGAGAGTTACTATTTTGCGAAATGGACAATTTTCACCCTGCCGTGACAACGTGACCTCTTTCATGTCATAAAAATTCATTTAAACATTACAAATTAGTATATCACCGAACATTTTGGCCTCCTGTTATTTTTTAAACCGTATTAAAATGTATTTCGCATAATAGTAGTTTAAGGAGAGTTACTATTTTGCGAAATGGACTATTTTCACCCCTGCGGTGACAACGTGACCTCTTTCATGTCACAAAAATACATTTAAACATTACAAATTAGTATATCACCGAAGATTTTGGCCTCCTCTTATTTCTTAAACCGTATTAAAATGTATCTCGCAAAATAGTAATTTTAGGAGAGTTACTATTTTGCGAAATGGACTATTTTCACCCTGCGGTGACAACGTGACCTCTTTCACGTCACGAAAATACATCCAAACATTACAAATTAGTATATCAACGAACATTTTGGCCTTCTCTCATTTCTTAAACCGTATTAAAATATATTTCACAATATAGTAATTTTAGGAGAGTTACTATTTTGCGAAATGGACTATTTTCACCCTGCGGTGACAACGTGACCTCTTTCATGTCACAAAAATACATTTAAACATTACAAATTAGTATATCACCGAACATCTTGACCTCCTCTTATTTCTTAAACCGTTTCAAAATTTATTGCGCAAAATCGTAATTTTAGGAGAGATACTATTTTGCGAAATGGACTATTTTTACCCCTCAATAACTTTCTTTTCGGGTCACAAAAATACGCTTAAACATTTCATTATAGTATATTCTCGAAGGGTTCGGTCACCTCCTCTTTCTCTATCCAGATATAATTAATTTCCCAAAGTAGTAATGTCAGAAAAATTACTGTTTTGCGGAATAGCTAGGCTATTTTCACTCAGCGGTAACGATGTTGTTATTCTCGTGTCGTACAATAGGTTTTCGGTAAGTTTCAATTTAAAGCACTATCAAATCTCAAAAGGTCTAAGCTATCTTCACCTATATAAACGTCTTCTAAGTTTATTTTGCGAGGCAGTAATTTTTGAAGAATTACTGTTTTGCAAAATGGACCATAAATGATTTAAATGCCGCCTGAGAAAACTGACTCGTGACAGATTGGGTTTACAGGTCTCACCTTTCCTTGTACGTAAGTGTTTTAATTAGCTGTGGTCTGTACTTCTTCACTGCCAAGCAACAAGGCGGTGTTTTCCTTTCCTCAGCTTCAAATGATTAAGTAAGAGCCAATTAATAACTCCATCTCAATAAACATGCAACAAGAGGTTTGAGCTAACAGGTTCATTTAATCAAAATCGACAACTGTGTAGTACCGTATTGCGTGACGCCGAAACCAAGTTAAGAGAGCCCCGCTGAAGGCCCAAACCGAGGTTGTGTCCAATTAATGACATGGGAGGGAGCGGAAAGTAAGAGGTAAAAGCTGTTTTTTACTAGCGACGGAGCTATTCTAGGGGGGGGGGGAAGTTGGTATGTTCTCCTGAGAGATTTGAAAGACTCCATTTCGTGCGTTTTGAAGGGTGTGCACTGTTTCGGTGCAAAACCAACATGACGGTTTTCCAGTGGCGTCTAAACATGTTACACTCTCCGTCTCGTATAGAGAACAGAAGCATATCCATGCCGAAATAGTCGTCCAGCAGTTTTATAATCGCAAGTAATACAGTTACTTTGCTTCAAAATTTTTAATAAAAATAATATACATGGAAAAGTTACGCGCTTCTGATTACACCCCCGTCGCACACCTCTTCCTTACGAGCAAGAGATCGTGTTTCGCACTTGCGCAAGTTCCACGTGCTGAAAGAAGTTTGCTTTGTGCTCGCTTTGTGTGCTGTTAAATCAGGCAAGATTATGGCTTTTAAATTTCCTGTTCTTAAGCCCAAGACCATCGACTGTTCAGGTCTTCCAGTTCATGATTTCAAGTGTTTGACAAACAAGGAAATCATTGGTAAGGGCGCTTATGGTGCTGTGTTCACTGCTAACTGGCAGACTGTTCCTGATGCGGGTGGGAAGTCAGCCGCTGCGGAGAAAGTGGTCGTTAAGAAATTGCTCGGCGAGGACATATTGGATAAGAAAACGTTTGTAAAGGAAGCAAGAATCATTCAAGAGTTGAAACATCCAAACATTGTGAAGTTCAAGGGAATCTGCAACAATCCCTTCGCCCTTATTCTCGAGTATGTGTATTTCGATTTCCAACCATTCGGTATCGAGTCAAAAGTTAGCTCCCTTGCAGAATTTCTTGGTGTTCTTGAGGGCTCCGATTGCGACGGTTTCGTCACCCCTCAAGTCATCTCCACCATTTGCAAGGACGTAGCATTGGGTCTTAAATATCTGCACGACAAAGATGTCGCCCATCGGGATTTAAAGCCGGCTAACATCTTGGTCACCAATCAACACTACTGTGATCTGACTACAAGTGCTCAGAGAGAAGGCTGGGAACAGCGCCCTCTGCTATGTAAGCTAACTGATTTCGGTGAAAGCCGCTCCACTAAGATACAAACTAATTCCATCCTGCAGTCCCAAACTGCTCGAGTTAATCGAGGAACACCGGTATATATGGCCCCAGAAATGCTAATTGAAGCGATTCGTTTACCGCTTGCATCAGGAGAAGATCTTAAAAGAGCCGACATTTGGTCTTTAGGCATGACCCTGTTTGTATTACTGAACCCTTGTGTCAAGTATCCCTACTTTGATGAGATACAAGCAGCCCTAAGAGAGGGAAAAACACCTCTGCAAGTACTGGAGCATTTCTTCACAACGAGAAAATTGCCAACGGAGCCATGCAAATATCAACACAAGCATGCTACTGACTGGTATTCGGTCAACAAGATTTGGCTTAAGTGTGCTCAATTTGACCCTGATAAACGGCCAAAGGTTGAAGAAGTGGTTTCCATGATCAGCCAGGGATCTACCATGTCTACTCTTAATATCCCCTTGAAGGTTAGTCATTTGTATTTTTTAAAGGGTAATATTTTTTAATCTTGTCAAGAACGAGGAAAATGTTCGTGAAAGGGTCATTAATGTAACCCAGCCAGTAATCGAGCTTTGCAAATTTCCTGAAGAGTGCGAAGTGTTCCGTGTAGAGAGTAATTTTACAAAACTGCAGTTTATCAAAATATACCATTTTAACTTTCTGCAAACAACCTTGTTCTTTTCTCTCACATGATGATTTGGCATGGAAATACGTTTCACAAAGATATTTTAAAAACCATTTTTTAAACGACAATTGTAGACACAAAAAAAATTAAAAACCACATTATCTTAATGGCAAAAAGGAATTTGGAGAAGTATTTGTTGGGAAAGTGGAATATTTCCAATGCGTGGTGACAGTCTTGTCGTCCTTGTCTCCTAAAAAAGCCCTCGAACATCAGATAAAACAAGCTAAAATAAACTTATAATGTTAAAAATAATTACAGTAAAGATTATTCATCTTTGTGTGAAAGTCAAACTTTATTCCTCACAGGTCAGTCAAGCCTCATGCCTAGAACAGTACGACAGAAGGGTTGCACAGATTGTATCCAGAGGTGACAAGGTACCTGAAGAATTTCCGGATAATGATGTAACTAATGCCTGTGCCTTTCTATGTGTAAAAATTGCTCATGAAATACATAAGTTCCGAGAAGAAGCAATTGGGGGTAGTAAGAAGCTGTGGCAAAATATTTGCGAAATGGCAGAAAATGTCATCACAGAGTTCCCCCGAGTGGTAAATCCATACAGGAATTGTGAGGAACTCTACGATGTTCTGTCGGCGTACCAACTGATACGGAGTGTTGGTGCTGAAGTTGGCAAGTACGATTTTTCCGATGAAATCTTGGAGAGCGACTTCGTATTCTCCCAAAAAGGGCAGACTAACCTTGTCCATGCCTTATCTTCCATGTTATCGAAGAAAGATTTTTGCGTTGCCATCTACACCTGTGAGCCATTAGTCTTCATAATTGGCCTTGCAAGCGACTGCTTCTTTATTGTAGATACCCATCCTGTTCCCGCCGAAGTTGGTGGTAAAGGCACCGGCCTTCTCAAAGTATTTTCAGAGGTAAAAGAAGAGGAAACGGCATGCGAAGGAGTCTGTCGCTGGATATGGCAGCGCCTGGTTTCTAATGGTGTAAAAAATTATATGTTGCAGTCGCTCTCTATAATGAGCGAAAATGAAAGGTACCAGGCCTATTTCTTATGATTATTACAATATTATCCTTTACTGTTATTACACCGACGAAAGTGTAGCAGAGGAAATGGATGAATATCGCTTGATGTCCAAGTAACTTTACTTTCGAACACGGTATCCCCTGGAACTGAGAAAGCAAATTTACCATCTATATATTTGAAATTAACTTTGAACAGGTTGTCCAACAGATGATATTGCGGGGTTTCGTTTTTAAAATAATTTTTCTTTCATTTCAGTGTTTCGCCATCTTCGACTAGTAAAGAGCTGGGATTAATAGAGAGAAATGGTATGCAATCTTATCGTTTAGGCACAGATGTAATAATAGCTTGCTTAATTACCACCAACTTAAAGCCGAGTTTCAGGTATTCATATACTGAGCGAGAATTGTAGTGAATACAGTTTGACTGAAAGCACGGTTTGTATTTACCTTAAAGCGTCACTTACAAAACCGGTGGTCGATTTTCGTCGTTTAAGATTAGCACTTTCCTGTACAAACCATTAAGTTAAATACATTTCCCTGATGCAACTGTACTCATTCATGTCTGAATAGAAAGCTTATTTGGTTTTACATTTCAACGAACGCAGTTACACTAAAACGCCAGTTACCCTACTACGGTAAAATTACGTACTTTTTTAAGGAAGTTACTGACTGTTTATTGTGGGGTTTGTCAGAATTTGAAATACATGAGAATTGAACTGCATAAATGCAATGTTGCCTTACTTGATACTGTGAAATTCACCGATGATTGCTCACCGATTGGCAACAGCGGTGCCGAAGAAAGTGTAGGGAGGGCAGAGCTATCTGTTCCAATGATTGTGCTCAGCAGTAGTGATGGCTCCGACGTAGTCCATACCTCAGAAAGCTATATACATATTGGCAAAGGCCTGGTAGAAAACGAACCTGTGAAAAGTTCTGTGAGCATCAGTTTGGCGTCCATGAGGAGAGATGAGCCCGTGAATGAACTGGATATTACGGGTTCCACAGATGGCGCTATTTACAAAAAACTTCAGCAGTTTATAGAGTCTCAACAACGCAGAGCCAAAACGAATGCATTCTCCAAGACTCAGTAAAGTTAACCTAAGTGCAGCCCGCGAGCTGGAAGAGGAAATGGAAGACGATAGCGGAATCCCTTCATGTTCCAAACGACCCTCGAAAAGGTCCACGTAAGTGCCAAAAAAAACTAAGCGGGACTTCTGTTTTTCGGTTATTAACCTTTGTATTCTCCATTAGTATCTTAAGAAAACAGGAACACTCAGTTTTTGCTTTTCCGAATAGAATTTACACGTCACATAAGAAGAGAATTGTTACAAGCTAATGATAGAGGACCCACCGGATTAATTTATTTGTTTCTTTTATATGGAAACGATTAGGTCAACTGAAGTCGAAATAGCATCGCCGTTACACCAAAAAAAAAAGACGGCGGCGGTCTCACGTATCTTCTTCGAGCAGCCTTAACGTGTCTGAAGAAGATGAGCCCGAAGTTGACTCCGACAATGATAACTACGATCCCTACAGCAATGAAGACGACTCCGAGAAAGCTCAGGAAGGTAAAGAAAGATTAAAAAAGAGAAAGGAAGCAAAACAAACAAACAAAATTGAAAAGGAAGGGGAAGAGACCACAGTTTAAATGATGAATTTTGAGAAGTTGGAAAAAGGTTTTTAGAAACCACAAGTTTAGTTTTCTCTCAACTGCCCAGAGCCTTTGTAGTTGATTCAATCGATCAGAATTGAGATTTTAGAAGAAACAGACGGTTTTGAAACACCTTGCGTGTTTCACTTTAAGAAGGAGTTTTGTATAAATGCTTTATAATTGGTAGGCGTTCATTTAAGGTATTTTGAAATATATTTTCGTACGAAGCATACTATATTTCCCCATAATGATAGAGAAAATGGCTGCAAATAGTATCAAGAGTTTTTGCTTATTATCTGTGTTTCGTTTGTCTTTTTAGGCCTAAAAATCAATGGGCAACCTGTTTTTAAAGTTTCTCAGAAGGGTCTTTCAACAAAAGAAGTTATAGATATCTGCATCGCAGGTAATTTTGACACTAAGAAAGTCTGCCGCAAGGTGGCACACGGAGTTACCGAGGCGGCCATTTTTATTGTCGATCTAAACATCGTTAATGAAGGAGATTTGACGACGGATGATAACGGAGTATACGCGCGTCACTCTTGTCCCACCGAAGTTGTCAGGGTAGATTTTTCCAGTGAATCTCGTATCAAAAGAGTCAGCAAACGTAAAAAAGGAAAAAATCCTAAAGGAAGCCACATTTTTTCTGTCAAGCGTCATTACAGCTGGCATGCTTCTTCAGATGAGTTTTGCCGTATTATAACTAAGGTACATGACCACCGCAAAGGGGAGCTTGGACGATATGCTGTTATACAATATAAAGTAACAGAGGAAGCAGAAAAGCTATTTTCTAGAAAGGCCCATGGAAACGTGAAACATCACAAAGAGGCTTTTTTTCGAACAAAACCAAGCGTTCTTACGAGGATAAAACAGTATGCCGAAGAGAATCCTGCAAAGCACGTAATCACGAAAGTACAGCAAGATGCAGGTGGTGTTTCTAATGTCACATCTGTGTCCGACATCCCACGTAACAGAAAACAAGTATACAACCAGGCCAGCAAAATAGAAAATCGCATTCGTTCTCGGAGTACAGGACCACAAAAAGCAGCCGATTTTACCAAATTAGTTACTCAACTGCAAACTTCTGACTTTGTAAAAGATGTTTCATTTGGTCTTCGCCACGGAAAAGATACCTCCCCAAACACATTCGCAGCGAAAGATTTGCATATTGAATGGTTAAAAAGTTTTTGTTCAGGAACCAGTCCCAAATCTCAATGCGGTATCGATATGACTTACAACTGTGGACCTTTTTATTTGACAACTTTAACTTTCCCACATCCAATGTTTGTTCATAGAAATGCACGCGATAAACACCCAACTACTTTGGCAGGCATCATGACAAGCACGAGTAGGGAAATGGAGGACTACGAGTACCTAGCAGCAAATTTAAAGAGGAAGGGCATCTGTAATCTAACCTATGGAACTGATGGAGAAACTCCTTTGGAAACAGGCTTCGAGAAGGTATTTCCAATTCATGGAACTTCTTCAAGTGACACAAATGTCCATCTCCGATGTTTTGACCATGTTAAAACAAACATATATAAGAAGTTAACAGAATTGAAGGTACCGTCACCAAAGCAAACGGAAATAGCTCGCGAGCTTCTAGGCTCTGAGCATGATGGGAGAAGGATTATAGGTCTTGTAGATTGTACCTCTGAAGAGCAGTTTGATAAGGAGCTGAAGGTTACTGAGGGCCAATGGCCAGAGGCATTTACCAAATGGCTTCACTCAAGTGAAGGTCGTCTTCGACCTTTATCTGAGAGTATGAAGAAATGCATGTTACGACCTGTTCGTGTTGCTGCTGGCCTTGGAAACCCGCCAAACAAGTGGCAAAACCAGAGAACCGAGGCATACGACAATGTCATAAAAGAGGAGATTTCCAGACAGAAAACTGATCAGGTGACAATACACGATCTCATTGAGAAACGCGTAGTGCAGCCTCATTTAGATGAGCTGGTTAAAGCCATCTATCAGATGGGAGAATATCGTCTGTCCGCAGACTATAATCACCTTGAGGTGGATCCATTACAGTGGACACAAATGACATCCCAGCAACGCGACGCAAAAATAAAAAAAGTCTTTGGTTGTATCCTTCCCAGTAGAAGGAGGGATGAGGCCATCACTAGAAAATTGTCCATAGGCCTTGTCGAGTGCCAGCTCTCATTACAATTTCCTTCCTATGAGCTTAAAGATATATGAAGGAGGGCGGAAATCATACTGTCGCATGATAAGATCATAGAACTTGCAAATACAAACTTCTGCGTCACTGAGTTTGATACCAGTTACACAGTAAAAACAAAGAAAGAGAAGATATCGTGCGACAAGACCTGCAAATCTTTCCTTGATAGTGGTGGTTTGTGCCCTCACGTCCTTGTTGTCGCTGAGAAGATTGGTAAGCTGCGAAGTTTCATCACCACTTACAAGAAAGCTTCTAACAAAATGGGAAAAATCATCAGCGCAAACCTCTCTAAACAGCTTGAGGAAAAGCCGAATCAACGAGTAAAACAAAGAAGAGGGAAAAATAACGTAAGCCAAGTGACAGTCGTGTCAGAAGAAGACCCCTATGACGTTATGGTGCCAAAGCCCACGAGATACATCGAGTATTACCAGAATGACGAGCCCTTTTATGTGGTGTTTACTCATGACTACTCGAATGCAAGAACATGCACCGGTTGCACAAATGAGTTCTCCAAGAGAATACAGATAGCGCCCTACGACATTGTTCTACTTTACGAGGAGCGTTATCGCTACCCTAAAAAAGACGATAACGGCAATGTTGAAATGGTCGTAACGCATAAAAAAAAGGCAAAGAGGTTTTATTGCATTGATAAGAGCTGTATCCTTCCAAGACACCCGTATTTCTGGAGAGGCTTGATAACTGTCACCAACAGTGTAAAGCAGCGTTTGAAAGACGGTCACAAGGATTTGTTTCTTGCAATGTTGAAGTTTGAAATAGGTGAAAATTACACAAAGACCTAATTCAACAAATTAATAGTATTTCAATTCTTGTTTCTACATTAGTCTATTCAGTCGTTACAGTAGAACTCAGCCAGCTCAAATTTCCTAAGGAGACAAAAAATTGTTCGAGTTAGCTGATAGTAAATGACTGAAAAATTGGGCCAAGGGAAATTGGATCTCATTCGAGTTACCGGGGGGTTCGAGTTAGGGGGGTTCTACTGTATTTCAATCGCATTTAAAACTTTCTCAGGTTTTGGGTTTCCAGTAAATTTGCAATTTTTAAAGCATATGTAAATCTTTTAAGTAATCAAATATGTACTGTTGACAATAGAATGGCAATATTTTTCATCATGGCGTAAAAATAATTCATTTCGTAAAGTAGCAATTCTTCCAAAATTACTACTTAAAGAAATATATTTTTATACGGTTTAGGAAATAAAGAGGTGACCAAGATCGGGAGTGCACCATAATGTAATGTTTAAAAGTAAATTTTTGACCCGAAAAGAAAGACATTTTTGTCATTGAAGGATAAAAATATTTCGTTTCGCAAAATGGTATGCCTCCAAAAACTAAAATTAGAAGATCCTCGCAGCTAAGAACACTAAATCTTCATTCACTCGGATGTTTATTTATACCCAATTCATTGACCAGCTCCCAGTTGGCTTGTTAGCTCAATTGGTAGAGCGCTGCACCGGTATCGCAGAGGTCATGGGTTCAAATCCCGTACGGGCCTGAAAAATTTTTTTCAGATCCTACTTACAACTACTAGTTTCAGTAGTGTTCTTAGCTGCGAGGATCTTCTAATTTCATCTTTCCACCGCAGTGCAAATATGTGAATTTTCATATATCTAAATCTTCATTCACTCGGATGTTTATTTGTACCCAATTCATTGACCAGCTCCCAGTTGGCTTGTTAGCTCAATTGGTAGAGCGCTGCACCGGTATCGCAGAGGTCATGGGTTCAAATCCCGTACGGGCCTGAAAAATTTTTTTCAGATCCTACTTACAACTACTAGTTTCAGTAGTGTTCTTAGCTGCGAGGATCTTCTAATTTCATCTTTCCACCGCAGTGCAAATATGTGAATTTTCATATATCTAAATCTTCATTCACTCGGATGTTTATTTGTACCCAATTCATTAACCAGCTCCCAGTTGGCTTGTTAGCTCAATTGGTAGAGCGCTGCACCGGTATCGCAGAGGTCATGGGTTCAAATCCCGTACGGGCCTGAAAAATTTTTTTCAGGTCCTACTTACAACTACTAGTTTCAGTAGTGTTCTTAGCTGCGAGGATCTTCTAATTTCATCTTTCCACCGCAGTGCAAATATGTGAATTTTCATATATCTAAATCTTCATTCACTCGGATGTTTATTTGTACCCAATTCATTGACCAGCTCCCAGTTGGCTTGTTAGCTCAATTGGTAGAGCGCTGCACCGGTATCGCAGAGGTCATGGGTTCAAATCCCGTACGGGCCTGAAAAATTTTTTTCAGGTCCTCCTTACAACTACTAGTTTCAGTAGTGTTCTTAGCTGCGAGGATCTTCTAATTTCATCTTTCCACCGCAGTGCAAATATGTGAATTTTCATATATCTAAATCTTCATTCACTCGGATGTTTATTTGTACCCAATTCATTGACCAGCTCCCAGTTGGCTTGTTAGCTCAATTGGTAGAGCGCTGCACCGGTATCGCAGAGGTCATGGATTCAAATCCCGTACGGGCCTGAAAAATTTTTTCAGATCCTACTTACAACTACTAGTTTCAGTAGTGTTCTTAGCTGCGAGGATCTTCTAATTTCATCTTTCCACCGCAGTGCAAATATGTGAATTTTCATATATCTAAATCTTCATACATTCAATTAGTTTAGAAATTACTACATTAAAGAGGAGGTGACCGAGATCTTTGAGAATATACTAATCTGTAATGTTTAAATGTATTTTCGTGACGTGAAAGAGGTCACGTTGTCACCTCAGGGGTGAAAATAGCCCATTTCCCAAAATAGCAACTCTCCTAAAATTACTATTTTGCGAAATACATTTTAATACGGTTTAAGAAATAAGAGGAGGCCAAAATCTCCGTTGATATACTGATTTGTACTCTTTAAACGTATTTTTATGACATGGAAGAGGTTACGTTAGTCACCGCTGGGTGAAAATAGTCCATTTCGCAAAATAGCAACTCTCCTAAAATTACTATTTTGCGAAATACATTTTAATACGGTTTAGGAAATAAGAGAAGGCCAAAATGTACGGTGATATACTAATCTGTAATGTTTAAATGTATTTTCGTGACATGAAAGAGGTCACGTTGTCACCGCTGGGTGAAAATAGTCCATTTCGCAAAATAGTAACTCTACTAAAATTACTATTTTACGAGATACATTTTAATACGGTTTAAGAAATAAGAGGAGGCCAAAATTTTCGTTGATATTCTAATTTGTAATGTTTAAATGTATTTTTATGACATAAAAGAGGTTACGTTAGTCACCGCTGGGTAAAAATTGTCCATTTCGCAAAATAGTAACTCTCCCAAAATTACTATTTTGCGAAATACATTTTAATACGGTTTAAGAAATAAGAGGAGGCCAAAATCTTCGGTGATATTCTAATTTGTAATGTTTAAATGTATTTTTGTGACATGGAAGAGGTCACGTTGTCACCGCAGGGTGAAAAATTCCATTTCGCAAAATAGTAACGCTCCTAAAATTACTATTTTGCGAAATGAATAAAAATCCTTCTTGTTAATGAACGATTACTCCAAATTCCCTGGGAAAGTTTTCTTTACCTTGTTAGAAAATATATCTGCATTATTCCTTTAGTTTTGTTCTATCTCACCTGATTTCGTTTCGTTTCGTTTCGTTTCGTTTCGTTTCGCAAAATAGTATAAGCCAAGAAAAGGGCCTGATTGTCCACCAGTTTCCTTTCAATAAAGACTGGACTTACCTAGACTTAAAAATAAACATTGAGAGTCAACTTCCAAGAGAGGATATTATGTTTGAATACCTCAAGGTAACTTATTTTTAGTTCCTCCTGCTCGATAAGATAAGTAACTAATTATATTAGTATGGGTAATCACATGATTTCGAGTGCAATTTGGAATATATAAGCATGAGTAAATTATCCCAAGGACTGACAAACGGGCTCATGCAATTTGTGGTCTTTGAAACAAATTACAAGTGCTTGTTTATTCCAAATTGCACGTGGAAAATAATGTGATTATGTATTAATAATATAAATGAAAAGATACGAGATAGCTTGTCATAATTATGCAGAAGCAAAGTGTATGCATTAAAGGGCATGTAAACCCAAAAAACGTTCATTTTTTTTTCACATGGATGTTTAGTAAATATATCAAGTACACCAAAGGTGCCATTCGTTTTTTCTCAAAAGTCCATTTTCACTTTGAAAAAGCTCTTCCAAATTCGAAACATTCGCCATTTTGAATGGCGCCATCTTTCTTGTGACGTCACGGGTGGAACCTACAAAGTTTCGTTTAATAATCGCGTGAGACACGGAGTCTTTTCCACAGCCGTTGTTTGCCGGTCTCGTCACGATTTTTTTACTTACAGTTTGCTTCAATATACTCAGTTTTTTTATAATGGTAAAGCATTGTGTCGTCCAGTTTTGTACTGATTCAAACAAAACTGAGCATACAACGCAAATATTTCCAAATGACGCAAATTTAAAGCCACAATTTGTGAAACTTGTTCAAATGAAAATAGCCGATTTCGTCGAGCCGTTCGAACATTCTGTTGTTTGTAGCAGTCATTTTTCTTCCTGGTGTTGTACCGACAATTCAGGCCCTACCAGAAGCAAATTATTCGGAACTATAAACAGCTAGTTGTAGTACTGTATTATTAAATCAATGACTGAAACAACTCAAGCAAATCGATCTAAAAATGTAACGAAACAGATGAAACGGAAACATTTAGCTTACTCGTTTCCGGTGTGATTCTCTGTGCCTTACTGCTGCCTTTACGTGTAATAGGCCGTCTCTAGCACCCAGAAATCGAGGCAAATTGACTAAAAACCTGGATACTCAGTGATACAACTTATCTGGGTTTCAGACCCTCGCTCCTCTACTTTTTGCCACAATTGCCCGATTTCCGTACAACAAACACTTTCACGAGTTGTCGGCATTGGTTGACAAGTTCCACACTCGCACCTTTGACAATTTTATACAAAACACCCTCGGAAGCTCAGCGGGTTTAAAAAATTTCTGTTGCATTCTTTTAGATAGTGCCCTTGCTTTATTGGATTTTCATATCAAATACAAGTAAATCACACAGTAAATTAGATACCAGTCTGAGTTTCCGAGGAGGTCGCATCGCTGTCAACACTGTGTTCGTGCGGATCGCTTCGGTGAACCCTACGTGGCCCAGACTCTCCTAAAGATTCTAGACCATCCCCATCGCCGTCATATACTAAGCTTAGGGCATTCGAGTCGCTATCTTCTGAAAAACATCTTCGAACTACCGCTACTTACACGAGCTACCACACCAGTTCTACTGGGGAATATGTGTTGCGCAATATTTTAGTTCCACCGCTTACGTCACGACTCTCGCTATTGTTTTTACCGGAAATGGAATTTCAGTTGAAAATGCCGATTTTCTCCTAAAATAAGTCGAATTGGACAAAACGAATTTCAGATTCGTTCTCTACGCCACTTTTTACATAGTATGAGAAAAACATGTATTTTTGGGTTTACATGCCCTTTAAGTGCATAAATAATTTATTCAAACCCAGCAAGTGACGTTGTGTGTTCGGTCAAAACAACTGCAAACGATCAAAACAGTAATATTTTCACAGAGAAGGCCCATTGCCCACACCTGTGGCTACACTTTAGAGGTGCCCACCAAATATGCTAGCTTTTGTGAGCTCAGAGAAGAATTCATGGCCATTTTGAATTCAGATAGTTGGGAGATGAATATAGTGTGAACAAATAGCATAAATGTACACCATAAAGTAGTCTCACTAGGGTATATGTGCATCTTGCTAGGCTTCATTTGCTCTCAGACTGTTCAGTTACAATGTAATTTCATGTTGAGTTACGTTATTACAAGAATGGTGTGCTTGCTTACAACACAGTCATTTTTACATTTTTATCTTGTGTTATTAAGGGTGCTTAGTGAGAATTTTGTCAGAAAAACTTACTGATGGAAATTATGTTAGGTTTCTTTTGTTGGGTTTCAAACAGTTATTTCATTGTTAGATTCATCAAAATACAGTGAGGTCCATAATTACTCAAAGTTATTTTTTGAAAACATAAAGTGAAATAAAAAGCATCATGTTTTGTGAAGTTTATAGCCTCTATGGTACTTTTTTAATACTAAATACAAGTTTCCAACTAAATTCAGTTCAGTTGATATATATATCCTGTGAAATCAAAGAACACAAAATTCTTAAACAACATAAGTATGTATTTTCACCACTTTTGTCATTTTCTTGCAAGGGGTTGCAATGATTTTCCAGGAACGCTATCTGTTGATCAGAAAGTGGAACACTTGTATCTGGAACTACAACCTGGTAGTCTTCTTCTTCCAGAGGGACAGGGGCAGAGGGGTCAAATCCATAATCATGCCTATTACAAGCATCAAACACACTTTCAACTGTGGCATATCCAGAGTGTTCATTTTCAAGCATTCTAGCTGTATATAATTGAGTAGGAGAAAGATTTCCTTCTGAAGATAGTGGATGATTTTCCCACTGGCTCTTAAATTCCTGTAAGCACTTATTGATTCTGGGGATGAAGGTGTAATGTAAAGCAAATAAATGCAACTCATTAAGTGGATCCAGTAGCTCATTATCCTCCAAGCGAGAAAATGTCCTTGCGAAAAAGCAAAGTACTCCTGAGTAAATATCTCTGTGTGACCTTTCTACAGAACAGTTGTGCACAGAGCTACCAGTTATAATGCTACCTCTGTCAACACCTCTCTGCTCTAGCATAAACTCTGCTTCTTTGAAATTTTCCATACCGTAATCACTTCTCACCCTAGAAGGCAATCCATAACTGTTGACACCTAATAGATTGCTCCAGCAATGTATCAGCTTTGTTGTTATTGCAGCAGTGGGCATAAATTATAATTCGGGAATATCCATCTACACACACATGAGTTATTAACCTTCATCGTATGAGTTTGTGATTGCTGTCTATGTGCCAGAGAGCATTTGGTGTAGGAACATTGTATTTTCTTCTGTAAATTGTAGACCGCCACCGTAAAAAAACTGTTCCAACAGGATTGAGGGTATGAAGACAATTTCTCACACGCCTTCGTGGAATATTTAGCCCTCTACTTCTCAGAGCGCCCACCAATCACGCTTGTCCGATATTTGGGGTTAGATCTTGAATTTCTTTCACAATGTTCTCCAAGTCGGAATCAGTTATTTGAGTCCACCTTAACTCTTCTTGGTCAGTCACGCCATATATTAATCTCCTCCTTCTGAGGGTACTCTCGCTTACACCAAGTAAATCGGATATCTTTTTCCAGGAAAAATGCATTTCTCTTAAAAAACGTATCTGTTCTTCCTCAATGACATAAGGTGGGCGCCCAGGACCATTCCTACTCGAATCGGGTGAGCTGCTATATGCCCTTTCACCGAAAAAATCTAACATCTCATTACTGTATTGCTGCAGCTGATCAATCAAGTTCCTAACCTTAGTCAAAGACAGGTTTAGGATTGATGCCACATCAGTGAAATCTTCGTTGTTCCCAATGTCTGCGGTTAGTAACTGAATAATCTCTGCAGAAGTTCTCAATCGATCAGCTGCTTGATCAACATCCTCATTGGTCAAGTTATTGCATCTTTCTGCCTCTTCGAATGAGGATACTGTCGAAAGCAGTATCTTTAAATTGTCAAAAAATAAAAACAGTCCGTACTCGTTGCGTTCTCTGGAGGAAGTATAAGCAGCCATCTTTGTTGTTGATTGGGCGCAATGCATTCTGGAACGATTCTAAATTGAGCATGTAAAAAGTACAAAGTTCACCATATAAAAAGTTGTGTTGACCATTTAAAAAGTCGAGTTGGCCATATAAAAAGTAAAATTTGATCTTATTAAAAATAAAAGTAAGCCATATAAAAAGTCGAATTGACCATGTAAAAAGTCGAGTTGGCTGTATAAAAAGTAAAAGTTGATCTTATTAAAAATAAAAAGTTCACCATATAAAAACTCGAGCTAACCATGTAAAAAATAAAAAGTTGACCCTATAAAAAGTCGAATTGACCATATAAAAATTACACTGGGTCAAAGAAATACAGAGGAAATATAGACTGGTTTGGCGCCCCATAAACGGCAGTGTGTGGATTTATATGCAAATAATGGAGCTACGCCATTGGTGGGAATATGGTGACTGATCCATATTCTCACCAATGGCGTAGCTCCATTATTTGCATATAAATTCACACGCTGCGTTTGATGCAGCTGCTATTTCTTTGACGAAGGGCTTTGCCAGTTGAGAATTGAGAGTTGATGTCTCTAATTTAGTTGTTTAAACCAAATTCCGTCTTGATTGCCCGTGGGTGCAATTTTTCGTACGTTCTTGTATGAAGTTTCTAACTTTGCGCTTTCCATTGCACTGGGCAGTGTGCTTTCTTTTTCTGCGAGTATGCAAATTGACAGCTGGTACAGTGGGTTCCTTCGGCGACTTCGGTACGATCGAAATTATGTGACTAGTCATGCAATTGGGTTGAGATATTTCAACTCGTCGCATGAACCATCAGTGGAAGCGTTCGCGGAACCAAAGCTGTTTAGATTCAACTACCTCTATTTCGGTAAGAACGAACTTTGCGTATTTGTCTGCGCTCATATTATTTCATTCTGCCTCAAAAGTCTCCACTTAAAACAACAAATTCATGCGTGAGGCGTACATAGAACCGGGCGCCATCTTGAACACAAAAAAAAATGCTTCGTTCTCGTGTCCCTTCAGCTGTTTCCTAGAAAAAGAAATGTTGGCGGTGGTTTCATAACCCTTTATTTCCTATTTAGAGACGAAAACATTCGAAATGTTTCTATTCTCTTAGCTAGAGAAGTCGATGTGATACGGCCTACGCCTACGTGGGAAGAATTATGGGATGTTTCTTAAGCAAGAAGGTAGTACCCCAATCTGAGGAACGAGAGATTACAGAACAAGAAAGAGAAGTGCTGGTGAGTAGCCAAAGCTTAACGTTAAGCTTTATAGGAGCTTTATAGATTGCCATCAAGTGCTTCTGTTCCGAGGAGAAGTTAATACGGAAGGTTTCACCTCGCATCTAAGCATGTTGACTGACTGAGATCCGCTCTACTCAGAACGATTGACTGGCCACTGTTGAAAACCAATTGCAATGGTCTCTTTGTTAATAAAAAAAGATACCAAGAAATGGGGAAGGAATATTTCACAATAGTGCATATGATCATGAAAGACGTGGGTTAATAATATTTTGCTTCTAGAGCAACTTTTGATTCCAGATAATTCCCACCCATCCCACCCTCTTCTCTGCAAACACACATTATTATTATTATTACTAGTTATAGTTCTCACTAGAGCTGCCCCTGCCCTACAGTACCATTTTCTTTTTTTTTTTTTGAGTTGGGCTTGTTGTTTACAGTTGTGTAGTTATGACCATTTGCGGGAAAAACGTTGATACCTTGCGGCCGTGCAAGCGATCAAATCGAGATTTTTTTTGGTTACGATCAACCGAAAACACCTACATTCTCTCTTCTCCAGTCTTCCTCTATACTAGGACAAATCTTGTGTCAAAGACACCGATCCTAAAAGTCCTCGCACGGGTGTCTTTTTACTGGCAGCCCATGACCATTTGCGGGAAAAACGTTGATACCTTGCGGCCGTGCACGCGATCAAATCGAGATTTTTTCTGGTTATGATCTACCGAAAATACCCACATTCCCTCTTCTCCAGTCTTCCTCTATATTACGCGGGGAGTCCTAAGGTGCCTCCTCGGGTTTTTGGCCCTCTGGGGCCAAAAACCCTGCGGGGGCAATTATTACTTCTATTATCATCATTAATGTTATTCTGATCATTTCATGTAGGATTTGAAGTTGCAAAGGGACTTGTTACAACAAAACCAGAGAAAGGTAGAAAGGAATAATTTTTCCAAAATGTCTTTGATAGAGCATTAGCCTCAAATCAGTTCTTAGATCACATACTCTGGGGTTCCAATAATTTGCTGTCTGTTTCAAGCAATGCCCCTACTTACTTTCTCTGGAATTTATCTCATGAGAGTGAAACTTGAGTTTCTATCAGCCACCTACATTGCATTTTTTGCCATGCCCTTCAAATTGCTTGCTTCAAAAATCAATCTGATGAGTTCTTTATACATAGTGTTCAAATTCAACCTAAATGTAGTTGTCTTATCGGTGTCTGAGAGTTTTTTAATCATTTCAGCTCTATTCCTAACAAGTTTTACTTTAAAATAGTTAAAAATGAATCAAGAAAAAGAGGGACAATTGGCAAAAAAGTTGTTGAAGGAAGGAAAGAAAACGTAAGTTTTGACAATGTTTTAAAGTGAAGGACCTAGAGGTCTTGAGATTGCAGTCTTGTACTAACCCGATAATATAGGTGGGTCAACTGAATTGATAAATTAAGTTCATTGGCTATCGTTAAGAGTTCATAAAGCTTATAACCCTTCTCAAAGCAAAAGCCCTTTTGTTAACCCATTTTATTCACCCTTTTGTTCTGGTGACAGGCTAATGCTCAAAACATCAGCTTTAGAAACTCTTTACAGAGGCCAACTTACATTATCAACTTAGTTGATAAAACTAAAATGATCTACAGTATGAATGGTTTACATAAGTCAATGATGTTTAAATCTCAGTTCCTCAGACAGTAAGGTTTTTTATTTGCTTAACTACAATAAAAAGTCTCAAGGAAGCACAATAAGTTAAATACAGCAGTGTGTATAGTGAGGGAACCTAAATGAGGCCATGAGGCTTATATAAGGTTAGATTTCCTACCAAAAGAACATAAGTTCATACTAACATATAGCATCAAACAAGATGCATAGGTGGTGAGCCATATCCAGGTCAAGGGGGAAAATAAGGAAAATTATTATTGATAACTGAGGAAAGTTAAATTTTCTCTTGTTTATTGTGCAGGGAAGCAAAGCTTCTGCTTAAAAAGATGAGATACCAGAAGCAGATGCTGGAGAGGATAAACAACCAACTGGAGCACTTAAAGAAAATGGTTTGTCAACAAATTTATAAACTATAATGTGCTCTTCATCAAAGTCACAGGAGCATACCAGCATATTGTAACTCAACCTGCTGGACTCTCAGTTTATGACTTGAGACAAAGATTGACTTTAACGTATGTTAACTTATCCCCAGAGTCCAGAAAATTTGCAACCCCTTTCCTAGACTAGTAACTCTAATGAATGCAGTCTTGAAAATGCAACCCAATCCATCAGTACATCCCCACCAGCCTATTACCAAGATGTGCCCCCAGGTTTGTTGCACATTCATCAAATTTGAAAGGTGAGCCACCATCTTGCCCCCTTTGGCCTTCATTCAAGAGGGTTACAGAAATATTTTTTCCTCTCTTTGCACTTGACCTTTCATAAAGTAAAAGATTCAAGTAAGAGACAAACAGTGATCATCTTATAACAGGTACATCAGGTACAAGATGATAAATTTCCTAGTCAGCGGGCTTGGATTAAAATTCAATCAGCCATTGTATTGTCAGTAGGAAGTAAAGCTCTGAAGGACATGAATAAGGTATGTAAATTTTTTTAAAAAGTGATCTTTTCTTTGACCTTTCAATTAATTCAATAGTTCCATCTAAGGTGACTCAGAACATGAGCTGATAAGTGAATGTCAGAGGGTGAGAGATACCTATTAAAAAGCTTTGGTTTCTGCAGTTTTTAACCAAATGTTAACAAAAATGTTTGATTTTATTTCCACAGGAGACTGAACTTTTAAGTGGAAGTTTGACTTGAATTGTACTTTTTGTCTCAGATAATGTCTATTGAAAATGTAGAAAGAATAATGGAGGAAACCAGGGAAGGAATTGAGTATCAGAGGGTAAGTGATATCAATTGAAAAGCTTTGATTTTTGCAGTTTTTAACCAAATATTAACAAAAACTTTGATTTTCCTTCCACAGGAGATTGAGGAACTTTTAAGTGGAAGTTTGACTCAGGAAGATGAAGGTGCAGTGTTACAAGAATTGGAGGAGATGACAAAGGTTTGTACTTTGTACATTCTGCTGTCCTTATTTTCACACTAGGGTCCTTGATTATGAGCAGCAGAGTGGGAATGGGGATGCATTTATGATACAAGGGGTACAAAGCCAACCTCCTTCCAGGGTCTCTCTTCTTCCCTTCCTTCATAACAAAAAGAAGGGAAGAGGAGAGGTCCTGGGAACCAGGTTTGTTCAAAGCTGGGGCACTTTTGATTTAACCCAGTAAGTCCCACTAGTGACCTAGACAGAATTTCTCCTTACACTATCAGTACAATATCAAGCAGAAAAGTAATGGGAATAAAGAAAAATATCAATTGAGGGGATTATTGGTTGATCCAATTCCAAATTCTCTAAACCAACATCACATGAATTATATAACAGACAGTAAGAAGATTTACCATTGAAATCTTGGGAGTTAAAGGGTTAATAAGGTGGGAAGGTGTGAAAGGTTTGTTTTAAATACCTTTTTCCTTTTGTGGTTAGTCTGTAACAGAGAACCCTTCAGAAGTACCAGCATAGAAGCCATTACCAGAAGTTTGCTCAGAAGAACTTGGTATGTATGAGCTGTCTCGAGCAATTACATCCTGCTAGGATCTTTTTACTCTTTTTTCTTTCTCCCAAAAAATATCCATACCCATCTAATAGTGGATTTTCTTAATTTAAACTGCAGCTTTGCATCATACTATCATTTTAAAATTGTGTTTCAAGTTAGAACTCCCTTCAATTTGGAATTTTCAGTTACCCTTCTTAGGGTAGGTATGGATATTTTCTGGAACCACACATTGTTTTGAAATTTATAGCAGGAATTACGTAGGTTGTTGGTCATCTCTCAATGTATGTTAATTATTCTCTTTTTTTTCCTAACAGTTGAGAAAAGACAATTAAAGATTGAATGAAAGCAGAAATGGTTGTAATAGGGGTTGTGAATGCGGTACTTCTATTTTACTCGGGATTGTTAATTATGTATTTTGCTAAGTTTCATTAAGATAAACTAAGATAAACTAAGATAAACTAACAAATTTTGATAAACACAAGAAATCTCATCAAGGAGAACACTGAAGAGCTTCAAAGGATCACTTGATGAAAACACCGCCATCCTGGAAACTACAAATTTGAGGAGCACTGGTAACTAAGATAACTCTACGTGCTTTCTGAAGTTTGCGCACGCAAAATCGTTCGATGAAAACAAGAGTTCAGTACCGTAAACAGCAGCGAAGCTGTAAGGAAAAATGTTTGTTCTACAGATCAGAAGATACAATAGAAATCAGCTCCAGTAGGTTTTTGTTTTAGCCACATAAAATTTATTATTTCAAACTTTTCCATCTATGAAGAACGTGCTGAAAACTGATGAAACTCGAACACAATTAGAACTGGTTTTGTAAAATCGGTTTTGCTAACGGACTTCAGGCTAATTTCTTGGATTGCTTGGGTCAGGTCTTTGTCTATGACCCGTGTATAAGTCGAGGGTGATTTTTTGGGCTGATTTTTCGGTCATTAAAGGTCGACTTATGCACGGATAAATACTGTAATACTGAGGTTCAGATTCAAAATTGCTGTTTTATTTTAAAACCTTTATCAGTCATAATAGCAGGAAAAAAACAAAATGAATCAAAAAGCTCCAATCCCATTTTGGAAACAGGGCCATGTATAGGGTTTTGTCCTTAACTGTGTCCCTTCTTGCTTGCAGTTTCTTTGCAAAATTTATTTAAGCATTGCTGTTCTTAAATTTTATTACATCAAGTAGTTAGTTGTCTAGGTAGTTAGTTATCCTATTTGTTATAGAATTAATCTTTTTATTATAATTGTTTATTAATTAATGTAGTTTGCTCGAAGATATTAGCACCGGAGTGCTACACTGTAAATTTGAGGGTAAATAAAGTTAATTGATTGATTTGGTTGATTGAAGTGGATGAGAATGTTCATGTGTGTTAGGATAATCTGAGTATTTTAAATTCCATTTAAAATAGTTAATTTCCCCTGGATAGTTGATCTGGCTTAGGTCAAAGGTTCAGAAAGTGTTGTATTTTGGCTATAAACTGATTGTATTCTAGGGTGTAATTCATTGGCTTCATGTAAGTTCAATAGTTGTACTGTGCTGATTTGTTTATGTTGATTGCTGTCTACCTTTTTCCCCACCCACCCTCCCTCATTTTAGATTGTAAGCAATTATGATAGTTGCAGCAGTTAGTATGATTCATAATTTTATTGTGTCTGTTTCAGCTTGTTATTACTTCTGTTCTTTTACTATTTTCAGTAAAACTTCTCTCGGCCAAACACCATTTCATACTTTTGTTTTGGGAGTAAAAAGGGGGAATTAATACACCTAGCATCTGGCATTATAAATATGTCCTTTGATCAAGATATTCCACAACACCAAAGTGGTTAATTGTCCAGGATTTCAGGATGTTCACTCCAAAATGTATCACCAACAATGTCAGTATGGTGGACAACAATCTGTCTCTTTGGTTTTCTAGCATTTTCTTCTTGAACTTTGTCATTGATGTCACAAACCTAGCAGGAAATAAACATGGATACAATATAAAAATATAAACAATAACTTAACCCTTGACACCCTAGTCTCAATATCCACATTCTTCACACTCTTCTGTGTACATTTACTTTGGTATTGACAACAACAAATTAACCTAACCCTTTCACTCCCAAGATCTAATTAGTAATTCTCCTTACTATTTGCCATACAATTCTCATGATGTTAGTTCTGAGAATTTGGTATTGGATCAACTAATAAACCCATGATTAATATTCTTTTCTCTTCTCATCACCTGCCTGCTTGATATTGTATCTCTATTGTAAGGAGACATTCTGTCTTGGTCACTTGTGGGAGTAAAAGGGTTAACCATCAAAGCTTCTTAGGTTGGTGATCATTTCCTTCATTCTCATGAGCTAAATGAATTACTCAGCAGTGTTACCACAAGGAGAAATTAGATGCTGGTCTTTTTAAGGGTTTAACCCTAGACCCTAAGAGTGACCAATCTCTAATTTCTCCTCACATTATCAACCCTGAATCAAGCACTATAAGGTCACAAAATGAAATGATCACCATTTAAAAAATTTTTAGATCAATATCAGTATCTGGGCAACTGCCCACCTACCCCTGCCCTAACCCAACATTAACCCTAACTTGTTATCAATTCACTTTTGTTGGGTTAAGGGAGGGGTAGATGGGCAGTTGCCCAGATACTGATATTGATCCAAATTTTTGATTGTTAAAAAACAAATTCTCCTTGTCAGCATCGTAAGTAATGTAGAGAGAACAATATGGAGAAAATGAATGCTGATGTTAACATGAGAAGGGTTGAAGGGTTTACATGAAATGGAAATTAAAATTGACAAACAAACTTAGAAAATAGTATTACCCTTTCCCAGACCAGAACTGATCCTTTTCTGTATATTTGAGGAAGGTTATTATAATTCATGTTGAATACAGAGAAGAGAAGCTCATTCTTGTCACTGGAAACAGTTCCCTAATTAAAGGAGATAGAAAACAGCACTGTTAGAAATAAGCCCACTCAAGGTAAGGGGAGAGGGAGGAGTTGGTAAAGCAAGGAGATATGGAGTATGGATAAACTCCACTGAGACTGAGTCTCTCTTCATTGTAGACACAAGCTTGCTGTGCTGGTGCTTGCATTGGTTTGGTTTGATTTGGGGTTAGAATGAACAGAGATGGATGGGCCAGGAAATGAACTGTTGCTCCCCTGGCCATTTTTTCCACTGCATAAGTAGACATTTTGCTCCATCCCCTTAGGTTCTCCTTCACTAACAATGCAAGATAATAGACAAACATTTCATGCAGAATTATTGAGCAGTTGAATGCCTAAAATTTCCCTGCACTGCAAGCTATGTTGAGAAAAGGCCAAATGGGGCACTAAAGGAAACAAGTTAGGGCCTTTCATATAGCTTCTCTCTTGTGTTAAACAGCTTGAATGTGCCATACAGTACCAAGGGGAATTTGCTGACCATCGCATTTTTGTTTATCAAATGTGAATATTAATGTCTATTAATATGAATCTGGACATCGATAACTGAGAGGCCTGGACTGAGTACAGGCAGGGTGCATATTAGTATTTTCTCTTTCCATAAGATTGAGCAATTTTTTTCAGCAAACAAGTCATAAGACTTGGGTAGAGCCAATGGCTATTCACCAAGCTAATGCATTCTAATTGCAAAATTACTTTAGTATTTTACCACTTAGGTATCTGTGCATGTCTTATTAGTAATCTAGCAAGCAAGCAAGCAAAAAGTTTATTTCTAGCTTTAAGAAAGTTCTAGTTTCCCTCCCACCCACACTATTGACAGTTTTGGTTGTATCTTAATCTTATTCATGTTTGTTAATTATTCTTGATTACTGGACTCTTGGTTTATTGTATCTGTCAAATATGATTTATGTAATAGTCTAGTGTGTTATTTACATAGAATACAAACATTTAATAAACTGTCAGGTCCCAAAACAAGCCTCTGTCTGTTGTGGTGTTTAGATACTGTGTTTAAAGAAAAACAATCACACACACACATGTACATCTATCCTACCAAAGATTTTTGGAAATTTTCTGGGAAGAGGAATCTCAAAACAAATATTTAAAATTAGAGTTGATAGAAAGTTCTAAGAGAAAAGGCATTTTGTTACTTTAAAGTAGGACAGCTAAGTTGGAATCCAAGCTGCCCCACCAAATATTCTCAACTTTACCCTGTTGTAAAAATTTATGAACTAACATAAAATTTTAACAAACTAAAAAGAAGAATGTTATGTGGCATGATGAGTGTGAGACAACCTTCATAATACAGATTGCCTTGAAAAATCAAGACACATCAGCTTTACTTACATTTAGTCTCTCCTCTGCCTCCTCTGCTGTTAGACCTGACTGCTTTACCAGACACCAAAAGCATGTGTTGTAGAGGTTGTTAATGTGACCTACAGAAATCAAACAGACACTATGATGAAGTTTACCTACAGTGGCCAATTTACATCATCAATTCAGTTGATAAAACCAAATTATCATTGTTATAATATATTGATATTTACAATCTGCCTGCCTCCAGCTCATGTAGTCTCTTAAGTTTTTCTCACTGGGATAAAGTACAACTCGTCCATCAAACATGGGTGGATAAAGCAGTTCTTGGGTAGGAAAAAATTGATTCCAATAGAATACGTAGGATGAAGAGAACAGAGTAACAACATTCGTAACCAGCTTGCTGAAGAAGAGATTAAAAAAAAATTATTATTAGGTGTATACAAGATACTTGTTGGTAAGTGACCCTGTAAAGAGTATTTGAAACTAATCAGCAAATTATAGAAGAAATAATTTCTACTCATAATCATAGTTATAACCACTGATAACATATCAAGATGTTGATATATTAGTTTGAAAGTAAAATATCAACCCTTAACACCCTGACATTAGTGTACAAATTCTCCATACTGTTCTCTGTACATTTCCAAGGGTGCTGACAAGGAGAATTTGTTTAATAATCAAGAGGTTTTTTAAGTCAGTAATCATTTCCATTATTCTCATTTATGATTTTGTGATATTGTAAGGACAAATTTGATCCTAGTAGCTTGTAGAGGTCAAAGTGTTCAAAGGAAAAAGATCAGTTTCAGTTTTCACCTTGCTCTTCTGCTGAACTGTGTTGTGCTCCTTTTGAAAACCAAACTGAAATGGAAAAATAAAAACATTCACTACAACAGGAACCAGTCCAACCAATGTGCTCACATTACTGCAAATAACGTCACATAAGAGTAGCTGTTATTGGGGGGTTGGGGAGCGGAACTCCCCTCTATCCCTCTGTTTCAACCAAATTTAGTCCTCAAGGGTTAAAATAATTATCATAAAAATTGTTTTAAGGGAGCGCCCCTTTATCCTTGCAGGCAGGCCCTCTTTACCCTAGGTTTCTGTTGCCACTGCTATTATGTACATGAGGTCTGTATCACAATCTTATCACCCCCCCCAGCTTCAAAAACCCCTCCCCTCCCTCCCTTCCTTCCCCTCCTTCCCCCTTCCCCTCCTTCCCCCCCCCCTCCTTTGTACATTACCTGTATTCATCACTCTGTCCATATGCAATCACAATGTCAGTGAATTCCTTCATCACTGTCTCAGCACATTTATTCATAAGCTGCAGTGCTCTTTGATCGTTTGGTTTCTCAAAACCGTGCCCATCGGAAAATCTGAAATTACAATAAATTAGAATGAAATGAAGTAAAACCATCAAGTGATTTGGTAAGGAACGTATTTGCACGTGTACCTGTGAAAATTTCTTCCATCGATTCGAATAACGATCCAGCAGTTCATAAGGCACTGATCGTTCTGTTCGAACTTTTTTACATATTCATATTTACTTTTAGCCATCTTATCAGATAATCTTGACAGCAAACATGAAGAAGGTTATTCTTCCTTTTGCCGCGAAAAACCCGCCATATAAACCTTTGTAGCCAAGCCATCAAAACAAGGCTTGGCTGTAAAGCAACTTTCAAAATGGCGGACGAAAAAGCTAACACAAATGAGAATATTGAACCAAAACAAAAAGATTTTTACGGATTCGCCCTGTACACGTACAATGCACGCAGGTATGCACGGTTGGTTTTTCATTCATGTTTCTCTATTTTACTGATTATTGGTCTTTTTAGACCAAGGAGTGCTGAAGTTGAGGAAAATAAAAACGGCCAAGACAGTGAAGATGGAGCTGTGTCAAGCAAAATTGTAGCTGAGGGATCTGTGTCTGATTTTCTTCGCAAGGAGGCGACAACTAATTATGATTTTAGGTGAATAATTTTTTATACCTTTCTCTTTTTCTCTTGAGTTATTTGCTCTTGAGACAGGCCTGGACCGTAGCCCAATCGGCTACAACTTACTTGCTTTAGATTTCAAGGGAACTCTTCTGTGCATTCGATTCTCTGCAAGTTTTGTTCGATTGCGCAATCCAGTTTGAATATTGCACATTTGAATTCTATACATTTCGCTGTAAATTTGGTGATAGATCCAGACAACAACTTCCACTTGATAATTTTGAGTTTTCTCATTACCTGGTTGTTGGATAATGTATGGATCTTATGTATAGGGAGAAGTAACATGTTAATTACTATGTGGGAATTAAGGGATTAACCGTTACTAGTTCACACTTATCCTCATGCATCACCTTGCTAAAAAACAAAGGGGAGAGCAAACTGGACTTAAGATAATGCAGAAAAACAACATGTGTAATCAATAGGCTAAAAAGTAAACCTAATTGTTGTTGTTGTTGTTTTTTTTGGTTGTTATTTTTTTCACCTCTCACTAACTGAGTGTAATGGCTATAATGGAGAATATTTGCTTGAGGTCGTGGCTTTCCAAAAATACAGTAGAACTCCTCTAACTCAGACTTAGTGAACTCAAACCCCATGATAACTTGATTTCCCCTGATCCTATTTTTTTTAATGCCTATGTGAATGCCTGCTAACTCAAACTATCTTTTGTTTCCCTTGAAAGTTTGAATTTGTAAGGTTTTACGATAGTTCATTATTATATTATATCCACTGAACTGCTCTGTATCACAAAATCCAACCAAGAAAGAACCAATGTGAATGCTGGGATTTATCTGCAGGGTGCTTTGTCACATAATGATCTATTTCCTTTTTGTAGCCTATCTCTTTTGAGCACAAATTTGTCAGGAGAGCAGGAAACTGAACTAAGAACTTTCATGGCCAAACGACTTGCCAGAGGAACAGTCTACAGTGGCAATGGAAACATCAATGTACTTGAAAATGTTTTTCCTGGTGATTCAGCACTCTGCTATTACTGTTTGCTGAGAGGTGGAAAGGAAAGTGGTGACAGCATAGAACAACAAGACATGTATGATATTTACCTTAAAAATTTTTATTCTTAAGGTGAAAAATATTATCATGTTGTAGATGGTGATTATTTATAATCTCTCTTGTATGAACTATGAGTATAAATGGGTAGTAACTGTTGTAATATGCCTTTGCATGCTAAATTAGCACACTTACTATGGATATTCCCTAAATGCAACATTCTTTGTTCATGCTATAATTATATGCAGTTGGCGCTATAAACATAGAATTATGATAGTGTGTGAGAGTGCAGAAAATTAGACCACTGAGTTTCTGAATAAACTTCGCTCTTAAAAAAAAGAAAGCTAGTCTTGTCCAAATACTTCTTCATGTTTGGAGCAAGAAAAGCACCACATGAGGAAACAGTAATGACTGTCTGGGGAACCTGAAGTTTTGAGGAGAAAGCCTTGATTGACTGGCTTCCCATTCAGGGAGAATAGCAGTTCTTAAAGTGACTTGGTGCTTCATAACCTGGGATAAGGTCAGGATGGATGGGCTACTTGGCTACATTTTTTCTTTCTGTATACAACTCCTGTATAGCCTTCTACCACTTTCATTGAAGCCTTCAGAGCCTTCTTTGGAACACTAAAATATAACAAGGTCTCCCTCCCCTTTCCAAAAACAATCAAAAAAGACTGATTCATCCTTGTTTGATATAATCTTCTCTTAGTTACCTACAGGTTTAAGCATGTTTACTCTTGAATTACAGGGATTCCCCTGGATTTGGGAGTTTTCTATCTAAGGATTATGTCATCTGTCTTGTTTCTGGGAGTGAAAGTGGATTAGACTTGTATCCTTAAAATAGCACAGGATCAGATTTAAGTGCTTTCTCTTTGGTGAAGGTGATTGTAGAGTGCATCCCCCATCTCACAGCTTCTCTCTAAAGGTCTTCCTCTTTCTTTCTCCAAAAATGAAATGATTGTGTAATGTTAGTTTAATATTACTACAATATTTGAAAATATCTTCACTCTCAAGATCTCAAAGTCAGTCATCCTTGCTCTCTGCTACTCTTTTCTTTACCAATTATCAATAGAAAATATTGTGGCGTAGACAAAGTGGGACCAAGGCCACCAGAAATTTAACTTTTCAATTCAGATTGGTTGAAGATAATTTTTACTCCTACCAACTGCAATACTGGAAACAGTGTTTTCACTTACATCAATGTAGCCTTAACATCTTTCTCAGATTTCAAAAAGAGCTTGATGAATACAGCAAAGGGCTTCTACCATACATTGACAAATATACTGTAAGCTTAATATCTTTTAAACAAATTGCACTTGCATATTTACAAAGTAGATCACGCAGTCACAATTATATTAGTAATTTTGAGACATGTTATCTTTTAAGGAATCATTAGATGTTCAAGAGAGCTTCAAGCATCTAGAATTTTGGTATGAGGAAAATGTAAGTCTAATAACTAAATTCACTCTATAAATCTGTGCTCTAACACAGTCTTGATCTACTCTTGAGGAAAGAGTAACTGTATAAAATGTTAAATTTGACTCACACTAAGTCTGAATAATTTTCCTCTTTATTTGCCAAATCAAGTAAACCTGATCAGCCATACTGTGTAATCATTTGTCATCAGAAATAATTGAGGTGAACACAGTATCTCCTCCTTTATCTCCCTTGTCAAAATTCATCTGCTTTATGTGATTGTGAATTTCACCAATGTTGTCTACTGTCAGCAAAAACAATCATCTTGCTTTTTCTCTGCTTTTCTCTCAACATATTCACAGAATGCAGCCTACATTTCCCATTGCCATCTTCCTTTTTATTTCCTTTTAGTTTTCACCTCCCTTTGGGTGACCTTGAACCATGTCAATTTACTGCTTTTTTTTGTTATAATTCTACTACATTTATTTGAAAAATGTTTCCTCCTTGCTTTTAGTGAGGATAAACTGCATCAGCCTTGAATACTTACTGTTGGATCAAGACTTCTCAGAAATGCCTGTAATTTGTTTTTTACAGGTTGAGTTTGTATGTCGATGCACAAGTCTATTGAAGGAAGACCTGGCTGTTCTCATAGGGCTGGTGAGAAAGTAGGGCCATTCCCAACCTATATGCACAGGATCAAGCTTTTTTCCATTGTTGGAATAACATGATAGGATAAAGGTTTTCTTAGAACATTGAGGGTTACAGTTTAACCTTTAAAAGGAGATAAGGTGGCTTGATGGTTGGGGTACTATTCTCTGATTCAAGAGGTATAGGTTCACCCATAGATAGTTTTCTACCATGTAGAATGCTTACACACACCCCCTCCCCCTCCATGCCTCTTTCTAACAAGAAGTATAAATTGGTAGCACAGTAGTGCAAAGTCAGAAATTTTTAGAAACCTGACAAAATGCATGGAGGGGGTGGGGAGGGGTAGGGTTTGCCCTTCAGTGCACCAGTATTCAGTTCAGTCTTTAGACTAACTACTTTGTTGCAAAATTTATAAATAGACATTCCATAAACACTAGAAATGTTTTTCTTATGTGTGTGTGTTTTTTTAAATTTAATTTGCTTTCTTTTTTACTCTACAGGGCCTTTTAGGTGGAAGTTTAGAGGTGCAAAGTGATGATGAAAAGCTTAAAATGGACCTGAAAATGTGAGCTGCATCATTAGGTTTTTTGTGTTGTTATGAATGAATACTTTGCCTCTTGGAGCTGAAAATTTCTTCTAATCCTCTAGGTTTGTTGAGGCTTGTAGCATGGTGAATGTGTTGGGAACATCGGTGGATATCCCCATGGTAAGTTATGTTTTAAAAGAGGAATTTTTTAGATACTGAAAACTCAAAGTTCATCATGATAGCATTGTAAATCAGTATTGACTAATCAGGGGTTAAGCATCCCATCCAGGGCTTGTGGGAATACTCCTTGTCACATCATGCCCTAAAGACCATTTCATTTCATTTACTTCATTTTCATTTCATTTTATTTTTATTCAAACATGGTCAATTCATCAGCCTAAAAAATACATATCACATATGCTAGAATATTTAAAACTCAAACTATATACTATAACACTAAAAGCTGTTTTCCGTGAGTGCCGTGCGTTAGACTTAAAGAATGTCATTGATCTTACGTTTAAATACCCCCAGAGACTCTGTGTTCCTTATATCGCATGGTAGACTGTTCCATAATGTGGCGCCATTGTAGCTAAAACTTTTTCAGTAATAATTAGTGCGCGGTAAGGGAACATCGAGCTTATTTTCAGAGTCCCTGAGGTCATAAGCAGAGTCACGCCACGTAAACTTTGAACACAGATACTCTGGAGCTAGCCCGTGCAGACATCTAAACATCATGGTGGCTTTGTGAATTTCCTGCTGGTGTAGATACGGTGTAGTGCCTTTTGGGCCAGTTAACTTTATAGTGCAGACTTTACCTTCCCTTACAGCCCCCCTCTTATCTTCTTATGGACTGGTAAAAGGGGCTGTTAGGCAAAACCAAAGCACAAGAGCCTGCTCTCAGGGCAAACAGAAGGCTGTAAGTGGTCTTGCCAGCTGGGGTAGACAGTGGGTAAGGGGCATTTATTCAAACCTCGGCAAGGGTTAGTAATTATTGCCAACAGGGATATATCATCAGTAGACACTGAGACAAGTTCACATCTAGTCAGAATGCTGAGACAGTGGTGTTCCAAGTTCAAGGAAGCAGAGTGCTGAACTGTACACACTTGTAATGCTTTTTCTGTCTGAATTAACAGTTGAATGTAACAGTTCTCCATCACTTAAATTGGTAGGATATGGAAAACAAGAAACTGTCGAAGTGTTGCACAGCCATACCTAGCAAAGTCACCTTGAAAGCAGATGGTGGGGAGTATGAGTTAAGCAGTAAAGGTATTTTGGGCATGTAGTCAGCAAACGAAACTTGACTTTGGATGTCCAAAAAAAGGTTTTATGACTGTAAATATAATGAGAAAGATGGTAAGGGACTTGAAGGAGTGTACTGTGTTGTGCTCCAGCACTGTTGCATGTTCATGATGAGATGAAAGAGCTTCTTTTTCCAAGTTTGTACTATCTCTGGTAGAACCTAAATCGTTTGAAGTAACTTCAGATTAGAGCAGGAGTCCTTTATAAACAACTGAGATTTTGATTGGTCAAAACTACTGGTCAAATGGAAATTGAGCGTTTTTTCTATAAAAGCAATAGAATGCACCTGCTACTGGTTTAGCAGTGTAATAAACCACTTTTGGATGTTGGGAGAATGCTTGAAAAGTTTGTAATCACAAGCCAGAGGGGAAGAATTTACAAACTGTTTGTGTGTTTTCCCAACATCCTTAGTGTTTTTGTTGTGCTGGTGAAACTGATAGAGAGTGCAGTCTATTGCTATTACAAAATAAACCTCGATTTTCTTTGGGTTGACCAGTGGTGCAATAAACAATAGGGTTTTGACCAAACAGGGTTCTTGTAGTATCTAGGTCATTTTCTAAAGTTTTATAATACATGAACTGTGTCTGAGAGAAATTTGTCACATGATAATTAAGTCTAAATCTGGAATTGTTTTCTGATTTTTTTTGTAGTAAGTACGCGGTTTTGTAGAGAATGGGCAAAAACCATGTTGAGTGAAGCAGTGGACAATCCTGTCTTCCTTCGACAAGTGATTGAGAACTACAAACTGAGGGTAATTTTTGCTAATCTGAGTGCCTGTTCCATTTTACTTTTGTGTGCGATTGATCTAGAAAAAAAAAGGCTATTTTTTTCCAAACCAATCAAATTCAATACCTTTAACAATCGCAACTAGGCAACTGGCCCTCCCCCACGTAATTTTTCATTTTCAGCTATGACATCTCATCGGTTCATTTAGATATTCACTTCTTCTGATTGGCTGTTTAGACTTCTCTGCATCTATGACCCGACCCAAACCTCCATCGCTTTTTTTCTGCCGCTATAATCGCACCGTTAATCAATTCGCTTCGTTTTCCTGACTGAATGCCTGAAACAGGCGCTTTTATTATGTGCATCTTTCGCATTTAAAAGACAGAAGGCAGCGTCAAATGCTGTAACGTGTCCATTATTGTCCTTTATATGTTGCCAAGATACCTAACTGATATTGTCTGGTATTTTGTGGCTTTACTGAACTAGTAATTGCATACATTTTCTTTCTTCTGAAAAGCAATACTCTTTTCTTAGATATCACCGGTTTCCTTGTTTTAACACAGGACTCTACAAAACGTTTGTTGTAAGCGATGCGCACTTTTCTACGAGAAGATAGGCGAAATTTCACGTTATGAGTTCCGGTGTAAAACCCCATAAAGCGAATTTTATGCCTGACATGAATTGGTTGCTAATGCAATGACTTACTGGCTTTTTAATTTTCTGCGAACGTTTGATGCCCGAACTTCCTGTCTCAGACATTTGTATAAAACTGAGTTAATCCCTTAATCTTTTAATTATATATGATAATCAAGACCTTGAATAGATAACAATTAGGTCTGAAATTCATTAAGGCAGTAGTATCTCAATGAAAAGCCCTACGTCGATCTTTGAACAAAACCAAGTGAAAATTTGACGGAAAAAAAATTTTCTGCCTGTATTGAAAAGAAACGCTCTTAGACCTATAAATAGAGATTCTTTAGAATTGTCTGTCAGATTACTGCTTCTAAAACTAACAACACCTCTTGTCTGGCCGCCATTAAGTTGGATGGCTAGATTTGAGCTGAGAGTATCCCGGTCTCGAAATCTCCGGGTAAGAAGGGCTATGGTGAAATGGGACAGTCGAGGCATGGTCTTCCTGGCCGCCCCTGAGAAGTTTGTTGTGCTCGACATTACTGTTAATATGGATGTCCATCCACATCCTGGACCTGAAGAAGTGGATAATGACCACGGTAAACGAAAACAGAGCTCCAACTCCTCGGACTCTGCTTGTCAACCTGCAATTGGGTCAGTCAGAATCCATTGCTCTCACAATCGTGACAGGCTACTTTCGCTGAGACGTTCGGCGGGCCGACCTGCGCCTCATGTTTTCGATACCCTTAAATCCCTGGGAATTCTGAAATACAGAGGTCCGGGATTACGAAGATTGGGGAAAATTACTAAAAATATCTCTGCATCGCAACACTCCGACAGATGTCGACCCATTGAAGTTGTTAAAACCCGGCGGTTTGCTAGACCTTATCGCTTCCAAGATCCCGCTAAGAACAGATATCTTACAGCTATTCCTCGAGAGCCTACTAAATCATCTACCGATTGCTCGGAGTTTGCCGTTCCCAAGTGTATGTTCATCAATATTTGCAGTCTCGCAAAACTAAGAACAAAGTGCGTGCGGCGGTTGGACTTGAGGCTGACTTGCGATCTAAAGATATTGATGTTTGTGTCGTATCGGAAACACACCTCAAACCGGCACAACCGGATGCGATTGTAAATATTGAGAACTATTCCATCTTTCGTAGAGACAGAAATTGGAATGGCAGAGATATGCGCAATAAGGGTGGGATTGCTATATACATCAGGAACAATCTTGCAGTAGAGGATGTTTACCGCTCTAGTCTTTATGAATTAATTTGTATAACTCTGCGACTTCCCAAGGGACATCGATTTGTAATATGTGGAATTTATCATCCCCCAAAATTTAATTATGCAGAGATCGATCTAATGAATCATCTTGTAAATACCGTGGATAATATACTAGACAAACATCCACAAACAGTTGTGTTGTGCGGTGGCGATGTCAACAAACTGGATATCAAACGCTTCGAAGAAATGTCTGGTTGGAATGCTCTGGTTAATTTCCCCACCAGAGGGAATTCTTGTTTGGACAACTGTTTCACGAACCGCACGGATCTCTTTTCAAAGTGCTATCCCTTTCACATGCTCTCCAAGACGGATCACATGGGAGTTATTTTACCACCCGGTATAAAGCTTCCACCTATCCGCCGTAAAGTATACGTGCGTGACCAAAGGGCTCATAGAAAGCGTGATCTGTATATCGCGTTGGCGAAGGAAAACTGGGATGATATGATACAGGAAACTGATGTCGATGAAGTGGTTGGTAGGCTCGAAAATACCATCCTAGGGCACCTGGATAGCTGCATGCCTCTGAAAACAGTGCGCATGTCTTCAAGAGACCCGGGCTGGATGACTCCGCTCGTTCGATCGATGATACGAGCCAAATCACGCATATCACTCAGTAATCTAGACCGTCTTAAAGTTATGAATAAAAGGATCTCTGAAGTGATTTTCAGAAACAGAAGGGACTTTATCGCCTCTATTGGAACTCGGGATTGGTGGAAAAAAGTGGATAAAACATCTCAGCGCCGCAAGCCGGTGATTTCTCTATCTCTTGGCCACTACGAACTCAACGCGTTAAATGACTACTTTGGTGACCTATGTACTGACCACGCCTACAGAAAGCCAACACCTCTGGAGATTAGTGAAGATCAGGAAGTCCCAGAAATCTCAGAGCGACAAGTCCTGAATTCTCTTATGCGTATAAAGAAAACAGCAACCGGACCAGATGGCATCCCGTATACTATATGGAAAGACCACGCCGAGCTATTCGTTCCAGTGATCACCTGGATTTGGAATCTGTCTCTTAGAACACACGCCTGGCCTGTCTCTTGGAAAAAGTCAGACCTGTACCCCTTGCCGAAGGTTGATATACCTAAGGGAATATCAGACTTCCGCGGAATAAATGTGACACCTGTCATCGCAAGGTGCTTTGAGAAAGCTGTCTTAGGAACACACGCAAGGGAGACCTTCGATGAACATTCTGGGATCTCACAGTTTGCATACATAGAGGGAGGGAGCTGTACCAATGCTCTACTGACTATCCAACATACTGTCAATCAATATCTTGATATCCCAGAGTGCAAAGCGGTACGCCTATTCGCTATGGATTTCAGCAAGGCTTTTGATAGTGTGAAACACGATCTCCTCTCACACAAATTGAAGCAACTCCCCCTAAATCCTTTTATAGTTAACTGGTATCTAAGCTTTTTGGAAGACAGGCAGCAGAGAGTCATTAGAAATGGGTTTATTGGAAAATGGAAAAGTGTCAACAAAGGTACCACCCAAGGAAGTGTCAGCGGGCCGCACTTGTTCAATGTCTTTCTCAGTGATTTAGAGATACACTTGGACAATAAGAGCGTGCTGGTAAAATATGCAGATGATACAACCATTATCTCGCCTGTGATAGGTGATAATGACAATTCTATCGCACTGATTAATCAGTTTTCCCAGTGGTCTAGAAGTAATGGTATGTGTAGCAATCCATCTAAGTGCAAGGAAATCATTTTCCGCAAGAAAGGTTGTACAATAGAGTTTCCGATGGTGTCTGGAATACCACAGACAAAAGAGCTTACTATTTTAGGGGTAACATTTCAGGAAGACAGTAGGTTCATAACACATATTCGGGAAAAACTAATTAAAGCAAACAAGTGCCTGTTCATTTTAAGATCTTTAAGGAAAGAAGGGTACAATCAGGCCGAAATAGACCATCTGTTTCTAAATCTGGTTCTACCAAATATATTATACGGGTTGTCCGTATTTGGCGCTGTAAATTCCGAATTAACAACAATCCAATGTTTCTTAGATAGATGTTATAAGCGCAAGTATACATCCGATCACATTAATGTTTATGAATTGTTAGTTCAACAGGACACGCGTATCTTCAAGAATGTTTTTAATAATACAATACACCCTTTAAGAGCTATAATGCCAAAAAAGAAATTAACCAAGTACAATCTGAGGAAAGAGACAAGTCACCATCCTAAAATAAACACTGATAGGTTCAAAAACACGTTTGTTAATCGCTTAATTTTTAAACATAATCTAGTCTTATAATTTTTATCTTGATTTTCTCTGTAATTTATATATATACCTTCTTTTAATGTTGTAACATAGGATATGTGATTATTTATCTTATGACTTAATAAAGATTCAATTCAATTCAATTCAATTAAGCACAAGCTTGATTGCACTCTTTTTTGTTCGAATTCTGACACCCCGCCTTGTTACACTGCTTTCGAGTTGTTAACGTGTTTGATATCTATCTTTTTTTCCCCACAGGTAAATCACGATTTGAATACATTGAAGAGACTCCTGAGACAGGCAGAGACTGATCATTATGCTTTGTATAGGCAAGTTTCCAACAATGATATAATCAAAATACTATATTTCTGTTGTGGCGTGGAATATGAGGCAGGGAGGGGAGGGGAGGGTGGAAAAACAACATGTCCTAACATTACTTCTAACTTGAGCTGGTTGAGTTGTCCACTGCCTGTTCGCTGCGAGCTTCAGGATTAGGTTGTACTGACATAGTAATAGGAAAGAATTAACAACTCAAAACCTTATATTTGCCGAAGTAGCTTCGAAATGGCCCTAGAGGTGAACAAAAGACGTTCTCACTTCGAAGTTTATAAAACGCAGAATTTTAGTACCTGTTTTGTTTACTCCAACACATTTAATTCATAATTTTGCATTAAGGTTCAAATGAATCTCATCAAGCCTAAACCGCTCGTGATTTTAACAAGGAAATTTTAAGAATTAAAAGCTTTCCGTGCAAGACGAATCGCTCGTTACTTTTTTAATACATTTCATAATCTTTGCTCCCTTGACGACAATTTTAATTTTTCCGGACAGGAACTTTTGTAAACGCTTCACTCACTGCAGCTTTTACTGCGTATTCACTTTGCATATAGTTAACTGAAAAGCATAAAAGTAATATTTCCAAAGAATAGTAATATCTCTTTGTAAGTTTGTATGAATTTTTATTTTTTTTATCTGCAATGTCAATTGCGACAAGAACGAATCATTTCGGTTCGAGGAGTTTTTAGTTTGTCTCGACACTCTAGTAAAAAGAAATAAGCAAACTCATTTCGTATAACACGTTTTTCACAACTTTTAATTTCCCAGAAATTTAATATAGCTTGTTGAATTTTAAATTTGCCCTACTTTTGTATGCTGACTTGATTTTGTTTGTTGAAACTGCTTTGTTCAACTTATTCAAAGTCAAATACGGAAAACGGTCAAAGAAAGGCAAAGAGCCATTTACTTTCGTCTAAAATCAACATCAGAGACTACGTGTCAGTGAATCCATTGTGCAGCTGTAGAAAACCATTCACGCGTTACTAAGTGACAATGTCATTCAGTTGTTTTTTTTTAACTCTTATCTCAAAAGAGTTACCGAGAGCTTCAAAATTAGTCGCAAATTTGGACAATGTTGAAAACGAGAAGTACTATTGAAAGTACCACTCAGATATTTGAAAATCAAGTTTACTTGACCTAAGGTTTCAAACTGTCGCTGTGGTTTGTGATAACTTGTTTGCGCAAGTTGTCCAGCTAATTTAACCGTCTAATTCTTTTTATCTCGCTGCAATTGTTGTTTGTTCAGTCATACACGCAGTTGTTTCTAGGCGCATCGAAGAGAGAGAAAAGAAAATTGTATGTAATTGTGTGTTACCTAACCACTCCTTTCGGGAATTCAGTCGACTCTGTAGTGTGCTTCAGGGCAAAATATTGAGTCAAACTTCAAGAGAGTGTGTTATAGACTAATGTCAACACCGCAAAATCGAAGCGTGAATTTGTTATTAACGGATAATTGTGGTCGGTTTGTTTCTGTTTGCGTCACTAAGATAATAGGTCAGTTCGGAATGATAACGCCCCGCTCTTGTGGGTTCAGAAAGGCAACACCCCCGTGCACTGCTTTTTCTTGTCGCGCAATTGAATCCGTGTTTACCAATTTTGGTTTTTTTCATTTCGCCTTAGGCTTTAACTATGCGTGTTAACATATTTCTAGAAACACTGAAGATATTTGTTGGGTGCATTTAGGCTGTTTGTTCAGTTTTATTTGAAAATATTTGCATATCAGTAGTGGTGTGAATAGCACATATGTGACTATTTTCTGTTGGGTCAATTTAAGGATTGAAAATAAGCGACATCAGATGTGAATTTCATTGTCCTTCGCATTCGTATTCCTTCGTAATAGCGTGAATTTTTTTCTTGGTGTTTGTCATTTCACCGTTTAATTAGGAAAGCCACGATGCGCTCGCTGAAAATGGATGGCTTCCTCGTCAGGTGCCACGAGCTGCGTCACGACATCTTAAAAAAGTTTTTTCAAATGAATGAAATGGTTTTAAACAAAAGGAAACCGACCAGCTAATATCGAAGACGTTTCTGTAGGTGGTTAAGATTAACACAAGTTTTTCACAGTATCGGTCTGCCTCAGTTGTCGGTAAAGTTTCCGCACAGCCCCATACTACATTATGCATTCAGTTCTTGGATAGAGAAAACAATGACAAAAACAATACATTGCCATTAGGAAAACAGATCTGTTTTACAATAGTATGGGTCTGTGCGGAAATTTTACCCAGTTGTCAACCATGTGCAGAAAAAAAACGTTTCAAAGCAAATGAAAGAAAGTGAGTTGTTTATGATAGCTAAAATAACTTTATTCCACGAAACAACAATCATTCCACCATTCCGTGCGTTATCGAGTTATATTTAACACGGAAGAACTCGAATAAAAGAAGAGACTTGCTTGAGGCATAGCCGGAGGCGATTTTAGCTTCTCGAATGTTTTACCAAACTTTCCGCGCGCACTGTAAAGCGACATTGCGTGCAGGATAGAATCATAAATCAATTTTTTCGTCTTTCTCTCTCTCCGATTGGCTGGAATGCGCAACGACCCTTGCTCTGCAGACTATCTGGCCTAACTGGGCCAATGCATAGTTAGAATTCTTGAAAACAAACCTATGGAAATTTGCAAACTAGTTTAGAAAATATAGCTGATTAATTCATGGAAAGAAAACAGAAGAGAGGAGTCATTTTTGTCTCTCCAGAAATGTTTGTGAGTTTAATTTTGCGTAGAGTTTTGTCTTCGCCAAATGCACGTTAGAATTTTGAGGACTCTTAAAACTCTTACACGTGAAATTTCTGTTGTTGATATGCATTTCATATCGGTTGCTTGATATTCGCAATTCATGATTCTATTTTAGTCTGCAAGAAGAAAGTATCTTTTTCTGATGCAAAGAATTGAATTTTGCTCGCCAATATTTGTGTAAACCCTGTGTTTTGTATATTTCCGGTGGGAATTTGCACAAAACCATGCAAAAACGTCTTCGGAAACATCTTTTAATGTTGTACTGATTTGGTACACTGGACAATTTCAAGAACTAACAATTTCCCTCGCTGATCGAAGAGTAGCCGAATGTTTAAAACACGCCTCTGTTGTTTAGTTATCATATATTCATACCATGATTTTGTATATACGTGCTTAATGTTTTCAAGTTTTTCTTTAAGTCTTAGTCGTGTTAAAAGACAAAGACAGTTTAGCGCAATCATTTTTTTGGAGACCTCAGTAATGGTGGAAAAACTGACCTATAGTCAATTTCTTTATTGTTCGGTAAGGCCGATCGCAACATATGGTGCAAATTGCAGAGAAGTAGCACAATTCAGCATTTTAATCCTTGAAACCTTAATTAAATCCTTTGCGGGAACAAGAGGTATCTGTTCTTCAGAGAAATGGTTTATAACAGAGCCTGCAAGTTTGCATCATGTTTCTATGGCAAGTATTATAGAGATAGTTAACGAAGGCTTGCAACATTTAATCCCCAAGTTCAGCTCGAAATCAGAATTGCAAACCGCTAAACAAGAGTGCCAGTTTCTGTTGGACAGCGTCCAGCCAAAAAAAACTCGATTAGCAGCGAGATTCACTGATAGAAACAAATCACTAGATTTAAGATAAAGAATATTTATTTTTTTATTTCATTTTCGCCCCCTGTCAGCATTTTTGAACTTTGCCGTCGTCATATTATCTAAGAAACGTCAGATATTATAAACCAAATATCTGTCTGTGAAGCTATTTATAAGCTCTGCCATCAAGTAAAAAATACCAGAGAAAATTCAATTAGTAGTGCGTGGACACTCAACCTTTCAAGTGGCGATTTTTTTCGCTTATAATTTCAGCACACGATCCACAACAGAGACGTGAGCATATCTTTACTTCTCTGTCTGGTGGGAAGATGACACTGCATCTATTTTTAAACAATCATGATGATTGATTGATTTTCGATTGAAGAATTGTTGCATGATGAACACTCACTTGGTTCTATTTTTTTAAGAAACATCTTTAGATTTATTTCTACCACTGTCTGTTTTTCAAAGGAACCATATGAAAATTCACTTTTTTTGACCATCCACTTATGATCACAAGTTGAATCTTATCGTATCTTCTTCAAGTTTTTATATTTTGTAAAGAAGAAAACATTGACAAGGCGAAATTTTGTTTCGTAAGAAAAATATTTAAAATGTCTGTTTGTGACCTTCTTGCGTGTGGATAATCGCCCTCAATACTTTTTTCTGTCTTTCCCGGAATTAAGCTTTTCATATCATTCCCGGCCAGAAAAATTAATTATTTGAGGCACGAAATAAGAGAAGAGAGAGAGATTGATCAACGCCGCCCACGATCACGACATCAGTTCCGTACTAAAACTCTGAAAACCCATTTGACCAAATATGGATGTGCAATGCAGAAATATTTCGAATCAACTTCCGCCCGTCCTTCTGACAATCTTTAAATCGGGTTTGGTTGGCTCAAGCCGTATTACCTTCCCTTCCGCGCTTTCTCAGCGCTTGCTACATGAGTACTTCCGTTGAACACACGGCGAAAGCTCCGTGGGATACTCGCGGACACTGAATGCCTCTAACTAGATCTGATACACGTTCATTTGACCATTCAGTGCTTTCAGGGAATCGTCGTAGACTCCTTTCGAAGTCAATACTCGTCCATCCTCCTCGCGTGAGCGCACGCAAGGTTTACGCGAATAATGAAAATTAGTCTCTATGGAAAATAAGAACACCAGTTGGAACAGTCTTTGGACTTGGGACCTAGTACTATCGCACTGTCATGTCAGTTAAACCATCAAACGCCTTCATATTTACCTTGAAAGCAACTGAGGTTTTTTTCTTGGCACTCAGTTGAACATTGGCGGAGAAAAAGTGGTGGGTTTATTTACCTTGGCCCCTGACTTCGTCGTGTCAGCACATGAGTAGTGTCAATCTATGGAAGGGGTGTGTTGATGTAAGTTTTCCGGACTGCAAAGCATATTTGATAAAAGAAAACGATTTAAAATCATTAGAAAAATCCCCCAGAATGCGGGACCTAACCCTTTAAAGAAAAACTAAAGTAAAATAGTAGTGAGGGGATTACAAGTTGATGCAATGCCAAATCTCCAAACTACCATCAGGATAATTGTATGATACACAGTAAGGAGAATTACTGATAAGAAAAAAATAAGTGTCCTTGACGCTAAACATACTCCAGATAGGTTTCGCTACAGAAAGAATTGCTTCTAAAATGCCATATTTATTACCTAACGTGCTTACGGAATTGTTGTGTCACTTGGCTTCACTTCCACATTGTTTGACCCAGACTAATATTTCCGAATTCAATCCACCGAAAATGCTTGACCCATTAACCCCTAGCTAAGTGGTTAAAGGGGTGCTGTCATTCCCGGCGCTTTCTGGCATGAATACAAATTTTCCATATGACCGGATTGCCAACTGACAGGCTGGCTGAAGCATCTACTTTTTTAGCGAGAATTAAGATGGCTGATGATAGTTTTGAGCGAATAGCCGTAGATTTAATTACACTAAATGCCTCAAACTAGATCTGACATAGGAAGCTTCCGAGAGGTATTTGTAAACAGTTCATGTCTTTCAGCAAAGTGCCCTTTTGAGCGGTTGAGTGATATTGTGTTCAACTCAACAGATTTAGTAGAGCTTGAGGCGACTGATGGCATCCTGTGGTTATTTAAAGTGGTTCAGTCGTGACTTGGCTATTCCACCTTCACTGTTCACGATAGAGCAAACGTTTTGTTTATTTTCAGTTCAGTTTTTAAAGAATGAAGACTTTCTGACAAGGAACGAGAAGTTTGGATGCCTCAAAGAAATGTTACTGCTCGAGAATGTTGGCTTTGACGCATCAGCTTCGACAATCGATTGACCGGATTTTGGTGCAAACTTGTCATGTGGTCGACTTTGTGCCAAGATCTTGTTTTGGATTCGGCCAATTTTAAATTAGATCATGGTCAACACAGTAGAGACTTACTATACCGTGACCTATTGACAGGACGTGATTCATTTAATTAAGAACTACCTTGAAATTGAAATTACACTAGTTGAATAACTAACGTTATCTACACGTCGCGCTCTGAACTGATAAGAGATATAACTTATCAAACTGGCGGTGTCCGTGATTATTATTATTATTGTTGTTATTATTATTATTATTATTATTATTTTTATTATTATTATTATTAGTTAGATTTAGACTTTTAAACTCTTTGTTTTATTTCTGAACTCTTAACGTAATTTATTAAAGTAATGAAGCTGAGTTTGGTACTTTATTAGCACACGTATACCCAATATGTACGTTCCTTATTTTAGGCGGTCATCTTTTGCTTTAGGTGATACATTTCACGCAGACGTATTCTCTTGTCTGTGTTAGTTATTTTTCTGTAATTAATATTTTCTAATTCGGGTTTCTTTTGTTTTTTCAGGTCGTATGTGTTTCTCCTCAAATGTGGAAATGGCCCTATTTTGCTCCGAAACGCCACATTAGAGGCTCACGCTCTCTGTTCTGACGATACACTCAATATAATTAAAGTGCTAGAGGAGTACATTGAGGAGAACGATAACTTTGGAATCAAAGCTCTGGCAGAGTGAACAGAAACGATACAACGAAATTCAATTTCCTCTTTTGAGTGCACCTAGTCAGGCCCAGCCCATCGAAAATTTATTCAATTAAGAATACTGTTGCAATTTTCAAATGGCTTGTATTTAATATATATATATATATTGTGGGATTACGGTTGTTTGAACATTAAAAATGAATTTAGGAAATAGATGCTGAATTTACATGCCCTGGTTGATAGAAACTGTGCGGTGCGGGAGGGGAGGGTAGAGGAGGGAGTGAGCGGAACGGGGTCCTCCTCCCTCAGTTGGTCTATGTCGTCAAACAGAGTAAAGATATTAGTTTCTTGAGTATTAATCGTGCATGTAATCTCACTATTCAGCGTCTCGAACCGGGTGTCATCCCCAACCTAAAGTCATTCTTCCGTTTAACATGTTAGGGAACTGTAGTATGTTTGTTTTACACAAGGTAAGTGTTTAAGGACAATGGCGGTACTCCCCCAGCTAAACTTTTCTGTATGCCCCTCTCCCAGGGAAAAGGTTCGATTCTCTTGGCTGCCTTCGAGGAAAAATCCCTTTCTCCCTGGCGAATCCTTATTTTGTAGCCGAGAGACTTCCAGGCACTAGATATGAACCACGATATTTCCAGCTACTCCACCCAGCCGCGGGAACTTGGGTTGAGCCCTATCAATCACTTGTCCTAACACGTGACCTTGGCCAGAAGCTCATGTGAAAGACGTCGAGTTGGTCGTGGTCTCCTATCCTTTTAACTCCCATAAGTGACCAAGACATAATTTCTCCTTACTCTATCAATACAGTATCATGCAGACAAGCGATGGGAATAAATAATAATATCAGTTACGGGATTATTAGAAGATACAATACCAAATTCTCCAAACTGATATCGTAGGAATTGTATCGCAGACAGCAAGGAGAATTACTTATGAAGTCCTATGAGAAAGGAAACCATCTCAGGTGGTGCGGTCCTCTCGACAAAACCTCTTTCTGCAGCGTGGCGCTCTATCCCGCCCTGGAGACGAGGTCCCTTACTGCTCCGTAATTATTGCCTCTAAATTTGCTATTTGATTGTTCTAGAAACTCGTTATACTCTCTTAACCCCCTTCAACCAATCACGACTTGAACACTCGCCTTTTCCCGCGCTTCAAACAGGTTGCCTGTTTTTTCCTCGAGTTCTCATTGGCTCCCTGATATACTATCCTTCTCTCACATTAGGCGCTGTGATTAGTTTGCTTTTGTTTTTACGACACTCAATCGAAATTACCCAACCAGTCCTCTTCTTTCCGCAATTTTGCGAGAACAGACCTCTTCAAAATCCTAGACAGCCGAGCCTCACTTTCAAAATGTGCCGTGTTGGCAAAACCTTTGTGATGGCAATATTAGGTTTTGTTTACAGAATAACAAAGACTGATTTTCATATCAAAAGATCGCTCTTACCCTTATACTGAAAAAGAGGCTTAAGTGAGCATCTCGGAAATGGTCTATTCAAACTTTTTGTGGTCTCTCCTAATTAAGATATGCCCCTTGAGATTTACAACTTCCCTAACTGATTTATTGATTGGACAAACCTCATTCGGCGAGCAGATCAGTGAAACTCCGTTGAGACATGCTAAAAAGGTGATTCAAAGTCTCCGAGATTGATAGTAGTCGCCAACATTACTTATATGGATTAAATAGAGATCTGTGAACTAACCATTTTTGCTCCTAATAAAGGATGTTATTCGTTTTTTCTCGAGTCTGAGACAAGGAAAAATTCATCGCCCACGGGGAGTCACACCCCAGTTATTCGGATTTCGCGCTTTGGTGAGCAAGTGAGGCCTCACGTTAGGTTCTGTGTTATTTATACCATGAGGATCAGTAATGTTAAACTTGAAACGTCGTATGAGTAAACATAGCAAAAAGTATGATAAATTTATGGCCCCGAAATATGTCATCTTGCTTATTTTAATCATTACTGTTTTTTCATGATGATTTTCACGTTCATTTGTTTTGCATTTAAAAGCAACCGCCAAACCGCAAACGAGGGACACTCAATAGGTCTCAATATAACGGCCACTTCAGCTAATGACTTAAAAAAAATAAGAATTTTTTTCCCTCAAAAGCTGGCAATTTCCATAACATATCGTGCGAATGAACTATTGCGTTGCCAAACACAATGATAAAAATAGTTGCTTCCCAAAACAGTTCGTCAGGACTGTTCTAGTAGCTCATATAACGATCATTGAGAAAACGCTTTGACACTAATAATCCTATATTGTGCGAGCTAAGTTAAACAATAGAAAATGAGCGTCAACTTCCTCAAAGTTCTTCCTTATTTTTCCTTGCCTTTGGTGTCCGACTTCTCTGCTGTAGAAGCGTTCAATATTTTGGACCCCGACCAATTAAATTGTGTGAAAATCATTACATCATGGCGGTTAAAGAAGACTTCTTTGAGTAGTCATGCAAGTTTTTTCATCTTCAATGTCTCTCTTCGTTGTTCGCCAAATATATAATCAGAAGAGAACCACAGACAATTAAATCCATTTGAACGGTGTTGAGGAAACTGTCGGCACTTTCGATATGGGTTTGATTTTTTTTCTTTAAAAGACTAAAGGTAAGATTCGGTTTCTCTTTATTTAAAGCTACCAAACAATGGTAAGGCACGTGTGTCTGTGTAATTAACGTGTTTTGTCGGCTTTATTTATTCATTTCCTAAGCCCAAGCTTCGTCTTCTTTGAAAACAAAAGAAAACAATCAAAACTCAGGCGAGAATAGCCGCAAATCTTGCCGTAAATAAATCGGACTACATGCGAGTATCGTGCGTCTTTAGCAACTTCTTTTTCTTTTATATTTCATAGTTGATACCATTTACTTTTTAAGAGAATTTAAAAAAAAAACTACATCGCTATTTTTTCAATTCTTGTCAGGACTCAAATGATGACGGAATTTCTATTTATATCCGCATTTGCTTGTTCGTTTTGAATTCGTGTGTTCGTAATAGTTATTTATAATTGCAAGACTTTCACTAAAGTAAAGCAGATTTTACTCCATTTAAATAGATAAAAAAAATCTTTTTAAAGAAGAAAAATGCGAATGGCAGGTTCACAGTGTCAATCGAAATCGCCGCTTTTGGCAGATTGTGCAATGCTCGCAATCGAGAAATTCTCGTTGGTTCACAAACGAGAATTCCCTCATCGGAAACGCTTAATACCTTAATATTTAACCATAGATAATCACTGTCGTTTATTGTCAATATTTATATAAAAGTTTTAGCATTAGTTCTAAATATAAGTAAATAAACTTCACGGTAGATTTTCTGATAAAACGCCGACCTCGTGATCAAAATTCATCCATACTTGAAGTTTTTTTCCGGTTCTCGGGGATATCGGAGCAAAATGATAAGACCACGGGTTTAGAACAGGAAAGGTTGTAAAATGACGTGAAATTCCCAGATTAACTTTAGGAATATTCAAAATACTATTTCCAAACTTTAGATGATTGATTCACAAGCACTGGAGGCGTCAAAATACTTGGCAATTTCGTATTTGGCATTCGTAACGGCCGCAAAATTCGAAGAGCCGGGACAGCTAACGCCCGCATCTCAAGCATCAAAGTGTGATGTATGACGAAAAGATTTCACGGAACGATATTGGTTTTCGGAACGAACCCGATATCAATAATAAATTTCAACGGTGAGGTTTAGTTTAGCCACAAGCACGTAGACAAAACCCAGACATTATTTCTGCAAAGTCTAAAACTTGCGTTACTAAACATTGTCAGGTAGATAGTATTCAATTATAATCAGACAAGGCATGTCTCACCATAAGACCTTTGTCCTGTTCTCTTTACTAAATAAAGAGGGTTTTAATTCGTCCCAGCGGTCACGTTTTAAACACGTTTAGGTCATGTTCGTTATCGCTCGAGTTTCCGAAAAAAAAATCATAGGGTTTTTACAGTCGAATGCTTTATGGGATTAGAAAGGGACCTGTTCAGAAGTTTGCTGAGACCAAGATGTTTTCAAAATAGAGATCTTCCGAAAATGTTTGATTATGTGTAAACGGCGGTTGTAAGGGCGTTCTGTATTAAGACAAAACAATTCAACAAAACTATCCCAGTTCACTTGAAGTGAAACGTCCTTAAAGCTAAGTTATATCTTTTTTGAAAAAATATGCATATTTATAAGGAACCCTCTCGACACGTGGAAAGTATTGGGTAATCTGTTCGAAAAGGTAATCAAACATGATACAATTAATTTTCCTTCTCCTGGTTTATCGAAAATTCACGATTTCATGTGCAAAGTCTGACCTAAACCAAATAAAATATTCGCAGTAGGGAGCATGGAATACGTGCGGTTCACAATTTAGCATACTTTTGCCCGCAATTGAAAGGGCGCGCGGACACACGTCAGGCAAAAAATGTTGGAGCCTGTCAAAATTAACTCGTATACAATACATCCTGATCACGCGCCCCTAAACAAATATTTGTCACAAAAGACACTGCATGTCAACTTTCCCAGCCGTAATTTATTCATGAAGAGAAATTCAGAGCAGTTTGAACTTCTACGTTTTGTTTGAAGAGTACTTGTGAAGCCAATCGCCTGCAGCTGAAGTGTTCTTTCGGCGCGCTTTTTAATCATGATATGCAATCTCATTGGTCCCAGCCGGTTTGATTGACAGGATGTCACATGACTCGAACTCAATTTCGCTAAGGCGTGATTGATTTTCAAACGAGTCTTTCGCTTGCAGTCTCAGTTACTCCAACCTTCCTAATAAATTATTCGTCTGTGAAGTCGCCGCGTTTGGTTCTGTTGGAAGGCGACTACTTCAACCATGTTTAAGTTTTTTTCGAGGACAAGGGATAGGAGTTCCGGACATTTGAAGGACAAACTTGGTCAGGATCTGTTTTTGTTCAACAAGGTAAGTTTTGGCGGTTTCTTGCCTTCTCTTTGAATAGATTATGATAACTCCAGGGACATGTGCTTTTATAAATACCCTAAATTTCTTGCAGGCTGTGGAACATGGCTTTCCACCAAAACCTTCGGCAATCGCTCACGATCCTGAACTGAACTTGTTGGCTATTGGAACAAGCAATGGGCTGCTAAAAATGTATCCTTTGTTGCAAAGCTTTAAAGCTTAACCTGTGGAGCTATAGCTCTCCGTAAACCAGACAGTGTGCTTGGCTTTGTCTCCGAACCGTCTATGACACTTAGACGGAATGTAAGGTTTAGGAAGGCAAGGAATTGCAAAAACCTCCTCATCAGTGTTGTTTGTGGACCCAGGAAGCCTATCCTACATCCATCAATTCGTAGTCACAAGAAATTATGATTTTATAATTGAACATGTAAGGGATTAGTTCGAATACACCTCTCAAATGCAGCGCTTTTGAGCTGTTCAAATTTTAACTTTGACCGTTCAGTTGCCTGTGATATTGTTTTTACCTTCAACTTGCCAAAACGAATGTCTCGTGATTCCTTAGTTACAATGAAATCTACCACCAAGACATTGCGAACCTTCACAACCCTCCCTTCTCAAGAATATTTTCTAGCAGCCTATCGTTATTTTGCACGCACTACACTTGATTCCAAGACGAAATCACACTAGAAATATTCATCCCAAGTTTCTGAATGTGGTAGTTTACTTAAAAGCATTTATGGATTTCTAAAATCGCTGAAATCTTCGGCTTAAATCGTACATAATAGCCTCGATCGTCCATTCCTCCTTGTGCCATCACACGTGTCCTAAGCTAACAACTTCGATCAATTGTTCGAATGTTTCCCGCATTTGCTTCCGTGAAGGTCTGTTTTCGTGATATAATTGGTTTCATGTGCACGTTTTGGAAGTAACTGTGTTGTTTCCAGAAATCCAACAAAAATGATCTTTGATCACGTAGAGGCAGCCTTCGCTTCGCTCCACAGATACAGTGATGTGCTTGCAAAAACCCTCTCTTTATCTGTTGCTACGATATAAATTTTATTTTTACAAGTGAACCAGCGTGTCGTTTGGTTTAAATAATACTAAATGATGAGGCTATTGTGGTTTCAAGCGGGGCGAAAGGAAAGAACGAGTGAAGTATCTTATCAACTCAAGTTTCTCTGATCATTATGAAGACCCAAGCAAAATTCTGCTTTTTGCGTTCGATTTTTTCTTCGACATGGTTCCAAACATAATTTAGGACAGCCCTGACTTGAAGTTAGGAACTAAGAATATCTCTTGACGCTAATTTACTTTATTTTGCTCTTGTTTACGAGTAGTACAAGAGTCCTTGTAAAGTTCAGTCTCTAAAAAACTGGATCAGGTATTTCAGTCACGCGCGGGGCATCATTTTGTTTATTGCATATTTTCCCACGCCTCTTCGCCTCTTCTTCTATTGCTTCTTGACTTTTCTGTTAGCTATGGCCGACCTGGCGTGGAACTTTCCGCTCGTCATCAACTGGAAACGGTGATTCAAGAGTTACATTTTCTGCCAGAACAAGTAAGTCATCCGGTCACTCCTATCATACTTGATCGTGTTTAAAACTCGCTCGACTGAAATCGACAGAGGGGAAAATTGAGGGTGTGTGATAGTAGGGTGGGGCTTCGCAACGAATTTACTCTAGAAGCATCCGCTTTTTCGCCAGAAAAAAATCTAGGATTTTTCACTATTGTGTTAAATATGGTTTCGAAACTCTTCTTCACCCAGATTAAGCTTGTCTTCGTACTTGCTCCGTAATCAGGAAATCAATATAAGCTTATTTATTTTGACTTGGTCTAGAATAAATTTAGGTGTGAGTTTCAAACATCAGACTGTCCAATGTCTATTTTTGTAATGTCGTTCGGCAGTAAAGCGATAGAACATTTTATTTCCTCGCTTCACACATCTTAAATTTCTTTCACTTTTTGCTCACTTGTGATGAAATTCGAAAAATCATCTGGAATGTAAACAAAGGTTCTAGAATTTATCCAAGGATTGATATTGGCCATTGTCTTGAAATGAATAAAACCATTTGTGGTTGTGAATGGATTAGGTTGTCTATCGGTACATTTCTATTTCTCTTCTTTCTTTTTGTGGCTTTAAGAGTTTTAGTAGAGGTGTAAAGCATTGTCCTAGCACTGATGTGCTGAGAGGCATTTTGTGATTAGCTTAATGTGCTCAGGCAACATCTTCATTAGCTGTAGTGCATGAAGCAGCCTGTTACTTCTGTTACTTGTAGTTTGTGAAAAGCAAAAGTTATGAAGTACTGTTCTGTTTGTGTAGAATTTTTGGAGTTTCCATGCTTGTACTGAGAGTGATATTTCTCAGTTAGATCCTTTGTATTTTAATTATTTTGAAAATGAAATTTCAAGCTTTTGCTGTTTTACAGAATAGCAATTCTTAAATATTGACTCTGGTTTAACAGTTTAAGAAAATTAAGGTTTTCTGCACTACAAGAACCTGAAGCATACAAGTGTTTAGTTTGACTCGTGCAAAATGTGAGGGAAGAAGCTCTTCTCTTTCCTCCAAGGGGTATTGCGGGCAACGGCAGCTAGATTTTACCACCACTAGTAGGTGTACAATGTCATTCATGTGACTAACCTGTCCAAAAAGAAATCAGGTTGGTGGTTGTTACATACGCTGTTGGAATTTGCTGGCCTACTTATAAGGTTACTGGATACTGAACCAAGACTCCTGGTAAGAGCCTAAATCCCATAGTGTCTCCCCAGGAATCGACAATCTATATAAGAAAACAGGTCAGGAAACCAGCAAAAATGTTGGGAGAGACTTCAGTATTCCCTAGACACATTAACAGCTAGCAATTTTAACAGCTACTTGTTCTTGTAGTGCAAATTATGTTGATTAGACTAATCAGTAAAATACTTGTCTTGATTAAAAAAAAAAAAATTTTTTTAGGCTTTCTTATCTATGATTGGTTAACAAATAATCTCTGGAAAACATAATAAGTACCATTTGAAAGAGTAGCACCCCATTGAAGCACTCTTGTTTGTCACAAGACTTAATTATAGGAAAAAGTAAGAATTGATAATTCACTGTTAATTCCTAGAAGTGATTGATATGTAACTTCTCCCCATAATATCCATTCACTATCTAGCAAAAAGGCAATGAGAATACTGAAACTTATCAGGTAGAGGTTGTTGTCTTGATCCAACACCAAATTCTCATAACTAATAAACAAGGAAAGTGTTGCAGCTTGAAGGAAGAATTGACAATCAGATCGTGAGAGTGGAGCTGTTAACACAGTTAAGGCTTGTGCTCAGGGATTGGATGTAACTGAAAGCTTTTCTGAGGCTACAGTCAATTTAAACTGTTTGCCCCTTACCTAGATGTACCCACACAACATTTTGAGAGATTTTTCATTTTCCCTTTTTCCAACTCTGTCAAGTATCTCCCATTTGTGGCAGTTTTTATGAAAGTCTATCAACAAAACTGAACATTTGAATGTGTTGATGATCAGTGATATTGGTCTATCTTAGGTAAATTAATTTATAGTACTAGTCAACTCGTTTCAAAACATCAGAAACACTCTTGAAGCATTTGAGCTGTGCAGGAGTGCTGTGGAATATTGAAGCAAAGTGGAAGAGCTTTCAAGTAATGTTTACAAGCAGTATTTGCAGTTAAATGTAACATAACACTTAACTAGAAAAAATTGATATTAGACCTTAGCTATTAGCAAGTCTTAACATTGAGAAAATGATCTGTTTAATGACTGATATGCCTTATAACTAAATTGAAGCCTTTATTTCTCAAGTTAAGGTAATACATGCAAACCTGCTCAATCATTGTGAAAATCCATGCATTTTGGCATATGCAAAATTTATGAAATCTGTGATAACACTGTTTTTTGTTTTTTTTGTTTTTTTTCCGAGATTAATTACATAGGAATCTGTTTCAGCACCATCAATTTGCAGATTCTTGTACAGTTCATTGTTTTAATGTGAAGATCATTTAAGTTTTAAGAGGACTGGAGTTTACGTCAGCAACATTGCATGAAATAATCTTTTGGGCTTCTTTTCAAGTGTGGATAGTTTGAAAATAACATTTAATGTATTTTATTTTTGTTTGCAAGGGTTATTTGAGATACTCATGGATTTGAAAAAATGTGCACTAAAATAGCCTGTGTGGACATTGTCTTCTGTTAATCCCGTAAATTCATGCATATGATCAATGATGATCCACAGGTTGTCCTTACTTTGATATGCAAAGGCTGGTAAATATCTGTGCAAAAATAACAATTACTGTGCTGAGTTCTGTATCCTTAAAAAAACACAAAGAAGATATAGCATACTGTCTGCTATTTTGCTATGAAGTTTTTTATTTCCCTCTTCCCAATCTAATTGTTTTTGTTTTGTTTTGTTTTGTTTTTTTTTTTACTCTAGTGACAATTTTGGTTTTGTTTAACTTAATTCAATGTTCTTGTAACCTCTAGCATGTTTTCCTTGTGTGATTTTTAGGGACGTATCATAAGTGTTTGTGATGATGGAGAACAAAACACTATCCATCTTTGGGAGGTTAACAAAAAAGAGGGGAAGTCAGTTCTGGAGGAAGTCAAAACATGCACACTGGAGGGAAGGTAGACTTTAAAATAAACTTTGCTTGAGCCAAATTCTTCAACAACAATTATTTCCATTTGGCACACTGCCAGTCTGACAGACATTGTACAGAGTTGTAAACATGAAATAATTTTTTCCATTCTATGAAATGTAAAATTTCTACCATCTCTTAGTAAGAGACAAATACCTTGTATAAACATAAAAAAATAATGAATGACTTCTGCATTGCATGTATTTTTCTTCCTGTTTGTGCATACAGCATATTACTTCTCTTTGAAATTATAATCTAGAAAATTTGTGCAACTTTTATAATTAAATTAAAAAGATTTTCCAGCCAGATTTTGATCTTCTGTAATAGTTGAAATAAAGTTTCATGAGTTTTGCCATATTTTATTTTTGAACACTTTATGATTTACGCCTTCTCTCCCTGCTGTGCTCAGCTTCGTTATCTGTGGGATCTTGCACCATTTCTCATGTTAATTTTACCTTTTGTCTGGTGATTTCAGACTCAAAAAGATCTCTGTGTGCTGTCTGTCCATGAAAACCAACCGTCTTTACCTGGGAACAGAAGGTGGTAACATCTATCTGCTGGATATAAACTCATTTGAACTTCAAGAATACATCATTTACCAGGATGTTGTCATGCAAAGGTTTGTGTCATGCTTCCAAAGGTGCATTTTTATAACAGATTTTATATTTATGCAAATCAAAAATGTGTTCTTTTGATATTCAGTTTTCTTAAAATAACCATGACCATTTGGTGGTCTCATTTTCCTATTAATGGAATATTTTCTATCCATTTGAAAAATCAGGAAAACACATGCTGACATGTGATTTTAATAGAGAAATAATACAAATATTGTATAGAGTGTAATATTTTATGTGTTGAAAGTCTTGGATACTCGCCAAGAAAAAAGAGAAGTAGAAAGAAAGTCATAGTCTGTATTGCTATAGGAAAAAATTTTTAGTAGTAGGCAAAGTAAACACAGTTTGTATATTTGTATCAGTTGAGATCACATAAGGAAAGGGAAAAAGGAAAAAGATTATAGATTATGGGGTTGAAATTATCTCCAAAACAAACACAGGAAGACTTTCAGACTTTGAACTGGCCTTCTTTAGTTTAAAAAGTAGCAAAAGATAAGAGATTGGGCAGATTTTGAACAAGTGTTTTGAAATTCTAAATGTTTTCACTGATCCAATTTTTGGGTTATTTTACCCTTTTTTGAGTGATTAAGCTTCAGCATGTTTATTCAAGGCAGTCAGATTTGGCAAGCTGTTCATTTTTTGGTTTTTTGTTTTTGATTTCAATAAAATTAAAAATATTTAAGTTAAAGTTCCATCTAAGAATATATCATTCTGATGTGGATAATAACACAGCTTCGTGATGCAGAACAATAAGTGAGCTTCCTCTGAAATTTAAATTTACTGCAGTGTCCAGGAAGAAAGCAAGACAAATGCAGGATCTGTTGAAGCTATTCAGGAACATCCAGAGGATTCTAACAAGGTTAGAAGACATGCTATTAGAATGTTGTCACATTGTATTTTATTGTGTCTTGGTGGCCCATTTAATTTTTGAGTGAACTTTATATTGAGAAGTTTACAAGATAGTAGGATTTTAGATAGCAAAATGAGGAAAAGTTTGGTGAAAATACTCTACAGAGAACCTCTTCTTGTTCCCTGTTATAACTATGCAAGACTAAAAATGTATCAAAATTGTGTGAAATGTTTCAGTAATATTTTACAGGGGTACAAATGAACCCACAACCAATGGAAATGACTTAGGATAGGGAGGCTTACTCAGATTTCAAATAACAATTTTGATCAACTGCAGTTGAATTTTGTCAGATGCACAAGACCAAAGCAGTTTTATTGTTAGAAAAAAAAATTATCCTACACTTTCCCTACAGTACTTAGATTTGATTTGTAAGATGTGTAATGCAGGGTACATACTCGGTTAGAGTAGAAAAGAAAGAGAAGGAATAATATAGATGATCCTTAAAATACTAAGAAATTTTACCTTATCCAGTGTTTTACATGTAGATAGAGCAAATCCGAGTTATCATTTTCCTTTTCTTTAGATCCTGATTGGCTATAAGAAGGGTTTGGTTGTCTTGTGGAATCATGAGCGATGCAGTGTTCAAGCCACCTTCAGCATTCAATCCTCTGATCAGCCACAGGAGGTCGAAAGTCTCAGTTGGCATGCGGATGGAACCAAGTTCATTAGCGCTCATGGTGATGGCAGTCTGACGAGGTGGTCACTGGAGGGAAGCTTAGAGATTCCCAAGGCTGTCACTCCCCTGGGACCATTCCCTTGCAAAGCCATCACAAAAGTGGAGTGGAGTGACTCTTCTGTGTTCTTCAGCGGCGGAATGCCAAGGGCCAGCTATGGAGATCGACACTGTGTCTCTCTGATTCAGGATGCCAACTTGGTTGAAGGAGGTGACAACACTCCTCAAGTGGCTTTTGATTTCACTTCACGTGTGATGGACTTCTTTACTGTGAAAGCCAATGGGGCAGGTAAATTAAAAAAAAAAGAAGCTTTTTTGCATTTTCAGTGTCTGCTTTTTTGATTGGAAGGTGCACAGTGATTGCAGCCTAATCATCAATTTTGTAATTGTGTTTGTATTGTCATGAGTAAAGCATATTATTTCCATGCAAACCTCTGTCTGGCTGCCCTGTGACTCCATCCTTTCAGCCTTTGGTTTATTTCTTTTTTATCAGATTGCACAGTAACCCAATGATAGTTGTGTTTTAGTCAGTATCAAGCAATTTATCCAGTCATGTGCTAACCAGTTCCAATATGGTTAGCTCCCAGACCCCAAGTGAACCCCTTATTGTTCTTCACTGCTCTCCTTCATCTGATCCTTACGCAGCCCTTTATCTTAATCAGAAATTTTCTGTTGAAAATTGACTGTGTGTTCTTTCAATAGATCCAGCTTACTTGGTTGTGCTGTGTGAAGAAGAATTAGTTGTCATTGACTTGGTCACCAAGGAGGCAGGGTGAGACAAAGCCCTTCATGTAATAAAATACTTCAATACCATTTTTATAGATATTAAAAAAACCTTGTGTATGTCTTTAGTTAAAAGCTTTGTGTAAATCATTTTTTTAATTTGTATTCTCACTGAGTTTTTTTTTTCTGCACAGGTTCCCCACCTTCATGAAACCCTACTTGGTGTGCCTGCATTCTTCCCCCATCACATGCTCATATCATTGCCACGACTGTCCTCAAAGTGTGTTTGATCAGTTATTGACTGCTGGGAAGAAACAACTTCAAGTGGACTTCTCAAATGAGGTATGTGCATTGTCACAAACTCCTATTCTAAAAAGTTGGACATTTGAAATGTACAAAGGTTGTTGTTTGCGATAAAATTGATTTTATTAAAATGAGCTCTACTTTGGTCACCATAGAGTTGGCCCATAACAGGAGGCAAGACACTGATAGACGATGATGAAACCAAGGATCTGCTGATTACTGGGTAAGCTTTTTGTTTAATAGCAGAATTATTTCTATGGTCCATGAATTACAATGCATCTGTTTTGGATTCATGAAAGTCAGCAGTCAGCCAAATTTGTCTGTTATTCAGGGTGGCTTAGGTTTTAGTAACTTGGGGTGCTCAGCTCTGAAAATCTGTCTTAAAAACAGAATTATACAAGAACGTTAATGACAAAAGTTAATAGACAGTGGAGGGGTAGGTCTGGTATTGCCTTATCCTTATATGCTCTCAAGAAAGTCTGCCTTCTAAGAAAAATTATTTAAAAACCTTGACAGGCCTAGCTGAAATGTTGTTTTCTGTGTTGTTATACTCATGTGTTAACCCTTAAACTCCCTCCTCATGAGCTAACAAGACATAATTTCTACCCATAAAACTAATAGAATATCAAACAGAGAAGTGATGAGAGTGAAGAAAAGTATCAATTAGGGGATTATTAGTTGATGTAATACCAAATTCCCCTTACTAGCTTCATAAGATCAGTGCAGCAGACAATAAGAAGAATTGTTAATGAGACCAAATTACTTGTATATAGTTTCTGACACTTCAAGACCAACATATAATAAACAAGGTTTAATTGAGGACACCAGTGTTTCTTTTCTTTACAACTTTATGACAAGGTGAAAGGTTAAATGAAAGACTGAGAGATAAACCAAACAAAACGCTGAACCACATAGTTTCTATAAGTACCTTAATTGTTCTTGGAAAGCAACCAGCTTTTTTTCCTTTGTATTTCTTCAACAGGCATGAAGATGGTTCCATCAATTTCTGGGATGTGTCACAGCTTGAAATGCAGCTCATCTACACCCTTCACACTGCCAAGTATTTTGTTGGGGAACATGAAGGTCATGATTCTGAGCCCAGGGATGCAGAAGAAGAAGTTTGGCCACCATTTAAGAAAGTCGGCAACTACTCTCCTTACTCTGATGATCCACGATTTGCTGTGACCAAGATCATTATGTCTCCAAAGTCAAAGACTCTGACAGCTGCTGGTAATGGAGGGCAGGTCCTCATTTTTGACCTGTGTGAAGAAGAGACTAGTGTGGAAGCACAGGTATGAGCAGTCAAGACTAAAGAATTAGCTAGTGATTATTTCTTCATGGAACTAATTGTGACCCATCGGCAGGCAATTAAAACAATTGGTTTTGAACATTGTTCAGGAGGTGTTCTGACAATTTGTTTATTTTTCCTCATTTAAATGCACAAACAACATATAACTGAAATGATTTGTTCCATCTATCAGATGGTCGAGATTGACTTCACTGAAGACAAGGAAAATTTCCAGTGGAAAGGACATGGCCCTTTGCTTCCCAAGGAAGGTTCAATCACTGTTCCTGCAGGATTTAAACTGCAAACTGGTCTTCAGCTCATTCCAGCAGCACCAGTCAGTGCACTTGTTGTGGAAGCACGCTGGGGACTCTTGGCAGCTGGAACTGTCCATGGCTTTATTGTGTATGATTATCTTAGCAAGAAGACTGTTACAACGAAATGGACTGTCAGCCAAGGTAAGAGTGGAGTTTTGAAATCCACTTGAACAAAGTATTGGAAATCAGACTCTAAAATTTGCATGTGTTCTTCTCAAACCATTTCAACTTTTTTGTTACTAATTTTTACCTCCTGATGTTAACCCTTTGACACCTAATAGTGACCAAGAAAGAATTTCTCCTTACAATATCAATACAATCTCAAATAGAAAAGTGGTGGAAATATAGAAAAATATCAATGAGTGGATTATCATTTGATTCAAAACCAAATTCTCTAAACTAAAATTATAAGCAATATGTGGAAGACAGTGAGAATAATTACTAAAGAGATCATAGGAGTGAAAGGGTTAACCCTTTGACTGATAGAAGTGGCTAAAAAGGAATTTCTGTGGAAAATATGGATTTATTTTGATACAGAAAGGTGATAAGAAGAAAGAAAGGGAAAAAATAAAATTTAGGATAGTTTTTTGATTTAATGCCAAATTTTTAGAGCCAAAGTTTGTAGGGAATATATGGCTGATGATCTAGAAATCATCACTCAGATTAGTAGTATGATACATCTAGATTTTTTTTTTTGAACTTTACATTGAATTCTCAGGTAAATGTGATATAAATCTATATACTAACAACTCCAATTTGTGTTTTTTCTTTTCAAAGAAACTGATAATGGAGAGCATCTTTCCAGACGTAAATCCCTCAAAGAGAGCATTCGAAGATCCTTCCGGCGGTTACGTTCTCGCAGAGGATCCCGAGGGGCTGCAGATAGGACCCCCAAGAAAGAAGGAGAAGCTCCAGCCTCTCCTACGCCAGAGGCTGTGGCTTCACCAGTGTCCCGCCTTGTTGAGGAAAACCGTGTTGATGAGAGCGTCTTAAGTATGGTGCGCTGTTTGTACTTTGTGGACACTTACATCAGAGATGGTAAGAAGTCACTCTGTTATTGGTTCTGAAACAACTGCAGCATACACAGAAGACTTTTTTCTTTTACTGTCTTAAAGTTTGGATGAAGAAAACTTTCTTTATGCCCAACCATGGCTATTTTTGTGGTCATGGATTTCAGTTATCACAAAACTACATGTAGTTTCACCATAACTATTTCTAATACCAGTTACCTTGAATCTTCCTTCTGGCATTAACTGGATATCCATCTGTGTTTATCTTCAGGGGTGCACCACTGCCCTTCTCTCTGGGCTGGAACAAATGCCGGTCACATTTATGTGTGTTATTTGACCATCCCTGAGGAAGAGAAGAGATCTGAGGAGGAAGTACAGGTGGAGATTGGAAAAGAGATCAAACTGAAACACAAAGCACCGGTTGTGTCCATGTTTGTGGTTGACAAAGATGGATTGCCACTTCAAGGAGATATTATTGAGGATAATGAAAAAGGTAATTTTCAGCTGGGCCATTGTGCCCGGTTCTGAGACACTCAAGGGGAAGAAGAAATTAGCCACTTGCCTCAAGAACTGAGTACATTTTTCTTTTTGAGTTTTGGTGGGAGATCAAGAGGACTGAGAGGTTCAAAGTTACTTTCTTCCTAGAAAACCTGGTAGCAAACCAAAAATTGATAGACTCATTGTCTTTGCTGCTTATGTTTAGTTTTCAAACCTGATTAGCTTACCTCCTAAAACAACAGAAATCTTGAGAAATCTCTCGTGTTCATGTTTTGTTTTTTGTTTGTTTGTTTCAATGCAGTGTTGAAGTGGTAGAGAGTGCAGACTTGATTCAACAGCTAGTAAAAGTGACCACTAAATCGAGTACATGATTTTCAAAAGAATATTTTCACAGAGTGAAGTGATGTTTCCTACTTGGGTCATATTTTGTGACAGAGATAAAAATGCTCAAACAACCTGCACTGAATGTCATTTGTGTCCCTTCTACTTTTCCCACTACCTTAGAGCCCGACATGAGTGGATCACACTCCTTAGTAATTTGCTCTGAGGAACAGTTTAAAGTGTTCAGTTTGCCACATTTGAAGGCCCGTAATAAAGAGAAACTCACTGCAATTGATGGCTCTAGAGTGCGCAAGATTGGTCTGATCAATGTTAGAAGCAAGAATGACGATTCTGGAATGGTGTACCACTGCCTTGCATGTGTTAGCAATCAAGGGGATTTGATTGTTTATTCTATTCCAAACCTCAAAATGCAAGTCAAGGCCTCAGCAATGAGAAAGTCTGATGTGGATGCCATTAAATCCCTTGTGTTCTCCGTTAGTGGTCAAGGATTCTATCTCAGTTCACGAAGCGAAATGCAACGCTTTACTCTTTCTGCCACTGACTTGTAAGTGAGATTCGTTAATGGATGGTTTAACCATTAGATTTCCACAATGATGTTATGATATAAGTGTAAAAAGTATACTCAGCACTTCATGAAATAACTCTTTCTATCTTGTATAATCACAACACTACACAACTTGTACCCAAATCTTTTATCTTCAAACTCTTGTTGTAAGAGTAATTAGTGTAAAAATCAAAACCAATGTAGCCACCAAAGCCACTCAGAACAATGGAAACTATTACAAAGAGCCTTGGAGAACTTAACCAAAAAGAAGTACATGTAAACTTTCTGAAGCGTGGGGAAACACGAGCTACCAAGTTGCCATTAGTATAAGTTTTGAATCTAACAAGGTCATTTGTTATTTATAACTGAGTTGATAATGTAAATTGGTCACCGTTTAGAGTTTCAAAGCTGACGTTTCGAGCGTTAGCCCTTCTTTTGCTCTGACGAAGGGAAAACGCTCGAAACGTCAGCTTTTGAACTCTCGATGATGGTCAATTTACGTTATCAACTCAGTTGATAATACCAAATTACCCTGTGATACTCTCCCACCGACGCAGCACCCCAGCTTCTTTGGAAACTTTTGGACCAATTGCATAGTTTAGTTAAACAAGTCAGTTTTATGGGAGCATTACATACTGTTTGAAATCTGGTCTGAAGTTTTTCATCTGTTTCTCTACAGGTTGAAGCCAGACTGTGTGTTGGAACTTGCTGAAGGAATGAGACCTGCTGAACCAGAACCTGCAGTCGTTGAGGAAGAGGCAGAAGAAAAGAAATCCAGGAAGAGTTCAACTTCCAGTTCCTCGTCATCTTCTTCATCTTCCGACGATGAAAAAGATGAAGAGAAGAAGAAGGAGAAAAAAGAAAAGAAGATGAAGAAGAAAGCGAAGGCTGCTATAGAGGCTGTGGCCTCAGCGGAGGTTGCCACTGAAGTTGCCGCAGAAGTTGAAGAGAAGAAGGAGGAAGTAGAGGAGAAGAAAGAGGAAGTAGAGGAGAAAAAAGAAGAAGCAGAGCAGAAGAAGGATGAGATGGTTGCTAAGACCCAAGAGGTTATTGCTGTTCTCCCAGGTGAACAAGGAACAAGGATATCGGAGAAAGTGTTCGTTTCCGAGGAACGATCGTACACCAAGCAGACATCATCATCGGATAAAGAAGGTTTCCCAGAACTGATGTTGAGTGGAGAAGGTGGCACATTTTCTTCATCTACAGAAACGTCCTCCTCTTCATTTGTCACCACACGTGTTGTTAGCTCCAAGCAGGTCGTCACATCATCATCCACTACTCAACGAATTATCTCATCGGAAGGATCTACAATTCAAGCGATTGAAAATGGGGAATCTGAAAAGGTATATTTTCTAACATTAGAATCAAATTTTCACCCTTACATTCCCAAGATCTTATTGGTAATTCTCCCTGTTGTCTGCTATATGATGTTGGTTCTGAGAACAGGGAAGCGATCAGAGTTTTTCCTAAGGCAACCACTTTACCATTGAAGGCAACTTTCTGATAAATTGAGCATGGAGCTCTAGAATTTGATATTGAATCAAATAATAATCCCCCTAATTGACATTTTCTTTATTCTTGCCACTTTTCCGTTTGATATTGTATTGATATTGTAAGGAGAAATTCTATCTTAGTCACTCACGAGAATAGAAGGATTAACTTAATAAGTGATTGGCTTTGTATGAATTGGATTTATGTTTTTCCTCTTTCATTAAACTGAATTTTTTTTGCAACTTTCCCACCCATTCTCGTTGTATTTTCAGTGGTCAAAGACCCAAGTACAGTGATCTGTTTAGTGTGTCTAATTAAAAGCTTTACTGTATGTTTCAGCTTATGTTGAATGAATCAGACTTGCAGAAAGCAGCTGAAGATATGATGAATGATGCTCATGACGAGGTAAGAAAATCATTTATCAACTTTCTGTCTTTAGTGAAGTGTTTACGTTAGAAATCTGTTGTTGGTTTGATAGGTCTGTCATATTGGTCACCAAGGAACAAAAACATCAATTCTTTGAACAGACTATATTAGTCAAAAACTCTTTAAATGAGGATATCCTATCTTAACGGCTCACAACGAACATCCTTAGTTTTGTTGAGGTGGAACATCTCCGATTTGGTTCAGGTGCAACTTTTAAGACTAGGCGGCTCGCTTCGAGAATCATTCTGTAATAGGCAGATGTGTATGGCCTTCATTGGTTATGGATAACCGTGTTGGAATCGAAATAAATCTTTGAAATAGTCACTTTTAATAGGCTATTTTTTTTTTTTTTTTTTTTTTTTTTTTTATTCTTGAGCATAGAATCGCTACCTTTGTATTTAATGACTCTGACGTCAGTCACAACTACTAACAACAGTTCTTCTCAGGACTACACTCACCCAGACGTTTAGACCACATGATCACTTTTTTATTATGTTAAGCAAGCTGCTGATAGTAATATTTGTTTTGTGTGCTGAGGAATGTTTATTTTTGCCATAATTGTTTTTAGGTTGAGCAAGCTTCCAGTTGAGAAAGGCAATCCTTTTAGAACAGGTCCGAGTGAAGTTATTTTCTTTCCATTAGTGGTTTTTACGTTGGCGTTTTTGTTCTGGTGTCGTTTTAAGTGTCCTTTCTCTCTGCTTGAGCTCGTTAATCTTTTTCCATATAATTTTGTAAAAATTAAAACTACAGCGGCGTTAATGTAAATTAATTTTGCATTAGTTTCTGTTTTGAGCTTCCATCACAGTCCTGAAAGTTTTCAGTTAAAAAAAATATATATATATATTAAGTTGGAGCTTGTTTAAGAGCTAAAGAGATTGCTGTTTAAGTTTTTAAACCGTATTAACCCTTTGACCCCTTAGTGTGACCAGCATCTAATTTCTGCTTTCAATATCAACCATGAATCACAGTTAAAAGTTACGAGAATGAAGGAAATGATCACCAACTAAAGAAGCTATTCGTTGTAAAACAAATTCTCCTTGTCAGAACTTTAGGAAATGTATTGAGAACAGTATGGAGAATATGCACACTGATGATAAGGTGAAAGGGGTTTTAAATGAATTGGGTTGGCGGTCATCTAAGAGCTGAATAAAGTGCGGTTTAGGCTCATAAATTTTATCACAGAAGGAAAATTGTACAACACTCAACATGAACCAGGATGAAGTAAACTATGAAGTTCTGAAGGAAACTCAAATCAACATTTTGGCATTTTTGTTGTGCTTGAATTTCTTAAGCTTTTTCATCTGGAGACTTAAAACGGGTTTTTACATTTCGTAAGACTTCCTCTGATTCTAAAAATAATCAATATCTTAAACTTGTGTTACGGACCTACTTTCCAGGCCCATTTACAGTCTTAAACTGATAGTGTTAAAACGTCTCAGTAGAACTCTTAAGTGTCTACCTTCCTTAGCCTAAGCTGACCAGTTAAAAATGACCATCTTCAAAGCTTAAAAACTTCACTTGAGGGATCCTAAATACTAAACATTATGACAAAATATATCTGAAGTCTTCCTTAACAAACTTAAACGTAAGCCCCGAGGTTTTTTTTGTAAAAGAATTGTCAAAGAATAATCAATTTTTGTGTTAAACTTGTAAAAATTAATTTTAATACTGTTCGGATTAATACTTTGTACTTTGTAAGTTTTCTCACAATCTTGTTGGAATCTCTTCTTTTCATAAAATTTAATTGTGCGGGGGAACCTTTGCCAGATAGTCTACTTCGCACCCTTTGTTTGGTCCCGTCACGCAACTGCCAAGATGGGGAATGGAAGACATTGCATGGTGAGACGAAACAAGGGTTGTGAAAGAGACCACTCTTCCAGCTGGCAGTTCATAAGTAATATATCTTGTGAGAAGTTAATGTTAGTGATAACAAGATGCTATTTATGTTTCAAATGAGTGTCATACAGCACATGTATTACAAAACAGGCATTAGAAAATGAACCAGCTAGACCTCAAAAGGGAGAATTAGAATCATTACTAAGCTCAAAAGGCGTGAAATCAATTTTGTGTCAGTTAAGTTTTCAATATTGTTTAGTTAAAGTTGTCACCCCAGTCTTATGACCCATTAGAAAGGAGCCTTTTCAGTCAACTATGGGAAAAAATGGAGGATTAAATCCATTTCGTTCTGTGAATTGCGCCAACTTTTCAACCAATCGGATACAAAGTCAACACCAATCACGACTTTATCGTCTCTTTTCTCGCGCTTCGGGCAATTTGATTGGCTTTTTTTAATACCGAATTCTCATTGGCTGTCTGTGAATCGTGGTCAATGCCATTTTGAATACGTTTTGACACTCAAATGAAAATCACCGAGTTGGTAGACAAGGTGAGCTTCCTGATGATTTAGTCGACTCCTGTGACAGAAGCATTGAAGCCGAAAGGCCTAACAAAGTTTGCCTGTATAGGGTGATGTAGGAATACAGAAGTCTGACTTCAGCTCTTGTTTTTATTTCTTCTACAGATGGGTTCTATTGATTCTTCTGATAATGATAAAGAACTAACCTCAGCTAAAGGAAAAGGATTCAAGAGCCCTGGGAAACTATTTGTGAAGAGGAGCACTGGAGACGATACTGTCGAGACTGCAGGCTCCTGAATCTTGACTTTGGTGTTAGCCTTGTATTCAGTACCTTTTAGGGACACGCAATTTTGGCCCATTTTTTCTTTTTCTTTGTTTCTACTAGTGGATGGATAATCACAGTAGGCTTTTGGACGTTTTGTAGCCAACTGAGTTAAATAGCTTCACCAAGTAATTAGTTATCACAAAGAATTGTTCCTTTAATTGGTTAATGTAGTTTATTGTCAACGAGAATCAGACATAATTGGTAGATTAACGTGCATCACTTGAAAAGCAATGGTGACGAACTCTGAGTATGCAAGAGATTTAAATACAAAACAAGAATTGATTTTGCAGATATGAATTTCAATCTCAGCTACGCCTCAACCATCTTGGACAAGGCATCTTTATTTAATTGATCCTCAAATGTAGCAGTCTTTTTTTGTGCAAGAGGAGTTCTTTTTTTTTTTTTTTCTTTTTTTTTCCTTTTTTTTTTTTTTTCAGGATATATTCCGAATGATATTTTCGCAAAGAAATGGCATGCTTTCCGTCTCCATTCATCTCAAAAATTCCCTATCGCTTTTCATTTTTGTTTTCTTAATTAGAGTGAACTTGTGGCTCGATTGTTTGCCTGTTCATGAGAAAGTGACAAGCATTTGTGCTTAGTCCAGTGCCTTACACTTGAATTAGGTTTTTAACTGTAGTATAATTGTTTTAAAGAGTGGCTCTAATTAAAGGTCGTTCTTGTTAAATCCACTTGTGTTCCTTCTTTAATACTGTAGTACTCCTCTCCCATGGTTGGTCTGCCCACCCACCGTAGTCGATCTAACACAAAAATGATGAGTGTGAACTTCAACAAATAAAGCGAATCCGAAGAAAGCATCTGTGGTTGTGGTGGTAACCCTATCACGGCAACCTTTAGGGTAGTCCACGTTAGAATTGCTTTTTCGTTTTAGTTTAAGACATCAGAGCAACCCCGGAGAGACAGGGTCTGCATTACCCCCTCCCACCCTCCCTTCTTGCGCTTTTCTTCATCAAGTCATTGCTCTGGACAATGGTCCAAGAGAACGTGGCGACTTTGTAAACAGACTATTGAGTCCAAAATCTCCTTGTAACCCTTGTGACTTGTAGCCTGCCCCGTTTTCAGAAGTTTTTCTTTGAAAAGATAATTAAATGAAATCGGATGGAAATTAAAAGGAGAAGGAAACGGAGACAGACTCGAAGGAAGCTGATCGGTGGTCCATTTTGTCTCGGGCAAAATCTCACACTTATCGCATAAATTATTGGATGATTTTTAAATAACGTTAAAACGTAAGGGCTGCTTTACTGTTGCTTGGGTCTTGATCTGAATTATACTCTGGTGCATGCTGCTGGTCGTAAATATTCCCATACAAACTCTTATAATTTCGCCATCACTCTTATTTCCCCAAGATAATCATCTAACAGCTGGAGCTTGGGCTGCCTGTGCTTGAACAACGATGGGGAGGCTGTTCCTTTGTCTGAGTCTCTCCCCAATCTTCCATCTAACTTCTCCTAGAACCAATCCTGGATAGATTGGTGTTAAATGGCGGCCCCGAATAGACTGGTATCTCTTGCCTTTGAAGCCGTCACTACACCGCACATTCATGGTGGTTATAGCGTACTACACGCAGCATGTATGGAAAAGGATGTTAGAACTTGCAAAACTATTTTGTCTTGTAGCCCCAGCAAACTGGACACTATAATAGCCTTGAATGTTAGAGTTCCTAAGAGGTTAATAGACACGTGCCAGACCAAAGCAACATTGAGAGATCTTGCCAAAAACAGGAACTGCTCTTCAGAATTATTGCAGGTTCTCGAAAAGGCTGAAAAAAATACACAGCATTTGTCCCTCGTTCACGAAGCAGCAAAGAACGGGAGTGCCAGACACATGAAAAGAGTTTTAAAGCTAGGAGAAGACGTAAACAAGCCGTCCCCATTTCGAGATGACGGAGAAGCCGCGCCCATTTTAATTGCGGCAGCATCGAATTCGTGTGAAGTTGTACGATTTTTGGCTGAAAACGGTGCAAACGTTGATGCAAAGGACAGGAGCAGAAGAGGTGTTCTTCACTACGCAGCTATGGGAGGAAATAAAGAAACAGTCTTGTACCTACTTCGTTTGGGTGTTCCTGTGGACAGTCAGTCAACATGGGGTAGAAGTGCGTTGCATATGGCTGCTGTGAAGGGTCATGCAGAAACTTTAGCCGTTCTTATTCACAATGGAGCAGATCTCCATGCATCTACAGGATTTGGTGACACTGCTCTCTTGCTTGCTGCAGAAGAAGGATGTCTAGAATGTGTTAAGACACTTGTTCAAAATGGAAGCAGTGTGGATATGTCAAACATGGCCTGTTACACTCCTCTTCATAATGCAGCTAAAGAAGGCCACTTAGAAGTTGTCTCTTACCTGTTAAAAAAGGGAAGTCATGTGAATGCTGTGTCTGCTAAAAGAGAAACACCACTCAGCCTAGCAGTGCGAAAAATTAACAACAAAGAAATTGTTGCAGTGTTACTTTTAAGTGGAAGCAGTGTAAATTTGGCTGATCGGTATGGAAGGACCCCACTTCACTACTCTACTGACAAAGAAATTGCTGAACTTTTAGTTAACAACAGTGCAGACATTCATGTTGGAGACTTTGAGGGCAAAACACCACTGTTCTTAGCAGCTCTAGATGGTTATGAAGAGGTTGTTGAGTTCCTTATTAAAAGAGGAGGTGATGTCAATAAGCGGGGTGATTCTGGTGATACACCACTCCATGAAGCAGCAATTAGGGGACACACCAATATTGCACAAATACTGTTGCAACACGGGGCCAACATCAATGCAAGGAGAGTGACAGGGGAGACTCCTTTGTTTCTTGCAGCCATAGCCTGCAAGGGTAAAATGAAACAACTCTTAATTTCCCATGGTGCTGATATGAATATTTCAACTCTAGAGAATGAATGAGAGACACTGTTTTTGAAAGAATAATAGAAAAATGTTTATTATCTTTGAAAAAGAGTAATTTGCTACATTTTACTTAAAAAAGATAAGTTAGAATGTAAAATTCCTCTCATACTTGATGGCATTTCAACTCAACTACTAATACCTTTTGCTCTAAGGGATAGAACCTACAACCATTGGCAGACTTTTAAAGACAACTTGTTTACAGGCAAATGTTACTTCCTGGCTTTAACAAATGTCCCTCCCCAGCCCTACCCTGGTAAATCTGTTTTGTCTTGCTACAACAATATTTTCTAAAGGGAAAATAATGTTTGAAAGAATAACATCATCACTACAAACCCCTTTCAGCACTTAAAATAATGGCTGTCTCTTCCATGAGATGTGCTCAGCCTTATTTGACATTGGTTTCCAATTACTAGTTTTGAGGGCTTGTGACATGCTAACTAAAAATCAAACCAAAGAGATGCTTCTTGATCATGACACACACTTGGGCTTAGTTGTATAAAGGGCAGATAACTCTATCCAGTTGATAAATCACTATCCAGCAGATACATGATTCCAAAACATACTTTGCTATCCACTAGAATAGAGATTTATCCAATGGATAGCATTATCCAAGCTTCAAACAACCAGGATCTGAAGTACATTCATAAATGATTCTATTTCCTACACTGGAGCCTTTTCAAACCCCTTACACCTTAACATCAGCATGCATATTCTTCAAACTGTTATCCAAACATTTCATATGGTTCACACAAGGAGAATTTGTTTATTAAACAAGACTTCTGTAACTTAATGATCATTTCATACATTCTCATAGCCTTAATGGTTGATTCAGGGGTTATAGAATGGGGAGAAATTAAGTGCTAATCACTCTTTGACCAGTATTTAATCAAAAAAATTTAAATTAGGGGATTATAAGTTGATACAGTATCAAATTCTCCCAACTAACATCATAAGTATTGTATGGCAGACAGTAAGAAGAATTACTAATGAGATCTTGGAAAAAAAAGGGTTTGTCCACCTTACCAGCCAGAGGGTCCCTCCTGCTGGTCTGGCTTTTTAGTGGCTTGAAGTGGTTAGGTGAATAGTCCATTTTACAGTTGTGTGCTTTGTTGCCAAGCCTTTGAACAGGAATGAGGCTAAGGATGACCTTGTTATGATACAAACCTTGCTGCTTTTCAAATGCAAATTACTTTGTTATCATGCCAACTAGATACTGTTCTCTATCACAGCAAGGTCATCTTCAGCCTCACTCCAAATCAAAGGCTTGGCAACTAAGTACATAACTGTAAAATGGCCTATTGAACACCTCTTAGACAGGATGCCAGTTCATAATAGGGTCAGCTACCAGAGAGGTTGAGAAGGAATGGGGCTGCCTTTACCTCCATTGACCCAGATTCCCACTCGGTAACTTTCAACATAGCGGAGAACATTGTGAGTTGACCGCTAGATTTCTCATGAAATTGAAGTGATCAAAGCAGTAAAACTCTCGTCCCAGCATTTACTTTCGTCATGGTAAAGGGAAATTTAAAAGAGGGAAGGAAAGAGAAAAAGAAAGCAAAAAAATACGAAGGGCATCGTGATCAGAAAAGTGTTGCGATGGCTCGCAAATTTAGTCAGAGTGAAACTTTGCCGAAAGGGCAGAAACGTGCACGAGATTCTGACGGAGAGAACTGCCAAAGAGATATCTCAAGTAAAGAGGGAAAGAAAATAAAGAAGGAGACAGTTGTTGAGAGGACAGAAGAGTGCAATAGCATAACTGATAATTGCCAATCTAAAGGCGAACAAAAAGAGAGAGTATCTAAAGGTGAGCTAAAACCCCGTAAAAGAACACAAGAACCCACAAGCTCTGAAAAAAGTAAACAGCGAAATTTTGGCGAAGAGCAGCTCGTTAGTTTCGGAAAAGAAGACAAGTTTAGGGAAAACAGCGATCAAGAAAGTCTCGACAAAGAGAAACGAAAGAAAAATTCACGTGGTAATGACAATTATTCGGCTCAAAATGAAGAGGAACACGAGAATAGGGAAAATTCCAAAGGCAAACATGATAAAAAATTGAAAAAATCAACTATCGTTGTTGGGAAGAAAAGGACAAAAAAGAAGCCTGATGATAATGCCTTTTTTGAAGAACAATATTCAGGTAACCCGGAAAACATTCATGATATAAACATTGATGATTGTGAGATAGAAAGCAAAAAGAAAAAGAAAAAGAGGAAAACAGGAAATGAGTTACATTACATATTTGATGCACAAAGTAATGAAGGACTTCATGAGGAAATGTTAGAGACTTGTGAGGATGCAGTCAAGGAAGAGATGAATAATGAAGGGAAAAAGAAGAAAAAGAAATCTAAACTAGAGCCGCAAAAGGAATCAAAATCTACCCTTCATCCAGCTATTGACTACTTGCACACATGGTTTAACAATAGGCAACACTGGAACTTTAAGAAAGTTCGTCAAGTGTGGCTTCTGAAGAATATGTTTGATCAAGAGCAGGTCAGTAAAATTAATTGATTAGATATTGTTAAACTTGAAAGCACTTTCAAAAGCTTTGAACAGAAAGCACCTAAAAGTTTAATACTTAAGTGAAGAGGGGTTGATTTTTAGAGCAGGTAAAAAGCAAAGTTCTCTTACTTGGTAATAACAAGGAAATACGAAAAAAATTTTTTTCCAATTTGTCTAAGATCTGCGTGAATTTCCCTTTTTAGTAGAGAAACAGCTTTGCAAAGGATAGATGTTATTATAAATGGTTGAAGCTTCTAAACAATGGGCTGGTATATGGAAAACTAGTATTATTAGTATCTTGCAATAATCTCAGTAAAACAAGGGTAAGTTGCTAAAAGTGTTTTACACAGTCTTAGATTTGGAAGTAGGAGTCTCTGCCTCTCATGAGTCCTGATTTTATTATTTACCATCCCTCATTGTGTAACCCTCTTCAAAAACATTAAAAAATTATTTTAAACAAACAATTTCAGATATGAAATGAAGTACAAACAATTTAAACTAAACTAATCCAACCTTTCTTTAGATCTCTGATGAAAACTTTGGCATTCTGCTGAAATATCTCGAGGGACTGGAAGGAGCAGCAAAAGAGAAGACTACAAAGATAGCAGAGCAAAGGCTCGACTCTGGAGAAGGTTTGTATATGAAGACATTTATGATCAGTGATATAGTTGGAGATGGACATTTATTGTATCTGTGATGTTAAAGGAAGTGACTAAAACCCCTCAGCATATTAAGTGTTTGCTGGCATCTCCCCTCCTCATTAGGGTGGATGCTTGTCATCATTGTAATGTAAAATCTACTAGCTTCCTACCACGAATGCAGTAACCTGATTGGCCGCATTACTGGCTGCATATTGCCTGATAGGCAGTGAACAAAATTATTTCGCTAACATTGTATAGTTAGCAAAAAAAGAAAAGAAAATATGAGCTTGTTGCTAAAATTTGAATTAACTAACAGATTTACTCTGAAACAATTATTCTATTCACTCTTAATATCCATGTATAATAGTTGATTCAGGCCTAACTGTCATCAGCTATTTCACGAGAGAAATCTCTGTTCAGGAAATGGTCATTATTTATTGTCTAGAGGGGTCAGAGGATTTTAGTTAGCTCACAATAAAATTTGACTGACCCCTCCATAAGGCTTTGTAGTATTCTTCTGATCCCCTCCTCATTGGCAGTAAATTGGTGATCCATTTTCTATAGTCCTTCTTTTATTCTTTGTTGGCAATGACTAATCCCCCCTCTGTTTGCACTGAAAACCATGTGATCCCCTCTCAAAATCCTCAAATCACCCCTTCCCCCTCCCCATGGACAATCTAATCTTATCAAACCTAACCAAAAGCAGAGAGTTTAATCCTATTCTTCATTGTGTTAGCTTTTCCTTTGGCTCTGGTTCACTACTTTGTGCTATTTTTCTCTTACAATGTTAGGGGGAAGTGAACAGGATACTGTGGTTGAATCCAGAGTTCGACAAGTGCTTCAAATGCTGACAGAGTAAAGAAGGGTTTGGGGAGAAGAGGATATTTATTACTTGTGATGATTTGTGTTCAACATTCTTGATTAAAATGATAAAAAAAAATTAAATGAAAGAAAATAATTTTTCTTAATAATGGCTTTTTTAAAGGAGATCTGCAAGTAACTGATTTCCCTCAGAAACAAAGAAAAGCTGTGTGCAAATTTGTTCTATTCCTTGTTTCTAGATACACCAAAATGAAACTTAAATGTGTGTAGCCTTTTTGAATGATACACTTATGGAAGAGGTTTGAAAACTTACCTCAACCCCCCTTTTTCTGCCCCCTTTTTTTTCTGCACCTTTAGAGCGTAATGCTTCAATTACTTTGTGAAAATATTCATCAGTGTATATCCCTGCATGTGATCACTGCATGTGATCTTCTCAGTCGGCCATTAATCCTTTAACCCTTTAACTCCCAAGATCTCATTAGTAATTCTTTTTACTGTCTGACATACAATTCTTATGATGTCAGTTTGGAGAATTTGGTATTAGATCAACTAATAATCCCCTAATTGATAGTTTACTTTATTCTCATCGCTTCTATGCTTGATATTGTGTTGATATTGTAAGGAGAAATTCTCTCTTGGTCACTCATGGGAGTTGAAGGGTTAACTCCCAAGACCAGATTGTTACTGAATTCTCCCCCTGGTTGCTACACACTTCTACATAAATTAACTACAAAAATTTGGTGTTAGATCAGGATAACAACCACTAACAGAAGCTTATAACCTAAGGTCATAAGCTTCTGTTACTACTGGATAAGTTTGAGTGTTCTCATTACCTGTTTGCTGGATAACATATTGATATTATGGAGAGAAATTACATGTTAATCACTTCTTGGAGTTGATTGGTTAATTTGCATTTCGTTATCGATCGCACATGCGGTAGCCTGCTCTAGTACACGCCCCAGTTTCGTCTTTAGCCAATATCCCACATTTTTCCCAAGGCTCCTCTGCTTCACGAGACCGATCTCCACCTGGATGAGAAATTATAAAATCTCGAAGATCTTGGAAATAAGATGTTGATCTATCTCTTTTTTTAACTCAGTACGTATTAACATCTTAATTTGTGGAAGATTTATCTCAAAAATAGTCAGGTTCTCGGGCGAGTGAGTCAAGATGAATTGAAACAAATTTATTTATTTATTCAAGAGCTATGAATAAATAAAAAAACGTTTCAAGGATAATTATGCTAAAAACTCAAATATCGCGATTATTACCACAGTTGTCGACGTGTAAATTTTGTTTGAGTTCTCAAAATGTGTTCATTAATGAAGCAGTGAACGGGGTTACTTGGGCAGTTATGTCTTCGTTCCTTTGTGATGGTGATACCACTGGGCAGGTAAATAGTCATGTATGGATTACACCTATTGTCCTAAATTGTTTTCATTTTCATCTCACTTGCGTTGCGCCGATGAACCTCTCGCTGTCTCGCTTGCGAAAAAGCGACAAATTTAGGTAACATTAAATTTCGTCAAATCTGATGAGTTTTGGAAAGAAATCTAGCTTAAATCCAAGAGAGCTCAAGCACGTGATTTCAATGTACTTTGACTGCTGTGCATAATATCAATATATCAAGTACCATATTGTTTTCAGTTCATGTAAATGTAACACAGGCCATAGAGAGACGAATTTAAAGGAATAAACAATTGTAACTAAATTAAATTGTAATAATACATAGTAACAATAAAAACTAGATGTCTAGCTAGATGAAAATAAGTGATTCAGTGGAGGAAATGATCTTCAGTGAAAAAGCACCGGCTTTCAACGCTGATGAAATTCGCAAATTAGTCTATATAAATCTACCGACTAAGAATCTGATGACATGAAACTGTGCTTGTGACGATCGTATGGTGATCAAATACTCATGGTTCTTTTTGAGCCTCAAATAATAGTTCTATCTTATGTCCGTCCTCTATCAGACAGGTCAGCTTTTCATGACTTTAATTTGAAGTGAGTGGCAATAGCTGTAGTGATCTGATGGGGTGAAAAACATTTTTAAGGTTTCGAACCTAACTCTACCTTACCGCTCTGAGTACAAACCCCCCTCTCCCCCCTCCCCTTCAACTTCCAGATTGCATTTACAAAGCCTACACACAGTTGAATAGAAACAGTGAAAAGAACAAGCCATTTAGACCAAAATTTCTGCCAAAAGTTTTTGTTTTCGTGACAGAAAATGTTAAATTTTCGACGTCTTACACCGAGGGTACGCACCATGTAACAGTCTGCCGCCACGTTTACGAAAAGCACCCTCCCCAAGTACTTATCAAACGGTACTCGTTTTTGGTCTAAGATTTTGGGCTAACGTAGTTAATGATGTCTCAACAAACAAAGATCGCAGTCTTAGTCTCATTATTAGGGCTGGATGGACGCTTCCATGGACCAATGAAAAAATTGAATGCTAAAAGTTTAAATACATGTTCTAAGTGAGCCAGTTTAAAGGTCAAGAAGATGTGCCCATAAGGCCATGTCAAGGAACATACCTTTGAAATTTTTAGTAATATCAGGTGTATTATGAATAAAAATCGACAGTCAGATGATAATAAGAATAGTCTCTTAGTTCACCAAAACTGAATGAATGACTGACAGAGAAAGAATAATGAAAATAAGCTTCACCGATGTACAGGTGAAATCGTGTAAGGAAAATAAAAACGGTTTTAATTATTTTCATTAACTTTACGACTATGGCCGAGTTGGTACATTTTAGGACACCTTTTATTACGACAAAAAAAATGATGTTCCTAAAAAAAATTACACCATTCAAGGAAAAATGTAACGTGTTAACGTTGATGAAGGAAGAAAATCGTAAAATGAGGTATACAATCCGTAGCTCAGTGCTCCTGGTAAAAAAGATGGACGTGAGTAAAATTAACCCGAATTTGAATTACATCGAATAAAATGAGACAAAACTGTGTAAACAGACGTAATAGATCGACGTAAATAGGTACTAGAGGTTTATATTGCCACAAATTAAAAATGAATTATTGCGAGAATGCGGGGGCGATAAAGCGCCCTATTATTTTCTTTATTCTGAATTTGGAACCGGTTCGCATTGCATCGCAATTCCTTTAAAAGTAGAATTTAAGCGACTTGAATTCATCATATGTGCAATTCAATGTTCCACTTTCTGTTAAGTTAGCGCTACCTATGGCGCCCAAAAAAAGGTTAGTTGTGAAATTTTGGTGAAGGGTTGCCCTGTAGAACCGTCTCGTGGTTTAATTGTCGATCTAAGTATTTGACTCCTTGTACCCACGCATTTCGTTTTCGACGTCACATTGACGTCACAGCATGGCTGATATTGGTTAAGTAGCTGTGACGTCACGTCAGTTCTTCTCCGATCGACATTTGCGAGCAAAATGGCGTCTAAAAGGCAGGATGGTGATGCTGAAGCGCTCAAGCAGTGCGAAGTCTATGTGGAAAAATATAATATCCAAGCTATTCTTAAGGACTGCATCGTGCAGTTATGTATCAAAAAGCCAGACAACCCTCACAAGTTTTTTCGGGAGTATTTTGAAAAGCTCGAAAAGGTGATTTTATTTAGCTCCACGTCGAAGCTTTGTTCTACTGTTTTGTTTTTTTTTTATGCCGAGTTTCTTCTACGATTTTCGGCGTGTAATTCAATCTGACGAGTAATTTTGCTTCATGATTGAGCAACGTCTCTTGAAATTATTTTCCAGGAGCACGAAGCAGAGCCGCAGGAACGCGGCGAACCCGAAGAAAAACTAGAAATTGAAGATCTTCCAGGTCCTGTTGGCGTCTCCAGAAAACGCCGCGGAGCTGTTAGTGCTGGACCTATTACCGAAGATGAAGCTACGTCCTATGTGAAAAAGGTAATATGATTGAAAGGTCTTAAAGATTGGTGAGGTAGAGAACTAGTCTCGGTGAGAATCGCGACAACTGACGCGGCCCTTTCTTGGTTATATTTTGATATAGGTCGTACCGAAAGACTACAAAACCATGGCCGCCCTGTCGAAGGCGATCGCGAAAAATATTCTGTTTTCTCACCTGGACGAAAATGAAAGAAGGTAAGCGGGAAGGATGCATTTCAACTGGGAGTGTTGCTTTTCGATTTAAGAAAATTTTTAGGTTCAGAGCGTAAATCAATGTTGTTTTTCCTTCAGCGATATTTTCGATGCTATGTCTTTGGTTAAACACAGTGCAGGCGAGATTGTGATTCAGCAAGGTAAGGGATGAATACGCTTTGATTTCTCAAATTTAAACTGGTATACTCGGATCCTCTAAATATACTCTCTCATTTTATGTAAGAAGTTGTCTTTCTGCCTGTAGACCAGGACTGTTTGTATAATTAGAGCTGTGCGATTGCTGTCGTACCCTTTTTTTCTACAGCGTGGATCAAAATTTTCTCAAGCTTAACGAGATTAATGAGATTTTTTTCTACTAAAAAGCGGCGATATTGTTTGAGTAATCTCCCACTCCTTGCTCAAAGTAATATGTAACTCTACATTTGAAGTTTCAAGGCCATGACATTTATCTTTGTGCTGTTTCAGGGGACGAGGGCGATAACTTTTACATCATTGACAGCGGTGAAGTCGATGTAAATGTTCTTGTTGGCTATTTACATAATGTTGAACAGTCACCTAAACACATTACCACATTACAAGGACTCTCAAAAATTCTCCAAACTTTTGCCGGCCTCGTTTTATCGCTCACGAAATCGGATACCACGTTTTAAATGTGTATTTTATCTTGAGGACTTAAAATCGAAGACATCTCTCAGCAATATGTTTCATGAACATTGTTTGTTTATTAACTTGGGAAGGATTAAGTATCCGTAAATTATGCCCAGGGATAGCTTTTCTGATTGTTTACCGTCAGCCAGTCAAGATCTTCATTAGAAAAAAAGGAAAAAAATTACAAGAAAAAAGTGACAAGAATGGCCAACCAACAAAATGTGAAATGTACAATTTCTGATGGTTATGAACAACATTTTAAAGTGCTAAGGGATGAAACAAGGAACATCAAGTGACAGACTTCATATGACAACATTTGTTGATAGATTTCTACTTTAGTCTACAATATGGATACTCGTGTTTTATACCCTGCAGTGCAGCTTTCAAATTCTCAAGGAAAGTGGGGTTTGATCATCGGTAATGCAGAACTACTGAACAGGGTAATCCCAGAAATGCTCAAAACTAATTATGATTTCTTTATTTGCTTTTTATAGGTGTTTGTTAGTGATGAGTATGTGTCTACCATTGGTGAAGGAGGCAGTTTTGGTGAACTAGCCTTGATTTATGGAACACCAAGAGCAGCTACCATAAAGGTAAGAAAACTGGATTGACTGTTTTTGTTATTTGGTTGGTTTTCACAGCTATAGAGGTATTAGGGTTACTGAGCAGACTACTTGTTTAATAGCAAATAACCATGTTGAAAATTAAAACAATTGAGGATGAAATCATGATAAATACCTGTGAACTTTCACCCTTAGCTTAGCTAGGCATAAAAAATTCCTTTATTCTACCAACCATTTTAGGTTGCTGGCTTGTATTGCAAATCTGTGCCTCGGCTTATATTACTCACTGTTAAGAAAAGCTCCTCCAATCAATTTAAATTCCAATTTCTTTAAGTTTTGTTTTTTTCTACCCTATGATGCATGAGGTCTTACTAATGTTTTCTTTCAATATTTTTGGTGTGAAGAAAAGTAGGAATGTTACAGGAAAGTAACCACTTTGTAGTCCAAAACCATGGTCACTAATAGCTCTGCAGTTTACATTGCAATGGATTTAGGGCTCTGGCTGATGTTGGGTGCTTGAAAATCACATCTTTTTCTTTTTGTTTCTGCCTCCTAGTCACGAACTGATGTGAAGCTTTGGGCCATTGACCGAGTTACTTACCGTCGTATATTGATGGGTAGCCAGATCCGTAAGAGAAAAATGTATGAACAGTTCCTGGAGAAAGTCAGTATCCTTGAATCCCTTGATAAATGGGAACGTCTCACAGTGGCTGATGCACTGGAAGCTGTTACTTATGAGGATAATGAAAATGTTGTAGTCCAAGGAGAGCATGGGGATGAATTTTACATCATTGTTGATGTAAGAATTATCTTTAGTATTAACAATACACTGATTTTCTTTTAAGCCACTTGTTTTTTTATAGTTTAGTCTCAACAACAGTTAGATCAGTCTCTGTTTTTCATTGTGATAGCTCATAGAACTAAATGGAAGACATACCTTTCTTTGTGCAAAAGTCATGACCCAGTAATAAATCAATTATTCATTCACAAGGTGCCAAGAGGAATAATGATACTTATTAAAAAAGAGTGCCTAGGCAAAAAAATAACACAAATGTGAATATGACTATATCTGAAACTTACTGAATGGATGAATGGGTGAATAACTAAATGAATGATAAAATATGAAATTTAGAGTGAATTATGGTAGTTACAATTCAAGGTATGGCAACAAAAGCTGAAAATCACTTTGTCAATTGATTAGTATAATGTAATTGATTCGTATGATGTAATTACAATGCACTTGCACCTTGGATTTTAATTTTAAGATTTCCAATTAGTAATGAAACAGCACAGAAAAACAACTAGTTAACAAATGAACTTACGGAATGCTCATAAGGCATACAATGTATCAAATGAAAATCACATACTGAACACTCTGCGTTTTGAAGAGAAGGAAACAATTATCTGTAATTTTGTTTCTTTTGTTTTTTTTCCTCCAGGGGGTAGCTGTGGTTTTGCAGCGGAGGTCACCAAATGAAGATTATATAGAGGTCAGCCGGCTAGGACAATCAGACTACTTTGGTGAGAGCAGTACTTAATTGAATAATTTAGGAAGTCAAATGTTTAGATTGACAACTGAGCTGATATTTATGATGCACTGATTATTAATTTTTGATTGAGGAGAGGGAGAGAGAGAGTCAAGAATGATATAATCACGAGGTTTGAGGTGTACCATTTGAATAAATCTTGTACTTGAAAGGTTGTAAATTCTAATACAATTTTTCGCTTGGATGCGATGTGAGTCCCTTTTAAGTCAGAATGCACATTGTGAGAGGGCTTAACCCTCAAAATCCAAAGATTGACTAGCATCTAATTTCTTTGTACATAATTACTACATAATCAAACATAGGGATCAAAAGAATGAAGGAAATGCTTGTAGCTTAAGAAGCTCTTGATTATTAAACATGTTCAAGATATGTAGAGAAGAGTCTGTAGGGTGTAGGGGTAAACAGTTTGCTGGTGCCTATTTTACTTATGGGTTGCAAAATGCATTGCGAGTGCAATGTTTTAGCCCAAGAACACAATGCTGTAACTTGGCCATGGTCAAACTCAGACTTGCTATTTGAGTACTAGCCCACTGTATCTCAGATCATCCTACAATACTTTTTAATTCTTATGTACACATCTTTTTATTGCAGGTGAAATTGCCCTGGTTCTTAATCGTCCACGTGCTGCAACAGTGCGGGCAAAAGGAACCCTTAAATGTGTCAAACTTGACAGGCAGCGCTTTGAACGAGTGCTAGGTCCCTGTATCGACATCCTCAAGAGAAACATCCAGCAGTATAACAGCTTTGTTTCTTTAGTGGTGTAATAGAGTTAGTGGTCAACTACAGATTGTAAAAATGTAGCAGTGTAACAGATAAGATGATTATGTGAGTGGTAAATAAACTAAAATGTGTATACATTAGTCTACTTGCAGGAGGTCATGATACTGCAGTGGTGAGTTTAGATGCAATATATCTTAGCATGGTTAAGTTATTAACATATCTCACCTCAGGCTAATAATATTTTCAGTTGGATACACTGCAAGTCATTGCCAGTCTTGATTATGTTTGCCTGTTGAGGATTTTCGACACCATTCTTCTGTACATTAAAGTTCTGGTTGCTTTAAAAAGTTGGAGCTCAATCAACAGGCAATTTTTAAAATTATCTTTCATCATAGGAAAATTTGCCTTATTAAATTGAAAGGAAGAAAATTTCTGCAAATGTTGAGATTATAACAATTTAAAGTTACTCTAGATCAAGCTATAAAAACTTGTGTAATTGTAGTCATTGAAAGGAATAAAATACCTGGACTATGATTTTGAATTTATGGAAAGTGAGTTGAGAACCTTTATCAGTTTGTCTTTTGAAACAGTGTTTTACCTAACCCTTTAACCCCTAAGAGTGATGAGCATATAATTTCTCCTAACAATATGGCCCCTTAATACATCATGGTTACAAGAATGAAGAAAATGATCATCAACTGAATAGGCTCTTGATTGTTATATCAATTCTCTTTGTCAGCACCCTAGGAAAGGTATAGGGAACAGAGAGGGGAATATGCATATTGATGTTAGGCTGTAATGGGTTGAGAGTTGCCCAGTGTAACAAGATCATATCCTTCTCTTCTCTCAGTTTGGTTGTTTTGTGAATGGTGTTAATTTATAGTTGTATGTGTCAAAACATGATAAAGAGCTATGTAATTAAGTAATTGTAAGGATGACAAATAAACATTGCAGTGAACTCAACACTGTCTCTAACAGCGATTGGAATTGTTGTTGAAATGTCCAGAAAAGTAAAAGATGATTTTCTCTTACTTTTTTATGAGATGATACCTTATACATGATTTGAGGCTAAACCCAGTTTATTGTGGATATAGCCTATGTTACATTTTGTTGGGTTAAAGTAGTATTGCTCATTAACGAAATCTTGGAAAGTCATAGGGTAACCGGTCATTTCGTTTCATGTCAGATCGTTTCACAAAATAGTTAGTTCGTTCCACAAAAAAGTCAGTTCGATCCACATATCTAGTATATATTTTCTAAATGTGTTGATGTGATCTGAGTACAGAGTAGCGATCGGAACATATCGAAACAGACGAGAGTATTTTCAGAACTACTTACATAACAGTGAGAACAATCCATACAATAGCAAGAGTTTATGTTTATCAATTTTTGACCACAACACAGAACAAACGATATTCAGTTAAGTACTACGTTGCCTGCGTGTCTGTTAGCGCGCTTGATATAAAGTAGTTTCAGATTAAACATCACTTGCGAGAGAAACCTGGTCTGGTTTACACCCGTTGCCGGCGCTACTTGTCGAGTTTCAGCGCTACGTGCCGGTTCGCTGCTAACATTTGCTGGCTGTGTTAATTCACAGTTTTAAGCTTGTTTTTATCCATAACCCTCGATCTACCATGTCATCTTCCAGGCCTATCAATCCATGGAATTTGAATGTTAGTTCCGGAAAGTTTAGGAGTTACTTTAACCCAAACTTCTCAATTGTCCGCCGTGGAAAGCTATATGACTCCTAGAAAATCTAATGGAAAGTCATGAAGTCATGTAATCGAAACCCTGTTCTTGTCTGACAAAATGATGTGTTCAACATGCAGGTTAGAAAAAATCTTTCAAATAACTTTCCTTTCGGTGGTAAGGCAGCTAATATTCGCCCAAAAAGCTGATGACCTAATTGCGTTGAGGCCATAAATGATGTACTTAAATGACGAATAGGCTATACATAGCAATCAACAACACGATCAAACGAGGTTGCTGATATGAACAGGCCAACAGAACGGTATTATGGTAGTCTTTCCGGCTCCTCTCCTTCTCCTTAATTTCTCTCTTTAATGTCCGTCTATTCCTTCGACAAATCAGGGAATGCCGGTCGGGAAGAAAGTACTGTACATTCAAATATAGACGCGAGAGAAATGTATTAACCATGGCTGAAGTCCTACCAAATATGGAACAATTCTTGTCTAAATATAGACAAGGGACATGCGCTTTAGATTGTTGGTGGCGTCATATCGAAGGAGAGGGAAATTTGAATTTGATTCACTTTACAACAGGCCTTGCAAGAACTCTGTTGTACATTGCGTACGGAAAAGTAGAAAAGGACTCTCGATTTACATCAAATATGTGCGATAAACAACAGCAAAAATCAGAACCGGATCGCATTAATGTGGTATTTCTGTGCGACGAATGGAAATCGTCTCGCGGTGGCATATCTACTTTTAACCGAGAGTTCGCCATTCATTTAGCCAAATTTTGGAGTTTCATCGTCAATGTTTATTGCTACGTATTCGGAAGCAGTGATCAGGACAGAGAGGATGCACGAAACAACAATGTGAATTTAATAACTGCAAAAAGAGTCCCCGGATCTACAGACCCAATGGATAGCTTGAAGATTCCTCCTCCAGGAGTTGATGTTGATGTCGTGGTTGGTAATGGACGAAAATTCGGTGTGGCCGCTTATTTTATAGCGCACTTCACCAGCTGTAAGTGGGTGCAAATTATTCACGTAAATTGTGAAGACCTAGGAAAACACAAAGAAGAGGCAGAAGGGGTAACAGACACTATCGATGATAACGAAAATAAACACAATAATGAATTGGACCTATGCAAAGAAGCACACAAGGTAATTTGCGTCGGTAGAATGCTACGTGAAAAGTATAAATCGTTTCTCCCCGATATCAGTGTTGAAATGATAACACCAGGAACTTTCGAAAATTTTAGCCCGTCTAAGCATTGTTCATCTCGGCTACTTTCTGATGACGAAAGCTCAAAAGAGAAGGAATTCAAAGTCTTCATCCTCGGGCGGTTAAAGATGGAGGATCTTTACGTTAAAGGCCTAGATATTATTGCTAATGCAGTGGCTCTTTTGGAAAGGAGGTTCCAATTGATATGTGTGGGCTCCCCGGCAGGTGAACAAAAAGGTTTTCGTTGTTGGTTCCTTAAAAATACGAAAATCACTGACGAACAACTCACAATCCGTCGGTACTGCGACCAAACAAAACTAAAAGAAATGTTCCAGGAGGCAGATTTGGTGGCTTTGCCGTCTCGCGCTGAGGGGTTCGGTTTGATCGCTCTTGAAGCGATTTCAGCCAGGAAACCGGTCCTTATATCAAGTCAGGCCGGAATTTCTGTATCACTTGGTGAGGTGAAGGGTGGAAGTGATGTAACTGTGGCATCTACTGAGCCACAAGAGTGGGCAAAGAAGGTAACCGAGTTGTCCTCCCAAACCTCTCAAGAGAGACACGGAAAGGCTCTTCACCTTCGGGAGAATTACCGGGAAGTTTACTGCTGGAAGAAAGAGACAGAAAAATTCATAACTCTGGTCAAGAATCTAAGTCGTGGTGGTAATGCAGATACCAGTAACTAGATTATTAATGCATTTTATTCAATAGTTTTCACATAGTGTTTCAATTTTCGTTTGATTTATAAGTCATTGTAGCCATTGTTTCAATTTTTCTATGACGATGCAGACAAAGATAGAAAATCATTAAGTTTAAGACTGACAAAAAATTTTCTTGTAGTCTTGTATGCACTAAGGTGAAAAGAAAATTTTAGTGAAAAAATATTAGATGAACAACACCAAAGGTTCGAGTTTTTTCGTTTAAAATTGAAATATATGCAATATTCTGCTTTAGGTAGCAGAAAATGAATAAGTTGAGCGACTCTAATTTAATGATTGTTTAACTATTTCAACAGGCGACAACGTGTCGGACAAGGAGAATGCCGGGGTGGAAAAATCACTTAAAATAAAATCAAAGCAGGATCAAAGCTGGACCAAAGCTGGACCTCAGCCAGATCGAACACCACTGGGAGAAGTGCAGAACAAAAAGCGGAAAGTACACGATAAAGAAACTGGGAAAAGCCTAGATCAAATCCCCCAAGCAGCGAAAAGGCTACCATCCAGGAAGGATGTGTGTACCTTTTGTTCTTAGTTACATCATCTAGGAAAGGAAGCAGCCTGGTTTGGGAGAAGAGCCCATAAAAGTGAAAAAAAAAACTAAAAAGAAAAAAGCAATAAAACAGGTCCATAACAAAAGGTGGAATATGATCCCAACCTAATTCTGATCTCTTTGCTGACTCTAAAATGATCTTCATTTTTTTTTTTCATTAGACCATCTCTTGATGAAAGATCTTGTTCACCTTTTCAAGTAGAGAAAAATGTTGTATCAACTTTTATATCAGTGACTGACTTTTATCCTGGATCATCATTCTTGAATTAATGGTTTACATTGACTGACCATTTCTTAATGTTTAATCAAATTCTGGTGCCATTTATGTGTTCTTGGGTACGCCCTTATTATTCACCAATAAAAATTCCACTACAGACATCAAAGGAAAATAGGATGCCATTGAGATTGTCTAAAGGCGCTTGTTGGTGAATAATAACTGAAAATAGTCATCTTTGGGAGAACACTTCACCCAGCCACAAGCCAAATGGATGCTTTTTTCAAATTATTTTTTGCAGTTATAATTTATAGTAAAGTTAGCTAGATGATTACAAGTTATAGTTTATATTAGAAGTTAAGTTATTTAAAAGAAAAGGATGAGAAATGATGGAAAGGGATATCAGGGCTTTCCTAAAGCTATCACAGAGTCTGCTAATTATTCTGTAATTCATAAAGTACTCCACCCACTGGTGATGAACAGGAACTTGCAATCCAAAATTTTTTCCATTATTTGTATTATTATTACTATTTCAGACATTTGAATTTCCAAAAGAGCTTACATCAACCTCAAAAAGTAGTAAGATAATAAGAATTGATTATATAAGTATCTACTCTAGGTAACCAGGCTAGAAGTAAACATGCAAACATAATTCCTACAACAATGTTAACTATGTGATAAAGGAGACGTGAGGGACGCCTGTTTCTTCCATGGCCATTTTTTTTGAAATGTTCTATCACTCCTTCAAGGGAATATTTCTGAGGACTGTAACCAAGATGACTGCGGGCTTTCTTCATGCTAAAGTAATGAGTGACTGCTGTCTTGTAAACCTGTGCCAAAAGAAGAAAAGAAGTGATCAGCATTTCATTTCTCGCCACACCATCAGCACACTGTCAACACCAATGGTCTGAAGAATCAAGGAGCTGATCACAAAACAGAAATTGAACTGATCTTTAACAAACTTTTACACTAACTGAGAAAAGAAAATGGTGAATTCATATGTTGATGAGTTTAAGAGCTGAAAAGTTATTGGAAATAATAAAAACAATACAATAACCTTTATTTAACGTGGTCAAATGTTCTTAACTAATTAGCTACTTTACAGACATGCCACGAAAAGTCACCTGTGTTTTGGTGTTACTCCACCCCTAAAATCCCCAGATCAGACCCAGAGTTCTCCTAGATTCTACCTATCCTACATTTTTTCTTGGGAAGAGAGAAAGATTTTGGTGTTAAGTCTACATAACCTGATGAACAGAAGTGTTTGTCTAACCTCATCACATCTTTACTGGATAATGCTTTGATTTTGTCAGGACTTATTAGTCCTTAGACACTTCTATCGTTTTGACACAATTTCCCATTTGACCGTTAAGATGGCATACAATCAGTGCTACTTATTTCCCTATTTTCATGTAGTTTCCCATGTCTATGCAAGATTATGATTATGTGAGTTTGCTGATGAATAGTACCTCTGTTCTTGTGAGGAGCGGCTGAAAGTTATAAATATATCTTCCAATCACTGAGTGAACCAGTTCTGTTAAAAATGCTACAAACAGAAAATCTCTCTGTTAGATTTAAACTTATTTAAAGGAGTTTGTGTTCTCTGACTACCTCAATAAATCTTTGATCAATCATAATCCAACTTTATACTCTTTAATTAATCTCGGTAGATAAAAGTAGTGAAAAATATGCTAGTTTTGTAGAGCTAACTGGCATATAATGGAAATTGGGCCACTTGAAATCCAATTTGGTCTGCATGCAATCACAAGCCTTAGGTCAGTAATAAAACAAGAAAAACTGCCAGGTAGAAGCCCACTTTGTCACTCACAAACAGAATGATAGAAATACTCAGATAATTAAATATCCTCTTACCAAATAATACAAATACAAACTACCAAGGACTTAAGAAAAACTGAAAATAACTGTAAGTCATACACATCAAAAAATCATTATATGATAACTGGACAACATCATATAAATGAATGAATTAATAAATTAGTATTGATTAATTAAATAAGCTAAAGCGGACAGATTAATGCACTGAACAACAAAAGAAAGGATAAAAGAAAGATAAACATGTGAGTATTCATCTCATTAATATGAATCTAGACATTAATAACTGAAAGATGAAAATAAATAAATTTAACTTACCAACCATATATACAAGAGTTATTGGCAACTTTAATTTGGGAAATTTGTATCCCAAACCTTCAACCTATTTGAAAAATTGTTAAAAAACATTTAAGTCAGAAAATAGAAAATATCAAATTGTGATGATTCCAAGAGACAGTTTAGGAGCTGAGGCATACATTATTTCTTTAGAGTTAAGCCATCTTTCCTAATTTTAATTTCTTTTCCTTAATATTTCTTTGATTTGTTTGACTAAGACAAAGGAGAGAGGATAAATGAAAATGAAAGAGAGGAAAAGGAAATTTTACCAAATCTTAAATCTGAATTCCAAACTTTAACCTACTCAAACAAGTAAAGGAGAAAGACAAAACTATAAGGCAGGAAGAGAATGGACTTACACTGCTTAATATGTAACTGCTTGCTTGCTTGTTTTAAGGTTCAATAACTACAATACTTCTTCATCAAGGAATAATTTTATAGATATTCACTTAGAGAAAATTTGACTTACCAAAGGTCTGAAGAACTCAAAATTGTTTACAGGAGAGTCATCTGAAATAAAATATGCTTCACCAGCCTGAAATATAACCCATTAAAAAAAAACAAGAATGGTCCATCAAATATTAAAATAATAAAAATATATTTTAGGAAATTAATTGTATGAAAAACATGCCACCAAAATTATCCTTAAACTTCAACTCTTGGTTCTTTGACATCAATAATTCTGTTGTTACATAATTTATGTATTCCTTACTTACAGCTACAGAATCTGCCTCCATGAGAGTTTTTCCTGCCAAAATGTGAGCTTGAACCAGATTATTTACATGAACAAAGTCAACAATAGAGTCATCTTGGCCATAAGTGAAGGCAAAAAGGCCTCTCTCAATATATGACTGAAAATAGAGAAATACAAAAGATGTGAATCTCATCAGGGCTGAAGATCAGGCTCTGGTGCAAGTCGACTGACATGCAGCACCCTTGGTGTCAGAAGATGAAAAGTTATAAGAATAAAGAAACAGTCAATTAAGGGATTATTAGTTGATCCAAAACCAAGTTCCTTGAAGTAACATCATAGCAGTTGTAAGGCAGACAGTAGAGACAATTACTCAATAATGAGATCTTAGGAGTAAAAGGGTTACAGACTTAAAGAAAGCCAGTAAACCAACAGCAACAAGTGTGAACAAAAGATTTTATATTGGGCAGATTAATAGCTCTGCATAAATATCTGCATTCAGATCTATGTACACTTCCTAACTGTTGTCTGCAAACAAAAAAGTGAAATCAACATAGTTTGTGCTGTCTTGGAACCTCAATGGCAAATTTTTCACAATTTTATCCAGCCTACTCCTACACACACTCAGCTGTAATTCAACAAAGTCTGGCACCATTAAAGAAAGTTAACACATCATGTTATTTACAAAATGTTGGAGGTTCATATTATTATCTAGCTATGTTTTCCTAAGCATCAACACTGTGACAACTCACACTCCCTTTCATTTTAAGGTTTATTGTTGCAGATCAATTAACTTTCACAAGTACCGCTCTATCCATACAGGAAGGGTGCCCCTATTGACAAAATTGCTGGGAGTTACATTGCACACCATTTTACCTTGGAAGTAGCAGTTCTTTTCAAATCATTGAATTTACACACCCTAAGAAAATCTCCAGCACTATGGGCCACTTAAAGCTTTATTTTGCAAAAATGTATCAGTAATAATATTCTAGAGCCAAGGAAAATAAAATAAAATTTTATATTAAGCTTACCACAATTCTGGGTAAATGTCTCAATTCTCCTTCTCCATAGATACCAGCTGGTCTTAAAGCACAGGTCTTGAGAATTTTCCCATCTGTCAATGATTTTCAGGCAATGAAATGAATTGCAAGTGGGTTAACAATTTTTTAGATGAATTTTGGTATTTACCAGACAGCAAGCCAAGTTTTTTTTGGTGTAAAAGACTTACAATCATGTTTCCTTCAGTTTAATAAGAAGAATGTGTTAGTCAAAATTGTAATTTGGACTAAAAGTGATGGATGTTTTTTAAAAGGTTGGTATATTTTTTTTAATCACTCCTGTTAAAAAACAAACAAACAAACAAAATAAAAACAAAAAACATGGAAGGCTGCAGCTTGAACTTATCTTAATTAAAAAAATCCTTATTACCTTAATTTTTCTTCTAAATGACAGCTTTACTTCGTATTACAATTCATTACATACAAGACTACTACAACTAAATATACATTGACTTTCAGGAAAAAGTTACAGCATACATACAATAAATCAAATTACGTACATACATAGGAAAAAAAGAGAAGAATGGAGAAAGAAAAATAAAATAAAGAAAAGTAAACTAGCAACATTACAAAAAAACAGAACATTCCTGTGTGGTTCTGGGTACAAAATTACAATGTTGCTATGGAAGAGGGGAATTGTTATGATTTAAAAGTAAAAAATAAACCTCAACAAACAGTCACCAGACAAACTGAAGATAAACTTTAACTTATCTGTTCTAAATTCCATTTAATGCCTAGGTTATTTTTTTAACTTTTTGAAACTCTTATTTTATGTTAAGTATGCAAATTACAAAACTTGTTTCATCTGAGGCCTCATCATTTCATTGCCATAAAACATTTGAATTAATATAGCAACATGAGAAAAAATAGGTACTTAATAACAGTCCACGAGATGTGGACACAATTCCATGCATTTTGTTTCCCAGAGGCACCTAAAACTGTAAAGTTGATGCTCTCAGAATGCAAGACCAACTCTCAATCTCAGGTCACCTACAGCAGCTATAAAGTGCTCAGGAGGAGAAGTCCCATGGGAAACTTATAAGGGAATTCTTAATAAACATTTTACACTTCATGGTAATTATCTTTACAATATACCTCAATATCTGTATCATATAAAAAACTAAGCTGCTCTGAATTTATCTCTAAAAATCCAGGCAAATGTTTAGTAGAAATTGAAGGATGTTTTACTTAATAAGGCAATGTTGATATAAAAATCTCACCTTTTAATAGTAAACCATTAGCATTCAAAACAGTTTGCTCTGCTATGGACTTTGTTCTGGAATAATGGTCAGGATGCTGACAAAAGTCAAAAGAGAAAATTTCTCATACCTGACTAAAAGTATAACTTATTAATCCATGACTACTTTTTCCCCCCACTCTCAGCAAAAATTGATATTGAAAGAAAATTATCAACTTCCAGTTTTCTCTCTACACAAAATTTTCTATTTTATTTTTGTATGCCTTTTTTTTGTCACAATTTACCAACCTCATACATCTTTATTCAGAACTTCTTCAGTAATCTCAAGAAGTACATGGAACATGCTTGCAACATTTTCGGAAATTGGATAACTTAGATAAAAGAGTTGAAAACTTTACTTAAAAGAGATCTCTCACGTGTTAGCATGTGTATCATGTAAATGGACCATCAAAATCATGCATTTGTATCATGTAAATGGACTGTCAAAATAGGAATAAGCAGACTTTGAATTTTTGCACAAAAATTAGTTGTCTTTAAAGCAAAGTTGCATACTCCAGAGTTTTCTTTCTGGTTTGGTTCATGTTTCTTTATACCAAATGGACTACTATATGTATATGTGAATGTTTCAAGCTTAACTCAAGAGACAACAAATACATTATAGAATAATTACCTTTTCTAGAGGTAAATATGGCAAAGTCTCATCTCCATTTCTGATAACCTGTCCTCCAAACACCACATTATATGTACTTGTATAGACGAGATGAGCCACATTATGCTGACGACAGGCTTGAAAGAATGATTAAACAATTTCATTAAGAATGGTTTTGTTTGTTTTAGGAGAATCAAAGAATAATTCAAAATCAAAAAAATTTGTTAGTAAACTTAAATTCCAGGCCAAGTTTTACATGCTACTGAATTTACAGACCTTCAATGACATTTTTTGTTCCTAGAATGTTGACCTTCTCTATTTGTTCTCTACGTAACTGAAAATAACACATGTAATTTAAAATAAATCACAGTTCAATTTTAAAATTGATCCCATATCTTTCCTTCATTTTATCTTGATCGACTGTCTTTCTTGATAAAATACAGCCAGATGCCACAAGAGCCTGAGTTGCAAACACATCACCAGTTAAAGATGTGGAAGTCCCATTCCAGTTCCAGATGATTTCTACCACAGCTATCTCAATATTGACCACACCCAAGAACAGTCCTGCTGAGAAACACCCTTTAATCCCTTAACATGACTAGCATCTAAATTCTCCTAACAGTATCATCCCTGAGTCAAACAATAGGATCATTAGAATAAAGGAAATGATCACCAGATTACAAATACTTTGATTGTTAAACAGATTCTCTTTGTCAGTACCATGGGATATGTATAGGGAACAGTATGGAGAATATGGATACTGATATCAACAGGATTTAAGGTGAAGGACAGCTTGCTACCCAATGAACAATCATGTCGCAGCTTATTCCAGTTAAGGAGCAAAGGTAACAAGCAGTATTGGTACATCTACTGCACAGGATTTCAGTCTAAAAGAATCAGTTTTGACTGAGTAGGGTTGGACTAGAGAAAGACAGTGCAGACAAAGCAGACAGAATAGACAGAGCAGACAGAGAAACATTTATCTCTAAATTGTGACATTTGAAACAAGCACAGAGACAGAGTTCTGCACATCTTTGAATCCACAACCCAGAGGCAAATGTATTTTTGTCTGGCCCTACCATTCACTCAATAAGTACAACATACTAACTTGCTCTCTTCCAGACATTCCATATGATGCACTATGAAAAACCACATCAATCTGATGACTGATAAATATCTTTCTTACATCTTCTTTACTTGTTATATCCCCCTAAAACATAAATATGAATCTTATGACATAAAAGGAGACTTAACTTTATCATTAGATTTTAAAAAAATTCACTTAATTCCTGATATCACATTATCATTCGTAAGGTGAAGTGGAAATTATATGAGAATTCTAGAATGGCGGGTGTCCAATGTTTAGAAAAGACTTCCCACCACCGGGTGTCTGACACAGCAAATTCAAATAACTTCCATGCATTTTCCCCGTGGTAAAATTTAATATTTTCGTCTGTCCGTAGCACAAAGGCAAGATCCGAATGGAGTTGTTTTGGCAAAATAATCAAAGTGAATTACGTAATTTACCGATCAAGTCTCTACCTGAAAACACTCCATTTGCTCGTACACAACATCATCCAACGGCCACGAGATGTCAAACAATACAACCACTGCTCCCAACTTCTTCAGCTCATTCCCCAGCTTGTGGCCAAAATATCCTCCTCCTCCAGTCACAAGAATTTTTTTTCCTTGGACCATACCAACATCCGTTCACAGATTTGCCTCCTAACTCAGATTTTCGTTCCCGCTTAAATAAACGAGCCTGCATTCAACCAGCTGCAACGTACCTACGCCACAGGCTACAAAACCAGCAGGGTGGTGTAATAGTCACGTTTCATAGCCGAGGAGGGGTTTTGCCTCGCCCCGCCCAGCCCAATGCTGTCATATGATAGTAAATGAACTAAAATAACTCATTAACCGAAAGTCATAGACTGAGGAAGGCGGAAATCGACGTGAAATACTCTTGTTATTAGTGTTTAGCGGTGTTTAACCAGTTTATTTTCCTATACGTAATAATTTCAGTTCCTATGAAGTGATTTCAGGTCATCATCACCGCGTGACACTGAACGGAATATATACAGGACCTTCACTTCCCGAACATACCAACAGAGACTTGGTAAGCCAACTCATGTTAACTTTTGATGCATGATGCCTAAAATTCTTACTGAAATGAAAAATGTTGATAAATATCTTAGAGCAACTCATCACCTCTATTTTCAACCATCTTTTTTAAGACAAACAGTAGACAAAAACGTCTTCGCGAATGTCCCTTGAAAATAATTTTGTGTCTGACAAAATTTGGGAGCGCCTATCTACTTCAGAATCCATAAATACCTCTCCTCTGCATTGTTACCTGAAAACTTCATTTCTCTTGCATGCTTATCAGAAGGAAGAAATTTTACCTGATCGAAAAGGCAATATGATTACATGCCAGCAACAGTAATTTTCAGTGGTCATTTAGTACAGTGGGCTACAGATAAGTAATGAAAGTAATATATTTGCTTGTGATTTTTATTTTAGCAACTTCCTGTTCAACATTAAAGGTTCCTGTGATGTCGGAACAATTAAAGGTAGCATATTAAACAACTGCTTCTGAAAATCACAGCTGCGACCAAGTTGTTTTGTACACTCAGTGTCATTTCATTTTAAGGAAACTTCACTTTTATCAGTGCATCCCTGCCAACTCTCTCACTTCAGGAGCAAATTACTTGCCTACAGATATGAAACTTTGCAACTACATATTACTGGTATTTACCAAGTAGGAGGTTGATGAGGAAAAAAACATTCATAAGAGAGTAAAATAAGTTCATATCAATTTAAGATTAAGAGTCCACATAGGTGACTGAAGTAAGTTTTTATTTCTGGGTGACTGAAGCTGAGGAAAAATATGTTCTATTAAGTCTTGTGTTTCACACTTTTTCTGGATAATAAACGATCATACAAGTTGTTTAGAATTGGATGATTTAAAGTTTGCTATGTCATGCAAAACCAAACTCTGAATATCTGACAAGGAAAAACTTGTGTGTAACGTTTTTTGTGTGATATCAAACAGTTACAGATGCAGGTCACCTCTTAGAGTATGAGATTACACAGTTGTATGACACTAATCCTGGTATCCACAACAATTGTTCTTTACTGTCTCACAGAAATTTTGTACAACTTTTGCTCATAAGTTTACTGAGTTTGTGAAGTTGCCAAATGAATTGAAAATTATAAAGTGTCTTTCAAAAGTAAAATAATTCATAAATGAGTTTTTTTTTTATATTCATATACTGTAAATTGTATTTTCCTAAATCACAAAATCTTGTGCTCACAGAACAATGCTGGGGAAAGAAAACTGAGAGTAACCCTTTTGAGTGCTGAATGGAAAACTTCAAGCAATGGAGACTTGACAACCATCAACCGAGAGCTAGCAATACAGATGGCTAAACATCCCAATGTGGAAGTCAGTGTCTTCTTACCTCGGTGTAGTGAAGAGGACAAGAAAGATGCTGATAGTTACAATGTTAAACTCATTGAAGCAGTTAAACTGGGTGGTTTTGAACCAGTTGATTGGCTAGCCTCTGTACCTCAAGGCCATGCTATGGATTGTGTTCTAGGCCATGGAGTAGCTCTTGGTCGGCAAATTCAAATCATAAAGAGAAATTCCAATTACAGTCATTGCAAATGGCTTCAAGTTGTCCATACTGCCCCTGAAGAAATTGGCATGTACAAAAACATTTCTGAAGGTCAACAAAAGTAGCAAACAGAAATAGAATTATGTGTAATGGCGGATCAAGTTGTAACAATTGGCCCCAAGCTAACTGAGGCATATAAGAACCAACTCAGAAAACAAGATGTTTTTAACCTGACGCCGAGCATTTTCGCGGAATTTTCAGATGTGCAGCAAGCAAGTGACACAAGAAGAACATTTTGCATCTTGGTAATTGAGAGTGGTGATAGTGAAGATTTTGATGTTAAAGGGTACAATATCGCAGCGAAAGCTATTGCTGACCTAAAGGATAAATCCTACCAACTGAAGTTTGCTTCTAAACAGAAAGGAAAAGAAGATGAATTAGCAGGCAGGTTACTTCAGTGTGGTATTGGTCGTAATCAGCTAAGTATCAGCAGTTTAGATGGAAACAGGGAAACATTAGCAAACTTATTCTCTGTGGTGGATATTGCCATATTGCCCTCAAAAACTGAGGGATTCGGGTTGAGTGCTCTTCAGGCCATATCTGCTGGTCTTCCAGTACTTGTCAGTGGTAACTCAGGAATTGCAGAAGCCTTAAAGGAGGTGTCTAATGGGTCACAGTGTATAGTGGATTCAGAGGATCCTGCAGACTGGGCCAAAGCAATAAAGGCTGTGCGTGACAGAAAAAGGAATGTACGACTTGCAGAGGCTAAGATTCTTCGTGAAAATTATTTGCAGCAGTTCAGCTGGGAGAAGCATTGTGATTTCCTTGTTGAAAAGATGTACAATCTTGCATTTGGTAAGTTTTCTCATCTTACATCAGAGATGCAGAAGTTTTAATCAAATTTGAAATAATGACAAAACTCACATGTTCTGCATTAAATATTCAATTTACCAGTTAGCAGTTGTTTCTAAATGCTATAGGGACAGTAGAATGTGACAAATTTACATTTAAGAAAACTGGTAATCCAAGGCTACAAGTTGGTAGTTATGGCCATACTATTCAGTAACTGTTATTAAAAATAGTGTTGGCCATAAATTGTAGTTTGTGACCATTCAATATGAGACTACCCTATTTACCGGTAGATGCATTCTAATCTTTACTTCAGGAAACAAGCAAACTTGGAATTCAGAACATGAGAATGGAGGGGCATGTTCATCCAGTGGTAAGAGCCATAGAGAATTAGCACTGACTGATCATGTTCATCAGTATGGTAATGTCTTTGCAAATTTTGTGGAAAATCAATGTCCATATTTGATATTTTATTGTTACCTATGATGTAGCACTCAGTTGTCCATAATCAATGTGACTTTACCAAACCTTTATCAAAGTCATTTTGCAAAATAAAAAATCATCAGGCTTCTTATGCTTTTCTCCAGATCCTGGGTTCATTTTTTTTTTGCAGCTCTAAAATTAAGTTAACAAAGTAACAAGTGGATAATCATTCTAGCAATTCAAGTTCTAAGACAGTCAGAGAGCCATATTTTTCCTTGACTGCTAAAATGAAACAATATGAATTGTTATGCTTGCACCTCACAGAAAATGCCATTTTGATGGCATCCTCCTAAACTTTTGGATTTACTTTTCTTAATACTCTATCTGCAGGCTTAGGGGCAAGACTAATTGACCAGAGAAGTGAAAAATCTGATGTTCATCAGTGTAAAGAGACTGAACAAGAGCCTTCTGCCAAAGAAATTGAGCTTCAAGGAGATTTCATCAGAAATAGGAAACGAACAGCTCCTAGCCCAAGCAATGTTAACATTGTTGTGAAGAAAAAAAGAGAGGCCTCTGAGGAGGCATCAGACCCAGTTTCTGGTCCAGGTATATTTTATACCATTCCATTCCATCAATCAATCAACTAGTTAGTCCATCCATTGAACCATGATAACTCACATCTTTCTGTCATCAATTTGTTCATCAAACAATACATGTATGTCCAACAATAAAAATCAATAGCATGTATCATTTCCACAAAGTAAAAAAAAAATTGTTCCCCGTTGAAATCCAAAATCTTGCTCCTTCAGAGGAAAAGAATATAAAACTTGAGTTAAGATATGGTTTTATATAAGAAGAGGCTGGAAATGAGATCATGCAAGGGTGTTACTTCCATGCTGTGGTGTGGTGAGCAAATAGTTTGGGTCAGGAAAGCTTTATGAAAGTAGTCTGTCATTAACAGCTTTTCAGAGGATTAGATAATTTATTGCAGTAATTTCACTCAACATAACTTTTTTTGGTGGGTTGGGAACCTTGTGTCACCTAGATGGGAAGACACCCACAGAGTTTTCATTAAATGACTTAAAGTGATCTAAAAGGATTAGCTGGCATGCATGCTGCCAGTGTTCATATATATAAAGTTGATTCTCTGGGTGCATCTGTTTTGGATTTAAACTGCAAAAAAATGTAAATCAATTAGAGAAAATTGGGCATCAAAGTCTTGAATTTCCAACCTCTGAACCTTTCTTTCAAAAGTGTCACACACATTCTTGTTTCATTAATTGTTGTATTTATCAACAGCTGGTGTTCAACATGGAGATTCTGCTCTGAGCATTCTTGAGAATATGACTTCTTGTGTGGTCCTTGCTGGTGTTGATAACAACACTCAATCAATGCTCTTATCAGCTACAGAAACTTCTGACATGAAAGGAGGTGTGCCTGTTGGAACCAGAGGGTGGAATCCCTTACACTGTGCTGCAGCAGGTGGTAATGAAGCTATAATTGAGACTTTGCTATCTTCTGGATTAGACATAGATTCAAGGGATAATGATGGTACAACACCCTCAATGGTGGCAGCTGCCAAAGGGCAAGAGAAGACAGTAAACCTTCTTCTCAGCAAGGGAGCTGATCCACACATTAAAAACTTCATAGGATTAAATCTGCTTCATGCGGCAGCTGAAGGTGGCAACACTTCCATTGTGAGAAGCATGCTTTCTTTTGACATTGACATTAATTCAAAAGATGATGAATCTTCAACCACCCCATTGATGATTGCTGTCATGGAAAACCATGTTGAAGTTGTGAAATATCTTCTTCAAAAGGGTGCAGATATATCTTTGACAGTAGGATCTGAAAAGAGGAATGCTTTACACACTGCATCAGAGCATGGAAGTATTGCAGCAATTGAGTTATTGCTCTCTCGTGGTTTAAGTGTTAATTCGAGAGATGGGCAGGGAAACACACCATTAATGTGTGCAGCAGCTTTTGGACAGATAGAGTCTGTAAATTGTCTTCTTAAACACGGAGCAGATCCATCACTGAAAGGGAAAGGTGGATGGAGCCTTCTTCATTGTGCTGCTCAGTCTGGCAATGTCATCATTATTGAGACCATGCTTTCTAAAGGTCTTGATATTGATTCCAGAGGTGAAACTCTGGGTTTAACCCCTGTGATGGTTTCCATAATCTTTGAAAAATTGGAGGCAGCAAAATATCTGCTTGAGAAGGGTGCTGATGAAAGTTTGAAAACCACTGAGAGAAAAATCTCTCTTTTGTCCCTTGCATCAGCAGGTGGTTCTGTTGCAGCCATTGAGATGCTGCTCTCACATGGTTGTAGCATTGTTTCTAGAGATAATGAGAGAAACACGCCATTGATGCATGCTGCACGTCTTGGAAATACAGAGGTTTTAAAATATCTTCTTGCTCAAGGTGCTGATCCATTACTTCAAAATAAATTCGGACAAGGTCTGCTCCATTTTGCTGCTCTTTCTAACAATGCTGTCACTATTGAGGCTGTGCTCTCTCAAAATTTTGACATAAATGCTAGATGTACTGACCTTGGTGTAACACCACTGTTGTTTTGCTTGATAAACGGTAAACTGGAGGCTGCAAACTATCTGCTTGCAATGGGCGCTGATGAAAATTTGAAAAGTAAGGACGGGTTGACTGTTCTATCTGCTGCAGCAATTGGTGGTGACGTTGCAGCCATTGAGATGCTGCTTGAGCGTGGTCACAACCCTAATTCCAGGGATGGTTGTGATGAGACACCCTTAATGTGGGCTGTACGGGCGGGAAATAAAGCAGCTGTCGAATATCTTCTTCCTCTCACACACGAGAGTGTTGTGAAAGGCCACAGAGGCCCACACTTTTAAGAATACTTGCACAGGTGTAGTTAGATGTAATAAATATTAGTTTTTAAATGAATAGGAGAAATTCCAAGTTTTTGTTACATTTATAATGGATTGGATGATTATTGTCTTTAATTGTAATTACTCATAAGTTTGTATTTATCTTGATGATAATCCAGGGCAACCATCCCCAACCCAGCAGGTCAAAGGTGGCAGATAGTGAAAGGCCTTGACTGAAGATTAGCTCCAAATAAGCTGGCTTCCCAGTGAATAAGGAGTTGCAGACCAAACTGGCGGTGTACTTACCAGGATGGGGTGAGGCTGCAGATGGCACTGCTTCCTCTATAAAATGCTCCATAAATCCAATGACAAGTACATCAGGCGGGAAAGGGCCGCCTTTAAAGCCCTAGCTCGGGCAGGTGGAGCTCGTTAGCCTGGGAGGGCAATCCACTTAAGAGAAGGATTACTTCATCCAAACCTATCTAGTGCCAGGTGTAATGGACAATTAAGTCATGCAATTACCCTGGGTTCAAGGACATGACAGAGAGTCCTTTACCCATGCTCTAGCTATGGGTAAATAGTTGTTGTTCTTTTGACAGTGGGCTCTTCAACCAGAAGATAGAAGATGCCACCTCTGTTATAAAAGCTACAGCCCTACGAATCTTACAGCCTCTCAACTTGCTGAGCCACTGTGAATCTTCCCTTGGCTTAAAGAGTGGGATTGATGTGCATGAAGTGGTCCTCACTTGAAACATACAGAGCGCAGGCAGGAAATAAAGACCTGCAGCAATGGAACATGGCAAAAAATGACAGTCACAGAAATAACTCTGCATGTCGGTGGTCTAGGGTAACTTGGTCACTTGCTTGTTAACAGAGACAATCAATCAAGCAGCTCACCCCAAGTAACCAAGCAGCCTTTTCTAGGGATGCACTGCTTGCCCTGAATAGAGAGGGGTCTAGTAATGGTGACCTAAAAAAAAGCTTGTCTCATCCTTACCCAGTTGGTTGGCCCAATCAATAGGCATCCCTAGTTTAGAGGTAAAAATAAGTTTAAAGATTTAGTATAAACTAAAAGACAGACATGGAAACAGAAAAGGACTATGAATATGAATACAAAATGGCCTGCTGGACGATGTAGACAATCTAAGACTTGGAAGCTAGTGCTCACCCTCACACAAAAACCCTAGAAAAAAAAACCCTTTGGCCTCTCAGCCAAAATTCTGGTATATAAGGCTGTTGTCATTTATACCCTCCTGTAAGGGGTCAAGGCATGGGTACTGTTTAGAGTGCAAATCAGTTTCACTGATGCTGCCTTTTCTCCATCATGAACATTAGATAGCTGGACTACAGAACCAATGATGCAGTCCTGGAAAAAGCCAATCTTCCCAGTATGGAGGCCATGCTCATGCTGAGACAATGATGGTCTGGCCATGTCTCCTGTATGCCTGATACATGAATCCCAAAGGAGCTATCAGAAGGAAAATGAGACAGAGGGGCTCCAAGAAAATGCTGGAAAGGTCAACTGAAGGGCCAGTTAACTCAAGCATGCATTAACCCCAAACATTGGGAACAGCTTGCAGAAAACCATGCAGCATGGTGATCAACAACAAGAAGAGCAGCACAAGATTTTGAGATCACAAGACGAGAGGTGGCAGAAGAGAGGAGGAGATGATGAGAGGAAGCATGAGAGCAGGATTCAACAGGACCTACCTTCCTGTGCCCTTAATGTCCTAGGATCTGCTCATCAAGAATAGGACTGATTAGTCATCTGAGGGCATGCCTCCCCTGGCAGGACCTTCCCACAACTGATCCTTGGATATGAAGAAACTACCATTATCATTACCAATTATATTGTGACAAGGCTGTATGTATCATATTAGAGATTCAGTTTTTGAGATCATGTAGAGACAACATGTGTCCTTTAGAGTTCCCACACTACAATGCATTTTACTCTGAAGGAATAACTTGGCTTTTAGAAAACATTAAAAGGTTATACTAGAGCACAGATAGGCATGCAGTTAGTTTCAATGACTAACTACCCTTGGCCGGGCTAGGAATAGCTGTCACTCCTCTCAGCTTAGGTGGAGAGAAACAGTACAAAAGACACATCTAGATTTGCAGGCTTACCTAAAGAAAAGGCTTAACCCTTTAACTCCCAAGATTTGATTGTCAGTTCTCCCCTCCAGCTGCTACACATATCTTTGTAATCAGTTACGAGAATTTGGTGTTCAATCAAGGTAATATCTTGTTCCTGATAAGTTTGAGTATTCTCACTACCTGTTTCCTGGATAATTTATGAATATAGGGGGAAGTTACATGTTAATCACTTCTGGGAGTTAAAGGCTTAAACATCTAACTTTTTTACATTTCTTGGTATAATGTACAAAATTCAGCTTATTCTTTCATCACAATGTTTTAGACACTCATGAACTTTTATAAATCCTAGTTAGTTACTTGTTAGTAAATGGAGATTACTTTCAATTTTTGTCAGATGGATTGATAATCATCTTGTATAGATCAGTGTGACAAGCTTTATGTACTTGTTTTTAAACCTAATTTAACTTAAAATCAAGATCTGTTTAATTTCCTCTCCTCCCTAGATTGGTAAAAAATTAGCTATTTGCTAAGTAAGATTTTTTCACAGTGATATAATTTTAACTTTTTGTTGTAGGACGTAAAACAGTGAGAACTATTGATTTCAATTTAGCATCAATGCTAAGGGTTAAAAATACTACTGTATGCCATCTTGAGTGTTTTCATGTAAAAGTGGTAGAAATTTTCTGACTTAACAAATAAAGAAAAAGAGCAACTTTTGTGAAATTTACTCTTGTTGTTCCCAGGAGATTGTAGCTATGCAAGCCCACTCTTATCACTGATAAAATCTAGCAGTGTCTTTCAAATCTATTCATAGATGATAAAGATCCAATTTCAAACTAGATTTTAAAAAATGTGGTGTGGATTTTGAATAATTTCAAAAAAGACTTAGCAAAGTCATTAGTGGCCTGTGACCTAGCTATTAGACTATTAATGTTTCAAGACTTAACTTTGCTTAAAGAACAAGCAATATACAATGTAATGATTTGTCCAGTATTTCAGAGCACTTCAGTCCATACTAACCCCAGAAGGCAAAGAACAATATCAAGCAGTGAAATGCAGATGTGACCTTTGATCACCTCTACATTCTATCTTAGCAATTACTTACTTGCACTATAGCAAAACAGATCACCATAATTCTTGGGGAAGTTGCTGAACTTTTAAATTTGCTGCTTTATGGAACTCTGTGATGTTAGAGGTCTTACATGTAGGAGTATCACTTAATGAAATTTCTTTCAATTGGTTAGTTATTTTCTTCAAGGCTGAGAACAATGTCTAATGTTACTAAAGTCAATGCATTAATCTTGATAAGATACTGCAACCTTTTCCCTCTCTCAACTATAGGAAGAAATATAGAAAAATGGGAATGGGTTTTGCATAATCTTTTTTCTGGCTTAATAGGTATTAACATCAGGTCAAAGAAAGGGTCTATTAAGATCAGTCAATCAATGCAATCATCTGCTGCTTATTTTCAAAAATCAATTTTATTCAATTTAAATCAATTTATACTATATCCACATGACAAAATTTGCCAGCCATGAGCAGACATCAATCACGAATCTGTTCCAATACACCTACCTACTATCACACAGTTTTTTATCTTGGCTAATAGACTCAATGCTATTTCACAAATTTGACTGACACATTTTCTAAGAAGACATGAAGTTACAAAAACTTGAATGATTCTGTGAAGAGAAACTTATCATCAAATGACCATGCTTTCTGTGAATACTTCCAATCTAAGATGAGAAGGCAGTAAAGAGGACATCTTGAGATTTTCTTAGGGTTGATGCAAGTCTTCAGGCTGTTATGATATGAAATTAAGGGTGCCCAACAAAATCAATTATCTTGTACTTTTGACTAACAAAAAAAAAAAAAATTAAGCAATTTGCAGGTATATCATCATGTAAGGGAAATTTTAGTATTATTAAGCAGCTTCAAGATGATGGAACTTTCATGCTAAATAAAAATATCCAGAAAAAAATTGTAAATAACTTGATTGAACATATTAAAAAGTTTTACTCCTGTGAATCTTTTTATGAATCTGCTATGGCCTATTGGCAACAACTGGTGCTCTCATCACTGTGTCATTCAAGCTCCACATTTCCAAATGATACTTCATCATATTTTGACCTGCAGATATTACACAAGTGACAAAATGTTATTTTAACCCTTAAAACCCTTTGGAGTGACCAGCATCTAATTTCTCCTACGTTACAGGAATACTGCTTAATCATTCATTACAATCATGAGAATAAAGGAAATGATATTAGGGTGCAAAGGATTAAGATTAACTTAAATAATTAAAGAAACTACAGAAAAAATGAGCCTAAAAAAATTCACGCTTAATCGGGATTTACACAAGAGGCCATCAGATACTAATTGGACACCTGAGTCTCGTGGATCACAGCTTGCTAGTTGCCTTGTTCACTGTTGCCATGGAAACATAATTTGTGATCCAACTACCACCGACTACCACCAGTGTGTTTGCAGTGATAAAAGCTGAAGCACTGCTAGCCAGAAAGAATACACTTTATCTGCCACATCTTGGCAAGAAACCAGTCTTTGTAAAGGTACATTCTCAATGAAGTTTGGTGGAAGATGTTTGCCACCTGTGAAGATGTAGTACAGTTAAAGCTTCCTTTAGACTTAAAGTAAAAGAAAATTGTGAACTGCACTAACTTGTAAGTGGAACAGGGATTAAGGTAAATTTAATGTTAAAATTTGATTATGAAAGATTTTTAGACTAGCTTTCAGCCAGGAAAAGTATTCTTGTTGTAATTGTACATATCCACAATTAATTTCATTTTAAGTAACCAAATGTTTATCTTAGCCTAACTTTAGACTCTAAAAACTTACTAATAACAATGTGAATTTAAAAGCTTTCCACATGTCTGCCAAATACAGAATGCTTTTTCTGAAACTTTGGATGCCAAAATTGTTTCTGGTCACCATAGCAATCAACACATTTGCAGCCAAGGGCTCTCTCCTGTTCTAAGCCTATGAAAATTATATGATATGAAAATTGCATTAGGTGCAGGTAAAATGTACAGATTCTCTTTCCCTGTAATTCTTTACCTTGTCTACAAAAACCCTCTGTGTCTTTCACAGCACCAGGTGCAACATAGTCTACCCTAATGCCATCTGGGCCCCATTCAACAGCAAGATGTCTTGACATACCCTCTGATAAAGAGATAGGAAACAGATTATCAGAGATTGAAGGGTATGAGAAAACATCTGAAATCCTAGCCCTGCTGAACCCTCTCTGACTGCCAGATCTCACGAATAATTTTCCTTACTGTCTGCTGTCTCATGATGTTGGTTCAGAGAATTTAAAACTGGATCAACTCATAATCCCCTAGTTCATATTTTTCTCCATTACAATCACTTAATCATCATGGTATTTTGTCTTGGTTACGATGTGATTGTATGAACTTACCAATTGCAGCTTTTGCACTTCCAGCATGACACTGATCAAGACAATTTCCCCAACAATATTCTGATGAAAAGGGCTCAAAGGCTGATTCGAAGGAATTCATGGTCTTCATCTCCAGGTGGTTGAAGTGCAAAGATATTAAAGTGAAAGGCCTCATTTCATTATTGCAAATGAAGTTCAAACTGATATACATGTTTAATCCTTTGAAGTGATCAGCATTTCATTTCTTCCCACATCATCAGCACACTGTCATCAGCAATACTCAGGAGAATCAAAGAACTGATCATAAAACAGAAATTGAACGGATCACATAATTTGAAAAAGGAAATGTATGTAAACTAGCAAGGTGAATTCATATGTTGACGGGTTAAAGAGCTAAAAAGTCACAGAAAGTCACTACTCATGTTTTGGTGTCACTTCATCCTTAACCTTCCCAGATCTGACTCAGAGTTCTCCTACATTCTACCTTCCCTATGTTTTCTTGGAAAGAGATTAAGAATTTGGTGTTAAGTCTAGATAACAACTTGATAAGCTGATGTGTTTGTGTAACCTCATCATATCTTTGCTGAATAATGCTTTGATATTTTCAGGACTTATTAGTCCTTAAACACCTCTGTCACTTTTACACAATTTCCCATTTGACTGTTAAGATGGCATAGAGTCATTGCTACTTATTTTCGTGTATGGTTTTGTAAGTTTGTTGGTGAATAGTGCCTCTGTTTTCATGAGGAATGGCTAAAAATTATAAATATATTTTCAAATCACTGAGCGAACCAGTTCTGTTAAAGATGCTGCAAACAAAAAATCTCTCTTGTAAAAATAACATTATTTAATGGAGTTTGTGTTCTCTGTTTTACTCATTATATAACTGACCAATCATAATCCAATCATTTTATAATCTTTAATTAATCTCAGTAGATAAAAGTAGTGACCAATGAGCTAGTTTTGCAGAGCTAACTGGGTTATAATGGAAATAGGTTCATGTAAAATCCAATTTGGTCTGCAGGCAATCACATTCCCTGACTCAGTGCTAAAACAAGAAAAACTGCCTGCTAGAACCTCACTTTGTCATTCACAAACAGGATAATAGAAATAATCAGATGACGATATACCCTATTACCAAATAATATAAATAAAAACTACCAGGGACTTAAGAAAAACTGAAAATAACTGTAAGTCATACACATCAAAAAATTATCCTAACTTGACACATCATCTAAATGAATGAATTAATAAATTCATATAAATTAATTAAATAAGCTTTTAAAAATGGACAGATTAATGCACAGAACAACAAAAGAAAGGATAGAAGAAAGATCAGAAAACAAAAAAATGTGAGTATTTATCTTAATATGAATCTAGACATTAATAACTGAGAGGTCCAAAAATGAAAATAAATAAATTTAACTTACCAACCATATATACAAGAGTTATTAGCAACTTTAATTTGGGAAATTTGTATCCCAAACCTTCAACCTATTAAAAAAAATTGTAAAAAAAAAATTTCAGTCAGAAAATGCCAAATAGCAATGATTCCAAGAGACAGTTTAGGACCTGAGGCATAAATTATTTCTTTAGAGTTAGGACATCTTTCCAAATTTTAATTTCTTTTCCTTCATTTTTTCTTTGATTTGTTTGACTAAGACAAGGGAGAGAAGATAAAAGAAAATGAAAGAGAGGAAAAGGAAATTTTACCAAATCTTAAATCTGAATTCCAAACTTTAACCTGATTAGACAAGCAAAAGAGAAAAACACAACTGTAAGGCCAGAAGAAAATGGGCTCACACTGCTTAACCCTTTACACCCTAACATCAGTATGCATATTCTCCATACTGTTCTACATACATTTGCAAAGAGTGGCAGTTCATTTCAGTTCATCTAATTTACACATACTTAGAAAATCTCCAGCACTATGGGCCACTTAAGCTTTATTTTTCAAAAATGTATCAGTAGTAATATTCTAGCGCCAAGATAAATCAAAATAGAATTTTACATTAAGCTTACCACAATTCTGGGTAAATGTCTCAATTCTCCTTCTCCGTAGATACCAGCTGGTCTTAAAGCACAGGTCTTGAGAATTTTCCCATCTGTGGATGATTTCCAGGCAATGAAATGAATTGCAAGTGGGTTCACTATTTTTTAGATAAATTTTGGTATTTGCTGGACAACAAGCCAATTTTTTTTGTTGTAAAAGAGTAACAATCATGTTTCCTTCAGTTTAATAAGAGGAAATGTGTTAGTCAAATTTATTTTATGAACTAAAAGTGATGGATGTTTTTGAAATGATGGTATATTTTTCAATCAATCCAGTTAAAAAAAACAAACAAAACAAACAAACAAGACAAAAACAAAAAACCTGGGGCACCGCAGCCTAAACTTATCTTTACCCTTCAACTCTCAAGATCAGATTGTGAATTCTCCCCTCTAGCTGCTACACATTTCCTTGTAAACAGGTAACAAGAATTTGGTTTTAGATCAAGATAGGACCTACCTGATAAGTTTGAATATTTTCATTACCTGTTTGCTGAATAATGTATGGATATTATAGAGAGATGTTACATTTTGATCACTTCTGGGAGTTAAAAGGCTATTAAGAAAATCCTTATTGCCTTCATTTTCTTTTAAATTACAGCTTTATTTCACAATACAACCCATTACATACAAGACTACAACAACTATTGACATCAGTAAAAAGTTACAGCATACATACAATAAATCAAACCACATACATACATAAGAAAAAAAAAAAAGTGAAGAATGAAAAAAGAAAAAATAAAATAAAGGAAAGTAAACCAGCAACATTACATAAAAACTGAACATTCCAGTGTAGTTCTGAGTATGAAATTACAATGTAAATAAGTAAGGTTTTTAACATAAAAAATAAACCTGAAGGAACAGTTACATGACAGACTGAAGATAAACTTTAACCTATCTGTTCTACATTATGTATAAGGATTAGTTTATTAATTTTTTGAAACCTTTATTTTCACCTGAAGTACATGATTTACAAATATTAATTCATATGATGCCTCATCATTTCATTCCCATACAATATTTGAATTAACAAAGGTATTAGGTACTTAATAACAGTTCTCATAATGCAGACACAATTCCGCACATTTTTTTCCCAAAAGCACCTAAAACTGTAATAACAATGCTCTCAGAATGGACGATCACTTCTGAATCTTGGGTATTATTTTACACCTCATGGCAATTAAATTATGTTGACAATGTACCTCGACATCTGTATCACATAAAAAAACTAAGCTGCTCTGTATTTTACCTCTGATTAAGCCCAGGAAAATATTTATTAGAAATTGAAGAATTTTTTTCTCAATAAAGCAATGTTGATATAAAAATCTCACCTTTTAATGGTACACCATTAGCATTCAAAACAGTTTGCTCTGCTATGGACTTTGTTCTGGAATAATGGTCAGGATGCTCAAAAGGCTGACAAAAGTCAAAAGAAAATTTCTCATACCTGACCTAAATTATGATTTATTAATCCATGAATACTTTTCCCTCACACTCTCGGCAAAAAAACTGATTTTGAAAGAAAACTATCAACTACCAGTTTTCTGTTTAAACAAACTTTGCTGTTTCACTTTTGTTTATGTTTGTTTTTTTTTTTTTGGTCACAATTTAACAACCTCATGCATATTTCTAATTGAAGAAGTTGTCAGAGCTTCTTCAGTAATCTTGAGAAGTACATGGAACATGCATGGAACATTTTGAAAACTTGATAACATAGATATAGGAGTTAAATAGTCTACTTAAGAGAGATCTCTCACATATGGGCCTGGTAAGAGGTTGGCAGATGTGTCATGTAAATGGGACTGTCAAAATGGAAATAAACAGACTTTGAATTTTTGCATAAAAAATAGTTGTCTTTAAAAGCAAAGTTGCATACTCCAGAGGGTTTTCTTTCTGGTTTGGTTCATGTTTCTTTATACCAAATGGACTAATATATGTATATGTGAATGTTTTAAGTTTAACTCTAAAGATAACAGAATAGTTACCTTTTCTAGAGGTAAATATGGCAAAGTCTCATCTCAATTTCTGATAACCTGCCCTCCAAACACCACATTATTTGTACTTGTAACATGAGGTTGTTAAATTGTGACCAAAAAAAAAAAACAATTAAGAACAGGTTTAATTAATGTGAAGCAGAAACAGTTTGTACAATTAATTAATGTGAAGTTACATAATTCAGTTTTATCTGCAATGTAATTTTAATAAAACACAGTCTATCTGTCTATCTATTGTATAGACAAGACGAGCCACGTTATGCTGACAGCAGGCTGGAAAGAATGATTAAACATTTTCATTACGACTGGTTTTGTTTGTTTAGGAGAGTCAAAGTATAATTCAAAATCAAAAAAAAAATTTTAAGTAAACTTTAATTCCAAGCCAAGTTTTACATATCACTAAATTCACAGACCTTCAGTGATATTTTTTGTTCCTAGAATGTTGACCCTCTATATCTGTTCTCTGCGTGACTGAAAATAACACACAAAATTCAAAATAAAGCACAGTTTAATTTTAAAATTGATCCCATTTCTTTCCTTCATTTCATCTTGATTTACTGTTTTCATGATAAAATACAGCCAGATGCCACAACAGCCTGAGTTGCAAACACATCACTAGTTAAAGAGTGGAATAATATATCATAATAATAATACATATTATAATAATAATATACTATAATGTTATTATTTACATAAATAAAGTTGTTGTAAAGGAAGTCCTATTCCAATTCCAAATGATTTCTACCATGGCCATCTCAATGTGGACCATGCCCAAGAACAGTCCAAATGAGAAAACCCTTTAATCCTTTAACGTAACCAGCATCTACATTCTCCTAACGGTATCATCCCTGAGTCAAAAAAAATAGGATCATCATAATAAAGGAAATGATCACCAGATTACAAATACTTTGATTGTTAAACAGATTCTCTTTGTCAGTACCATGGGATATGTTTAGGGAACAGTATAGAGAATATGGATACTGATATCAACAGAATTTAAGGTAAAGGACAGCTTGGAACCCAATGAACAATCATGTTGCAGCTTATTCCAATTAAGGAGCAGAAAGCAACAAGCAGTATTGGTACATCCATAGGACTGCATTTCAGTCTAAAAAATCAGTTTTGACTGAGTAGGGTTGGGCCAGAGAAAGACAGAGAAGACAGAGAAAGATTTATCTCTCAATCATGACATTTGGAACAGGCACAGAATCCAAGCTCTGCACATCTTTGAATCCAAAACCTGGAGGCAAATGTATTTTTGTCTGGCCCCACCGTTCACTCAATAACTACAACCTACTAACTCGCTCTCTTCCAGACTTTCCATATGATGCACTATGAAAACCACATCAATCTGATGACTGATAAATATCTTTCTTACATCTTCTTTACTTGTTATATCCCCTAAAACATATATATGAATCTTATGACATAAAATGAGACTTAAATGTTTAGAAAAGACTTCACACCACCGGGTGTCTGCCACAGCAAATTTAAAAAACTTCCATGTATTTTCCCCGTGGCAAAATTTAATATTTTCATCTGTGCGTAGCACAAAGGCGAGATCTGAAAGGAGTTGTTTTGGTAAAATAATCCAAAGTGAATTACGTAATTTACCGATCAAGTCTGCCTAAAAACACTCCAACATCATCCAACGGCCACGAGATGTTACACAATACAACCACTGCTCCCATCTTCTTCAGCTCATTCCCCAGCTTGTGGCCAAAATATCCTCCTCCTCCAGTCACAATAATTTTTTTTCCTTGGACCATACCAACATCCATTCACAGATTTGCCTCCTAACTCAGACTTTCGTTTCCGCTTAAATACACGAGCCTGCATTCAACCAGCTGCAACGTACCTACGCCACGGGCTACAAAAACAGCAGGGTGGTGTAATAGTCATATCTTATAGCCGAGGAGGGGTTTTGCCTCCTCCCCCCCCCTCGCCCCGCCCAGCCCAATGTTGTCACGTGATAGTAAATCAACTAATTAAAAATAACTCATTAAACCGAAAGTCAGACTGAGGAGGGCGGAAATCGACGTGAAATGCTACTGTTACTAGTGTTAGGCGGTGTTTAACCAGTTTATTTTTCTATACGTAATAGTTTCAGCTCTTATGAAGTAATTTCAGGTCATCATCACCGCGTGACACTGAACGGAATAGATACAGGACCTTCACTTCCCGAACATACCAACAAAGACTTGGTAAGCCAACTCATGTTAACTTTTGATGTATGATGCCTAAAATTCTTACTGAAATGAAATGTTGGTAAATATCTGAGAGCAACTCATCACCTCTATTTTCAAACATCTTTTTTAAGACGAACAGTAGACAAAAACGTCTTCGCGGGTGTCCCTTGCAAAAAAATTGCTCTGACAAAATTTAGGGGTGCCTATCTATTCCAGAATCCATGACAAAAATCTCGTGATTACATACTGATCAGGCGGTGTTGCCCACTCTGATTGCATTGAATTATGGTGGGCTCCTGATTCGGGCGAAAAAACTCCAAATGACAAATGATTATGTTTCATAGCTGCGAGCAATATCGAGCTTATGAAATCAGAGAATTTTCTTAGATGAGTCACAGACATTTCTTGGTCAGCCGATAAAACAATGAATGTTGGGTCAAGTTTGTGCTTATTTATCTATATTTACACTCAAATCAACAAGTTTAAACAAGAATAAAGAGGAGGAATATTTTATTCAGTTTGTCTGGTAAACAAGAAAGCTTTGTCTGAAATTTTACAAAATTTGAACTTTCAACAACACGCGCCAAGATCTAACAATGGGCTAGATATCTTTTACGTGAGAATGAATAAAACGAGAAAAGGTATCACTTAGAGTGTTTCCCGCCGTTTTCTGAAGTCCTTGATTCTCGCCCTTTTTACAACTTCGACATACCGCATTTCTTATGTTCTAGAAATAACGTGCGTTGAGAAATCCAATTTGCGAAACTCCATTTTACGCCAGTTCTACCACAATATTTAACTGCACTGGACCAGAGATAGAATTTCCAATGACTCATGCTACACTTAAAGGTCATACGAACGACGAGAGAAAAACATACTTTTTTTTTTTAGAGAACATCAAAATATTTTCTTGGCTTATTAAGATGGATAAAATTCCCGCACAGCCCTATAGCATTGTTAAACAAATCTGTTTTTCCAATGGCAATGTATTGTTTTTGTCATTGTGTGCTCTGTTCAAGAACTGAATGCATAATGTAGTATGGGGCTGTGCAGAAATGTTACCATTCTAGTGTAAACAATTCTAGATTTTTTTCTGTTTAAGATTAAACTCTTCGGTTTATAGATCTTTCGCGTTCTGTCTTGGGTTATCATTTAATCGGCCGCCCTGGCGGAAAGTATATTGGGTAAAATTTCTGCACAGACCCATACTATATTATGCATTCAGTTCTTGGATAGAGAAAACAATGACAAAAACAATGCATTGCCATTGGGAAAACAGATTTGTTTAACAGTGGTTTGGGGCTACGTGGAAATTTTACCCCAGTTCTACTATAATATTTAACTGCACTGGACCAGAGAAAGAATTTCGAAGGACTCATGCTATACTTAAAGGTCATATGAAAGGCGGGAGAAGAACGTACGATTTTTTCAAGAGAATATCAAAATATTCGCTTGACTTATTAAGCTGGATAAAATTTCCGCATAGCCCCATACTATTGTTAAACAAATCTGTTTTCCCAATGGCAATGTATTGTATTTGTCATTGTTTGCTCTGTTCAAGAACTGAATGCTTAATGTAGTATGGGGCTGTGCGGAAATTTTGCCCCGGCGAGTTCTCCTTGTCCATTTTTTGGTGCATTGAAAGTACGATTTGGCGGCCAAAAAGTGTCCCTTTTAAGCGCACCGCCAAAACGATCATATTACATAGCGTTTCGATCGTTGTCATCGAAGAGATTTTACTCCAAAGAAACACAAGTTTTATGGAATTAGATGGTGGCGAATCCAAGTGATGTGTGAAAGTCGATGCATACGAAATATTCATTTACCCATTAGGCGAAATGAGTCATATAGCAATGCTGCACTTAAACTGAAGAGGCTTTTGTCTATTAAAATTCCTCTTTGAGATTAACTTCAATCAGATTGCTATAAACTCACTCGTTTTCCGTTAGACCGGCTCGACGACGAGAGCCTCTGTTTTTGCACTCTCTGGGGAAAGGAGCAACTTGCAGTGAAACTGCCCGATGACTTCTCGGCGAAAAATCATTGTGCCTCGTGATGCAGCTGATTCTTTCGTCGAAAGTTCGCTTTTGGTTTCTTAAGGGAATTACTCTACAGCAACGAAACTCTAGAGCACTGACCGAGGGAACCTTCGCCGCACTTATTGCGAAGGAATGAAATGTTTTGGCAACAGAAACGAACACACTACTCATTCTTAACATAAATTTCGCCATAGAAAACAAAACACAAACGCAATAAACTAAATATTCAGTAGAGGGAGAGAAACCGCCTTTGTCAGTCTTCGTCGAAATCTTCGTTTGATGCACGCGGTCCTCCTTCGTAGGGCTGAACCGTGCTCGCAACTTCCATTTCTTCTTTGCTACTTGAGTGCGATGTATCACAACTCTCGTTTGAGCCTGCTGAAGGTAGGTGTGCATCGCTATCGGTCATAATTTCAAGAGTATTTCAACGCTGATCGATACAAACGCAAAATTACAAGAGATGTGAGAGATTTGTAAGTGTTAACTGAGAGTTCTCACAGTTTTTCTACGTCATCACCCGATAATTCGTTACCAGCCCACGGGACATTTTTAAGATAAAATAAGAGCACTTTAGGGCCCGAAAAAACCGTGTTTTGGGCTTTTTGAAATTTTTCTTCTATCGGAATTGGTTTGTACATATGATAAGCTAAATATTTACGCAAAAAAAATTGCGTGTCATATGGGCACTTTAATCCGTCGCCCCGGCGGAAAATTTATTGGGTAAAATTTCTGCATAGCCCCATACTACATAATGCATTCAGTTCTTGGATAGAGAAAACAATGACAAAAACAATACATTGCCATTGGGAAAACATAATTTTTTTAACAATAGTAATAGCTTTTAATAATTATTTACAGGAATGGCATGCAGAATTTATTCAAACCCTGCAGGTTATGGCTTAACAATTTGTGAAATCTTTAGCACTTTAAAATAACTTTTTTTAGCACTGAAGTACCTCTCCTCTGCACTGTTTCCTGAAAACTTCATTTCTCTTGCATGCTTTTCAGAAGGAAGAAATTTTTACCTGATCAAAAAGGCAATATGATTACATGCCAGCAATTTTCAGTGGTCATTTAACACAGTGGGCTACAGGTAGTAATTTAACACATTTTTTGTGAATAAGTAATAAAAGTAATTTATTTTCTTGTGATTTTTATTTTAGCAACTTCCTGTCCAACATAAAAGGTTCCTGTGATGTCGGGACAATTAAAGGTAGCAGATCAAACAACTGCTTCTGAAAATCACAGCAGCAACCAAGTTATTTTGTACACTCAGGTGTCATTTCATTTTAAGGAAACTTCACTTTTATCCAGACTTTATCAATGCATCCCTGCCAACTCTCTCACTTCAGGAGCAAATTACTTTCCTGCAGATAAGAAACTTTGCAACTACATATTACTGGTATTTACCAAGCAGGAGGTTGATGAGGGAAAAAAAAATTTTTTAGAGAGTAAAATAAGTTCGCATCAGTTTAAGATTAAGAGTCCACATAGATGACTGTAGTAAGTTTTTATTTTTGGATGATCGAGGCTGAGGAAAAATATGTACTAGGTCTTGTGTTTCACACTTTTTTTTAGATAATAATTGATCATACAAGTTGTTTAGAATTGGATGATTTAAAGTTTGCTATTTCATGCAAAACCAAACTCTGAATATCTGACGAGGAAAAACTTGTGTGTAACATTTTTTGTGTGATGTCAAACAGTTACAGATGCAGGTCACTTCTTAGAGTTTGAGATTACACAGTTATATCACACTAATCGTGGTATCCACAACAATAATTGTTCTTTACTGTCTCACAGAAATTTTGCACAACTTTTGCTCATAAGTTTAATGAGTTTGTGATGTTGCCAAGTGAATTGAAAATTATAAAGTGTCTTTCAAAAGTAAAATAATTCACAAATGAGTTTTTTTTTATATTCATATACTGTAAATTGTACTTTCCTAAATCACAAAAATCTTGTGCTCACAGAACAATGCTGGGGAAAGAAAACTGGGAGTAACCCTTTTGAGTGCTGAATGGAAAACTTCAAGCAATGGAGACTTGACAACCATCAACCGAGAGCTAGCAATACAGATGGCTAAACATCCTAATGTGGAAGTCAGTGTTTTCTTACCTCAGTGTAGTGAAGAGGACAAGAAAGATGCTGATAGTTACAATGTTAAACTCATTGAAGCAGCTAAACTGGGTGGTTTTGAACCAGTTGATTGGCTAGCCTCTGTACCTGACGGCCATGCTATGGATTGTGTTCTAGGCCATGGAGTAGCTCTTGGTCGGCAAATTCAAATCATAAAGAGAAATTCCAATTACAGTGATTGCAAATGGATTCAAGTTGTCCATACTGCCCCTGAAGAAATTGGCATGTACAAAAGCATTTCTGAAGGTCAACAAAAGCAGCAAACAGAAATAGAATTATGTCAAATGGCAGATCAAGTTATAACAATTGGCCCCAAGCTAACTGATGCATATAAGCACCAACTCAGAAAACAAGATGTTTTTAACCTGACGCCAAGCGTTTTCACAGAATTTTCAGATGTGCAGCAAGCAAGTGATGAAGGAAGAAGATTTTGTGTCTTGGTAATTGAGAGTGGTGATAGTGAAGATTTTGATGTTAAGGGGTACGATACTGCAGCAAAAGCTATTGCTGAGCTAAAGGATAAATCTTACCAACTCAAGTTTGCTTCCAAACAGAAAGGAAAAGAAGATGAATTAAAACACAAGTTACTTCAGTCTGGTATTGGTTGTAATCAGCTAAGTATCTGCACTTTAGATGAAGACAGGGAAACATTAGCAAACTTATTCTCTGTGGTGGATATTGCCATACTGCCCTCAAAAACAGAGGGATTCGGGTTGAGTGCTCTTCAGGCCATATCTGCTGGTCTTCCAGTACTTGTCAGTGGTAACTCAGGAATTGCAGAAGCCTTAAAGGAGGTGACTTATGGGTCACAGTGTATAGTGGATTCAGAGGATCCTGCAGCCTGGGCCAGTGCAATAAAAGCTGTGCATGACAAAAAAAGGAATGTACGACTTGAAGAGGCTAAGAGTCTTCGTGAAAACTATTTGCAGAAGTTCAGCTGGGAGGAACCTTGCAATTTCCTTGTCGAAAAGATGTACAATCTTGCATTTGGTAAGTTTTCTCATATTGCATCAGGAAAGCAGAAAATTTGAAATAATGACAAAGCTCACATGTTCTGCGTTAAATATTCAATTTACCAGTTAGAAGTTGTTTCTAAATGCTATAGGGACAGTAGTGTTATGGAATATGACAAATTTACATGTAAGAAAACTGGTAATCCAAGTCTATAAGTTGGTGGTAATGGCCATACAATACAGTAACTGTTCTTAATAACAGTGGTGGCCAAAAGTTGTAGTTTGTGACGAGTTGGTATGAGACTACTCCATTTAGATGTATTCTAATCTTTACTTCAGGAAAGAAGAAAACTTGGAATTCCGAACATGAGAATGGAGGGGCATGTTCATCCAGTGGTAAGAACCATAGAGAATTAGCACTGACTGATCATGTTCATCAGTATGATGATGTCTTTGCAAATTTTGTGGAAAATCAATGTTCATATTTGATATTTTATTATTACCTATAATGTAGCACTCAGTTGTCCATAATCAATGTGACTTCACCAAACCTTTATCAAATTAATTTTCCAAAAATCGAGGTAAGTTTTCTCATCTTGCATCAGAGATGCAGAAGTTTTAATCAAATTTGAAATAATGTCAAAACTCACATGTTCAGCATTAAATATTCAATGTACCAGTTAGCAGTTGTTTCTAAATGTTTTAGGGACAGTAGAATGTGACAAATTTACATTAAAGAGAACTGGTAATCCAAGGCTACAAGTTGGAGGTAATAGTTACTGTTAGTAATAATAGTGCTGGCCATAAATTGTAGTTTGTGACCATTCAATATGAGACTACCCCATTTACCGGTAGATGTATTCTAATCTTTACTTCAGGAAACAAGCAAACTTCGAATTCAGAACATGAGAATGGAGGGGCATGTTCATCCACTGGTAAGAGCCACAGAGAATTAGCACTAACTGATCATGTTCATCTATATGATGATGTCTTTGCAAATTTTGTGGAAAATCAATGTTCATATTTGATATTTTATTATTACCTACAATGTAGCACTTAGCTGTCCATAATCAATGTGACTTCACCAAACCTTTATCAAATTAATTTTCCAAAAATCCAAAATCATCAGGCTTCTTATGCTTTTCTCCAGATCCTGGGTTCATTTCATTGCAGCTCTAAAATTAAGTTAACAAAATAACAAATGGATGATCATTCTAGCAATTCAAGTTCCAAGACAGTAAGAGAGCCATATTTTTCCTTGACTGCTAAAATGAAACATGAATTGTTATGCATGTACCTCACAGAAAATGCCATTTTGATGGCATCCTCCTAAACTTTTGGATTTACTTTAATTACTTAATGCTCTACGTGCAGACTTAGGGGCAAGACTAATTGTCCAGAGGAGTGAAAACTGCTTAGGGTTAGAAGTTGAGCTTCAAGGAGACGTCATCAGAAATAGGAAACGTAGAGCTCCTAACCCAAGTAATGTTAACACTGTTGTGAAGAAAAAAAGGGAGGTCTCTGAGGAGGTATCAGACCCGATTCCTGGTCCAGGTATATTTTATACCATTCTATTCCATCAATCAATCAACTAATTAGTCCATCCATCCAACCATAATAACTCACATCTTTCTGTCATCAATTTGTTAATCAAACAATACATGTATGTCCAACAATAAAAAAATCAATAGCATGTATCATTTCCACCAAGTAAAAAAATAATTTTTCCCAGTTGAAATCCAAAATCTTGCACCTTCAAAGGAAAAGAATATAAAACTTGAGTTAAGATATGGTTTTATTTAAAAAGAGACTGGAAATGAGATCATGCAGTGGTGTTACTTCCATGCTGTGGTGTGGTGAGCAAATAGTTTGGGTCAGGAAAGCTTTATGAAAGAAATCTGTCATTAACAGTTTTTCAGAGGATTAGAGAATTTATTTCAGTAATTTCACTCAACATAACTTTGTTTGGTGGGTTGGGAACCTTGTGTCACCTAGAAGGGAGGACTGACCCACAGAGTTTTCAATAAATCACTTTAGGTGATCTAAAAGGATTAATTGGCATGCATGCTGCCAGTGTTCAGAATGTAGAGTTGATTCTCTGGGTGCATCTGTTTTGGATTTAAACTGCAAAAAAATGTAAACTAATTAGAGAAAATTGGGCATCAAAGTCTTGAATTTCCAACCCCTGAACCTTTCTTTCAAAATTGTCACATACACTCTTGTTTCATTAATTGTTGTATTTATCAACAGCTGCTGTTGAACATGGAGATTCTGCTCTGAGATTTCTTGGGGACATGCATTCTTTTGTTGATAGCAACACTCAACCAATTCCCTTGCCAGCTAAAGAAACTTATGACATGAAAGGAGGTGTGTCTGTTGAAACCAGAGGGTGGAATCCCTTACATTCTGCTGCAGAGGGTGGTAATGAAGTTATAATTGAGACTTTGCTATCTTCTGGATTAGACATAGATTCAAGGGGTAATGATGGTACAACACCCTTAATGGTGGCAGCTGCTAAAGGACAAGAGAAGACAGTAAACCTTCTTCTCAGCAAGGGAGCTGATCCACACCTTAAAAACTTCTTTGGAAGAAATCTGCTTCATGCGGCAGCTGAAGGTGGCAACATTTCCATTGTGAAGAGCATGCTCTCTCATGGCATTGACATTGATTCAAAAGATGATGAATCCTCAGTCACCCCACTGATAATTGCTGCCAAGAAAAACCATGTTGAAGTTATGAAATATCTTCTTCAAAAGGGTGCAGACATATCTTTGACAACTGGATCTTGCGAGAGGAATGCTTTACACATCGCATCACAGAACGGAAGTGTTGCAGCAATTGAGATGTTGCTCTCTTATGATTTAAGACCTGACTCAAGAGATAGAGAGGGAAACACGCCATTAGCCTGTGCTGCAGCTTATGGACAGATAGAGGCTGTAAACTGTCTTCTTAAACATGGAGCAGATCCATTACTGAAAGGGGAAGATGGACGGAGCCTTCTCCATTTTGCTGCTCAGTCTGGCAATGTCATCATTATTGAGACCATGCTTTCTAAAGGTCTTGATATTGATTCCAGAGGTGAAACTCAGGGTGAAACCCCTCTGATGGTTTCCATTGCATCTGGTTCTATTGCAGCCATTGAGATGCTGCTTTCATACGGTTGTAACATTGATTCTAGAGATGGTAGGGGAGACACAGCATTGATGCGTGCTGCACATCTTGGAAATACAGAGGTTGTAGAATATCTTCTTGCTAAAGGTGCTAATCCATTACTTTTAAATAACTTAGAATTTGGTCTGCTCCATTTAGCTGCTCTTTCTGACAATGTTCTCACTATTAAGGCTGTGCTCTCTAAAAATTTTGACATAAATGCTAGGTGTACAGTCCTTGGTGTAACTCCACTGTTGTTTTGCTTGGCAAAGGGTAAACTGGAGGCTGCAAACTATCTGCTTGCAATGGGCGCTGATGAAAATTTGAAAACTAAGGACAGGTTGACTGTTCTATCTGCTGCAGCATTCAGTGGTAACGTTGCAGCCATTGAGATGCTGCTTAAGCGTGGTCACAACCCTAATTCCAGGGATGGTTGTGATAAGACACCCTTAATGTGGGCTGCAGAGAGAGGAAATAAAGCAGCTGTAGAATATCTTCTTCGTCTCACACACTAAAATGTTGTGAAAGGCCACAGAGGCCCACACTTTTAAGAATACTTGCACAGGTGTAGTTAGATGTAATAAATATTAGTTTTAAAATGAAAAGGAGAAATTCCAAGTTTTTGTTACATTTATAATGGATTGGATGATTATTGTCTTTAATTGTAATTACTCATAAGTTTGCATTTATCTTGATGGTAATCCGTGGCAACCATCCCCAGCCCATCAGGTGAAAGGTGGCAGATAGTGAAAGGCCTTCACTGAAGGTTAGCTCCAAATAAGCTGGCTTCCCAGTGGATAAGGAGTTGCAGACCAAAGTGGCGGTGTACTTACCAGGATGGGGTGAGGCTGCAGATGGCACTGCTTCCTCTATAAAATGCTCCATAAATCCCATGACAAGTACATCAGGCGAGAAAGGGCCGCCTTTAAAGCCCTAGCCCGGGCAGGTGGAGCTCGATAGCCTGGGAGGGTAATCCACTTAAGAGAAGGACTACTTCATCCAAACCTATCTAGTGCCAGGTGTAATGGACAATTAAGTCATGCAATTACCCTGGGTTCAAGGACATGACAGAGAGTCCTTTACCCATGCTCTACCTATGGATAAATAGTCGTTGTTCTTTTGAGAGCAGGCTCTTTAGCCAGAAGATAGGAGATGCCACCTCTGTTATAAAAGCTACAGCCCTACGAATCTTACAGCCTCTCAACCTGCTGAGCTGCTGTAAATCTTCCCTGGGCTTAAAGAGTGGGATTGATGTCCATGAACTGGCCCTCACTTGAAACATACAGAGTGCAGGCAGGAAATAAAGACCTGCAGTGATGGAGCATGGCAAAAATGACAGGTGCTAGATGGCGCTGAAATTGCAGAAATAACTCTGCATGTAGGTGGTCTAGGGTAACATGGTCACTTGCTTGTGAACAGAGACAAGTGACTAAGCAGCTCACCCCAAGCAACCTAGCAGCCTTTTCTAGGGTTGTATTGCTTGCCCTGAATAGAGAGGGGTCTAGTAAAGATGACCTAAAAAAAGTTTGTCTCATCCTTACCCAGTTGGTTTGCCCAATCAATGGGCATCCCTAGTTTAGCAGTAAAAACTAGTTAAAAGAATTTATCAGTATAAACTAAAAGACAGACATGGAAACAGATAAGGACTATGAATATGAAAATGGCTTGCTGGAATGTGCAGGCAATGTAAGACTTGGAAGATAGTGTTCACCCTCACACAAAACCCCTCTCTTCGCCTCTCCACCAAAATTCTGGTATACAAGGCTGTTGTCATCTATACCTTCCCGTAAGGGGTCAAGGCATGTGTACTGTTCAGAAAGCAAATCAAATGCCTAGAACAGCAATGCTGCCTTTTCTCCATCATGAACATTAGATAGCAGGACTACAGAACCAACAATGAAGTCCTGGAAAAAGCCAATCTTCCCAGTATGAAGGCCACGTTCATGCTGCGACAATGATGGCCTGGCCATGTCTCCAGTATGCCTGATACATGAATCCCAAAGGAGCTATCAGATGGAAAACGAGACAGAGGGGTTCCAAGAAAATGCTGGAAAGACTAACTGAAGGGCCAGTTGACTCAGGCTGGCATCAACCCCAAACACTGGGAACAGCTTGCAGAAAACCATGCAGCATGGTGATTAACAACAAGAAGAGCAGCACAAGATTTTGAGATCACAAGACGAGAGGCGGCAGAAGAGAGGAGGAGATGACGAAAGGAAGCACAAGAGCAGGATCCAACAGGACCTACCTTCCTGTGCCCTTGATGTCCTAGGATCTGCCTATCAAGAATAGGACTGATTAGTCATCTGAGAGCATGCCTCCCTTGGCAGGACCTTCCCACAACTGATCCTTTGATATGAAGAAACTGCCTTTATCATCACCAATTATATTGTGGCAAATCTGTGTGTATCATATTAGAGATTCAGTTTTTCAGATCATGTAGAGGAAACATGTGTCCTTTAGAATTCCCACACTACAATGCATTTTACTCTGAAGGAAAAACTCGGCTTTTAGAAAACATTAAAAGGTGTTATACTACAGCACAGATAGGCATGCATTTAGTTTTAATGACTAACTAACCTTGGCTAGGAATGGTTATCACTCCTCTCTGCTTGGGTGGAGAGAAGCAGTACAAAAAACACATCTGAATTTGCAGGCTTACCTATAAAAAAGGCTTGACCCTTTAACTCCCAAGATCTGATTGACAATTCTCCCTTCCAGCTGCTACAAATTTCCTTGTAATTTGGTTACAAGAATTTGGTGTTTAATCAAGGTAACATCTTGTACCTGATAAGTTTGAGTATTCTCACTACCTGTTTCATGGTTAATTTATAAATATAGGGAGAAGTTACATGTTAATCACTTCTGGGAGTTAAAGGCTTAACCACATAGTTTTTATATATTTCTTGGTATAATGTACAAACTTCAGCTTATTCTTTCATTGTAATGTTTAAGATATTCAAGGACTTTAGTAACTCATAGTTACCTGCGAGTAAATTGAAATTACTTTCAATTTTTGTTAGGTGGATTGATAACTGTCTTGTATAGATAACTGTAACAAACTTAATGTACTTGGTTTTTTTTTTTTTGGACTTAAATCGAGATCTGTTTAATCTCCTTCCTCTCTAGATTGGTAAAACTAGCTATTTCCTAACTAAAGTAAGATTTTTTTCACAGTGACCTGGATTTAACTTTTTGCAGTAGGATGTAAAACGATGAGAACCATAGATTTCAATTTGGCATCAATGCTTAGAGTTAAAAATGCTACTGTATGCCATCTTAAGTATTTTAATGAAAAAGTGGTAGAAATTTTCTAAATAAATGAAAGGAGTGACTTAATAAATGAAGAAAAAGAGCAAAATTTGTGAAATTTACATCTGTTGTTCCTGGGAGATTGTTACACCTGGTGTGCCACTTTTTTGTTCTTACCACATTTTGACATCATCAATGATCTATTACTGAACAGACACACAGCAACTTGGAATCTATTTGTTAAATATATAATGCATTGATTAGTCCAGTATTTCAGAGCACTTCAGTCCATACCAGACCCCAGAAGGCAAGGAAAAATATCAAACAGTGAAATGCAGATGTAACCTTGTTATGTAGCAAAAAGGATCATCATGCTTTACAGGTCAAGGGGGGGGGGAGTTACTGAACATTCAAATTTGCTCCTTGTATGGAACTCTGTAATGTCAGAGGTCTTACATGTAGGAGTATCACTTGATGAAATATCTTTCAATTGGCTAGTTATTTTCTTCAAGGCTGAGAGAAATGTCTAATGTTACTATAGTCAATGCAATAGTCTTGATAAGAAGCTGCAACCTTTGACCTCCCTCAACTATAGGAAGAAATATAGAAAAATGGGAATGGGTGTTTGCATAAATCTTTTCTAGCTTAATGCTAAGACCAGTCAATGCAATCATCTGTTGCTTATTTTCAAAAATCAATTTTATTCAATTTATATCACTTTATTCTATATCCACTTACCAAACTTTGCCTGCCATGAGCAGACATCAATCACAAATCTGTTCCAATACACCTGCCAACTATCACACAGTTTTTCATCCTTGGCTAATAAACTCAGTGCTACTTCACAAATTTAACTGACACTTTTCTAAGAATAAACGAAGTTATGAAAACTTGAATGAGTCTGTGAAGAGAAACTTATCATTAAATGACCATGCTTTCCATGAATACTTCCAACCTAAGATGAGAAGGCAGTAAAGAGGGCATCTCTCAAGATTTTCTTAGGGTTGATGCAAGTCTTCAGGCTCTTATAATATGAAATTAAAGGTGCCCAACAAAATCAATTATCTTATACTTTTGACTAAAAAAAAAAAAAAATTTAAGTAATTTGCAGGTATATCATAAAGTAAGGGAAATTTTAGTATTATTAAGCAGCTTCAAGATGATGGAACTTTCATGCTAAATAAAAATATCCAGAAAAAAAATTGTAAACAATGTGATTGAACATATTAAAAAGTTTACTCCAGTGAATCTTTTTATGAATCTGCCATGGCCTATTGGCAACAACTGGTGCTCTCATCACTGTGTAATTCAAGTTCCACATTTCCAAATGATACTTCATCATATTTTAACCCTTAACACCCTTGGAGTGACCAGCATCTAATTTCTCCTTGCTGTAATACTGCTGAATCATTCATTACGATCATGAGAATAAAGGAAATGATATTAGGATGCAAAGGGTTAAGATTAACTGTAATAATTAGAATCTAAAGAACAAATGAGCCATAAAAACTTCACACTTAATTGGGATTTGCACAAGTGCCCATCAGATACTAATTGGACACCAGAGTCTAGTGGATCACAGCTTGCTAATTGACTTGTTCACTGTTGCCATGGAAACATAATTTGTGATCCAACTACCATCCACTTCCACCCTCTACTGCCAGTGTGTTTGTTGTGATAAAAGCTGAAGCACCACTTGCCAGAAAGAGTACACCATCTACCACATCTTGGCAAGAAACCAGTCTTTGTAAAGGTACAAATTCTCAATGAAGTTTGGTGGAAGATGTCTGCCTTCTGTGAAGATGTAGTTCAGTTAAAGCGTCCTTCAGACTTAAAGTGAAAGAAAATTGTGAACTGCATTACTTTGTAAGTGGAACAGGGATTAAGGTAAATTAAATGTTAAACATTGAGTATGAAATATTTTTAGACTAGCTTTCAGCCAGGAAAAGTATTCTTTTAGTAATTGTACATATCCAAAATTCATTTCATCTTAAGCAAACAAATGTTTAATTAGCCTAACTTTAGACTCTAAAAACTTACTAATAACAATGTCAATTTAGAAGCTTTCCACATGTTTGCCAAATACAGGATGCTTTCGCTGAAACTTTGGGTGCCAAAATTGTTTCTGGTCACCATAGCAATCAACACAGTTGCAGCCAAGTGCTCTCTTCTGTTCTAAGCCTATGAAAATTTTATGATATGAAAATTGCATTAGGTGCAGGTAAAATGACCAGATTCTGCTTCCCTGTAATTCTTTACCTTGTCTACAAAAACCCTCTGTGTCCTTCACAGCACCTGGTGCAACACAGTTTACCCTAATGCCATCTGGGCCCCATTCAACAGCAAGATGTCTTGACATACCCTCTGATAAAGAGATAAGAAACAGATTATCAGGGATTGAAGGGTATGAGAAAACATCTGAAATCTTAGCCCTGCTGAACCCTCTCTGACTGCCAGATCTCATGAGTAATTTTCCTTACTGTCTGCCATACAAGTCTCATGATGTTGGTTCAGAGAATTTAAAACTGGATCAACTCATACTCCCCTCATTCATAGTTTTCTCTATTACCATCACTTAGTCAACATAATATTTTGCCTTCTTATAATGTGATTGTTAGAACTTACCAATTGCAGGTTTTGTGCTTCCAGTATGACACTGATCAACACAATTTCCCAACAACATTCTGATAAAAAGGGCTAAAAGGCCGATTTGAAGGAATTGAAGGTCTTCATCTCCAGGCAGTTGAAGTATGAAGATATTAAAGAGAAAGGCCCCATTGCTAAAGCAGTACATCGTTGCAAATAAAGTTCAAATCGATATGCATGTTTAATCCTTTGAAGTGATCAGCATTTCATTTCTTCCCACATCATCAGCACACTGTCATCAGCAATACTCAGGAGAATCAAGGAACTGATCATAAAACAGAAATTGAATGGATCACATAATTTGAAAAAGAAATGTATGTAAACTAGCAAGGTGAATTCATGTGTTGATGGGTTTAAGAGCTGAAAAGTCACAGAAAGTCACTTATGTTTTGGTGTCACTTCACCCTTAACCTTCCCAGATCTGTCCCAGAGTTCTCCTACATTCTACTTTCCCTATATTTTCTTGGAAAGAGATGAAGATTTTAGTGTTAAGTCTAGATAACAATCTGATAAGCTGATGTGTTTGTCTAACCTCATCATATCTTTGCTGAATAATGCTTTGATATTGTCAGGACTTATTAGTCCTTAAACACCTCTATCACTTTAACACAATTTCCCATTTGATTGTTAAGATGGCATATAGTCACTGCTACTTATTTTCATGTATGGTTTTGTAAGTTTGTTGGTGAATAGTGCCTCTGTTCTCATGAGGAATGGCTAAAAATTATAAAATAATATATTTTCCAATCACTGAGCAAACCAGTTCTGTTAAAAATGCTGCAAACAGAAAATCTCTCTTGTAAAAATAACATTATTTAATGGAGTTTGTGTTCTCTGTTTTACTCATTATATAACTGACTAATCATTATCCAATCATTTTATAATCTTTAATTAATCTCAGTAGATAAAAGTAGTGACCAATGAGCTAGTTTTGCAGAGCTAACTGGGTTATAATGGAAATAGGTTCATGTAAAATCCAATTTAGTCTGCTGGCAATCACATGCCCTGACCCAGTGCTAAAACAAGAAAAACTGCCTGCTAGAACCCCACTTAGTCATTCACAAACAGGATAATAGAAATAATCAGATGACAATATACCCTATTACCAAATAATATAAATAAAAACTACCAGGGACTTAAGAAAAACTGAAAATAACTGTAAGTCATACACATCAAAAAATTATCCTAACTTGACACATCATCTAAATGAATGAATTAATAAATTCATATAAATTAATTAAATAAGCTTTTAAAAATGGACAGATTAATGCACAGAACAACAAAAGAAAGGATAGAAGAAAGATCATAGAAAACAAAAAAATGTGAGTATTTATCTTAATATGAATCTAGACATTAATAACTGAGAGGTCCAAAAATGAAAATAAATAAATTTAACTTACCAACCATATATACAAGAGTTATTAGCAACTTTAATTTGGGAAATTTGTATCCCAAACCTTCAACCTATTAAAAAAATTGTAAAAAAATTTCAGTCAGAAAATGCCAAATAGCAATGATTCCAAGAGACAGTTTAGGACCTGAGGCATAAATTATTTCTTTAGAGTTAGGACATCTTTCCAAATTTTAATTTCTTTTCCTTCATTTTTTCTTTGATTTGTTTGACTAAGACAAGGGAGAGAAGATAAAAGAAAATGAAAGAGAGGAAAAGGAAATTTTACCAAATCTTAAATCTGAATTCCAAACTTTAACCTGATTAGACAAGCAAAAGAGAAAAACACAACTGTAAGGCCAGAAGAAAATGGGCTCACACTGATTAACCCTTTACACCCTAACATCAGTATGCATATTCTCCATACTGTTCTACATACATTTGCAAAGAGTGGCAGTTCATTTCAGTTCATCTAATTTACACATACTTAGAAAATCTCCAGCACTATGGGCCACTTAAGCTTTATTTTTCAAAAATGTATCAGTAGTAATATTATAGCGCCAAGATAAATCAAAATAGAATTTTACATTACACTTACCACAATTCTGGGTAATTGTCTTAATTCTCCTTCTCTGTAGATACCAGCTGGTCTTAAAGCACAGGTCTTGAGAATTTTCCCATCTGTGGATGATTTCCAGGCAATGAAATGAATTGCAAGTGTATAATTCCTACATACATAGGAAAAAAAGGGAAGAATGAAGAAAGAAAAATAAAATAAAGAAAAGTAATCCAGCAACATTACATAAAAACAGAACATTCCAGTGTAGTTCTGAGTATGAAATTACAATGTAAATAAGTAAGGTTTTTAGCATAAAAAATAAACCTGAAGGAACAGTTACATGACAGACTGAAGATAAACTTTAACCTATCTGTTCTACATTATGTATAAGGATTAGTTTATTAATTTTTTGAAACTCTTATTTTCACCTGAAGTACATGATTTACAAATATTGATTCATATGATGCCTCATCATTTCATTCCCATACAATATTTGAATTAACAAAGGTATTATTAATGTGACAACATGTGAAAAAAATAGGTACTTAATAACAGTTCTCATAATGCAGACACAATTCCGCACATTTTTCCCCAAAAGCACCTAAAACTGTAATATCAATGCTCTCAGAATGGACGATCACTTCTGAATCTCAGGTACTGTTTTACACCTCATGGCAATTAAATTATGTTGACAATGTCCCTCGACATCTGTATCACATAAAAAACTAAGCTGCTCTGTATTTTACCTCTAATTAAGCCCAGGAAAATATTTATTAGAAATTGAAGAATTTTTTTCTCAATAAAGCAATGTTGATATAAAAATCTCACCTTTTAATGGTACACCAGTAGCATTCAAAACAGTTTGCTCTGCTATGGACTTTGTTCTGGAATAATGGTCAGGATGTTGACAAAAGTCAAAAGAGAAAATTTCTCATACCTGACCTAAATTATAATTTATTAATCCATGACTACTTTTCCCTTGCACTCTCAGCAAAAGTTGATATTGAAAGAAAAATATAAACTACCAGTTTTCTGTTTAAACAAACTTTGCTGTTTCACAATTTCACAATTTCACAACCTCGTACATCTTTTTAATTGAAGAAGTTGTCAGAGCTTCTTCAGTAATCTTGAGAAGTACATGGAACATGCATGGAACATTTTTGAAAACTTGATAACACAGATAAAGGAGTTAAAAAATCTACTTAAGAGAGATCTCTCACATGTTAGCCTGGTAAGAGGTTGGCAGGTGCATCATGTAAATGGGACTGTCAAAATGAAAATAAACAGACTTTGAATTTTTGTATAAAAAATAGTTTTCTTTAAAAGCAAAGTTGCATACTCCAGAGAGTTTGCTTTCTGGTTTGGTTCATGTTTCTTTATACCAAATGGACTACTGTATGTATTTGTGATTGTTTTGAGCTTAACTCTGGAGATAACAGAATAATTACCTTTTCTAGCAGTAAATATGGCATAAAATCTCATCTCTATTTCTGATAACCTGTCCTTCAAACACCACATTATATGTACTTGTATAGACATTTTCATTAAGAATGGTATTGTTTGTTTGAAGAGAATTAACGAATAATTCAAAATCAAACAATTTTCCTGCGTAAACTTTAATTCCAAGCCAAGTTTTACATGTTACTGAATTTACAGACCTTCAATGACATTTTTTGTTCCTGGAATGTTGACCTTCTCTATTTGTTCTCTGCGTAACTAAAAATAACACAAATAATTTAAAATAAAGCATGGTTTAATTTTAAAATTGATCCCATTTTTTCCCTTCATTTCATCTTGATCTACTGTTTTTCAAGATAAAATACATCCAGATGCCACAAGAGCCTGAGTTGCAAACACATCACCAGTTGAAGAGTGGAAGTCCCATTCCAGTTCCAGATTATTTCTACCACAGCCATCTCAATGTGGACCATGCCCAAGAACAGTCCAACTGAGAAACACCCTTTAATCCCTTAACATGACTAGCATCTAAATTCTCCTAACAGTATCCCCCCTGAGTCAAACAATCATTAGTATCATTAGAATAAAGGAAATGATCACCAGATTACAAATACTTTGATTGTCAAACAGATTCTCTTTATCAGTACCATGGGATATGTATAGGGAACAGTATGGAGAATATGGATACCGATATGAACAGGATTTAAGGTGAAGGACAGCTTGCTACCCAATGAACAATCATGTCGCAGCTTATTCCAGTTAAGGAGCAAAGGCAACAAGCAGTATTGGTACATCCACTGCACAGGATTTCAGTCTAAAAGAATCAGTTTTGACTGAGTAGGGTTGGACTAGAAAAAGACAGAGCAGACGAAGCAGACAGAGTAGACAGAGCAGACAGAGATACATTTATCTCTAAATTGTGACATTTGAAACAAGCACAGAGACAGAGTTCTACACATCTTTGAATCCACAACCCAGAGGCAAATGTATTTTTGTCTGGCCATACCATTCACTCAATAAGTACAACCTACTAACTTGCTCTCTTCCAGACATTCCATATGATGCACTATGAAAAACCACATCAATCTGATGACTGATAAATATCTTTCTTACATCTTCTTTACTTGTTATATCCCCCTAAAACATAAATATGAATCTTATGACATTAAATGAGACTTAACTTTATCATTAGATTTTAAAAAAATTCACTTAATTCCTGATATCACATTATCATTCGTAAGGTGAAGTGGAAATTATATGAGAATTCTAGAATGGCGGGTGTCCAATGTTTAGAAAAGACTTCCCACCACCGGGTGTCTGACACAGCAAATTCAAATAACTTCCACGCATTTTCGCCATGTTAAAATTTAATATTTTCGTCTGTCCGTAGCACAAAGGCAAGATCCGAATGGAGTTGTTTTGGCAAAATAATCAAAGTGAATTACGTAATTTACCGATCAAGTCTCTACCTGAAAACACTCCATTTGCTGGTACACAACATCATCCAACGGCCACGAGATGTCAAACAATACAACCACTGCTCCCAACTTCTTCAGCTCATTCCCCAGCTTGTGGCCAAAATATCCTCCTCCTCCAGTCACAAGAATTTTTTTTCCTTGGACCATACCAACATCCGTTCACAGATTTGCCCCCTAACTCAGATTTTCGTTCCCGCTTAAATAAACGAGCCTGCATTCAACCAGCTGCAACATACCTACGCCACGGTAGATATTTCATGTATGGGAAATTATTATGTCCTCAACACATATTATGTCCTATACTTTACATACAATACCCTACACACTTGACGTACCTACCTACCTACGCCACAGGCTACAAAACCAGCAGGGTGGTGTAATAATCTTATTTCATAGCCGACGAAGGGTTTTGCCTTACGCCACCCCCCGCTACGCCCCGCCCATCCCAGTGCTGTCACGTGATAGCAAATGAACTAAAAGAAATCATTAAACCGAAAGTCAGACTGAAGAAGGCGGAAATCGACGTGAAATACTACTGTTACTAGTGTTTAGCGGTGTTTAACCAGTTTATTTTTCTGTACGTAATAATTTCAGCTCCGACGAAGTGATTTCAGATCACCATCACCGCGTGACACTGAACGGAATAGATACAGGACCTTCACTTCCCGAACATACCAACAAAGATTTGGTAAGCCAACTCATGTTAACTTTTGATGTATGATGCCTAAAATTCTTACTGAAATGAAAAATGTTGGTAAACATCTGAGAGCAACTCATCACCTCTATTTTCAAACATCTTTTTTTAAGACGAACAGTAGACAAAAACGTCTTCGCGGATGTCCCCTGCAAACAATTTTGTCTGACAAAATTTAGGAGCGCCTATCTATTCCAGAATCCATGACAAAAATCTTGTGATTATATTTTGATCAGGCGGTGTGTCCACTCCGATTGCATTGCATTATGATGGCTCCTGATTCAGGCGAAAAAACTCCAAATGACTACAAAAGACGTTTCCATCTGATGGAATGTGTAATTTAACACATTTTTTGTGAATAAGAAATGAAAGTAATTCATTTTCTTGTGATTTTTATTTTAGCAACTTCCTGTTCAACATAAAAGGTTACTGTGATGTCGGGACAATTAAAGGTACCTAGCATATCACACAACTGCTTCTGAAAATCACAGCTGTGACCAAGTTGTTTAATGTTCACTCTATTGTCATTTCATTTTAAGGAAACTTCACTTTTATCAGTGCATCCCTGCCAACTTTCTCACTTCAGGAGCAAATTACTTGCCTGCAGATATGAAACTTTGCAACTACATATTACTGGTTTTCACCAAGCAGGAGGTTGATGTGGAAAAAAAATTTTAAGAGAATAAAATAAGTTCACATCAGTTTGAGATTAAGAGTCCACATAGATGACTGTAGTAAGTTTTTATTTTTGGGTGATCAAAGCTGAGGAAAAATATTTTCTACCTGTCTCATGTTTCACACTTTCTTTAAATGATAAAGCTGGTTATAATTGGATGATTTAAAATTTGCTATGTCATGCAAAACCAAACTCTGAATATCTGACGAGGAAAAAATTGTGTGTAACATTTTTTGTGTGATATCAGTTACTGATGCAGGTCACTTCTTAGAGCATGAGATTACACAGTTGTATCACACTAATCCCAGTATCCACAACAATTGTTCTTTACTGTCTCAGAAATTTTGAACAACTTTTTTTTCTTACCAGAGTTTGTGAAGTTACCAAATGAATTGAAAATAATAAAGTGTCTAGCAAAAGTAAAATAATTCATAAATGAGTTTTTTTTTATTCATATACCTTAAATTGTATTTACCTAAATCACAAAAATCTTCTGCTTACAGAACAATGCTGGGGAAAGAAAACTGAGAGTAACCCTTTTGAGTTCTGAATGGAAAGCTTCAAGTAATGGAGACTTGACAACCATCAACAGAGAGCTAGCAATACAGATGGCTAAACATCCCAATGTGGAAGTCAGTGTCTTCTTACCTCAGTTTAGTGAAGAGGACAAGAAAGATGCTGATAGTTACAATGTTACACTCATTGAAGCAGCTAAAGTGCCTGGCTTAAAACCAGTTCTTTGGCTGGCCTCTGTACCTAAAGGCCATGCTATGGATTGTGTTATAGGGCATGGAGTAGATCTTGGTCAGCAAATTCCACTCATAAAGGGAAATCCAAATTACAGTCATTGCAAGTGGATTCAAGTTGTCCATACTGCCCCTGAAGAAATTGGCATGTACAAAAGCATTTCTGTAGGTCAACAGATGCAGCAAACAGAAATAGAACTGTGTGAAATGGCTGATCAAGTTGTAACAATTGGCCCTAAGCTAACAGCTGCATATCAGTACCAACTCAGAAAACAAGATGTTTTTAACCTGACACCAAGCATTTTCATGGAATTTTTAGATGTACAGCAAGCAAGTGATGAAAGAAGAACATTTTGTGTCTTGGTAATTGAGAGTGGTGATAGTGAAGATTTTTATGTCAAAGGGTACGATATTGCAGCTAAAGCTATTGCTGACCTAAAGGATAAATCTTACCAACTCAAGTTTGCTTCCAAACAGAGAGGAAAAGAAGGTGAATTAGCAGACAAGTTACTTCAGTGTGGCATTGGTCGAAATCAGCTAAGTATCTGCAGTTTAGATGAAGACAGGGAAACATTAGCAAACTTATTCTCTATGGTGGATGTTGCCATATTGCCCTCAAAAACTGAGGGATTCGGGTTGAGTGCTCTCGAGGCCATATCCGCTGGTCTTCCAGTACTTGTCAGTGGTAACTCAGGAATTGCAGAAGCCTTAGAGGAGGTGTCTTATGGGTCACAGTGTATAGTGGACTCAGAGGATCCTGCAGACTGGGCCAGTGCAATAAAAGCTGTGCATGACAAAAAAAGGAATGTGCGACTTGAAGAGGCTAAGAGTCTTCGTGAAAACTATTTGCAGAAGTTCAGCTGGGAGGAACCTTGCAATTTCCTTGTTGAAAAGATGTACAATCTTGCATTTGGTAAGTTTTCTCATATTGCATCAGGAATGCAGAAAATTTGAAATAATGACAAAGCTCACATGTTCTGCGTTAAATATTCAATTTACCAGTTAGAAGTTGTTTCTAAATGCTATAGGGACAGTAGTGTTATGGAATATGACAAATTTACATGTAAGAAAACTGGTAATCCAAGTCTATAAGTTGGTGGTAATGGCCATACAATACAGTAACTGTTCTTAATAAAAGTGGTGGCCAAAAGTTGTAGTTTGTGACGAGTTGGTATGAGACTACCCCATTTAGATGTATTCTAATCTTTACTTCAGGAAAGAAGAAAACTTGGAATTCCGAACATGAGAATGGAGGGGCATGTTCATCCAGTGGTAAGAGCCATAGAGAATTAGCACTGACTGATCATGTTCATCAGTATGATGATGTCTTTGCAAATTTTGTGGAAAATCAATGTTCATATTTGATATTTTATTATTACCTATAATGTAGCACTCAGTTGTCCATAATCAATGTGACTTCATCAAACCTTTATCAAATTAATTTTCCAAAAATCCAAAATCATCAGGCTTCTTATGCTTTTCTCCAGATCCTGGGTTCATTTCATAACAGCTCTAAAATTAAGTTAACAAAATAAGAAATGGATGATCATTCTAGCAATTCAAGTTCCAAGACAGTAAGAGAGCCATATTTTTCCTTGGCTGCTAGAATGATACATGAATTGTTATGCATGTACCTCACAGAAAATGCCATTTTGATGGCATCCTCCTAAACTTTTGGATTTACTTTAATTACTTAATACTCTACCTGCAGACTTAGGGGCAAGACTAATTATCCAGAGGAGTGAAAACTCTGATGTCCATCAGTTTACAGTGACTGAACAAGAGCCTTCTGTCAAAGAAATTGAGCTTCAAGGAGATGTCATCAGAAATAGGAAATGTAGAGCTCCTAACCCAAGCAATGTTAACACTGTTGTGAAGAAAAAAAGGGAGGTCTCTGAGGAGGTATCAGACCCAGTTCCTGGTCCAGGTATATTTTATACCATTCCATTCCATCAATCAATCAACTAATTAGTCCATCCGTCCAACCATAATAACTCAAATCTTTCTGTCATCAATTTGTTAATCAAACAATACATGTATGTCCAACAATGAAAAAATCAATAGCATGTATCATTTCCACCAAGTAAAAAAAGAACTTTTCCCAGTTGAAATCCAAAATCTTGTACCTTCAGAGGAAAAGAATATAAAACTTGAGTTAAGATATGGTTTTATTTAAGAAGAGGCTGGAAATTAGATCATGCAGTGGTGTTACTTCCATGCTGTGGTGTGGTGAGCAAATAGTTTGGGTGAGGAAAGCTTCATGAAAGAAATCTGTCATTAACAGTTTTTCAGAGGATTAGAGAATTTATTGCAGTAATTTCACTCAACATAACTTTGTTTGGTGGGTTGGGAACCTTGTGTCACCTAGAAGGGAAGTCTGACCCACAGAGTTTTCAATAAATCACTTTAAGTGATCTAAAAGGATTAATTGGTGTGCATGCTGCCAGTGTTCAGAATGTAAAGTTGATTCTCTGGGTGCATCTGTTTTGGATTTAAACTGCAAAAAAATGTAAACTAATTAGAGAAAATTGGGCATCAAAGTCTTGAATTTCCAACCCCTGAACCTTTCTTTCAAAACTGTCACATACACTCTTGTTTCATTAATTGTTGTATTTATCAACAGCTGCTGTTGAACATGGAGATTCTCTGAGCATTCTTGAGGACATGAATTCTTTTGCTGATAACAACACTCAATCAATTCCCTTGCCAGCTACAGAAACTTCTGACATGAAAGGAGGTGTGTCTGTTGAAACCAGAGGGTGGAATCCCTTACATTCTGCTACAGAGGGTGGTAATGAAGTTATAATTGAGACTTTGCTATCTTCTGGATTAGACATAGATTCAAGGGGTAATGATGGTACAACACCCTTAATGGTGGCAGCTGCTAAAGGAGAAGAGAAGACAGTAGACCTTCTTCTCAGCAAGGGAGCTGATCCACACCTTAAAAACTTCATTGGAAGAAATCTGCTTCATGCGGCAGCTGAAGGTGGCAACACTTCCATTGTGAAGAGCATGCTCTCTCGTGGCATTGACATTGATTCAAAAGATGATGAATCCTCAGTCACCCCACTGATAATTGCTGTCAAGGAAAACCATGTTGAAGTTATGAAATATCTTCTTCAAAAGGGTGCAGACATATCTTTGACAACTGGATCTTACGAGAGGAATGCTTTACACATAGCATCACAGTACGGAAGTGTTGCAGCAATTGAGATGTTGCTCTCTTATTTAAGACCTGACTCAAGAGATGGAGAGGGAAACACGCCATTAGTCTCTGCTGCAGCTTGTGGACAGATAGAGGCTGTAAATTGTCTTCTTAAACATGGAGTAGATCCATTCCTGAGAGGGGAACATGGATGGAGCCTTCTCCACTTTGCTGCTCAGTCTGGCAATGTCATCATTATTGAGACCATACTTTCTAAAGGTCTTGATGTGGATTCCAGAGGTGAAACTCTGGGTTTAACCCCTCTGATGGTTGCCATTAAATCTGACAAATTGGAGGCAGCAAAATATCTGCTTGAGAAGGGTGCCAATGAAAGTTTGAAAACCACTAAGAGAGAAATCCCTATTTTGTCCATTGCATCAACAGTTGGTTCTGTTGCAGCCATTGAGATGCTGCTCTCATGTGGTTGTAGCATTGATTCTAGAGATGATGGGGGAGACACACCATTGATGCATGCTGCACGTTGTGGAAATACAAAGGTTGTAGAATATCTTCTTGCTCAAGGTGCTAATCCATTACTTAGAAATACATCAGACCTTGGACTGCTCCATTTAGCTGCTCTTTCTGACAATGTTCTCACTATTAAGGCTGTGCTCTCTAAAAATCTTGACATAAATGCTATGTGTACAGTCCTTGGTATCACTCCACTGTTGTTTTGCTTGACACAGGGTAAACTGGAGGCTGCAAACTATCTGCTTGCAGAGGGTGCTGATGAAAATTTGAAAAGTAAGGACGGGTGGACTGTCCTATCTGCTGCAGCAATCAGTGGTAACGTTGCAGCCATTGAGATGCTGCTTAAGCGTGGTCACAACCCTAATTCCAGGGATGGTTGTGATAAGACACCCTTAATGTGGGCTGCAGAGAGAGGAAATAAAGCAGCTGTAGAATATCTTCTTCCTCTCACACACTAAAATGTTGTGAAAGGCCACAGAGGCCCACACTTTTAATAATACTTGCACAGGTGTAGTTAGATGTAATAAACATTAGTTTTTAAATGAATAGGAGAAATTCCAAGTTTTTGTTACATTTATAATGGATTGGATGATTATTGTCTTTAATTGTAATTACTCATAAGTTTGCATTTATCTTGATGGTAATCCGTGGCAACCATCCCCAGCCCATCAGGTGAAAGGTGGCAGATAGTGAAAGGCCTTCACTGAAGGTTAGCTCCAAATAAGCTGGCTTCCCAGTGGATAAGGAGTTGCAGACCAAAGTGGCGGTGTACTTACCAGGATGGGGTGAGGCTGCAGATGGCACTGCTTCCTCTATAAAATGCTCCATAAATCCCATGACAAGTACATCAGGCGAGAAAGGGCCGCCTTGAAAGCCCTAGCCCGGGCAGGTGGAGCTCGATAGCTTGGGAGGGTAATCCACTTAAGAGAAGGACTACTTCATCCAAACCTATCTAGTGCCAGGTGTAATGGACAATTAAGTCATGCAATTACCCTGGGTTCAAGGACATGACAGAGAGTCCTTTACCCATGCTCTAGCTATGGATAAATAGTCGTTCTTTTGAGAGCAGGCTCTTTAGCCAGAAGATAGGAGATGCCACCTCTGTTATAAAAGCTACAGCCCTATGAATCTTACAGCCTCTCAACCTGCTGAGCTGCTGTAAATCTTCCCTGGGCTTAAAGAGTGGGATTGGTGTGCATGAACTGGTCCTCACTTGAAACATACAGAGTGCAGACAGGAAATAAAGACCTGCAGTGATGGAGCATGGCAAAAATGACAGGTGCTAGATGGCGCTGAAATTGCAGAAATAACTCTGCATGTAGGTGGTCTAGGGTAACATGGTCACTTGCTTGTGAACAGAGACAAGCGACTAAGCAGCTCACCCCAAGCAACCTAGCAGCCTTTTCTAGGGTTGCATTGCTTGCCCTGAATAGAGAGGGGTCTAGTAAAGATGACCTAAAAAAAGGTTTGTCTCATCCTTACCCAGTTGGTTGGCCCAATCAATGGGCATCCCTAGTTTAGCAGTAAAAACTAGTTAAAAGATTTTATTAGTATAAACTAAAAGACAGACATGGAAACAGATAAGGACTATGAATATGAAAATGGCTTGCTGGAATGTGCAGGCAATGTAAGACTTGGAAGATAGTGTTCACCCTCGCACAAAACCCCTCTCTTCGCCTCTCCACCAAAATTCTGGTATATAAGGCTGTTGTCATCTATACCTTCTTGTAAGGGGTCAAGGCATGTGTACTATTCAGAAAGCAAATCAAATGCCTAGAACAGCAATGCTGCCTTTTCTCCATCATGAACATTAGATAGCAGGACTACAGAACCAACAATGAAGTCCTGGAAAAAGCCAATCTTCCCAGTATGGAGGCCTTGTTCATGCTGAGACAATGATGGTCTGGCCATGTCTCCTGTATGCCTGATACATGAATCCCAAAGGAGCTATCAGATGGAAAACGAGACAGAGGGGTTCCAAGAAAATGCTGGAAAGACTAACTGAAGGGCAAATTGACTCAGGCTGGCATCAAACCCAAACATTGGTAACAGCTTGCAGAAAACCATGCAGCATGGTGACTAACAACAAGAAGAGCAGCACAAGATTTTGAGATCACAAGACAAGAAGCGGCAGAAGAGAGGAAGAGATGACAAAAGGAAGCACGAGAGCAGGATCCAACAGGACCTACCTTCCTGTGCCCTTGATGTCCTAGGATCTGCTTATCAAGAATAGGACTGATTAGTCATCTGAGGGTATGCCTCCCTTGGCAGGACCTTCCCACAACTGATCCTTGGATATGAAGAAACTACCATTATCATCACCAATTATATTGTGACAAGGCTGTATGTATCATATTAGAGATTCAGTTTTTGAGATCATGTAGAGACAGCATGTGTCCTTTAGAGTTCCCACACTACAATGCATTTTACTCTGAAGGAATAACTTGGCTTTTAGAAAACATTGAAAGGTGTTATACTAGAGCACAGATAGGCATGCAGTTAGTTTCAATGACTAACTACCCTTGGCCGGGCTAGGAATAGTTGTCACTCCTCTCAGCTTAGGTGGAGAAAAACAGTACAAAAGACACATCTAGATTTGCAGGCTTACCTATAGAAAAGGCTTGACCCTTTAACTCCCAAGATCTGATTGTCAACTCTCCCCTCCAGCTGCTACACATATCTTTGTAATCAGTTACGAGAATTTGGTTTTCAATCAAGGTAATATCTTGTTCCTGATAAGTTTGAGTATTCTCACTACCTGTTTCCTGGATAATGTATGAATATAGGGAGAAGTTACATGTTAATCACTTCTGGGAGTTAAAGGCGTAAACACCAAGCTTTTTTACATTTCTTGGTATAAGGTACAAACTTCAGCTTATTCTTTCATCACAATGTTTAAGATACTCATGAACTTTTATAAATCCTAGTTACCTGTTAGTAAATGGAGATTACTTTCAATTTTTGTCAGATGGATTGATAATCATCTTGTATAGATCAGTGTGACAAGCTTAATTTACTTGTTTTTAAACCTAATTTAACTTAAAATCAAGATCTGTTTAATTTCCTCTCCTCCCTAGATTGGTAAAATTAGCTATTTGCTAAGTAAGATTTTTTTCACAGTGATAATTTTAACTTTTGATTTCAATTTAGCACAATGCTAAGGGTTAAAAATACTACTGTATGCCATCTTGAGTGTTTTCATGAAAAAGTGGTAGAAATTTTCTGTAAGTGACTTAACAAATAATGAAAAAGAGCAACTTTTGTGAAATTTACTCTTGTTGTTCCCGGAAGATTGTAGCTATGCAAGCCCATTCTTATCACTGATAAAATCTAGCAGTGTCTTTCAAATCTATTCATAGATGATAAAGATCCAATTTCAAACTAGATTTTAAAAAATGTGATGTGGATTTTGAATAATTTCAAAAAAGACTTAGCAAAGTCATTAGTGGCCTGTGACCTAGCTATTAGACTATTAATGTTTCAAGACTTAACTTTGCGTAAAGAACAAGCAATATACAATGTATTGATTTGTCCAGTATTTCAGAGCACTTCAATCCATACTAACCTCAGAAGGCAAAGAACAATATCAAGCAGTGAAATGCAGATGTGACCTTTGATCACCTCTACATTCTATCTTAGCAATTACTTGCACTATAGCAAAACAGATCACCATAATTCTTTGGGGGAGTTGCTGAACTTTTAAATTTGCTGCTTTAATGGAACTCTGTGATGTCAGAGGTCTTACATGTAGGAGTATCACTTAATGAAATTTCTTTCAATTGGTTAGTTATTTTCTTCAAGGCTGAGAACAATGTCTAATGTTACTAAAGTCAATGCATTAATCTTGATAAGATACTGCAACCTTTTCCCTCTCTCAACTATAGGAAGAAATATAGAAAAATGGGAATGGATTTTTGCATAAATCTTTTCTGGCCTAATAGGTATTAACATCAGGTCAAAGAAAGGGTCTATTAAGATCAGTCAATCAATGCAATCATCTGCTGCTTATTTTCAAAAATCAATTTTATTCAATTTATATCAATTTATACTATATCCACATGACAAAATTTGCCAGCCATGAGCAGACATCGATCACGAATCTGTTCCAATACACCTACCTACTATCAGACAGTTTTTTATCTTGGCTAATAGACTCAATGCTATTTCACAAATTTGACTGACACATTTTCTAAGAAGACATGAAGTTACAAAAACTTGAATGATTCTGTGAAGAGAAACTTATCATCAAATGACCATGCTTTCCGTGAATACTTCCAATCTAAGATGAGAAGGCAGTAAAGAGGACATCTCTCGAGATTTTCTTAGGGTTGATGCAAGTCTTCAGGCTCTTATGATATGAAATTAAAGGTGCCCAACAAAATCAATTATCTTGTACTTTTGACTAACAAAAAAAAAATTCAGCAATTTGCGGGTATATCATCAAGTAAGGGAAATTTTAGTATTATTAAGCAGCTTTAAGATGATGGAACTTTCATGCTAAATAAAAATATCCAGAAAAAAATTGTAAATAACTTGATTGAACATATTAAAAAGTTTTACTCCTGTGAATCTTTTTATGAATCTGCCATGGCCTATTGGCAACAACTAGTGCTCTCATCACTGTGTCATTCAAGCTCCACATTTCCAAATGATACTTCATCATATTTTGACCTGCAGATATTACACAAGTGACAAAATGTTATTTTAACCCTTAAAACCCTTGGAGTGACCAGCATCTAATTTCTCCTACGTTACAAGAATACTGCTAGATCATTCATTACAATCATGAGAATAAAGGAAATGATAATATTATTAGGGTGCAAAGGATTACGATTAACTTAAAAAATTAAACTACAGAAAAAATGAGCCTAAAAAAATTCACCCTTAATTATTGGGATTTACACAAGTGGCCATCAGATACTAATTGGACACCTGAGTCTCGTGGATCACAGCTTGCTAGTTGCCTTGTTCACTGCTGCCATGGAAACATAATTTGTGATCCAATTACCACCGACTACCACGAGTGTGTTTGCAGTGATAAAAGCTGAAGCACTGCTAGCCAGAAAGAATACACTTTATCTGCCACATCTTGGCGAGAAACCAGTCTTTGTAAAGGTACATTCTCAATGAAGTTTGGTGGAAGATGTTTGCCACCTGTGAAGATGAAGTACAGTTAAAGCTTCCTTTAGACTTAAAGTAAAAGAAAATTGTGAACTGCACTAACTTGTAAGTGGAACAGGGATTATGGTAAATTTAATGTTAAAAATTGATTATGAAAGATTTTTAGACTAGCTTTCAGCCAGGAAAAGTATTCTTGTAGTAATTGTACATATCCACAATTAATTTCATTTTAAGTAACCAAATGTTTATCTTAGCCTAACTTTAGACTCTAAAAACTTACTAATAACAATGTGAATTTAAAAGCTTTCCACATGTCTGCCAAATACAGAATGCTTTTTCTGAAACTTTGGATGCCAAAATTGTTTCTGGTCACCATAGCAATCAACACATTTGCAGCCAAGGGCTCTCTCCTGTTCTAAGCCTATGAAAATTATATGATATGAAAATTGCATTAGGTGCAGGTAAAATGTACAGAATTTCTTTCCCTGTAATTCTTTACCTTGTCTACAAAAACCCTCTGTGTCTTTCACAGCACCAGGTGCAACATAGTCTACCCTAATGCCATCTGGGCCCCATTCAACAGCAAGACGTCTTGACATACCCTCTGATAAAGAGATAAGAAACAGATTATCAGGGATTGAAGGGTATGAGAAAACATCTGAAATCTTAGCCCTGCTGAACCCTCTCTGACTGCCAGATCTCATGAATAATTTTCTTTACTGTCTGCTGTCTCATGATGTTGGTTCAGAGAATTTTAAACTGGATCAACTCATAATCCCCTAGTTCATATTTTTCTCCATTACAATCACTTAATCATCATGATATTTTGTCTTGGTTACAATGTGATTGTATGAACTTACCAATTGCAGCTTTTGCGCTTCCAGCATGACACTGATCAAGACAATTTCCCCAACAATATTCTGATGAAAAGGGCTCAAAGGCTGATTCGAAGGAATTCATGGTCTTCATCTCCAGGTGGTTGAAGTGCAAAGATATTAAAGTGAAAGGCCTCATTTCATTATTGCAAATGAAGTTCAAATTGATATACATGTTTAATCCTTTGAAGTGATCAGCATTTCATTTCTTCCCACATCATCAGCACACTGTCATCAGCAATACTCAGGAGAATCAAGGAACTGATCATAAAACAGAAATTGAATAGATCACATAATTTGAAAAAGAAAATGTATGTAAACTAGCAAGGTGAATTCATGTGTTGATGGGTTTAAGAGCTGAAAAGTCACTACTCATGTTTTGGTGATACTTCACCCTCAACCTTCCCAGATCTGACCCAGAGTTCTCTTACATTCTACTTTCCCTATATTTTCTTGGAAAGAGATTAAGAATTTTGTGTTAAGTCTAGATAACAATCTGATAAGCTGATGTGTTTGTCTAACCTCATCATATCTTTGCTGAAAAATGCTTTGATGTTGTCAGGACTTATTAATCCTTAAACACCTTTATCACTTTCACACAATTTCCCATTAGATTGTTAAGATGGCACATAGTCATTGCTACTTATTTTTGTCTATGGTTTTGTAAGTTTGTTGGTGAATAGTACCTCTGTTCCCATGAGGAACAGCTGAAAATTATAAATATATTTTCCAATCACTGAGTGAACCAGTTCTGTTAACAATTCTGCAAACAGAAAATCTCTCTTGTAAAAGTAAAACTATTTAATGGAGTTTGTGTTCTCTGACTTCCTCATTATGTAACTGACCAATCATAATCCAATCATTTAAATTTATAATCTTTAATTTATCTCAGTAGATAAAAGTAGTGAACAATGAGCTAGTTTTGCAGAGCTAACTGGGTTATGATGGAAATAAGGTCACGCAAAATCCAATTTAGTCTGCATGCAATCACATGTCTTGACTCGGTGCTAAAACCCCACTTTGTCATTCACAAACAGGATAATAGAAATAATCAGATGACGATATACCCTATTACCAAATAATATAAATAAAAACTACTAGGGACTTAAGAAAAACTGAAAATAACTGTAAGTCATACACATCAAAAAATTATGATAACTTGACAGTCATCATCAAATTGAATGAATCAATAAATTAGTATAAATTAATTAAATGAGCTTTAAAAGTGGACAGATTAATGCACAGAACAACAAAACAAAGGATAGAGGAAAAATCATAGAAAACAAAAAATGTGAGTATTTATCTTATTAATATGAATCTAGACATTAATAACTGAGAGGTCCATAAATGAAAATATATAAATTTAACTTACCTACCATATATACAAGAGTTATTAGCAACTTTAATTTGGGAAATTTGTATCCCAAACCTTCAACCTATTAAAAAAATTGTAAGAAAAATTTCAGTCAGAATAGCAATGATTCCAAGAGACAGTTTAGGAACTCAGGCATAAATTATTTCTTTAGAGTTATGCCATCTTTCCAAATTTTAATTTCTTTTCCTTCATTTTTTCTATGATTTGTTTGACTAAGACAAGGGAGAGAGAATAAAAGAAAATGAAAGAGAGGAAAAAGAAATTTTACCAAATCTGAAGTCTGAATTCCAAGCTTTCATCTAATTAGACAAGCAAAAGAGAAAGACAAAACTATAGGGCCAGAAGAAAATGGGCTCACACTGATTAACCCTTTACACCCTACCATCAGTATGCATATTCTCAATACTGTTCTCCACACATTTGCAAAGAGGCTGAAAAGGAGAATTTGTGGACTTTCATGTTTGATTCAGGGGTGATATATGGTAAGGAGAAATTAGATGCTAGTCACTCTTAGGGCCAAAGGGTTGATATAGAAAGTTCTGTTTGTTTAAGCAAAAGAGCAAGACAAAACTATGAGGCCAGAAGAAAATGGGCTTACTCCGCTTAATATACAACTGCTTGCTTGTTTGTTTAAGGTTCATGTAATAACCACAATACTTCTTCATCAAGGAATAAATTTATAAATATTCACTTGGAAAAAATTTGACTTACCAAAGGTCTGAAGAATTCAAAATTGTTCAAGGGGGAATCATCTGAAATAAAATACGCTTCACCAGCCTGAAATAAAACCCATTTAATAAACAACAATGGTCTATCAAATAAAAGAATGAAAGTCTATTTTAGGAAATTGTCTTAGTCCTTTGACATCAATAATTCTGTTGTTACATAATTTATGTCTTCCTTACTCACAGCTATGGAATCTGCCTCTATGAGAGGTTTTCCTGCCAAAATGTGAGCTTAAACCAAATTATTTAAATGAACAAAGTCAATAATAGAGTCATCTTGGCCATAAGTGAAGGCAAAAAGGCCTCTCTCAATATATGACTGAAAATAGAGAAATACAAAAGATGTGAATCTCATCAGGGCTGAAGATCAGGCTCTTCTGCAAGTTTGACTGACATGCAGCACCCTCGGTGTCAGAGGATGAAAAGTTATAAGAATAAAGAAACAGTCAATTAAGGGATTATTAGCTGATCCAAAACCAAGTTCTTGAAGTGACATCATAGCAGTTGTAAGACAGACAGCAAAGACAATTACTCAATAGTGAGATCTTGGGATTAAAAGGAGTACAGACTTAAAGGAAACCTATATAACAACAGCAACAAGTGTGAACAAAAGATTTTATTTTGGGCAGATTAATAGCTCTGCATACATATCTGCATTCAAAACTATGTACACTTCCTAGCTGTTGTCTATAAGTAACAGAGTGGCATCAACAAATTTTGTGTTTTCTTGGAACCTCAATGGCAAATTTTTCACAATTTCATTGAAACTATGTTGCATTCACACACTCTGCTGCCATGCAATGAAGTCTGAACTATTTAAGACAGTTAACACATCATGCAATTTACAAAATGATGGAGGTTCATTTAATTATCTAGCTATGTTTTCCTAAGCATCAACACTGTGGCAACTCACACTCCCTTTCACGTTAAGGTTATTGTTGCAGATCAGTTAACTTTCTGTAGTATCACTCTCCCCACACAGGAAGAAGGCCCCTATTGATAAAATAGGTGGGATTACATTGCATACCATTTTACCTTGGAGGTGGCAGTTCATTTCAGTTCATCTTATCTATACAACTTAGAAAATCTCCAGCACTATGGGCCACTTAAAGCTTTAGTTTGCAAAAATGTATCAGTAATTATATTCTGGAGCCAAGAAAAATAAAATAGAATTTTATATTAAGCTTATCACAATTCTGGGTAAATGTCTAAATTCTCCTTCTCTGTAGATTCCAGCTGGTCTTAAAGCACAGGTCTTGAGAATTTTCCCATCTGTCAATGATTTCCAGGAAATGAAATGAATTGCAAGTGGGTTTGCTATTTTTTTTGATGAATTTTGGTATTTGCTGAACAACAAACCAATTTTTTGTTGTTGTAAAAGACTAACAATCATGTTTCCTTCAGTTTAATAAGAGGAAATATGTTAGTCAAATTTATTTTATGAACTAAAAGTGATGGATGTTTTTGAAATGATGGTATATTTTTCAATCACTCCTGTTCAAAAATAAAACAAACAAACAAAACAAAAACATAAAAACTGGGGGGGGAGGGCTTCTGCTTAAACTTAATTAAGGAAATCCTTATTGCCTTTATTTTTCTTCTAAATTACAGCTTTATTTCATAACACAACTCATTACATATAGGTAAGACTACTTGACTAACTATACACTGACATTGACAAAAACGTTACAGCATACATACAATAAATCAAACTACATACATACAGAGGAAAAAAAAGAGAAGAATAAAGAAAGGAAAAAAAAAATAAAGGAAAGTAAACCTTGCCACATAACCAAAAAAAACAGAACATTTCAGTGTGGTTCTAAGTATGAAATTACAATGTAAATAAGTAAGGTTTTTAACATAAAAAATAAACCTGAAGGAACAGTTACTAGACAGACTAAAGATTAACTTTAACCTGTCTGTTCTACATTGTAGATAATGCTTAGTTTTTTTTTTAATTTTTTGAAACCCTTTTTTTACCTTAAGTATGTGATTTACAAAAATTGATTCATCTGAGGCTTCATCATTTCATAGCCATACAATATTTGAACATAGGCATTATTAATATGGCAACATGTGAAAAAAATAGGTACCTAATAACAGTCCTTGTGGTGCAGACACAATTCCACACATTTTTCCCAGAAGCACCTCAAACTGTAATGCTCTCAGAATGGAAGAAACATTTATCTCACAATCTTTACATTTGGAACAAGCACAGAGTCAGAGCTCTGCACATCTTTGAATCCACAACCTGGAAGCAAATGTATTTTTTTCAGGCCCTACCATTCACTCAATAGGTACAACATACTGATTTGCTCTCTTCCAGACATTCCATATGATGCACTATGAAAAACCACATCAATCTGATGACTGATAAATATCTTTCTTACATCTTCTTTACTTGTTATATCCCTCTAAAACATAAATATGAATCTTATGACATAAAATGAAACTTAACTTTATCATAAGTTTCTAGAAAAAAAATTCACTTAAATCGTGATATCACATAATCATTCGCAAGGTGAAGTGGAAATTATAGGATAATTCTAGAATGTCAGGTGTCCAACTTTTAGGAAAAACTTCCCGCGACCGGGTGTCTGACACAGCAAATTCAAATAACTTCCACGTATTTTCCCCATGGTAAAATTTAATATTTTCGTCTGTGCGTAGCACAAAGGCAAGATCCGAATGGAGTTGTTTTAATTGGTAAAATATTCCAAAGCGAGTTACGTAATTAACCGATCGAGTCTCCACCTGAAAACACTCCATTTGCTCGTACACAACAACATCCAACGGCCACGAGAAGTCAAACGATACAACCACTGCTCCCAACTTCTTCAGCTCATTCCCCAGCTTGTGGCCAAAATATCCTCCTCCTCCAGTCACAAGAATTTTTCTTCCTTGGACCATACCAACATCCATTCACAGATTTGCCTTTCGTTCCCGCTTAAATAAACGAGCCCGCATTCAACCAGCTGCAACGTACTCACGCAACGGGCTACAAAACCAGCAGGGTGGTGTAATCGTCATACCTTATAGCCGAGGAGGGGTTTTTGCCTCCCCCCAAACCCC